TGGGGGAACTGGTCACTTTTGAGCTTGAAGCTGGGCCAGATGAACTGCCTGTTGAAGTTGATACAGCCGTTCCAACTCCAACACAATCGTCACCCGTGGCAGCATTCCAAGCTTTAAATTGGTCTTGCGTTATGCCAAAGGACTGTGAAATGCTCCAGCAGGAGTCGCCGGATACAACATCGTACCACTGGTTGCAATTGCTTGCTGTTCCAGTCAGCGTTGGCTTGTCCGGGCTGGGTAACGCGGAGCCACTGGCTGTTGTTGTTGCTGCGCGTTGGTGTAGAAAACCATGACCACGACCATGTGCTTGAACCAGATGTGCACCAGTTGTGGCTGCGAGCAAAATCCCAAGGATGACTCTCATGGTGAAATGTTCGGGAGTCCTTTGATGTCTCTCAGAGTCAAGTCCAGTCCCTAGGCACAACGCTGATAGATTTTCTTTCCTTCCGAGTCACCCAGCTCGATCAGCCTCAGCTTCATTTCTCCGACTTCGGTGCTGCTGAACCTCTCATCTCGGATAGATGGGACTGGTGAACGCAGGTGCATATACGGCGTTTCATAACGAGCCCCACAATTGCTTAGCAATTCGCTTTCGAGGGCAATGATCTGTGTAGGAGTTGCGACTAGCCAGCTCTTTCATAGATATCAATATTCCGAAGGCTCAAGGGTGCGTGGCATTGGAGAGATCCACTGCTCAGATTGCACCACCACCGGGGGAGCAACCGGGGGCCAAATGTCCCACTCGGAGGCTCGGGTACTGGGGGCATTCCGAGACCCGCCTCTCATTGTCAGGGCCTTGCATTAGTGCGAGTGCCTGCATATCGTCCTGTAACAGGGGGCCAAGCACTAAGATATGCGAAGATCATGTCGAGCACAAGCAATGGTATCGCCGATCTCGGACAGCGTGAATGGAACAGCTGGATGGCGCCGTTCATTTCCGGTATATGGCGACCTAGTCTCTAGTTTCATCCTTCAAGCTGCTGCATACAGACATTGCACCTGTGGTTCTCACCTGTGTTGTTCAAAATGCGGCTCATCACACTTGGTTCGTTCTTTGCATTCGCAGTGCAGGGACTCGCAAAGAGAGGCATCGCCGCTCGTGACCCTGCGTTCGACCCGTTGGACTTTTCGTGGATCGCCAATTGGGCTGCGGTCGGCGACAGCTTCACTGCTGGCATTGGATCCGGAAATGTGTACAGTTCCCGCAAGGAGGATAAGGATTGCTCGCGGTATGACTATTCATACCCATCCATTATGAACCAGTATTTTGGCAGCTCGGTGTCCAATTTTACATATTTGGCGTGCTCGGGGGATACATCGGTCGACATCGCAGCCCAGATCGCTCGGATATCAAAGGGGCTGGATCTTGCAGTGATGACTGCAGGAGGAAATGATCTGTGCTTGGTGAGTCTGAGATCGCTCGGGCGTAGAACTCCTACTGCCTGATCAGACAACCATCATCAAAACATGCATCTTGAACTCAGTGACGAGTGAGTCAAGTTGTCAAAAGGCGATCAAGACCGCGCAGACGGCCTCGATATCATCCTGGAAGATAATATTGTTTCCCTTCTGAATTCACTTGACGAGAAAATGGATGCCCGAGGCATGATCGTTCTCTCCTCCTACGCCCTTTACTTTGATAACACCACCTCTGACTGCACGAACAATGAAGATTGGGTTTTCCCCAGACAGGCTGGAAGTACCAGTCTTCTCTTGAGTACGGCCCATCGAACTTCCTTCAACACACTCGTTGCCAACACCAATGCAAAGTTGAAGTCCGCCGTCGACAAGGTCGCCAAGACAGCAAGCTCGACTGTTATATTCGCGGATTGGAGCGCATGGGGCAAGGCAGCCCTGGAGTTGGAGGTCGCTTCTGCGAGAGTGGCTCTTCTCCCGATCCCTCGAGCTCAACCAATGACTACGCCATGTTTTACAAACTACCAACCTATAAGGTCTTCAATCCGGGGAATATATATCGACGAGACGAGACTTTGGGCTCTGACTCCATGCTTGGAGCCTCAAATGTCACATCTGTCCAGCAGCAGATTGATGCGGAAGAAGGCGACTTCGATGAAATCATCGACACTATCTCGAGCCGCGTCTTCAAGAGAGATACCCCAACAACTGGAGTGTGTGGCACGAACTCTGGCGGCGGATGGCTACCAGACGATATTGGGAAGATTTTTCACCCGACCAATTTCGGCCACGAGGCTATTGCATCGTACGTCACATTTGCGATTGGCAATGCCATGGCTAAGGAGGAGTCTACAACTACACCCGCGTGTAACCTTGTCAATGACCTCACTTGCCATTCGGATAAGGGCTCGAAAGCGTACGCCAGCGACTACTCCATGTACGCTCACACGAAGGAATTCTGCAAATCAGTTGTGTCCACTTTGAATGACAAAGACAGTGACACCAAGATTAGCAAGTCTTACGACAAGGGCACTGTTGACGAGGTCAAGTTCACTATATCTAAGGATGCAACGGCTATCTCCTTATATGAAAAAGGCTGCAACGCAGCGGTAAATCGCGTCCTTGACGGTTGCGATGGAGACTACGACGGAAATCCCAAAAACTGGAAATCCGGTGGCGTTTACGCCAATGGCGCCTACAAGTATGACATCTCACCAACGCGGACGAACCGTCCCTTCCCCGTTCCAAAGAAGCCCTCAGCTAAATGCTTTGGCGTTTACCACGGTGCCTGGACTCGATACAACATTCGAGGTGCCGGTTGGGCTACCTGGGATAGCGGCCAAAAGACGCTCCGGGGGAACAGCACGCGCTGCTTTGGCAAAGGGCTGACCGGGTGGTGGTTCAAATACTTTGACGAGCCCGACAAGGATGGATACGAGTGGCTGGCCAAATTCAACTCGCCTGTTTTCACCGAAGCCCGTTGTTACGCGAATAATAAGGTCCAGAAGTGGGCCGGTGGTCCATCCGATGACGGGTGCCATTGAAATGTCTTCACACCGTTGGGACTGACATCGGGAAATAGGATGTTCCCTATAGGTGATCGATATATCACATCTCTTTAGTCAATTCCAATCAAATACAATTCAACTATGTTTGTATACCTGGCTTCTTATGCGCAAATTGATTCTGGATTCAAGAAGTGTCCGTAATCAAATGGGTAACCTCTAGGAGCATTGTAATGAACTAGCCATTGGTAGAAGAAACTCTTGACGTCCAACACGGTGATAGATTTGGCCCCTCTGCACATCAGGATGATTTTGTGTTGCGTTCCCATAGGGTAAACGTCGATATTTGATGCCTTGTTCAGTTCACTGATGTCGACGACTGCGCGACCATCACGCACTCCGTTCACGGTGCGCCACAAGAGGGTTGCAGTAAACACACGACTTTCGTTGTCGAAAGCCCGAAATGTCTCTTCCTCCCCGTTGGCTTGGCACGAGAGCGAACGCAAATTGCGCAGCATGTGTGCAGCGTTACTAAAGGTTGCGGTCTTGAGCTTCGGCTTGGAGTAGGCCGCCCTCCCCTTTGAGTTCAAGTGTAAAACATGGAAATACCATCCTCCAGACGCAGCTTTCTCCCCATGGGCTTGCCATGACAGCGAACGTAGATTGCGGATCACTTTCCAAGTTTCTTGTCAAGCTCCTTGTGTGGCCGTTTCCCTCGGTAGAGCGCACTCTCTCTTTGCTTTTCCCTCCTTCGCCTGTCTCGCTCGGTAGAGAATCAAAGATTTCTTTTGGTAGAAGCTCCCTTCTGTAACTTTATCACACGTGCGCAGCGTTGTCCCTTTTTTTCGCTTCCAAGGTTCAGACTTCAGCTGACAGCTCCTCCCGAGGTCGTCATTTATCATCGTGACCCCCCGAACCAGTAGCTCATTGACAAAGCTGTTGTCCTGGTATGTGATACTATTATCGGAGCAAGTTGATCTCATCGAGCTAGGGGGCTCGGGTAGAAGTATTCCAGGGGGAAAAGGAAACCGTTTTTGGTGTGGTTGGTAGGTCAGACAGGTGGGAGATGGGCTCTTGATTATCGGCCTGTTCAGGAGATTCGAGCCGGGGCCTTTTGATGAGCTTTTGTTGGTTCATTTCGTTCATATTTGGCATTTGTATTTCATCAAAGAAGCGCTTCAGGTTGTAGTTGTTAGGGGGGTTGATGGAATTTCCGAGTTAGAGCAGTTGAGCATCGGAAGGTAAGAGCAGAGTCCAGATGCAGGGAAGCACAATGTTTGGAAGCCAAAGCGCTCCTTCCAACCCTCGATAGCCTTAGTCCAGCTTTTCTTTCTTTTCTCTTTCAGTTGACAAAACTGCTCCATCATTCAGTAGCTCTGAGAATGGGAAACGAGGGCTTAGGCCTGGAGGTTGAGTCCGGGGCTGTCAAATGAGAAAAACTGAGCCCCACCACTGTGCACTACTTACGAAATGACTGCTTTGTTTGATTAGATTTTGGTTGGCTTGAGGCTAATGTCACCAAAATTTGCAAAAAAACAAAAAAGCAAAAACATACAACAGTGAGGATTCGCTGGTGGTCACCCACCCAACTACTAACTCACCGGCGTGTGGCTTAAGTACGGCTGAGCGGACGGGAAGCCCTGTTTTCCACACCCTGTGGTCGTATGTACTCGCTTTTCACTCACGATGGAATCTATGGACACAAAATTGACAACCTTTCGGTCGGGCCTGTGGCCAATATTTGGTGACAACATTCAGAATCCACCTTCAATGTTTCCTGTACAGTATCAGCAACCTCAATGTGATCGAATGCTGATCATGATTTACCCTCCCAGGAGTGGTCCTGCAGTTGAATGAAGAAAATATTCCTTTGTGCATAGCACGGACTACACATCGTTTCTCACTCGACCGAAACCACACTTGTCTATATTGGGTTACCTTGGAAGTCATGTCTGCTTACTAGTGGGGGGCCTGGAGTGGGCAGATATCCCCCCACACTTCGACTCAGCGCGCAATTCCTGCGTCGCATTGAACTTCTTCATTCAAGTTCTGTCTGGGCGCTGAGTTATACCCCTTACCATGTCATCAACTTCCAAACCGACTATTGTCCTCGTGCATGGCGCATTCCACGGCTCGTGGTGCTGGAAATTCCAGATCCCCGCGCTGGAGGCTCTTGGCTTCGCGGTGGAGATGGTAGACCTCCCATGCGTCAGTGGGACACCGGGTACAACACAGTTTGACGACGCGGCCCACGTACGCTCCGTGGTGGAATCGCAGATCTCCATGGGTAAGCGCGTCGTGGTCCTAGCGCATTCCTACGGAGGACCGATTGCCAGCGCGGCCATCACAGGGCTATCTGGAAAAGACGTGCTTGGAATGATTGCCCTGTGTGCCTATATTTTTCCCGGAGGCATGGATCAGGGCGCGGCCATTCGTGATATTGGTGGCCTGCCCTACGTGACGTGGGATGCACCAAGTGAAGGCCTCTTTGTCACCAAAGATCCGGGCAGCTTGTTCTTCCCTCCCGACACGCCTGCGGACCAAATCAATTGGGCGGTGCCACAGCTTCGTCCTCAAAGCATGGCCGCCAACATGGGAATTGTGCCGCCTCAAGCCTGGGAAGACGACTCCTATACCGGAGGATTGGGGTATATAAGGTGCACAGATGATGCCATTGTGCCCATAGAACAGCAGGATGGCATGCTGGCGGGTGCAGGTGGCCAGAGCAAATGGGTAATTCGCACCCTGGAAGGATCCGGCCATAGCCCGTACCTCTCACGGCCTGAAGAGGTCGCGGCTGCAGTCAAGGGTATCGTCGACGAGTTTGAAAAGAGGCTCTGAAACCACGGCTGGCTGCATGTAACATCCATCAATCAACGACAATCTCCGGTGTATACCGGGTATAGCAAAACTGCTTTGGAAAGAAAATAAACAAAGGCAAAAACCTCAAATGCCGCATTCGTCATGATGCAGTCTATCATGAATATAAAGAAACTGCGTTAAAGATCCCCGGCAATAAGATTCCGGTACGCCTGGGTTGGGAGTTCGGATTCTCATCAAAGTGAGGTTGTTGAAAGCAATGGTGGAAGTTATCAAACATCCCGGAAGGTGTTGCCATTGTCTTGAGATTACTCCTAATGGAAACAGACGAAGGGCAAGAGCGAGGGAAAAGAGAGTACACAGTGCCCAGGTGCCGGGACCCAAAGATCACATGGCAGCTAGTGACTACTCGATATGAACTGCCCAGGTGTGTGATCGGGATGAATCAGCTTGGTATTAACGATATCTAGATAATCTCAGGCATATTTTGCATACATAGGTAGCAAAACGCTCTTGAATTGAAGGAAGAAGGCAGATGTCCCCGAGTTCACGTGGGCACCAGTGGGCGCCGGAAATCCGGCCCCACGGCGGGGCGGGACGAAGGACCCCTTCGATTGGCTCGGGCTCTCCATGGCCGTGAACCTTAGGCAAGGATTTGCATTCTTTTCATATCTCGACTAGAAAGTCGTAGAGATTCATTGTCTGCTCTTCTTCTCTCTCTTCTTCTCCCTCTTCTCCCTCGTCACATTTTTCTTCCACTTTCCGATTTTCTCAGCGGAGCATATTCGCAAAGATCTTTTCTGCCATGGATCCGTTTCAACGACTTCCCACCGAGCTCGTCCTCCAGATCATCGCAGATACGGCAGACTTCACAGGCGTGGAAAATTTGATATCGGTATCCCGAAAAGTCAGAGCAGTCTTCCAGTGCAATTCCAGAGAAATAATGCAAGCGCTTTCATCCTCGAACCCCATGACCTCACAGCCCGAGATCAAAAGACTCGTCTCAAACGCCGCTGTGATTTACAATCCCTCGATTCAATGCTCCAGCCTGGATGAGTATCGGAGGCTCACCGCGACAAATGACGAGCTTGATTCCGCACAACGGTTCCAGAGCCCAGAGGTAGCTTGTCGCATGCTCCACGTTGCTGCTCAAATCCAAGCACTAGCCTGTGCCTGCCTCACAAGGATGCGGGAAAATCTTGTTTCAGGTGTTGGATCATCACCTGCCCACGCACAGGGAGCAAGAAGGCCTTTCTCGTGGATTGAAGAATATCGAATATACTGGGCACTATGGCACATTCGGTGTTATTCCGAGCTCCGAAAGGCCGTGGGGATGCCACTTTTATCTCCGTGCACCACCGATGATTCCTTAATCGACCCAAGATGGAAATGGCCATATCATGAGATGCAAGCACTTAACGTGTATCACACCTTTGCCGATATCCTTATGTACAGGGTCGAGGCCATTTGGACAGTTGCAGTTGTGCTAGACGATTTGGGGGTTTGCTCACCGTTGATGTCTCATGGAGTGATACAACCGGAACATCGATCCACTATCTCGTGGGAACTACCCCCGAATGTACCTCTCCCATCCTTCTCTTCTTTCAAACTTCCTCGAAGAGTTGAGACTAAGTTTTCAACCTGGAGCCCGCCACAACCCCCAACCTCCAACCCGGCTACAAAAATATGGCATTTGACTCCAGATCATTGCACAGCCACATCACCACAGACAGGTCTTTTTCGATCACTGCACCGTCGATTTATGCGACCAGGATCCAGAGCATACCAACTTGGAATCAATAATATTTCGCTCTATCGACTATCCGGTGTGCTTATTTGGGATACTTGGCGACTGTTCACCTGTGGGTTATATTGCCAGACTAGACGGGAGAGATTGGAAACGCCAGATGGGGGGTTTCTCGAGCCCGAGCCCGTATTTGGCTTCGACAATCCGCACCCATGGGAGGGGTCCTATGCTCAAAAATGGTTGCAATTGGGGGGCGCGAAGGAATAGGTTGCTCCAAGTCAGATCTCAGACATGCTATGTCGGAAGTTGTTGGTGTATTCCAAGTTGTTGATTCCAAGGTCTCTCCTACTAGACATCATTCTTTCTCAGCACTTGATTCTTTGTAACCTGAATACCTAGTAGCATTCCTACCAGATTATTGAACAGTTCCAAGGCTTGACCTGGATGATATTGGCTAACAAGCTTGGAAACCAATGGAACAAGACTTTTTAAATATCTCAAGGTCCATCGCTAGTGCCCAGGTGGTCAAACCACCACCGGCCGACGGTTGGGGTTGATTCAACTACCAATTATACGCATAGGGGCGGATGATAAACTTCTACATCAATATTATGGATTGAAGCTAAATGGAACATACCTTCCTGTGCTTGATAGACTTCTCAACGGACAAAGCGAGGAACAGAAATTGCAACTAGCCGTGACGTTTCGACCCTACCTGAACGCCCACCCACACGCAAGCGTGCTAATCTTCTGTTTAATGAGATAAGACGTTGAGAGTATAGGCAGAAGGTATGACTATGCGATCCCACTGAAGGAACTGGCCCTGGCTTCTGTCTTGGCCAGACCCGGCTACAGTAATGACATTCCGAAACCGATCGAGTCTATTACCTACCTAGGTAGTAATCATTCAACGTGGGGTTGCGGGTGGGAGACTCCGGGCATACCTTTAGCGGAGTGGGAGGGTCCGACGAATAAATTCAAATTATGGTCGTTTACTAATCCGTCTTTGCATACGTCCATAGCTACTAGTAGGTGGGATCCGGTAGGTGGGATCCCGATACGTGGTGGGAGCTCCGGTCAATTCGCCTGCGAGATTTGTCAAATATTAAAATTTCACTCTGATGTCACCGCTATAATGATGTACACAATGGAATCTTTCGACGTCGATATCAAACTGCATTGGTAAGCATAGACTCCATAAGTATTTTCCCTTTCTATATTTAAAGCTAGCGGGTGGCCTCCCTGAAGAGCAGATCACAACGAACGCATTCCCAGGAAGAAAAGGAAAAGAATACTACCACCATGTCTATTCCCCAATCCTGCAAAGCCTTTAGGCGAACCGCCGACAACTCCTCCGTCGAAATGGTGGAGGAAAAGATTTCCCCTCCCCAACCCTCGCAGGTTCTCATCCGCATCCACGCCGTCTCCCTCAATTACCGAGATGTCGCCATGCTCAACGGAACATACCCAGTCCCTATCATAGACCGCGGAATTCCGGCCTCGGACTGTGCGGCAGAGGTTGTTATGGTTGGTTCTGAAGTGAAGGACTTCCAGCCCGGAGATCGTGTTACGGTGATTTTCGACCTGAACAACATCACGGGTACCGAGAAAGAGTTGAAGTTACTTGCTTCTGATGTGGATGGTGTTCTAAGGCAATATGCCGTGTTTGATCAGAGTGTCTTGGTTCATTTGCCTAAACATCTCTCCTGGGAGGAGGTTCGTTGGCCTTTTCTTTCGATTTCTGGAACGTTTCAGGAGTAGTTCTCCAAGGTGTGTGTGCTAACAACTGCTTGTCTACGTCCCAGGCCGCCTGTATCACCTGCGCCGGACCAACTGCATGGCTCGCAATGAACATGCCGCGAACTAGCGGTGTCGCGTTGCTACATGGTACACTTTCACCCATGTTCCAGTCGGCGCTAGGGCATCCACCGCTAACCACAGTACCCAGGAACCGGTGGAGTCAGCATGTTTGCACTCCTCATCTGCCTGGCAGCAGGCATCAGGCCCATCATCACATCGTCATCCGACGCAAAGCTCTCAACCGTGCAGGCTCTCGGCAAATCCGGACTCGTGCAGACCATCAACTACAAGACTCATTCCAACTGGGGAGAAAAGGCGCGCGAGCTCACTGGTGGACAAGGCGTTGATGTTGTGGTTGACAATGTTGGTCCGACCGCTATTGTTCAAAACCTTCTTGCTATTGCACGACGGGGCGTCGTTTCTCTCGTGGGCTTTCTGGGCGGATTCAAAGTTGATGAGCACCCTGATGTTCTTGGTCCGGTGCTTTTGAAGAATGCGGTTATAAGGTTTGTTTCTCATTTCGGAAAGATTCTCGAGAGTGGCCTTCTGAGTGCTAATATGTCGTTCTCAGGGGAATTACCCCGGGCTCAAAGGTTGACCTGCAGAACGTGTGCAAGTTCCTGGAGGAGAAGGAAGTACAGCTGAAGCCTTTGATGGATGATAAGATCTTCTCTTTTGAGAATTCGAAGGCTGCACTTGACTATCTATACGCTGCTAAGCATATGGGCAAGGTGGTTATCAGGATCTAAATTGTGTACACAAAAGCTACCGGCAAATGCTAGCCTAGGAGTTGGTTCGCCGGACACAATGGAAATCCGGAACTAAACATCGCGCTGTGCGGTAAAATACTTATTTCCTATCGAACTACTACTGGAATCAGCCAGCAGTATCTTATAATACTCTCTCGACGAAAGACGGAAGCTTCCACAAACAACACATCATTGTCGTGCAATCAGTCTTCTCGACTCATAGACACCAACGTTAAAGTACTCCTACACCCATTCACCCCAACATGCATGGATCAGTCCCCGCGAAATCATCAAACTCCCCCTTGGTAATCGGAGTAACACACCCCTCTATGAAACTGACTCCCTCCCGCACACAGACAATCTTATCCTTAAAACAAACACTCGAACTCGAGTACCGCCCATGCTTGGAATTCATATTTTGCAAGCCTCGTAAATATCACTTTGAAGTTAACCTGTTCATCGCTCAACGCTTGGACCGCCCCGCGCGCTCGATCCAGCCACTCACCCCCCCATATATACCCTGTGGCCCATCCGGTCGAATCTATGCGTCCTTCACACGGAATATTTTGATTCAAGAGTAGTGGATGTTATTCCATGAGAGGTATCCCTGGCTTTGGAGGACGAAGTGACTGGGATCGTAGCAGATGCACGCGCGCGGGTGGTTGTTGACTTCGGCTAGGAAGCAATTGAAGGAGACTCCGTCATGGAGCTCTTGACCCGGATGAATCTTAAAGTAGAGATCTACGTCGCACTTATTAAACAGTTCGAGGATGAGTTTCCAGCGTGCGCCGAGTGCCTTAATGCTGACTTGATGAGATCCGCTGGGCGCCATGGCCACGGGTAGAGATATCGCCATGCCAGCGCGCCGGAGAAGGTCTCGTGGGCTGTTAGTTCGAGATTATTTGATGCTTTTGCTGCGAGGTATAGGAAATCCGTTGCCCACTCCTGTCTCTCCTTTGGGTGATTGCGTACGTGCTCCGGCACGAACCTGTTACAGAGCGTATTATATGCCAGTTGCATGGTGACCAGTGGGCTGTGGAGATGCGAGGAGAGTTCAGTAAACTAAATATTGAGTTGGTACTTTTGTGGATAACCACCAGCGAATCCTCACTGTTGTACGTTTTTGCTTTTTCGTTTTTTTGCTCAGGTAGTTGAATGACCCGGAGAACATTGCAATTAATGAACAATGAATTATCTCAAAGTCCCTGGATCGCCATACCAAAATTGTGGGATATCAACTCTTCTTTGGGGTGGCACCTTGGCGATACTATGCTCCAAGCTTACATTGGTCGAGGCTGGCGAAAGGAGAGGAAGAGAGAAACAATGTTATCAGACATAGCTGTAGGAAAATGATGGAGTGAATCAGGAGCTATTCACAGTGCAAAGCATCTTTCGATACTATCAGCATTGTTCCCCCACCAATGCACCATCTTCACCCCCGTCGTTCCCAAGAAAATGAAAATGAACAGCAGATTAGCGTTAAATCCCGTATCCAGTGCCGCTCCACTGATGTACGCCCACTTATTCCAAAACACTCGTCTATATCGGTAGAGATAGAAATTGGTAAAAGTGCCAACCAGGAAGGTCGTGAATGGCCCGGTACTCAAGTTTCCATAAAACACCGCAGCCGACGCGAAGAAGATAGTCGTGTTCCAGAGGTCAAAACGCGCGCGGGGAAACTTTTTGTGCAAAAGCCAGATCACACAGGGCGCAAGTGCGCCAGCGAGGAAGCCCCAAAGAATAGGCCTGAAGAAGGCCGATGCAAAGAGCTTGCGAGGGCCCACGAGCGCGAACTGGATCCCCGCTGTGTTGTACGATTTGAATTCTTGGCCTGTCCACTGGCCTAGCGGGTCTTTCTTCTTGCCACTCACATAGTCAAACTTGCTCGCGATGACCCAGCGCATGACGCCGTAATTTATCGGAAGAGCGAAGAGGTTGGCTAAGATTTGAATTCCGATGACTTGGCGGGGAGGTAGGTGAAGGTAATGGCCAATCTGGTATTGGTGAGTCTTATAATTGGTCGAGTTAAAGAAGAGATTCGAACCTTTTGATCTTCTAAAACAATTCTCGCATCGTACCATACGTTGCCAGAGATGATCCGGTAGGCAAGTTGACCTAAAGGGTGCCGCGAAGAGCCCTTCGCTTCAATCATATCTGATAACATCGGATTGTCAGCTCAACGTTACACGAAAAGAAAGACAGCCACATTCTACTCACATCCATAGACAAGCTCGTTGAAGAATCCGACCTTGACCGAAAAGCCGGACAATGCATACACAAAGCTCATTGGTAGCATTGCCGCAGCGCCGAAGCCTAGCGCGATGAAGTATGTCCAGATGGGCATATAAATTGTCTTCGAGACGACTATTCCAAGAAGCATGAAGAAAGGTATGAGAGTGAGAACACCCCATTCCCTGTCGTGCATGTTAGTTAAGAACTCTCGTCGACTGAAGATGGGACAATCGTACCATTTTGTCAGTCCTGGATATTTTTCGATGATTTTACTAGCATATGTCGTTAAAACCCATTGTCATAATATATCAGGACACTAGATACCTCAGTTTGTCTTGGTGATAGGCGGCAGATTGCTTTCGAGCTTTCCACAACTTGTGGATCTTGGGACCGAAGAACAGAGCACACCATACGTAAGAAGACATATACGAAGCGACCCACTGTAAAGGTGTTAGAAAATGATCAAATCTAAGAAAATACCAGCTTGGATTTCATACCATGAAGATCTGCCAGGTATATTGAGCACCTGAGTAGGCAAGGCCTACTTCGTCATACTTGGTTCCGTTGACATGTTGCATACCGTTCGAATCGACATAGACTTGAAGATATTAGCATACTTCTCCCCAAATGCGACAGAATTGGTTACACACTGAGGTCATTTAAGGGGTACACCGATCCATTCTTTTGAAAGACTTGATTGGACATGATGTCATATGTTGGCGAGCCCCAAAGCTTCCCAAAATAGGCAATGGGGATAAGAATCCAGCACTAGAGGATGTTAGAATCTGCTGTGTTAATCAACGCTTTGAATTCACTCACGGTCATGACGAAAGTAACAAATATAATAACCTGCACGCTGTACGGGTATGTGATAACTGTTGAGGTGATGTTGGACCAGTCGAGAGTTATGTTCAGCAACCCCATACCACCACGACCAGCTCCAATAAAGTTGACATTGTGGTTGTGGCTAGCAAACCAGCATAGCGGAGCAAGTGATGCCACAAATGGGAAGAGATATTCTGGCAAGAACTGCCAGACAAATGTACCTAGAACCAATATCCAAAACACCTGAGAGGGTCGGTCAGCCAAACACACATACAGAAACTAAAGACAGGAATTACACACCTTCATTTGTTCACGAGCTCTTTTGTGATCCGACTTGCTCTTGCCCTCCATGCTTCGATAGAGCGCCACTTGCTGCAAGGAAAGGGGAAATATGAATTCTGGGTCCTCAACCAGAAGTGGCCGCACTAAAAATTTCAAATGAGCCGAGTGTCTGCACAAATCCATGAAAATACATACCCATTGCAGCAAAGGCAAATCCTAGCAAGGACGCACCCTGGTTCCAGTGAGTATAAGACTTTAGTCGTGAAATCGTCGGAGCTTACCCATCCGAAGAATAAAGCAACAGCCGGATTCATTGTGATATCATAGTACAAAGCAGCGTTTGTCGGAAGGAAAGCTTAGAAAATTAGTTTGACTCGCATAAACAAGTGAAGTACTTACTGGCCCATTGACCTTGACTTCCCGCATTGGCGGCAAGGCCAACAATTGCGTGCTCTTTAGTCGACCATGGCCCTGGGTTCAAAGAAAATGAGTATTTGCCCAATGGTATCCTGTAATCCGGCAAAACTCGTGCAAGAAAGCGACCAAGGGGATCGGATGCCAAGATCACAAAGAACACTGGAAATGGCGCATATGTTGTACGAAAGCTGGATCCGTATAAGTCACAAAGATCGCTTGCTCAATTCCCGTGGTCAAGACTTACTATGATAACTGTGAGACGACGCTTCCGATGGCGCAAAATATCGCTGACAGGAGAATCGAGCGGAATGTTATGACTGGAAGCGAGGGATCGTCCTCGAAGCCAACGACCGTCCGCACTAACTCCGGGATATTCTTGAACTCGGCGGACTCAAAGTCATATTTTGACTCGTTGGAAGAGTCGATCTCTTTGTTTTCAATCGAGCTCAAATCTTTCACTTCTGCTGGCTGCACCTTTTCGACGGAAGAATCCTCCCGTGGTCCTTGCCAGCTATTCATGGTTGAAGATGCCGGCAACAAAGATACGGCGTTGAGCCTTCCATACTTATACTATATGAACGTTGATGTCCCAATCGGCCTAAGTGAGGATTGTGCAATGCTTGGCGCATATGAGGCCGTCTGACAGTCGAAGATAACGGACCTTTCTTTCAAGCGAGGAGGGGGACTCAATTCAATTCGGTGCGCATCGGCTTTGCTACCGATGCGTCTTCAAATCAGGAAAGGTGTGTCATTCCGGATACCGCAGATATTTGTAACGGCACAAATGAATTCGTAAGACAAGCTGTTGTTGAGAAAGGGATTAGAGTATTGCGCAATCACCGGGCTATTTTGTTACATCGAAGATAGCTCATTAACATTGTGTGCAGCTAGTCAACACTAAAAGAGATCGGAAAATGACCGGTGTTCTGACCGGGGTCACAGCTCATGGGGACCAGAAATTAGCTCATGGGGACCACGAATTAGCTCATGGGGACCAGGAATCTATATTATATAACCTGAATTTTTGAATTCAAATTTCATATCAATTTGCCAGGCCTCTGGTATTTGATTCTATTCCAATCACCTAATTCCAACACTATCCGACTGACCACCTGACGCACCGCTTACCTACTAGTAACCGCCTGCCTCTTTCCTGGTTTTTCTGCTGGTCGAAACTTCGACTAATTTCATTCAATTAAAATAGTATAATTCTCAGGCTTTTTGGTAGGTTTTGATAGTATTTTGTATCTAGAAATAAATATTCTTGGACAATTCTAGAGTCTTAGAATATTTCTAGCTAGCTTAAGCTTTCTTTGATTTTAAAATGATGTAAAAATCGAGGGGAAAAAATACATTTGAATCTGAATTGTGGTTACTTCCAAGGTTCTACCAAACATATATCTTGAGAACTACATACGAAATATAATTTCGAAAGTTTCTGAATTAGCCTTTCTCCTTATTTCAAGTTGAAATTAATAAAACATTGATCTTTCAAACCAAATTTCTTTTGTTCGAATTGCAAAAAATGTAGTATTAATTAGACTACATACAAATTGTCATGGTTGAAAGAGACATGGAGAATAGATCCGAAGTGGGTGGTTCAACTTTCATTATTCCGACCGGATGATATCACGTGATATGATATGATTCCTGGTCCCCACATGGGCATGAGCTGGAACCCGAGCTGGAACCTTGGAACCCGTACTGACCTCGGGCTCCACCTCACATGATTACCAATCTATCCGTGTGCCCAGGTGGGGTCCAATATGTATGTGGTGATTAGCCGAAGACCACCACTTCAACCTCTCACGATCACCGACTTTGATTCGAATTCGAAAACAGTTGGCCCAATATCTTTCATCATGGCCTCGAAATCCGTGGCTGTCATTGCGGGTGTTGGTCCGGGAACGGTAAGCCGATCTTAGGTGTCAGAACTCATGAGTCTGTTTTGCCACGCTGGATCGTGCTGATTTGAACATCCAGGGCGCAGCGATTGCAAAGAAGTTTGCGAAATTATACAACGTCGCCCTTCTTGCGAGAAACCCCGAGAATTACAGTCCTTTAGTCGATGAGATTAATCGTCAGGGCGGTGGGGCGATCGGCATCTGTACTGATGTGTCCAATGCGCCCAGTGTCCGTCACGCGTTCGAGGAAATCGCTAAGAAATTCGGAGGTGCCTCCATTGCCGCCGCCGTGTATAATGTGGGTGGTACATTCATTCGGAAGCCTTTCCTGGACTTGAGTGAAGAGGATTATGTGTCTGGTTTTTCGGCAAATGGGTAAGTCCGGACGGCTCGAAGTGTGATTCCATATTAAAGCTTCATCTAGTCAGGGAGCTTTTCTGTTCTCACAGGCTGTTATCCCATTGCTTCTCAAATCTGTCAAAGCTCAAGTGGATCATCCTCCTACTTTGATATTTACAGGTACGTCGATGTAGCATTATGCCCTGCGGGATGAAGTTATAACCCATACGCTATAACGTCAACCTGAAGGAACAACACATTTATCGCTACTATCACCTTGCTCACCGACGTATTCTAACTTATCTATTCTAGGAGCAACTGCAAGTATCAAAGGTTCAGCGTATTGCGCATCCTTTGCGTCGGGTAAATTCGCTCTCCGTGCACTTTCACAGTCGTTGGCCCGCGAGTTCGGGCCCCAAGGGGTGCATGTATCGCATGTGATTATTGACGGTGTCATTGACATTGATCGTACCAAGCACTATGCTATCAGCGAACCAGATGGGAAGATTGATACGGAGTCTGTGAGTGTGCAACCTTTCTCATGTCAACCTCACACTGGTATTATCTTATAACTGACAGCGAGAACACAGATCGCCAATCAGTATTGGAATCTGCATATTCAGCCGAGGACGGCATTTACGCATGAGTTGGATATCAGGCCCTACCTGGAGAAGTGGTAGGAGATCTGCCCATGCAATGCTTGGTGCTGCTGCCATAGTGAGCTTTTCGCAAGTCTAGGTTTACTTCGTGGTCCTCACCAGTAAAATATATGACTCCCATTGCATTGACTAAGAAGTACGGATTATGTGTTAACCTGTAGTAAGCGTGAGTCTGCAAAGATGATGACATTGTAGCTATGGGGTTTATCCAAATCAGGTTCAACTTATTGTGGCATTCCTTAGCGGGATAGGAATTCCAAGGCCCTGGGACTATGAAGTCACTAGTTTTGTTGAAGAAAATAGTATGAGCTTAGTCTAAGGGTAGCAGTCATATGAAATAACCCCAAGGTTCTTAGTCCGCGGAGAAAAAACAGACTCACCACCTAGCCAATCCAATCCATCTGCAAAGTGATGAAATTTTAGTTATCACCTAGCCAATTCAACAAAGTCGTGCGTGTTGGAAAATTCAAACTAATAATTTTCGATGAGATCATCACTCAGTATCTCTTTTTCCGATAGTCGGGAAAGTTGATAATCTAACAGTAAGGAAAAACTCATGTCTTTATCGACCTTGGGGGTACGTGGTGCTCACTCCGCATCGTGCTCATTGACAAGCACGTACCTGTATCTAGCTTTTCCAGCCTCCATGTCCAGTATAGCCTGATTGGCATTTTTCATCGGAATTTCTTCAACCCAAGACTTAACATTCTTCTTGACGGCTACTTCGAGCATCTCCCGTATCTCGCCAGGGCCACCCATCAAAGAACCAGTGATTTTAATTCTCCGGAAAATCAAAGACCCAGCAGGTACTGCCAAATTACCGTTGTCCGGAATGCCGAGTTGAACAAAAGTCCCGTCGGTCTTGAGAAGGGAGAGATAATCGGCAAGAGGCATCTGTGATGGTTAACAGCTGCATCCCGTTGAATCGTCAAAAAGAATTATCGTACCTTAGCAGACGAGACAGTTGAGATGATAAGATCGAGAGACTGCAAGTTGGATTTGGCCCAGTTTGGATCTTCAGCCGTAGCGAGATAGGTATCGGCACCAAGTTTGAAGGCATCTGCCCTTTTATCGGACTTGCGTGACATAGCAACGACACGGTCAGCTCCAAGAGCTTTCGCGAACATGATAGCATAGTGACCAAGACCACCAACACCAATAACTCCCACCTTTTTGCCCGGGCCACATCCATTGTGGCGCAGTGGGGAATAGGTGGTTATTCCAGCACATAGCATTGGAGCGGCCTGCGCGGAGGGGATAGAGTCAGGAATTTTGATGACAAAATGAGACGGTGCACGATGGTAGAGACCATAGCCACCGTATGATTTAGACCCGTTCCAATGCACCGCATTGTAGGTTAGGCCCAGAAGATGGGGGCAGTATGTTTCGAGGCCGGCCGAACATTCCTCGCAGCGACCATTTCGGCTCAAGCAAGAGTCATTCTGGGCACCCACGCCCACCCGATCATTTAGTTTGATCCCATTCTCAACCTCTGATCCGACGCGAACTGCGAGTCCTACAATTTCATGTCCGACACAACAAGGATATTTGGTAGGTCCCTAAGGAAGTCAGCAACATAGATATGGTCTTTTGCACATTGAGATTTACCCATCCACTCCTCAGAGTATGTATATCGGTTCCGCAGATACCGCAGTGCGTGATTTTAATATCAACGTCGGTCTCTTCCCAGGTCTTTGGTTCAAATTCCTGCCAGACCATGTTGCCCTCGCCGGATTCGGCATCGATGCCCATCCATCCCTCAAACTTGTAATTGTTGGCCATTGTGTGAAAAATAGTATAAATTTGACGAATTTGCTGATATGCGATTGCGATGATGAATGTAATTGATAGGAAACGACGAGGGTTCTTTTAGAAATATATATTCGCTACAACTTGAAGGGCAACCGTGGTAAATTGTTCGTATTTCAGGTTTAATGGAGTTACCGGTGAAAGCTTTAGAGACAATGAGCGTCCACCAACTTTCCATCTTCCAGTGGTACCTAAGACCTCATCCACCAGAGGCGGTACTGGTGAGGTTTGATTCATAATAGGATGTATGATTAATCAGACCCGGTCATTCAATGCGGGTCAGTCAGTCTTTCTAAGACCAAATTTCCAGCTTGCCAATACACGAGCGTCGTGTTCATCTGATATTCCAAGATTGTTACAACGTATTAGATAATAATCAGGTAGCAATCTTGGAAGATATTTAAGATTAGACAAGATAAACCAGATATTAATAGAGGTCAAAACAAACATAACTTCCATGTCAACTCCTGCTCCGCGTGTTACCGTAGTACATAGTATGAAGTTGTCAAACTCGAGTACAGACTGGTAAGCAACTGCATATCGGGGAAAATGCAGAATTACCGGAGCGCAACCTTGGAATGGTATTGGAGCCCCACCGGAATGCTAGTACCGTTACGGTAGTACTCGGAAACTTTTCTAAACCCTCCAGGGCTGGAAATGGAGATTATGAAATTTGAATGGTGGGGCCCCCGAAGATGTTGAGTGGCAATGCTGAGTTCTGTACTTTGTTGATTTGTCAACAGACATCATTCTGACTCTGTGTGGGGCTACAGGCGTGACTGATGCGCTAACTTTGAATCGCTAGAGACATTAGACATCAGTTCGGAGACATTCGCAGCTGGTAATTATGTAATCTGTGTCTGCGCCCGCGGGCAGAGAAAACAAGGCACTGGGCTACCTAGGTATGTTTCAATATGCTGATATACTCATCAAAAAATACCCCGGGCCTTGATGAAGTGGGGCCTGGAGAGTACGAACCTTGAAGACATTTGTGATGACAAATTTGAAGATAGTTCTAAGTTTTCAAGGGTTCCAACCTTCGAAGGTCTTCAATTCCTCGTGTAATGATGTGTATATAAGTGGCTTCCAAGGTTGAACATATATGCTTTTTTTAATTTCAGCAATCCAAATTCCGTTTGATTTCTTGACTTCAAGTCCCAAATTCGTTTTTCAGTTGAATCATTACTTCTCTTCGGCACAACATGGCCGTCTTGACACCTTTGCGCGCTGATCTCTTCAACGCTCCTGCCATTCCCGTCAATGCAACCTTGCCCGATGGCTCGGTCGGTCTATGGCAACCTACTGTGGTGACACTCATCTCTGGAAAGTCGGAGGCCGTGCTTGTTGACACTTTATTCACCCACGAGCAAGGTGTGTCTTTGGGAAAGTGGCTCCAAGAGACTCTCAACGGGAAACGGCTTGCGACCATCTATATCACCCATGGTCATGGCGATCACTGGTTCAATCTCAAATATCTCACCCAGCTCTTTCCTGGTGTAGAGATTGTTTCGACGCAAAGCTCCATTGACCACATGGCCACACAAATTGCCCCGGGCTTCAAAGCCTTCTGGAATGACCTGTTCCCAGGCCAGATCGACGCGGATTCATTTGAAATCTTGGCCAAGCCTTTAAAGAACAACAAGTTCACCCTTGAGGGCCATGAATTCGAAGCTATTGATGTTGGACACTCGGACACAGATGAAACAACTTTCTTACACGTGCCCTCTCTGGGCATGATCGTTGCGGGGGATATAGTGTATAATGATGTACACATGTGGATGACCGAGTCACCAGAGCAGTCTCAACGTGATGCGTGGCTTCAATCCCTGCGTGTGCTTGAAGAGCGGAGTCCAGCTGTCGTTATCGCTTCTCATCACCGGCCTGGAGCAGTTGATGGGCCATGGAACATTCGTGCTTCTATGGATTACATCAAGACATTCAGTCGTCTCGTACAAGAGTCAAACAGCGCGAAAGAGCTTTACGACAAGGTTCTGCGTGCCTACCCTCATAGGATCGGAACTTTGGTTCTCTGGCTGGGATGCAAGGCTGTATTTTCGGACAACATTGGCGTTTAAAAGTCACCGTGTATTTCCATGGATAACGGGACACGATGTTCCGTTATCGATGGATATTATGCCATTGGACCTAGTGTTTAGCACATCTGGGTGCATGCTTCCAACAGGCAGCTAGTCGACTTTCTGTTCCAAGGTTGTGAACACCTGGTCGGGTAACCATGGTTTCCTATACCTCACTGTCTTCCTCTCTTTAGTGAGTGGTTTATTCAATGCATCTACTATTTTTGACGTACTATTGACTACTTTGAAGATATATGAGCCTGATTGCACTAAATGTTTGACGAATTGGTAGCCTAGATCTGCCTCCTTAGTGCTGCGCATCATATGGGGGCTGTGATATGGAAATAAGTAACCCACCGGCCTCCTTGCCACGTAAATGGACTTTGCATAAGTTTGCAAGAATAAAAAACTAATGAAGAGGTTTGGGGAGGCAAATTTGTGGGTGTGGATATGTGTGATACTGCAGCTTGCGCAAAATTATCCCACTGTTCTGGATCAAAATGGATGGAGTGCTCTACTGCGTAAAGTGGCATTTTTTAAAAAAAGAAAAGAAAAGGAAAGGAAAGGAAAGGAAAGGAAAGGAAAGGAAAGGGAAGGGAAGGGAAGGGAAGGGAAGGGAAGGGAAGGGAAGGGAATGAAAAGATGTATGAAGTGTTGGAAAGGAATGAAAGGTTTGAAATCGTTATGAAGAAAAAGTACATTCCTTGCGCTCCGTCGGAAGCATTCATCGTTTCCCACTCCGTATGTACTCCGTATAGTCCGAACATTACAAAGAAACACTATCTCAAGACTTGGGAATGTCGAGAATTGCACGTTGTGGTCCCAATATTGAACTGGCTTCTACGGAGTAGTGTTATCCAATAATCCTTTAGGGAGTGTTATTACTGAAAATGCCTCATAGTCTAGCAACATCCCAGATAAATTCTGTTGATCAATCGATTCGTTGGGTTTATCTGGCTCATACTTTCCCGAGACAGTACGGGGAAAGTGGGAAATATTCATATTTGCCCTGCCCAGGTGACCCTCAGGGGTTATCCATCATCATTCAAAGGAACTCCCGAGTCTAACCGCTCCGATGTGTCATGTAATAACCTAAGTAAAACATATGTATATTTAGCGACGATACCGGAAGATTGATATCCTGAGACACTTGTTACAAGCCTACGTGTACCTTGTGTTGGATTAAGGAGAAAGTGGGAGACTGTAGATGGGTGCAGTGCCCGAAGAGGTGTCTCGGGATATGGAGAAGGAAACGTACGGATCATTGCGCGAGCGAATATCTTACACATGAGAGAAACCTGTCTCTGCTGTGCGCGATGAGCTGACCACATTCCTTGAATGTGGTAAATTAGGAGAACATATCGATGATCGAGCTAAGAGGCTGTACATGAACACCACGGTAGCTGAGATAGTTTTCTCTGTCTTCCACGAATCCCACAAACCATCAATTTGAGTTTGAAGAAAGAGCAGCAGGGAATTCTGTCAGACGCTCTTTTGACTACCCCCGTCCGCATTATTATCCTACCTTACCTATGTACAGTAGGTACTCCGTACACGCTATTGAATGAACGTCCTTACGTGGCCCACCGGGGCTTTGTAGCCTGTACGCTGTATTACATCGTCCATACTATCTGTTATAGAAATTATTACCGACCTGTTACGTCCCCGTCGCCCACTGGGCTCCGCAATACTACAAACCTTGGAACCACACTTGAATTTGTAATCTGAATAACAAATCCAATGCTCGCCCACACCGAAAGTCTCCGGGTGGGAGGCCCCACAGTTCCGGGTGAATTTGTGGCCCGAAATGACAAATTCAGTGCTCGCTCTAGGGTTACGCCAAGAGTATTTTGGGTGGCAAGCCCCACATAGCCAGTTGTTCATCTGGTGGAAGTTCGTGATCGGAATCGACAAATCTACTAATATGGACCTACGTTGAGAGTTTTCGGTGTGGTCCACCACCTGGGCAAGCCCTCCGATTACAAATTGTTTTTTCGAACCAGTACCTAAATACAACCTCGGCGTTATTGACTCCCGGTGCTTAGTATAAGTCTGCACTTCAACCCACTCAAAAGAACTTACTATAATTACAATATCTACTCAATTTTTGCTCACTGCCTCATTCAAACAGCGCCAAAATGAAGTCGGCCTTCTTTGATAAGAACCTCAAGGTTGAAATCCGCGACATCCCGGCACCTGTTCCCGAACCAGGGCAGGTTCTCATTCGCACTGTTATTTCTGGTACAAACCCGAAAGACTGGAAATATCCTAAGCACTGGGGTCCGGAATCGGAGCCGAGCAACCACGGAGACGATATCGCTGGATATGTGGAATCTGTCGGCGAAGGTGTCGTAGGATTCCGCAAGGGCGATAGAGTGGCCGCGTTCCACCAAATGTGGACTCCATACGGCAGCTACGCAGAATACTCGATTGCCTGGGCTAAATCGGCCTTCCATCTGCCAGCCAACGTCTCATTTGAAGGTTAGTCATGAGCCTTTTGCCGGACTCAACAATAACAAACGTTGTCTGACCAAAATTTGTAGAAGCTGCAACGGTCCCGCTCGCTGCAATGACCGCCTCCCTGGCTTTATACCAAAAGCTCAACATGCCCCTACCGTGGAATCGAGCAACCGACCGCTTGCCACTGGTTGTTTATGGTGGATCCACGGCTGTTGGATCATATGCCATCAAGCTGGCTCGTCTTTCGAACATCCATCCCATCATTGCAGTTGCTGGGAATGGCTCCCCTTACGTCGAAACCCTACTGGATAAATCCAAAGGTGATGTTGTTATCGACTACCGGAAGGGTCGAGATCACATTGTTGAAGAGGTGCGCAAGGTTGGAGGTAGTGATGTCACTCACGCAGTTGATTCGGTGTCCGAGCATGGCAGCATTACAACCCTTGGCAAGGCTCTGGGCAAAGGTGGCAAGATTGCCACTGTTCTGACACCCGAAATGGCACTTACAGGATCTGAAGATCCCGGAAAGAGTGAAATTCTGTTCACCATGGTGGGAACCGTTCACCAAGAAGTACCCGCTGATGCTGCACTCGACGACCGTCAATTTGGCGCTATCTTCTTCCCATTCCTGGGACAGGGCCTCGCAGAGGGCTGGTTTAAGGGACATCCTTATGAAGTGGTTTCAGGTGGACTGGATGGACTTCAAAATGTGCTCGAAGTGCTTGAGCAAGGCAAAATTTCGGCCAAGAAGTTGGTGCTCAGAATAGACGAGACAAACGGAGTGAGCAGCGCTTAGATCAGATGATATCAACAGTGGCTGTTGGAAAGCTGGTGAGGGATTTCTGTGAGTTAAGATTGTGTAGTGACCGGGAGTCATGCCCTAGGGCACATGACCCCGGGTTTTTGTCTCACTCTCAGTCTGCTCTTACATAGTTTTCTTGCTTCCTCAGATTAGTGAATCAAGTCTTCTCTCCCTCTTTTCCCTTTCTTTCTCTCTCTCTTTCCTAGAGAATCAATCCTTTTCCGTCTCTCTCTGGCTCTCTTAGTAGTCAGATCAGGTTCTGAGCCCTCGTTGCGTTCTTTCCTAAAGCCATTTCTTTTGAAGCCTTCCGCCCACCCCCCCAGTCTGAGCCCCCGCAGCAGCACCCCACCAACTGAGCCTCCGGGTACCCCACCAACCGAGCCCCCGCGACATCATCAATCAACTGAGCCCCCGTGGCATCATCATTATTCATCGGCCCTTTGTGGCATCATTCAATCAACACCCCATAGCACTATCAAACAACATCCTACCACACCAAGACATCGAATACCTAGGATCAAGTGTTACGAACCGGTTCCGGGCAAACGTGTTTCTAACCAGGATGGCTACGGACCACGAGTCGAGACTCCGATTTGAGCCGAACTCAGTGTTTCCGGGCCGGTTACGGGTCGAACGTGCTGCGGACCAACAGGGTTGAACGGACCAAGTGAGAAGAACCAGTGGTCAACGGACTAAGAATCAAGGATACGGTCTTGTTGGGAAGCGGGGAGCTATCTGGATGATAGTTATCTGGGATTTTACATTTGAAGGAACTGTCTGGTCGAAGATACACTCACAGTCATCTGGTTCGGAAGAACTATCTGGTCGAGGATAGACCCAGAGTTGCTTAGTTTTCATTAAAAAAGGGGTTTTCTGCTTTGAGAGAATGTCGAGCTTGGGGGGGTGCGTTGTGAACACCTGGCCAGGTTTATATTTCATGGCAGCAAAGTCGTCCTCAGGCTTATCATGGTTCCTCGGAAATAGTCCCCCTTCATCTTCCCAATCTCACTTTTTGGTTTTGAGACTACGATGAATGTCTGCCTTTGTTATACTGTAGATCTGTGGCTCGGAGGCCACATTGAATACCTTATTGATAGGCATGGTAACAGATACTATGAGTGAATTCATCTACATACTGATAGGTGTCTTCGAGTATTTTTAGTACAGCCCAAGTAGGACAGCTGACAGACTCTAAATTACAATTCACTCGCAAATTTACTCCTTGCGCGGATTCTTGGACCATAAAGTACCAAGACCCAAGGCACAGTCGTCAAGAAAATCCCCTGTTTCAAATTAGCTCGCAAGGAAGGCACTGAAGAGAGAAAACGCTTACAATTCCACCTAAGAGACTCGAAGCCGCGGGATAACCGAGATTGGTGAACATGGTATTGGTGAATAGAGGGAATGTTGCCGCAAGAACGTTTCGACCTAAAAGTCCACTAGTGTTAGTCATGCGTCTATGAGCCTGTCAAACATGGGCTATCGCAGTGAACACACAGAAAGATTGGGCCGCAAGGGCTGAACTCGCATATCGATGGTAAGTATCTGCGAGGTAATTGAAAGTTGCAAGATAGATGGAAAAAATTCCAATGGTCGAGCACCCAACGGCAAGGGTAGGTACAATCCAGGGGACGGATTGAAATGATGTCCATCCAAACCAGAACATTCCGATCGGCATCAAAATAGACTGAACACACGTGAAATAAAGCCTGCCCTCTGGGGTCTTGAATCGGTTGCCAAATTGCCTAGCAAATCTTTCTTGAAAGATACTAAGCGGGGTAGCAATCAATGCTCCAATGGACACCGCAGAAAAGATGGCTCCGGTCTGTTCAACATTGAAGTTGTGGTTGGTGGAATAAACAAGTGGTAGGGCAATAAACTGAAGGAATAAAATTCCCCAGCTGAACGAAACCCAAATTGAAAAGAAGAAAACAACAGGTTCAGTAAAGAGGAGACCTGGGGTATAGTTAGTGTGACGTTGCAGTCAGAAAATATGATCAACCATTGACCATGGTAGTTTTCACTTACGGAAAGGCCTGAGACTGGAATAAGACAGCATTTGCAAGATACTTCCGCGCTCTTCATCACTTCTGACCTTCCATCGGATTCGGCGAGTTGGATGTGGAACCGCCATATTTTCTTCGAAAACCACGCCCTCGAAACCGGCGCTTTCAAGTGCCTGATAGTATCGATTGAGAGCATTTGCCTTCCGACTCAGAAGGACGTTTCCCCGAGTTTCTTTTAGGAAGAAGAAGAGAATCAACACAAGGCAGAAGGACATTATTGCGACGGAGTAGTGAATCCACCTCCAATTTGTGCGGTGAGCAATGAACCCGGTAACCAGTGGACCCAACCCTGTCCCAAAGAACACTGAGCCTGAGAAGCATGACATGGGGATATTTCGGTTCTTCGCATGATATATGTCGCTAATGACGCCGCCAACAATGGTAGAAAAGGTAGCTGAATTGGCGAAGATGAGCGTCAGTAAAAGTTCACCGGAGTTATCATAGGGAAGGGAAGACGTTGACTCACATCCACCAATTCCAAGAAAGAACCTTGCCAAAAGCATACCCGCAAAGGATTCGGTAGCGCCGCATCCAATCAACGAAGCTAGTTATTCGCGAGGTCAGTATGTCTCTTCGAGGACTCAAGTGCGCGGCATTAAATTATTACCGGTAAAAAGAAGCCCACTTAGCACAAAGACGGGTCTCCTCCCATTGATTTCTGAGAAAGGTGCCAGCACCATAGGAGCAATAGCGAATGCAAGCATGTATAGAGTAATTCCAAGATTGAACTGCGTTTTGCTGATATTCCATTTGGCCGTCAGCTCCTCGGATGGAGCTGTGTATGCGCCCGCTTCATAACACGCCATACCTGTGACGCAACAAGAGATGATCGTGATGACCACTTTCCGAGTTTTCGACCACAGGAAAGGGGAGGCATATTGAGATAGCTCGGGGCATGGCGGCATTGACAAGCCATCATTTCGCAATGGAAATACAATTTGTGGCAACGGGGTGTCGAAATCAAGGTAGAGGTGTTCAATTTCTGGAGGAGAACGTCCTACCGCATTGGTTTCGTCCCAGACCTTTTGCTCTTGCTTGGCCTCAGAATTCTTCGTGTCTTCCATGGTCATCTTTCCCTGAGATAGAGCAGAATCTTCCGAAGGCAGTGCGGTGTTGTTTCGTCCAGTAACTAACCAAGACTGCAAGTATTGGCTTGCAAGAATTCGCCTGTAAAACACTGAGATACAATGGAGGATGAGATTTCAGGGAGCTTCGAAGTAGCATGTATCAATTCTCTGAAAATATGAAATTAGAGAATGAGAATGAAAAAGAATGAGACTCGTTTCTTCGTTACATTTCAAATTCCCAGGGGGAAAGTGATGTCTAGTACGCTAGATAATCATGTGGGGCGCGAGCAGATTCTGGTTTTTTATTTGGCCCCACAGTGAAATGTCTCATGACCGATGGTATCCGAGATGAGCTGATAAATCAAACATTGGAAGTGGGTCCGCGGTGGCGCTCAGTAACAAATTACCAAATACATGTTTTTTGCTCATTGGTAATATTCCTAGTGTTCCAAGATTACCAGTAGGTCTCGTCATGTTCCACGGTTCCAAGAAACCGATGATTATTAACTGTTCTGTCATGTGATGTGTAACATCGCGTCGCGTCCCATCGTATTCTTCACCCTTGTACTCTCTCCAGATCAGCGGCTTGTCACTTCGAAGTGATATACACAGTAGAGCACCAGCCATGGCTACAAGAGCATCAAAGAATACGCGTCAACCGCAAAGTCCCGACTCGCGATCAACTAAGAGAAGGCGATTACAACAGCCAAAATCAGCCGGGTTGAACCGGAGTAACCAGATGCCAACATCCCAAGCTCCACCTTCACTGACATACGCTGAAACTGTCGCTGCACTTGAGAAAGAGCCCATATCTACTCTAGCTCAGCGGTACAAAGTATGGCGAGGTAAGACAAAACGTCTCGTGTCAGCAGAACATTCAATAATAAGAGAGACAGAAAATGGATCAAGTCATGATAATTATTGTCGTGTCTGTCACCGACCGGGCAGGCTAGAACATTGCAACACCTGCAAGTTATCATTTCATACAACTTGTATGCCGTCAGGATGGATTCGTGACAGTGACTATCACTGGTTCTGTCCGATATGCGTTGAGAATAGGTGGCATATATCTCCCCCTGTTTGTACACCGCCATCATCACCCGAGCAGACACCGGCGTCTGTTCATACTAGTACTGAGCCCCAAGTCACTGCACAAACCGCATCTAGTGATCGTGCTGAAGTTCCATCTCCATCCCGTGCGGCACAAGCCATCCCAGGACGGGTTCCCCGAGAACTGGGTTCCTTGCCGGCTGAACCCCTGCGCGGCCAAGCCTCAAGCCTCCACACTAGTGAACCATTCCCTCATTCTCCACAGCTTCAAGGAGATAGTACAGCCCCGCGTCCGGATGTGTCTGGTGAAGACCCCACGGTTGTTCTCAGTGCACCAAATGACGAGACATCACAAGAACCTACAACATTGTCTAGTGCCCCTCGCCGTTATCGCAAGTCTCGATTTTCAACATTCGGTGAAGAGGTCGATGCATCTTTAGCTGTTTTGTATCGCCAGCTGGAATCGATACCCGTTCTCAAGGAACAGATTCAGGATCTTCAGATGAAAAACGCCGAATACCTCCAGATGAACAAGATTCAAGACCAAAGTATGATTTCTCTTCGCAGGCAGATTGATTCTCAAACTCTTTCATTGCAAGACATTGAAAAACTTAGAGCCAGCGCCGCTGAACTTGAAAAGGTCAACGCGAAGTTCAAGGAGCTTGAAGAAAAGTATGCGGCCTTGGAATCTGAGCTTCAAGTCTCAAGGGAACAGGCCACTAATGCAACCGAGATGATGAATGAATGGAAAGGCAAACTAGCGCAACTTATCAATCCATGAAATGGCTTTACAGTTCAAGTCTTTCCGTGGGTCACCCTTCTGGCGAGGCTAGGAGGGCAAACCTATTTGATGAAATGTGTGCTGGAAATTTATATTACGAGTACCTCTTTTCATTGAAGTGAAATGCATTGTCCTACAATTCCTGGCGCAGGTTTATCTCAACCTGGAAAATAGATCTAACTGGGTTGACCGATCTCATACCAATTCACAGGCATGTTGGAGGAGCTACGGAGTCTGGTGTTAAATAGTGGGCTGAATTTCTTTCTTTGCTTTTCTCGTATTTTCCATCGTCCCGGAAGGTGATCGGACGACGGGCAATACGCAGCCTTGTATTACAGAGCTCTAACACCAGTACGAGGTCGTCCGGTTTCAATGGGCTGCAGTATTTTGCATAAACTCGTATCTTTCAGCAGAGGATTTCACTCAATCATGGTGGACCCATCAAAGGGGTATGTGGACGCGTACGCGAGTCAACGTGAAGGCCAAATTTCAGAAGTGGGCCCGACGGTATCATGGAGTCTGTGAAAGCCAGAGGTTGAGCTCCGCTCAAAAGGCTCAAATGATGCGTTGTCAAGGACCCAACTGACGAAATGGAAAAGGATGGGCTCAGGTTGGTCGCGGTTGCCAGCGGCATGTCGGTGTTGGTTAGAAATTGAGCCCTGCTAATTCCGACTGTAATTTCGCTGGTAAAAAGTACGGTGTGCTCAATCTCTACTGATCTGATGGAGAGATAGAAATTGTACACAACTAAAACCCACAATATATGTATATGCCAGGGAAAGCAATAGCCTTTACGGAGTAGAACGAGTAATATACTTAATTTATCTCTTTCAAAGGTTTAACTGCCAATCTCATCAAGGCAAAGGCATTCACAAGGGATGGAAGCGTTTGCGAGAGTAAAAGTGAAAGCAAATTTTTGAACGGCCAAAGGTTGCACTCCATGCGGACGGCTCAAATGGTGCGCTGCCAACTAGTAATGGAATGGGAGAAAAGTGGGACGGCGGCAAGGGACGGTGGGGCGTCAGCATTGATTTCAAATCGAGTCGTGTCTTCGCCCCACTTGTAATCTTACCTGTGTATATTTTGCAAATTACTTAATTTCTCACCTTTTAATGGGTGTCTATACTTCGCATATATCTCAAGCCTAAGATACACAGGCCAATGAAAAGCGATAGGCTTTGAAATGAGGACCAAAGTTGGAAGATCTATAAATCAAGATCTCAATGGTCGGCTATTCCCTGACTAGCTTCGTATCGCTTAAAAAGTTGTCCTGTTCCTCAGAGGGACTCGGCTCTTTGCACATATTCCTAATCAAACTTCCATATATTCCCCCGCATCGCAAAGGAATCAAAAGATGAAACGGATGTTGGAATGGCTATTTCCATCATGCAAGACTGCCAAGAGTGGCGTGGAGTTCTGTTGGCCGAGAACCCTGTCTGGGCCACCTATCTATAGAACCAACGAAAAGATAGAAGGTGAAGTGATATTCACACCAGATCATGACATGTTAATTCATACTCTGCAAATCATATTTGAAGGTTCGACACTCTTGTACCTACGTGAGGCCATCTCATTCTTACTGACTTTCTATTCAAGGTACTGTTATAGCAGGGATCGAGGCTCCAGTCTCCAATGCGTGGGCATCGCATGAATTTGCCAGAAAAATGTTCTTACGAGTCTACGAGTCCAGAAACGATTCTATCGCCATGAACACAATGACTCTAGACGCTGGAAGTACCTACAGGCTTCCGTTTCTATTTGTTGTCCCCACAGAGCTCCTACCACAAGCTTGTGTGCATGACCACAAGCATCTCGAAATACGTCTCCAGCATCTACAACTACCTCCGAGTCTCTTTTCAAATACTCGGATAGAAAGTACGAAAGCATTGTCTGACTCTGGACCTGACTCGGTATCAGTCAATTACGCCATCAGATTCAGGGTCACAGAAATCAAATCAACGGCCGAGGAACCGAGCATCGTTGTCGATGAAGCACAGAAGCTCTTCATTCATCCGACGATTCCCGAGGCACCGCCTATTCTTGTACCAGAAGATAGCACGTTATATAATCTCTCCAAGGAGATTATTATCACGAGTCTTCGTGGCAAGAAGCTTGGGCGACTATCTGCTAGTGCAAATCAACCGAGAGCCATCCAGCTCGGCAACGATCAATCACAGCTTTTGAATTCTACATCAACCATGATGGGAATTGATCTATGGTATAGCCTGACTGATTCCCATCAGTCTCTACCGATGCCAAAGATAATCCAAACTCAGCTGAACATTATGACCTTTTATGGCACTGAGCCCTGGGTAGACCTACCAGAACAGATTGGTCATGGCTCTTCAAATCCCTGTCATCGCTCATATTACCAGATGGTTCCATTATCTATACTGGACATCACAGCGGTACAATGGGATCAGAGCCCATTGGGAAATTCATCATCGGCAGGTAGAAGTCGAAGGGCAGAATCAAAAGATCTTGCCGAAGTTGAGCGGGAAAGCTACACAGCCTCTATCTCCCTACCAATTGTACTTCCGCAAGACGCTATTCACACACCAACTTTCTATTCGTGTCTCATATCTCGGATCTACTCGATCAGGGTAATTGTCACATTTGACCTTCCTCGTCTCATGCCAGTGTCTTCGACTCTCTCTTTGACAGTACCTATTCAAATTGCCTCTAGCCCATCTACCGTGACTGGCACTCCAAACAGTTAGAGAATATCCTATGTTCAACTCAGACTCGGAAGTCACATTCGGCTGTGATTCCTCAAAACACCAATCATCACACAAACATTGATGTAACAAAAGCATTCAATCCAGATCTTTTCACGCATGCTCTTGTGGCTATTCCGCTCAAATACTTGTGCGAAGCCATTACGGTCCATGTATATATAAAGTGCTCATTTTTTAGACCTGCATGGCAAAGACTCCATTCATCGGAGGAAGCGAAGACAAGTTAAGCACATATTGCAGGACCCAAGTTTGCTCTAATTGCATCGAACATTTCAGTATGTCAAGGCCCTCAGTTCGAGACTCGTGTAACTCTCGTACGGGCATCAGGCAAAGTCTCGGTAGTGTTACAATTTAATTTTAGAACGGTATCTTGTTCAGAGTCATGTGCCTCGCAGATGGTCACGTCTTTGGTAGCTCGATCAGCTCTCTCCCAGTAGCAGGTAGTCTTGTTCCTTCTTCCCTTCCCTCAGTGAGTCAATCCAGTCGGTTTCTCCCCTCTTTTGCTGGCCCTTGAGTAGCTAGTAGTAGCCTTCCCAACAGGTTATGAGATCCCTCTTCCTTGACATCTAGCATATCTTGTTAGAAAGTCAAGCTATTTCCTCTTTCGGAAATCCCGCAGGACAACCGACAACCCCTACCCTCTAGAACCCCGATTCTAATTTCCGGGATTATGACCCCAGCTCCTCTATTCTAGCAGAATCTAGCCTATCATAGCTGATTCTAGCACCGGGTATAAATAAGTGTCAGAGTTGAGGGATCTTCCAAGGTTGTCACCGAGTCACGTGTCCTTATCCATGCTCCCGAGGTCTCTTATAGTAAAAAACCTTTCTCTTAAGCAAAGAGAGTGATTTAATTGAATTCGGTAAATACCTGCTCTACTACCTAGATACCGATGCGTCTTTAAATCGGGAAAGGTGTATTCCAAGGTGATTCCAGATACCGCAAATATTTATGACGGCATGAGTGGATTCGCAAGACAGGCTGTGGTCGAGGGAGGGCTTAGAGTATCGCGCAATCACCGGGCTATGTTGTCAATTCGAAGATAGCTTGTTAATATTGTGTACAGCTAATCAATACTAAAAGAGATGGGAAAATTTCCGGTATTCTGAAGCCTTTGCTTACCAGTGAGCAATTGTCCACGGGCCTGGGCCTTCATCGTAAGATCCCAGTATGGCGTATAAATAGGCTAAAAGGTGTCTTGAGGGGAACGAGTGTTGAGATGACCGGCCTTCAAGCCGAGGGTACCTCGAATTAGAGACTTATTTCACTGTTCTTTGTTTTTGCCCAGGTGCTCTGGAAAAAAGTGCCTTTCGGTGCAAAATAAATGACTTCCCGTACTGGCAACTAATAATTGAACAGTTGATACTCCAATAATTTCAAGATTGTGAATGAGTAGAATCAGTGTTTCAACTTACAATGGATGATTGCGCCATGCGCGGGGTGGATGAGCTACTCCTATCCCGGATTATTGCAAGAGGTGATTCGGGGTTTGAGCTCTCCAATTGATTTCCTGCAATGGTAAGTCGTGACGTTTATTTCATCGCTGGTTTTGAGTACGAGCAGTGGACATGCTTTTCCGTTTTCTCACTTTTCCTTCACCGGACAATACTAGAAAACAATCACCCGCTTTTGCGAATCTCTCTCAATTGTTCTATATTAGACTCTCTTCAAGCTCTCGGGCTGGGAAAGACAAATATGAGACTCTCTCGATCACTGCTCCTGGTCAACATCACCTATGCTTGCGCATTTGAGTTACCATTTTCGGACCAAACACCGCTGAAAGTCGGAGATCAGAGTCCTGAATTCACGTGCGATTTGCCACCTGCTCTCGATCCTAGAGGAGATGGCTTGCTGTCAGCAGCGGATCTATTCTCGACAGACGAGGCACGGGAAAGACAAGTGAAGCGTCACCAGGCAATAGTGCGAGTTCCCTCTGTTTCCTACGATGACCTGGGAGAGATCGGGAAGGATGAGCGGTGGAATCCATTTTATGAGATTCTTCCTGTTCTTCAAAAGTTGTATCCTTCACTGTGAGTAGACTCTGCACAATTCACGAGGACGCCGATACTGACCAGCACTAGCCACAAGCAGGCAAAGTTGGAGAAGATCAACACCTTTGGATTGCTCTACACTCTAGAGGGTTCTGATCCGTCCCTAAAGCCAACCGTCCTGCTCGCTCATCAAGATGTCGTCCCTGTTGCCGACGCATCCACATGGACCTATCCACCTTTTGAGGCACACTTTGACGGCGAGTATATCTGGGGTCGGGGTGCATCAGATGACAAAAACAGCCTCACTGGAATCCTTTCTGCCGCTGAAGGTCTTCTCTCCCAGTCAAATTGGAAACCTAGACGAACTGTGATCTTCGCCTTCGGTTTCGACGAGGAGGTCGGTCTCAATCAAGGTGCTGCCCAGATCGCGAAGGTGGTTGGTGAAAGATACGGCAATGATAGTGTTGCTATTATCCTCGACGAAGGCGGTTTTGGCTCGCAGCCCCTTGATGATGAGACAGTATATGTGCACCCTGCGGTCACCGAGAAAGGGCACATCAATCTTTTCTTCGAGCTTCATGCTAAAGGCGGCCACAGTTCTGTCCCGCTGCCCCACACAGGTATCGGGATTGTCTCTGAATTAGTTGTCGCACTCGAGAACAACCCCTATGAGCCGGTGATTACCAAGAACAGCCCCATCCATAAGCGTCTTATCTGCCAGGCGCGCTACTCCCCCAACACCCAGCCCGAAATCGAGGCATTACTGAGAAACAATGACTTTGATCGACTCGCTGTTGAGTTTGCCAAAACATCCCCGCTGAATCGTTTCGTTGTTCAGACATCGCAAGCTGTTGATATAATCGGAGGCGGAGTGAAGATCAACGCCATGCCAGAGGTCGTGACTCTTGCTGTCAACTATCGTGTTGCCCATCACCAAAGACCCGTGGAGGTCCAAGACAGAGCTATCAAAGTGATTTCGGAAGTTGTTGAGAAATATGGTCTCCAACTGAATGCTTTCGACGGCGATAGAGAATATCACGATCATATAGCAAGTATTTCTTCAAGCCGTTCGAATCACCTTGATGATTTGAATCGACACCAGCAGACTGGGGTCGATTACAATGGAACTCTGGTGGTGCGCGCCACGAAGGCAGAAGCAGCACCCCTGTCTCCTGCCAGTAGATCGGTGTGGGATGTTTTCTCGGGCACGATCCAACACACTTTTGGATTGGAGGGCAAAACCGTTGTCCCTGTCGGAGACATTATGACCGGCAACACTGATACCAGACACTATTTGAGTAAGTTCCGCATTGGCTAAAACAAAGAGGGTACTAATGCTGTTAGATTTTACTCGCAACGTCTATAGATGGACACCGGCTGTTGGTCGCGGACTTGACAACATTCACACTGTTGATGAACGCGTAAGTATTACTGACCACCTGAATGTTGTCAAGTTCTACTACAATTTTATCCGCAATTTCGATGCGGCGAACGTATAATTGATATGCGGGATTCTCGAGGCTAAGAAACATAAATTGTTCTTCTCACAAACTAGAACCTTACATATACGGAACTTTTCAAATTCTCTCAAAAATCTCTCCCTCCGGTATCAAATCGTCAATAACCCATGCAAGTTTCACGACATCTCCCCTGTCATTTCTCTTGAAATTCAGTAGCCAAGCATGTGTTCCATAGTGGAACAGACCTCGCTTCATCCGTTCCTCTGCCGAGGGCAAGAAGGAAAAGGAGTCGCCATGATAATGAGTCAATGTGTGAGTTTGTGAAATCTTGTTGTTAATGCTGAATTTAAGAAGATCGTCTTCCTCAAACACATTGAAGAAAAGCGCCTTTGTGGAATGCTCATATTTCCTGATGAGTTCTTTCCGCGATGGCTGGTCGGTGTCTGGAATTCGTTCCTCCTCGAGCGTTTCGACGATCTTCAAGTATCCCGTCCTCCACTTCTCAACTGTTTCATGGGCAAGTGAAAGCAGGTCTACTTTGATCTCAGGGTCCAAGATAGCCTGAAGAAGCGATTGTCCAACCCAGTCAGCAATATCACCTTGCGAGATAGAGTTGGTCATGACCACAATCGCTATCTGTTCCGCTAGAACCAGGATGATACAATGGTTGTACCCCGGAAGTGCGCCGTTGTGATAGAAGACAAGATCATTCTTGGATTTACATCCAATCACCGGCATTGATTCGAGGAGAACTGGGTTGAACCCTGTTTTTCCAAACTGCGCTGGCAGAGTGACTTTTGCAAAGCCCAGCCCGTACAATTCGTCGAATGAGCTGGATTTGTTGATGAAGCTATGGCCAGAAAAGATGTTTTCCATTTCATGGAGAGGCGACTCTTTACCGTCGAGAACCGATAATAAGTGGTCTCCCCACGAGAGTAGATCGGGAAGAGTACTTCGGATCCCACCAGCTGTGGACATTAGATTTCCATTTGTGAGTTTGACATCACCGATTCGCCATTGCGTCTTGTCATCGAGGATTGCATACCGCAATGCCGTTGACCCATCTGGTATTTCCGATTCTATGACTGAAGTTTGAGACAACCCGAGCGGGGACAGAACACGCGACTCTAGCGCATGGCCCCAGGAACCATGTGTCACTCGCTCGATTATCTCGCCAGCTAACGCGTACATCCAGTTATTGTACACCCACTTGGAACGCGCCGGGTATAGTGGTGGCATGTGCTTGCAGAAAGCGGTAGTAAATTCCTTGGGTACATTGATCTCGTTGTTTGCCCCGAGCCATACGACATCGAAGCTGGGCAGACCTGTCTGGTGCGACAGGAGATCGACCAATGTGAGCTGATTCGCAGGCATTGGACCGACGGCGGATGAGAGTTCGGGTAAGTACGTGGTGATGGGCTTGTTCCACTCAAGCCGGCCCTCATGAACCAGTTGAGCGATAGTTGCCGCAGCAAACGATTTCGTTATGGACCCGATTGGGTATCTTGTCCCGGATTCGGCAACCTGTTGACTTCCCACATCTGCGAAACCCAGGTGGTCTTCGTAGATAATTTCTCCATATTTCATGATTCCAATGGACATGCCTGCAGTGCCGCCGATCTCTTTAATCTCCCGTATTGTAGGTATAACGTCGTGAATTCTTTTGAGAACATCGTGGTTAGAGAAGGACGTTGTCATAGGCATCTGGTGGAGCCCAGATCCAGCCATAGTGAAAGACCCACGGTATTTCGCTAGATCTCGGAGCATTCTGTATTGTTTTTGGTATTATTGCATTCAAAATGGGACGAGGTCTTAGAGATTTCGAAAAACAAAAACTTAGCAAACCTACGTGATCCTCCAATATTATTTTGAAGGGGAAAATAAATCCAAAAGATGAAATTCCGAAGGGAACAGAAGAGCCCAAGTAGCCCTGGAGGGGCTTGGGCAGCGACAGCATGCGGGGGCTCGAATATTATACCTGGAGCTGACTTCCCAGCCTATTGACTCTACAGGGGTATAATGATAGCCGCGCAACAGAGAGTGAGAATCACTCGCCCTCACCCGTCTCCCCCCTGTATATAGCGCACTCACCCTTGTCATCCCTGTCACGCGACCTGAAAGCGGCACTCGCTCATCTCTCACTGGGGCCTTCTCCAACTGCATCTCAGCAATTCAATGCAAAGAATCTTGGAAGCGTAAATTTATGAGCTACATATTTTGTCTTTATTTCGATGCTACCACATACGACCACAGGGTGTGGAAAACAGGGCTTCCCGTCCGCTCAGCCGTACTTAAGCCACACGCCGGTGAGTTAGTAGTTGGGTGGGTGACCACCAGCGAATCCTCACTGTTGTATGTTTTTGTTTTTTTCATTTTATCTAGGTTGTCCTTTAGAGCTGTCCATTTTGGACTGGTATTCGTACTAGTACGGAGTAGCAGACACTGTAATTGGTGATGTCTCCACATCTGGTTTGGGGAACAGAGATATTTCAGGGCGAGGTTGTAGAATACGATTGATCTCTTTCCAGCTTCAGATGGAGTCCGACTTGATCTTGGAGATAATCAAAGTGCCTTTTGCTTTTTACAATTGTCATCTCGAAATTGGTGTTCGTTCGTGAAGTCTGCAGCCAATTTCAGCAAGTCGCCACCATTTCTCAAAAACATACCACGGCCCTGATTCAAATGTTTATTCTGACAATTATGAGAAAATACGCATATGGACACAGAAAAATAGGCAACAAGTCTTAGGTACACGGCTTGCAGAGATCGTCGCGACCAAGGACGATTTGCAGGGTGCAAGCCACAATATGTACTCCCGACCCGAGCCTATTCAAGGTCTAGATACGAATACGGGAACTTTCGTTTCATGCCCCGTCTCCAACTGAAGGATCGATGGAAATTGCCCTTCTCTGAGTGGTCCGCTATTGCGTAATACCCTTCATCTGATTGAGTTCTCCCAGGCAGTGCCCTGTTGGATTTGTATCCACTTGCAGGACTATCTGACCCTGATTTCTGGTGGGGTGTTTCGATGTCCAGTGGCTAACAAGGCCCCTGGGAAGATACTATATAGGTATTTAAAAACCCGGCAAAATTTTACGGGTGTCCGCGGCTCAGATACAGCGTATATATTAGTCCTCAGTTGTCTTTCCAAGTTTCTCTCAATCAACCTTGAAGTATCCCGATCCGATCCCAAGACCCTAAGGTTTCCTCTTGCCAACATATATTTTCCTCCTTCAACAATGAAGATTCAATCCCTCCTCACTTTCATACCATTTGTGTCTGCCGGTACTCACCCCGGCGCCGGGAGTGCAGCTTCTCCACATTGGAAACCAGCTGGCAGCAATGACTGTAACTATCAGGCATCCGACAGGTTGAAGCATACTAACATGGCTAGTTCGCGGTCCATGTCCTATGATGAATACGCTCGCAAATCATGGATTCCTTCCACATGATGGCAAGAACATCACCAGAGAAACCCTTATTGAAGGTCTACACGATGCTCTGAACTTCAACTCCTCGCTTTCCTCCTTGATGTTTGACATGGGTGTTGTCGCCAATCCGAAACCCAACGCGACATACTTCACGCTGTACGTCCGACCCGTATCAGGTCATCTCAATGATCCTTGCCAAAACAGCAATGTACTCCAAAAGGCCCCATTCTGACATCGAACAAATCAGAGACCATCTCAACCGCCACAACGTTTTGGAGCATGATGCCAGCTTGAGGTAATACTCTTCCACTCTCTGTCAGCTTAATTCTAACCTCTCCACAGCCGAACCGACGACTTCTTCGGAAGCAACCACATCTTCAACGAAACCATCTTCAACGAGACGAAAGCATACTGGACCTCAGAGACTCTCACACCCGCCATGCTGGCCAATAGCAAAATTGCCCGCCAAATCAACTCAAAGGCGTACAACCCAACCTACAAATTCTCCTCAATGACCGAGCAGTTCAGTCTTGGCGAGGTAGCTGCCCCAGTGATTGCGTTCGGAAACTCTACATCCGGGGAAGTAAACCGAACCCTGGTTGAATACTTTTTCGGTGAGTGTGGGCAGTTATCCTGTGTCGGCATTTTCGCTAATGTTTCATATGTGATTGTAGAGAACGAGCGCCTCCCGACTGACCTGGGCTGGAAGAAAACTTCGAAGCCCGTCACCCTCGACGATATCTTGAGAGTCACCCAGATGATCAGCAATGCAACGAGCCTGATCACCTCATCTTCCGCATCCAAACGTCGTGTTAGGACTGAGTTGTGAGAAATAATGACATGATCAAGTTAGTCACAATTGTTTATGAAATCAACTTCAGTAGTCCTTCCGAGTGCATTTGACCTTCAGGGCTGGGTTTGGCTAGGTATTTATCAAAGATACGGTTATGCCATTCTTCCAATACATGCTATTCACTATTTCAATCTCTCCTAAATGTCGACTCCCCCGTTGCGTCCAAGTTGATAGCCGAGGTAGGACTTTTTCATTGTCAGCTGTAGGCGCTCTTCAAATTCTTGGAAAAACACCCCTCCCTGCCAAATTCAGACTATGAAAGAAGGCAACACTGAGTCATTGACTGTGGCCTGGACGTGTTTCACAAACACAGTCCCGTTCGATAGCTCATCTCAGTTGGCCTATTGCGGGCTGTGGGTACCTGTAGGTCTCGGGTTCGGGTTCGTAGTTAAGCGGCTCGTTCTCGTAATTTATACCTCATGCGGACACTCATAGTATTTATAGCAGTGAAAAATTGGGAATAATGAATTTTTGCATTATGCTTTTGCATCTCGTTCAAAAATAGTCTCAATTACCAATGGATGCCTGTTGAATTTCTGCACGATGAATAATTTACCCATCCATGGATCTACGCGTGGCTTATGATTAAGAAAATGATGCCAACAACATATTTCCCAATCGAGCAAAGCGTACGAACACGACACATTCAACCCAAAGATCACCCAATTAAATTCTTATCCACAAGACCAGCATGTACCGGCATATCCAAGAGTTATGGTGTGGCGAAGCTAAGAAGGCTGTATATAAACATCCCGGGGAATCTGTAGTGCCTCTTTTCTATCCACTCCTCTTCCCTTGCCTCAGAAGTTCAAGGATCCCAAGCAGCAACGAACAATATGAAGTTCCCTATCCAACCAACCCAGACGAATAAATTTCGACTCGACATAACGATCGGTTCCCTCTTACTGGTGACTTTCATTCTCATCATTGCGCGAGTAGCGAATAAAGGCACTCCATCAAGCAGAACAAACACATGGGGAATAGCTGTGGTGAGTCCGACTCAAATGATATATTCACTTTGATTACTGATTTTGAATCCTTTTATAGTGTGTCAAGTCAGCCGTATTTCTAGCGTATCAATTATGCACTGCGCATGTGGAGCGATTGAAGAGATGGGCTAGCACAAAAGCGAACAAGATTCTCACTATCATCGACACTGTGTTCTGGTTTGCACTGTTCATCATCACGATTATGGGAACTTCGGGGTCCCACAGTACTAGCAGCCGGGCGCTAGGTGTGGTTATCGCCATACTTGTGCTGGTATTATGGTATGTCCATCATTGTGGCTACACGGGTTACTTTCTTATACTCACATTCCGTCTAGCGCATGCAGTGCCCTTGATGTTTACATTTGTTTCCGTCTCAGGAGCTATTTCAAAAGACACGGTATGCTCCCGAGCGAAGCGCCCAAAGCTCCGGGTTGCGTTTGAAGGGCTCTGGGGTTAAAATATGTTGCTCCTGGTATCCAGTTCCAAGTTTATATGTGAGCCATACTACGTACATAATGTGCATGTTTGGTTCACTGTTAAAGATGCCGTGAAATTTGGAACTTGGAAGTACACCAGTCTGTCTCAGTGTTTTCGCTGTGATATTCGGTACTCCGATAGTGAGTGAGACACATTACTTTGAATTTCGACGCCCTGGTAAACTAGCATATGTAGAGGTACGACAAATTGATCACTGGGCCTCAAAAGGAGGTTCATCCAACGGTCAGAAGAGAAAAAATATGCGGGTACGGATCACTCAGACCTGCCACGGAACAACTGATAGAAGGCAGAAGAGAGAGATCGATCAGTTGATTGAGCTGGAGCTAGAGAGAGAGCAAGAAAACTGAGAGCAAAGGGGAAGAAGGAGAGGAGATCATGATCAAGAATCACGTGATCAACAACAACAATACAGCCTTTAACTATACACGCACAATTCGCCATCATGTTGCCAAGATTTAACCTCTAGCTCCAATCACCCTTCGGTCTCACTGGGCTTCGATGGTTGCAATGTCGGCCATCACTTGCATTTTCGTCTTTTCCAAAATATACGCAATCGCGTTTTTACCTTCCGGTGAATGCTCTGCCAGTTTTTGTCGTTGGTGGCTGGTAATTTCTCCTGCTTGGGGCAAGCCGAGTGTGTATAGGTGTGGCCTGAATTAACCCGGGTCCAATGACTCCAGATGGCCAGTGTTGTCGTGACCTCGGAAGTCATGGCCTTAGGGCTAGGCACATGACCCCGGTGTTTTCTAGCTCTCAGTTGCCCCTCAGTAGTTCCCTTCTCTCTCTTCCCCAGCTTAGTTGAATCGAGATCTTTGCTCTCTCTCTTGGTGTTTCGGTAGCCTCAACAAGTGTCTCTCGGTTTTGAGTTGCTGTAAGGACGCGAACTTCATTATCGAACGCCCGGCATGTTTCTTGCTCTCCGTTAGCTTGGCATGAGAGCGAACGCAAATTTCGCAGCGTATGTGCGTCGTTATTTCGGTTTTGCGCTTTGGCTTGGAGTAGGCCACCATCCCCATTTACTTCAAGGGTAAAGCAAGGAAACAGTAACTTCCAGACGCAGGGTATCGGGGCCCCAATGACACCCAAATTGAATAGAGCCACATCATGGCCCTCGAATTGGGCCCGTCGAAGGCCGATTGGTCAATCTGGCCACGGGCCTGCGAGCTTTGGCACTCTGTGCATAACTCCCGGAAGTATTGGTAGGGTCAGTTCTGACGAGAATTTCCCTTCGAAAATGGCATAAGGGAGACGGGACTGGAATATCTGATGTCGACCAGGATACCCATAACAACGGCTTGAATGGTGGACTCGTTACCTGGCATGGCGAGACACTCATGCAGTGTCTCAATTGTGCATTTGTCCAGGGCTGAGCCATCTGTTGAACACCTGGTCAGATGACCATGCTCTCCTAGGCCTATAGCTCGCTCTCTCCCTGTCTTTGCTTTTCCCTTCTTCGCCATCTATGTGACTGGATTTTCCATCACTTCTTTCTGTGTGCTCTCTGGTATCCTGACGCCCGGAATCTGTAGCCCATCGACAAAAGTGTTATCTTGGTAGATGACACTTTTGACGGAGCCAGGAGATTTGGTGAGAACTAGCCCAGGGGGAAAGGAAACCGTTTTGGGTGTTGTTGGTAGATTAGACAGGTCGGAGATGGGCTCTTGATTACCGGCCTGTTCAGGAGATTCGAGTCGGGGCCTTTTTGATAGAAGGCAGCAGAGAGAGATCGATCAGTTGATTGAGATAAAGCTAGAGAGAGAGCAAGAGAAATGAACAAAGGGGAAGAAGATTTCCTCCATGGCTAGAGTGATTTGGTATCCGATGGCAAGAGCGGATGGAGGGAAGCACAATGTGGAAAGAAGGCGAGAGCCCTGGAGCCCTGGAGAGGCTGTCAGATGACTTATCCCCCCAGCCCTGGAGGGCAAGTTCACGGGTCCGCGGCCTAATGCGTGAAACTACTCCGTACATCATCATGAGCTTTGCTTTTGTTTTGTTCTCGAGAGAGCACGCTGATTGGTCTAGTGACCATACAACAGAGTGCAGAGTAGTAGATAGCAAAGAGAAGGTCTATACCACAGTACAAATCCCCCGTGGCCTAGTCGTTTAGACAGCTGTCGGATAGACCGGCGTTACCGTAATGATCCCAATAAGGGACTCCAGACGGTAACGCAGGTCTGCCACAGTGGGTAGCGGGGGATTGCTGGGAGCCAGGGGTTCGAACCCGCTGACCGTCAGGTCTGGCGGGATCGGCCCTAGAGTTCCCAGCCATAATGACTTCTTTTTTTTTTGCTTTCGTTTTTGCCCTTTTTTCCCCATGATATTGAGCGCTCGCAACGGAGAATCTATGTGGAGTAGGCTATGTGGGTCTGCGGGAGATCTGCACCCGCCATTTTGTTCTCCACCCTGGCTTAAGATTCATGGATACACGTTTGTAGCTCGGTTAGGAGATTATGGACCTATTTTGCTTCTGTCAAGCTGATACATAGTGGAATAGGGAGAGCGCGCTGCCGGTCTCATACAGCAGACTGGACGATGGGAATGAGCATGAGGAAGAGGAGTGGACCTCGGGACCTCGGAGGTCCTTGGGCTGAGGCAGCAGACTCACCAGATAACAAACGCCCCCGCACTTCAAAACATTCAAACTTGCTCACCCAGTCCTTTCCATCTATTCGTCTGTTTCTATCCATCCAAAATGTATTGTAACGCTGTGCAGTTTGCCTCTCAGTGCTACTAGAGCTGACCATTGTTCTACAGGTTCGTCCCTATCAGCAGTCGTCCTGAATCCGAGTATCTCGAAGCAGACGTAGCGTATATCCTGGCTGTGACTGGTACCCCGTCACTCAGCTATACTATCGTCCAGGACGGAAAGGCTCTCCATACAAAACACTTTGGATACCGCGATGTCCAACAATGCATTGGCCCAGCCGATCAAACGCAGTACAACATCAATTCTATGAGTAAGGCTATGGTCGCTGCTCTTGCTGGAATCGTCGCTTCTACGGGCGGCATTGACTTGTACGCCTCTGTCAAATCTTATTTGCCTGAATTTGCATGTCATGAAACCAGCCTCGATGACCAAGTCACAATCATTGACCTACTTTCACATCGCACTGGGATCACAAATTTCGATCCCATTTGGCTGGGATCGCACAACTCCCTCCTCCTCGGCAGAGATGAGACGACAAAGACATTCTCTACCCTGAAGCAAAACGAATCTTTTCGTGCAAGCTTTCTATACAACAACTGGGGCTATGAACTTGTCGCAAAAATTCTTGAAACCGTCACCGGAGACCCCTTGCACGTCTTGCTGCACGAGAAAATATTCAAACCCCTACAGATGACACGAACGAGCACTTTATGGGATCTTGACGAATCAAATTCCGCAAAGTCATACGGAGTACTACAAGACCTGACACCGGTCGAGATAGGTCGCCCAGAGCTGGGACAGGGCACCCTGATGGAAGCCGCTGGTTGGATCAAGTCCACTATGGAAGATCTTACTCGTTTCTACTCTTCGTACATAGTTGCTGTCAACGATCAAGTCATCTCCGGTTCAAATTCAACGCCTGTATCAATATTCCATCATTGTCGCGACTTGGTTACCAACCATGCAAGATTTCCCGGTCAGTTGCTGCGAGAACAGGGATACGGGGCTGGCTGGGCTCGAAGTCAGTTGCCTGGCCAGCTAGGGCGCATATCTCTCAATCCTTCAATTGGGCCTGAGCCAATAGTCGGAAAAGGCTCCGAGTCTCGGCTTGTATTGTATCATCATGGCAGCATGCCAGGGAGCACTTCATGTGTTTACCTGATACCCGAGCTCGATGCCTTTATTGTGGTGCTACAGAACTCGCTTGCGCCCATCGATACAGCGGATTTTGTGAGTCAGCATCTCCTAGAAGGCCTTTTGAACACCAAAATACCAAACGACTATAAGCAACTGACCACAGACTTCACCACAATCAGCCTTGGTCATATGGACCGTCTCAAGAGAGAGCTTGATATCAACATGAAGATCGGCACATCTCCAAAGCCGCTCGCTGAGTACGTTGGGAGATATTGGAATCGCATAGGAAATTTCTTCATTGAGGTATCTGACAGGAACGGCGGATTGAGCATGAGCTTCCAGGGTAAACCCTCCGAGATGTTTGAGCTTGCACATTACCATGACGATATATTCTCTTGGTGGATGCCGTATAACGAAGTTGCTCAAAGGGGGAGGATTATTACTGACTACCTTGCTTCGTACTATCTCATCTCGTTTTCGAGCACGGACGGGGAAGGTCTTAATTGCCTGAAATGGGCCTGGAACCCAAATATGAACGCTGATATAGGCGAATTTCTATCTAGGGAAGGCTAGAGTCGCGTGTTATTTCATCCGCCTCTTCTATTTTCAAGAAACTTTTAAGATCAGCTCGTCCCACTGAATGTTTGAAATAGTGGATTGATTCCGGATTTTCGATTCCAGTAGTCTACACATCATGGCTACCTAGCTCTTCTCTCTACTCTCTCTACTCTTTCTCTCTTCTGCTTCTCAGTTGCTCTCTTCTAGAGTCAACTCTGCTTTCTCTCTCTCTTTGCGGTGCTAGCCATAAGCTGCCCCAACAGGTTATGAGGTCTCCTTGCTTTATTTGATAAAGCCGTTTCCTTTGAAGCTTTCCGAGGGGGGTGCCCCACCAACCGAGCCCCCCATCACCATTCAACCAACCGCCCCCGGGCACCCATCAGCCCCCCTGGCATCATCAACAAAGCCCCCATGGCACCAACATACCAAATGCCTAGAATCAAACGTTATGGAACGAGTACAAAAAACAAGTGTTGCGGACCGGTTACGGGCAAACGTGCTGCGGGCCAAGAGGGTTGAAAATGGCTGTCTCATCATCAAGCTCTGTCGATTGGTGACTTCTCAAGCCTCCCGAGGTCCAGCCCCCAGTGGGAAAAGACAGGAGAAGAATAATGTCTAATTGGGAGGCAGTGGCTACGGAGATTCCTGGCTGGGAAAGAGGAAGGAAGGGAGCTGCTAGCATGCAAGGTCTCTAGTCATTTAGACCAGCGCTTGCTGCGAGCTTTGTCTTTCGCCTTGATACCAAGTTTCTCTCTCTCTCTCTCTCTCTCTCACACACACACACACACACACACACACACCATGATGCTTATGCATTCTCAGAGGCGAAAGTGATGTCAGTGTAGCGGTGTGGGGGTTATTATCTCCAACATGAAGAAGTAGCCTACATCGAAAGTGTCGAGTCTTCGTGGGAAATTGGAAAGAGGCATAGAAGGAATGTAATGAAATGGTAATTCATGATTAGGTATTATTCCAGAGTTACCATGTTGGTGGTATCATGCGAGGTTCAAAGTGTGAAGTGGGTTGGAAACTGAGCGACAGCACACCTGGGCATGTCGCCATGTGGACTCAATGCAAGCCTCAGCTCCTCATGCTGACGACAAGCGAGATATACGAAGCTTATGCCGTAACTGAAAAATGATATCACGCTGGTCAGAAGCAGACCGACTCCAAGCTATCTATCTATAGTATTCCTTTAGCGAGTATGCATCTGTACCAGCTAGTAGCACCTGGCAAGACCAATTCTCTTGGTCTGTAATATCAATGATTAATTGTGCAATTGCCATGTGGTCCCTTGATTCTGTTTGAAAGTGATCGAGTGGTTATTTTTTGCATGTTACGATTTAGTGCGTCTGATGTAGCCCGATTCATTGCATCGAATATTTATGTCTTTAATCCTTAAGGTTACACAGACTAGGAAAATCTCCGTTAAAGTCATGGGATTCTGAACAGGAACATGGCTGGCTGTGGTTCTCACCGTGAGCAAAGGTCATTGTACGGCCTCAAATATCAATATTACCCCACGGCGAGTGTTTTTTTTGGGGGGGGATGGTGGGTTTACGAAGGATCAGGTTTTTGAATGATGGGTGCAAGGAGAGGAGAGGAGAGGAGAAAAGCTCAGCTGAGACTATGTGCATAGAAGAAGTCATGCTCGAGGCTAGCAAATGGGATTGACTGGGCAGCTACTGCATGTGGCTTGCTTGAAGTGGCAAATCTGGATCAACAATCTGCATTGTGCTCAGCTTGCGCGCGAATTTTTGTTCGGACTTTGGTAGGCCGCTCTGCGCTTTGCTCAACTCACACGTTCATATAAGAGCAGGAATGCGAAGAAAGAAACACCACATTGTATCTCACACCCGATATCAAATTGACTACTTTAAGCCAGAGCCACGGAAAAGGTATGCGTTCAGAGGTTCCAAGCCTTCACATGTTGCTATGAATGGCTACTCAAATACCGCAGTCTCCAGGGCTAGCATTCACATATATTATCGGATATTTTGAAAACACTCTATCCTCAATGGATCGTTTCCGCGGCAAAGCGCTTCAGCCCTTCAATGGTAGCCCCGTAAAAAGAGACCGAGAAGATCTATCGCACATACGAATCGAAAATTGCGTTGGATTTGTGCGCGTGCCGCTAGGAATCGCAGGTCCATTGCGTGTTACTGGGCCTGACCTCCAGCTTGAGCGGGCTTTTGCTCCTCTAGCAACCACCGAAGCTGCCCTGGTAGCGAGCTGCTCTCGAGGATGTAAAGCATTCAATCTTTGCGGGGGTCTCCAGTTTGATATTCTCGGTAACAGCATATCTCGTGCTCCTGTATTCGGCTTTGAGACACCGAAAGAGGCGATCGCCTTTGCCAGGTTCGTTCCTGAAATCCAGGAAGAATTTGCAAAATCTGCCGAATCCACTAGTCGGCATCTCCGTTTTCAGAACATGGTCCCCCATATCATTGGATCTACCGTGCACTTGTTTATCAGCTACCATTGCGGCGATGCTACTGGTCAAAACATGGTCACTATTGCAACACAACACGCCTGCGATAAGCTAGTGGAGTATTTGCAGGGAGGCCAGCACCGAGTGAAATTTACTCGGATCGAGGGTCAACTCTCCTCGGACAAGAAACCATCCTGGGGCAACGTGAAACACGGTAGGGGAGTCGAGGTAATTGCATGGGGCTCTCTCTCAAATGAAGTGTGCGAGAGCGTCCTGGGGTGCACCTCGGAGATTTTGTATACCCTTATCAGAACTTTGAAGGATGGAGGAATCCGTAATGGGCAATTCGGAGACAATCTCAACACAGCGAACATCATCGCTGCCATCTTTATCTCAACTGGGCAGGACGCTGGGAGCATCGCTGAAGCAAGTTGGACCCATCTCGTTCCTGAATATGACCACACAACAAAAGATCTCCAATTGTCATTGTACTGTCCATCATTGCCAGTTGGAGTTGTCGGTGGTGGTACAGGTTATGAATCTCAGAAAGAGTGTCTGAAAATGATGGATTGTGTCGGGCCTGGCAAGAAAGAGCAATTGGCAGGACTGATTGCTTCGTTTGCCCTTGCATTGGAAATCAGCACTGGTGCCGCTGTTGCGAGCAATACATTCTCAGAGAGCCATCAACGACTCGCGCGGGGCGTGGATTCTCTGCCTCGATCAAAAATTTGAAAAGTGAGCTTTGTCGCAGCGGGTGCAGCAGGAAGCAGAGATGGGAGTTCGTGCAAGGAATTCAAGCTCGAGAGGGAAAAGAGAAAGAGGGGAAGATCTCGTAGAGAGAGGAGATGTAGACGCCGGAGTCCTTAACCAATCAGAGAGTGTTGAATCAATACAATCAATTCGCCATCAACATCCAGCGCCCACCGGAAGCCCGACTCTTGTCCGGATAAGGGCATCGGTATTTCCGAGTCGCAATCCATGCCCAGGTGGATTCCTATTTGACACTATCGTAGATTCAGATCGGAGCTGAGGCTTATCGTGGATTGACTCAAAGAATCCCAATTTCCTCTCCTCTATTTCTTACCAGACTGCTTTCTCACAGCGCGACGGTGCTGCACGAACTCAGGGAACATGTCTTCCTCCGCCCCATTCACGGCATCGCCCACTTTCGCAATTCCCAGTAAACGCCTCTACATATCTTACTTTTCACCCGACTCCCCCGAACACTGCGCCTTCCTCGTCAAGCTATGGAACACTGAAGAGTTCATCAAAACTTCCGGTCGTACTGGAATTGACACCCCAGAGAAAGCCTCAAACTTCCTTCGCAATCGCGTCCACGCTGACTACGCCCGAAACAACTACGGCATCTTCCTGGTCTCGCTCAAGCCGAATGAAAACGCAACCCTGTCAGAGAGTACTCCCATCGGTACCGTATCGCTCATGAAGGGCGATAGCCCAGATTCCTACCTGGCACCTGACATCGGGTATGCGATTCTGCCCGAGGAGACCGGAAAGGGATACGCCACCGAAGCGGCTGTTGCGTTGCTGGAGTATGCGCGCAAAGAACTCGGAGTGGATTCGGCATTCGGATTCTGTGCATGGGACGACCGTCACAGCGCGCGAGTGTTAGAGAAGATCGGCTTCGAGTTTCGAGGCGAGAGGAAGCTGAGTGTCTTTGGGGGTAAGGAAAGTGCTGTCTATGTGCTTCCTGCGATGAGTCAGGACCTGGCGGTTTACAATCTGTATGATTGAGAGAACGCATGGGCTTTAGCCTATGAGGGTTGGCTTCCAGGGTTTCGTGTTGCTCGTGTTGGGCAGGACTCAGACCCCTAACTGGGGTTGGGGGCGCTAGCAATCCCTTTTTCTTCTTTTCCAATTAGTAGCTGAGATGCCAAATCCCGGGGTCATTAAACTACCTGAGCAAAAAAAGACGAAAGCAAAAACATACAACAGTGAGGATTCGCTGGTGGTCACCCACCCAACTACTAACTCACCGGCGTGTGGCTTAAGTACGGCTGAGCGGACGGGAAGCCCTGTTTTCCACACCCTGTGGTCGTATGTGCTTGGTTCACGCTGTCGATGGAATATATTCAAAGTAAATTAACACACAAGTCTAATGGGAGAACTGCTACGGAGTATAGTATTCTCACCCGTGGGCCTCTCTGGATCTAAGGTACAAACAACCCTGAAATAACTATAGTGGAGTGAGGAGGCCCAGAGCACCTAGTGCATTTCCAAGGTCATATGCAGAAGTCTCCTTAACCAGGCACCATTCAATATGACGATTAACCTGGATACTACCTAGGTAGGTAGTATAAACCTTGGAACATAGCATACCTAGGTATAATATCGTGAAGATTTATTGAATAAACATTCTTATATATATTTCAAGGAGTGAGATATTAAAAAAAGATGCGCTCTGGACACAAAGTACCTAGGTACCTTTTACATATAAATCCAATACAAACATTGGAAAGATACACAGAATCTCCAATTCGATTACTCGGTGGAAGACCGCCCCCTCGGGGTGGTCGACTAGCAGAGACGGGTATATTGTTCATATTTCCAAGGTTCCAGATCTTCATTACTCAGGTGGCTCTATGTTAATATTCCCTGTCTCTGACACGATGAACCTGCGGGCCCCGGGGGTAGAACGCGAAATTTCCTTTTCGCGCCGAGACTTCCATTCCTCCAAACGCTCTTCGTCCCACAATGTATAACACCAGTTCCAGCCCGTCTCCTCCGTTTCATCGGCATAAATGGCATATTCCAATTCGATATCCTCGCCTTGCTCCACAAGCCATGTCCTCTTCCACTCTGGGGTAGGCTGCTCGATAGCTGGTAAAGAAGACCAGAACTGTTCGAACCCCGGTCTGTCGTGTCGATCTGCCGGCCCAATGAGCGGGAATCGATATTCCCACGAAAGACTGATTTTGTATCCGATAAATGGGCCATGCCATATTTTTCTGGTGTTTCTGCACACAATGTTACGCCGAGTCAACCTGTCCACGTGGAAGAGGCGATATAGAAACTCTGGCCCTAACCCTGCTAATCCTTCGGCATCCTGGTCAGGAAATATAACCAAGCTTCCAGCACTGTGCATCGTAGATCCCGGTGGGGGACGTTCTTCCACTGGAAGTATTTCATGAAAGAACTCGCATGGCGTGCTTTCGCTGAGTTGCCGTAGATCATGCGAAATCTCCTTTCCCACAAGCTCAACTTTTTCCCGGAAGTAGCTGTACACACATCCCATTTCCTCGTATTCCCAAGGAGGCATTGTGCCGTAGAATAACCGGAACGCATATTCATCATCTTGATGATTACGGGGTTCGTGTAAGCGTCGAATTTTTTTTGTTCCTTCTCTCTTTCGCCAGTGATCCGTGCAAGAGCATGAATCGCAATTTGGGTATTGGAAACAATGAATGGGGTCCCCAAAGATGTTCTTCAGAATTTGCAAGCGGCAAAGCGCCCTTAGGATTCTCTGTCTTTCAACAGACGATAAGACGAGGGGCAGAAATTGATCTTTCCATTGGGTAAGAGGTATGTCGTATCGATTGGGCGCATTGGCTGCATAATCCTCGAGGAAGAATCGTAGCACCTTTTGGAAATGAAGTAGGTTTATGATTTCTTCCAAGTGAGTGGATTTATCCAGTCGATATGGCGATTGATGAGATTGACTGGACTCCCGAATTTCATCTCTGCGACGCCAGGTATCTAGTAGAGCGATTGCACTTTCTCGCCGGGTGGTGAATTGAATCCCTTTCGATCGGACAGCAGTAAGTGCCTCTGCCAGATCAAGTTCTTCGCCTAGTTGTTGATTCGCATGCCATTCAAGTAGATGATATCTGACCAAAAGGTATGCACGGTGGTAGCCTGGTGAGGCAAGCACAAGGGATTTGAGATCCTCAATAACCGGGATTTGCCATAAGATATGAATCTTCAACTCTGTTGGAAGGCCCTCAAGATTGGGTTCAGCCTGAGTGAAGTACTGGTCATTCAAATTCATCATTCGAAAAGGACGGCTTTGGGATCACCATTCTTCGCTGGAAGCACAGTTGGCGGCTGTGATGAGGGGTGAGGGGTTGGCCAAGGTGTGAGACGCGATGCGCCGGGCCGCCCCCTTTGGTAATTCAAGAATACACTTCATTCTGACCGTCTAAGATTGGCATCTGTCAAGAGCTTCAAGTTACGCACTCGCTGCTATGCCCTTTCGTACCGCGTCGAAACTAATGTATACTCGGATGTTGGACTTCGTTATATCGGATTCGAAGAGCACAATTTTGGAAATTCTTGAAACTCTAGATTCAGATCCCAGTTTCCTGCTCTTGGGCGCCCTTGAGATTTCCAAATATAAAACCCCTCATTAATCATATCCCCACAGGATGCTAGGAGAATCAACCTGAGATGTATTCAAATGTATTCAAATGTCGATGTATAAGCCGTGCCTTCGGTGGGCCCCGGGGCCGAAGGCCGAGCTTACTAACCTTATCGGTTTATCGTATCCGCTTATCGGTTTCGTCATCGAATGCTTGCGTCCATATAACCTGCCTGCATCTCCAAGGCTGCAACAACCACACTACACAAATCCAACTTTCCAAAATGTCCAACAACGTTGCCTTCACAGCCCCAATCAACCCACCGGGCTCAACAACCATAATCACCCCAGACCAAGTCTGGAACGGACTCCTCCTCAAGATCCGCTCCGCAGAGACCTTTGTGCCAGCAGCCATCGAGTCCACCGAGGTCATCAGCGAGACCGTCGATTCTTCTGGCAACCCTCACACCATCCGCGAAGTCCGATTCCGCGAGACACAAAAGGTGGTCCGGGAGGCTGTCACGGCCTTCGAAGCCACAAGGGTTGAATTCGAGCAGCCCGATGGAAGCAAGATTAGCAATGTGCTGAGCACTGGAGCTGGGGGTGAGCTTTACATGACATATGTTTTTGAGTGGAGACATCCTGGTGCGTCGAAGGAAGAGTTGGCGACGCTATACGAGAAGGAGAAGAAAATGAGTCAAATGGCGGTTGAGGGGACGATTAAGGCTTTGAGGGAATTGGTGGAAGCGAAGAAACTCTGAGGGCATGTTTATAATACATAATGCAATTGAATGATTCATGTCTATGGTCTTCGATATCCGGGTAGACAGCTTCAATGTCTCTACTACATTCAACAAGCGCAGTTCAAGCCGGGGGAACTCGCACCTTACCCTCAGACACACTCACAGCAGTACCAGTCAGGACAACCTGCTCGATCTTCTTGTCCGCATCCAATGTAACTTCCACACCAATATCACTCCGACGACCCATCTCAACACCCTGCACAACATGATACTCATGCGCCTGGCCCGCCTGGCCCTCCGTGAGCGTCAAATACGCCGCCAACCCACTCGCCGAGCTCCCCGTCGCCGGATCCTCCAACGTCCCCAGCATCATCCGTGAACGAATGACCTTCTTGCCCAAAACCTCGTCCTGAACACCCCTCACAAAGAAGTACACGCACACCAACCCCGCTCTCCACCCCTCATCCAAATACTCCGTCTCAGCAGCAGAGATCAATTCCCCGCCAGTCGCCGGGGTCACCGCAGCCAATGCCTCCAGTGACTCCAACTCAATAAACAACTGACTCATTCCATTGACAATCGAGAACAACGGGAACGTCACACCCTCCGGCAGGAAAGGCTTCAGACTCGGATGCAGACGGAGGACCTCAGACCGGTCGAAGCGCGCTTTGTGAATGCGCGTGTTCTGCGCGATGCGCGCAGCGACATAGTTTGTTTCCTTATTCTGGATGGAAATGGGGATAATGCCCGACTTGGTCGCGAGGGTAGTCACGCCCTTCTCTGCGGAGTGCGTGAGGAACCAGGACGCAGCACCAATGGTGGGGTGTCCTGCGAATGGGATTTCGCAGTCTGTGGTGAAGATGTCGATGGTGCGTGTTGTCGGCTCTGTGGTGGGGTGCACGAAGATGGTTTCGGAAAGGTTGAACTCTCGCGCAATGTTTTGCTTTTGGGATTGGCTTATGGGCTGGGAGTCGAGGAAGACTACGCCTAGAGGGTTGCCTGAGTAGGGCGTTGATGTGAAGACATCGAGAGTGACGAAGTTGAGGGACATTTTGCGGATGGCGGGATGTTGCGCTGTAGAGGTGGCAGGATGGGGTTTTATAGTTCCCGCTCCACTTTGAGTCATTGAATCCACCATGTCATCTTTGCTCGGCAACTGCTTGATATCGGCTATATGTTACATTGTGGCCCGTCTCCACGAGCACTGCCCCAGTCGTAGCTAAGTCCTGAAGAGTATTTCCCAACCTTAGGAAGGAAATATGGTCACCCGACCAGGTGTTCACAACAGATGGTGCAAATGCTGGGATTGAAGTACTCCGTCACAACCACTGTAAACGATTGTAATTGCCATTCTAGAATATACCCCCAAATGTACATGTAGCGCTCAACAAATCACGACAGTTAACAAGAAAAACAGAAAGAGAAAAATCCTACCAAAACGCCCTGCATTCACCCCATTGCGCCGAAAGATGGTTAGATGGTTGTGTGGGTACCAGACCACAAGTCATTCTGATCAAAATATTCCATACCTAAGTAGGTGGATTCAGATAGAGCTAGGTATGGGAGGGAGGGAATACCAAACGATATCTGGCGTTGGCTTCATACCGCCGTGAGAAAAATCCCCTCATCCCTAATGGGAAATGAAAAGAGAAAGAAAGAGAAAGAGAAAAAGGGGAATGGCGCTGGGCTTGGGCAGCGTGGGACATGCCCACCAATGCCCAGAATCGCCACAGTCATGCCAAGGGCCGTCATGGGATCCCACCTAGAAGCAAGAAGCAAATATAGGGCGCAAGTGACCGCGAGCGCAGGCTCAGAAAGAAGCATTCAATCATATGGGCACGTGCCCGTGGGGGTTCGTGGGGTGTAGGGATAGACTCCCATCATCTGATGGCTTCTCAAGAACGAAGGTGATGTTCAAAGTTTGATATATTGGATGACCACGGGATGACCAGAAGCGCAACTCAGAAGTCACTGAATAATGCCTCATATTTCTTCTTCAGGTCATCGGTGTAGATGTTGGCGTGTCTGACGTCGGGGGGATCCGGGTATTCTTCGAAGTTACCAGTATCCGCGGGGTGCGACAAGCGGGGAAGTATAGGCCCTTTCACCCGGCGGTAAAACAAATCGTCCCAAATGACATCTTGGAAGAACGGATGCGACTTGACTCGGGTCGAGCCCCCGGAAATATGGCCGAGTCGTTCCGATGGATTCGTCTTGCACAGAAGGGAGACAATATTCTGCGCTGCGGGCGGCATATTCGGCGGGAAGCGTAGGCGACCCTCGACGATCTGCTCATAGATTCGCATAGGGTTCTGGTCCCAGAATGGGGGCTGGCCAATCAAGAATTCGTATATCAGGATTCCAAGCGCCCACCAATCCACTGCGAGTCCATGGCCGCTGTTTTGAATAACCTCTGGAGCCAGATATTCCGGTGTTCCGCAAAGGGTGTATGTCTCACGGTTGTCGACTTGCTTTGCAAACCCAAAGTCAACCAGTTTGAGATGGCCATCGGCGTCCAGTAGGATATTTTCCGGCTTGAGATCCCTGTAGGCGATCCCATGAACGTCGTGGAGGAACTCAATGGTCATTGTGATTTCGGCAGCGTAGAATATCGAAGTCTCCTCACTGAAGCGTCTCTGCTTGCGGAGATATGTGAATATCTCGCCTCCAGGGCAGTAGTCCAGCTAACGGTTCGTCAGCGCCCTGTAATTCCCCAAACCCATGTCAATCGCAGAGGATGTTCATACCAGCATGTAGAGGCTCTTTTCATCCGAGAAAGACGCGATGAGGGTGGTGATAAATGGGTGATCAATGACCGCTGCAAGGGCTTTCCGTTCGTTGCGCACATGTTCCACTTGCTTGAGTTTGATCACTTTCCAGCGCAGTCGGTGCGAGTTAGCCTTTGTCTCGCGCAACGTGAGACAATGTGGCGCTTACCATCTGCCTTTCGAAGAATTTTCAGGGCATAGACTTTGCTCTTGTCCTTCTGGTCCTTCAACCTTGTGAGCCATACCCGAGCGAAAGTGCCTAAGAAAAAAACCAAAACGAATCAACGGTTAGGAATTGTTCGCGCAACTGGTTTTCACGGAGCAGAAGGTCCTCACCAGTTCCCAGAGTCTTAATGAGGACAAAATCAGTCACGCGCAAAGTCCTTGATTGGATACACAGTTGTTTTTCGCCCTGGCGCTCGGTGATAAGAAACGGGTTGGAGGATCGCGGGGACGAGCGGAGGGATTCGACAATGGATTTCTCGATCTGGTGGAGGGATCCGTTGGGCTTGGGGAACACCATGGTGCCTGGCGCCTCATTCGGCGAGTGTTGCACTGTTCCAGTTGCCATTAGAATCGTGATCCGAAGGAAGGGAAAAAAAAGTATGAGATCCGGCCCGTTAGCGCGCCACCAATCGGCAACACAGCTTTGGTAGGGTCTCAAGAGTCTCAGACTAAAAGGAACATTTAGGTCCGAAGCTGCCCTCAAGAAAGAAAGAGTCTGGGGGAGTCAAAGAAGAGATACGAAAAGAGAGACCTCTGACGTATTTGCTATGCGGGGCGAGACGGAACTCTACGAACTGTGTACATAAGCTAAGAGCCTCTTCGGGGCGTTTGATTCGACCATGCATATTCCCTTATTGTACACCGCAAAATCGATAATTCCATCAATATATCCTGTTTTATCCGGGCGCACGGGATTCGGTAATTTGGTATAGTTGTGGTACTGGTCGCGATAGCCGTGGGGAGAACGTGTAGAGCAGTGCGTATTCAGGACTTCGAGTTCAAGATCAGGCCGACAATCAAGCTGACAGGTTAGTAAGGTCGGAGATCTGAGTCAGGAATACTTACCCATAAAGACCAAGGACTTCGCCGAAAATCAAAATCAAAATCATTCCAACATAGACTCGGGATTGTTGCATGTATGCCCGAACACCCTGGAGCTGCCGTTAGTACCGGTCCTCTCAACCGCTGGAAAGGTATCCGTACCGCATCTCCCACCACACCGATCGTATATCCAGCAGCCACACCTGAAAGACCGACGGACATTCCTGCAGCGAGGTGCATGAAGCCGCTGGGCAGTGTGTCAGCTCGTCCGAAGTTCCACACCTAGCTCTCTGACGTACGTGTATAAGCTCATGTTGGTTGTTGGGCCCACTCCTTGCGCAATGAGAACTGCGATCACAAGACCGTAAACTGCGATGATACCGGACATAACGACGGGGATGAGGGACTAGATGTAGGGGTTTGGTTAGCTATCGGGAACCGGGCAGCAAGCCTGGGAGTTGATCTCACCTTCATGATCAGATCAGATCTGAAAGTTCCCACACCCGCAATACCGATTCCTGACTTTGCTGTGCCATAAGCTGCTCCTGCCGCTGTGAGAAAGTAAGCTGTCTGTCTGGAAAGCTCAAGTCTGGAACCTCTCTGTCTGGCTCCATCCCCAGCAGGTATTCCACGTACACCCGAAGATCATCTTCGGAGGTTGTTAGTGAACTGTCGAACGTAGCGCAATGTAGTGATAGGACTCACTGCAGCAGCAATGCCAGCCTAGATTACAGCAGCTTGTTAGTCTCATGATCTTCAAGGTTGGCGTTTGTACTCACAAAGGAAAAGAACGGGGCGAACTTGGGGGCAAGCTCGCTCTCTGCCATGATGAAAATAGGGCAAGACTCGTCTTGTACGCAATCACCGAAATAAAGAACGAAAACCTAGGGTGTAAACCCGATGGATAGCGAGGAAGGGTAGGTGTCGCTCCTTGTTCCACATGGTCATTTCGCCCGCCGTAGTCCACGCAGTTCCCGCTCAGGCGGTGACCATACGATACTTGCAGTATCCGGTGATCCCCCGCGTTAAAGGTCGGCACTTTGAGGTCTGCCGTATTCGAATTACATACCGGCCTCGCCGTCACCGTGGACCTTCTTCTCCTGGGCCCCCTCCCCCAAGTGTATCATTGCATTTTCAACAACTACCACCCCCACCTTCATCTCGCTGCCCTGTTCTCTCTTGGAAGTCTCGGGGGATGCTGAGGGTATGATCTCGAAAGGAGCCTTGGTTTTGTTGCGCTCACGGCTCCTGGCGCTCTTCTATTAACGTTTGATATCGCCTGCAAATCATCCTAATCCCAAACTGAGGGGAGTTATGGCATATTAAGTCCTATCGCTTGGAGACGCTTCACTTTTCTACTCGCCATTGTGAACGACATATTTTCTCTTGACCCTCCTCGTCGTTTTTCCCGTTGCCCACGATCTTGAACAGACCTCTTGCGACGCCCTGAACGCTCTCCACGATCATCACGGATAACCCCCTTTCACCCTTCTCCGTACCTCGGGACAAACACCTCCTGTACATCTGACCGACGGGCGACTGTCTGCTTGTGATCACTGGTCTCTCGTAAAATGGCGGATCTGGGTGGTCAACGTAACCGGAACTACCGGCCTCACGGACCGGCCTCGTCGACACAGCGGGATGCTGCGTTTTCCGATATTTTCGGGGGCGCACCCCCCGCAGGACGCTCTCAAACTATGAATTCGCAAACACCGCAATTCTCACAAGGTCGTGCCCACACCATGTCATCGCATGTTGTACACCCCCAATTCTCAAGACCGCCGCCGACGCCCACGCGGCAAATGCATAATGGATACGGACCACCATCGGCACCACCTAACGGATACCCCCCGCCGCCCCCATCGGGACAATATCAAGCCTACAATCCAGGAGCCGCGACAATGTCCTCGCATCAGCCCCCTCGACCGCATCCCGGGGCGCAGCAACGATTCGGTGCTTACCCTCGCCCACAGCGCCTCGAAACGCGGCCAAGCCCGGCTACTCAATATCCAGATTCCAGGGAATTCAATCGTCCGATGCCCCCGCCTGCGCTGAATTCCGATGCTTCTCGTTCAAGGTCGATGGCAAAATTGAGTGGGCCGCCCTATCAAAACCCACCCAGCAACTTCAACCACACCTCCGCCATTGCCTCTCGCCGCGAGCCATATCACGCCGGAGCTCCGGTCACTCAATTGGGCCGTCCTGTGCCAGAAAAGAACACCAACGAGCGAGCGATGTCCTTGACCTCATGGTCGTCGGATCGAGATGCGCAGATAATGAACAGCGGAAGATCGATTCCGTATCGCCGGCCACCGTCAGGTCACGATCAGCAAAATTTCATGCGCGAAGCAGTGCCAATCACCCCAAGAAGCGACTCAATGACGCAGCCTAGCCCCGAAGGGTATGTTGGCTCCCGCCAGCCGAGCGATGCATCCGCTAGGTCTCGGACCATGTCTATGGCCTCAACCATTGCACCGGATAGGACAATGAGTGTCCAGAGCCAGGCTACCCAGAGCTCGTCTGGTCAAACAACACTCGTGGCTAGAGATTCACAGCGCAAGGTTCCAGTGGTTTATCCCGCGCTTCTTTCTCTTGTGGCTGAGATCTTTAGAGAGAAGATCTCACTCGGTGAACGGCAGAAGAACGGTCTTTCGTATCAAAACGCATTCTCGGGTACTGACTCTGTCGATTTGATCGGCTCCATCATCCGGACCAACGATCGCAATTTGGCTCTGCTTCTAGGCCGTGCGCTAGATGCCCAAAAGTTCTTCCACGATGTCACATACGATCATCGTCTACGCGATGCTCCTGGTGAAGTCTACCAATTCAAGGAAACAATGGGCGAAGACAAGTCAACAGCCGATGTCAATGGTGTTTTTACACTTCTGACTGAGTGTTATTCTCCCACTTGTAATCGAGACCAGCTTTGCTATTCTATTGCTTGTCCCCGGCGACTAGAGCAACAGGCTAGGCTGAACATCAAGCCCCAACCCGTGCTCGGAGCGGGAGATGCCACCACCGCGCCCCCCGACGATGACGATGATACCGACAACCAAAAGCTGTGGATCAGTACAGTCCCGAAGGATATCTCTGACTCGGTGGAAGATCGCGAGAAGAAACGCCAGGAAATCATCTTTGAGATGATGTACACCGAACGAGACTTCGTCAAGGATTTGGAATATTTGCGCGATTTCTGGATGCGGCCCTTGCGCGCCGCGGGTACTACAACCCATTCGCCAATTCCAGAGCATCGGCGGGAAAAGTTCATTAGGACTGTGTTCGGCAACTGTTTAGAGGTTCTCAAGGTCAACAGTGCCCTGTGTGAAGCTCTGAACGCGCGGCAAAAGGAGAATGCGGTTGTTCAAACCATTGGTGATATTTTCTGTCAACACGTTCCCAACTTCGACCCATTCATCAAATATGGTGCCAACCAACTCTACGGCAAGTACGAATTTGAGAAGGAAAAGGCGTCCAATCCAGCCTTTGCCAAATTCGTGGAAGACACGGAACGTCTCAAAGAGTCTCGAAAGCTGGAGCTGAACGGTTACTTGACAAAGCCTACCACTCGTCTTGCAAGATACCCGCTTCTGCTCGAGGGTGTTCTGAAGACCACTGCGGATAGCAATTCCGACAAGGAAGATATCCCCAAGGCCATCAAGATGATCAAGGATTTCCTTTCGCGCGTCAATGCTGAGAGTGGTAAAGCAGAGAATCATTTCAATCTTGTTCAGCTGAATGCTGCGCTCAAATTCAACACTGCAGACTATGTCGATCTGAAACTTACTGAGGAGAATCGACAAATGCTCATGAAGATGGCTTTCAAAAAGACGACTGCTGACAGTTCTGATGTCACGGCGTACCTCTTCGATCATGCCGTTCTTCTTGTCCGTGTCAAAGTGGTGAACAAGCGCGAGGAAGTCAGGGTTTACAGAAAGCCTATTCCTTTGGAGCTTTTGGTTATCGCTCAGATGGAAGAAGTTATCCCACGACTCGGTATCGCCAAACGACCATCGTCCAGTCTGCTGTCCAACAAACCTGTCATCAACAACCCGCCTCCTGCCAAGGATGGTGGCCTGCCAATCACGTTCAGACATCTTGGAAAAGGTGGATATGAGCAAACTCTCTATGCGACGAACTCTGCCACACGGCGAAAGTTCATTGAGGCAGTCGAGCAGCAGCAAGAGAAGTTATGGGAGAGAAACAGTAACTTCTACAACAAGACAATCCTTAGCGAGGGCTTCTTTGCTGCGGTTAACCGCATCAATTGTCTTGTCCCAATAGGTATGCGACTACCGCCCTACTGTGCACGGATCCTGCTAATCATTTCCATCAGACGGAGGTCGCAAATTGGTCTATGGTACCGACAACGGTATCTTTGTTTCTGAGCGTTGGCCCAAGGACAAATCGGCCAAACCCAAAAAGGTCCTTGAGGCTACTCAGGTCACACAAATCGATACTTTGGAAGAGTACCAGCTGTTGTTGGTACTTGCGAACAAGACGCTTTCCTCTTATCCTATGGATGCTCTTGATATCTCCGAGGGTCAGAATACCATGGCGAAACGTCCAAAGAAGATTCAAGGCCATGCCAACTTCTTCAAGGCCGGCATTGGACTTGGACGTCATCTGGTCTGCTCAGTTAAAACATCGGCCTTGTCAAGTACTATCAAGGTTTACGAGCCAATGGATAACCTTGCTAAAGGAAAGAAAAAGTCAGCTGTCAGCAAAATGTTCCAAAGTGGCCAAGATACACTCAAGCCCTTCAAGGTTTGTTATCTCTCTGCGACCCTCTTTGATTACTTCTAACAATCTCGCACAGGAATACTACATACCAGCGGAATCTTCTTCGATCCATTTCCTCCGCTCTACTCTCTGTGTTGGCTGTGCACGTGGCTTTGAAGTTGTCAGTCTTGAAACAACTGAGACACAATCTCTTCTGGATCAAGCGGATACATCTCTGGACTTTGTCGCACGCAAAGAAAACGTCAAGCCAATTCATATCGAGCGCATGAATGGTGAATTCCTGCTCAACTACAGTGACTTCTCGTTCTTCGTGAACCGGAATGGATGGCGAGCTCGTCCAGATTGGAAGATTGCCTGGGAGGGTAACCCGAACGCATTCGCGCTCTCCTACCCTTACATCCTGGCATTCGAACCAAACTTTGTCGAAATCCGGCACGTTGAGACGAGCGAATTGACACATTTGATGACCGGGAAGAACATTCGCATGTTACACAGTTCCACTCGCGAGGTATGTGACTTCGTATTCCAACCTACTTTACTCCAGTATGCTGACCCTTTTTCAGATTATTTACGCCTACGAAGATGACCATGGCTATGACACCGTTGCCAGCTTGGACTTCTGGACTAATAAACCCCAACAACATGTCTAATCCTCCACAGATGCAACACTCTCCTGCTCTAGTGTTCTTCGCCTTTTTTGGCCATCTACGTCTCACATCCGGCATTCCCACCCATTTCTCCTCATCAATGACATCTTCCGACGGGGACTCACCCGTCGTCTTCTCTTTTCTACGCAATGTACAATGGAGCGCAAATACCACTTCTTGCGTGTCTGATTTTTTGCCTTTCGCCGTTCTACCTCCTTTCTTCACTTTCTTGCCAATTGCATTTTTGCACGCCTCTTTTTTTGTCCTCAAAACTTTACTTTCTAGTGTCATCTTTCATGGTTTTGTTTCCACTCTACCATCTCCTGGCTTTGTTGTTCTTTTCACCTTCTACCTGTATTGTTTTGAGTTCGAGGTATCTTGTCTGTTATACTTAGCAATTTCATTGATGTGGATGGATCCTTTGCATTGCGGATGGGAGAACTGCCCAGGTGAAGTAGGTCTAGCTTGACTTCTTTAATGTCATTGAATTCAATATTGGAAATTTCTCTTCCGAGGTCATGGCATTGGTGTTCCGGGGTTCCGGACTACATCAACACTTAGGTAGCTTGCGTACCTAATGATGATACCTAGCCCTATAGGTAGAAGTGGGACAGCTAGGTTAAGTAGACCATCCCCAAGTTGTGAGTTCTGTATTGAATCCCTGTTTCTATCAAGTCCGTCCATGCCCAGCTGGGTAGTGTAGCGATTTGGCATCACGATGTCCCATTACCTCTTGGCGTGGACCACATCCATGCGGCTTCGAAAGACAACCTTGGAAGCCAATCCCGGAAATTGGAATGCTTGACTACATGCAAAGCACTCCATACGAGAAGAATGTCTAACGATTACAATACCAGTAAGCCCTTCAGCGTATAGCCAGATACTTTTTCGTCCTCTATTACTATCAGTAGGAAGACAGGAGGGGAAAAAGGAGAGATAATGAAGAAGACATGAGCCACGAACGCAAAAAAACAAGAGAAGAGGGAATATTGCTGCGCTGCGGACTTTGAAGAACTAGAGAGAAAGCAAGGGAGATGAGGGAATAGACGTGATGCAGCAGCAGGTCCCGGTGGCATCTGGTGGTGTGATCAGAGAAAAAGAGACCAAGAGACTCGAACACGAAGCAGGACATGGCGTCGAGGGTAAATGGTCACCAGGCGGGTAGTGAAGCACTGAGGATTTGATGAAGCAATGCATCCCATCGTTTTGCGCGGAACACCAAAGCCTATCGTGAGTTGGACACACCCCGCAAAGAAAATAAAAAAAAAAGCTATTAACGTGAATAAACAGTCAATATTATCCCATAAACAAAAGCCAACTTGGTGTTTGAAAATCCATGTTGGCGCAAACGGTATCACATTTCGAAACGACGCCCCACGGAACGAGCCGCATCGCCAGAAGGGTATATCTAGGCCTCTCCGTTGGTAGCTTCGCCGTTTTGCTGCTCGCGCTGCATGCGAGCCTCGATCTCGCGGAGTTGGCTCTCGCGAGCCAGCAGCTCCTGTCGCTTCTCGGCAATCTCGCGCTGGACCTTGATCTCGATCTCGCGCAGCTTCTCCTCCTCGCGGCGAAGCTGCTCCTCCTTGAGGCGCACGGATTGGGAGGCAAGATCCTCGGGGTTCATGGAAGAATCTTGGCCAGATCTGATTATCTTTGTTAGTAAATTTCCGGTGGTAAAGGGGCATATATACGTACGGAGAAGCACCATCGACGCTCTTGCTGAGCTTCTCGGTACGGTAGTTCTCGTAGAGGAAGTCGTGGGTAATTTCCTTCAAGTCACCCAGGTGGCTGTGAAGGAGAGCGCTGCGAATGGCGAGGAAGTCGGAGTGACGAGGGTTCTCAACCTCGACAACACCCCATGGGTACTGGCGTGCGCGCACTTTGCGGTCATCGATCTCGACGAAATCCTCGGATCCAACAATGGCGAAGGGCATCAGACCACGCAGCTCGGCATTCTCCTCCACAGTGTCCTCGTCATCCTCCTCGATGTCGTAGGGGAAGTTGTAGACGGGGATACGGTAGTGCTCAATGTCCTCCATGATCAGCTTCTTAGACTCGGCCAATTCGGCGGGGGTGAGGGAGTCGGCCTTTCCGATAACGGGAATGACGTTGACGCGAGGGGAGAGGCGCTTCATCAGTTCAATGTCGAGTTCACGCAGACCGTGGCCAGTGGGTGTGATGAAGTAAAGCAGGACGTGAACTCGGTTGTCTCTGAAGCGAGGGTTACGCTTGATTCGTGACTCTTCCGCGAGAATATCATCGTATTGGCGCTCGAGGTAGCCAACAATTTCGCCGAAGCTGTTTGAGGGGTCAGTAACTGCATAGTTGCTTAAGGGTCCCTTGGAACGTGCCTGGCCTCGTTGTCAATCTGGTCACCGAATCCGGGGGTATCAACAATAGTGAGGGAGATACGGGTTCCCTCGTCGTCGAGTTCGAGCTCTGCGATTTGCCGTCAATACTGGCCCGTCGTTGCTGCGCGGGGGCTGAATTGCACTCACCGACGGTGACGGGCTTAATGCGGACACCCTCCTCGAGGTGAGCGTTGGCAGCATCATCGGCATCCTTGCCCTCCAACACCTGCTTGCCGCAGAGAGTGTTGACGAAAGTTGTGCGTCCTATTCATCCAGGGGATCGGGCAATTAGCGGGCGTTCAGGGTGAGAACGGATTGAAACAGCATACCGGTACCGCTTGCACCGCAGACCATCAAACAAAACTGAATTCCCTTCTTGACATTCTTCTTGCGACGAATCTTGATCTACCCGGAACGAGCACGGGCGTGCGATTAGCTTTCGACATTTTTCCAGAGACAGGGGCAAGTGCCTACCGCGTTGAGTGCTGAAGACATTGTGAGTAGAGGATAAATTAAACTAGTATGAAAAAGAAGAAAGGTCGAAGTAATAAGGAAGAGTGAAACTTGGCTCTCCTGAGAGTCTGGAGAGAGAGAGAGTAGGGGGGGGAAAGACAGTTCGTGTTTCCCCCTTTCCCAAACAGGTGACCAATCATCGCATCGCTAGCTACTCCAGTCCGTCTACTAGTATATTTGCACTGCTTCGACTATGTAAGTACAGCCCTGGACAGATCACAATTGACCAGTGGACTCCAGTAAAAAAGAAATATCTATAATTCCAGCCCCTATCTCGTGCATTGATTCTACTGTGCAGTGGCATATGTGCTGTACAGCACTCAGGGGTCCCGTGGAGTGCTTATATAATACATGCCTGAGGTGTCGATGTGGATAGCTCTTATCGATACGGCCCAAAACGGGAAGACCGGGGTCGAGATCACCCCGTCGCGGAGCTTCGACATCCCCAGTTCCCATCTCTCTGCCTGTGCACTTCCCAAAGATGAGGCGCTGACTCCATAATGAATACCCGCCAGTCGATCGATGAGTCCACCGGGCCATACTCACTATCGGTAACGTTTAACCATGACAACAGCTGCTTCTCGGTGGGGTTGGATACGGGCTTCTGTGGTAAGGACTGTTTAAGATACTCATCTCTGCTGGGATGCCATTCCTCGGGATGAAAGCATCGTATATCACTTGATGTATGGGCCCATGGCTAATATATCCTAGTATATAATGCCAACCCGTGCGAGCTGAAGGTTCTAAGAGGTGGGGACTGACCCTCAACCCTGGATGCTTCCATCTAGTGGGCGCCACGGAGCTGACGCATCTGATGGATCAGATTTCAATGCCGGCATTGGGGTCGCCGAAATGCTGGGCCAGTCAAACTATTTAGCCATCGTGGGCGGTGGTAGGAACCCTAAGTTTCCACAGAACAAGGTGTGTACTTCCATCAACGTGAGACAGAAGAACAAAGTTGACACCCCTCCAGTTGGTCATTTGGGATGATGCCAAACAGAAATCAGCCATCACTCTTGAATTCCGGACCTCGGTTCTGGGAGTTCGTCTCTCCAAGTCAAAGATTGTTGCGGTGCTGTTGAATAGTGTTCATGTATTTGCTTTCTCCAATCCCCCAAAGAAGCTCTCGGTGTTCGAGACCTCAGACAACCCACTAGGACTAGCCTGTCTCGACCAGAAGGTGCTTGCCTTTCCTGGTCGGTCCCCAGGGCAGGTCCAGATGATAGAACTGGAGACAGGCAACATCAGCATCGTTCCGGCACACAGCACCCCGCTCCGGGCAATGGCACTAAGTCCCAATGGAAGTTTACTGGCAACAGCTAGTGAATCGGTGAGCTGCCATCCACTGCGCTCGTCTATGAGCCGGGTCGGTTAACGTGTGCGCAGGGAACGTTGGTTCGAATATTCGCTACCGGCAACTGTACAAAGTTGGCAGAGTTACGCCGCGGCGTTGACCACGCGGTCATATTTTCTATTGCATTTTCCCCGTCCAATACTATGCTGGCAGTTACATCTGACAAATCAACTCTCCATGTGTTTGAACTCCCCCAGCAACCCATCGGCCGTCGCAGTCAATCACCGACGCCAGCGGCAGAGGAAACGGCCCCTAGTCAAAAATGGGGGATCCTTGGCAAGATTCCTCTACTTCCCCGTGTTTTTTCGGATGTATACTCTGTTACGAGTGCACATTTTGAGATTTCCGAAGGCACGGCGCCGAGCTCGGGGTATATACCACCAAGTGGGTCGGCATTTGGTCGGCCTCAGAAAGGACTTCTAGGGTGGTGCGATGACCAGACTCTGATTGTGCTGGGTTCCGGAAGAGAGGGGCGCTGGGAGAAGTTTGCGCTTCGAGAAGGCGATGAAGGCAAGAAACATTGCGTTCGAGATGGCTGGAAAAGGTATCTTGCGTAGTTGACAGGATAGCAATATTTATTAACCAAGTCACCACACCATACCGCAGGAGTATCCCCGGCCTGGGCAGACCTTTGAATGACCAGTCTGCAATTGCTTGGCCTAGCGTTAGCCCTGGAGGACCAAGCTCGATAAATCGAGTACTTTTTGATGGCCCAGGGCTGCGGGTCTTCTCATTGTATTTAGCCACAAGAACATGATCGTGGTCATATTTTTGCACGTCCTTGATCGAGGGGATGAGTCGGCGATGTAGTGATGATAACATGTGTCTTTCGTACGCTAAAGTTTGATGCCCTGGGCGGTGCTGCTGTATAGGGCTCGTCGTAGATGATTGGAGGCTCGTGTCGAAATTGGCTAATGCGGGCAATGCAAAAAATTCCGGGCCCCACCTGAAGGAGTATCATGGGGGATGGTCAGAGCATGAGAAGAAGGCGTTATATATAGCAGGACATAGTTCGTTTGTCGTTTAGGATCGAGCATATCAATGACATTTTCGCCAACTTCAGACACTTAACGGCGGCGATCATGTCTATCCCTATCAGACCGGTGTCGTCGAGACTCGGGTGAGCGTGATTCCCTCGAGGGTCGGTCTCTTCTTGATCGGTCTCTGTCTGATGACCTGTGGCGAGAACGTCTCTCCCTGTCTGGAGAACGGGAACGGTGTCTGCGATGGTGCCGACTCGATCGTTCTCTGCTATGGTCTCGTCGCCTGCTAGATTTCTTGGAGCTGTTCCAGGCCTCGATAGCGCGGGCGACCTCTTCTTTTTTCTCCTCAATCAAAAACTCCTTCATTGGGTCCTCCTCGTCATGGGTTTGCATCAGGTGTTGCAATTCTTTCTCCTCTTGCAGCATTGGTCGCTTTTCTTCAATCGCCTGTCTCCGGCTGTGTCGATCTCCCTTGCTCTCCTTGGTTTCGGGGGCCGGGTCTCCCATCAACTTGGCGACATTATCTTCCTCCTCCTCGTCATCCTTGCGCTTGTACCGTGTATGGTCGACTCGAAGCATGCGACCCAGAACAGTTGCACCACCAAGATTATCCACGGCCAGATCTGTGCTGCGCTGGTCCTCGTATTTCAAAAAGGCGAAACCCTTGCTCTTTCCGGTTTCCTTGTCGCGGACCAGATTGACATGCACCGGCTCTCCGTATTGGGAGAATATTGTGACAATGTCACCCTCGGATAGATCAAATGGAAGGCCGCCGATATAGACATAAGCTGTATCGCGATAGTCTGCGTGCCATGACGCTTCTGGAGGTCTAATACAAGGTTGTTAGTCACATGCGAAGGGCTGCGCGTAGCATAGCGAAAGGTTCCGAACTCACACAGCGTTTTCTAGCTCGCGCTTATTGAGCGCCTGTACTTGACGAATGGAATTCATAGGGTCGATAGGTTGAAGTGACGGCGAAGGAAGAGGAAGAAAGTTGGAGCAGAAGTTGGAGAGAGAAATGTGGAGCCGCGGAACCGTAATATTCAGTTGTTTACGCACCTGGACGCAAACTAACCCCCTGCTCAATCAAAGACGGTCTCCGACACAAGACCACTTTGTTTCAGTGACTCGCAATTGCCTACAGGTCCTCGCGAGTGGGCTAGCTTTTTAGGCCGAAAACTTACATCCTCCGGGATTCCCCTGACCGCGCCTCACCTCCTCAACCTTGCCACGCGCATACTACGGCGGTGCGGGAGAGATCGATCTCTACCGGTGTGAATGTCCCCCGAGGCATGGTAGAATTTGACTAGACGATGTCTTCGTCCAGTCCGAACCCAGGTTCGAAGACCGGAACCAACAGTCGACCAACAAGCAAAGATGGCTCCAAGAAGAACATTTGGTCCTCGCTGTTAGATACAGTTGCTAACGGCAAGCGCCTGCCTGAGAAGAACTTATTGGTGCTAGGTAAGTCCCGTCTCCGAGGCATTCCAACCCCGCTGGATCTGGCTTCTAGCCCTGATTGCTTCCCCGGCCTACCCTATTGACTTGTCACTAATCCCGCGATTACAGGTGGCACACCAGATAGCCAAAGGGAATTTCTCGATACCTTCTCCGCCGATACCTCTGCAGACCCCGCCTTAGCGAACGACAAACGAAAGGGCAAAGGGAAGATACCGCCAATTGCCAATCAATTTGCGCTTGGTTACACATATCGAGATGTTCTCGACGCCGATAAAGAAGGTATCCAATCAACCCAGCGCACTTCTGATGTTGGGATTCCCTAACAATCTGGACAGATACTCTGGCTCGCGTCTCTGCCTACCTCCTATCCGAACCGTCTCCCTCATTTGCGCCCCTCCTTAAACCACTCTTGACTCCGAAGTCTGTACCAGAAACGCTGGTTGTGATCCTTATGGACTGGTCAGACCCATGGACGTGGGTTCGAAGACTCAGAGAATGGGTCCGGCTACTGCGCTCTGTTCTTGTTTCGCTCGATGATGAGACCAAGATCGTTATGGAAGAAACTATGATGGAGTGGCGCGACCGCAAGCGAGGCATCGATGCCAATAATGCGACTGCCGGTGGTCTTTCAAACTCAAGTGGCCCGATCACAATACCTTTGGGCCCTGGCGAATGGGACGAGGGCCTCGGTATCCCCATGTGTGTTGTCTGCCAAGGGGTATGTTGAATGATCATAACCAATATATGTGGTACAGCTTTGCTAACTTGGTTTCTCTGCCTTCAGGCGGACAAAATCGAGAAACTAGAGAAAGATCACGGATGGCATGAGGAGCAATTTGACTTCATCCTCCAGTTCCTCAGAACAATTCTCTTGAAGCGTAAGGCCCATCCGCGATCTTACCAGTGATTCCACTTCATCATGCATATTTCTGACACCGAACAGATGGCGCATCTCTCATTTATACCACTCCGTTCTTGGCAGGCTCACTCCAAGGCCTAGTCCATTCTTCACTCGGCATACACTCTCTATTGAAAAGAGAATCATTAAAACATAATGTGATTGACCGCGACAAGATTCTTGTACCAGCAAACTGGGACTCTTGGGGCAAGATTCGAATCATCCGTGAAGGGTTCGACATGGAGGGAGTGTCGACAGCATGGTCAATTGAGATCCAGGATCCTCCGGAGTCAATCTATCAAACCTCAAATAGCGCTCAAGAAAGCGAGAACGCTCTGGCGGAAGATGGCACCAGCGCAGTGACTACGTTTGAGCAAACGATTCACGATCCCAAACAAGGCACAGTTGGCGCCAATTCGAATAGCAACAGCACCAAGATCGAGGTCGAAACCGCTGATCTTCAAGACTTCTTTGCTACTCAGGCGAATATTCTGGAAGAGCTGAAAGCAAAAGATGACAAGGAGCACACAACACCCAATGCTCCACAGCTGGAAATGTCTCCTATGGCCGATGAAGGCAAAGTCAATGAGCACATTGGTCCTGTGCAGTTCAACATGGGCGGAATTCAAGTAGACGCCGATGATATGTTGAAGAAGCTCAAGGTAAGTCCCAAAAGAGAAGCCCACCACTATTCCAGAAACTGACCGAAATCTTTCCAGGATCGAGAAGCTGTCCGAACCCAAAGGAAGGAAAGCCCGTTGCCAGCTCCCAGCGACGACAAAGCGCATAATCAAGCCTTGGCAAACTTCTTTGCTGGTCTTGTCAAGAAACCAGGCTCAAGCCCTCGTGGAAGCCCCTCGGCTTGAGCTCTTCTTTCTTTCGCTGTATTTTAGTTTGTCCATACATAGTACAGAACCTGGAAGTCTCGCTTTTGGCGTTGGACCGCTTTGTTTGGGATATAGATGGACAAGGCTGTTCAAAGTCCAATGGCTAGGATGGGTATATGGTCGTTCTGTGATAACCCCGGGAGTGGAGAGGTCCAATGGCTTTTCGGCAGGTGTTAGATAGTGATACCAATATGAAGTCTGTTTTGTTACATTATTCTTGACCTCAAGATTTTCTACTTTTCGCGCTCAAGGGTACTTGACCTAGACTTCTACATGTGTAAATAGAATACAAAAAAATACATTTTGAGCCTAGGGCTACCTATATAGGTATCTTAATATGATCCGTTACTGATCAAGCGTTTGCTTAGACTATACCTCGAAGACCCTGGTCTTTTGTTGAGATCACCAGTTTTCCCAGACAGCATCAGGCAGAACATTTCTCATAATAGACCAGTGAGCCAAAGCACTGCGGTCTTGGTACTTGTGCAGTCTGCCAGCTTCCTTGGCCCACAACAACGGCCTGCCGCCCTTGGGGTAGGAAGCAAACATAGCAGGGTCCAACTCATGCTCGGGAACAAGGTAGCTTTGCCGAGATCTGCTGCGCAGGTAGTCTGCCGGGACAGGGTCACGGAATCGGAGTGGTGCCTCGGTCTTCTTGCAGAACAAGACCATGTTGGTGAACTTGGAATCCTCTTCATTGCCGGCAGGGGCCTCGCGGAAGATACGGCAGGACGGGAAAACGGCCTGAACAGTGCGCACAACGAGACCGGTCGGGTAGAGAGTCAGATCGCCGGCATAGTTCTAGGAGAAAGAGAGTGGTGAGTGCGTATTTCGGAGACTTGGTTATGTCAAAACTTACAATGGCGATGACACCGTCGTTTTTGAGGAGAGAGTGGAGGCCAGATAGGAATTCAAAGGTGAATAGGTCAGCGGGCTCAGCGCCACCAGTGAATACATCATGGACAATGTAGTCGTATTGCGGAGACTTGGAGGAGGATTCGGCATTCTTGACGAACTTGACGGCGTCTTCAATCACGGGAATATGCTTCGCTGGAAGGTTGAAATATTCAACGGCAAATTTGTGCACGACAGGGTCAATCTCGACAATAGTGGTCTCGATGCCGTGCTTGATAAGTGCAGCGGGGGTGGTACCAATTCCAAGGCCACTGCTTCCGTTAGTCAAGTCATTCTTTTTGTCAATCTGAAAATGGTCTTACATGACAAGAGCATTGCTGTCTGCATCGACGCGAGGAATTCCGTTATCGGGTTCAACCAAACGAACAGCCTCTAGCATGGCAAAGATTGCATAGATGGGATCCTCAACCTCGGGGTGATATCCGGGGACATTCTTAGTCCACTGGCCGCCGAGCAGGCTGTGGTCGCAGCGCATGACACGGAATCCATCATTGTCGTTCTCAAGAACGGAGATGTATCCCGTGTAAGCTTCCTGGCGGGCCAGGAGAGTGTATCCTTCGTGCTGGATGGCAGAATTGACACCGTTGATTCCCGCAAAGTGAACATTCGAGGTGAAGGAGAAAATGATGGAAGGAATTGCCAATGCGAGCCACTTGGATGGAATCAAAGCAGAGTAGCAGGTGGCAAGGAGAATTTGCATGCCGACTCTGGTGAACAGGAATGTTGTTCCAACGATCCACGAAAGAAGCGTTGTAGCGAAGTGGTCGCCAATGGAATAGAGCACATATGTACCAATCAGGGGCACATGCTCAGCAGCCAGGTCACCGTGTGCCTCAAGCCTCAAGGAAGTCTGGATCAGCTTTCCAGCATAAGCCACTGTAAGCAAGACCAGAGGGTAGTAGCCACATAGCTCCGTGACCACTGGGCCTGTTGGGTTGCCGATCTTGGAGCTCTGCTGCTTGATGAGGTACTGGATAGTAGGAACCCAGAATGCCAGCACAGGAAGTAAGTAACCACCAAGGCGACCCAGACGTTTCGAAATTTTGTCCTTAAGCAACCATCCAAGTCCACCGGAGATGGCCACTCCAAAGCTATGGAAGATCGTCGAGGGGAGATATCCATAGGTCGGAGACAGGACCAGCTTGGAGAGGGGCGAATAGAAAGCAAGCAGGACCAGCAAGGCCATGCCGGTGCCGAAGCGCCGGCGATCGACCTGCTGCAAGAAGTCCTGGACAGACATTGTTTCCAGCTGGATGCAATTCTAGATACCAACGTCTAGTACATGCGGGATTGACAAACAGCGTATCTGCGGGTTTATTAGCAATTCTGAAACGGTGTCCTTTCGCACTTGACAGGAAGATCCAATGTCCGAAGAGCTCCGGACAAAATCAAAGTTTCAATTAGAGTATCGACTTACTTGTTCAGACCAGACACATAGAAGCTCCGTCGAAGAAGAAAAGTTATCGCGGAGAGGAGGCACTTTTGCCGCCGCATTCCGCGTTCCCCCAACTTCAACCTTCCGTCACAGCCATGCCACATTTCCCAAAGGACTCGGGCTTCACGCCCCAAACAAGCCATGCTATCACAGTCAAGAACCGTCGCAAGCGGTATCTGGACCTACATCCAGAATACTACTCGGCAGATCTTGAGCTAGCCGGTCCGCCTGCTCTTTTCCACAGCCTCGCCTGATCACGGACGACAGCTGGCACCATACCTAGAAGGAATTAACCACCTAATGCTAACCTCGCTCGACTCTCTACAGACCCTTTACTGTACGATCGCCTCATCCGCCGGTTCCAAACGCCACAAGAAAGAGAAGCTGCTGGGAAAACCCTGGGATTCTCGGGCATCCTGCAAACAGACATCATGAGATCAGAGGCCAGGATGAACGCCATTGCCCACCCCGATCCTCACGCCATAATGAGCTATACTCGCGGCCCCGATGGGGAAATCCTCGCCGAGGACCGTGATGACATTCCTCCAAATAAAGAAGAAGGCGAGCGACTCTGGCAGTGGGAAATGGGGCTGCGGTTCATACAGGGTAACGACCCAGATTTCGATTACACAACTGTCGATGATAATGACGACTACGACGATCACTCGGACAAGGTAGATCAGTACTTCGAGGATGAGGAACCCGAATGGGTAGTTAACGATACCCGGGGGAGTGATGCTCGACCAAACCTTCAGGGAGAGACTGGCGTTCAAGACTTTTGATTTCGTTACATCGTCAATATTCGGGCAACGAGTTCGAGATTCTCAGCCAGCCGTCTTTGTTATGGTTCCTCTTTTGCCTTTCAGTGGGACATTTGGAAGTGTTCGACTCTATGATATCCTGCCGGTGTTCTCTTTGCATATGTACAAACAAATTGAATGTTCTTGACCACAGCTATACAGCACGTCTCGTCAAAAGCTCAATGGCCTTCTCTCTAAGTCTGAACTTCTGAATCTTTCCACTTGCTGTTTTGGGAAATGATTCCATGGGGTCCAGGAAGAAGACATGTTTCGGGACTACCCACGAGCACGGTCAGCCTGGTTACCAACTTCCGTCCGAGCTCGCACTTACCGAGATGATTGCTCAATTTCTCGCGCACCCATTGCTGGACCTCCTCGGCGTTTATCCGGCTTGCGCCATGCTCTCGGGCTACTACAAAGGCAGCCACAGCCTCACCATATCTCGTATCGGGGACGCCAACTATAGACGCGTCGGAAATGGCAGGATTTGCTAGTAAGCAATTCTCAATCTCAAGAGGGTGAATGTTCTCCCCACCCCGGATGATCAAATCTTTGATTCGTCCTGTGATGGTGATATAGCCATCTGGGGACATAGAAGCTTCGTCCCCGGTCTAGAGGATCGATGTCAGAGTGGAGATAGGGTATGTAAAAAGAAGAAGAGACTCACATGCATCCACACCTTACCAGTATCATCTGGAATCATCACTTCCGCCGTCTTTTCTGGAGCCCCCCAATACTCCTTCATCAGAAGGTACCCGCCAACCGCCAGCTCGCCTCGGGCCCCAAGGGGCAAAATCTCCGATTTGTCCAAAGGATTCACAATCTTTGCCTGGACATGTGGCATAAGCTTTCCAACGGAACTGATACGTTTGTCGATCGGGTCGTCTGTGGCGGTCATAGCCGAAACGGGGCTTGTTTCGGTCATTCCATAGCAGATTGTCAATTCGGTCAAATTCAAAATCCTGTGCAGCTTCTTCATGAGTTCAGACGGGATGCTACTCCCGGCAGCAATACCTGTCCGAAGGTGCTGGAAACCCTCGCGGGAGATCTTTCCGGTCTCAATTAAGCTAAGTTCCTCAAGGAACATGGTTGGAACGCCGTACAGCGCTGTGCATCTTTCTTCCTGTACTGCTTTCAAGGTGGCATGTGCATTGAAGGATTCACTCGGGAATACAATGGCCGCGCCGTGTGTTGCCGTCGCCATATAGCCCAATGTACAACCGAAGCAATGAAAGAGTGGGGGTGGGCAGCAGACGATATCATGTGGTGTGAGAAGCATGCGATCACCGACCTGGGAGCCGTTATTCACAATCGAGTGATGGCTCAGGCATGCTGCCTTGGGCATCGCTGTTGTTCCGGAAGTGAACTGAATGTTCACAATTTCGTGCGGGGAAAGATCCTGTGGAGGTAGTGGACGGCCGTCTGCAACGAGTTGGGACATTATAGATTCAAATGGTGTCAAGCTTTTGTAAGATGAGATGTCCACTCGATTTTCCGAGTTGTCGATCATAATGATTTGTTTCAGTGAAGGAACCAGCGAAGACTCCAATTTCGAGCCGTGAATGTCTCCAATGAGCTCATCAACTAGAGGTATATTGCTTCGTGGTTGTTTCCGGGGCAGATTAGACTCTGTGCTTATAAGAAGGTGAGTGGACTCGAGGTGACCCAATGCTGCAATCACTTGTCCTGCATTGAAAGACGGGTTGAGCGGAACCTATGTAGGGTGAGGTCGAGTACTGCATTCCCCAAGCGGAGTGACTTACCAAGATGGCACCGAGTTTGAACAGAGCATATGTCGCCTGTTACATGGTCAGTCTCTAAACCTGGGAAGCTCTCCATTGAAAACACCCAACGTACCACGGCGAATTCCATTGAATTGCCCAGCATCACTCCTACTCGAGACCCCTTGCGGACACCAACAGACTCCAGCCCTCGGGCGAGTGCGTTGCTTCTGTTATCCAAGGAAGCATAAGTTGCTCTATCATTCTGATGGCTTGAAATAACACTGTTTGTATAAGTCGTGCTTGTGAGTGTCGATTTCACAACGATACGTAACGTTTTTGCTCACGCTGTTCGATCACCGTGCTCGGCCACGACCTTAGCGAAGTGCGCGCCAACAGTGGACTCAATCAAGGGGGGCTATAGAAGAAAAGAGTTGGTGAGCAAATGTTTGACCTATTCATGAATGGAAAGGGAAGCTTACGCTTGAGGGACCTCTCGCATAGCTCTCGGTGAGAAGCCCTCTTTGTGCTAAGGCTGTGCTCTTGATTCTCCTTGTTCCAGACCGAACTCGACAAGCCAAATGGCCTCGAGTAAAGCCCAGAGCCCGAGTATAGCTCATATTTCGTGTTCCCAGAGGCCAATTGCAAGGATTCATAGCTCGCTGCTGTACTGCGACGGCGTGTGTGCTCGATTCGATATCAACGAGGAAATGGAGTAAAAGTCTTCCATTGCATTCAAGACAAGTCGACGCGGAACTCAAGGTTTCCCCGCAGTCTACGCGTGCGGGGAGGCGGCCGCGGCCGAGGGACTACATCATCACCTGAGCACAACTGCTACATCACTCAGAAGCACTTGAATATTGGCTTACATCCTTTCCTTCAGTACGTTTTCATATGTTCCATGGATTGGAATGTCCTTCTGGAAGTGTCTCATATTAGGTGCCAGAGCTCACTTAAGGATACCTAGCCATGACATCGATTGACGATGAATCGTTAACCAAAAATAGCCACACGGGATGATAGCTTAACTTGAGAGGTCCAGTAAGGCTAGGTAGTTTTGGGGGCATATATGCGCGCTCAGCTAAACATCAAAACCAAATCAGGTGGCGTGCCGCATTACCAGGCCTGGTTGGCACATCATATAGAGCAGTCAGTGACAGCGAAGTCTGCTCGAAATGTTATTGACAGGAGTGCAATGGGCTAATAGGTAAATTGGCTGTCATCTTTATATTAATGACTAACGTACATTGTACTATTTCCAAGGTTCGCACAGCTTCTAATCAGATTTCATTCAAATATACTCCGGACATGTCGATATGCGGACGAACACTTGTTTATGTTATGCCACCTCCCATTATGTGCTTTGTTTAACATGCCATCTCGGTATCCCGGGTCTTCGCGTCTGACTAGTTTGTCAATTTCAATCCTAAAGTTTTACGGAGTAGTGATCTGTACATACACGGTCGGGCATCTGTCACATCCCTTGCGTGGATGGCCGTTTACTTTAATCCTCTTTCGCGACATTTACAATTCCTATTTAGCGAGCATTCACACAATCAACTGGCAGTTTGGCGGAGTGGTTAACGCGGTAGCCTCGAATGAGTCGTTTCACGACTTCCGAAAGCTACTTCCCTCGGGAGCGCAGGTTCGAATCCTGCAGCTGTCGTTTTTTGGCTTGTTTTTGAGCCGTTGTCTACAAGCTCCTATCATTTTTGAATCATGGTCAGATTGAGGCTTCAACAGCGATCAAGAAAACATAATGAAGAAAATATGTGTCGGCGGTGGTCGGTTTCGGCGCTCACCCGTGGACGGACTGCTCAGGTTAAGATCGAATCCCCGCAAGGTTCGCTGAGTGTGAGTTCCGGGGTTTCAAGGTATGCAAATACCTACATAGGTACATAGGTAGAAACTAATCAGATAGGACTGCCCAGGTGGCTTTACACCGTGGACAGCCCTGCTAATGAATTTCATCGCTCGAGCATCCTCATCTGGGCAGTAAACTATTCAGCCTTCTTAACTACATTTATATAACCCCAACAATACTACTTTCAATCTTAGAAAAAATCTAATAAATTTCAGTCCGCCGATGCCTAGGTATGTATCGTTGGTTCAAGGTTCTATTACAATGCACCTCTAATTTCATGGAAATTCCCGCATCTTGCATTCGATAACTAATTCTTATTGCTACACTCGTACTACCAATGAACTCCCTCTCTCCCTCAAGTGCTACCCTTAGTAAGGACTAACTCTAGCCTTCTTGTTCTTGCTGGCCTTGGGGGCCTTGCCGTTGGTCTTCTTACCCTTCGTGCTCTTCTTGGAGGCCTTGCCCTCAAGCACCTTGTGCTCCGGAACGGGGCTCCCGCTCTCGCTGCTGGGGTTGCTGATGCAGTTCCAGTGACCACAAGCGCACTCTCGAAGCCCGCCCTGCCAATATCCGGAGCCATAGTCGATTGTCAGTTCCTCAAAGGGTGCGATGTACCGGGCGGCTTCGATGGTGGTCACCACGCGGTCTCCAATCGTGCGGACCACGAAGTTCGTCGAGGGCTGGCAGGAGTGGTTCAGGAACCGGGTCCAGTTGCCTGTCTTGTGGGAGCAGATGTAGCACAGATGGTCTCCCTTGGGTGCATCCCAGCTCTGGCTCAGGGGGTACACGGTGTCGTTGGCGGTGTCGGACCTCAACTCACCGACATAGATGTCAAGGACATCCCCGCGGTTGAAGGTCGTCAGGCTGCGGACGCCGGTGCCTACTCCTGGGTACTCGACCAGCTCTACGAGCTCTCCTGCGCGGGATTGCAGGGTACATCCACAAGGGCCCTGGCTTCCACAGAGGGCGCAGCCGGTGGAGTTGACGTCTGACTTGGCGGTTGGGTCCGAGGGGAAGCATTCATCATAGATGCTCTCGTCGATGTGTGTCTGGTACTCACCGTTGAACTCGGTACGCTTCAGGTCACCATCGAGGGTGAGCACTGTGTGGTGGGGGTGGTGGACTTCCCAGTCTAGGGCGCTCTCTACAGCCTCCTTTGCCGATGGCAGACCTGGGATGGGGCTAGGCACTTCCTTGATGAGCTTGATCCAGTCCAGCTCGCGGCAGTGAGCATAGTGCTCGATGCTCAGGGAGTTGTTGTGGATATTCTGCAGTAGACATTCCCAGAGTCTGTGGTCGGCTTCCATGTATGCCCGGCGGAAGGCCTCTGTATGGGCGCAGATGGCGGCCAGCTTCCATCCGATCTCGGTGATAGTAGCACAGAACCTGTTCTCGGGTGCGAGAGACTGGGACTTGACTTGGTTCTTCTTGAGGTGTCCAATAGAGGCCAGGTAGTTAGCAAATTCCGTTTCCATGAATTCCTCGGTGATACCTTCCAGGTTCTCCATCACCTGCATGGAGTAGAGATCCTCTGTGTTTGCCTCACGTTGGAAGCGGCTGTGGGTGTTCAGATCAAAGTAGATTGAGGACATGGTCTCCTTGGCGAAATGTTCCGCTGTCTGGGTCAGTGCAGCCTCAGAGCCGTAGGGGGGGAAGAGTTCCTCCATGCTGAGCGGCTCAAAACCGTCAGCGTGGGTGTTGTTTTGGATGGCCATTTTGGTGGTTAGGTTGGTAAGATATATAGTTGGATTTGAAGATTGAATTGAAGGTGTTTCTTGGTTGGTTGGTTGGTTGATTGCTTGGATGATTGTGTGATGAAGACCAGATATACGGGCAGCACAGGGCCTTTTATGTACGTTTGCTCCGGCCAGCGTCTCTCTGGGGTCATTGTTCAACATTGGGCTTTGTTATGGATAAAGGCAGCATGCAAAAAGGAATGCAGCCATTGTCAAGGTGAAAGAGCCATAGCCCTCGAATCCTTGATCCAAATTTAGCATATTGATGGAGTAATTCGAGCAAAGAAATGTCAATGAGATCAAAAGAAATGATGAAATCAAAGGCGACAAAAGAACAAAAGACATGGGGGAATGCTTGGCGTCATGTGGGGGGAAGCTCCAACGCGTCACTTGTCTTCTGCATCAACGGTCTCGACTGCAAAGATGGAGCCCACCGAGGACGCCATTGACAACTTTGTCAGCTTCACAAGTACGTCGCGCGATCGAGCGATCTTGTTCTTGAAGGTAAACTCTCCGTCTTTGTTGATTCTTGCCGAGCTAATCGCCGCAGGCAAATAACCTCGACTCCCAAAAAGCTATCAACGCATACTTTGAAGATCCCACGGGACCGGCACCAAAAGTGAATATCGCAAGCAAGACATACCGTTATCTCTTCTGACACTGTGACTAGGCGACTGGGTATCTCAGCGACCCGGGATTGCGTGAGTTGGATCGCCCCGTGCGCAGTATGGTCCGGAATTGACTTGTCTCTCACTTTAGCATGGGACTTTTCGCAACAAGATAATGCGCCTCCATTACCTGCTACTGCCCCACCCTCGCGCCCTCCTTCCCGGATTGACAAACGCACCACGGAACAAAACACTGGCACCCAGGGCGCTGATGCAGGCACCTCAACAGGTAACACCACCTGCAGATTGAAAGCGCAGACCATGAACTGATCATAGACTCCGTTCATACAGAAGGCTCTGGAAAAGGCCTAAGCTTGGCAGAGCGTGAAGAAAAGGAGCTACAGCGCGCAGTTGCCATGTCCCTAGGCTCTGACATGGGGCAACAGGAAACCGGCGTCACATCAAGTGGCCAGTCACAACTCAGCAAAGCGACCCGGGATCACTACGAGGAAAATGCATGGGCAATGACTCTTTTCAACTCGGAAGAAGTGACAACAAGCCCAGACCCTGAGGATCGCATAAGAATGGAGGGCGAGCCAGCTTTTATTCGCCCGAACGCAGAGGAAGTCTACCTAGGAGGATTCTTGACCATTCTTCACAACATCCCTCTCGCACGGGAAGCTCTCCTCTTACGACAGAAGCTTCTCTTCGACTATGGCCATGAGCCACAGTGGTGGAATGGGCAGGCAATCAATCTCCCAAAGATCGTGACAGTCAGCGACGGCCAAGAGATTGATAATGACTGGGATGATATCATCCATGAGACCCAGCGGTTGATGTCATTTATGGACTCTACAAAGCGCGGGTTTGGCAGCAGCGACAGTCTTGCAAAGCTCAAAAGCATGTCGCCCATGTCGACCGACTCCGAGGATGCTGTCACCAGGTTTATGGAAGCATGGCATGGTGCGGCGATTCAAGCAAACCCCGATAACCCCTTGTCTACCATCTTCACATCCCACGCATACAAGAAAAGTGTCTTTGGTGACTACGATCCCGAGGATAAAGAACTATTCACCTTCGAGCCCAGCGTGGAAAAGGAACATGGACAAACGCTTTATGAAGTCCTAGACACCGCTCTATGGACCGACACCCCAGGACAAGAGCTTGACGACACGTGGCTTGAGCATGTAGCCGAAGTGGTAGTCTTCAAGTTGGACGCGTTCCAAAAGCCAAACCCAGTGGACGTGGAGATTCCATCGGTGTTCTACCCAGACCGATATCTCAGCAGTTGTCGAGATATCGCCCGTGAATTCCGCTCGAAGCGACTGGAGATCCAAACAGAGATTGGAAAACTTGACGCGCTCACGAAGAAATACACGTACCCAGAAGGATGTATCAACGTTTTTACCGCCCAGGAAATTTTCGTGAAAACAGCTGATGGCTTGGAAGCGGATGCGGGCTGCGTAATAGGCTCCGGTCCTGCCATAGAAGCGAAGATCGCGGAGAAAATTCGAATCTCGAAGGAATTGAGAATAGTCGCCGAGAGGGTAGGACTCAAACTTCAAGGTAAAGTCAAAAGTGAGATATTGATTTGCTTGCTCGACTAATCATTGTGTCCAACAGAACTGGAGCAAAAGAGGCAGAGTGCATTGGAATCTCTCCGAGAGATCTCCAAAACACTCACCGAGCCCTCTGAATCGCCCTCCGAGCCTCCGATCTACAAGTACACCCTTCGTGGCGTGTGCACTCAACCACATGTGACTTATGTTCTGTCAGATCCTCATGCGACTGCGGGAGACTTGATGGATATGGACAGTGAACCGCACGACAACTACGAATGGTGGCGCATCAGTTATTCAGCGGAGGATGGAAAGGCCCGACAGGCCGAGAAGCGTCAATCACAAAGCACAGAGCCCAGCCAGAGTAGCGACGCTGTTGGCTACACGATTCGGAAGGTCTCGGAGGCTGAAGTGCTCCGAGCAGCCCGTGAAGAGTGGAGTTCTGTCTTGCTGGTTTATGCAAGCAGCAATGCAATGAATGCACAAGTGGAATCTGCACCCCCACAGCTCCAGGTAAGATACATTCTCCGTGTACCGAGTTGGTATTGGCAAGCACCGACTGACCGAATCCAGGGCTTCGTGAATAGAGACAACGATGCACTCAGCGCTGAGCTTGAGCAGACCCCCGAGATTGTCATTAGCGATCAAGAACAACCTTGGTCGGCAAATTGGCCTGATGTGGAGCAGCAACAGAAGCCACAGGGACCTGAGAAGCCTGCACAGGTCAATGTATTTGACTATGAGGTCTCAAACTTCGAGGGCGAGCCGAACCCCAGCCAGGAGATGGAACAGAAAGGAGGTGCAGGTCTCTGGGCCAGTGGTACGTCTCATATAGTGGAAAAGCCGCAAGACGAAATCCAGTTGATGGACGTGGACACGCCAGACGACAATGACAATGCACATGTCGAGCATGCGTAGGAGAAAGCGTGAGGGGAAGCTCATATGAATGATGAATGAATGAAAAACTAGAATAGCATCTAGCTCAGGCAACGATTCAAGTTCGCTCAGAACCTTGGCGAAATTTCCTACTCTCGAAGATAGCAGAAACGAATTCGGTAGAGTAAGGGGAGCATCCATGCCCACCTGGGCAGCCCTTAAGGTGTGTAGAGCGGAGAATAAACAATCGATAAGCTCCCCACATTTTGCCGTGTTTGCACTTGAAGCTCCCGATCTTCAACTCCTCAATTGTGAATTGTCAGAAATCCCCTAAACATCCCAGACCATGACCACCGAAAGTGATGCCGTGGCCGGTGCCACTATCGAGCTCCTTGAAGCCCGCCTCCGCCGCCTCACCTACCTCCTCACGGGCGCCACCGACTGGGCCGGCGTCCCAACCACCCCCGAGAAACCCACGACCCTAGACGAGACCGTCACCCGCCGACTGGCGCATCTCGAATCCGATCTCGAAAGACTCAACCGCGCCGTTCCCGCCGCCCGGGACATTCTCCAACTTCGTGCGTATCTCCATGTCCCAACCCACTATAAAGCTGACCTCCCCAGACGACCGCAATCCCGACCTCTTCCAAACCACTCCCCCCCACGAAATCCCTGAAGGCCTCTCCTCCCAAACTCTCGCTGCCATGGTCCTTTCCTACGCCACCGCATTCCCTGAAACCGCCTCCCGACTCACCTCCCTCCAGGACCTCCCTGTTCCGGACGCGCAGAGCTCCGCCTCGCTGATCGACCTTCAGCCTCAGCTTGATCGTCTTGCACAGGTGCAGACGGCACAGGCGGCCGAGATCTCCGAGTTGCGGGTGCGTACGGCCAGTGTTCTTCAGCGGTGGTATGAGGTTGGCCTAGTGGGGAGTGGAGAGGTTTGGGCAGAATGGGAAGGGAGACTCGAGGATGTGGAGAGAGAAACACGGAGGAAAGAGGTTATTGTCCACCAGAGGGAGGATGTTTGATTTGAATTTGTTTACTATCACAGCGGTATGATATCCTTGGGCGTATAGGTGTTCTTCAAACGGGTCGGGAAATCAACATATAGTACATACATAATTTCAGGAACGGCGTACCGCACCTGGGCAGTAGTGAGGACTGGAAATTCCTCCGACATTTAAGAACTGAAATCCTGCATCTGATACGTTTCATGTCGTCATTTTGAGATCGGAATGTGGGATACCCCAGAATTCCTGATGTCCAGTGTCGCAGAATTTGCAGAGGATCTAGACTACGTTGACGTCCGATCTGTACAGGTGTACGACGATCGGTGGTGGGTCCGTGGAGTTGGGAAATTGCAGTCCAGAACGTTTGGAAATTAGGGCTTGGGATAGAGTGGTCGGAGATTTAGATATTTAAGAAGAGAATCAGAGATCACAAATGTGAGAATACTAGTTGAAGTGTCGAGTGTTGTCCCCGGCTATATATAGGAAAGGCAACTCATCAGGGGTGCGTGTACCTTGCCGGTGGGGGCCCTCCTTTTTCATCTACTTTCTGTCTCTGCCAACTTGCACTCTTTTCGTTCTTTTTTCTTTTCTTTTATATTCTCTCTTTCACCATTCCTTTTCCAGCCTGGTGCTGTTTTGTCTGTAAGGGGCCTCTCGTCCACCCCGCGGATTGTCTCTGAAACCCACTTCTTGTCTCAAAGGTACAATTTCCCTCTCTGCCTGAGGGTCGCACCTTCATCTCTAACCAACCCCAGTCGCTCCTTATATACACAGCCACATACCGAAGTATCTTGTATCAATTCATGACCTCGACACAAACCTCTTTCCACAAAAGCCCTTCCAAAATGGGCAAGTTTCGCCCCAGCAACATCCTGGGCGATCCCTTCGCGCTCGCGACCGTCTCGATTTCCATTGTACGCCTCGCAGTCCTCCCTCGCACCCGCCCTGACTAACATCATCACAGCTGGCATGGCTGATCGCTTTCATCTCATCGATCATTGCCGACGTGCAAAAAGCCAAGTACCCTAACTACTCGTGGTGGGCGAATTGCTACATGTTCTGTGTGATTACGGGGCTTGTTGTGACCTTCGGCACGGACACGGGCCACCTCTATGGCGTCGCAGTATGTCTACGTCTCTGCCTATTCGCAATGGCCATGCTAATCATCCCATCCAGATCGTCGGCTACCTAGGTTGCGGCCTGGTCCTGACCTCCCTGAGCGCCAACAACCTGATCTACGAGAACCAAGGCTCAATGCAAGCCGCCGGCGCCGGATTCATCCTCCTCTCCATGATCATCATCATTTGGATCTTCTACTTTGGATCAACCCCACAGGCCACCCACCGCGGCTTCATCGACTCCTTCGCCCTGAACAAGGAGCAACCCGCCGAACCCTCCTACCGCGGCAGCCGCCCCATGTCCAGCGCATTCGGCGCCCGCCCAGAGACAATGGCCACCAACAACACCCCCCAGATGTACACCTCCGCCCAACTCGGCGGCTTCGAGACCTCCTCCCCCGTCTCCGGATACCCAGGTGGAGCACCAGGCGCCGAGCGAGCCTCCTCCGCGCCCCGCTTCGGAACCCCCAGCAACGCAGGCAACGACCAGGAAGCTGGCGAGGTGCCCCAGCCCACCGACTACCCGTATCGCGCCAAGGCGATCTACTCGTACGACGCGAACCCCGAAGACGCGAACGAGATCAGCTTTGCAAAACACGAGATCCTGGAGGTGTCCGATGTCAGCGGTCGATGGTGGCAGGCCCGGAAACAGAATGGAGAAACTGGCATTGCGCCCTCGAACTATTTGATCCTTCTGTGATCACGGTCCGTACGCGTCATGCCCTTTTCACTGTTTTGTTTTTTTCGAGCTTCTCTCTCTCCCCTTTTGTCGCAAAACCTGTTTCCCTTGATACCCTTCGGATCCTACCTCGATGTATGTGTATTTTCTGGTTATAACGTGATGTCTTGATGGCCTCCTTCCTTTCTTCTGCGTTCTCTTGCCACGTATCCTTTTCCACACCTGTGACTTGGTATTCTTTTTCTCTTTTTTTTTGATTTCAGCGGGTGGTTGGCCCGCGTCCTTCCTTGTCTAGTTATTCCTCTCCTTTTGGAAATACGATTGAGACTCAATGTCTGAATATCCGCAAAAGCAATATGCGACGATATGGTTATGTCAAGAATCTTGCCAATGCAATTTCCCCTCGTCTCCACCCTAAGTAATCAACTTGGATGCCTAGGTATTCACATGGATTTGATCTCCATATCTGCATAGACTCGACCTGTCAATGCGGGTATCCACCTGCGGTATGTGCGTCGGACAATTGGTGGGATCCGTTGGGCATCTAGATTGCCCTAGGCCCTCCATAGGTCCCGAGTCTACTCCGTACCCTCAGGGCTAGGTATGGAGTAGACCAAAGAGTTTTGGCCCGGGTCACTCCATGACTCCGTTGAGAATGATGATATGCTATTTTCTTGGTGTAGCACTCGAGCAGCCTGGGATTTTGCATGTATCCTACCAGGTCTGTTACCCACATGAGATATAGAACCTCCAAGGCTGTTCACTGTGCTCAGTATGGAGTACTAGATACCGTGAACCACCTGCCCAGGTGCAGCTCCGCCCTGCACCCGATTGGGCCTAGCGCCACAGACGCATCTATTTGAAATTCACGGGGCTGTACTCCGTATGCCTGCGTTCTTTCCACTTGGATATTGATCTGTCTCTCGGTTTTGTTGACGGACGACGTTAGCATAGAATGGGTGCAAAGGAGGAGGATGAGTTTTGACCGTATGCTTGCTACATTTTGACGGCTGGAACCATATGCATGGTCTGATCTTGCTAGCCAATTTGTCGCCTCAAAAAACACCGTTCTGAACCATTAAACCAAAAAGGTGCACACCTAAAGGAACGTTGTGTATTTCTTAACCGTCACACACTTTCCTAGCTGAAGTTAGCTGATTCCATTCCAAGGTCCATCGGGCCAACAAACTAAGATCTTGAGGCATGTTGACCGGTGGAATGCAGTCAAACTTATTGTCTTTCACAGGGGTAAGTCCAAGGATATTTTGAACGTCTGTCCGATCCAAAGACGTGACGACGAGGTGTAGTAGCTTTTCAGCTGCAGCGGAGCCCTCTAATACTCTTTCTAACTCGTCGACGTTGGTCTTGTGGTCAACAAAACGGCGGATAACACGGAGGAGACTACCTAGTAACGGTAGGCATTGTGACAGTGAACAACAAGAGCAGTCCGTGGAAGAGGATCAGAAAATCAGAGGAGTGATGAAGGATAGAAGAGTGAAAGTGGGAAAGTGAAATAAATCGTGAAGAAAGTACGGCGAGCAGGTTGGGAAGGAACAATATGAGGGAACGACGGCCCTTCTCCAAGGTTGTTAGGTCTCGCACGTCGTGAGTAGGGAAGTCATGATACATTGCAAGGTCCCTGCCAACACAATAGACTTGGGACCTTGGAAGACAACCGAGGATCTCAAATATATAGATCTGGGGGGTGCCCAGGTCCGGGTGAGCTTTTCAATTATATAACATCGAGTGCTGGGTGACATGAGAGGGTAAACCAACAGGACAGTAGAAGCCCTGAAAGGAAAAGAGGGGACATAAATTAAGTAAAATATGCAAAGAACTTGAATCACGAGGGGAGATCCTGTCGGATCTTGATATGTGCTGATCACCGGTTGACTTGACCAGGAAGCTCAGCGAGAGGATCCGGAGGATTGGGATTTCTTCCATTACCAACGGTGCTACCTTCTGACCCTTCTGGCTTGTAAGTTGGCTCGGGTTCTGAGACATTTTGCATTAACCAGCTTGAGTGATGCGACTGGCTTTGAGGAACGGCTTGATAGTCGGTCTCATTCGATCCCGATGGATCTGCCTGTGTCTTCTTCTTCCTCCGCAAGAAGAAGAAAACAGCTGCACCGGTGAGAGCTGCACCGGCCGCAATGCCCCCTACAACACCGCCTGCGATAGCGCCGGTGTTGGTGGATTCAGATTTGCCGGGTTGCTCTGTGCTCGAGCTGGAGGTAGTTGGCTGTGAGGATGATGTTGCCAATTTAGATTCCGTGGGAGTCCCAAATCCTTCGCGGTTCAAATCTCTTAAGAAGACCTTATTCATGAAGTCGTCATCCACGGTTGTCGTACTCAATGTCAATGTCTTCGAATACGTCGAAGTCGATGTCTTCGAATATTTTGAAGTAGTTTCCCAAATTGCCTTGGTATACATGGATGAATCCCAAGCTGTGGTCTTACACCCCATTCGGACGTATGAGCTCCCCCAACTATAGGTTCCACATTCGGTTTCTTCTCCATCTGTGCAATACACTGTGAATGGCTGTTTGGGTGATATCAATGATGAAGTTGCGTCAATGTCGGTTTGGGCGTAGCAGGCAGTGGCGAAGTTGCAGTCACGGCCATTGCAGCAACCTTGCATGCCGGTAGGGAATGCAGAGTTTGATTCGTGGAAGACGCAAGTTGAGCTAAGTGAGCATGAAAGCTCTTCCTCATCATAATATATTCCTAGAAGATGAGCATTCATCAGTCCTTGACTTGTGTGGGAAACATTCACGGGGAATGTGATTTTGCATACCCCATAGTCTGGTGGTGTACCATCCGCATAGATCATCGTAGGTCTGCGTGGCATCGGGTTTCCAATCATCATCAGAATCGCGTTGATTCAGTTGCAGGCCTACGGTGGGCTGGGGTGGCTCAGAGGTAACATGCTGGGCATCCGTCGGTAGAGGCGCCGGGAAAGCTATCGCGTGTGCTGAGGGAAACAATGCGAGAGCAGATAATAGAGCTAATCGAGTAAACATGTTGTTCTCGATCAGCTACTCGCGAGAGGGGAGATGTTCGGATATCCTATTCTGGGGGCTTGACAGTTGACCACCAGACATACGGAGTGTACGCTTTATGAAAAACCCAATTAGCGCAAGCGAGACCCCCTGAGTTCCCATCTCGCTTTTCACTCAGCCGCATCTTTTTCACCTAAACAGAATCCCTGCATGAGACACGCCAACGCAAATGGCTAGGCTATGTAGATGGTGGGACTTGGCGTTGGGGCGATTTTCCGAGATATGCGATCGAATCCACTTCCTGAATGCAGGGTTGCCTTCCAAAGTTAGATCAGTCAAGTATTCTTGTGATTTTCAGACCGGTACCGACATATGTGATGATTTGGTTGGGTTCAGCCGATGACTTGCACCGTATTGGGATGGGATATTGAGCCCTAACACATGGGATGCTCACGTACGTTTAACGCTAAACCAACCTCGAGGAAAACCCAAAGCAAACAAGGATAGAATTCCGTAGTAGTGCGTATGGAGTACTATGTATGTATGTACGGAGTACTCCGTACACTGGTTCAAATTGGTTAGCTCTCTGCGCCAACCTTGTCACTGTTGTGAGCAATACACTACAGCAGACGGCGTAGCATACGCATGATGTACACATGCAGTACTTGTATTGCTGGAGTCCAATTCACTCTGCTTCTTTCCGCTTCATCTCTCTATTGTAGCGTCTCTTCGCTGAAATAGGTCAACAAACGAAGTCCGCCGTACGGAGCACAGAGAAACAGCCCTCTCAATCTGCGAGGATTATAGACCCCATTCTCGCACCCTATTATTACATGTAATGTATGGACTATAAGGACTAGTTTAATTCTAGGTGAACCCTGACTCGGGCGTACGTGGTGGTCCAATCAGAATCCGTGCCCGTTTAACCCGGGTGAAATGCCAATCGATCACTTCCGCTTTTGTATCAAATACAACATGGATGGGGAGAACCGGGCTCATACATATGCCCAGGTGCCATTTCAATCTAGTTGACCGCTGGGACGAGCCTATAAGCATACTCAACTCCGTACAAGTCCACTAATGCATACGCCCCCGTACCTGAAATTGAACCCCAAATCAAACTCCCACTCTAGCGTGTTACCAAACCCCGAGAACCATGTTGTTATAGATAATTGCACCTGTATTATACAACTCGAAAACAAAAATTCCATAGGAATCCGGCGTGTTCTGAGCCTAAAGCACGAACGAGCCCGCAAACCTTACCTTGAAGGCTCTTTGATCCTTGTCAATTGCAAATTCGGATCTATCAATTTTAGATTCTCGTTGGTTCGCTCTAGCATTTTGGGTAAGTCGCCATACATATCTCTTGTGCTCCTTCTGAGTCAGATACATATTGCTGTAAATTGAAGGATTGTCATATAAAGACTGGATCTGTCCAGATCAGCAATATCTTCCACTTCCAGGCAATCGCTGAGCGGACTAGATGGTTATATATGTCTTGACGGGTGTCCGGTCAACATGAACGTCAATGATCATAGCATCGGTATTATTGCTCATTTTCCCCGAGAAATTGATTGATGACTCCTGACACACTTGACGAATTCTCGTGGATTATCTTCAAACCCCCCAAGACATCCATCTATTTAGCAAAACTAGGGCATGGTCACATATTTCCTAGCTCCATAGATCTCCCGTTTCTCTCTCTCTCTCTCTCTCTCTCTCTCTCTCTGTCTCTTCTTTCTCTTTCAAGGTTCTTCTAGAATTCTATGCACTTTTCCACTAGTATCTTCACAGAAGAGCCTATCAGAAACACTCGTTGAATGTGATTGTGCTCAAGTGCAGTCGAGTCACGTGGGATCAACGCCTAGGCAAACGGCCCCAGCGCTGAGTCTCAGCGCGTGAGTGACGAGTCCCAAATCACTCTCCTAGGAGTTATGGCTTCGAATTATTCCTCTCCCCCCGAAAACGAGACCCGAGGACTTTGTGACGATGGGACAACCGCAGCACAGATCCAATCGCCTAAGCGACGTAAGACCAGTCACCATAGCGGACTACCTACCCGGCAACATGATCAGTACACAATTGCCTGGATTTGCGCGCTGCATATAGAGATGGCTGCAGCGCGGGCCATGCTAGATGATGTTCATCAATCCTTGCCAACGCATGCAGATGACACCAATACATACCTGCTTGGAAGCATGAAGCAACATCACGTTGTGATTACATGTTTACCCGCAGAGCAGTATGGAACAAACAATGCGGCGCTTGTAATGACGAATCTGAAGCGTAGCTTTCCAGCAATTCGCGCTAGCTTGATGGTCGGAATCGGTGGTGGTGTCCCAGGCAAGTCTGATATCCGTTTGGGGGATATTGTTGTCGGAACACGGGTGATGCAGTACGATCTTGGGAAAATCCCTGGCGACGGAGTCTTTCAGCGAACAGCAATTCCTAGGACTCCTGGCTTGTTACTTGGGACAGCTGTGTCTGCACTTCGATCGACACACGAATTGAGGCCTAGTCGAGTCCTTTCTATCTTGCAGCAAAAGCTAGAGGCGCACTCCGAGTACGATCACCCAAGGTCACAAGATCGTCTTTTCCTGCCAACATATGATCATCGATCGCCCTTAGCAGCCAATTGTGACGATTGCGACCATTCAAAGCTGGTCCTTCGAAGTAGGCGGATATCAAATGACATTTTGATTCACTACGGCGCGATCGCTTCAGGAAATCAAGTTATGAGGCACGGTGTCACTCGAGATACCCTTGCTCGAGAACTCGATGTAATATGTTTCGAGATGGAGGCTGCCGGTTTGATGGATATTACCCCTTGTCTCCCAGTTCGGGGGATCTGTGACTATTCTGATTCGCACAAGAGCAAAGAGTGGCAAAGGTATGCTGCAGCGACTGCGGCTGCATATGCAAAAGAATTGGTTGAGGAGATACCTGTGGTTGAGACTCAGCCAACTACAAGAAGGATTCTAAACGCTCGTAAGTCCAACCTTTCTCAAACAACATCGCTGGCTGCTGCTCACACCTTTAGTTAGGTCAATCTTCAAATTCCAAACGTCGGCAGTGCTTGCTAGAGTCCCTGCGGTTTGAGCAACTCGACAATCGTGAATCGAACATTCAAACGGCGCACGTAAAGACATGTCAATGGCTTCTCAGCCACCCAGACTACGAAAAATGGCTTGATCCCGGAAAGTCAATACAACACCATGGCTTTTTATGGATCAGTGGCAAAGCAGGGAGTGGAAAGTCAACAATCATGAAATTTGCATATGCGAATATGAAGCGCAAAGACCACAATAGAGGGCCCTTGACAGCTGCCTTCTTCTTTAACGCCCGAGGCGGGTACCTGGAAAAGTCGATCCTGGGAATGTATCGGTCATTGCTGCTTCAGCTGCTCAAAGGCTATCCTGACCTCCAGGCGGTTCTGGATGATTTGGAAGATATCTCACATAGCGATGATTGCCCTTCCTTGAGTGTTCTGAAGGATCTCTTCCGCAAAGCAATTGCTACTCTCGGCCAACGCTCGTTTACCTGCTTCGTCGATGCTCTAGACGAGTGTGATGAACAGCAAGTTGTGGATATGGTCCAGTATTTTGAAGACCTAGCAGAGCAATCCACGGTCAATAGCATCCTCTTCCGAATATGCTTCTCCAGTCGACATTACCCCTACATTTCCATTCAACGGGGACTCCGATTGACGCTTGAGGATCAGCCTGGTCACGCGGAAGACTTAGAAATCTACGTTGCAGGCCATCTTCATTTCAAAGACACTGAGCTGCGAGCCCAACTTCTCGTTAAAGCTTCTGGCGTTTTCATGTGGGTTGTTTTAGTCGTCGATATTCTCAACAAGGAGTATAGACGTGGTGGAATGACCCTCAGAAAGAAGCTCACTGAGATGCCCAGCGCTTTGAGCGAACTTTTCAAGGACATCTTGAGACGAGACAATGAGAACATGGAGGGTCTCCTGCTTTGTATTCTCTGGATTCTCCACGCGAAACGGCCTTTACACCCTGAGGAGTTCTACCATGCTCTTTGGTCTGGTTTATCACTGAAAGATCTAGTCGATGGCCAAATTCCGAACGTTGCTATCCCAGGCAGTGGTCACAGTGACGATATATTCGCCAGATATGTTACCAGCTCATCAAAAGGGCTCGCTGAAGTCACAAAAACCAAGCAACCAAAAGTACAGTTCATCCATGAATCTGTCCGAGACTTCCTTATCAAAGACAAGGGTATGCAAGAATTGTGGCCTGACCTTGGATTTGACTGCGAGAGCCTAGGACACGAGAAACTCAAACAGAGCTGCAACTATTACCTGAATCATGTTTTGAAACAAGCATCTATTCGCAAGCTGCTGTCGGAACCAAATCCTACCAGACACATGGAGGCATTGAATAATTACTCGTTTTTGGAATATGCCAGTTCCTGCATTCTCTATCATGCCAACACTGCCGCGAAAGCATTTCCTCAGGACCAGTTTCTATCTTCTTTACCCGTTTCCGATTGGATTGGCCTCAACAATCTTTTCGAAAAATTCAAGATTCGAAGACACACCTCAGATGCGAATATTCTGTACATCCTCGCAGAAAGGGGACTCTCCGAACTTGTACGCACAAGAATCAAAGAAGACTCGAATGTCCATGTTTTTGGGGAGAGATACCAATATCCACTGTTTGCCGCTTTAGCCAACGGTCATAAAGATACCGTTGCTGCGCTTTTGAATTCGTCTTCGAGTGGGCTCGATGAAATTGTTTCCCCACAGGAACTGAGCTTCAAGAAAGATCTCAAGGAGTATAAAGGCCGAACCCCACTTTCCTGGGCTGCACAAAGTGGACGGATAGGGATTGTCAAACTACTTCTTCAGACACAAACAGATATCCACCAGATGGATAAGGGAGGTCGTACAGCACTCTCACGGGCCTCGGGGAATCGCGAAGAGACTATAGCGATGGCTCTCATCGAAAAAGGGGCCGATGTTAATATCTGCGATAAAGACGGACAGTCACCGCTTCATCAGGCCTGCTGGAATGGCCAAGAAGCTATAGCAAGGCTTCTTTTTGACAAGGGAGCAGAGATCAGCACCGGTGACAAAGATGGACAAACACCACTTCACCAAGCCTCCATGAGAGGCCACAAGACTATGACAAGTCTTCTTCTCGACAAGGGAGCGCTCATCGACACCTGTGACAAAGATGGAAAAACGCCGCTTCACCATGCCTGCTGTTATGGTGTCTGCTCCCTTGTCAATAAGAAGCCTTGCTATAGGCTCATAACCAACGCCAGTGACGAACATGGACACACACCGCTTCATCAAGCTTCCATGAAAGGCCACGAGTCTGTGGCATGTCTTCTCCTAGAAAAGGGAGCAGACATCAACATCAGAGATAACGATGGACGGACACCGCTATACCAAGCTTCTATGAAAGGCCACAAGTCTGTTGTGCGTCTTTTTATCGACAATGGAGCAGATATTAAGATTGGCAACAAAGACGGATGGACACCACTTCACCAGGCTTCTCGAAATGGCCACAAGACCATAGTGAAGCTTCTTATTGATAAGGATATTCAACTTGGGCCAAATAAAGACAAGTAAGCAGCCCTGGACATCTTTAACACATCCACGGGTGGTTGACCTTTCGCCGGAAATGAGCCATGCTGTAGCGATGACTTGACCGTAGCATGGTCTGGACACGGAAGAATCATCTAACCAGTCCAACTCCGCAACGCCTCAGGATGAGAATCCAGAAAATCCAGACCATGATGCTGTAGCGATGAGGGTTCGTTCAGCGTGAAACTGTGCATTGCTCGTGAGAAAGAGAGCCAGGAAAGAAGAAGGGGGACAAATCTTTTGGGAACCTTGGAATGAGTTTCAGATGTTAGAAGTCCGAGAAAGATTACTTGGATATACCTGGTATGAGGCTTGTCGGAGATTGGAGTGCGTGGCAAGAAATTTGACAAGTCGTTGGCCTAGATACCTAGTCTTCTACCTCGCCTTATATTCTACTTCCAAGTTAGTCTGTCTAATATCTACTGCCTTGTTATACATATGTACGTGTGCTCTACGCATCTCAGTACTTCCCTCATCTTCATATACATACCTAGGTAGGTATGGACCTCGAGTGTTGGCTACCTAGGTAGGTATACAACTAATGCAAAGTAAAGCAATAACCAGGCCTTGCGATATTCTGAGCAAAATCATGTCTCTTCTGGTGATTGTTCCCTTGGAAATAACCTTCGAATAACCAAGTCGCACATACTGTATACTTCCCCCGTTCACATGAGCCCTGTAATTCACCCCCTGCATTGATTGGAGCTCCCTCGTGGTCCACCACAAGAGCAAGTTCTGCAAGGGCGACACCTGGCAGAATGTTGGCCACTTTTTGATTCCTACTTTGTCGATCCTGACCACTGCGTAGGTGCACGGATGTACGATAGTCTCGAGGTACGAAATTGAGCACGAAATGACCAGTTGGACAGTTTTTTCCAAACTTTGGAATGTATTGCATCTATCCCATGTGATTTGGAAGTTACCTCCCGAGGTTTACTGGATCTTTCAAGACAAGAAATCGGACTAGAGTAGATCCAGCTTACGCAGAGATCATATGTAGTCGGTCAAACACGGTAAACAAAGGCGGGTTTTGGCAGCACTAGGGAGCTTGGGCTCAAAAAACACACTTCCCCTCTCTTCTGTTCGTTCTCACGGCCGAGCAGCGGTAGCTGCCACGATGCCCGACCTGATATCGCGACTGAAGGCGAAACTGTTTGGACGATTATCTCCAAAAGCGGATACGGATCCGAGTGTCCACCCAACTGCCACCTCCAAATCCCCGGATAGCATCGTTTCTGCAGCCAACCCTGACACCCTTCCTTTGGCATCTGCATCTGCTTCTGCTTCATCGGCTTCGGCTCCAGTTTCCCCTTCGGCACCCCCTTCGGAACATCTTCATCGCGAGGGCACCCGTGACTGCACGCCGTCGCTGACCGAGCCGTATAATTCTTCCCTACCTACACCTTTAACCGGCGACCCCCCATCTCCCCTTGCAACCCCTCCACTGCCGACGCAGCATTCCGACAACACCTCCTTTCAGTCCACGAGCCAGAAGGCCGCGATCCCGCCCGGGCCCCAATTGACCCCAACCCTCAACACCGTGATCGAGTGGCCCACGAATGGTCAACCCTCTGCTCCCTACTTTACGCCCTCGCAGAGCAAACGCCCGAGCCTTGCGATCCGTCGTCAGTCTCTTCTCCCGGCGACCCACCAGCACTTGATCAGTGGGCTACTAGAATCGAACCTCTTCCCCAAAGGCGATCAAGGCAGTGGTTTGATCCCCACCGTTCCTCGCGAGATGGTACAACGTCGGATCTGGGTCAAGCGACCCGGTGGTTCGGCCACCTTGGTGCCGTGCATGGAGGACGCAGTGGTCGATGAGCTGCGCGACCAGGTCATCATGAAATATGTCAACTCACTGGGCAGAAGCTTCGACTCGCCAGACATCGTAATCCGAATTGCGCCCCGAGAGGGTTCAAATCGGCAAACCCACCCGGAACGTCTTTTGAGTCCCGAGGAAGTGTTGGCTTCCATCCTCGACGCGTACTATCCCGGTGGACAGAGAATCGAGGAGGCATTGATGATCGATGCGCCGAGCCGCCGGACTCCGAAGCCATCACCACGTCACGCGGTATATTCGCATCATCATTCGGAACCCGGCGAGCATGGCGATTACTTCCCTCTGATGCCGCCAAATCCCAACGTCGGAACACCCTCTTCACACCCGACAGGTGCGCCGGCCACATGCGCACCCTCAATTTCCATCCTCAGCACAGGCTCTGCTCCGCAGTTGCCATCGCCAGGGAATCGCAGGGTTCGCCATCCCCAGCGCCCACCGCTGACCAGGCACAAAACCAACTCACCCTCAATCCACTCACAAAGTGCGAGCTTGATAGGTGCGCTCCTACCTCGTCAACTACAATGGAATCACCTACTAATATACCATAGAAAATCCGCCTCATTCCCAGCCTCACTCTACGGTCTCCGTTCCTGCAGTGCCGACGCCCCCAGCACCGCCGGTGGCCGAGTCCCCTCAGGCCAAAGCCAAGACGAACACTCCTCCCGCCGTTTCCTCGCCGCGATCTACTCGAAAATCAAAGGCGGCCACTTCCCCATCTGCCGTGTTTGGAGGTTTGATTGATGGCACAGTTCCACCAATCAATGTCCTCATCGTGGAAGATAACATCATCAATCAGAAGCTTTTGGAGGCCTTCATGAAGAGGCTCAAAGTTCGCTGGAAGTGTGCAGCGAACGGTGAAGAAGCAGTGCGTAAATGGAGACAGGGCGGGTTCCATCTGGTCCTGATGGATATCCAACTGCCTGTCATGAACGGATTGGATGCAACCAAAGAGATTCGACGTCTCGAACGGCTGAATGGAATTGGTGTCTTCCCTAAGACAGCTTCAGGACGTTTCAGTGCATCCAATGCATCCGCAGCAGACAGAAGGCCCGGTCTCCAACGTACCATCAGCGTACAGGATACTCTGCCCGATCTCTCATTATTCCGCAGTCCAGTCATCATTGTCGCTTTGACAGCCAGCAGTTTACAAAGTGATCGACACGAGGCATTGGCCGCTGGCTGTAACGATTTCCTCACCAAGGTACGTGTTTATCATCTCAACCTCCCCAATTTCCAACCCCATTGCTAACACATATCTGTACAGCCTATTGGATTTCCCTGGTTGGAACAAAAAGTGACAGAATGGGGCTGCATGCAAGCGCTAATTGACTTCGAAGGCTGGCGCAAGTGGCGCGGGTTCCAGGATTCCCCTGCCCCCTCCTCCCCAGCTATTGATTCAGCAGCCAGCCCCATGCAGGGTGGTCATTTGAAAGAGATCCCGCAAGAAGATCCTCCCTCGCCTTCTAGCTCTCGCCCAGCCCCACCCCCAACCGAAATCCCAGCCAGACCCCGCTTTGCAGACAATGCTATCCTGCAGCAGGACTCGTGGGAAAGCGGCAGTCCTGATAGCCTCGATTCACCCTCGAGCCCACAGTTGGACACGCCGACTGATCCTACGCCCGCGAGCGAGGCCAAAGATGGTCCCGAATGACTGCGATCAGTCTTGGGATGTGTGCCATGCCTCGGGCTCGGTGATCGGTCCCTACGCTCTTCCAACGATGTTTCTCAACCTTGATTTGACTATCTCTTCCATTGGATACCCCCGCATAGCAATGTGTCTGTTTTTTGTTTCTCATCTTTCTCATCTTTCTCATCCGGTTCTCGGAACCAATTTGATTCATTGATTCATTGTCATTGGAGATTTTGTGTTGCATGGTTATACGCCGTTCATTTGGCTGCATACGTCTTAGCCATATACTCTCTCTATTATCTTGGTCTCTTTTGTCTATCCCTCAAGGGACTTTTACCTTTCTTGCATACACTTCACGCAGCAGACACCTCATGTATACGATCGAGATGTCCTAATGCTTTTCAATGTACATCCTTATACTCTTTACGTTTTTGCACTCGGACAGAATGCCTATATCTTGTTATTTTGTACCTATAATTTCTAGCAAGCTCTACAACACGCACACATCCAGCTCTGTGCAACAAGTCGCTGCACATCTGCGCTTCCAAAACCCCATATGCCAACATGCACTCCGCAGATAGGCAATTCTCCACGATGACCCCGCAACCGGACCTCCAAACAAAGAACCACACTACAGAAGCCGTACTCGTATCTGTGCTCTTGTGCAACATCCAAACCTACCTCGGTCATAGCACCATGCAGCGTGACGTGAACTCAGACACGCAACCAAGTGATCTGCAAATCAAGTATTCTTCATTACACTCCACCCCAGGACTACTGTACAGCCAGTGCGCGTCGATCCCAGAAGGCATATCTTAGCCTTTCGGAAGAGGTACTTCGTGCTCGCACGAGCAATGTCCTCTTTGTCTGACACATGATCCATTCAATGTCTTGGCTGGCCTATTTAACCTTCTCAGGCCTGCCCAGGTGCCTTAATAGTCTTCATACTCCGATCTGCTCTACCCTCCACTCATACGTGCCCACATACTTTCACGAGGGCATGGGAGCGTGAACTACTGCATTTATCACTACACATCCACTGGGCATGACATTGCCACAACCCACTTTGCAATCGGAATCGCAATCTACTGCTACCTCTACCCACAATATGCAGCCTGCATCAGCTGCCCCGGCACCCACATGGTTGCAGAGTGCCCTTGCTTCCCTCGGGAGTATCTTCCAGAGTTCAAAGCCAGCGGAGGAGGAATCAGACGCTATTGCGGGGTGGGTTGGGAGGAGGGGACGTTGTCGGTCTGCTGGCGAAGTTCGTTGACATGTGAAAGTGTTTATGTTGGCGCGTTATTGTTGATGCGAGTACCAAGTTCAGCCGGGTTCTTAGGGCTCAGCTCTTGATATATTTGAAATGAAACGACTAAAGAGACCTCGGGATCTTTGGGAATGAGAATTGAAATACTGCTTCGTACTTTGGTAATAGGTACATGGGACGAGCCACCCTTCGTCATAGTGTATGCGTACAAGTAAAATTACAAAGGCCGTAGCCAGGGAAGATGCTCAAAAAACAGAAGATGCACACCAAGCCGAGAAATCATGCCTCCACACGAGTGGGGATCTTGACCTCACCACGTGTGCGGTCACGGTGGGGGACACCGTAACGACGACCAACAGCCCAGGGAGCACGGCCATCAGCTCCGGTAGTCTCCTTGGTGTACACGGTCTCCTGAATACGGTACTCGAAGCGAGAGTTTTCAGGGGTGAAGGTCTGGAGCTTCTTCTCGCGACGGGCCTGAGCGCGTTCGCGACGCTGCTGCTCAGCGGCATCCTGGCGCTCCAGACGCTTAGTCTGGCGCTCGGCGACAGCACGGCGCTCATTGGGGTGAGCGATGTGATCGCGCTCAAGAGCGACCATGTGTGGGTGGGGAATGCGGACATCAGCGGGCTGCAGGATCTGGCGGGCGTTGTTACCCTTGCCGACCCAGCCGATGGCCCTGGGATCTTCGATGATCTTTTCGGCGAGATCGGACGGGTGTCCAATCTCCGCGGCTTCATGGTGTTCCAAGGCAGGGGCAGAGGAGAAGACACGACCGGCTTCAACTCGGTTGAAGGGACGCGACTCGGAGACGGGGTAGAAGATTTGAGCTCCTGTCAGAGGGTGGGCGGGAAGGTCATTGATGGGTTCGTGGTAGGTTTGGCGCTCGCCTGGTGGAGCGAGAGGAGTTGTTGGGATCATCTCATGGATGGCCCGAGCATATGGTAGTGCTAGATGTTTGCCCTTTGAGGTTGGTTAGCTCATGTCACGAGACCAATCAACAGTGGAAATCCAAGATAGAAGGACGACGCAGTTCAGTTCAAAAAGTAAGGTGTAACCATGTAGGTGTCTTCAAGACTAATCGATTTTTTGTGACTCATCATATGCGTGAAGGGGGATGTCGAGACAAGAGGGAATTGAAAAAGATTAAGCAAAGATTTGAGCTCTTACCTGTTCACGTTGTCGCTTCTCAAGCTCAACCAACCTGACCACGGCACCGATTCGCTTCATGTCGATTCCAAGGTCCATACTGACAGCACGGACACTCTTCTTCTCCTCGACGACGCGTGTGTAAACTTCATTTCGCAGCTCTTCACTTAAGACAGATTCGCTGACAAAATTTGGGTTGTTGGGGAATGGGCGAGTTGCTGACATTGGACTGTCTTTTAAACGAGTCACGTAGTTGGTTTCTCCAGGGATGTGATGCTTCAATTCAGCACCGTCTGTGCTGAGCCATTCGAACATTTGTCGACGGAGCTTGGTCTGTGATGCTGCCGTGACGGAGAATTGCCGAGAGAGGCATTGTGATGAGGATGAGGGGAGGGAAGAGATAGAGGTAGATGTGAGGTAGGGGAGGAGGGCGTTGGACACGCGGGTCTGAACCCGGGGTGCCATGGTGAAGGTTATAAAGGAATAATGGGGAATACAATTAATTGAATGAATCGAAGCCACTGGATGTCAAAAATCAAGGAGATCCAGCTGCCATTGACTTCTTGCAGCGGTAATTGGAGGGAGATGGGGAACGGGAAGAGTGTTGGTGTCGCAGGGGAAGAAACTTTTCGGTAGTCTGTGCTCTCACGTGACCAGGACCCAGCTGGGAGCTCCCCGTCAATATTCGGCCATCATTCAAGGCCCTGAGGGCAGACTCCAGAAATACTAGCGTGGATGTCCACTGAGAGGGATGAAATGAAACTAGAAATATCTCGCTTTTATGAAATTAGATTTACACAGCCTGTGGCTGAATGCCTGTAGCAGATTGACGACGATGTACTCCCCGGGACCTCGGGAAGAGCGTTTTGGGAGATTTTGCAGATGAACGGTATCATGGCGAGACCGGTATCTTCAGATCTTTATTGGGTATTAACAGACTTACTGCAAAGAGATATTGTAGAAGGGTGAGGGGTCTGTAACAGAGGTCGACTATTCTACAGCCCTACCTAGCTGGGGACAGCCTAGGCCAAGGTAAGTAATGTTTATCCTCATGCCGCATATTGACGAAAGGGCTGAAAATTTCATTATCAAGTACATCTTCAAGCCAAATATATCGGTATCATAAGCAAGACCAGTAAAAGATAGTAACAAACAGAACGCTTCCTGTCCTCATTCTTCCGGGACATGGAAAGCAAAAACAAAGGGCCACCCAGTGCGAAGCGAGTGCAATGCAAGCAAATGTGTGCTTCCAATCAAATCCACAGACGGTAAGCCGAACGCCTTGGGAGAATTTGTAGAAAGAAACCAACGCGGAACGCCTGAGACGATATGTGGTCGATGTAAGCCACTGTGTCCTTCCATGACCCATACCATTGGGTGGAGTGATATTAGAAGAGCTAAGAGAAAGAGGGAGAGAGAAAGAAAAGAAAGCCACATAAGACCCTTCTTTCGAACTTGCATAAGAAGATAGAAACGCAACGCAAAAAGGGCAAGTAAACCAGCAAAATCCTCGTCGATCCACGCACGGCGATGCATCGAGAAAGATCCAGAGGACCGATATCAGAAAAAGCAAAGGGGAATCACGTCGAAAAAGGAATAAAAAAAGAATAGCTTGTACAGGTCCTGGATTAGGCAGACAGCAGACACTCGCTGGTGTTTATTGCACGTAACACTGGATCCATAAGCGGTGGAAACATAAGCGAGGTAAAAGAATAAACACGAGGGTATGAAGGTGCAGACGAAACTCAAGGGCCGAAAGAAACAAATGCGCTGCTCGAGCGCCTCGACCCGACCAAATAAGAATACACGTTTGGCAATGACCGGAAATGCAATCCTCCCAATGAAAAAAAGAAAAGAGAAAGGGTGAAAAATAAGAAAAGCACAACACACAGAAGGAATGTAGAGCGCCCAGATTCCCATGCAATAACATAACGAAAAGCCAAAAGCCAGAGCCGACAAAGACAAATCAGAAAGCAAATCCGAAAAACAAAAGACTCCCGGGAGTTATGCAGCCGCCGAATGCTGATCTAGCTCGCGAAACGAAAACGAATCCCCAGTGCGCCAGATACCCCAGTTCGTTCAAACATGCCGGACATGATCTCAATATAATGCTTGAATGACCTTAACGGCCCATCATGTAGTCGGGGTAGAAAGAATTATAGCCATTGAGGTTCGAGGGCGCGTTGTTATTGCCGCCGGCACTGCCAGGGGGTGGAGGCGACATCATCATAGAGTTGGCTCCGTTTCGGATGCCAAGACCCGAGTTGGGGTTATAAGAGCCGTTGTTCACTAACCCAGAATGAGGATTGACCGAGGTGTGCATGTTGTTGCCGTGGCGCATGGGCGGGGCGGGAAGGGGCATGCCAAGGCCAGGGGGTGCTGCCAGCCCTGGAGGGGGGCCGTTGACAGCTGAGAACATAGTGTTATGAATCCCGCTCAAGTTGCTACCTCCAGGGACGGCACCCTGTCCAGAAACTGAGTTGGATGAGTTCATGCTCCCCGGCTGACCGGAGCGAACGCCCAGTGGGTTCTTCGAGAAGCTGAGACGAATGCCAGTCTTGACGCTGTTGGACAACTTGTAGCCATAAAGCTCGTTCAGCGCCTTGCTTGCCATGGCGACCTCGTCGAATTCGACAAAGCACATAGGGCCATTTTGCTTGTTTCGGAAGCAGAGGCGCTTGTACCCGCGTTGTTTGGAGAAGAGTGCCTTGAGCTCCTCTTCCGAGGTGTCCGGTGGCAAGTTGCCCACGTACAATGTGTTGCAGGGTGGGTTCAGATCATTGGGGTTTGCAGCCGGGAGACTGTGGCGTGGCGTATGCTGAGCATTGTATGGGAAACCGTGAACCTGGCTGGGGTATGCAGATGCGGGTGTTCCAGTACCCATGCGCTGCCCACCACCACCGGGGTAGTTGGGCAAAGGGGGAGATGACATGTTCGTCGACAAGGATAGATTGGCAAAGCGGTTTGTCGGGATTGATGGATTGGTCGCCCGGCGCCCGGCGGAGATCCCGGTAGAGTGGCCATTTTCTGCGTATCCCACTGGATCCTTGAGCAACTCGCCGGTCTCTTCGTCAGGGTCCTCGTCGATCATGGACTTGCCAGTTATACGGGGCAAATTATCTATACCGTTTCCGATCGGAGATTGTGGGGAGAACAGGCTGTGCATCCGCGAGCCTGTTTCGTTGGGATGAAGACCTTCACCAATGGCCTGGTTGGGGTTGGCATTTGAGAGCCTCTCCATGCTCTGGAATGTGCCGTTGAAACGCGACGACTGACGCGCGAGAGGGCCATTAGAGGGAACACCCATCAGCGCACGGCTTGCGGTGTGGTCGATGGTGTTCCGACGCGCGTTGGACAAATTCGATCCCATGGGACCGGGGTACATTTCAACGATCATATTGGCGTCGTTCTTGGAATTAGGTTTGCCGTCGAGCAGGGATTTGGCCTCTTCGGCAGCGGGGAGAGAGATGAATCGCGCGATCGCGGTCAGGAATCCGTCATCCTCTGGCAGATCCAGAGTCACGAAGTCCGCGTCGACGAAGTCTTTGGCGAACAGCAACATGCTGCGCAGTGCTTCGCGACTCGTGTTTCGGGGCAACTTGCGCATCAGGATCGCGCCTCCGTTGCCGGCGCGACCAAGGCCGTTCAAGCCCTGCATGTTGCGATCGGTCTCGCCCAAGCGCATGTTGTTATCGAATGAAGCGGAGGTGCCGATAGGGGAAAAGGGGTAGGTGAATGTGTTGTTCAGAGATGGCGGTTGCGACGCAGTCGGGCTATACACGTCGGTCGACATCGCATGCTGAGACGTCAAAGGCGCCTGGGAAGAGAGTGACTGCTGCGTGGGCGATGAACCAGAAGATACGGACTCGGTGAGTTGCGTGGTTCCAAAAGACCCTGGACTCGTACGAGTAGACTGGCTAGAGCTACCGCTCATCCCTCCACTAGTATTTAAAATCTGAGGATTTTTTTTTTGTCCTCGGGGGCTTGGAAGATCACGAAGAGAATGGCCCGGGCGGGTCGGTAAATAGGAGTCGCGGGCTTCGGGGTAATGAGGTGAGGCGCAGCGATCGCGAATGCGACAGAAATTCAACACCGGGAAACGCGATGCAGCGAGACGGAAAAAGAAGGCGATTAGGGAGTCGATCGATAGTCGAGTTCTTGTCTCATCGGGAGAATGGGTAAACGATCGCGGTGATAAAGATGATCCGACAATAGATGCAAAGGATTTGAAACGATGGAGGGTATGAAGGGTACGGAGGAGTGGAAGAACGAGCAGGGGGGGAGGGGAAGAGAAAAGAGTCCGGGTCCGGAACGTCGACCACCTCAGGCCCAGGTGCCAGACCCATGGATCTGCCTTCACGACGCGACTCACGGAGAAACATTACAGTACCGTGGTGGTACCTCACTGGTTATGTCGATCCCCATATCGTGGAATGTATCGCCCCGTAGTATGACAATACAGGACTCCTATTTTACACCGTGGCCCTGGAACTTGGCCGCATGCAGAAAAAGAAAGTGCGTGCCCTGCGTGCCCCGAATGCCCCGGCTTTTCTTATGGTTTCTTTCTTTTCCCTGTCTTGTTCTTTTTCTTTTTTAATAAATAGGTATTCGATCGAGATCGTCGGGTGGATCATGCTCTGCCAGAGCACGGCCATGCAAGTGCGGCTTGCCGTTGACCTCCATGTACTGCACCTTAGTGAGAATACGATATGTCGTTATTGACAGGGAAGAAGCCTCAAGATTCAGTCCACACATTCTTATGCATCCTCATCTCTTCGAAACACATGTCACTGGCTACACAGACCCAACGGACTTGCATCAGTCGACATTGCAATATCTGTATAATACAAATATCGACACCAGGGCTATCGGACTGAGTACAGTGTCTACTGTATACTGGAATAGTATCTCCAAGCAGGATCCCGTGGGATGGTGAAAGTCAAATATACGACGATCCTTTCTAGGGCCGACCAATTGCCACGGGCTCAACCCCGGCGGCACATGGGATTGGCCATGCGGAATCGACTCGGTCTTATCGAGGGAGGCGATGGTTCGTGTGGTTGGGCCGTGGCGAGAAGCCGCCACACTAGGGGCTTTATTAGCACTCATTCATACTACGTGCCTGAGATGGTCATAGGCGCATCAGCATTTGGCTTTGCCAGAAGCTTACTTACAAACAGAACTCTGTGGCGTCGGTATAGATGAGTACATCATCCCTAATCAACGCGTAACGCTCTCCGTCCACGGGTACTGGCTAACGCATAGCTACGCCTTCTACCGTCCTTGCAGGATGCTTGAGTACTAGCCATCGGTCCGAATAGATCGTAGATTTTCTCCAGTCAGATCAGAGGTATTGATTTTGCGGTTCATGCACCGCTTACAAACAATCGAGCAAGCCTATTAGGCTGCATAATATACAGAGAAGTTCCCAGGCAACTTAACAACGCCAAAAATGCCACAAAATAAAGAAGTACAACAGGCTCGCCTGCCATCGATAGGCCCACGTCCAGACTCGCTCCAATGGTTCCAAGTTCCAACTGTGACTCAACCCATGTCTCACAAAGAATGTCAAAGTAGAGGCTGGATACAATTCCACAGACGGAATGGGGAAAATGCGCCAAAACCAATCAGACACAGTGCGATACATTGACGTGAATTCACGCCTTGCCGTGGGTGGTAGGTTTGGGCACAACGAGGCCAGCCTAGAAGAAAGTCGACTCGTCAACAAAGCTGTCCATAAACCAGAATAGAAGTTTACGCTCGAAAGGGTATGTTGTGAGGGCGAAGTCCCGGCAGTAGCCAACACTAGCCGCTCACATCACGCGGTTCCCAAACCATTGTAAACTCTCGTGGACAAAAACAGGGATCGACTCACCATGCCCATCAGCTTCCAGACGGGGTCACTGGGCTGCGCACCAACACCCAGCCAGTACTTGGCACGGGAGCTGTCAAGTGCGATCTCTTTGTAAGGGCGGGCATCGGCATTCTCGTTGTAGAGGTTCGTGGGACGTTTGGGGATGGGGTTGTAGGTGCCGATCACTTCGAGGGGCTTCGCGCCGCGGGCAGTGCTGTATACATGTCAGTCTGGGTTCCGAAAGTAGCAGTAATCGCTTGGAGTACTGCTGGTCCTGCTAGACCGGATTCTGATTGTCGGGTTCTGGTGCTGGCCGAGCGTGTCCGAGTGTTAGGGGAAGCACGTACCGAGCCTGCGCAACAATGATGTTGAAGAAGGGGTTGTGCTTGTTGCCGAAGCGTGCTAGACGAATGCGAAGAACCATTTTGCCGGATGGGATGCTGTTCAATGGGCAATGCTGCTCGTTTGGTGATCTCCAATGACCTCCGCAAAAGTTCTGGGATTTACGGATGAAATGTTTGCCCGAGATGACCCAATCGGGCCAAGTGCGTGGGGTGATGTAATGTGAGTACCTCTAGATCTACAACATCACTTTCACTGGGACTTTTTCGCTAATCCGGTTTATGTTGACTTTGCAATAGCCGGCAAGATAATCTGGGCTCTGTACTTCTCAATTACATGTTCCGTTCCATATTCAATCGTCGTCTTCCTGCCCATCTCGCTATCCGCCGTTATACTAAATCAGCAACAATGTCATTGAGGGTAATGTGATATGACGCTCACCTTTATCCATAGACCTCGGGGAGCTGACTAGCTAAAAGGCAATCTCGGCCAAGGATGCTGCTTTGCTGGACAAAGATCTCATGGAAACCGGCGGTTGGTCTCTAGATCAACTAATGGAGCTTGCGGGTCTCTCTGTCGCGCAAGCCGGTGAGCTTAAATCCTTCAAGATATCTCATGGGCCCTGACTCACCGATGAACTTGATATTCAGTGTGGAAAATCCAATCCCCAAGTGCAGGGACGAATGTTCTAGTTATCTGCGGACCGGGCAACAACGGTAGGTATGAGCCCTAGCCATATCAAACGGCATTTTAACATGGGCAATAGGTGGAGATGGCCTAGTAGCCGCTCGCCACTTATCTCACTTTGGCTACAAGCCATCAGTGTGTTACCCCAAAGAGGGCAAAAATGAGCTGTATCAAGTACGCAACTCGCACCAAATCAATCCAATCAAGTCTAACTTCAACAGCGCCTGAAAACCCAACTTCAAAACCTCTCAATCCCATTCATTCCTACCGAGGAGTTCCCAAAAGCCTTGAAAGAAAGCGACCTGCTCGTTGATGCGATCTTCGGCTTCTCCTTTGGCGGTCCGCTACGCGAACCTTTTCCTAGCATTGTCTCGCAGATTGAATCTGCCGCAGTTCCTGTGTTGAGCGTGGACGCACCAAGCTCATGGGATATTCAGGGTGGGCCACCGAAGGAAGGACCGGGTGCAAAGTTCATGCCTAGTGCACTCATCAGTCTGTCGGCACCAAAGCCATGTGTTGCCTTCTACAAGGGCAGACACTTTATTGGGGGCAGGTTCTTGACCAAGGCGCTGACTGATAAATACGGACTTGACTTGCCTCAGTATCAGGGCGTTGATCAGGTTTTGGAAATTGGGGTTGATGCCGAGGGCAAGTTGTGATTGCATGAAGCTTCATGTTGGATATTGTGAGCTATGAAATTGAATGGCTCTCTTTTACAGAACTTCAAGCCCAAACAAAATTATAGAAACTTGAGATTTAGCAAGCCGCAAAAGGCATACCGTACTATGTGCATTATAGCTGAATACCTAGGTGGACATCAAGTACTAGGCAGAAAATGTATTGTAATGAGGGCCCGTGGTTGTTAAATGCGTTGTCGTCGTTAAAAATGATGTGTCTTGTTTACCAACATCGATTGTCATCCTCAAAGCGCCTGCTTAAGCTCACCAATAACGCCTTTAATGCGAGGCTCCTTTCCAGGGCCGGAGGCTGAAACCTTAGCAAGTACGCTTTGGATCTCATAGACTTCCTTGGCCGCACTCTTGACTTCCTCGCCGAGACCGGCGACCAGTGTGCCCAACGCAACGAGGGCCCGGTAAACAGCCTCAGAGTCTTTCTCTGCGGCAATGATCCGAGCCAGTTCTTCAAGTAGCACTAAGCCCCGCTCCGAGGATTCGGGAGTCTGGCCTCTATCTTCTGAAGTCAGGTAAACAGCAAAATTGATGTAAAGCGTCGTGATGGCGATCTCGAGGTTGCGGTTGACAGGGACACCACTGTTAGCCAGTGCAGACTTCACCCCGGCGAGGATCTGGTCGAAGGATCGAATCGCGAGGTCGCGGCCTTCGACTGTCTCGAAAAGGTTCGCAAACGATCTCACTGCGAGCATTGCATTATTGACATTGAGGGGAGAGTCGAATACACCGCTCGAGATGACACCGGACACGACATTCTTGTCATCGTACTCTGCATTTGCTGTGAATGATGATGCACCAGCTAATAAACGAAGAATGTCGAACCCTGGGAGCCGGTTTGCGGCTGGCCATGTCGTGACGACCTTCAAGATCAAGGGCACACCGGCTTCGACCTCTGGAGTGTGTTTGAGCTGTTGCGAAGACTCTAGTTGACTGCACAAGGCGATGACTGTTTCCATTTCTGCGGGGCTCAAAGCAACCTCCTTTGAGCCGTCAGACACGAGTTTCGCGTTCAATTCTTGAAGCTTCTTGGTGATAACCTTCAAGTTGGCGGAACGGATGGAGAGATAGATCTTCTGAGGAAGAACATTGACTCGTGGCTCAGGAGCAGGGGGAGGCTGCTGGGGCTCTTCGGTGGCCGAACCATCTCCGGGACGGTAGCGTCGGTCTGAGCCCCAAGGATCGGCACCTGCGGGTTCCTGGGAGGATTGCCCAATCGTGGCACCTTGGGTGTTCTGAGTGATGAAGTTCGCAACTTGGTCAAGGTATGTCATAGGAAGTTCGTTGTCGCCGATAAACTTGGTCGCGGCCTCGTATGGGTTCTGGGAGGCGTTGTAGGGAAGCTTCAACGGGGGCTTGCCGTCTTCAATATCGACATCAAAGACGTAGTCATAATCCTGACCGGCATACTCAGTCTTGCGACCACTGCTTCCTCCCGAGTCCACCACAGTTCCAACGGCAATCCATTCCTGGGTTGCCGATGACCAAGTGTGAGCAGTCACACTGCCATCGGCCTCACGAATCATCTGGACCTGGCCCTCCTTGGTTCCGGATTTTTGTTGTATAAACTCTGGACCTGGTAGCTCCTCTTTATTAATCTTTCCAATTTGCTGCTCTGGAATAGCTGATTCTTTGACGGCTTGGTCGAATTGCTGCACAGCCTCCGGGGCTGCTTGGCGATCTGGGCTCCTGGTGAATACACGGGTAATGCGGTCACTAGCACCAGTGACAATATCACCGGTCTCTTTGCAGGCTGCCACACTCCATACTGAGATGGCAGGGTGCGTGATTGTTTGGACACACTCAGTCCCGCTCCAGACCTTCACCGTGCGATCTTCGCTAGAGCTCACAAGTTCACCGGTAGGGAGTGCTGCAAGCGAGTAAATGAAGCTCTCATGGCCATATAGTGATGCAACCAGTTGGCCTTGTAGAGTGTAGAGACGAATGATCCCGTCATTGCTAGCCGAAGCAAAATGGGCCCCCGAGGGATGTGATTCAGGAAGCCTGCAAAGTGCACGAACGACGTCGTCGGAATTTTGAACGCTGCCAAGGAGTTTTCCAGAAGTGTTGTACATCCGGATCATCTTATCGGCGCAGCCTAAATTAATGTTAGATCCATATCATGTGAGTTTCAGACTGTGAGTGCATACCTGTGATAATTGTGTTCTCGTCGTAGGCCAAGACAGCCCACACGCTTGCTTCATGTCCATCCAAGACAACGTCACACTCCCACTTTCCGACCTTCCATAGACGCGCAGTTGAGTCCCAGCTACCGCTGACAACCCAACTACCGCCAGGGGACACATCTAGAGCACAGACATTGTGGCCATGCCCCAGAAGCATCGCGTCCGCATTGTCCGCCGCACCTTTACCGGGCTGTCTAGCCTCGATGATGGCATCTTGTCCAGCAGAAAGAACGAGTCCCTCGGGGAATTCCGGTGTGGGTGGAACGTATGCTAAACTGTTGATAAACGCGCCGCCGTGGGCTGCAATCGTGTAGTCGTATGCGGGCGGTGGGTTCGATACGAGCTTCCATAGTCGGACTGTGGCATCACGGGAAGCGGAGAGAATGACATTGGGGTTTGGGAAAACCACGGCGCGAACCTATATCGAAGGGGAAAAGTGTGAGTCATTTGCGTGGTTGGGAAGCACCCTCAATGGCATCTAGAGACGCCGGGACCGGGATACTTACATCATCGCCGTGGCCCTCCAAAGTTGCGGAGAGCTTGAAGTCAGGCATACATAAAACTCTGAAAGAGAAGCAAGTGGCACAAGTCAAGTCCGATGAACTGATATGCTGAGGGTATCACAGAATCAATGATCAATGAAGCTCTCCTGTTGTTGTCCTTTAGTCGTTCCGGGGATCGCCCCGCCTGAGCATCATATCACGTGGGCGGTAACAGCAGGGGAACCTGCTAGAACGCCGAGGTCTTTCACTTGTTCGATTTTTGGAAGACCACGATGATTATTAATGGGCTCTGAGAACCTTGGAAGCTCTTCGATCGGCGCGCATGGTGTGGCTGAGCACCCTGCAATCGACGTGCAGATGTGGCTAACTTAGAGATCATACAAAAATACTCAAACTGGCTTTGCAAAGACGTTTCGAAGACCCGAAAGAATGGCTGAAGCCAAGAATATAGATTTCCTCATAATGTCAAACTTTTGAGCATTAACATATTTAGTTGCCAGTCATGGGCATGACCTTGTTGTACTGCAGGTGCATCGTACAGTAACATGTGTTGGTCGCCACCAATAAGCCCACCTGGACAAGAATCAGGCTTGTTTGTACGTCGTGCTTATGCTGAGATGCCCCTGTGGGCCTGGGTGGATTGAGGCTTTGTTGCCTTGTCTCAAATTATTACACCATACTTGATCAGGAACCTTGCAAGCATTTGCAAGAGAAAGAGGCGGTGAAAGCAAATCATACGCAAGAAGAATCAAGGGTGCAAATCATGTAGAATGTTGCCTCCCAGCTCGCACTCCTGTGGCTGCCAATCAGGCAACAGATGTCAAAAACCCGTTGCAAAGGCACGATGGTCGTCCAAGTATAAGCCTCACGTGTCACTTCAATTATACCTAAATGGGACTAGCGTGTCGATTACATAAGGTGATCGGCTGGCGATGGAGTCCGTGAAATTGAAATTCGATATCACCGTTTGCAAGTCCTTGAGATTCAACGGGGATTTCCAAGATTGTTCGAGGCCTTCACTCCTTTCTCAGGCGGGGGGATATTTACCAGTGGTCAATATCTCAGTCGGTGACCTTTCCTTTCGATCCTTTGGCAACCAAACCTGGAACCCCACGTCTTTGCTTGACGACTTGACGACCCTGACGAATCTCTTATGTACCTTCTCTAGTCAGATTGAAACTTCCCCAGATCTACTTCTGGAGTTGCATCTTCATCCCAGACTTCTAAGGTTGTCGGTTGGGCTCATCACGTCTTTGCTCTGATTGGCCCCTCTAATATCTAAGATCAAAACCACCGAAACCTCACAAACTTCACTTCCGACAATATGGCTACCGGTATGTCACTAGTAGTGATGGGACTTCAGATTCAAACTGCGCATATACACTGACTTCGCTTTAGATATCCCCAAGGTTGTCCCTTTGACATGTCACGGACATTCTCGTCCGGTGACGCATTTGAGCTTCTCTTCAACTGTGGAGGACGAGCAATATTACTTTATCTCATCATGCAAAGGTATGTTAATAATTCCTTTCCAATCCACCATTCCCACTAACTCGCCACAGATAACAACCCTATGCTCCGAGACGGCATTACAGGAGACTGGTAAGACTGAAACGCAACTCCTAAAGGTCACGTCTGACAGAATCCAGGATCGGAACATTCCTCGGCCACAAAGGTGCCGTCTGGCAAGCCAGACTCTCCGCAGACGCTGCCATCTCAGCAACAGCAGCAGCAGATTTCTCAGCGTAAGTCTTGAACCAACTCCCAAACCAATCCCAACTAATAAACCCCACAGCAAAGTCTGGGATACATACACAGGCGAATGCCTACACACACTGCAGCATGCGCACATCGTGCGCTCAGTAGCATTCCCCATCCAAGCCAACCCGCAAGTCCTCGCAACCGGCGGTGCAGAGAAGAAGCTCCGGATCTTCGACCTCACGCGCGGAGGCTCAGCCTCTGTCCCTGCGGGCACTAATGCTGCAACTGAGAATGGAGTGACGAGCTATGAGATCGGTCCCGGCGTTCACGGCGGTACTATCAAGTCCATTGTCTGGAACCAGGACTACAATGTGGTCACCACTGCGGCTGAAGACCGGAAGGTTCGGTGGTGGGACTTGCGCTCGCGACACCCAATTGTCGAACTCGCGGTTGATGGTCCCATTGGCTCTTGTGAGCTGAATAGTCTCGCGACGAGGCCCAATGACTCTGGGATCTTGACTGTGGCGGCTGGCAAGAGTGTCTACCTTTACGATGGTGTGCAGCCGGGTCGATTGCTCAAGAAAGTTGATTTCGACTATGACGTTGCGAGTGCGGCGGTCAATAGTGAATCTGGCCGTCTGGTTACGGGCAGTGCGAATGATACTTGGGCGCGAGTTTATGACTTGAACACGAACGAAGAGCTCGGTATGTACTTCCTATCAACCATCCACGTCATAAATGCGGGTATATCATTCATGACCAAGCTAATTACTTTCTTTAGAGGTTCAAAAGGGTCATCATGGACCTATCTGGTCCGTCAGCTTTTCGCCTGACGGTAAGCTCTACGGCACCGGTAGCGAGGACGGCACCATTAAGCTGTGGAAAGCTAGCCGGGAGCCATATGGCCTCTGGAGGTAGTCGAGAGACACTTCTAATAGTCATCGTGTGTGAAGAAACCTACGGCAGCACCGCATTTTCCTTTGCCATTGGCAGTTCCTGTTTTTATCGATGATACGTGGTGACATTTAACTCTATCATATTCAGCTTGTACAGTCTCACTATATTGTTTTCGTAGTTAGTGGCTCTATTCAAACCTCACATCCATGAATGCGTCCATGTTCCCCCGTAGGTACGTCGGAAAGCGACAACAGCCATTGTCCGACGGGAGAACAGGCGGCCTCATCTATTCACTGAAAGCTTCAAGGTTGGAACCATAGCATCGACCGGACAACCTTGGAAGCGAGTGGAAGACTTCCTAGGTACCTATGTGCTAGGTACCCAGTCTCCAATTCGCCCGCGGGCCCGGGTGATATTATGCATCCTGGGGCCCTAGGATTGGACTTTGAAGCCCGAACGAATGGGAAATCTCGAAGTTGCTCCCATTACCGTTTATAATTTATCAAAAATTTCAGAGCCAAGCTTAAATCAACGTACAAAACCCCCAAAACACCAAACAATGCAACCTGAGCCAAATTAAGCCATAGACCAGGTGTCCCGCTGCGCCAGCGTATGGAATTGCAATAGCCAAAATGTTTGGTGACGCGAGTAGTGAGGTTGTCGTGAAGAGGAAGCAATCCGAGTGTGCAATGAGAACCCAATTACAATTTCGTGGTTGGAGTAAAGTACAGTGACAGATCCCATGCGGAGGGAAATAAGCGGCTGAAAGGTAGAGCGGAAAAGAAAAAGGGCGGCAGATCTCGGTTGCAGCAAAGACAATGGAGAGTGTCATGCTGGCCCAAAGGAATTGCGAAAGCGAAAGGTGCCAGGCGAATAGACCCCAGGAAATATTTACTCGATCATATCAACATCATCATCAGCAACAGGTGCGCTGGGGGCCGGCGCAGCCTGCTGAGGGGCATCTGGTGCAGCAGCGGCATCGTCACCGTTGTTGGCACCACCCCAGTAGTCTTCCATTTCCTGGTCCAACTCCTCCTGAGTCTTGCGTGGGCGGGCAGTTGAGCGACGGTTCGAGCCATCGGCGGGCTGGCCGCGGTCACGTCCACCGCGTCGTCCTCCATTGCGGCGAGGGGAGCGTCCAGACCGTTGACCGGGGACGTAGCGATCAATTCCATCGGGAGGGGGCTTAGTGACGTCGCTGCGGTGGCCACGGCCACCGCGACGGCGACCACCGTCTTCGTCGGATCGAGGGCTGAGGCTGCGACCGTCACGGGGTCGTTCGATACGGTCCATCAAGCTGGATCTGGGGTGAGAGGCGGAGTCAAGAGGGTTGCGCTCGCGGCGGCCGGGGATGATAGACAAGCGGATGGGCTGGCCCTTGGCGTTGGCTCCATCGTACTCTTGGACGGAGGTGTGTGCGTCCCTGAGACGGGCATATGTGATGTAAGCGACTCCCTCGGAACGGCCAGAGCGGTCGTAGGACATGGTGAGATCAGAGACAGGTCCGATGCGGCCGAAGAGATCCTGTTCAGATTAAACGTTAAGGGTGTGCTTTCAAATTTGATACCCGTTGATGGGAGACATACATCGAGGTCGGCTTCGGTGATATCGTAGTGAAGGTTCTCCACGCGAACCTTGGTAAGTGATCTGATGTTTAATCAGTCTCAGTCCTGACGGAATATCGGGATTGATAGGCAAAAGAGCAGGGTCCATACCGCTCAGAGTCACGACCGTCACGGCCTCTGCGACCTCCACGGGATGGGCGGGCTTGACAAGGAAGTTAGACGTAGTCCATCATGTTTTCGACGAAATACTTACAACGGTCGTCTTCGAACTTGTCATGAACCCAGTCACTAGAAAAATAGCTGTCAGCGTTATCCCAACCACGGTGATGAAGGCATAATCACAGGTTCAAATCGACGCGATCACGGTCTTGAGTGTATGGCTGTTGTCATCCAGAGCGTTAGCTCCAAGCTATAAGAGATACCATGCAAAATTTCTGTCCATGTCGATGCCGCGGTGTTTTCGCTGGGTAGTTTCCGACAATCCAGAGTGGCTACGGCGGGCACGGAGCAGGAGAATTCGCAGCAAGAGGAAGAGGAGGGCGGACCTTTTCGTCAATTGATATGTTAGCATCACTTCCATATGGTATTGCTTTCATAGAATCTTGATTCCAAGGGGGAGTGTGTCCATACCTTTCTGACGCCGTCGCGTTCGGTGCGACGGCCGGGGTTGTTGCGACGACGGCCACCACCGCCACCTGAGGAGCGAGCATTGGGACGCTATCAATAGCCATGTCAGCGATCCTCCGTAGGCAATGCCAAACTTCATGGCTAGCTGGGTTCTTACCGTGTCCTCAGCAATGATCTCGTCAAGACTGCGGTCCATGTTGGGCTATTGAGTATCCGAACGGATTGAACAAGGAAGAAAGAATGGAGGAGCTCAATCAAGATATATCTTGATCAAGGATGGGTGAAAGGATTGAACAAGAAATAGGTGTTTGGGTATAACCAGCCGCAGGATCATCTTCGTCACCTCCGATGCGGATCATCTGGGGGCGCTACTCACGTGATGGATAACACTTCATTGATGTAGAAATGATCGGCGGCATCGGACCTGGAGGCTTTGGCTTTGTTTGTTCGCTGGGCACGTCTTGAAAGTAGTAAAACCACCAAAGAAAAAAGATATCCGACTCAGGGCTGAAACTCGAGGTTTGAGACTACTCCTCCCATTGACGCCATTGACCAGGTCCGGTCTAGGTCTGCGTTCTCTACAGAGTACATCTTGCCTAGGGGGGATCTGGCCATTGTTTTCATACGTGAAAATGTTCGTGTGGTATCCTGATGATTACAGACAGAAAGTATGCAGCACAATATGTGTTAAGAGAGCCTAACCCCATGCAAGAACCAGCAAGAAAAGGTTGTCGAAAAACAATAACCCTGAAAACACCAGAAACACAGCAACACCAAGCCAGTGCGAATCCCCGGTAATGCTGTGTCTATCTCGACCGTGACAATAAGACACCCTTTTTATTGATCGCCATTCTTTTTGCCTTCTTCTCGCATCTTCTCCATGAAGCTGATATAGTCATACTTGGGCAAGTCTCGATCCTCAAGGAGATCGGGGCCATCGTGCGTGGGCATCGTCTTGACCAAATGCTCGATGACTTCGTCGGGGATGAGAGAATGGCGGAGGTCAAGCTCAGTCACGTAGGGCTAGAGAATATGTTAGTAATAAGAACAAGGTATCATTATAGACACAACCGAACATACCTTTCCATCGGCAACTTCCTTGAAACTCTGGAAGACCTGCTCGGCCGTGTTTTGATCCTCGGTCACACTGACCATAAACCGGATGAACTGTTCGAAGCTCACGCCGGCATTTTGTGACAGGCGGTTAGGTCCACACACTTCAACGTAGACCTGGTGCATCTCCTCTTCGTCGTAAACCAATCCCAGACTGGCCAAGGCCGCTGAGAATTCAAGTTCGTGGAGAGTGTTGGAGGCATCGCGGTCGAAATGGCGGAAGACCGACTCAAACTCTTCCAGCTGGATGGGAGTCAGGTTGGTCATGCTTCGAGCAACCATTTGGTTGTCGAGGAAGGCCAGCTTCTTGGAAATGCTGGACTTGACGAGACTCAATTCATATGCAAGTTCGTCCAAGGTATATGTAGTGAAGTCGTTTTCTTCGATGTTGGCTTCAGCACACTGTTGATCCAGTTCTGCGATAGTGTCGAGGAAAGCATCTAGAGGTGGTAGGGTGTCATTCAATCTCTTGACATGATCTAATTGGTCCTCGACGTCGCCATCCAGTCCAGAGATGGCTAGCGATAAAGTTTTCAGCGTCAACGCAAAATCATTCGCCTTGTCAGCGAAGGAGCGGCGTAGCTTGTTCTTGATATCGCGCAATGTTTCGTTGATAAGTTGACTGCGTTCGTGCTCGTCTCGAGTGAGGATTTCCCATTCTCTGTCACAGTTCTCTGGGCTCAGTTCCTCGGGTGGATCATAAGGACGAAGTCGATATGTGCCCAGCTTGGTTTTGATATTTCCCAGCAATGCAGCCAGGTCGGATTTTTCAGCCACCCATTGGCGTTTCTCGGTTCGCTTGTAGAGGGAGAACTGATAGGCCTGTTCCTTGACGTCTTTATAGGTTCCCTCAAAAGAGGAGCCCTTCCAGTGGTCCCGCTGGCCACGAATCAGTCGCAGTAGCTCCTTGACTCGACGCTCATATGAGTTTTGCATCTCCCATGCGCCGTGCATATTGTTCACAAACTTCTCCACTCGTCGCCCGGCATTCTCGACCCTCTCAAGTTGGGAGAAGGCATGGAACCAGTACGCAATGTAGGTCATGAGAGAGCGCTCATCCGGTCTAGGGACGTCACACACATCGTCCACGTCGAGGAGGTCTGGAATGCCGATTTCGTTGGATGCGATCTCGAAGGCCAGCTTCATGTTTCCGCGGTGGTCGCTCTTATCGAGGGACTCGTAATCGATCAAGTCGGGCCGGTGAATATCCAGAAGCGCACAGAAGGCCAGACCGTTGTTCCAGCTAGTAGAGAAGTCCCGGACTTCCACATCATCGTAGCAGGCCGTCTTCCGTTGACACCACAAGAGCAGACCTTCCTTGGCGGTCATGCCCTCCTCGTTGATATCGCTGATGGTGAATCGCAGAATCAATGTCCAGATCAACCCCAGGATAATTTTTTGGTTGCCATCCACGATATCCTCCGCTCCAATGTTTGTCATCTGGATCCTCCTTCCCTTGATGAAATCCAGACTTTTGTTGACATTCTCGAATCGCTGCACGCGCAGTTTCGGTTTCGACGCATAGCGACCTAAGGACTCTCCTCCCAGGATCTCCAGGAGGTGGATGAGAATGACCTGGACACGCGATCAGCAACATGACGCTGGGGGTGGGGTAGCAGAGCATACGCCGTCGGAGAGGTCAGTGACCAAGTCCTCGATGGACAGGCTCCGTGCCTTCAGCTTGTCATTCAACCTGTCGAGAGTCAGCGACGCGCCCTTAAAGGCGGGAGATTCTCATACCATTTGGTGAAGGTCTTTTGCTGCACATTAATCCACTGCTTCTCGACCGTCAACATCTTGGCGGAGACATTCAGGGCCGATTGACAATAATGGTGGGGTTGACAGTCAGGGGTCAGGGTTGGATGACGATCAGAGAGGCTGAAAGGATCCCGAGGTCGGTTTCCGATTCGGAGAGATCCAGCACAAGGGGGGGTTCAGAGATTCGGGCGGGGTGTGGCTCGGAGCTGAAGATCACCCCAGCAACCGTGTAATTCTAGATTCTCGACGTCAATGCTCGGAGACCTTGGAAGTGGTTTGTTCCAGAGATGCTTACAAGGTTGTCAGGTTGAGAGTTTTTTGAGGAAAAAAATAATATCCCTAGTCAAGTGACTGCAGATGCATTGCATCCCTTGACCCACTTCTAAGTATAGCCTCCCCCTTTGTCGTTTGGGTACGGAGTAGAATGTGTTAATATATATTTTACTCTCAATCATGTGGTACGAGATAGATGACTTCTGATTGTCAAATCTATCCATGGATGCTAAATACAATGAGATAGAATGAAACTGGCGTGGTCTCCAGGCTCAAGATGCCCAGGTGTATACTATTCAACCTTGGAAGCGCCAACGGAACAACCTTGGAAGGCAAGTCGAAGGTTTCGGCTATTTCTGCTACCTTGTCTCCTGGTCTACTGAAATAAGGTCTATATCCATGGATATCCATGATATGTATATACCATGGAGTACTCCGTACACACGGGCACGTTCATCAGATATAACTGAGGGCGTCTATGGGTGTACTAGGTAGCTTCCAAAGTTGTTCCGTCGCCTTCGTTCGTACCTAGGTATACTAATGTTTGCACCTGGGCATAGTTTCTACCTTGGAAGGCATACCTAGGTAGGCCTATTTTGATTCCCAATGCTGCCCAGGTGGATATAATAAACAGGCTGAAAAGGTGTGTTGCTGCCCAGATACCCACTCCCTCTGATTTGGGTGTTCATGCATCAAATACTCCTTCGAAGCAGATATGATATTTGAACACCAGGAAATCCTCAGTGTGCCATCTTAGACGAACTCTCAGTGTCGAATGCATACCTGGGTATGATACTCGACCTTGGGATGTCTGCTTAGGTGTCTGGCCTCTCATATGGTCTTGTTTCCTGAATAAATATGGCCTCTAGGACCTGCTCTGAGGTCCAGTTAAACTCGAGGGTTCGAAAGAGACAATGAAGCAAGCTGCATGCGTGCACCATGCCGCAGAGCCATATCAACATTGGAAACCTTGGAAGAGAAGATGTATACAAACTTATCAATTTGCGTGCTAGGCGTAGAAGTCACCTTTGAATTGCGCAATCCAATCAACTAATGCAGCTCAATGACATTAGTGATCAGCTTTGAGAATGAAAATCCCATGGTAAATAGCCTTGACTTATAGTCTGCAGTACTAATAGAGCAGGAATGGCGCAATGGTGGGATTCCATATCACGCAATCCCCCCACGCTTTATACATGGCTGATATTCCAAGGTTGTGTAGTCCAAAGTGAGATGCAGTCATATTGGGAAGAGAGTATAGATGGAATCCTTGGATAGCAGACCAGAAGCAAAACGAATGTTGTATTGAGTTCCATTGCAACGCGATGCCGCGATGCCGCGGTGGTGCTAATTTTTAGTCAGCACAAATGAGGTCATCTTCGCAAAGCGGGGCGAGGGGATCTTTGAGACTCACAGCTTCGACGGTTTTTTTTTTTCTTTCGCAAATCACTCACACAATGTCTCTCAAGATTACCGACACGCTCCCTCTCCCCAACTCCAGCGCGCGCATTCCGCGTCTCGGATTCGGTGTCTACCGCTCCCCGACCAATCAATGCGTGCAGTCCTGCCTGCAGGCACTGAAAGCGGGATATCGGCACATCGACACAGCGCAGTTTTACGCCAACGAGGCGGAAGTCGGCGAGGCACTACGCACTTCCGGCGTGCCTCGCGAAGAGGTCTTCATTACCACTAAGATCCTCAGCCCTGCAGCTTCGCTTGAAGCTACTTATGATAAATTGCTCGCATCTGTGCACAAGATCAGCGGTGCAGATGGATACGTCGACTTGTTCTTAATTCACTCCTCGAGCTCTGGCACCGCAGGCCGTAAACTCCTGTGGCAGGCACTTGAGAAGTTGTACGCGGAAGGCAAGGCGAAGAGCATTGGTGTCAGCAACTTTGGTATTGGACATATTGAGGAGTTGCGCTCATTCGCCACGGTGTTCCCACCTCAAGTGAACCAAATTGAGGTAAGTGATCTAAAAATGAAAAATCAGAAGCTCCTTGGCTGTCTCAAGTGATGCTTTTGTTCACATTTCTGACATTGTACCAGCTCCACCCATGGTGCCAGCAACGAGTTATCGATGAATACTGCCGGAGCAACGGAATCGTCGTCGAGGCCTACTCCCCCATTGTGCGAAACTACAAAGCTAATGACCCCACATTGGTGGAGGTTGCGAAGAAGAATGGCCACTCGACCCAGCAGGTTTTGATCCGCTATGCGCTGCAGAAGGGTTGGGTGCCTTTGCCTAAGACCGATAACCCAGAGCGGATTGTTTCCAATGCAGATGTGTTTGGTTTCAATCTGAGTGCAGAGGATATGGCTGTTCTGGATTCCCTGGATCAGGGAGATGCCGGTGCTATCGTGGAAGCTGTCCAGAACGAATAAGGCGGATTTACACCATCATGATCATGATTCCCACAGGGCCCGAAGCCAATCTGAGCTTGACCAGACGAGGAAAACCAATTTGTTCGAGGTCAATAATCCGGCGGCTGCATCAGAAAGGCATTGACAGACTGGAGTGTGGCCCGAGACGGATTCACGTCATGTTTCGAAGACACGAGCCAAGCCAGACGCTGTCTGATGAATTGCTTGCTGATTGTGCGCTTGCTCAGCGAGGCATCGAAGCCACCTGTGGCGGAATATTAGTCTTCCATTTCCATTCCATCTAGCGCTTGAATTCACCCAGCAGGGTTTTGCATACATACCTTCGTCATTGTAAAACAAGCATATAATCGCCAACAGTGTCCCCGCCGAAAGATCCTTTCCACTCTCACAAGTCACTAGTAATGCAGAGTCTGGATTCGCCTCAAATCGTGCAACAACGAAGTCCCGAACTTTATCCAGCGACTTGCGTAAATCCCGACTCCCCAGCTTCCCGGTATCACAACCCAAGCCGAGTCTCTTCACGTCACCCTCAGCTGGGCTTCCATTGCAGTCAATCACGAGATCGTAACCACTCGCCCCATTGGCCGCGCCGGTCGAAGTGATGAACAGGTTCTTCGTCGGAGCAACGAGCGTCGCATCGCGAGCTACATCCAGCTGCTTATGTTCACTGACCAACCGCTGAATAAGATCGGGCAAGTCATCCTCAGGCGTATTTTTCAAAATCTCCCGATTGGCCCAGAACACCGGCGGCGTCAGCCCATACGCCCATCCCTCGCTATCATCACCCGCACCTTGGATGTATCCGCCCTCCGACATCTCAGCGCCGTGCACGCGCCTCGAAGCAGAGCATAGCACAAGAAGGCGGTATTCATCGCTCTTCTGGAGGTCCGAGGGGTGGAAATATGATCGATTGGCCCAAGCTACTTGGATTGGTTTCCCGATCTGCTCTCGCAGACCGTCTAGATCGAGCTTGAGACTCTGTGGCGCCGAATCAGTCCCTGTCTTGCTTGAGGTGGGGTGTGGCGTCGCGGGGGCTGATTTCTCACCTTGAGCGAGTGTACGAATCTGTCGATTCGGTTTTCGATCTGCGCTTCCTCTGATTCTCCTAGGTAGTTTGGTGGAAGTTGGACTGGGTGATAGGCTGTTTGAGATGGGAACAGAGCCCTATTGATGACAGCACTCCAGATTGGAACTGTCTTTGATAATGCATCTGGCATTACTAGTGCAAAGTCAGTATCTCAGTTTGTGGTTTTCGAGGCCACGCGTGGCGTCAATCTGGGTAAATTGATGCGAACCCGGGTGCAATTTCACTTACACTTTCCTCGACGAGTCGAATCAACTATCACACAGCTGGCCAAAGTATAGTCAGTTTTTGGTCCATTGTAGATAATCAGGCGGCCTAGGCTGTGGACTAGTAGTGGTTGTTCACCGTTTCCGAGCGGCATGAGCCAAACCCCACAGCCTGTCCAACGCCAAACATAAATTGCACAAGATATGGAACTCACCCGCCATGATCCTTGACCAGCGGAAGCAACTGCAGGTTCAGTCTGCGAAAGCTAAAGTCCCACTGACCGGTGTGGCCATCGGTGCTTTTGAAATAAGCACTGCCCACCTTGGTCGTTGGCGGAATGTACCAGCTTCCACAGCGCTCATTAGCTACGAGTGGAAGCCCATAGTGATCGGCAACCTCCTGCACGAACTTGGCATCATCCTCAATGGATTGAAGGCGATTGGAGACGGAGAGTGCTGATCGACGCAGAGACGAGAGTGTCTGCGAGATGGATTGTTGCGCCGACGGAAAGTGCAACGACTCCAATGTCGGAAGTGCACCCGATGAATCCATGTCTGACTCTTTTACTTCACTGCCAAGTATATGCAATTTTGATATTTGTCGGGCCGTGTCCCGGAGTATACAGCCCCTATAGGCTGGTGGACCAAGCTAAATGATTGGTTCCAGATGCAGTCCCCTGCGTTAATTGCACGTATGAGCGAGGGTCGGTGACAGACCGGATGGTTTTCTTGCGCCGGGTTGAATGCAGAGGACGGTTGTGGAATGGCAGATGCGTTCGCGATTTGAGTCTGGCCAATCATTGTGCGACAAAGTGGGCCCATTTGGAGTGTATATAATAGCCGTGCTACTTAGCTTCATACTACGAGTACCACCTGCTTCTTGGCGTATAATTCTATGGTGGCCATGTCTCAAGTAGTACAAATTATGACAGTTGACTACTAATTCTTGACCCGGCTCGTCGTTCTCAGGTTGGATCTGACGACTTTCAGGAAATGGGACCGTTTGAACCCGGGCCTTACGAGAGGCAGGTATCAAGCATCGAAATCCCTCAACGCTCACCGAAATCAGAATAGTATAGCCGAGGTTATAAGGGTGACATGGTTGATGGCCCATAATACAATCCTGGACGCTCTTTTAGTACCACATCGCCAAGTGACCTTTGAGTGCGAGTGCATAATTGATGCAATCCTGAAGGGGATCTGACTGCACTAGCTGACTCCGGAGAACACGGGCAGAGGGGCTCCCACGAAAGACGTTAAGGCCCTCTCCGTACCACATGAATAGAGGATGTGACTAAACCCCCACTCTGCCCCCGGATCCAGATGTCCCCCCTGTGAGTTAAATTGGATATTGAGTTCCCCTCAAACAAGGTCGGCGGAGAGATGGCCGTGCATCATAAGTTTAGGCCTAGTCGACCTAGCCGTGTAGTCTTACCCAATGAGAGGAACAAGTTGCAGTCCGTGGCCCGCTCAGACTGTGCCCTTTCAACATCAGGTGAGGATCACTGATCACTTGAGTCCGAGTCAAGGGCATTGTCAAAAGAAGGTCACGAGAAGAATCGGGACACTTCTAAACTAGGAGATGGAAGACGGTAGAAGTTGAAACGCAGCGAAACCAGACATGCCCGGAGTAGAAAGAGGGGGCGCTAGTCCTGACAGGGACTAGTGTATGACCAGATTGTATTTTGATTGGCTGGATGCTGAGCCATATATCCTGGGAGGAAGTACCGGGTACCTGAGCTCACAGTGTACCCCACCGCGCACCAGCAAGTACTGAGTACCCACGTCAATGCCATAGCCCCTCCCGCTCTGGCCCGGTTTCCCAGGGACATTCGCGGCGTCATTTTGGCCGGCACTTGCCCTGGCTTAAATACTACCGTCCTATTTGCATTTCCGCTTTCCCATAGACCATTCTTCTGTTTTCTCGCATTCTCAATTTCACTCGGATTTTCTCTCCGCATCATCATGCCTAAGGTACGATCCTCAACCGCATACCCCCCCCGGTGCTAACCGACTGTAGATCACGGAAATCTTCTTCGATTGCGACAATACTCTAGTCCTCTCCGAGGAGCTGGCCTTCGAGGCCTGCGCCGACCTGGCCAATGAGATCCTGGAAGCGTGGAACATCTCGGACCGCTACACAGGCGACCAGCTAATCAAAGACTTCGTCGGCCAAAACTTCCGTGGCATGATGGGCTCGCTGCAGAAGAAGTACAACTTCGAGATCCCTGCCGACAAGCTGGAGGGCTACGTCACCAAGGAAGAAGACAAAGTCATCGCCAAGTTGGAAGCCAAGGCCCAGCCCTGTGTTGGTGCCAGTGAGGAGTTGGAGAAGCTGTTTGCGGAGAAGAAGTACGGCCTCGCTGTCGTTTCCTCATCCGCTTTGCGTCGCGTGCGCGCATCCATCAAGAAGGTCAATCAGGACAAGTACTTCGACGAGGACAAGGTGTTCAGTGCCGCTACCTCCCTGCCAAAGCCAACTTCCAAGCCCGACCCTGCCATCTATCTGCATGCCCTCGAGAAGGTTGGCAAGACCGCCACGGAAACTGTGGCCGTGGAAGACAGCAAGTCTGGTGCTCTTTCTGCCGTCCGTGCTGGTATTCCTGTGATTGCCTACGTTGGCAGTTACCACGGCGAAGAGACCCAGAAGGCGATGGCGCAGGCATTGACTGAGCTCGGTGCGAAGACTGTTATGTACCATTGGTCTGAATTCCCGGACCGCATGGCGGACATTGAAAACGGAGATGTCACCGAGGTTCACTCCAGTCTTTGAGTGTGCTGGTCCTTGTGCGCCTACGATGTTATGATAGCGAGCGTATGGTCGTTAAGAGGATTCCCGTCTTGTCTTGTTTTACTACCACGATTTATGGATTGTTGCCTCTGCTTCACCAACACGGAAAGGAGAACTTCTACCTCTACTAGCCAGTTAGTAACAGGCCACGAGTTGCGATATTGTGACTCTGCCTGTATTCTTACTCTCTGTATCTGGGGAACTAGCCAGCACTCCAGGTTGTTCGATTAAGAGATACTCACACGCAATGAGATACCAATTAGCAATTCGCATTCTATTGATCTACACATTATGTCGTCCACATGCTACGTTGATACAGCCCTGGAGCATATGACGAAATTTGAAAGGGAAAGAATGCCCGTACAAGCACTCGGGCCATAGAGCACTCGGGAGTAGCAATCAAAGATGAAGAAACAGACGAACCTCCAGCCCTCCAGCCCTCCACCTGGCAGCCCTGCCCAGGTGGACTGCCCGCACCGAGAAGCAGATAAGATAAGACAACCCCACCACCCGAATTGGAGACTCCACGGGGACCTCGGCCAGCTTTTCTTCCCAAATCGTCTCTTTCAGTCCAAAATGTCAGCTCCACACACTCAGTCCAAACTTGTATCACAGGGCCCACTGGTATGTTACCCCGGATTTGACCAATCGAGCACGATCAGGCCCATCTCCGCATTGACTTTGGGTCAAGTTGCATAGAACCTCCAACTGATATCTTGATTCTTGAACAGCCCTCCGAAGAGGCACGCTGGATTCGAGCCGTGAAGACAACATACACCGACCCACTGGGTGTTGAGCGAACATGGGAATCCGCCGAACGCACAGTAAGACACATTCCTATCCCCAGGGCCGAAAACAGACACCCCAATACCCCCCGGCCACCAGACCAGGCCCACCAAGCATGACCTATATCGAGCCGCAGCGGTATCTACGCAATGTATCAGCGCGCATGTGGCTGAGGATGCAATCTACTGGGCCCCGGGGCTGCAAGTGACATAAGCCCGGGTGTTGCCCAAGCCCAAGCCCAAGCCCTGGGTGCCTAATGGCATAGAGTCCTACCTGCATCTCCCATACCCCAACAGCCACTGAGATGATCCCGCAATTCATCTACTCTGTGCCTCGTACTGAATTTGATGGCTAACCGCGCTTACCCAGACACGTCCTGCTGGGGTGGAACTCGATGGCGTGGGGATCGTTGCTATTTTGAGCAAAGATAGCGGGTCTGAATTGCTTTTGCAGAAGCAGTATCGTCCTCCAATCAATAAGGTCGTCATTGAGGTTCCTGCTGGCCTGATAGATGCCGGTGAGACGCCAGAGCAGTGTGCTGTTCGTGAACTTCTCGAGGAAACGGGTTACGTTGGTGTGGCGGAGCAGACTAGTCCAGTCATGTTCAATGGTAAGTGGGGACTTGGGGTTGTTTGCATGCTGGTTGTTAATCTTTTATTCTATTCCTATCAGATCCTGGAATGTGTAATACCAATTTGCACATGGTTCATGTGAAGGTTGATATGTCACTTGCTGAAAACAAGAACCCGAAGCCTCAGCTCGAAGAGAATGAGTTCATTGAGTGCTTCACGGTTCCTTTGGCATCTTTGTTTGACGAAATGAAGAAGCTTGAAAAGGAAGGATATGCCATCGATGCTCGCATCGGGACCCTTGCGGAGGGTATTGAACTGGCGAAAAAGTGGAAGCTGTGAACCTTGGAATCGCCGTAAGTACAGCAGCATGGTTGTTTCTTCGCACAGATAGAGCATATTGTCGATGCATAACTACAAGTAGTACATTCAATCTGGCCTTTGCCTATCGTTTGTTCAGATCAGGCCCTCCTTCTTCAAGCCTTGGTACAGTCCCCAGGCAGCTAGAGTCTTCCCATCTCTGACTCCGGCCTTCCATAAATCTCCCAGGGGAACAATCTTAAGCGTGATCTTTTCTCCTTCATCACGGAGCCCAGTCAATTTACCCTGTAATTCGTCAATCTCCTTCCGCGGCATGGTCTTCTGACACAGGAACAATGGAATAAACTCATCACTCCCACCAGCAGAGGGATAAACAGCGTTCTGCAACGACTCCCCATCAGCAGAGCCATCATTCACCCGGGCCGCCAAAGCAGTCATATCAATCAAATCACCCTGCTCAACCAGTAACCCCGTTTCCTCCTGGATTTCCTTGGCCGCACCACCCGCAAAAGTCCCACTATCATCCAGCATGCCCGCGGGGATTTCGGGGAAAGCCAACGAGCCCGCGGGGATGCGGGGCTGAATAGTGAGGATAGCGCGCTTATCATTATCTGTCGGGTTGGCAATATCATCCGGTTGCAGGACAAGCTATGCATAATTAGAACCACGTCATGGACTCATGCCAGTTGGCCTCGCGGCACGACACATTCTCATCGAATGGAGCAGAAAAATCCCGAGACGCTAACTCACCAGCATGGCTACACTGCCTCCACGAAGGAAAACACTTCCGGGGAGGGTCTCGCCCCGGCTATTTGACACCTCGGCTTTTAGCTTGACGAAGCCGAGCCGCGCGCCCCCAAATCGGTCCACCGCTTGGATGTCGATTCTGCGAAGGACATAGGGGTCTTGATGGAATTCGTGGGTGGGGTTCTTTTGTCGCGATAGGGAGTGTTGTAGTGTGGTCACCCAGGTTTTGTAAGCTGGGAATGAGGCGAGGTCCTGCAGGCTTAGGCCTGGGATCGTGTTGACTTCGATGTCGCCTGGGACTTTGATGGCCATGGTGATTGGTCTTCGATGGATGTATTTCAAATGTCGCGCAGCTAGGCGGAATGGATTCATTCAGGTGTGGCGTAGGCGGTAATTGTTGGTTGATTGCTGATTGTTGGCTGTGCATGAAGTCCACCTGGGCAGCGTTTGGAGATGGCGCGTCATAGTGGATCTGGAGCCTTGTTATGCGATCTCAAGGGGGTTACCTAGGTATAGCCTTCTGTTGACCGTTTACCCGTGGAGTATCGTAACGCATTTTGAATATAGATTGCTCTATATGATTCAAGGTATCTTCAAAGATTCCAGTTCCCTCGTCCTCAATCGGAACGGTCATGCCCCCGCGCAAAGCTGGCCATAATCCTGGGAATCAAACATTCCATGGCCAAATGGACCAGGTGGCATCTAATCGATCATGAAGCCAGAAGTCAAGCAGATTGAATTCTGAACCAATCTTGAGGTGCATCCAAATTGCTTTCACCCGGGTGCGTACCCCACCTCTATTTTGACGCGCTAGTGATGTATGCAAGTTTATACTGTACGAGTATGTATCACCCTGCCAGGGCCGCCTTAGTTTTACCCGGGTACGGATGGTCCAACCTTTGTTTTCTTTCTTTTGTCTTTTCGATATCACATCATTTTCCTCCTTACGTTGAGGTTGGGGCTAGATCCCGTTGCCTTAATGCGACCCAACTGATGCGGCTGACAGAGTTATCCTAAGCTTGGAGCAATTAGCCCCATTTCAACAAGGATCGTGGATTTGAGATATTCGCAGCCTCGTCCAATGCATTGACTTCCACATGTGCGATGCCCGGGGACACATTCTACGGAGTACTTCGTGGACAGGAAACCCATCACCTGAGCATTTCCGACAGAGCACCCTGGGCCATGTGGCCTACACGCATCCCCTTGACGGGGCCCCGGGCCCTACAGTCGCATGATGGGTACATCGGGCACCCTAGAAAACTACGACTGGCTTCCAATGCGGCTAGTGTACATGTCCCGAGGTCCCGGGGAATGCTGGCTCAATACCATCGACCCCTACATTACAGTACTGTACACTGTCCGAGTCTTCCAAGGTTGCTTCCAACGCCCCAAACACTAATTATTTTTGCCCACGATCGCATTAACGCCCGTTCGGTGACATGGAAGAACCGGTGTGGCGGGACAATGCTAAATGGCGGTGACGGGAGGTCAGTGCCAGTACGCAAGGGAAGAAACAGAATTGCTAAACTGATATGGAAGTACCGATAAATGGGGCTGATGGGGAATTAGTGTCTACAATAATTTAGCTTGAAATTTTGAAGCAGGCAGCCGAAAAACAGCACAAAGATCCTTGTAGGCTACGGCACCCGGGTAGCGTTTGCCTGAAGCTCGAGCCCGGGGAGGCTGTATTACGGAGAACCTAGATACGTTAGCAACCTTGGCTATAAAGATATGATGCCCCGTTGATATTCGCCCAAGCTGTTTCGTACAGATGACGATATGTGCGCCTAACTGATCCATCACATGGCGCATTTTCTGACACAATTCGACTTAGTATGGCGGAGGCAAGGCATAAAGCGAACGCCAAGAGGTTTGCTCACAGCGTGTCACCCAGGCAAGTCCAGAGTGTAACTATCAGAATATCCCCCCTAACGAATCCACAGACAATCAATAAAAAGAATCAAGTCAGAGGAGATCAACTCGGAATCCATGAGTTCTCGCCAATATTCCGTCGTGCCAAACCGCCCCCATTCGACGGGGGTGTCGGAGGAGTGCACATTTGATACTCTCGGGAATATTCGAAGGATCAAAAGCCCCGCTCGCACCAGTGTAGGCCACGTCGGCAAACACCGCAGGGATAGCTTCCGCACCCGAGAGCCACGCCGGTCGCCGACTTGTCATGTGAAAACTACAGTGCCCCAGTTAATTCCAGAGCGGATGAAAGATCTCAGGGAGCCAAATGGCAGGCGAGGAAAGGAAGAATCACGGGATCTGACGACGCGCCCGGGGTTTCAAAGGTCCATTTCAGGCCCGGTGGCTGGGCCCAGCAATGCGGCTGTGCAAGGCCCGGGCGTGCAGAGCCTGGGACACACTCAGACGACACATGGAAACCCTTCACGACATGTCCACCAAACAGCCGGTGAACTAACAGGCGATCGGAATCTGATTATGGAAGAGCCAGAGGCTGATCGGACATCTAAAGAAAGCTTTCAGGAACCAGCGCCGGAGATGTTTAGACAACCTGAAACCAATCCGATCACTGAAGAGCAATTGATCAAGGAAGTGCGTGGAATCTACACGGGTCTAGTGATGGTGGAAAAAAAGTGCATTGAACTCGATAAGCAACAAGGGGATTCGAGGGCAGAGCTATCAACGAAGCAATGGCAGACTCTCGTCTCGGTACACAGCACGCTTCTCTACGAGCATCACGACTTCTTTCTTGCGTCACAACACCCGGCAGCTGGCGCAGTCCTCAAAAACCTAGCCGAAAAATATGCTATGCCCGCGCGCATGTGGAAATACGGAATCCACTCGTTTTTGGAGCTGCTGCGCCAGAAGCTCCCTGGCTCGGTGGAGTATATGTTGGATTTCATCTACCTCTCATACTCAATGATGACACTGCTACTGGAAAGCGTCACTGATTTCAAAGAGACCTGGATTGAATGTCTGGGTGATCTGGCACGCTATCGAATGGCTGTAGAAGGATTTGACAATAAGGACCGCGAGCTTTGGGCTGGCGTCTCCAGGTACTGGTATAACCAAGACGCAAACCGCAGCCCGGAGAATGGACGCATCCAGCACCACTTGGCGGTCTTGTCCCGTCCAGATATTCTGCAACAGCTGTTTCACTACACGAAAGCACTTATCAGTGTGCGCCCATTTCCAAATGCGCGAGAGAGCATCATCCAACTTCTAACTCCGCACATGGAGACGCCAATTGAGAGGTTAAATCTGCCGACTTTGTTTGCAACTGCTCATGGTGAACTTCTCATGTCGAAATCTGCCGAGAAATTTGTCCTTCGTGCATATCAATTCCTACATGCACTAAGAAGGAACATAGCTTTGCTAGGCCGGCAACGACAGGTTGCTGTCCAGATTACATCTTGCAATATCGCAGCGATATTCCAATATGGGAGCACAGATGGAGTCATGGAGACGGAATTCATTCATTACGAAAACCCAGCTACAACAGAAGAAGCTATGCTGGGAGTGCAGCCTGCCACAAATGCAGCTCCGTTCAATGCCTCATATAACGATATATCATCTCAACTGGTGTTCCGAGCAAGCTCACTCGCATTCCACACCTTGATAGTCATGCTTGACCAAGTCGGGGACGAAAACATGTATCCGAGCGTGCATATTGCAATGGCTTTTATATGGTGTCTCACTTTCAAGCCAGCTGCCATAAAACGAATCGAACCATTGGTTCCGTGGACGAGATTGGCAGCGTACCTGAACGGACTATTCCAATGCGAACATGCGACGAAAGATATTGAAGCCGAAGAATTCCCAATACCTCCAGACCTATTGGCCAAACAGTTGCCGGAAGACTTTTTGATTAGAGGACAGGCTTGGAGCAAGCTGTATTACCCAGAAGGATTTTTCGAGGGTGCGCCCTCGGAGGACGACAGACCAACTGAAGAAGCCCCATCTATTATAACTCCTAGAAGGAATCGATGTCTTTGGCTTGGAGTCAAAATTGCAAAAGTATGTCATGCCCAATCACTCATTATTTCAAGTGAACTGATCCGTCTACGCAGTTCGCCCGTTGGATAAATTACGACCAGACACGAAGATTCAGCGTTACTCAACTAGCAGCTGCGTATGCACCAATTGCAGAAAACCCCACCCATCTTGACGGCTGTATCTATCCATTCGCATCAAAAGCTCAAGCTCAACATGAACAGCAGATGCAAGAGATTTGAAAGATCATCGGTGTCGGCTCTGTTGTATTGCCGACGGCGACGGAACCTCGGACGCACTTGCTGAAACCGCGGAGTTCCTTTTCCTTTTTGTTTTCAGTTAGCTTTGTTCCCTTCGCGCCCCTGGTGCGAAGATCCATAGGCCCTTTCCCGTACACGCAGCCCGGAAACGGATTTCCCTTTGTTCTTGGTACCAGGCAGAAAATTTCATGAGTCGGCCACGACTACACGACAGATATCACACACAGATCAGATGCCGGACCTGGATTTCCCGTTTTGGACCATCCCAAGGACTTGGCTGTTTGGGGCCTCATCCCACGGAACAATGAACTTATGGCCTGGATCTCCCCAAGGATTGCCTGTCCCAGGCTACTATCGTCTGTCCTTCTGGATTGAGAATTCCTGGACGATCCCGTCTGGTTCAGTCCCATTGACTCCGTCACCAGGGACCACGGTTGGAGCTGTCGATTTTGAAACGAGGGCAGCTCCCTCACTTGCTTCAAGGCCTACTTTGGAGGCTGGTTGTTTCGCAGCTGTTAAAGTGTGATTCAGCTTTGAGCTCTGCGATTGGAATATGGAGTATGCTTTCGTTGAGAGAGAGAAAGGGGATGATAAGCTACTGTGAAGATGAGAGACGAAGGTTGAGAAGGAAAGTATAGCAATATCAAGTCATGGAGTACCCTACAATTACCTTTGCGTAGGTATGGTGCATGCCCCTAGACCCCCACCCCCGTGATCTCGTTCCCTCTCCCGAGGTCCCCTTACTGCCTGTCTTCATACTGGTATTACCTGTGTATACAGTTTGAACCCCATGTCACTCGGGCTGATCGCCCAGAACTAACTCGACCAATGCTAGGTAACTTTTGGAGCCTAAATAGCTTCAAATATCTAAACTGACACTGGAATATTTTAAGAACATAATTGCGTACGTACTGCAAAAACAAGTAAAAATTGACGAAAGAGGCGAACCGTCCACGGGTGGCTCCCGGGTGTGGGGTGCAGCTTATTTCGGGAGCTTGCGCGTTGCCGAAAGGCCATGCTGGCACTCACATTACTCCAACATCCCCGAGGTCCTCTCCATGATCCTTCCATAGTCTCTTGCTTTCTTCTGCGTTTCCTTCCCCGCGTCTAACGCCTCTACAATGGCGGCCTGGAACGAGGTATGTCGCCAATGCGTCAACACCGTCGCCAATGTTCCAATCGAGATCCTACTTGCAGCCATCCTAGCGACACTACTCGGCCTCTTCGTTCTGGTGAGTACTTCAATCCCCGCACAGCCGACGAAACCTTCGATCGCGGCACCCGCAAGCCACTAACCAAAGCCACCAGTTCTTCATCTTCATCTACACCGTCGCGCCCGTTCCACGCGCACCCCTCCCCGAAGAAACCAAATATAGAACCCTCTCCAAAGATGGATCCGTCACAACCCCCGAATCCCTCCCAAGCTGGCTCGAATCCTCAACCGCCCACGCCATAACCCCAGCCACCCTCTTCATGTCCGTCGTCATCCCCGCCTACAACGAAGAGGACCGATTGACAGGCATGCTCGAAGAAGCAGTCAATTACCTGGAGCGCATGTACGGCACAGCCACAGCCAGCGACGGCCTCCGCAACCGCAAGCCCGAGACCGCAGACCGCGGCTGGGAAATCCTACTCGTCTCCGACGGCTCGACTGACAATACCGAGGAGGTGGCGTTTCGATTCGCGCGCGACCACCAACTCTCGTTGCATCCGAAGGGGAGTGCGGGGCCTTGGACGCCGGAGGCTGGCGAGGGCGTGCATATTCCGCCTGGTACGATTCGGGTTGTCAATCTGATGCAGAATCGTGGGAAGGGTGGGGCTGTTACGCATGGTATGCGCCATGTTCGTGGTCAGTTTGTGGTTTTTGCGGATGCGGATGGCGCGAGTAAGTTTGATGATTTGGGGAAGCTTGTTGGGGCTTGTCGGGAGGTGGAGGATGGGAAGGGACGTGCTGTGGCGGTTGGTTCGCGTGCGCATATGGTTGGTAGTGAGGCGGTGGTTAAGGTGAGTTGTTCCTGTTGGGTTTGGGTTGGGCGAAACTGACTGTTTGTAGCGTTCGAAACTGCGCAATTTCTTGATGCATTCGTTCCACTTGATTTTGTGGTTGATGACGCCTCCTAAGACTGCTACGGTTAAGGATACACAGTGCGGTTTCAAACTGTTTTCGCGTGGCGCTTTGCCGTATATTGTTCCCTATATGCATTCCGAAGGCTGGATCTTCGATGTGGAGATGCTTATGCTGGCTGAGTTTGCCAAGATCCCCGTGGCTGAGGTGCCTGTGGGGTGGAGAGAAGTGAAAGGTAGCAAGTTGAATGTCTTGCGTGACAGTATTGGCATGGCCTGGGGCTTGGCTGTTCTGCGGGCAGCTTGGTCACTAGGTGTGTATAGACAGCGATGATCGAGTCCGGGACTCGGTTTCTTGATTTTTCTTTGAATTCGTTCATGGCGATTACAATGCATCTCGACCATTTGGAAAATTCATTGGGGCCATTTTGGCTTGACGTTACGTTTCTTTGGGTCCAGCAGGGTCATGCGTAGTGACAACTGTAGATTCAAGGCCAGCCTGGAGCCAAGTGGCAAGATCCAAGCTTGCACTGAACTGGTTGATTGCTACTTACCTGGTTCATGGAAGTATGCAAGAGGCCCAAAAGGGAGATCGGCAGTTCCACCGCAGAATCTAAGTGGCTAAACTACGCCAGTGTCAATGCCTCGCTTCACGGTCAGGTAGCATGCTGCTTCCAAGGTTTCCAGCTCCTTGGAAATGGCAAGTAGACCCAGGAAGCTGTTGGTCAACTAGATTTGCAGCATGCGTAAGAATGCATTGCATAAGGACTCCCTACATCTTTTCTCACCAACCTTGGAAGTTTTGGAGTCTTCGATGAGTTCTTGGTTCACAGTCCCCTTTCCAGTACGCCTTGCAATACCTCATCGTACTTCAATACAAAAGATCAAAGATCCTGATCCAATCTTCTGGAAATAGCCGCCTCACACGACCTTCGATTGATAACACCACGTGTCTACATAACTTGGAAGAGGCTGCATTCCCACCTGTGCAACTCACTCTCCCAATCCAACACGTTTAGGTACTAAGAAACATCCACCTTTCCAGGTAGACATACATTTTTCATTGCCTATTAGACTGATTTGCAAGCGTCAAAGCTGGACTGTGAGGATCCGGTCTATTTACTGGAAGCTCAGGACCCTCGCACAGACTACATGGCTCATTTACCCAAATAAATTGTAGCACTTCGTGGTTGGTCTGGGATAAAGCAATCAAAGGCATACTCGTTTCCAAGGTTGACAGTACAACCCCGGACTTCATGAAGTCACTGCTTCTTTTGGTGCACAGATAGCTCTTCATTTGCGTTCTACATACATATATGCAAGCTTTTGGAATGTTGGTAGTTACATTGTGATGGTATACTAATGACGCTGCCCTGCAGGCTGGTATATGCCTCAGGTGTCTGGGTACGAGTCATTCCACCTTCTTGTTGATAGTAGCGGACATCAGCAAATGACACACTCTTAGATAGACCCTTTAAGATCAGCATCTGTTTCCTATTTTGGCATATTCAACCTCTACTGTACCCACTGCCCGGTGCATAGTCCTTCCATCGACATCAAACCGCCATTGCGCTCTTCCCCTTTCATGTTGTAATGAGTCTAATGACCTTTTAACCCAGGGCGACACTATCAGTCTCATGCGCACAAGATCCAGATTTCAAGCATTTACGCATTGTGATATAAGTCTGTGACTGCTCGTAGGTGCGTAAGGGTAGATACGCAATCCCACTCCAGCACAGAACGGCAAGGGGCTCTAGAATGGAAAGTGATCGCCCAGGTCTGTATCATTCACATGCGGGGACAATGCCCAGCATTATTGTGCTACCCATACTACATCTCTACATAGGGTCGTGACCATGATGCCACCCGGAATGAGCATACAATCAGTGTAGTGGATTCGATCTCTATGAAGTATGTAGTGGAGGCAACTTGCAGACTCGCAACTCCACTTGCAAATGCCGCCAGACCCACAAAAAGATTTGACGATCCCCTCTGCGATACAATTTCTTTGCGAGATCAAACGTCACCCAAGCAAAGAGGGAACTCCTCGAGGGATGGGTTCAGGAACAATGGTTCACGATCATTGGTTCATCGGCGAACTATGCGCATCCAGCCAAGTTGGCCGAGTTGTACGGCCATGTCCGGCCATGTCGGCGAAGGATCCATTCCCGTAGGGAGCTGCCCCTTCTGGTAGAGCAGGGTCTCCGTATGGGCTGTTCAGATGCCGATCGGACGGTCATTAAGGCGACTATGGGACGGTGAAGATGGGCTGACACTTGCAGTATAAGAGAGGGCAGTTTCTGAGATCAAAAAGAGCATATCCCTGAGTCCCCCGAGTCCAAGCTTTTAAGAGTTTGCGCTCATTTTCGAGACGAAAAATTTCTGACAGTGGCGAAGCGTTTACTCCCGTGGTTCCACGATTTTATAAAATGGAATTGAGAGCCGCAGGCAAGACCACAATTTCTTCAATGGCAACATCCTCGCTGCTTCGACTCCCGGCAGAGCTGCGTCTCAAGATCTACGAATATGCCCTCACCGTCCCAAATGAGTACCTGGACAAGCCCATGATCGTGATAGACGACCGCGGCAAATCATTCACAGCCCGGGGACAATACAGAGCCTTATCCATGAACCCTCACTGGGAGGGCGAAGATGGCACCGCGCGCAGACTCCTGGCCGTGAATCGGCAGATCCACGATGAAGCCGAAGACTACCTCTACTCCACCCACACGCTCTTCTTCCGCAACTCCTTCAATCTCGACCGCCTGGCAGCCTTTCTCGGCACCTTAAGCGCAACAGCGCGCAGGCGCATCCGCAGCATCGGCTTCGAGATCTTCTTCTTCGTGCACACGCAGAACGGGGTACCGAAGCGGTCTCTCCGCGAGTACGAGCAGGCGGGTCGCACGCTGGCGCAGCAATTACCGTGCTGGCATGGGACAGTGCTGTACCTGGATCCGCGGTTTTATTACCCGTCCGCCAATGTGGGTGGTCGGGATCTCACGGCCCGAGGAGTGTTCGATCTCGCCACGCGGTTCGGGGCTCTTTGTAAGGATGTGAGTTTTATTCCGCTGCCCAGGGGAGAACAGCATCTGCTGGAAGAAGCCCAGCAGTTTGTTTGGCGCAGTCGGTCGCCGCCTAGATCGCCCGAGGATCGACGATCCATCAAGGGTTCTTCGTCGCTGGACTGGGACTTGAAGAACAATGTCACGCCAAGCCGATTAACGTCATCCGTGTTCTGACTCTTTTCGTCGCCCTGCATTCGCATATTGGTCTTTATTGTTACATGTTCCAGCATCTTTACGCGCCCTTGATTGGTTCTCTTCGCGGCCCTCTGATCTCGTGTGACAGGCATCCTCTTCCTGCGCTATGACGTCTGATCGCAGGCCTTTGATTTATATACATTAGCAGGGGCATGGCGCGACTGGCGCAACTCGAGGCGTTGTGTTCATCTTTCGGTGTTCATTTCTGGTTTTCCATATAGACATATATCCCTGTTTTCTCTTCTCATCACAGACCTAGTAAATTAAATCCATTTCGAAATGAGCGAAATAATTAAAATGATCATGAATGCACAGAGTAAAGATGATCTCGCTGATCAGAAGAGCCTTGACGTCATGGGATAACCGTTCGCAGGGCGTTTCACTTTCCACACGCTATGTAACCCCCCCGTTTTCCCCGTGGGGATATCTTCTACTTAACCTCGACTCCGTAGGGTACCTGGCTACCCAAACCCAGCCCAACTTGTCCCTTGAACGCGTTGTGGTCCGAGGCTTCACATGCGTGTCGGAAGCACTGCAGACATCCGTAGCTGCAGAACGCTGAGTTATTCGTGATTGACCGCTTCTCCAGCTCCACAGGCTCAGGCTGGACTGTGGAATTGAAAAGACATCGTGGTGCATGTTGGGCACTGGAATTTGACTCACCGTTTCTTATCGTCGTATCTACGGAAAAACAACTCCACCATGAAGCCTTCAAGACTCCCCGATGGCCACGGCAGCCTCTACAAAGAAGTGCGCTTCTCGCCGACGCAATCTCCATCCCGTCGCACCAAATCCGTATCGGCTACTTTCCCTCCTACCATCACAGGCTACGGCCGAACCGCCTTTCACAACTCCGCGCTCCTGGATTCTTTCGCCATGGACACCTCCTACATTGACCAGTCGCGCGCATTACTTCAGAGCCAACGGGTGAACTTCGAGGCGGAGAGGACACTATTCGCGCAGGAGAGGAGATTATGGGAGAAGGAGCGGGCCTTGCTGCGATCGAAGATTGCCGAGTTGGAGACAGTGATCAAGAGCCCAGGGAGAGATAATAAACTGGGGCCCGAGGCCACCAATTTCGTGCTCAGCGCATCACAGCTCAAGACCACAAATGGCTTAACAGCTCAGGTCTGGGAGGGATCAAGTCCGAACAGTCAACCCACGAGGGTTTTCTTTGACATGGAGTCTCCAAACCACGCCCACATCTCGCCGGTCTCCGACAGTGGGATGAACCCGCCGTCCTTAGACCGGGCCTTATCACCCCAAGGGCAGGCGAATGATCTGTCCGGAGCGCCCGTGAGCTTGCCCGTGCCAATCGAAAAGCTTGACAGTACGCTAGACGGTATCACACTGAAATCGACGGCATTGCCGCCGGGGGTCGTTGCACGGGTGATCACTCCGCCTTCGCCATCGCCCCTAGGAACAGAGGTTTCCCCTTCGACCCCTGGGGCGGCTGCAAGGCCCGGCATCGAACACCGAAACAGTCTCAAACTGAAGCTGTCAGAGCTCGGCCCGCCCAATGAACGATTGCTCCGCGATGCAGGCCACACGCCGATGGCGATCATTGACGCCGATGAGAGTCAACGCTCCACAAAAGAGGGATCTCCCCTCGAGGTGCCCTCGCAGTCTGAGGAGGTTCCTCTTGCGCCCATGGCAACCGTGACTCAACCGTCCGAAAACAAGGTCTCCTACTTCCCAGAGCTTCCTGACCTACCAGACGATCCCGCTCTCAAGGGGCCATTGGGTCTTGTGAACGACGAGGAGCACGATAATGACTTTCTGAGCGCATTGGATCGAAAACTCCTTGATCAAGCTAAGAATATCCTCGGTTCCTCAGTCGAGTCGGCAGATCCCAACGAGACGGACCCCGAATCCGAGCACCCGACTCAAGGCGACAGGGAGCCCGAACTCAAGTTCAAAAAGTCCACTAACTTTGGCTCGGCATTCGGAATTTCAAATCTGAGTTAAACATAAACTCCAATATACGCTCGGGTCTTCTTTGTGATCTATACACTTTGTGTGATGTATCTGTTGTGGATACCCTTTCCTTTCTTACCCCATATGACCTGCATATCCCCAAGATGTTACAACCTTCGATTTTTGGCGAAATACCTGATGAGATTATGAATTTTCCTGATATGTGCAATATAACGCCTTTTTGTCTCACTTGTTTCAGACCCTCCTGGCCAGACTTTCGCCGTTTCTAGGGTTACCTTATCTGACAGGTACCCCGGGTCCGTTAGCCCTAGCAACTTTTCCACCTGGGATGCCTCTGCATAAGTTGATATTGACCATCCTTGCGTGTGATGGGTGACATCGGACAGAGTCTCATCCCCTGATTGGTGTCTTTGAGAGACACAAGTGAACCTTGGTGACAGCCTTATTGACTCCCCTTGCATCATTGCAACCTTTCTTCCCCATTGGACTCCACGTGCTAACCTTTGCCGTAGAGAACGCTTCAATGCATGCTATGCGATGCCACGCTTCTGTTGGTGAAGATGCTACTCCGTACACGGTCCGATGCTCGGTTCCAGACGTGCATTAACTTTTGTCGCCTTGACCACTTGGAGTCCCAAGCTACAGCTCCATTCTAGTGAAGTATCACTCGCCCTCATCTCCACCACCTTGGATCTAGAGCTCTGAGACTCGATGTCTCTCATTAATTCTCTCCTCGGCACCTCCCGTGGCCCTGTCCCCTGCAGATCACTACCCTTGTGGCTTTCTCGAGGGCAGTTCCACGAAGGACCAATCTGTACCTTGCAGCAACCTCCTTATCGGGCTTTATGCGGCCCTGGATAGAGCCCTTGGCTCTCCCCACGATCCTACTCAAACACAGGGCTCGCCTGAGCCTCGAAAGGTACATAAGAATCCTTCTAGACGCCGCTGTTCTCGTTCTTCATCCCCATCCTTCACAGTCGTTCACAGTCTCTTGACAGCCATTCGCTCTTCAATCCCACAAACATTCTTTGAATCTCTCATCTCTATACTTCGACATTTTTTCGATCTTTGGATTCATCCCACTGAGCACATTCACTACATTTTCCTTTACAAAATAACATCTACCGCAAAAATGGTCTCCACCACTATCAACTTCTCCGGCCTTCTGTGCCTCTTCCTCGCTCTCGGCCCTGCCACCATTCTCGCCTCGCCTCAGGCACCCGGCTTCCCAGTCCCTGATATCATGAGCCACTCTGAGTCCACAAACGAGGACGGCAACAGCGACTTCCTGGCCGGCAGCGGCATCAACGCAGGCATCCCCGACGGCCCATCCTTCAACGCCGGTGCAGGTGTGCACACCTCTCACCGAGGCCCCTGCGGCCCCAACTCCGGCGACGACTTCGATGCCGGCAGCGGCATCAACGCCGGTATCCCAGATGGTCCCTCCTTCAACGCCGGCGCAGGCGTGCACGACCACCGCGGAGGCGAGCCCTGCCCCGAGCCTGAGCCCTCCATCGTATTCCTGCCTCCTTCCCCAACCGCCACCATCCAGCCTCCCACCTATGCCCCAGTTCCCGCCATCGTTCCCACTCCCGCTCCCGCTGTCCCAACCTACACCACCCCCATCTACATCCCCCACACCACCCCCGCAGTCTACGCGCCTGCCGTCCCCATCGTCAAGCCTTCCACCGCTCTGATCCCTCACCCTGCTCCTGCTCCCTCTGCCTCGCCCTCAAGCTCTCCCATGCCTGTCTTCAACGCCGGATCATCTCTTGCTCCTGCGTCTGTCCTTGCAGTCGCAATCCCAGCCGTTCTTGCCTTCTTCAACTAGGTCTTTCCTCTGGAATGATACGGCGAAAACGAATTGGCGGAGCTACCTGTCTGAAGATTGGTATCTCGGGCTTTGTCCATGCTTATGATTGATCGCGCTTGTGAATTTTTTCCTCTCTTGCCACTCGACCGTGTACAACCTTTCTACTACATTTCTTCCTTGTTCACTTTTTTTTATCTGTTTCAACGCTGGTGTACCCACCGATGCCTGTATTATCCGTGTCCATACTGGATCGGACCCTCATGTACTCTTTTGTTTATTTTATGCTTTGATTGGCCAAAGGCGATTTTGTGTGCCTATGCGTGCTTTGCACTAAAGGCGTTTTTTCTGTTACGTTTCGCTTTAGTTTCGATATTGCTATTAGTACCTCAAATATACGCTCCAATGCTATTTTTCATCAATGATTTAGTTTATTCAGTCCATAGACGTATATCAAACCAACTGATTACGGACTATACCCAAGATCACAGTACCCTCTGGCCCCGGGGACCGTGTAGAATATCTAGTCAGTTCACCGTCCCTAGTCATTTGCAAGATTCCATAATAATGCCAACCCTAATCGGGCGAGCTGTCTTCACAAGGTTATGATCTACACATGAATCCTGGCTTTAAATTGCGATCAGAACAGGGAATCATCTCAAGCCACTGGTATTGTACGTAGACGAAAGAAAGGGAAATAAGAAGCTCGAAAAATTGACCCATAAGCAAATCAACGCCAGCCTCATGTCGTGTCATATCGAAAATCCCATGGAAAGAACGCAAGTCACAGGCTTGGCCACATAATAGTCCAATCCATCTCGAAAACATGGCCATTGAACCCAGCACGAGAGAAGTAGATCCCGCCACACACTCATTAGACGCCCATGGTGAAATCATGCTCAATACCCGGTGTCACGCTGGCGATGAACTTCAGGAAAACAACCAGGTATTGATCCACACGGATGGCCACTTGTTCTTCCTCGTCGTGTTGTAGCATCTCCCACTCGTCCCCGTGTTGACCCTGCTGGTCGAGAGAAAGATTCTTAGTTTCATCCACCAGTCCTTCGAGTCCACCGCCTGAGCGCAGAACGCGGTTTGCCTCCTCGCGTGACTGGGTTTGTTTAAGCTTGTCGCGGCGCAGCTTGAGCGCGGCCTCGGCACGATCCAGAAGGGTCTTCATCACTGAGGCGTGGCGACAGGGGTGCACACTGGCCATTTTCACGCTGCCGTCGAACCATGGGAAATCCTCAAGGGTCACGGTCTTGTCCTTGTAATCACCGACGATATCCTCCATCATCAGATGTGGAGGGAGGGGCTCAGATGCCGATAGATATCCAGAGAGGTAGAGGCGGGGTGTGCGGTAGAAGTTTGAGTATGTGATGTAGAGAGTGTAGGTGCGGAGAGGTCTGGAACACACGGGTTAGACATCGTCGCGAAAAAGGCGTTTCAGCGCAAAATGACAAGAACATACTGTGTGGTACTTGACTGGCCAACTGGCTCACGAATAATTGCTTCCTCGTCATCATCATCATCTTCCATATCTGGGATCTCATCGTCTTCCTCCTGCTCGCCCAGGTTTCCTGATTCATCAACTGTCCGCACGTCGCTGATGCGAGCTTCTTGTTTATCTTTATCGGCGGTAGTATCTCTGCCTCCTCCGGTACGCAGCCATCCATCCTCTCCTTCGCGTGCTGCGCTTTCGCCCCCGTCACCGCCGGAAAGATAGTCCCTGACGATCTCATCTTCTAGTCCTGCATCGCCGGCGAAGTTGTCGTTCAGCCTTCGGTGACATGGGACTCCGCGAGTGACAAGGAACTGCTTTCCGGCCGGGAGGTAAGACACTCGCTTTGCTGGGCTTGAGGCATCAGCCCAAGACCATGTGGGGAACTTGTAGACGAGGTAGTCTCCGGCGAGTACGAACTCCTCCGGGGTGATTTGTCCTGTATTTCGGAATGTCGAGGTACGCGACACGGGGGCGAGGCGATCCCGCCAAGTTGATAGCGTGGAGTGTAGGATATTCATGTTGGTTGCGAAAGAGTGAAGGCGTACAGAGACAGGCGGGGGGTGATAAGCGGTGTGGGGCACATGATCCGCGTCATTCCAGCTCTGGACTTGTACTTGTCAGATGATAGTGCATTTATTTAGGGGAAAAGGAATAAAAGGAATGGACAAATAGATAGATCAAAGATATTTTAAATCAGCACCTGATATGTGATTTAAGTCTGCTGTTTAGGAAATTTACTTGTCCTTCGACATACCCGTGGACATGTATGTACCTTGGTGATGATCTATACCCGTGGCCACCAGTCTATTGTTATCACTCTAGGGTGTTTCTGATAAGGTGGTAATTTCGTCTTTTTCAGGCCTCGGGGATAGGCTATATTTTACAACAACCATCCTATACTCGGTCATATCGCAAACCTGGGAATTTATACCCGCTCTACGGGGTGGTCCAAAAATATACAGTGACCACCCCGACAGCTTAAAATGTGTTACAGACAGAATCTAGAGCTGACATACCTACCCAGGTATACCTAGTAAGAGGCTAGATTTTCGTATACAGGTCGTATCTACTAGGTATTATACCTAGGAAGCAATATAGGGAATCTTGAAAGAGGTAAACGCATACCTGCCTGGGTCTATGGGTTTGTAGATAGGTAGCGCGGTGGGCCCCAAATCCATTTATGTACCTCCACCTGGGCAACCCTGCCCGGGTGACTACCTAGTAGGTCTTGAGTAATGGGTGTAGTGAAGGAAATCAGATACCTAGGTACCTAGGTACTCCAACGATTCCCAGGTGCCCCGAGGCCAACCCTCTTAATTATTCATGGATGTCTTGTCCCCCATTTACCCATGGCTGTTGACTAAGAAGAGTCAGGACCTCGGGAAGATGGGATGACTATGATTTAAGGGCAGTGGGCGACGTCTCTGGCCCACAACGCCATAATAGGAACCAGAAGCTAATTTATGAAGGAGTGTTTAGATTGCCTCCTACTGTAGATCTGAGACCTCAAATATCCCTACGACTTCGATGCCTCAAGTTATATACTGGTGCTGTTTCCCGGCTACTACGTACCTACCTAGGTACCTAGGTAGGTACACTAGATACGGCTTAAGCTTGCCAGCCCTGCCCAGGTGGCCTGGCAACTTGAAGCTACGAGCGAACCTAAACCCCACCCCCACATCTTCGAGGCGAAACCTATTTCACACTGATCAATAGCCGGCATTTGGAAACAAAGGGTAAAAAGAATGCCGATCCAGGGTCTGATTGCCCGCATAATACATGTCGGGTCGGCTCCACCCCCGCAAAAAGCAAGCTTAGCATCTTGGCATAACGCGAGCCCATAGTCAACTTAGACTAAGTTCTGCAGTTATGCGCAATTAACTACGCTCGAAGCTACTTGCCAAGATAGCCAGTCGCCGGTGCGGAGAGGCTTCATTTGCCGATGCCCATGGAGATCTATAAAATCCCTTCTGCTCAACTACTGATCACCTTCTGATCAACGAGACCTGCTCAGAGTCCATTTTGATAAGAGAATCTAGCAGATTATCGACTATGAGGCCAATTGTGGGATTTTCCTTCCTTTCTCTCATCTCATCTTCACTATGTGTTCCGACAAACCTACGTCCACGAAGCGAGGTGACGCAAATTGAACAGCCATTGATCAAACTGAAGCCACAACAGAGCTCCTCTCGGGAGCTCGTGAACCTCGATGGTCTGTGGAAATTTGCTCTCGCATCTAGTCCCAACGACACTGCCACACCATGGACAGCCCCATTGCCCAAAGGCCTTGAATGCCCCGTGCCAGCCTCTTACAACGACATATTTGTCGACCGAAACATCCATGACCACGTCGGATGGGTTTATTACCAACGCGATGTCATTGTTCCCAAAGGCTGGTCTCAAGAGAGATATCTTGTCCGGGCTGAGTCTGCCACACACAAGGGTCGTATCTACGTGAACGACCAACTTCTGGCAGAGCACGTGGGAGGTTACACGCCCTTTGAAGCCGATATTACAGACTCCATCGCCGCGGGTGAGAAGTTCCGCTTGACAATTGCTGTCAATAATGAGCTCACTCATGAGACAATTCCACCGGGAGAGATCAGTGTAGGGAAAGCCACGGGCAAGAGAAAGCAGACCTATCACCATGACTTTTACAACTACGCTGGTCTTGCTCGATCCGTCTGGCTTTATTCAGTACCTCGACAGCATATCCAGGACATCACTGTGACAACTGATGTCGACGGTGCTGATGGCTTAATCAACTACAAGATCAATGTCACCAATGGCACAGACGAGCAGATCAAGATTGAGATTATCGATGAGGATCAAAACACTGTTGCGAATGCTTCTGGAGCGGAAGGCACTGTCCGCATCCCTTCAGCCAAGTTGTGGCAGCCCGGTGCAGCCTATCTTTACCAATTCCAGGCTAAGATCGTGGACTCCCAAGGTAAAGTAGTCGATACTTATGCCTTGGCTACCGGAGTGCGCACCGTCAAAGTCAGCGGAAGCAAGTTCCTGATCAATGACAAGCCCTTCTACTTCACTGGATTTGGGAAACACGAGGATACCGCAGTGCGCGGCAAAGGGCATGACCAAGCGTACATGGTTCACGACTTCCAACTGATGAATTGGATCGGAGCGAACTCATTCCGAACATCGCACTACCCCTATGCCGAAGAGGTCATGGATTTCGCAGACCGACACGGCATCGTCGTCATCGACGAGACTCCCGCAGTGGGATTGAATATTGCTCTATTGGGTTTGTCTGATAGTGATTCTAAAACATTCACCCCAGACGCCATCAACAACAATACCCAGGCCGCACACAAACAGGCCATCCGTGAACTCATTAGTCGGGATAAGAACCACCCCAGCGTTGTGATGTGGTCCATCGCCAATGAGCCTGCCTCTCAGGAAGAAGGAGCACGCGAGTATTTCGAGCCGCTGGCCAAATTGACTCGACAACTTGACGCAAGTCGCCCAATCACATTCGCCAATGTCGGAATGGCAACATACAAAGAGGATCGAATCTCTGATCTGTTTGATGTGAGTTGTCTCAATCGGTATTTCGGATGGTATTCCGAGACTGGAGACCTCGAGGAGGCCGAGGCAGCTCTGGAAGAGGAGCTTCGTGGCTGGGAGCAGAAGTTCGACCGGCCGATTGTCATGACTGAGTACGGTGCTGATACGATTGCTGGACTTCATTCTGTTTTCGGTCTGCCTTGGAGTGAGGAGTTCCAAACGCAAATGCTTGCCATGTACCATCGAGTCTTTGACCGCATATCAACGATGGCTGGTGAACAGGTTTGGGCCTTTGCGGATTTCCAGACTAATCTGGGCGTTCAGCGGGTGGATGGTAACAAGAAGGGTGTGTTTACGAGGGACCGGAAACCCAAGGCTGCAGCGCATGGCCTTCGGGAAAGGTGGACTAAGATAGCTCGCTGATAGTGTGACTCAATATAATGGGCTTTTGGCCCTTGTTCTGACCCATTTGACCCTTAAAGCACCACCTAGAAGGATTGCCTAGGTAATTATGAACATTGAAGCTCGTCGAGTCACAAGATTGGGGAAGAAGCTATAGATAGGGCTGTGGATCTGAGCTCTACCAGATGGAGGTTGGAGCTTATGATGTATTGGAACTTTAGGCCCTTGGAATCTCAAATCGGATACTCCATCGAGCATTCTACAAATTTTCGAAAGATTGGTGAAAGTGCTCTGTTGTACTCCGTATAGCCCACAGCTTCAAGACATGTTTACCAGCTGCCCAGGTGCAGGGGAACATGACCGGGCATAATGACCAGACCCTGCATTCACAGGGCCACCCACATTGAAACCCCACCCACTTTCAAAAGTATGCCAGAATTCTTATCTTTCCCATTCAACCACCAATGAACCCAAATTTGCCAGATGTAAACCCAGAGATCGTTCAATTGGATGCTGTAGCTTAATTATTTGAACCTAAATCTAATCGTTCTTGGTCCAGAAGATAGATTGAACCTAAAAATCAATCGTTGGTGAACTTTCGATATTTAGTTTGAGTTGTACGGAGTAAGTTCCACGGGTTTAGAATACCAATTTAAGGGAGCGGACCGTACGTGCCATGCCAGCCTACGTATATTGTACGCGGAAAGCGAACGGAGAAGAGTGTCTTTCTTAACTAACTGAGCCCCAAGGCCGCTAACTAGGCACCGGGGGAAACCCCCACATAACAGGGGGGCCGCTCCTAAGCAAGCCGGCCGTCCTCGGCGGTAATAATATGTGTAGGAAACGAGCAATGACATGAATGAAAAACAGAAACTTGGGGTATAATGATAAGCAGAAAATAAAGAACCTTTGGGCTGCAGAAGTGGCAGGTAACGCACGTGGAGCAAGTAAGTGATCGTGGAGCAATAGACGGAGTCGAATGCGGAGCGTCAGTTGACGCGAGAGGAGGAATCATCAGGCGGAAGCATGGTCATCACGTAAAACTTCAGGAGCATGCTGGCCCAGAATGTCTCTGAATAACGCCTGGTCGCGGGGCGTCATCTCTCGGAACTGCCGTTGTAGCTCCTGTATCTTTAGGCGAGGGAGCGTGTCAACAGCGGAAATAATTCGTCGCATGGCATCCGTTTCAGGAGTATCACAAGCCCTGGCGGATGTCAGAGTGGCTACGTCGAGTGCGAAGGTGCGCAAGGTCAGGTCTTGCAGTGCGTAGTGCCATATCGGGGACTGCGCCCACGGGATGTCTTCAACGGCGATTGCTTGGGTGTCCAGCTGTGACAGGTAGGTTTCGAGCATGACGAGAAGGGGTTTGTCGGACACAACCGAGTGGGTTTGGCCGGTGTGTAGCTGTGTGTCAGTCTGCGTAGCTCTATCTGAGCGGTCCTTCCGTTTTGGTCCTGTCCGAGTGGCCTTGTTCTTGACAGGCTGGGGAGAAGCGACAGTTGTAGCATCGGTGACAGCCTTGGGACGGGCGACAGTCCTAGCGTCGATGACCACTTGATCATATTCAGGGTGTCGTCTTAGGAATCGTTTAACCCAATGGGGACCAACGATGGGTGGTTCAGTTGATGGGTCGGTATGTGCTTCTTTGAGAATTGGATTTGCTGCAGCATGGATTTGCGACCGGTGTAATGGGGTTCCCGTTTTATCAATTGAATCAATATATTCGGATAAACTAGCTGCTTGCTCTGCGTTCAGTTTGCGACCATTGGGTGGGCGCTCAACGATCGATCTTTTGCCTTTCGAGCGATTCCGGAGGGTCCCATATGGAACCGCGAATTCGCGCGCTAACTTCGCGAGATTGGGCTTTTTTTGGGCTTTTGACGCGCCCACGGCATCAATAATGCGGGCTGCGATCTCCAAATAATAAATTATTAGAGTCGAATTTGGGCATATTGGTGTTGATGGGGAAGATAGAATTTGGGGACACTTTTGAAAATAGGGGGGTTTCATTGTGGGTGACCCTGCGAATACAGGGTAATTATGAAATAAGTTGTACCCGGCGATATCTCAAACGTTTCGCGTCATGTGGATTCGTGAGGTCGCCGCAGAGACCGTGAGTCCTAACAAAAAACTGATTGCAGACTGCTAGTCTGGCTCAATTGTGTTATTTCCCGGTCTCTCCGTTCATGATTGACGAGGCGAGGTTCTCACTAGCCCGGGATTCAACCATGACTGGTAATCGCACCCTTGAGCGCTGACGACCACAGCGGCCGTTGCAGGCAATGTCCCGTGAGCCTTATTTAGCCGAGCAAGGCATCCAGCGCGAGCTGCTAATGCAAGGTAATGGGGATCTAGCATCCCTCCAAGAGAACACAAGGTAGCCCGTAGAAGATCTGGATTTGCCATTAAAGCTCAAGCCAAATCACTCGCCATCCTCCATCATTCGCCGACGCTCAATCTCGGCATCGACTTGATCTGGAACCATAGGAATAGACTTTTCATTCCATGTGTTGAGTTCAGCTCGCATGAACCCTTCCATGCTCTTCATGCCCACAACCAAAAAGCCAAGCTCTTCCCGATCGACGTCAAATACCTCCCACCAATCGCTATCTACTAGCTTGGCGCCCTCCTCACGAGAGGCAAGGTAAATGGCAGCCACAGCCAGAGCGTTCGGCTGATGGGTGACGTAAAGAAGTTGCGGGGAGAGCAAGGCAGCATTGAGATGCTGTAGGACCCGTTGCGCGACTGCGGGATTTGACGAGCCCAGGGTTTGGAGATATGTCAATGCAATGGTATGGGGCAGGGCGACATGGGTATCAAACCCGAGAGTGCGGAGAATGACCGTTTCGATCTGGAGGAGAACCTGCCGTGCGGCCTGGTAGCCGCCCTCTGAGAGAATATAGGTTTCAGGCTCGGGAGGAGTTGAAGGAGAGCCACCTTGCCTCACAAACCACAAGGGTGAGGCATCCTTGGAAAGGAGGAAGGTATATACATTGAGCACGGAGCGAGGGGAGGTGGGTTGGAAGGAAAGCTTGGCGGTTAGATAAAGGGCTGCTGCGGAGACATCCTGTGACAATTAGCGATTGGAGAATGGCAGATGAAGGGGTGCCAATTACCTTGACCGAGTAGATTCGTAAGCTGCCGCCGTCAGCGCCCAGCCAGAATCGCGTGAATATTACAATTGCCTGGGCGATGACATCCTGGGATAGATGCAGCAGAACACCGGCAGCCTGTGTGAGCTGTGCTCCTGCACAGCGGATCGAGGTCTCGAGATCCGAGGGTACACCGTCTAGGGAGGAAGAGGAATTGGAGAGCTGATCGGGGGTTGCCAGGGCGTTGGACAGGTGCTTCAGAGCCATGATCTAGGAACGTGCAATGACGCAAAAGCCTCGTGCAGCTGAAACCATATGCAGCAGCGGGAGCGGCAAGGGCAATGACGGCAATCACGCGAAAGTAGTATAGTGGAAGGCGATGCTCGTTGTCTAACCGGACTGGAGAGAAGATGGTGGATCGTGAGGGTGGAGAGAAGAGAGCTCCATCGCCAGCCACCGCTATTTCTCCCAGCCTCTTCGGTTTCCTCCACGACGCTTTTATTTGGAGACGAAAAACAAAACCACTAGACAAGACTGAAACACATCTACACTACTCCAGACCTTTCGAATTCGAGCTTCTCGTTTTAAGCGTTTGAGATTGACAGGGGGTTCTCTTGATCATCCCTATTTCCGACGACAGGTAGCACAGCGCCACATTGGGCCTAAACAGAACTGGGCTTCCATTCCCCGGCATTTCTCCCATGTCTTTCGATCTCCCCCAAGCTCCTGTGGCCCTACATTCCCGTGGCGCACTGTCCCACGAGACCGTTGCCTTGACGCCCCTAAGATCGACAGAGCCGTTGACACCCCGTGCAAACAACCTACCTTACCACCGTCGGGCCAACACCGAACTTGCGAGACCTCCACGCTTCCACGAAGAACTCGAAGACCTCGGCGAACTAGAAACAATACGTCCGAAGAACTGGACGGGCAACTCGAAGAAGAAGTTCGAAACCCGAGCTCGGGTGTTATCAGACTGGTTCCAGGGCAAATCGGACCCGGTGGATTTGGGTCTGAAAATGGCACCCAACGCTGATGGGTCAGGGGAAACACGATCTCATTTCGTCTCACATACTCGACAACACTCGACTCCCGTCACAAATCGTTTCTCTTTCTTCGGCCTCCGTCGACAGCCTAGCAAACCTAGCTTCCCTGAACCGGCCGAAGATGAGTTCCTAAACCTCGATATCGCAGCTGCGCTGTCACTACCCGAGTCGGACTCCGATGATGAGGCACTGGATGCCTTGCGGGACCATGCTGATAAGGTGCTACGACGCATGCAAGATGCCTACAAACAACGCACCTTCGCCATGCACCAAGCCCTGGCCGATAAGAATGAAAAGCAAGAAGAGCTCGAAGAAACTCGCTCACGGGTCGATCATTTGAAGATGCAGCTGGACGGCATGGCAGCGAAGGTGCTCGACCAAGAAAAAGCCATGCAGGCCATGGCGGAGGAGTTGGAACAGGAGAGACGGCTGCGAAAGGACGAGGAGTCCCGAAGTCGCAGCCGCACCCTCCGCACCGTCCCCGTGGACGAAGATACCCCCGCCCTGGAACTCCAGACTCCTCGTCGCGGCAGCAAACGTGCCAGCCATAGTACATTCACAAGTGACTCAGGCTTCGAGTCTGGCGACGAGAGTATTGCCGATAGTGTGTTCTCCCACCGGGAGGGTATTGAGTCTCCCACATCGACTCTGGCAGCTCCATCTCCCAATCTGTCGCAGATCGCCTTGTCTACGCCGACTGGCCCGACACCTACACCTGCCATTCAGAAGAGTCTCGTCGCGGTCACCAATGGGCCGGCGCCTGCACGGTCCTCGGCATACGACCGCGTGCTCAAAGGACTCGCCTCCACGCGTCTCGGAAGCTCTTTTGGCACTAACAACGCGTCTAATTGTAACAATTGTTATGGCGTCCCAGCTTCCGAGGCGTGGAGCGTGATGGGAGTTTTGAAAGAGGAAAACCGGGGTCTGAAGACTAGACTTGGCGAACTTGAAGTTGTCATTGATGACTGCTTGGGGATGGTTGGTCCTTGAGGCTATTTCTGTTTCATACAATGTTGATCTCGCATAGTGTCTATACAATGCTGGCATGGAGTTATATGACCAAGGGAGTTTAGTATTTAGTGGAGCAGAGAACAAAGATTCCAATCAAAGACCCTTCCCAAGACCCCTTTTTGGCCATTCCTGGGCCCCAACCCGCTTAGTTAGTACCGTGGCCTCTGGGGTGTGGGGATAGCTTGGAGGATTTGGGGGTGCACAACCATCGGAATTGGAACTCCCAGGTAAAATAGACCGATTGAAATTGATTATCGGACGTGCAGTAGTCTCATTTAAATATCGCGTTCTCCCTTTAATTGTTGAGTCAGTAGGAGTCAAGGTGGTTGCGGCGAAGACCAAGTGGCCTTAATTAGCGCGGAAGCGAAAAGTGGCCAGCGAACTTCATCTGTCCTCTTCTTCCCTTCTCCCCCCCAATCTCTTCGACAACACCTCTCCTTTCCCTTTCTTATTCCATCTTCTTTCTCCCTCAGCTGGTATTCGACTCCAGCTTTCTCATTATTATTTAGAGATTAGGGAGCAAGTTAGCCACCATGAGCGGCCGTGAGTCCCCGATTCCTACCACCGCACGCGATCGCGACACTCCATCTCGACGCAGCTCAATTGATCGACGAATACTGATGAGCGTTTCTAGTACGCTTCCTTGACTTGATCAAGCCCTTCACGCCCCTCCTCCCGGAGGTGGCAGCTCCTGAGACCAAGGTCCCATTCAACCAGAAGCTGATGTGGACTGGTGTACGTCGCCTTGAACCTGTGTTTGCGCGGAATTGGCAAGGATGCTAACGAGATCCATTGCAGTTGACCCTCATGATCTTCCTGGTTATGAGCCAGATGCCTCTCTACGGTATCGTCTCATCCGACACCTCGGACCCCCTGTACTGGCTCCGTATGATGCTGGCCAGTAACCGTGGTACTCTCATGGAGCTGGGTATCACCCCTATCATCTCCTCCGGCATGGTCTTCCAGGTATGCGCTATCATATACTGTGCAATAGCGATGGAAAAACTGACGATATCTCTAGCTCCTCGCTGGTACCCACCTCATCGACGTCAACCTCGACCTGAAGACCGACCGCGAGCTCTACCAGACCGCTCAGAAGCTCTTCGCCATCATTCTCTCCTTCGGTCAGGCCTGTGTCTACGTTCTGACTGGTCTCTACGGCCAGCCCAGCGACCTCGGTGCTGGTATCTGTGTTCTCCTGATTGTCCAGCTCGTTGTTGCTGGTCTCGTTGTTATCCTCCTCGATGAGCTCCTCCAGAAGGGCTACGGTCTTGGCAGCGGTATCTCTCTGTTCATCGCCACCAACATCTGCGAGTCCATTGTCTGGAAGGCTTTCTCCCCCACGACCATCAACACTGGCCGTGGTCCCGAGTTCGAGGGTGCCATCATTGCCCTCTTCCACCTCCTCCTGACCTGGCCCGACAAGCAGCGCGCCCTCTACGAGGCGTTCTACCGCCAGAACCTCCCCAACGTCATGAACCTCTTGGCCACTCTCCTCGTCTTCGCCGCTGTCATCTACCTGCAGGGCTTCCGCGTTGAGATCCCCGTCAAGTCTTCCCGCCAGCGTGGCATGCGCGGTTCCTACCCCGTCCGTCTCTTCTACACCTCCAACATGCCCATTATGCTGCAGTCCGCTCTCTGCTCCAACATCTTCCTCATCTCCCAGATGCTTTACTCTCGCTTCTCCGAGAACATCCTCGTTCAGCTCCTCGGAGTCTGGGAGCCCCGTGAGGGATCCGCCCAGCTCTACGCTGCCTCCGGTATCGCTTACTACATGTCGCCCCCTCTTAACTTCAAGGAGGCTCTCCTCGACCCCATCCACACCGCTGTGTACATCACTTTCATGCTCGTTGCCTGCGCCCTCTTCTCCAAGACCTGGATTGAGGTTTCTGGCTCCGCTCCCCGTGATGTCGCCAAGCAGCTCAAGGACCAGGGTCTCGTCATGTCTGGTCACCGTGAGCAGAGCATGTACAAGGAGCTGAAGCGTGTCATCCCCACTGCCGCCGCTTTCGGTGGTGCTTGCATCGGAGGTCTCTCCGTTGCCTCCGACCTTCTCGGTGCCCTCGGCAGCGGTACTGGTATCCTGCTTGCTGTGACGTGAGTTTTCCAAATGACAAATCCCTTCAGTGCTCCCCAGCTAACATATCTATTTAGTATCATCTATGGTTACTTCGAAATTGCCGCCCGCGAGGGTGACATCGGCGCTGGCCTCAAGGGCCTCGTCCCCGGCAGCTAAACGCGACTGCCTTTTCACGAGCAGCATGACTTAGGATCTCCTTTTTGATTCTTTGCAACCTCTCTGTTTAGTTTTCGTATTCTTTCTGCTTCGTTTTACTTTTTGGGTGGATGGATAGACACCGTCTGCTGCGGCTTGGGTTGGAACATGCCGTCTGGTCATTGTGCTGTGTGATTGGCACCTAACGACTTTCCCTCGCTCCAGGAGCTTCTGTTCGTTACCACGAGTATATCAAAGTGCTAAACTCTTACCGCGAGGGAACAGCACATCATACCTGGCTCGGCAGACGGTGCCCAGTCATGAAAAGCTCCCTTCCAGGGCCCTGTAACCATATGTGTCTAGAAAACCAAAATCATATATTCGATCTCAAACGGACCATACCTCGTAGTCTACAAATTCGACACCTGCGTAATCTGTAGTTTGGCTGGTGATCGTCGTAGACGCCAACTTTGACGCTCAATTGGATATGTCCATGCTATGGATCTTTTAAGCACCTGGGCGACTTAGTCTTGGTAAGATGTAACTTCAGATATACTATTCTTTGCTTTTAAACACCACCCGCTATAACTTAGAAACATTTTCAAGTACGGTAATCACCGTTGATGGTCACATACTCGTGACTGAAGTCACAGAACCAGTAAACAGCATCTTCACCACCACAGCCAGCAGCACCCTTCTCACCACCACCGAGGTCAACCTCGATCTCGAGATCCTCGTTCTGGAGAATGGCACTAGCCCGCTCCTCATCAACGGTCTCCGGCTCACCGTTCACAAGCAGCTGCAGTGTAGCACTTCCATCCACGGGACGGAAGCTGACAGAGGTACGCTCAGGAACAACAGTACCCTCCGCAACACCCTGTGTGTATCCAACAGCACACAAGATGCGACCCCAGTTGGCATCCTTGCCATAGAGAGCAGTCTTCACAAGCGGAGATCGAGCAATAGTAGAAGCAATCTGTCGACCAGACTCGTAATCCGGGGAGTTACGCACGCGAACAGTAACGAACTTCGTAGCACCCTCTCCGTCCCGAACAACCAGCTGAGAAAGCTCCTGCGCGAACTCAGTAACAACGGCCTGCAGCGCGGTGTAATCAGCGCTGGCGGAGGAGGTAGGGGCGCGGACGGTCTCGCCGCCTGCGGCACCGTTGGCCAGGACGGCGATCGTGTCATTGGTGCTGGTGTCGCCGTCGATGGAGATCGAGTTGAAAGAGCGGTTCACGGCGTGCTTGAGGATGGACTGCAGAGCTGCGGGCTCGACTGCTGCGTCTGTGCAGAGCACACCTAGGAGAGTTGCCATGTTGGGGTGGATCATGCCTGCGCCTTTGGTCATGCCTGCTAGGCTGTAGGTGCGGTCTGAGGAGGGCAGGGTGAATGTCCGGGAAAGAAGCTTGGGGAAGGTATCAGTTGTGCAAATTGCGCGGGCAGTGCTGAGCCAGGCATCGTGGGTGGACGCCAGGGTGGAGTGTGCGGTTGGGATGCGGTCGAGGATCTTGGTGATTGGGAGGCTGGCACCGTGTTAGTATGGTGTCTTGATTGAGCGCATAGAATCTGTGATCTACTTACCGTTGTCCAATAACACCGGTACTCATGACGAGCGAGCTGTCGTTCTCGGCGCCGCTGCACTCATCGACCTTTCGTCCCATTGACACGGCATCCTCAAGACCACCCTTTCCAGTCACGGCATTGGCGCAGCCAGAGTTGATGACAACGGCGCGAATGCCATCACCCTTGCGGCTGGCCAATGTCTTCTTGCTGACTTGCACCGGCGCAGCTTGGAACTTGTTGGTTGTGAACACCGCCGCCGCCGAGCATGGTGTCTCGGAAGCGATCAGTGCCAGATCCGGGAAGCGAGTGTTGGACGCCTTGACGCCAACGTGGGTGCCGGAGACCTTGAACCCTTGGGGGTAGGTGCCCGTCGTGGGGATGTAGCGCTGCTTGGAGGCCGGAATGGCCATGTCCAGCGGTGCGGAGTAGCATCGGACCTGGCCCTTGACCATACGGGCGAAAGAAGTCGCCATTGTGGCGGATTGAGCTGTTGGAACCATGTGTGGAAGTGTTCTATGGCAATTTCAGGCTCATAGACACTATTTCAGCATGAGGTTGCGGAGGAAGTGAGTCAACGGAAATGTCCCCGGTGCCGGAGCTATCGACTCGGCAACTGATAACGCGGTATGAGCCCACAGTCCGAAGCTGTCGCAATACGTGAACGTTAAGAATTGCTCGACCTGATCGAGTGTAAGTAATATATAAATTGCGCAGTCTTACCCGTTTTTTGGGTGCTGGTGTCCATTGAGCACTTTTCCTGATCCAAACGATGAAGCGTGTGAGATTTGAGTCATAATTATGATTTCTAGTAGATGTGTGGATAAATTATAAGACGTCAATTTGTACAAGAGATACCTCAATCATATACCTTACCAAAATTGACCAATATCTAGTGGTTTGCGTTACACTAACAGCTGTAGTTACCCTCTACTCCGTATACTGAGACAAACCTGAACGGAGTCGGAGAAACCCATCCGCTCTACTCCAAGATTCTATTTCCAACGCAGTACTCCAGCCCTTTGAGCCCTTAGTACATACTCCATACCTGTGTCAGACCTGCAGCTCCCTGCCATTCTAAGGAGCCTTCATAATTAACCCCTTGCGTCCCGACCCTTGTGCACATTCTCCGGATCTAATGGTACTGTTGATTCCTTTCCATTTCGCGTCTACGTGCACCACATGCTGACTCGATTACCATGAAGCGCAGGCTCTCAGATGCCGGCGACCAGCCGCAAGTCTCAACACCCAAGAGACGTCGAACAGCGCTCGAGCAATCCAATGGCGCCTTGAATGGCACTGCCCCTAACAACGCGCCCTCAAACGGCGACGCCGAGCTCCCTCCGTCAGAGCAGAACCAATCAACCCCGAAGAAGGCCAATGGTGTGTCTGCGACGCCGCTGCAACAATCTGGGCTGAAAACGCCCACTCATAAGTCCAAGGCTCGAGGCCTGTTCGCTACACCTACCAAGCCCAAATCCGCAACTGCGGCCACCCCGTCTCGAGTGAAGAATGCAGACCGCTCGGCAAGAAAGAAGAGCGCACGAGTGCTGTTTGAAAATGATGAAGATGCGGAGTGGGACGGTTCAGAACAACTGGCTGAGGAAATCTTGCAAGGCGATGAACCGGAACCAGAGAACCCCGAGCAACCCGTGGCCGAGAGCATTGAACCCGAGGAGGCCGCAGAGAAGGGAGCAAAACAGCCTAAACGTCGCGCGGGTCGACCGAAGGGCGCCAGGAACAAGCGTTCCCCAACGCCCGAGGGTGAGCTGCCTGCCCATGAACGATATTTCTTCCAGAACCGCGCTGGACCCAATAAGACATCCAATGCAACCCTCAACAAGGTACCGCTGTTAACGCACGAGGAATACTTTGAAAAACTGGGAAATTATGATGATCCTTGTAGGGAAGAAAAAGAGTACCTATTATCCCTGCATCACCGGTCTTTCCCGCAGTGGGCATTCGAGTTCGACGAAGGCTTCAGCATTTGCCTCTTTGGGTACGGCTCCAAGCGTAAGCTCGTCGACCAATTCGCAGAATGGATGTACGACCACCGTCTATCGGGATCCACGAACTCACCCATCATTATCGTCAATGGATATTCCCCTGGTATCTCCATCCGAACAATCTTCGCTACGATAGTCACAGCTGTGATGGGTGACAGTGCACCATCAAAGCTGGGTGCGCAGCCAACCGAAGTCCTCGAGCTCCTGCAATCTGTTCTCAAATCTCGCTCAGAGGACGAAGAACCAGTGACTGTTCTGATCAATTCAATTGACGCCCCGCCTCTGCGCCGTGCAGCCAACCAAGCCCTGCTGGCTCGTTTGGCCGCTACACCACGCATCCGCGTTCTCGTCACAGCCGACACCCCCAACTTCCCTGTCATGTGGGACATTAGCTTACGCGACCAATTCAATCTATTGTTCCACGACTGCACTACGTTCCTGCCCTTCTCCGCGGAGGCGGACGTTGTCGAAGAGGTTCATTCTCTACTTGGTCGCAAGGGTCGTCGCGTTGGCGGAAAGGATGGTGTCGGCTTCGTGCTCAAGAGTCTTCCGGAGAACGCGCGCAACCTATACCGCCTCTTGCTTACGGAGTTGATCACCGGCCTGGATGACGGCCACCAGTCTGACGACGAAGCCCTGGCCGAAGGTGGCAGGCCTGAGGAAACCGGTATCGAGTTCCGTATGCTTTACCAGAAAGCAACGGAGGAATTTGTCGCCTCCTCAGAGATGATGTTCCGAACCTTGTTGAAGGAGTTCCATGATCACCAGATGATCACTTCGCGCATGGACGCCAGCGGCATGGAAATTCTGGGCGTGCCGCTCTCTCGTGATGAGATGGAGGGTGTGCTCGAGGATCTGGTGCTAGGGTAGCGTAGGTCCCCTATTATCCGTGGCATAGATCGAAACTCATGATACCCCTGTACGAATTAAGTGTTACCAATTTATTCTAGACCCAATGTGTGTCTTTCCAAGTTGTTCCCCGCGGGCTCTAATGGCTTATGTACAATGATCAACCCGATAATCGATTTTAGAAGTTCGCAAACGCTGCCATAGCCATCATTGCACCGAAACTGATTTTGAATGGTCGGTGCTCACTCATGGCACGGTGCAGGTCGACGTTCTTGACATACTTTTGCATCCGATGCAACGGAAGGATGTTGTATCCCTTGGATGCAGCGTACTTGGGAAATCAGCGCGTTGAACATATCGAACGGAGCAAAAGTTTAATCAAATGACAAAACGCTTGTACATACCTCGACAAGGACAACTCCCATACCTAGTATAACCACCAAAGCCTTCGAGAAAGCCCTCAGCCCAACACCTGCTACGAGTCCCAAAACACTGCCCAGACTGACTTGCCGCATGTTCTCTGCATTTAGAATTCCAGTTCGCGATTGTTTCGTTGGCTTCCCGCCGATTGCCAACTCGGGCTCTTTCTGGAAGGTCGACTGCTGTGGAAGAGGAGAGGCGTAATCGCATAGCATAGGTGCAGCGCGGAAGGGCGACAAGGGGTGCATGGTAGCGGCGGAGAGGCCAATGCCGACGCCCAGTCCGAGACGAAGGATGCTCGAGGAAGGAGTGAAGATTCTGAATGCCATTTTTCCAAAGAATTGAGGTGCAAGTCACAGAGTTGCTGGAAGCTTGGAGCTTGGAGACCGGGAGTGATAAGATATCCCGTGACGTCACGAAGGGGCTCCGGTGCCCAGGTGCGTCTAGGTGCCTACCTAAGTATAACGGCCCGCTATGTTGAGCATATTTGCGCAGTTGGATTTGTTTTCTACAACAATTTGGTAGCAATTGCACTGTAGACAGTGCATCGATCTTAAAGTCAATATTTACGGGTCTACATATATGTCCATAGGCAGAATAATACCATTGAAGTTGATTGACTGAGCCTTTTACTGCATGGATTTACTTATACTGTAGGTTGAACAAGATACCTACTATAGTTTAGCGGGGTCAGACCCATTCCTAGGGTAAGTTTTCCTCTTCCAGGAACACTGTGACTACTAAACTCATTGGAAGTGCCAAGTCCGAATAATTACAGCGCAATACGGTGCGACGGGGGGCAACGGAACAATTCCTCGGGAAACGCGCGGACCTTGCGAGGGGTACTCCGGTGTTGGCCTGAGGCACAGAGGAAAGTATATTTCATATTGACTCACTGGATCGGTTCCTCCATTTTTATTTCTCCTCTTCTCTCTTCTGTACCCATACTTCTTTTTTCTCTACTTTCTTCATCCTTGTACGATAATCCACAATGGCCGCAAACGGTACTCAGAGCAGTGACTTCACTGTCAAGGCTGGTCTCGCCCAGATGCTGAAGGGTGGCGTGATCATGGACGTCGTGAACGCTGAGCAGGCAGGTCTCCTCTGGTCCAATTGCAAGCACAGAGTGCTAATCTACCTATTAGGCCCGCATCGCCGAAGAAGCCGGCGCTGCTGCCGTCATGGCGCTCGAGCGTGTCCCCGCCGATATCCGTGTCGAGGGCGGCGTTGCGCGCATGTCCGACCCTACCATGATCAAGGAGATTATGGAAGCTGTGACTATTCCCGTCATGGCCAAGGCTCGCATTGGTCACTTCGTTGAATGCCAGGTTAGTTCAATTGCGACCTCCCGCACTCTCCCCACACCCGTCGCGCGGGGGAGGGGCAGTGGCGTATTCCGTGGCGAGGAGGCAAAAAAAAAAGTGCGATAGCTAACCATTGCCACAGATCCTCGAGTCCATTGGTGTTGACTACATTGACGAGTCGGAAGTCCTTACCCCCGCCGACGATGTCTACCACGTTACCAAGCACGGCTACAAGGTCCCCTTCGTGTGCGGCTGTCGCAACCTCGGCGAGGCCCTCCGTCGTATCTCCGAGGGTGCTGCTATGATCCGCACCAAGGGTGAGGCCGGTACCGGTGATGTTGTCGAGGCCGTGAAGCACATGCGCACCGTCAGCGCGCAGATTGCTAAGGCCCGCGGTATTCTCCTTGCTAGCGCCGATGCCGAGCCCGAGCTCCGCGCATTCGCGCGTGAGATCGAGGCGCCTTACGAGCTTGTTCGCCAGTCTGCTGAGCTTGGTCGTCTTCCCGTCGTCAACTTCGCTGCCGGTGGTGTTGCTACTCCCGCTGATGCGGCACTCATGATGCAGTTGGGCTGCGATGGTGTCTTCGTTGGCTCCGGTATCTTCAAGTCTGGCGATGCTAAGAAGCGCGCTCGTGCTATCGTCCAGGCCGTCACTCACTACAAGGATCCCAAGGTCCTTGCTGAGGTTAGCCAGGGTCTCGGTGAGGCTATGGTTGGTATCAATGTCCGCCAGATGCCCGAGGCTGACAAGCTTGCTGGCCGTGGCTGGTAGATGCGCTCTCCTGTCTTTTTTTTTTGCCCTTTGTTTTTTCCAGCATGATCATTGCGTCTCACAAAAATCATTGTACATGAGCTATGAGAAGATGTCCTACGTGACGTTCGAACTATACGATTTCAACTTATTTGTTGTACTCTCCATTGGATGATAAAGTAAATTGTGCTCATACCTATCTAGCTAAAGGAGGTCGAACTTCCAAGGTTCGGCCTTGGGTGCCAGAAGATATCGGTCTTAAATTTCCTTCCGGAGAGAGGGTGCATCAACTCCGATAGAGCACTTGGCGTCTCATGCCAAGATTCTCTAGCCTCACAAGGTTCTACAGAAGTCGAGTTTTCTATCAAGCAGGTATAATTCATGGCTATTGCAATTAGAGTGGCAACGACATTTGAGCAGGGAGAAAATGAGAGAGTCGAGCCAGGAGACCGCATCGAGACCCAGCAATGAGGCAAGGCATTCCCCGGGGCCGTGATAGGCCACCCCTACCGACTCACCGAGTCACCGAGAGTCTGGGGAAAGCACTTAATCGACTCCAGCCAATGAGCAGCTCGGTTGTTACGCCGGCCCGCCGGGTGATCGCGGAAAGTAGTAATTTATTTCTACTCCTATTGGCGGGAACCAGTTACTCTGTGGAGCCTTGGACGCTCCGTGGACGGAGTGTCCGGAGTAGACGGAGTACTGCAACTCGATATCTTATGGCTTGGAAGGCGCTTGAGTCACTGAGAATCTTGAGGTACAACGCTTCATGGCCCAAAGAGCACCATTTTCTCCCACCCTCTGTTCTCCCTTGCAAGTCTCATTACCGATTGATGATCTTCCAAAGGGAATGGCCCAATGACTGTTTTTCTCAGTTTGAGGATCCCAGTTTCAATCAGTCGAACAGTCTGGGCAACGTCCTCGCGACTCTGGGCAAACTGGCCGCGCAAAGTTAAGCAATTCGCCATGATAAGCGCATACGGCAACGACACATTGTCGAGAATGACACCAGAAAAACAACACCTAGCAAGTTAGCGTCAAGCCTAGAACGGAATCACGAGATACCAACCTGCCATAACGCTTCAATGCCATCAACCCGGCTACGATATGCGTCGTAGAAGCCGCACCAGGCGGCGAGTAGTCGATATAAGCATCCGCACCCTGTCCACCCGGCGTGGCACTTCTCAAAGCCATAGAATCAACATTCGCATCACCCGTCAGTACCACAGGGATAACCCTTTTACCATCATCACCCAGATGCTCGATCAGCGCATCAAGAGATTGCCGACTGCGACTCCCAGCCACGACATTTGCACCAAGAGCCAAGGCCACCACGACAGCACTGGAGCTGAAGAAACCAGTCGCCGGAATGACAAGAACGGTCTCACCCGGTCGAATATCGATGGCATTCGCGGCACCCATGCTCGGCATCAAACTCGCAATCTCAGCTAGTTGATTCAAAGAATCGTGTCCTGCGAGTCTCGATTCATCAAGAACATGCACATTCTCGACGGGGAAGCGAGCGAGCTCGGAAAAACAGCCATTCTTCCAATATCCAGAAGAGAACTCCAGCTCTTGCGGCGTCATACCGCCGTGGTAGCCTAAGTTTTGATAAGTACGGTTGGTCACTTAATGTCAAGGACTCATACCTAGTACAATGCGCTGGTCTGGTGACTCACGCAGCCGGACGATATAATCACAGAAGACTAGCTGGTCCGCTTTGAGTGTGGTACCGGCTCCGACTTGTTCGATGCGGCCAACGCAGCATGTGCCGAAGATCAATGGCATTTCTAACGGATAGTCGCGTGCACCGCTGATCACCTCGGGAATATAGTCCCATACTGGGGCTGCGAGGACGCGGACAATGACTGTGCCTGGATCTGGGGTTGGGGAGGGCACTTCCTCCAGACGGAGGTCGTTAGGACCGTGGAGTGTGAGGGCTTTCATGATTCTCTGGGTGAGGGTTTTTTTTTTATAACCGGACTTTTTGGGGAGATTCTCAGAGCGGACAGCGGTTGAAGAGGACTGGTCTCTTTCAGATCTCGACATGGGAATATTTATAGTCCATCCCAAAGTCTAGCGGCCGAAGACCTAGTATAAAAGATATAGTCTGCGCACTGGCCCCACTGGAATCTGACATCGCTTCCAAGGTTAGAGCTCTAATTCGCCCGCTCGGATAAACACATTGTGTCTGACTCCATCACTCATGTATGATTGGTCTCTAAGGGGGATATGGATTCCCATCTTACTCTGGACGCTCACCTAACTACTACTAGGTAGGCGAGGAAGGCTATAAGCCGGCGACAATCCCGAAATCAACAATTCTTAACTAGTATGCTTTTCATAACAGAAATTCGTGTAGATGCTTGATTGAACACAACCTCGCATCTCATGCAAATGGATATCTAAAATCGAACGAAACCGAAGTTGCAGGACCCAACTCCAATCATGAGCGCCAACCCTCATTACTGTGCATAATCAAAATTCATCCCCCGGCATTTCAGCCAGAAAGCCCGCACAAGATCCAAGGAGGGCTTCTGGGCACCCCGGGCGATAACGAGACCCTCCAGGAAGCGCGACTTATCTTGCGCCGAGAGAACGGGTACTTGCTGGCCATTGGCATCAGTGACCTGGGCGTTGAGTGTTTCAAGCGCGGCTTTCAGAGCGGGTCGCGCGAGTGCCATTTTCTTGAATACAGTGCGTCGCAGGGCGTCGTTCAAGGATACCAGATCGGATCTTGCGCAGCGACCTGCGATTTGCTGGATAATTGTATAGCATAGACGAGGAATGAATTCTTGATTGACAGATTCGATCGTGTTGGTTGCTTCGGGTGAATTACTGCGGAGATCGACCAACGCAACCCAGAACGCAGATGCAGCCCGAAGGGGGAGTGGCTCTGGGCGCGTCAATGCGTGAAGGATGAAATGAAGCAACACGGCGAGAGGAGACTCGGCGTGGGACTCCAGAGGAGTGAATAGGATTGGATAGTACTTTGGCAGGAGACGGGCTAGGAAGTCGATACCGGCATTCGCAGTCTCTGGATCATACGAGTCGGGATTTTGGAGCATTGAGGAGAATAGTCGGGCAACGTGGTCAGTAAGCGCCTCGGCCTCAGCACGAATCTGCATTGCGTGGGAAGCGTGAGAAGCCAAGAAAGATGATGCAGTTGCCATAATCATGTCGGTGCCTGAGATGCCGAGAGGGAAGCTTTTGATGAAGTCGACAGTCATTGAAGGTGGGAAAACGAAGAGTCCAGCTCGCTCCGTGTAGCCTGCCTTCAAGATATCACAAGCTGCTTCAATGATACCGTTGTCCACGGGGAACTCGACAATGAGAAGTCGCATGGCTTCCATCAGCAGACGTTGGGATTCGGCACCGGGTCCAGAGTTCCAAAATGATGCGGGATAGGGTCCTTCATCTTGCAAGTCATCGATGCTGATTGTCTCGGTCTCTGAACGAAGGCCCTTTCCGATGCTAGCGATGCAGCTTAAGACCAGATGTCCCCGCAGACGTCCGTATTCATGGCCAGGGCCCTTGACTTCTTCCCGGGCTGTATTAGCCTCTTGAACAAAGAAGCCAAGGATTCGTTCGAGCGTCTGGACTTTTTCCTCGTCTGTTGATAGATTCTGGATGATAGTCGCAATTCCCTCGAGGACCTTCGGCATTGTTGAAGCGGTAGCTGTTGGCTTGCTTCTGAATTGGTCTAATTGATCCAGGAAAGCAGGCAGATCTGAAGTCAAGACTCGGGCACAAGATTTGGAAAGAGTCAGAATAGATCTCGAAGCCGCTTGTGCACACAGCTCAAAGCTGAGTGACTCAAATAGAACATTGAGAACCCCCGGTAGTAATGAGCTGTGTCTTTCGAAATATGACTCGTATTTCCCGAATGAATCAACCAAGGTCTGGCGAGCTTTGAGCGGAATTCCGGTCTCCCCACCAGCGCAGAGCTGGGCAAAGGCATCGCTGCCAAAGATGGCGTCGAGGCATTGGTCAGCGTGGCCATTCTCGTCGACTGCTTCCGAGAGCTGAGCTATGCAAAACATGGCAGTTTCAAAGTTGCGCCAATCGCCACCTTGAAGGTGTGAAGTTGCGCTTCTCTGGAAGACAGTCACTAGCTCGACGCCAAGGATGGGATATGCCGAGAGAAGATAATCACAAGCCTCGTGACGGAAAGCTCCAAACTCGCTGCGCTCTTCATCACTCCAGTCTGATAATTCATCAGAGGTAGGATATAGCAGTTTACTTGAGAGACTCAAGACCACTTCAGCCAGATGCGACTTGATCAAGCCGTATCTGGGGTTATCTGGCTCGAGGTCATCAAGAAGACTCTCGGCGATCTCATTCCAGAACTCCAAGACACGCGGGGTGCCGAGGTCGTCAATAGATGCATAACCCGGCGTCTTAAAGATTCCGTGGACGAGGCGAAGAATGTTTTCGTTTTGTAGGGATAAAGGAGCGGTGAAGACATCCAAGTGCAGATGCGAGACATAAGCTATCAGAAGATCGACGAATGACATGCTTTCAACACCTTCATCTCCATTGCTCACTGCAGCGATGTGAGCAGTCACAATGGAATCAGCGAGCACCTCAGCAACGAGACATAATGAGCTGGCATCAAAGACCCAACGACGGCTTTCAAAAGCTTGAGTCAAAATTGAGGCTGCGTTCTCACTCAAGCTGGGTACCCTCAGTGTCTCTATAACTGTTTTCCCGCAGCTTATAGCCAGTGCGTTGACGTCGTCTGTGACGGAGCGCTGGCGGATTCCGTGGAAGCCCAGCCACGTCTATAATTGGCACATCAGCAAGTTGATCCCGATAATATGCATTCATTTCTTACCTTCCAAGAGCTCATGGCTTCTGCAGCCAATGCTGCATCGATTGCATCATCACCAGCAGCACGTGCATGTTGCATGATGCCGTTCAACACGAATTGGACCAAAGATAAACCGTCTTTCATATTCAACAGAGCTCGCTGGAGAGCAGAGCCGTCTCCGGCTCCATTTTGAGTCTCAGAGTCGGCCCGAAGTGCCTCTTCGGCGAGTGCAATGGAGAAAAACAGGAGTGCACCCGACGCGTTGGTGTTCAGCTCCGGCAGTATCCTTGCTTGAAAATCCACACCTCGTGCCAATTCTTCTGAGACATATCCGCCGTTCACGAGACTCGCAGCTAGCTGCCAGACAGCTTGTTTAGAAGGGGTGGCCGGATGCTTGAGAATAGCAACCAAGCTGGAAGCCAGCTTTCGTACCACCAATGCCTGTTCGCCCTTGTTAACCATGTGTACGAATCGATTAATCAGGTGTTGCATGACTTCGGTCGCGCCATGCTCGTCGATTTCGTTCCTGGTTCCAGTAAGTAAATTTATCTCCGATTGAGATAACGAGGTGCGATTTGGGATTAGCCCTACCATGAGACATTGATCTTCACCGTGAAGGTAAGGGCACCCATGAAGCGATGCTGGGATGAATTTTCATTTTGCAGAAGGGAGTCTGCAATCGCCCAAGCATTCTCGGTCTTTTGGAGCTGTTGAAGGCGTGCTTGGATCTCATGGATTCTGGCGGGGTCTCGTTGGTTTGCTGGATTGTAGAGCTCGGTCACTAGCTGATTATGGATAAGCCAAGATATTTTCTGAGATTTAGCTGTGGGAGAAATACCATATGAGCTTCTGCAATTGATTCCCTGGCGCCAAGGCCATCGTTGGAGATCCAGGCCATGATCTTTCACGTAGTTGGGAGAATGGAAGAGAGAAAGCATACTCGTATAGAAGCACGGGGCTAAGACGGGCAAAACCAAATGTTTGCATCAAAGAACCAATGGAAGATGGGGCGGTAGGCTAGGCGGTGAAGGCGGGGTCTATGGATCTCGCCCGGTGCTTTCTCAGTGACATATCAGCCTACTGACGTTTTGAATTGATTGGATGTTGGAATAACGGACTGTTTGCGTGTATCTGTGGTCGATATGCCTACTCTATATAAGTACATAGTGTGTAGGTAGCACCTTATTAGCTATTTCTGCGCGACCACTGTTCATCACAACATCTCGTGGATCCATGATGGAAAATGTGCTTTCAGTTCATCTCTAATGCGTTCAACTGACCAGTTGTTTGCCCACAGCCTTCATGTACTATAAAGAAGTCTCCTGGATCAACCATATATTGACTCCGAGGCCTCCAGGGCTGCTTGTGGCCGTGAGTAGCCGAATTGGTTCACCGCCCTCCACACCGCCCTTACGGCCCGCGGAATGAACGCGTTATCGGGCACTTATCTCATGCCACATCCACCGAGTAGGATTGTGCTGGACCTCGATGCTCTTCTCTCGCTCCCTTCGCCTTTCGTGCAACCCTCTTCGATCGATAAGGCCTCGTCCAACATTTTTCTCAACATTCGGTCCACGCTACTCTATCGACATGGGGACCGTAGATACTACTGAACGCTTGTTCAAGCTGCGGCAGTTGATGCAGCAGCACAAGGTGGATGTGTACAGTATGATATCCTCTCTCTTTCTTTAGCTTTCACTTGATTGAATGCTGACCAGCTTGATCTAGTTGTTCCTTCGGAAGATAGCCACCAGTCCGAGTACATTGCACCATGTGATGCCCGACGAGGTTCGCAGTCGTCCCCCTCCCAGGAGTCGGTCGTAATTACCGCTAACAACCGGTGTAGAGTTTATCTCTGGATTCTCTGGATCTGCTGGCACTGCAATCATTTCTCTGAGCAAAGCTGCTCTCTCAACCGACGGGCGTTACTTCAACCAAGCCGCGAAGCAATTGGATACCAACTGGCAGCTTTTGAAGCGCGGAGTGGAGGGGGTTCCCACATGGCAGGAATGGTGAGCCTTCACTCTTGTGGTGAACAATTGACTCAGAACACTTACCTCCTCGCAGGTCCCTGGAGGAGGCCCAGGGTGGAAAGGCCGTTGGCGTTGATCCCTCCCTGATCACGGCGTGTAAGTATTTCTATCTTTGGACATGGACAGCGGTACTAACCTCCAACAGCCGGCGCACGCAAACTGGCAGAGACCCTTGAAAAGAATGGGTCATCACTGGTTGGCATTCAGGAAAACCTGGTCGATCTGGTGTGGGGCAAGGATCGCCCTGCGCGTCCCAGTGAGAAAGTGCGCGTACACCCCAGCAAGTATGCCGGCAAGACCTTCCAGGAGAAGGTCTCTGAGCTGCGCAAGGACCTCGAGGCCCGGAAGAAGGCCGGCTTTATCACCTGTATGACATCCACAATCTTATTCCGAGGCAGAATAACTAATGGACAATAGCCATGCTTGATGAAATCGCTTGGCTGTTCAACTTGAGAGGAACCGAGTAAGCGCAACGTTGGAGGATACCGTGTTATCTGGCCATTGACTGACTTTGACTAGCATCCCGTACAACCCTGTCTTTTTCTCATACGTCTTGATCACCCCGACCACAGCTGAGATCTATGTCGAGGAGGACAAATTGACCCCAGAAGTCAAGGCTCATCTTGGACAAGATGTTATTATCAAGCCATACGACTCCATCTTCGCTGATGCCCAGGCTCTTGCTGCCCGATCCCAAGCCACTGGCGAGGATGCTGAAAAATTTTTGCTGTCTAACAAAGCATCATGGGCTCTGAGCATCAGTCTCGGCGGTGAAGCCAAGGTTGAGGAAACTCGCAGCCCCATCTCCGATGCCAAGGCTGTCAAGAATGAGATCGAGCTGGAGGGCATGCGGGCTTGCCACATCCGTGACGGCGCTGCCTTGACTGAGTACTTTGCTTGGCTTGAAAATGAACTCGTTAACAAGAAGACTGTTTTGGATGAAGTTGATGGTGCTGATAAACTCGAGCAAATTCGTTCCAAGCATGAGCTCTTTGCGGGCCTCTCTTTCGATACCATCTCCTCGACAGGACCAAACGGTGCTGTCATTCACTACAAGCCCGAGAAGGGAAGTTGCTCCATCATCGATCCTAACGCCATCTACCTCTGCGACTCTGGTTGTCAATACTATGACGGAACCACCGATACTACCCGAACTTTCCATTTCGGTACCCCCACCGAGTTTGAGAAGCGTACTCTCACTCTGGTCCTGAAGGGAACTATTGCGATTGATGAGGCAGTTTTCCCCAAGGGAACCAGTGGTTTCGCCATCGACGTTTTGGCGCGCCAGCACTTGTGGAAGGAGGGCTTGGATTTCCTCCACGGAACAGGCCACGGTGTTGGCTCTTACCTGGTAAGAGATACTGAACTTATGGGATGAACCATGCTAATTGTCTCTCAGAACGTGCACGAGGGTCCTATCGGCATTGGCACTCGAGTCCAATACACCGAAGTTCCCATCGCAGCTGGAAATGTTATCTCCGATGGTTCGCACACCTCCATTCCTGAACCCTTCGATCAGAGCTAACCAATTGAGCAGAACCTGGATATTATGAGGATGGCAAATTTGGAATCCGGATTGAGAGTAAGCCTTCCCCCCTGAGATTCATTGCAAACATGCTGATTCCTTCTTCAAAGACGTTGTTATGTGCCGCGAGGTCAAGACTCCCCACAACTTTGGAGACAAGCAGTGGCTAGGCTTCGAGCATGTCACCATGACCCCCATTGGTCGTAATCTGATTGAACCCTCGCTTTTGAGTGACGCCGAGCTCAAGTGGGTGAACGACTACCACGCTGAGATCTGGGCGAAGACAGAGCACTTCTTCCAGGCTGATGACTTGACTCGCTCATGGCTCGAGCGTGAGACTCAGCCCATCTCCAAATGAATACCATATCATGCCGCAAATATACGTTCCAAGTTGATCAGTACCCAGGTGTGACACGCGTCATCCAAACGGGGCTGGTCCAACTAATATGCGTTGAGGCCTGGAACGGAATTCTTGCACACTATTTTCGGCCAAATTAATCAAATACCAAAACCAAAAAAATGTAACAATAGTTTCGAACATCAATTTGTATAGACTACATCTGCAGGTGCATACTGTATACTCCGTTCTATACTCCGTTCTAGTAGTGGACAACTGGTCAGCGGAATGCGGGAGCTGGAGTGGAGCCTGATTCTCCGCTCCGGTCTGTTCCAACATCATACGCGCAATCACCATATTTCCTCCAGTGCTTTGAGCTGTCCAGCCAAGAATGCGAATTGCCTTTGGCTCGTTGTCGCGCGTAGGCCACAGCATCTGAACCCAAAACGCCCCAATCGCGACCCCGCGCCCCTTGTCCCAGCCCACCAGCGCACACGGACTCAAAACACCTGCGAGCAACAGACGTCCCTCGAAATGAGTGGTCAAAACGGTTACGGAAATGGCTATGGCTACTCTGGCTCAGGCTCCGGCCGATACGATGCGAATGACGGAGCATACAGTGGCAGCGGCAGCAGCCTCGGGGTGAGCGGCTACAGTGGACGGAGTGCCGGAGCATCGAGCGCGGGTGGTCGATCGGATCGCCGACCTGGCGGTTATGGCGGTTTCTATGAAGAACCGTCGCAGCAATCGACCCTGTCGCCCGGTCAATCCTCAGCCCCGAGTCAATCTCAGTCGCCCGAGCGCCGGCGCGATCGGTCGGACCGTGATTGGCAGCAGCCTTCTTCACAGTCCAAGTCCCGATCTCGGTCAAGGCATCAGGAGCCCGGAAGGAAAAGGCAGGAAGACCGGGCTGCAGATCAGATGCGATCTGCGGAGAAGAGAGAGCAGGAGAGAAACCTGTCCCCGGTAGTCAAGCGAAGCAACACAGTTGGGGAGGCCCAAGCCATTGAAAGTGTGTCTTTCTCCTTGCTACTTGGATTCAACGGCTAACCAGGGTCCTTTTTGTAGCAATCCTGCAATCGATTCAGCACGACTGGGACTTCATGACCGATGCCGAGTGCGTGCCCGTACACGTTGCTTTGAGCCTGATGGATACTAGTACGTTAGGGAAGGCGGACCGCGAAGATGACTTCCTGCGCATGTATAACGATATACAAAAGACCTTGAAGGCCATTGTGAACGGTGGGTACTCTTGATCGCAACCAGAAGAACTCAGTGCTGACGATATGTGCTGCAGAGCATCACCAGGGATTCAACAGTTCCATCGGTATATACCACAAGATCCAGTCAAACATATCGTCATCACAGAGTCGAGTACGCAGCTTGAGGAATGCGCTGGATCAAGCTAAGTCCGGATTAATATCGACCAAGCCCGAACTGAAAGGACTAGCAACATCTTCTCAGAACTATGATGATATTGTTCAACTGTTCACTCAAATCGAAGAGATTCAATCTTTGCCCGAGAAGCTCGAATCACAAATTTCAGACAAGCGCTTCCTAGCAGCAGTGGATGTACTCCATACTGGTCTCCGAGTCCTACGGCGCTCGGAGCTGGAGGAAATCGGCGCCTTGTCCGACATTCGCGCATACTTCATCAACCAGGAAACATCACTTACAGATATCCTGATTGAGGAGCTGCACGATCACCTATACCTCAAATCGCCGTATTGCTCAGATCGGTGGAAAGCCCCAACCACCGAGGGCGAGTCCACTGCTTCTGGTTGGGCTGGGAATCGATCATGGGAACGGCCTGTTTATAGTTTCCTGGCCAAGTTCGATCCATTGACACCGATGATCGAGGATGCCTCCCGGAACCCAGAAGCCGATACGTTCTCTTACATACAGCTTCTGATTGAGGCCCTCAACAAGATGGGGCATCTGGATATTGCGGTACACAGAATTGAACAGCGCCTGCCGGTTGAGTTGTTTGCTGTGGTGGACAAGACGAACGCAGAGGTCGATGCACGCTATCCGGCACCCAACAAAAGCTTTTCGGCTCAGGACAACTACTACAAGCAGTCTAATCTCCCCACTGAGATCATTGAGAAGCGAGGCCATGTTCTTTCTGAGTTCTTGTGGGCGCTATATGCTAAATTTGAAGCAATTGCGGAAGGCCATCGGATTCTTCACGATGTCGTTGCTGCGATTGTTGAGAGAGAAGGGCTGAAAAGCGAGACGCTCTCTGGTGGATTTAAGGAGCTATGGTCCCTTTTGCAAAGCGAGGTACGAAATCGAAAGCTTGACCTGAATCAAGTGGCTTTCCATTTACTGAATTTTCTTGGCAGATACGATCTCTCATGCACGATTACCTCGCGACCGACGGGGATTCATCCGCCAGGCAAGAAGAAACCGACTCTCGTCGCCACATCTACTCAAATGCCCGTGATAAGACTAAGGTATCTGAAAACTCCTGCTTAGTATACAATCTGGAGCATTCATCGCTGACCATTCCTGTAGAAAATGTTCAAATTATCCGATATTGAGCACAGCTTGGAGATGAAAGCGGAGCAAGACGAACTGGATGAAATTCTCAAATCATCGGTCCCAGGCCTTGTTTCCAAGTCGAGGGCAAAGACTGCGACAAATGACACCACTCAGTCCAACAAGGGCAACTCAGGAACCGGGCACAAGATATTGCTCGAACCAAGTGTTTTCAACATGGGTATCCTTCTTCCCCCTTCTTTATCCTTCATCCAGCGTCTCAAGGATATCGTTCCCGTCGATTCAAATATCTCCATGAGCACATTGACGTCCTTTTTGGATGACTTTATGGTCAACGTCTTCTTGCCTCAGCTCGACGAGACTGTGACGGATCTGTGCACACTGAGCTTCATCGCGGCCGATGCCTTTATGGAGGATCCTCAATGGTCCAAGGTCTCTCCACGGCCTGTATTCAAGGGCACAGTTAAGTTCATGTCAATTGTCAGAGAATTCAGCAAGATGCTCTCAAGCATCCCACATGATCAGGCATTTACTCAGCTTCTGATTGACCAGATCGTGACGTATTATGACAAGTGCTGTGGATGGTACAAGGCGATGGTCACAAAGGTTTCCGCTCACAACACCAATGGCGAGGTTCGATTAAAAGCGGCAGCGTCATTTGTCGAACAAGGCGACATCCATGATACAGTCGATGAGCTTTGGAAGGGTGCCGGTGACAAGAAGCAGACCTTGATCGATACTGAGATTGATCTGCTTTTGAAGCGAACCAACGAGGTGCCCCTGGAACCATACGATATCATATCCGATCCGAAGACAGTGGTGTCACTCTCACTTTTGTATAACAGTATGCAATGGCTTGGAAGCCACCTTGCGAGGATCCGCCAGGTAGTGGAACACACCGCGGATGCCGAATCATCAAGTTTGACAGCGACTGGCCGGCCCTCTCGCCGATGGACTTTGTTCGGGTCCACGAAGCCAAAGCGCGATAGTATCAACAACCCCGTGCATTTGCCACTGAACCACGAGACCGCTGTGGCCTTCGATGGAACCCTTGAATCATTACATGGACTGGGCTCTACGGCACTTCTCACGATGCATGTGGATATCCGCTGTGGCATCATCCATATGTTGACCAGAACCATGTCGGGGCCCAATCCACCGACTCTACGAAACTCTGAGCCGGTCACACCCTCCCCCAGTCTGGTGGAGAACTGGTGGCACATCATTATGAACCAACCAACCGCCGCTTCGCCCACAATCCTCGCGCTGAATAACGATCTCATCGCATTCGACACCAACATCTCAACCTACTTGGGCTCTGCCGAACGATGGTTCATTACCTCCGGCCTGGCGCGGTTCATTGACCGCGTTTTCGTAGCCAGCACCCGATACATCGGAGCAATGAATGAGAACGGAGCTCTGCGTCTCCAGCTCGATGTACTCGTTCTTCAACAGAACTTGAAGAACATCATCATTGACCCCGCTAGTGATGCACCGTCGCCGACGACAGATCTACATGCGCAGGCATCCCAGGAGGTTGTTGCACTTCCACGCAGCGCCAAGTTCCTCGATTGGTTCCTTGAGGGGGCCGAAAAGTCCCTGGACTATTCCAAAGACGAGAAAGAGGCGTTCGCGTCACAAGGTGCCAAGGCCTTGGCTGCTGGCAACGGTGAACCATTCACTTACGATGAACTGCGGGTTCTGGTCGACCTTTGTTTCTCCGAGATCTTGCGCGGCCCGCGTGGGGCAGAGAGTCGAGAGGACTTCATGTCGGCGAAGAAGGCTAGTGCGGATGCGCTACTGAGGCTGAACGAGATCATGTGGGATGCCCGGTAGAACTGGGTAGCGACAAAATAGAGAGTCAAGTTTGAACCCTTAATTCCGCTACTAGTATAGTAGTATCAGTACATTAGTTTCAATAGTTCCTTGAGAGTAATCAGACGGAGTACTAGTATGTACTTTGAGGATTGCACGCTTGACTCAAAGTCATTTCCTCATTAATATAAACAATCTCCACTAGCCCTAACTCAGTCTAGCAGACTGGGTCCCCCATCCCCTTTCGGTGCCTCCCGACTCTCGACACTGGCCCATTCGATCCACGCTGCGTTTCATATCGTCAGATTGCTGGTTCTCGCAAATGAATTTTCCTGATCCCAGTCACTATGCATGTGCCGTTAGATTAACGGCGTCTAGACGTATCCATTCGCAGAACTATAAGCCCCCGGTGTGTCCCTCGTTTCCTTCTCTTCTTTTTCATTCTTCTCATTCTGTCTGGAACAGTAAGCGTTTCGAATCTGAAATCCGTGATTCAGTCCTTTCTTTTAGTGCAATTGCACGTCCGATCATTTCAAATCAATTCATCACCTTCATTTGGCAATATCGCTCTGCGAATACCTTCATTTCCAATCTTTAACCATGAAGTACCTCAGCGTGGCCTCCGTGGCCGCACTTCTCAGCACTACTGTGTCCGCCGGTCCTCTGGTCCCTAGAGACACTTGTCCCAAGGGATACACCCAGAGTGTGTACTACAAAACCATTTACTTTGAACCTTCTTCGGCCGTTCCCACGTCGACAGCGACTCCATCGCCCTCTCCTATCACCTTGGAGTCCCAGTCTTCCGTGGAGCCTACCGTGACTCCCTCTTCCGCTGCTGTGGTTTCATCGCAGGCTCCTGTGGTTGAGCAGATCGAGTCTTCGACACCCTCTGCCGTCGCATCTACATCTGAGGCTGCACCTCTCATCGCTCTCATCCCCACTTCCTCTGTTGAGACCGCTGCTGCCGTTGAAACCACTTCTGTCATCCAGGCACTTGAGCAGACCACCCAGGCCGCTGCCCAGACTACCGCCACCCCTGTTGCGGAGGCTGCTGAGCCAACCACTCAGGCTACTATTCAGACACTCCCTGCCCCCGTCGTGGAGTCCGTCAAGTCCACCACTGAGGCTGCTGCCGAGACTACCCCCGCTGCTGTTGTGAAGGCCGCCGTCCAAAGCACCAGCACCACTTCTTCCTCGACCTCCAGCTCCACTTCGTCCAGCTCGTCCAGCTCCGGCGAGAACGCCGGAAAAGCCACCTTCTACGGAGGTAATGTTTCCGGTGGAACCTGCTCTTTCAGCGGCTACAGCCTCCCAAGCAGCCTCTTCGGCACAGCCCTCTCTCTCGCACGCTGGGACGACGCATCCAACTGCGGCCGCTGTGTCTCCGTCACCGGCCCTGAGGGCAACACCGTCAAGGCAATGGTAAGCCCAGCCCCCGTTCCGTTTACAGAATTCCTACTAACAACCTCCAGATCGTCGACCAATGCCCCGAATGCGAGAGCAACCACCTCGATCTCTTCCAGAACGCCTTCGCCGAGCTCTCCGACATCTCAGCTGGTATCATCGGCATTAACTGGTCTTTCGTCTCGTGTGATCTGGACGGACCCCTCAAGCTCAAGAACAAGGAGGGTACATCTGCCTACTGGTTCTCCATGCAGGTTGTCAATGCCAATGATGCCGTGACTGCGTTGGATGTTAGCACTGATGGTGGTAGCTCGTGGCAGAGCACTGAGCGTACCTCGTACAACTACTTCGAGAACTCTTCTGGTTTCGGCACAGACTCTGTCACTGTCCGGGTTACTGGAGCTAGTGGTAAGACTGTCGTTGTTAAGAATGTGGGCGTCTCGTCTGGTGCTGAGGTGACTGCTTCTTCTAACCTGTAAACGGGACGATGGCCTGATTTATCTTCTTTTGTTTATATTGACGTTGGAGGTTTGGAGTGGATTATGAGTTACTTACAGTTCTATACTTGGTATTATAAATTATATTGAAGTATTTACTACACAGGTCGATGAATTCCACGTCAGTGTAGTGAAAATGGCAGTGAACTGAAGTCAACATCGCATAAGAAACGCTGAGTCAATATCAACAAAAGCAAGTGCAGGGAGCACGAGCATCAAATGGGATGAATAGTAGGTATTCGATATTCCGGCTTTGCAAGCGTAATCCAATTGGGATTATTAGAAACGTCTTAATTCTGTTTCTCTTGGTTGCTGGCAGTATGTACATCTCGAGCCATGCGGTTTGTACCTACAGGGATTCGATAAACCTAACAATCAAGCTGTTAAATTCATCAGCAGCCTCAGTAAGAGGGAAATGGTCGACACCCTTCAGAACCTCAATTCTGCAGCTAGGCGTTGCATCTGCAATTGGCTGCACAAACTTCTCGATGTTGTTGATGTTGTCCTCTGCACCCTGAACCATCTGGCATCAAGGCAGGGACCTTGATCTTAGCATATCCATCAACAATTTCATATTCGAGGAGAGGATTCTTTCGTTCTTCAGTCTGGAAACTTATGCCGAGGTATGTTATCATTAGCCATCTAATTAATAGTCCCGACGAAATGCGTATGACACTTCATCCATGTGTGGGTTTAGGTCAGCGATGTAGTACCTAGTATGATCAAGCTTAAAACATAACCACGATAACAGTCACATCGTCTCTGGTCTGCTTTGAGTCTGGTGACAGTGTGCTCATCACACTGCAAAAGAGGTCTTGTGCTTTCCCACCAAAGGCATTGCGAACCAAATGAGTGGCCACGTTATCCTGTTCAACAACAAAGTCTTTCCGGTCCATAACCCAATTGTATGGGTACGTCTGGCGTTCGGGCTGCTCTTCCGATAACGATGGAACGGTATCTGCAACTTCTGTGCTTTCAGCAGGCAACTGAGTATCCTCAACAGGAGATTCGACGTGCTTTGGGGTTTTCCCAGGATTTTCAACTTGAGTTGACGGGGTTTTATCAACCTCGCTCTGGGCTTCAATCCATAGCCTTGCACAGTAGATCGCATCTTCATTGCTCATATGGTTCCAAAAGCCATCTGTTGCAAGGATGAGAAAGTCGCCTGGCTGTACTTGGATTTTCTCCACATCTGGCGCAGCTGTCATGTATGGTGGGCTTGGGATGTTCGGGTTATAGACTTTACCCCAAAAGCCATATCTCCAGTCCTCAAGCGCCTCACCGGGCCATTTTCGTTGGTGATCCCCAAAGCTGCGAGTCACCTCTGACCCGAGTAGCCGACCTGCAGGCGAGAAAAGGTGGTTTTCGTCCGGATGCTCGGCAGTTATGCGTGCTACCTCATCCGCGTTATGACCTGTGTGGTCAATAGACAGTGGAGTCGCAACCCATTCTCCTCCGTCGTGCTTTCGACGTCCGAGAACCGCGCGCGAGTCACCAGTACCGGCAACACGAAGAGTGGAAGTGCCCGGCTCATATAAAGCCAAAAGCGCACAAGACCCTGCGCTTGCGGGTGAAATTCGACACACTGCCTCTGCGTGGGATATTGGCTCATATATGGCGGCCAAAGCATCAGAGATAATCTCATCATCCAGTTGTGTGAATGCGGACTTGACAGCAACCTCGATTCCCTCGGGTTCCTCGAGCTCTTCGGCAGATAACTGGTCAATCTTTCGACCGACATATTTGTGTAAGAAATCTCGAAGAATGGATGAAGCTGCCCAGCCTCTAAGACGTCGAATTTCAATTCTCGGTATCATCCAAATGAAAGCGTTATGTTGATTTGACTTACGCATGACCATCATAGACACCCCAGTAACGCCAGTCATTCTTTCCAACAGTAATCTCGCCCCATGAAAAGTCGTCCTCCCCGAGTCACACTCCCGACTCTCACGGTATCGGTTCTCGGTTCTTTTGCATTTTCGGCAGACCCGCACTTTGTTGACGTCTGTGACTTTCTCAGTCTCTCAACTGCCTCGCTGACTCCCAGAGGGCGATTTGTTGTGTTCTTCCACTCCATCATAACGCAAAAGGTGGGATATGGAATCGGCTATGGTCCGAATACGCTATTTGGGGTCGGTAGAGAGGAGAACTTGCCAGGGCAGACTGATATGTTCATATTGCGGGTGAGGCGTGACTCATAGACTATAGTGAGCGAGGATTATTCTCTCTTGCGCTGTTGGCATAGGTCGTCCGTGACGGTAAGGGTAGACTAGTTTCGTGTTTTGACCGGGGTTGTTGTGGTGCCAGGTAATCAATCACCTGGGTAGTCTCGACATATGAGGGGTCGTGGCTAGCTGAATGATGGTTGATGCATTTGAAACACTGAAAGCAGCGTCACGAAACCCTACTCCGTACCTCGCATTAATTGCACCCTTGGAAGCAAACAGTTCCTCAAGGTGAATAGGTATTCAAGCTATTCCCACTCCTCTTCTAGGCATAATATACCTCACTCCAGGGCTGTCACTAGTACCTATAAAACTATTCCCAACTTTTTTTCTTTTTGACCCCCCTTTTTAGGTATAATACACCTCGCTATTGCTACCTAAAAAAGGGGGTTAGGAATAGCTTCATGGTTAGCGATAGCGAGGTATATTATGTCTCTCCAGGGCTGGATGAGAATTATAAATCCATATTGCCGTCGTTCAAGTTTGACGCACCGTCTTTGTCATATCCACTACCTATACTCCCCAGTCCCCGGGGCCGTGTCGGCGGGATGAAGGCGCTCTAGGTTTGCCCCGGGGACCTTGGTTGCCTGTTTGGCTCCTTATTGAGCGCTTTCTCTTAGTTGCTGACATTATGTACATCTCGAGCCATCAATTGATGCAGCTTGTGTCTACAAAGATTTGACGAATCCAACAATCAAGCTGTAAAATTCATCAACAGCCTCAGTAAGAGGGAAATGGTTGACACCCTTCAGAACCTGAATCCTGCAGCTAGGCATTGCGTCTGCAATTGGCTGCACAAACTTCTCGATATTGTTGATGTTATCCTCTGCACCTTGAACCATCAAGGCAGGAACCTTGATCTTAGCATATCCATCACCAATTTCATATTCGAGGAGAGCTAGTGCGTTGTTTCGACGAGCGTAGGCTGGCCAGTGAGCAGCCTCAATTGCAAAGCTAGGGTCGAGGCCCATCTTGACATAAAAGGCAACGGCTCGAGATGGAAGCTCGGCATTGGATACAAGCATATCCGCAGTAATCCCTACATCTCTCAAGAACTTTCCGTCGTAGTAAACACCGGAACTGATGATGCCGGAAACAAGGTCAGGGTTCGAGAGAGTGAAGGCCGAGGCAATGTTTCCTCCCATGGAATGTGTCACGAGAATGACCTTGCTGTTCACGTTCGCTGATTTCAGAACGGCGCCGAGATCTTCGGCATGGCGAGGAATGCTATAGGCAGCGGGAGACTCTGGCTTGGATGAGCGCCCGTATCCTCGGTTGTCGAAGGCAATGAGCTGATGGTCGGATTTCAGCTTGCTGATGAGAGGTTCCCAGTTGTTGGTAATGCCAAAATAGCCGGAAACCAACACTAACAAAGGCCCGTTGGTCCCGTGTTGCTCATAGTAGATTTCGTGTCCGTCGTTGGTCTTGGCGAAAGGCATTTTGAGGTAGAACTTCAGATCATATGATTCTTTCTGCGGAGAGGTATGTCCGACAAGAGAGAAGGAATTTCTTAAATATTACGGACTGGATGAGAATTATAAATCCATGCTGTCATTGAAGTTTGACCATCTTTGTCATGTCCACTGGATATACTCCGGGCGGGATGAAGGGTCTGGCGGGATACCGTGCACACCGTCATTGGACGAGGTTAAGCCTAATGTCAGCAGTCGCCTACATAGCCCGGGCCCCAGAGCCCCGGGGGTATCCCGCCCGGCGGGATGAAGGCGCTCTAGGTTTGGGGGACCTTGGTTGCCTGTGTGGCTCCCTCTTGCGCACTTGAGCATTCATGAATAATTACTGCGCGAGCTCTCAGTCAGTAGATATACGTTTTTACCGGCCTTAAGCCCTGATTTACAAAACAAGGATGCGAAAGTTGAATATCCAGGTTGTCTATAGATCGATACAAGTATCAAAGCTAACGGGTATCTTGACCAGAGATCTAAGATCAAGGTGAATGCAAGTTGCCCTCTCCACCATGCAGTCCTATCTGGCCGCCGAGGTATTACTGGGTCTTGGCCTCCTGGTCAAGCTCGACATTTCCGACGTGCTCGTGGGACTCGAGGGTGGTGATACTGTCCGATGGGAAAGCGACGCTGCAAGGTATTAGCCGTGGACAACGGAGTGGGAGCAGCAGACTCACGAGAAGCCCTTGATCAGAGTGTATTCATGTTTGATTTCACCACCCTGGGACTTGGCGTGCTGTTTGACACTAAGGCTGGGTTAACGGAGGCTCCAGGGCGAAGAAGTATTATACCCACGCATCGACCTGCTCGGGGGTGGCGTCTGGCTTAGCGGTAACCTGGGATGGTGAGCAAGATGAAGGGAATCAGCTGGAGCAACGTACAAGGTAAGTAGGCATGGTGAATGTGTAGAAAAGTGAAGATAGAAGTCTTGGGGAAGGGAAGGTGAGATAGATAAGCGTCGAGGGAGATGTTTACATCATAGAGGGGTAGATCTAAGCCCCGATCACGTATCCCGAGGTCTTTGGCGTTTCAAGGCCCTGACCAATCATGCATGCATCGATCTACTCATGTCTGACATAGTACATACGAGGATCACACGATGTAATGGAAATTCATATTAACCCACTGCTCCGTTCCAAACCCATCCCAGCCATACGTTCGCCTATTAATGAAGATGAAACCGCGCGTAGCGTACAAAACAAACCGCAAATCTGTGAGCACCAGGAAGAAATAAAGGCCGAAGGAGAAATAGAAAAGGCGCAAAGGTTGCGCAAAGAAGTCACGAAGCCCACGTCATAGGGGCCAAAGCATACCCCTGACAGATGATGATAGGCCCATGGTAGAGTAACGCAGAATGGGAGAGATCCATAAAAGGCAGAGAACAGGTTGGAAAGGAATCAAATAACATAAAACAGAAATGAGGGTATGTTCAAGTCTTGACCTCCGGAACGCAATAGTCGTAACACATGCAGAAGAGTACCCTATTCGATCTCCAGTGTCTCTAGCTGCTTTGACTCTTCATAGTCATCGAACTCTAGGCCCGCGTCCCGGCAACGGGTCAGCCACTTCAGAGCAATTCCGTTGCGTCGGCCGATCTCGCCCTTCAGTTTTTGACAGGAACCGCCGAGCTCGTTGATGGCGTGGTTCGTTGTGAGACTGTGCTTTTCGAACTGCTCTTCGACGTTCTTCTTGTCTTCCTGGAGCTGAAGGATGTATTCGATGGCGCGTTGGAGTATCGCGCCCTTGTTCTTATCGCAGTTTGGCACGAGACGGGCGATCTGGTTAATTCCCTCGTTGATGGCTTCACGACGTCGACGCTCCACTATTGGACAGGGTCAGTAAGCGTAAGTGGCCTTGGTCTCAAAGGATGCCTACCTTCTTTGTGGTTGTTCTTGCGGATCTGGTGCCACTCAGGGGAGCCAACGGTGGGCTTCTGGTTCATGCTTTGGGCCTCACGCGCGGCATAGACCGCAGCGGCGGTGGAGTTGTGGTTGTGGCCACCACCCATAGGAGTTTGGTTCATCTCATCGCCAAAGGATAGTCCTTGGGTGAGATTGCTGGCGTCGAAGCCGGCATCGGGAGGAGGGGGGTACTTGTGTTGAGGGGTGTGGGCCGCCAGAGCGGCTTTGGCATTGGCGGTTAAAGCATTATCGTCAGACAGGCCGTTCTGAGGACCGACGTGTTGCAGGATCTGTTGATCAATGTTCAATTCGGCTCCGGTGTTAGGAAGTCCGTGATCATAGTTGCCCAGACTGTGGCCGAAGTTGTGTTGGTTGTCTCCCATGCTGCCGTTGCTGCCGTGAGAAGAGCGGTTGAGACGCTGGGGATCTGGCCCTAGATCCTCCGAGGCAGTTCTCTTGCGCTTGTGCGAACCATCATCGGGGCTATTCATTGTGGGATTAGACATGCGCCAAAGGCAATTGTCCTACACGTAGCAATGGTTAGTCAGGGAGGTTGCCAGAGGGCGGGTAAGTGAAACAGGTCTCGGGGAGTATGTGCTCGGAGTGAGAGGGGAATCTCAGAGCAATCTGAGAGGAGTCGGTCCCTGACAGATCAAGCCGTTCTCGGGCAGATCAGTGGACACCCCGCGAAGTAAACAGACGCGTGAATCCGACGCGCCTGCAAGACACTTCGGGACGGCCGGTCGCATGGGATCCGGCCATCACCGATGATGTCTGGAGGGGGAGGGTCTACAGAGGGCAAGCTGTCTGCGATGGCAGATGGCGTGGAGGCCCATCGCATCCGCGGAGGTGAGTACATCATTCACGCGTCACGATGGGCTGCAGCGGCCACCCAGGGGCAGCGTTGCGAAGGTCACCACTCGCGATGAGCATCTCGACGCGACGTGCAAGGGCATGGGGCTGGATATAGATGGAGATAGGATTTGGATGGAGCCGTACCTTGGGATGATCTCTCTATCACCTGACAGGAAGTCACCTGCCTGCCGACAACAAGACGCAGGTCACGTTGTCTGCGAAACCCGAATCTTGAAATTGATAACACCGAAATGGGAATGTTGGCAAAATTGACGGGGTGGATGGCGAGACGGGTCAACGATCGGAAAATCTACCGTACAGTAAATTTACCAAAACGTGTATCCTTGGAAGATGTAAAGGCGCGAGTAAGTCGAGATGGACTGCTCACGTGGCGAGGAGAAGAGGAGTTGCGGGTCCGGGTGCCCGCAGTGACCAGAAGCGCAGGTCACCTGACACGTCTTAGGTCAGCAATTCTAGATCTTAAAACTGTCAACAGGACGGAAGAAAGCAGGAACGAAGTGAAGATAACCCAGTGAAATGCCCGTGAAATGGCCCTGGACGATGATCCTCTCCATCTCTTCTTGCGAGTCATGTGCAGCCATCCCGTGCCCCCTCCGCTGCACCCCCCGATCTCGGCCTTCTGATTGGCTGTTGGCCTCCGGGGAGGGGTGATCCCGGATCACGTGCCAGGCCAGGAAATCGGCCAATCACGGGTCTTTCTCGCCCACTACAGAGGGGGGATCGGACCGTCGGGGATTGCAACGAGCTTCACTAAAGGCCCTGAGCATGCAGAAAGCTGCCCTAACTGGATAACACTGCCCAATTTTGCGGTTGATCCGGACGACCCCCGTCCTAGTCTCCTGCACGTAATCGAGCTAGCCGCACTAGTGTCTCAATGGATGTATGGGATTACCCTGGATGTGGGAGTACAGCATCCCTCCCGGCGCAGCGGTAGGGGAAACAAAGTCGCGCATCACTACATGATACATGGAGTACAGAGGAGGTTGTGCTGGTCGGGAGTATGATCTAACGGTCTCTTCGACATCCAGCTTGGGTCCTGTCTACCTCCCATCCACGAGCGGGGGGAGACAATCACATGTTTCAGACTAATCGTCTGAGATTAGGATTTCCCAGTGTCTCTTCTCCCACTGGGGTTGCATCGGGGCATCTCTTTTGTCTGAGTGCTCTGCATGGGAAGAAGGGGATCATGAGACCTCAACTGCTCCATGCCAACATGAGGGTATGATATGAGCTTTTTATCTGAAGAGTGTGTCGATCTGGAGGATCTTCGTCTATATGTCATCAAGGGCGAGCCCTCCATCACATGGATTTGCTGCACATGATACCTTTGTGGCGACCAGTGGGGTTTGACTTGGACAGACTTGCAGAGGAGATCGCCATAATGTCGGACGATATACTCCGTACACTTATCCACCCTACATTCCTAAGCTCACCGCTCCCCAGCCTGGTTTGATCGAGCTTGTGACCGGTTTTAGATCTTGTGTATATTCGGAGTTTATATGAAATTCTTCTGGTGGCTAGTGAAAGATTGCTACCGAACAGAATCCCGGAAGGAGGCGCTGAAGACGGTGATGCCGACCATCTGCAACTCTGTTTGCTGAAATATGCTTCAAGGTTTAGCACCTAGTATTCAATTACTTGCCAGCCGATTTTGGATTGTAAGACAGATGACCCAGATGCTAAAAATGAGACTATGTTGCACCTTCAGAAGGTTTTGTGACTGGCCGACCGATGTACGGAGTACTCAGGATTTAACACTTCCCTATGAATATTACGCCTGATTCTCTATAGCCAGCAAGCTTTTTGACATAAAAGTCTCAGATGTTTCAAGGTTACACTTCCGAGAACATGACCATAAATTTCATGGAACAATTCTCCAATGTATGTCAGGTCCACCCGCATGCAGGAAATCCACACCCAGCAATAGCAGAAAGACGAGGCAATACGAGTAGTGATTTGGTATTATCTGCCGAGTTTCAAGCTGTCGGGTATTCAAGTTGCCGGTTGCTTTTCTAATTGGTCTGGGTAGCCTGCAGTGCAGGCAACCGCTCGAGGCTGACGCCTCTCTCGTCGGCGGCGACGTGCCTAGTCATCTTCCAAGTTGTGGCGGCTAGACAGGTCGGTAATACTTGCCAATCATACGCTGGGCTCTCATTCTGCTAGAACTATGTGAAAAGACTGGTTCGTGTTGTTTCATGCTGGCTAAACGGAGTACCTTGTTACAAGTGGGAAGTTCCACGGCTAGATGGTGGACATGAAAGGCACTTTAGTCTGATTCCAAGGCTTGGTAAATCATATCGTTTGGAGGGGTTTTGGCTACGAAACAAAGAAAATATCAAGGCAGATACAAACCCAAAATTGGTCTGACTGTGATCTCGCCCTATTTGTCGCCCCCACTCGCGTCAACTGTACTTCCTCTACCCGTGGACATCCATATCTAAAAACGAGTGTGCTGCTCAGGTACTTCAGTCTACTTCTCAAGGAGACACCAGAGTGACACAGCCTGGGATACAAGCGTGTAGCCCCTGACATTGGCACCTGGGCTCGTACCTTGACGCCTCGCTTCTTTGCTCCCTGGCCAGAACCATCATCGTTATCTCGGGTTCTCAAGTGACCTCTCTTCCCAAAGCTGCTCAGGTGAGCAGCCTCTCGGCCCTCCATCTTATTTGCACTCTCCTTGACTGGCATACTACCTCACTGAAAACAAGAACTCACTGTTAATGGGACTTATCCAACCAAGAGACAAGACCTCGGGAGACAATACTTGTCATTTAATACCCGCGTGCTGTCCAACTGTACCTATTCGGGTAGGTAACTCTTAGCCCTCTATACCCATGAATTTTCACGCTCGATGCTTAAGAGGCCCAAGCACATAGGTATCTATACCTAGGTAGGTAGTCACCCGGGAAACCCCCACACACCTGCTTCAAAGGTGTTATGCATGGACATCCCCCAAGTCAAAGGTGGCTTCCAAACCTTGGAAGTTTCCAGAGTCCAAGGTCACAAGATGTGTTAGTACGCCGGCTACTCGATATACTCCGGTGATTTTGCACCTGAGGGGACCACATTGAATATGATTTAGCAAGATTGCATTGATAATTTTGGAGCTATATGTCAACAGTTCAAATTCACAGCTGATAATATTATGTAGACTCATTCGACGCATGTACACAATGTAAGCCCGTGGCCAGGGCATCACTTGACCTTTTCAACCATCTTCGACAAATTCAACGGGACAATTCCCCGATCAGCAAAGGCCGTCGTGATGAGCTCGGGAGTCAAATGCTTCGTACGGGCTTCCGGGTAGCCCTGCACGAATATTGTCTTCTCAGAGTCGGGTGTCATTCTTTTGTCGTGATAGAAACCCCTAACTCGTTTGTGCCACCAATCCTTGAACTCCTCGAATGACTCCTTAGTGAAAGGCTGCATGAGATTACCCATCTTCGGGGGGAAGCAGAACGGAATGATGGAGTTCTCATCACAGAATTGGATGAAGTTGAGGGTCAAGAAATTCGGCTCGCCTCTGAAAAGGAGGAGACGAGATTGGCCCTCCTCGACGCGGTCTTTGGTTTGTTCATTAAAGGCTCGTAGCCAGTCCATCGCAGCGTTCGGGGTGGGTCGGCCGGTTGGAGTCAGATTCAAGACGGCTTCGTCGGAGTATCCAGGCTGTTGGAACCATTCGTCAAGGTGACACGCGCCCTGGATGATGAGGTATGGTTCTGCTTTCCAGCCGTCGGCGGCAACACATTCGATGGCGGTGACCCATTCGCAGTAGCGTCTGGGGAGTGTCGAGAAATCAATCATGGGTGGCGCACTGTCCGTGAACATCCAAACGGTTCTGTTGCCGTCTCCAATCGTCCAGTTGGATTCGTCAAAGTTGTAGATGTTGGCAGGGGCGATTCCCGCCGATTTAGTCTGCAAACGCTCGTACCACGCATTGATTGTGGGGATGTCGGACATCTCAAGACGCGTCTTTTGCCTTCCCCGGACTTTGGATGGTGCTAGAGTACTTGGAAGGCGCTTGATAAATTTGTTGATCCAGGCCTTGCTGATGGATGCCTCAGATCCGCTGGCGACGAGGATCTGGTTTGCGCTCGTCGTGATTTGAGTAATGTTCGGGATGGCAGACAGCTCCTTTACTCGGCGGACCCATTTGACTAGCTGTTTGTCTTGCTTGTCATCAAGGTTCGCAGTGGTATTTCCCTTGGCGCGTGTTGGAGGGCTTTCGCCGTTCTGCGCTTGCTGTTCCTCCATCGCCTTTTCCAAAGCAAGCACATTTGGCCTCTTGCATGATTAGGAGCGGGCATTCTTGGAAATGCCTGCCTCTGTTGACATTCGTTTAGGCATGGTGTCAAATCGCGAACTGTCGCGTCGCGTGTCTTTAATGCTCAGTTATGACGTAGTGGCGACGGGCACTGGGTGTTGATATCTTGACCAACTGATTTCCGAGGTTTGTAGCTGAAGGAAAATCCAAAGATGAATTCGAAGTGAAGGGAGGTGAAATCGAGGCTATACAAACAGAGTGCGATATGCGACGCGACGTCAGTACCCACTTTTCCTTGCGCGCGACGTTCGTGTTTTCCTTGAACTCCACCGTTTATGACAACATCATTCCAATGTTGATCTCTCGTACTCCGTAGATCGCCTATGATTTACGAACTACTAGTAAGCTCCACTTTGGATACCGCAAGGCCAAATGAAGAAGAAAAAGTATTCGCTGTATGAACAACAAGTTTCAAGAACTCCACAATATGCATACATGAATAGCCTAGGTAAATCCGAGGCTACGATCTCAGCAAACGTGAGATCAATCAGGGCCGGCAGCCTTTTTCTAGCTACTCTCAGAGGGCCCATCCTTCTCACCATCCTTTCGTTCATTGCCCTCCTGAGAGGTCTTCTGCTGACGGGAACTCATACTCGTTTCCGCTCTCCGTCCGCGCTGGAAGTCCAATGGCACATGGGCCAAGCCATGGGCGCCGGTGTATCGAATGCGTCGCTCAGTACGTGACATTGGTCGTAGAGGGGTATCGGGTGCGTACGAAACCTGGGGTCGGCCACTGGAGGAGTGGGTCAAGATTAGCTTCGGTGGTAAGGGCCTAGAAGGGAGTTGGGCGGGAATTCGGGATCGATACTTTTCCAGAATGCGGGCCGCGGGGTTCCAGTTGGGATCATCCCAGGGCTTGCGGACGGGACCAGTCCAGCCGTCGAAAATTCCAGGGCCGTCTTTGAGTTGTTGAGCTAGGATTCGGGCGCGGGAAAGGGCGATTTCATCTTGGTCGACTTCGCGAGCACGACGCAGTCTCTCCTGCTCGACGTACTCCAGTTGCTCCTTGGTCATGGGCTTGGGCTCGCAGAGGGTTTTGACCTCGGCTAATTTCTGTTCGAGCTTCTCCAGAATTGGCAACTTTGGGACTTGACGGTTCTCGGCGTCGTACACAGAGAACTTGAATGGAGTGTGTTCATCGGAGACAGAGAATTTGGCTAGCTTAGAGCTCGAGCCTTGCTCCTCGTTCGGGTTTTTGCTTTCTTCATCCATTTGTCGCTTCTTCTGGGGAGTGTCGGAGCTCTTGCGCACGGAAGACACTCGGGGCTTCTTTGAAGAGGATGGCTGGTTCTCACGAGTTTCTTCGAAATGAACGGAGCGTCGCAACGATTGATCAGATGGGGCAGCAGCGCTACTTCCCTTTATCGACGACCGCATCTGGTGCTGAGAGGTATCAGCACTGGTGGAGTCATGTTGACGCTTCAGTGAGTTTTGCTGGTCAGATCCCACAGCAGGGGTCATATCCTGAAACAGAGGCGATTGATTGACAGGCGGTTGGAAGGGTGAGTAGGTAGACGATTTGGCGTCGAAGATCTTTGGCTGTCGAAGGGCTTCGAAGAGAGTCCGAGGCGGCGAGTAAGCTGGAGGGCGAGTGCCTGAAACAGACCGACTGGCTGGAGGAACCGTAGCTGGCTCAGGCGCTGACACAGAAGCCGACTCTTCGGGTTGCAGGGGTCTTGGAGCTGGGACCTGTGCTGGCGCAGAACTCCTGAAAGAGGAGGTTTCACCCTGAGCTGGTTTGAACGATGGCTGAGAAAAGCTAACAGGCTGCTTCTCAGATGCCGTGACAGCGGGATCTGAGCTTTGGGGTTCCTCGCTGGGCTCTTCGGCTTTGGGCTTCGCAAAGAGAGAATCCTTTGCCGCGAATGGAGTATTGGTCGATGGAAACGTGAATGGCTCAGCCTTCTTCTGTACATTTTCCGTTGGTGGGGGCGCGAAGACAAAAGGCTGCTTCGCGGGTGCCGGTTCGGTGGGGGCAGAGGTCTCGGGTTCTTTGCTCGGTTCCGGTGCGTTTGGGAGAGCAAATATTGAATCTTTCGCTGGAGTTTGGTTCTGAGCGGGCGCAAATGAAAACGGCTCTGCCTTCTTCTCTTCTAGTTTGATTGCACTTGGCTCTTCGGTGGCCTCGGGGGCTTTAGTGAAAGAGAACAGGGACGAAGCCCCTGGAGGAGCAGCGAAAGGCGTAGGATTTGCAGGAGTTACAGCGGGGAATGACTGCTGCGAAAAGCCAAACGGATTCTTGGACGTCGTTGACGAGTCTTTGGAGGCACTATCAGACTTGAATAAGGCGGATGGTGCGGAAGCGGTCACTTCAGCTGACTCGGTCGACTGATTCGATTCAGATGCCTTTGATAAGGTAGGGAAAGCAGAAGATGTAGTCGAGCTGCCCGAAGCAAAGGAAGAAAGTCCCTCAAAGGGATTTTTAGCTTCCGAAGGAGCTGGCGGTGCGCTGAAAGGCTTGAAAAGTGTGGACGCCGCGGGATTGAGCGGTGGACTGTTTGATGCAAAGGGCGAGGAGACTGCCGGAGTTGCCTCTGTGGAAGCATCTGTCTTCCGGGTTGCTTCTAACGGATTGGCGAATGAGAACGGGGAAGAAGGTTGACAGAAAAAGTTGGTACTAGAGGTTGTGGCTGGTTTTGGAAAAATGGACGGGGCGTTGGAGCTGGTGGATGAAAAGAGGGTAGACGACGTAGCTGTAGCCGGTTGGGGCGTCTCCGTTTGAGGAAGTGTAGGTGGTTGGGGCGCGAAGATGTTTGAGGTGGTTGATGATGCCTTATTAGCAAAAGGATTTGAGAAGCCGAAGAAAGCCTTTTCCTTTGGGGGGGCAGGTTGAGATGGGATTTGGTTGAATGGCGAGCTCACCACGCCCTCGGTGACAGGAGCGGTCGCGGTCTTGTTAGCCTCTGCTGGCTTTGTGAATGGGTTTCCCAACGACTGGGCCGCAGCAGGATCGGGTTGTTGAGCGAACGGGTTGCTGGTTTTGAATTCGGCAGACGGGGCAGAAAATATGCTTCCAGTTTGGGAACCGCCCCCGAGTCCCTGAAAGGGAGAAGCGAAGCTTGTCGATATAGACTGGTCAGGCTTTTGAGATGCATTTTCGGCGAGTTCGATTGGTGATTCATCAACCATAGAATCTGAACTCTGATAGTCATCCGCTGAACCATTCTGGGACGGACCCATTCTTCGTGCCGGGACCTTGGTGCGGTCGATCATGCCCATAGAGGCGGCTTGGTTGATGGACATTCCAAGTATGATGGCCACAAGATTGCGTCCTGCGCGCTTCGATTCGACGTAGGTTTCAGAGAAAGAGTGATCGGTCGAGGGAGAGAATTCTGGTAAAAAGTTAGCAGACTGGGGCAGGATGATGCGAAAGCGCATGGGATGGTCAAGACGACGGTTGCGTGAGGTAGAACAAATAAGACTTAGGACTAATTGAGAATGCAAAGTCTGCAAAACAATCACTTACCCACAGAGTCAACGTGGCGATCACCCCAGTCGAGGTAAATGCTACCTTGATCATTCTCTGCAAACTGCAGGTCTTGAGAATTGCAGAATTCGATGGTCTGCTGATCATCATCGAAAAGCAAAACGCTGGTCAATTCCCCAACGGTCCATTGGTCGTTCTTGGATTGCTGGGACTGGGGCGTCCGGCAGTAGGCTTTCCAAATTGAACGGATGGCTGTCTGGCGAATGTGGTTGAAGTAGACCTCAGCGACACAAGCCATGAGATAAGACACGCTTTTGGAATTGATGATGTTGAAGAACCGAGTGTAGAACCCTTGGGCGACAGCATTAGGCCGGCGAGCATCCAGCGCGCCTTGAGACTCCCAAGTGTTACCAGCGGCAGCGAAAAGCTCCAAAGCCACCTGCACCCGGGGAGAGGCGAGAAGGTCAGGAGGCCACTTCTGGACACGAGCTTCGAGATCAGGTCGTTGATCATGAATAGAGAACAAGATGTAGTAGGCACGGAACTCGGCCTCGTTGGCGAACTGAATGCGGCCTCGATTGTCGTCATAGTAGTACATGAGAGACAACATGGTATTGTTGAGCTGCTCTCGCTCTTGGTGACGGTCAAACGGCTCGGAATTTTCAGGACTCGAAAGCAGATGCAACGAAACGATGTGGAATCGCGCAATTCGTTCGAGGCAAGTCACTGCAACCTTCACATCTGCCTCCTGCGTAAGTTGCTGCACCGAGAAATCATTCCGAATGGAGCGCGTCCGGTCCCAAACAAACTTGTGGACAATGGCCAAAGGTTCCTTTCCGTCGAGGACGTAACGCATGAGGTAGTTCATGGTCTGCAGAAGCGTGTCTGGGGTCCGGATGTCAGAAGGCAATTGCTCGTCATATCCAGCTGCAGAGCGTCGGAAGCGTTTCAACATCTTAGTTTCCATGTTTTGGAGTTGGTTGGTTGATGGATGCAGGTACTGGAGATCGTATGTTAGTCTGATGCAGACGTAATAATCAAGGCTATATTTACCTTTTCGCACTTGTCGACCATCTTTTGTACAATACGCTCCACGCTCTCAAACTCGGGGCACATACTGGTGCATGTGCCCACAGGTGTAATGGCCTGGTTCAAAGAGGTCGGCTGGTTTGGGTCCGCCATCTGACCGTCTTTGATCGCTTGCTGGCGTTGAGCTGCACGATCAATTTTAAGCTGAGGAAAGATTAGAATGCTCTTCGTACAAAGCGATGTGGACCGTATTCACGATTGGGTTGACTGACTTGATCATAACGTTCTTGGTAGCTGTTCAAAGTAGAGGCATCCTCCACGGGCACAGGGCCTTGAGGTACCATGGTAACAGGACTTTGATGGGCCATGTTTTTGGCAGGTTGATTGAAAGGGTTGGCGGGTGTAGGTTTGGTGAAGGGTTTGGCAAAGGTTGAAGTTGGAGCCCCGTTTGGTGGTTTGGAGAAAGGAGACGGGGTAGGCTGCGCTCCAAAAGGCGAAGCGACTGGTTTCTGACTTTGCGCAAACGGCGATTGTTCCCCATTCGCTTTTATTCCTTCCGCGTTTTGATGCGCTCCGTGTTGAGTGCCATGTGCAGCCCCACGCCCCCGTCCCCGAGCAGTCCATGTCGCCGACCCTCTTCCACGGCCACGAGCCCGCCCCGCCCGCGGCGCACTCGATCCCCTTGGCGCAAACGTTGATGAATATCCCGCCGTTGTTCCTCTTCCACGCCCTGTTGAACCTTGCGCGCCTTGCGCCCCTCCGCGTTGGCCGCGGGCCGCAGCAAAAGGATTAAACGGGCTTGCCATGCTGTACGCTAAAAGCGTCAGGACTGGAATAGGCCACTGCCTCTAGCAGCAACTTATCGCAATCCAAACTCTAGCCAGTGTTGTTTCCTGCTCGATGCGATTGGATATGGATGATCTCAAAGAATGATCGTCGGGACCGGGTTATGCTGAGGACTTGAATGCTGAAAGTACTGTTTTCTGGAGTCGATACGCCGAGGCGACAACACAAAGGTCAGCCCATGTCATTATATCAAAGTCGTCGTGGGCCTTTTGGACACAAGCGCGCTGGTCCAATAGCCCGTGAAAGAAATGTCACAAAGAACGCGCGGCGAACAAAGCGAGCGACTCGAGCGGAGCTGGTATTAGGATTGCCTACCTGTCATTGAGCGGACTATTCGTTTGGCTGCGACGAGAGACCTGCTTTGCAGACCCGCTGGCGATAACTCCCTCGGTCAATGAGTGTCGTGTTGGCGAGTCGTGTTGGGGTTCGCCAAGGTTGACGCCGGATCGTGGGTAAACCGATTGAAAGCCGTGTATCAGCGGCTCGAAACCACCTGCGTGAGCATCGAACAGGAATAGATGCACACGCCGCTAAGCGATTGAAGAGAATGATGATGTTCCGCAGTCACAAAGCTCCAAGCTGAAGGTGCCGGGCTCCGCTTCCGCTGACCAAGCGCGCGGGTCCGAGTCTTGGCGTCTCATTGGCCGTTGGGCTCAACGGAGCATGGAGTACAAAGCTCTCTACTTGAACACTGTCTATCGCTGACCGGGGAGCCGTCGGTCCTCAGCTATACCAGCTCAGACAATGCTGGCTACTGGAGACACTCTAGGTAGCTTGAATTGCGTTCAACACCCTGGAAACGACATCCCCTAGGAACCTTAGTGTCTTTTACTTACTACATCAGGTCCTGAGACAGAACACTGGCAGCACCAGAGTGCAAAAATGGGTGAAATGATGAATACTCTCGCCCACCAAGCTGCATCAACGGAGCACAGGGCCTATGGAGATGTTGCTTATAGACAAAGTTCATCGATAATCCATCGATGTCAACAGTAAGACTGGAGTCGGATGTAAATCAAGTCATATTATGAACGGCGTATAATTTTTTTGAAGTATCTACCAATGCTCGTTTATCAACAGCCCCGCGGGGTCCAAATGGGAAACCTATATGCACAGCGAACAAAAACAAGATTCAAAGCAAAGAGAAGGATATACCAAAGAAAGGCCCGCGCCATGAAAGAAGAAGAATAAAAAAAATGTTGCGGGCAAAGAAGACAATGCACAAGAAGCAAATCCAAAATACCGGAAAAGACAAAGAGATGAAACACCCAGAATATATCCAAAAGAGAAGAGGAAATAAAAGATCAGAACAGAACCCATCTGTACCCGCACCAGGGCAAAACCCTCAGACACCATCATTTTGCAACCCCCAAGAAACCGAAGAGAGTAACTCCATTGACGAAGCCGTGCAACAAGCGCTTGGTTTGTTCCAGAGCCATCAGTCATGCATGTTCGTTAATACAACCATCACTGCCACATCATTCATCCACATGCTAATCGGGAACCAGCCCGGCCATTGGCAATCTAAGCGTGGTGAGATAGAGGCATGCCATGAGGGTGAGGTTGGCTGAGAGATCCCGTGCGGTATGGTAGGGATCGGTCAATGGGGGCGTGCATGTCGTGCAGGCCAGGAGCCATGGGCATAGGGTAGCCCATTGTGGGCTGTGACATGGCTTGGCTGGTGGCAGGTGCGTAGTCAACAGAGCCGAAGATGTTTGAGCGGAAGGATGGGTTGGTCCAGGGGTCGTAGTGGCCCGCCCCGCGTTGGTCAGAAGAGGATGAGGTGAAGGAGTTTTGAGAGGAGTAGTCAAAGACAGAGACATCGTGGGGGCTGATCATCTCTGCTGTGACAGGAGTACTCAGCATAGGCTGGGAGAAGGAGTCGGTGTATTGAGGGGGGGTGGCATAGTAGGGGCAGTCCTGGCGCGATGTGGTTTCAAATTTAAGAGGCTCAGGCATAGGGTAGCCACCTGAGAGTGAGCGTGCTGAGGGGATGGTCTCAACTGGTGTGGTGAGAGAAGCAGCAACATGTTGCTCGACAGAGGACATGGGGGTCATCAGTCCTTGGCTGGTGTGGTCGGGCTCCTCGATGTGAATTGAGGGCGCGTCAACAGAGTCATCCTCCTCGTCACCCTTGGGGCTAGGCCCGCGGTTCATTGTGTAAACAACCATGTTTGAATCGACTTCGCCGCGCTCGAAGCGCTCTTCCATCTTGCGAACTCGGAGGATCTCGTAGATGATCTCGACGTGAGATGGGTGCTTCAAGCTACGCTTGGTGTCGCCAGCGACTTCCTTAAGCTTATCGGCAGTAACTTGAATATAGCCCAACTTGCGAATGATGTGGATCAAAAGCTCAATGCGGACTGTGATGAGGTATTAGCGACCAGAGCGGCAGGCATGATTGGTGTATAACTTACACTCTTTGCGCAGGTGGTCAGGCTCCTTGTGCATGACACCTGGGGGCCACCACTCAGGCTTGGTCTTTTCTGGGTCACCAGTGGTACCGGGAGCAGATCCTGGAGGGGGCTTGCCGCCGTTGTAAGGGTGTCGAACCTGCTTCCGAGGCTCAATGAATTTAATAAAGGCTTTCGCAACCATGCGACAGTTAAGCTGCTGGAAGTGCTTGAGGGCACTCTCATAGTAGTGCTGCACTCTGGCTGAATCGCCGATGCGGAGAGGAACCATTTCATCGGATGCAGTAGAAAAATCCTCGCTGTCAGAAGCTTGCTCGGCCAAGCGGTCGTCTGAGCTAGCAAAAGCAGGCGCAGCGCCCTTGCGGCGTCTTACCCGGCGGGGGGAAGTGTCGATTGTATCTATTTTACAAGGTCAGTGAAATTCCGGGGACCTAGAAGGATTGACGTACGACGAGCAGGGTGATAGCCGATGCGCTCGCCCAAGACTTCGAGGAAGCTTTGGCGAACCTCCGGGGTGAAGATGGTTGTGTTCTGCTCCTGAATAGAGGCTGACTCGTCAACCTTGACCTTGCCATCATGGTCCACGTAGATCATGGAGTAGTGAGCATAAGGCGGACGGAAGGATGAGCGAGAGTGGGTCATCATTGGCTACCCGTTGTCAGTATAAGAGTCTTGGAGATCTTCGTGGGGAGACATACAGGAGCAACGTCCCATCCTGGAGGTCCCTCCAGAGCCGAAGCAGACCTCTTCATGGCTCCAGATGTGGGGTATGGTTTGCTGTAAACCATTGTGGCGGTATATCTGACTGCTCGACCGCGCTGAGGTACGAGGAAGTCGACGTGATCGTCTCGGGTTATACTCTCAGGCACAATTACTCATGAATTTGCCAGTTGAGAGAGGACTTGCGATCCGACAATGCAGTTGAGAAACACTTTTCTCTTATAGACAGTGTGACTCGAGTGGCGGGGTTGCAATTCAGTCGATTGGATACTAGTTCTGCTCACTTGCAGTCAGCAAACTGTTCGCTAGTTCCCATACCCGTTGGCGGACATGTTCCGCCTGTCCACCTCGATGCTCTTAGGCCAATGGCGGATATGCCCTCCCCGCTCCGGTGCGGGAACCGGTAGGACAAACGCCAGCGGGCAACGAGTTCCAAGCTCTTTTCAACAAAGCCGTGATAGGCGCCGGGATGGACTCACTCCAAGTATCACAATGTACAGGTGTCTGAATGATGGATGTCTCGGATAGCTGCAGTCAAGTACTGTATGAAGTACTGTTGGTAACCGGGATGCAGGAACGAGAGGAAGCCTCCACTTAAGTGAATGCGAGCCGGGTTGGGGCAGTTGGGAATAAAATATCTCGAAGATGGATCAAGTTGGATCTTTAAATAAAAAGAGCAGTGGATATAGTTTTCGATGTTCGAATTCCAGGCAAAGGATAAAAAAATAAATCCTTGGGGAGGGATATGCAAGCCTTTTCAGTTCCAGACCCTAATGCGTACGGCGACAAAAGGACGATGGAATAGCAGCGATTGAGCATGGATGATCCTAGAACCCTGATCACTCTCTGATCGAGTGCATGCAGCGAGATTGGCGCACTTGGATAGGACATGCAGTAGTTTAGTCCGATCCAACATCCCTGTTCTACTATTTGCAGATCGCATGTACTAAGTGTCATTATTATTATTCCGCTTTTTGTAAAAATAATTATTAAAACCCAGAGCATTTTTCTCAGCCTTTTCTTTTTCTTTTTCCCTTTTCAATATTCCATTAAATCATTTTTTTATTAACCCTATTCCCGTTCAGAGTGGCGTTGGTTATCGATCGTCCCCCCACACTCGGTCAGATCCCTCAGTCAAAGGTCCCAGTCCAGAGACCCAAAGACCCAAAAGGTACTATTGACATACGAGGCAACCTTCTTCCCGATCCAGCGCCTGTCAGGTTAAATCGTAAATCTCAAAAGAACCACGAAATCAATATAAGCGTCAGCATGGGAGCACTCGCGCCTGTCACCTAAAACAAGTTGGAATGTGCACAGGCCTATTTGACGCCGTGTGGGTGCTATTCTTAATGCACATACATGCTACATAATACATAGTGCGCAGATCTTTCTCGGAACTTCCGTTGTTACCTTGAGGTTGGGCTCTGGGGGGGAAATTAGTATGCCTAAACTACCATGTAGCTCTAGGATCGTGTATATTATGATCCATTCCAACTATATTGGCCCCAAGCCTTAGGTCGGAGTAAAAATAAGAATCTAATATCCTCTGTAACATTGGTTTTTCTTTTTTTTTCCCTGGCCCTTTTTCCACTTTTGTGTTCGATCGGATCTCAACAAACAGTGCCCCGAACTAGCGCTAAACCCTCGACCAACCAGCGGATAAATCAGCCTTTCCCCATTCCATCGTGAACCTATCAGGACAAGACCGGGCCAGGGCCCAACATCCTGGATCCTGGATGATAACTCGCCGATGGAATATCACCGTTTCTTTTTTATTCCGTCGATCTCCCAACTGACAGGAACTCCGGGGTGGCAAGTTTAAACAGCCCGTTTATACTCACATCTGTGCCTGGCTTCAGAGTCCTTCAGCTGAGGTAGAGGCGAAACCCCTGAGATCAGACCTCAAATCTCAAATAAGTCAAATTGGGAGAAACATCAAAAGTACGGCTAGTCCGACAGTGCAACTCTAGTCTACCTATTTGGGGCGACATGCTGCGAGTCAAAGAAAAGACAGAAGAGCGCTCTAAGACGGATCGAGATATTAGTCAGGTTGACGTTTGATGCTCCAGCGTGATCTACTTGACCGGGAGGGGGGGAAAACCGGTCGCAAAATGGTTCGAGTAAATATCCCACGGTGGGTTAGTGGTGGTACTTTTGACGTCCGAGATCTATTGTGACAGCCCAATGATCGCCCAGAAGCGACCAATTACCCCTGGGTCTGTGCTAGAGTCCAGGGGGAAGGGACAGCCTACGGGATATCCAAGCTACTGTCAACGCGTACATCTCCCGTACTAACACTGGTGGATTACGATGACATTTCTTGGGCGAGTGTCAGAGGCGCAGACCGAATCCCGGAACAAAGAAGACGTTAAGACGTCAAGACGCTTAAACGGCAGATGACAGCGCAAAACAGCGAAGGCATTCTGACGGCCGTTACGGATTACGGAGGAGTTTGACCAATGCTCGTCTGTTGTTCACTATCATGAAGGAAAGGGGACACCCTTTAGTCCCACTATTTCTAGACGCTATATCGGGGAAGATGCAAGTCGCAGAGTTTTTGATGCACAACCACCCCCGATCAGATTGTAAATCGTACAATGCGCTTGAACTCCAGGATCCATTCTGATCAGTCTCATCGGTCTTCGGGCGAAGCGTGCCTACTACTGTAACCTTCTAACATTCTAGCACCCGCCATGCCGCCGGCACTAACGATATCGGACGCCTATTTCATTCATTGACTGCAACTAATGACGCGAAGGCAGCAATATCCACGGATTACTCCGTACCTCGTACCTACTCGTAGCCCCGTCAAGTTAAAATTTAGCTCAACGCCGAACCATAGACGAAACAAAGTAATGACATGGGACTAAACGATCTACAGCCAACTAAAATATTTGTCATTCTTTTAGGGCCTCGCAAAATTCGGACTACTCTACTTGAGCATCTAGTTGGCCAGAGGGCGTCACACTAAAGGGCACCAACGGCTTCCGCTATTTTGACATCTCCACCTGGACTGACGCGACGTTGACGTCTGACGTTTCGTGCGTTTTCAGTTTCTTTGTTTGCGCGCTCCTTCAATTCCCCCCAATCCACCCGGGGTTGTTTGCTTTGACATTTTAGCCGCTGGCCTCTCTTAGCGTCTAAAGCATTCGATCAAACTTGATGTTGGGATCGGGTGGTAAGATGCAGAATCAAAAGTCCCAGTTACATTTGGAATTACGCATTACGGGCACTCCGATCAATTCAATGAAATTTGGTGTCGGGGCCTAGACTGGGAATTGCCCCCACTCCTCCCCCCTTTCGCTGTTGGATTGAAATGACCGAATCAGCCAGGGTCTAAGATAGAAACACCTGACAGCTATAAATGAGAGCTTCTGATTGGACCAGGAGACGATCATCCGCCACAACGTGGCTCAGCTATTTTCGGCACCGCCGCAACACAGCTATATGTACTCCGTATGTATGCGTGCTGTGAACGCAACATGAACGCTTTATTAATACCTCGGGGAACGGAAGGATGTTCCCTGCTCTTGCATCTCGAATTCTTAAACGTGTGAGACAAAGGGCCGGTTTGACCGCTTGGCACTCACACGCTAGTTTCAAGCAAACACATCATGACCTAGGGTCAGCAACGATTAATTTAAATCATCGTAACCCAGATCGATTACATCGAGCAAAAGAACCTAGCTCGGAGATGCTCGGTAGTGCAATAACCCTGAAACCTCTAGAACCTCAAAATGAGGCGTGGATTCGGCGGATATGTGACAGCGGGTGCACTGACAAGGGGGGGGAACGAATATGGGGGCGGGGGGGCTGAAGAAAACCGCACGACTGACTCGATTGGGGTTGGGGTTCGGTGATCTACACTTTCAAACAGAACTTCATGTATGTCTGTGCCCGCGCAAGTACTTCTGGAATGCGCGAGAAAATGTTTCCAAGTACGGAATAGGGAGTACAGCTGTTCTTTTGGGTTGGTTCACCGCTACGGGGAGAAACAAGTAAGAGCAAACGGTACCCACAGGGGGTGGTCGTACTTCCAGAATTTACTTCAGGGCTATACTTCGCGTCTATCTTTCGCGGCGAAAGTCGATGGTCCAACAGTCGCCTTGGGGGCTCGTATCGATCGAGATAAGTGACTTCAGAAGCATGTGGAAAGGGGTAATACGTAGGATCCCACGGCGTACAAAAGTCTGTGTCTGTTCACGCAGTACCGAGAGCACGCTTCTAGATATCGCACAAAGGTACGGAAGGCAACCTCTAGATCGTCGAAAGCAGGAAGCTATTCCACGTCCAGTAAAAGACTTTCGCGGAAGTCTCTTCGTATCGAAATCAAATGCTAGGACCTATGAAGGGTATGACCTCTCGTACGGAGCACTCTATGCGAATCGTCGGGACACACAAGAAGGCATGTAGACTCTAGTGCATGTTGTTGTGCAGAACCGAAGCGCCGCAACCACGATCGATCAATGATGCGCATCGATCGAGCACGATCGGACCGAGAAAACAAGGCATTGCGTCATGCAGCATCCGCCGCTGCGTCGGGGCGTTTGGACCGAAGCCGGGACCCGTCTCGGAGCGAAAGTATGTAATGTACCTTTATTTCAAGGGCGTTCATGGTCAGAAGGACAGTAACATCCGTACTTTGGTGGCCAGTAGCGGTCTCACGATCAAACTCTCGAAGTACGGAGTACAATTTCGCTACTGAGTCGAAGGTTCGGGTCCAGACTCCAAGCCCCAGCAAGCCACCGCGGTGAAGCGGGTCGGGGATGGCGGTCCGGGGAGGCTAAAGCTGTCAAACTACGCTTTGGGTTTAGTGCTATGTCCCACTATCCCAAGGGAAGGGTCAAAGTTGAGGATCATGGAGTGGTTTCGTGATTTCCCAGCTGCTTGGAATATGTGCAGAATTGAGTAGTTCGTAATAGTTGCCTACGGGTGATATTATTGAACTCTAGAGGTTTCATGACGCGACGCCCCAGGCTTGCCTAGGGACAAGGCACCCAAGGCCAACATCCAGCTCCGTAGACACTCGTATACTAGCGTCAAGGCCGTAGAGCGTCGTAAGCGAAATCCCTAAGTGTACTTCGTACAGTATGTGCCTTTGCGATAGTATTGCTGATCACGGCACTACTTGTATTCAGGGCAGCCAATCCCGAAAAGCGTCACCGACTTGGATATTGTCACCGTTTACTTAGAAATATGCATCCGGTGGCTTTCGATAATCTTTGAATACATTCCAAATGCGTGTAAAGTCCCAGTTGATAGATAGAAAAGGCCCCCAAACGAGCGAAAAAGCAAGGTGAAACGACAGTTAATTATTTCTCCATTGTGGCCCGGCCCGAGGGGCCGCCAGACTGTACCTACAGGACGGTGGCAGCCCTACTGCAGTTGGGCAATCCTCTATCTCCGCTATAATGCAGGGGGAAAAGGTTTCCGTGGAAGGAATGTCGACCATGAGCTGCAAGACGGCAGAGTTGCCAAAATTGTAGTGATTACCACTGTAGATTGTCTTATCAAAGACATCAATATCTAGGCCGATCAATATTCTCTTCAGTCCCGACAATATCTTGACCTTGACGGGTGGCTGCGCAGTCCCCAAATTCGGTACGCACAGGGCCCAGCAGCGTGGGCATGACACCTGGCCCTTGCACAGTTCGCACTTTCGGGGCGGCCGGTCGGATTGGATTGGCTAGTTTGGAATTTTTCTTTCGAGCGCACTGTTCGCGATCCACAGGCCCATTGTTCGTCTGGGCTCGCTTGGCCCCGAAATAGGTACAATGTACTAGTCAGGAGACCGCCCTTGCATCAGACTGAGACGGAAATGATAAACGCTTGGAAGTTGTTTCATGTGACTAACGTGGATGTCATATGGATCAGCAAGGGATAGCATACTACTGTCAACTACGTGGTACAATTCAATGGACATATGTACTCAATGTACAGTACTTTGTAGGGTGAACCTCAACCATGGATCGAAGTCTATCAAACTCGCTGGAACCGAGGGAGCCATCGTTCCAGTTCCTTGGTTGGGGGATAGCTACCAAGAAACTCAGCTGCGCCAAGTGGAGCAGCCCCGGAGTTGACATAATAAAGGGGAACAAATCCCAACTACCTGGAACAACCGAAAATGGATATATGAATTGGCTCGTCCATTCTCTCGGGGTGCTTTCGAGCTGTTCTGGAGGTCCTTGCGTCGAGCTTCGTGCTCAAGTGTGTTCCAGAGCCAATCATGCACTCATGTCTCCCGGTCTGGAGAACGAGCTAAGTCCTTTGCGAGGATAGTGCAAACTCTCTCGAAGGAACTAAAAACTTCCCCGGGCCCCTCATCTCTGAAGCTTCTTCTTCAACCATCCACTCTATAGCGGATCCTGATACTTGCGATCGCATGCATCACGCCTCCCACTCTGATGTCCACTTTTCCCTCCAAGCGACAGTCTATCTCCCGCTCCCAGTAATTCAACTCACCCGCCAGCCTAGTTTCTAGTGTCCGTACTTCCCTCAGCCGCGGACCAATGTCACCCTCTCAAATCAATTCCCACTTGGTTCCGCTCCCATTCCCACCTGCGAAGACGGACAAATGCCCCGAAGCAGCACCCCCAAGATCGTCTTCGGAGAACCGTGCGAAGACCCGATCGAGTGGTGGCTGGGAAAGTGCCTGTCTACTTTGAGGATCGTCTACATGATTCTATATACGGGATCCAGTGCGACGGTTAGCGAGCCTCGGAAGCCAAATGCGCTCTCACCGACCAGCTGGCGAGACCCTCCATCTCCCATCGATCCTACCTTCCAATTCCACGGACCTGGAACTTTTGCACTTTTAGTCTACGCCGTAGCTCGGGGAGGAAACTCCAGTCTCCACGTAAGTTGATCAGTGGCTGGGGCATGCGAAATGACAAATAATATCTCAACTCCGTACTCTGTACATCGTACTTTGGCAGCCCCATAGCTAGGCGCAAGCCATTATTACCCACTACTATTTGTGGACTTTCGAGGTTGAATGTGTTGATGAATATACTCATTCCAAGCAAAAAGAATCCGCTTCTCTCCCAGGGCCCCATTAAATTAACTCGGTTTCAAATTCGTCGACGCAAGGTGTTATCTCCATATTCCGACCTAGCGACTCAGCTAGATTGACAAGACCACAGAAGAGTGGAAAAAGCCCCGAAAAGCCCCGTTTCCGACCAAGCAGACTTTCTCCGCTCCTATGTCGGTGATCATGGCCTTGCGAGTATTACAGTTCCTCCCAAACTGGGCCTGAGCGTTTCGGGGGAGCGGTTCCCTGAGGATTTTCCTCAGCGCGAATCCTGTGGGCATCTCCACCGTGGCTGACCCTCTCAAAGCTGAATCGATCCTATCTTGCGGAAAAGTCACCCACACCTGATTATTTCCAGTGGTTCTCATCACTTAATCACAGTCAAGCGTAGATCATCCAGAGTGCTGGGACTCTCTACCGTTTTCTATCAACCGTTTAAAACAGCCCCAAACGTATGAAATATATTCATGTCCCAACCAACTGTGAATTCATACCCACGGCATCACTGTACAACATCATGTGCATAGTGGGAACAGCCCAGCCAGACGATCCATGAGGGGTATTATGGGGCAGACTTGCCGATTTTGGAGCAGGTACGGAGTACCATGCAGCGCGGCATTAGATCATATTTTGAGGGATTCATATGCGTCATTAGTTAATTACTTTGGAAGAGACAAACTCTTCCGTATGGAATACGGAGGGCAGTGAGTAACCCCCCTTTCTGTACAGCAAAGGAGCCACTGGGCTGCTGTAGCGTTGAAAGTGGAGGAAATTTGTAACTCACCAGAACCTGCTGGGGCAAACAATGTCCACAATGCCCACCGACACATAGCACCTACATATGTAGAAGTACGATCATCTGCTCGAAAGCGGGGGTACTATCCGGGCATAGGCGGAAGGCTTACAATAATCAATTTGGTCGAAAGGCAGTTCGACGAAGAAAAAAGGAATGTGGATAATAGCCAGGCTAGCATGACACTGCATACAATGTCGAGACCATTTCGACCTTCAGATCGCACCTATGGGCGAACGAGGCAAATGCTCTCCGGGTGTGTCAACTGGACCGGAAGTCAGTTTCAATTAGATCCATGCAAGATCGATCTGCTCCATTGCTCTCTGAAGGCATTGCCGTTTTTGTCGAGATACGCAACTTGAGGGTATCCGAGATCTGGGAATCATGGATCTCGTCGTCCTGATTGGCTCATCGAAGCTCCATGGCCCATTGAACAAGATTAAGGAAACGCTTGCCGCTTCCGCGCCATGCATCACGACTATTTGAGATCATATATCCCTTGCCTGGAATCATGATAGCTGAAACGACTGCTGAACGCAGGTCCGCGGCCAATTAGATATGATCCGCAGTCGTCGACGTGCGATGCAATCATGATCATGATCAGACCTCATTCCACGAGAGACTTTGGTGGTCGAGGGATATCCGGTTTCGCGTCAATGATTTCAAATCTGACACGCAATAGGTACTTAGGGATCTGACGTTGCCCCTCCATTTTCCCATCTGTCAAATCGCAGGGTCAGCGTTACTACCTAGTATTTTAGACCATTTCGCCTCCTTCCCCTTAGATATACATAACCCATGGTCGGTAATATATTCCGGGGTTGGTGCAAGCAGATAGAGTCACAGCCGCGTGGGGAATCTGTTTTGCAGACAGCAAGGAGGTGGCTCGTAACTCGTATCCGATTGAATAGCAAAGAAATAAAAATAAAATAAAAAACGATTTCGCCCCCGAACCCCTAATGTGATACTTGAACCAGAGAAGAGTGTGGCGAGGCCTCTGCATTATGCTCGTTTCGCATTATGCCGGAATGACAATCTTAAAATCTCACCTGCTACCTACCTAGTAGCTTCGCTAAAGCAGACCTCACGTACAATCATAGATTCTCGTAAGTGCTGACCGGGTGCTGCGAACAGACACCCATGGCGGGCAGACAACTGGCATTGGGCTTTCACCGCTACAATCCAAGTGCTCTGATGGGATATCAAAATGTCACCGCCACGTTTAGTAGCAAGCGCTACTGCAGATAATCATGTTGTTCAGGATGTTTTTTAATTTCGGTTATGCATCATTACGTTTGACGGCTGCTCTCCAAGGTCTAGCCAGCTACTTCCAGTGCTCATGTTTCTCCTGAACGCAATCCTCATCGAGATTTGCACTGTCCAGATACAACGTTGGAAGTGCCCCAGTGTTATGCACAGTCACGACCTGAGATATCTAGGTAGATCTTAGATGATAAAGCCACTTATGTCGTTCTACTGGTTCGCCCTCAATCCAATCGGATGTGCGCGATACTACATATTCGAGGCAAACCATCCTGACATGAAACATGAAACACAGGCTCATCCTATTAGTCTGCATAAAAGAATCCAAAGTATTCTAGCCACTCTCCACTGTTTGTTTGACCTGCTATCCCCTGCCAGGGGGCCCAGGAACTGTGCAATGAAAAACTTTTTATCTCAGTTACATATACATGCAGGTATGCACAGACACACACCCGCGCCACACCAGGACCATCAAAGCGCGTTTGGGAGCGGCCACCAACGGGTCAACAGGCATGACCCATGCAGACAGCATTGAAGGTGAGCAATGAACATCCAGAGCATACTGCAAGCGGCCCGAGGAACCATAGAGACCACGGGCGCCCCGAGCCATTCAAGACTGCATGAAGCTCATCCAATGTCGGATTGGTTGGCTAGCTGAGTGATCTCCTGCTATAAACAGGAAATGCGCGGGCCTGGAACCGCTGCGACCGATAGGGTTTTACAACGCTTGTGAGATGGAGCCGTCGCTGTCAAGCAGACCGGCCTCCTTGGCCAACTCGTAGAATTTGCCGCCGCGTTTGATCAGCTCTGCGGGGGTGTCGAACTCAGCCACTCGCCCCTTGTCTAGAACGACAATGCGATCTGAGTCGATGATAGTGTTGATGCGGTGCGCAATTGTAATAATAGTTCGATCGGAGAAGACGCTGCTGCGCAAGGTGCGCTGCAGGAGTGCATCGGTTTCGACATCAACGGCAGCCTATCGCTGTTGTTAGCTGAAACTGTTAATTGATGAGAGAGATCGAAAGTATCTCACAGTTGCCTCGTCCAGAACAAGGATATTGCTGGGAGTCAAGAGGGCGCGGGCGAGGTTCACCAGCTGACGCTGTCCTTGACTCAGATTGGAGCCTGTGGAATTGTTAGGAAACCTGCCTTAGGCGACTCTTCCAAGTGCTGGGGATGCAAACTTACCTCCTTCCTGTATCTGAGCATCAAGTTGGCCTTCCATCTGGGAAACATGGTCCTTCAACCTTGCATGGTCTACATTAAAAGCCGGTCAGTCACTGTTTGCTGGAATACCAAAATAAAGGTCCGCCTCGAACTCACCCAGTACGCTCCACAGTTCAGTATCATCATGAACATGACGAGGATCCAGGTTGTCACGAAGAGTACCTTCGAACATGGCAGGATCTTGGGGAATGATGGCGAGGCGGCCACGAAGGTCAGTCAAACCGATGGTAGAGATGTCGAGGCCGTCAATGCTAGATTTTGTCAGAAAAAAGGAACACCGATAAAGTCTGCAGGTCACCTACCCAATGTTTCCATTGACACCCTCGATAATACGGAAGAGAGCCAGAGTAAGCGAACTCTTTCCAGCACCCGTTCGGCCAACAACACCGATCTTCTCTTTGGGCTTAATGTCCAGATTGACATCCTTGAGCACAAGATCCAATCCAGGGCGATAGCGGGTGCTGTAGTCGTTGAAAGAGACAGCACCTTGGGCGGGCCATCCAATGGCAGGGCGGCGCTTGAAAATCACATCAGGGGCCTCATTTGGCAGATTGGCATACTCGAGGACTCGCTCGACCGACACGATGTTAGTCTCAACCTCGACCGTCTGACGGACAATCCAGTTCAGGGACTGGGTGATCTGAAGGGCGTACGACATGGCCAGACCGACCATGCCTGCAGAAAGGCGACTACCCGTAGCAACCGATGTGATGGCAAGTCCGGCGGATGCAAGAATAATGATTGAACCAATGAACTCGAGGCGAACAGCAAGCCAGCGATTAGCGCTGATGGATGGGAAGTATGCGCGCAGATTGGCGTCCATGCGCCATTCGTTCTCGAGCGTGAAGCGATTCTCCTGTCGGTAAGCACGAATAGTTGAGACGCCACCCAGGGACTCCTGGAAATGGGCGAAAATCGGGCTTCGGGTGACACTGTCCAGGCGCTTCAACTCGCGGGAAGTTCGAAGGTAGTACTTCTGGTAGCTGAGATAGATATAACTCAGGGGAATAACGAAGATGAGGAAGGCCGGGGTAGAAGTAGCAATGACAACCATGGTGAAGATCGCGCGAGCAGAGTTTGCGAACAGCATGTTGAAGGTGCGAGCAAGTACCTCATCGACTCTGTAGATGTCACTGGAGAAACGGTTGAGGATTCTACCAGAGGGGGTGGTCTCAAAGAAGCTCATGGGAGAGCGGAAGATAGCGAACGCCATTCTCTCGTGAAGCTTGCGGGATGCCTCGATGGAGCAGAAAATCCAGAGGATCAGGTTTTGTAAGATGACCAAAAGGGATGAACCCAGACCAAGAGCCAAGTAGACACCAATGAATTTGCCGACGTCGGCATTGCTTCCTTTGGCTTCGTTGGCTTCGGTCCAGCTCTTCAGCCAGAAGTTGCCAACAACCTGGGCAGTTTGAGCAGCCAACATGGCAAACAGATAGAACCCGACGGCCGTGATGTTGCTGTCCTTGGCATATTGGCCGTACACATCCCATTTAACCTTGCCCTGCTGTGATGTTTCTTGCGTCTGTTTGCTTTTGAGAACGTTCTCCTCATCTCCCAGCTTGCGTCGAGGGCCCTGCCAACTGACGGTGCTTGCACGACGCAGCGTGACAGTGGATGTTCGTCTCCGTGCTTCTCCGTGTGGACCACTGCGGATGGGGATCAGATCACCAGGCTGCTCTGCCTCTTCACTGTCCGACGAACCACCATTCTGAACAATGGTGGTCGTGACAGAGCTTTCAAGGCTCGCAAGATCTTCCGAGCCACTAACCGTGCCTTCGTCATCTGAGTCAGCCATGGTAGTGCGAACTAGATTAGCAATTTCGCCCTTCATGGCCATGAGTTGCTCATATGTTCCTTCCTCGATAATAGTTTTGTCCCGCAGCAAACCGATGAAGTCGGCCTCCTTGAGCACAGTGATTGCATTTGTGGCAAGGATTCTGGTCTTACCACTAAGCAGACCTGTCTTTCCAAGAACCTTGTTAATTATGTGGCGACCGACGTGCTGATCAACTGCCGACAGAATGTCGTCCAAAAGATAGATATCGGCGCGGGCGTAGACAGCTCTGGCAAGAGTCAATCGAGCCTTTTGACCACCGGAGAGCGAGATTCCACGTTCTCCGACTTCCGTTTGGTCACCATCGGGCAAATTCTTGAAATCATCAAGCAGGGCACAAGCTTCAACGGCGAGGTCATAAAATGCTGGGTCCCAGCGGTGCCCAAACACGATGTTCTCCCGGACGCTAGCGTTCATGACCCAGGGTGCCTGGGCTACGTACGCGACACGGCCACGTACGACTACCTCACCCTGAGTCTTCCACAGATCGCCGAGCAATGACTGTAGAAGGGAAGATTTTCCGGAGCCAACCCGCCCAACAATACAGCTGAGCTCGCCCTTCCGGGCACTGAGATCGATGTTCTCCAGAACATTGACTCCCTCGTGTCTGTTCCAAGTGAAGGAGGCATCGCGAACGCGAACGGCCTCGTCACCGAGGTGCGCGACAGGATCTTGGAATTCGACAGCATCGGTCTGCAGTTCCTCTGCGGTGAAGTAGTCCATCAAGCGCTTCACGGCGACGGAAGATTCGATAATGGATGTGATGACCATGGGCAAGATGGAAAGCGGGAAAGTCAGCAAATTGAATAGTGTCAAAGCAGGGAACACAATCTCGGTAGTGAGAGGCTTGTCGCTCGTCAACACAAATACGGTGAACGTAGAGCAGGAGACGAGGAACGGAGTAGACTGCCAGGTGAAGTTGGCAACAGATTGGGTAGCTCCGATTTTGCGAAGAGTGTTCAACTCAAGATCGTTTCGAATATGGCTGAGTTTGTTCATAAAAGCCGTGTTCCAAGCATAAAGCTTGATACTCTTGATGTTGTTGAGAATCTCGGTCATCAGTCGGGTTCTCGAATCCTTGTTCTTCATCTGAACAATTTGCAGCTTCTTCATGGCCCGAGCAATGACTCCATTGAGAGGGATCATGAGAATCATCACACCAACACCGGCAAACATGCTGGGTCCTACGAGTTGGTAGAGAGAGACCATGCACAGAGTGATTTGGAATGGAGCAGAGATGAGCTGAGTACCGAACTGGGTCAGATCTGACAGACGTTGTTGATCAACAGCCATGTGGTTAACAATGTCACCGGTGGTCTTGGTCGACCGTCCTTCGTTAGACAACTTCAACGACTTGGCGTAGATCATGGCTGTCAAGGCTGATTTGACTCTCATACCGGTGTCGAAAGCACGCTGGAAGTACTGGTGAAGGAAGCTCGTCTGGCAGACGGAAACGATGAACATAGACAATGCAATTGCAATACCCCTGATCACAGGTTGCGGCTCGGATCCTCGGTACGAATCAATGAAGGAAATGAGCAACCGAAGGAGTTGTGGCTGCACAAAAGCAAGGATATCGCTCCCGGATTTGATGATTGCTCCACGAACATAGGGACCACCAAAGGCCTTGAAGAGTGCAATCCACAAGGAAGGCTTCTTTGTCTCGAGCTGTTCCTCCCACGAGGCCTTCAGATCGCCTCCAGTGGCTCGAGTCGTATCGCGACGCCGGAGATTCCAGAGATCATCCTGGGTAAGATAGTTGTTGTATCCGAATTTCATCATTGGGGTCATCCAGCCAAATGTGAGAACGGAGAAGATATCTGCATAGTTGTATGGACATTCATCCTCGTCGCCAAGAGCATCATATGCGCTTTGCTTCTTGGGGACGAAGTATTCGAGCACGAACTCGAACAACGCGAGTCCAAGGGCCACATTGACGCAGACGAAATAAGGAAGTTCGCCGACATATCCTTTGCGCGCGACCAATGAGCGCAACTTGACCGCGTATGCGATGATGAAGAAGAGCCAGTAGAAGAGTACAACTCCGTTGGGCTGTCTACTCCGCCAATGCTCAAGGTATTGCACAGAGGTTATCACACCGAGCGATACTATGGTCGTTACGGAGGACCAGAAGCGGAAGTCGGCGTAGAAGGCTTTCGGCTGCGATTCGATTTGGATAGCAGCTTGCAGAGCTGTGACAGCGATGATAGCAGCGAGTACGACCTATCATATTCGAAAAAGCAAATCAGCGACTCGATCATGACATACGCGGGGAGACCCGGTGTACTTACCAACTTGGTGTAGAAGTGCCAGTTCTTGGACACAGGCTGAGGAATCCGCTTCTTCAACAACAGCCACAAGGCACCCAGTCCACTAAGCGTACCCCATACAGCCACTACGGCCACGACCACGTCGAGGAAGCATGGCGTCAGATCGAACCTCGATGAGCTGAAGGGACCCCAGCCCTCGCTATCAGTGCAGAATGGCTGTCGATTGGACTCGATTGCCGATCCAAGGGAATGCAGGAGGTCCCCCGGGCGGGTACCCTCCAGGACTACCTGGGATTGGCCATCCAGCATTTTTCAGAGCGACTATACCCGATGTACCTTTGCGGGAAAGGATACAGAAGCAAAAGCAGACGGGGGGAGGAGTCAAAGCACCTTCACGTTGGAAAGCTAGGGTGCTTACTAAAAGCCAAAGGCGGCTCCTGGGGGCCCGCTTTTTTTCGGGGAAGTCGGAGCAGACGACCGTTTGGTGTCGGAGTTATTTCAAAGCAGTTCTTCGCCACTGGTATAGAGGTTTTAGGATTCGGCGCATGAAAATCAAGCTACTTCTCTCTCCGGTGAAACAGGGAAACGAGCTTCAGGTTTGGAGGTTTTTTTTTCTTCCAATCCGGTCACGTGGCGAACAATTTCGTAATCTGCGTCATCATCGGGAATAAGCCCTAAGACCGAATGCGCCGGCCTCTATCACCAACTTCGGCAATACCATGGAGGTTGTCTCATAGTAATCGGTTTATTCGTGATCACTATATTTTCTCATTGTGTTCTTCCAAGCAAGGGGTTATTTTTCCATGTCTGCTTTGGTCCACCGATATCGCGCGGCGCATAATATTGAAGTGGTCTCAGTGTAATATATTTCTGCATGGGACTAGCACAGATAGTGTACCTAGGTATATTGCAACTTCACGCCCGATCCTTGAGGAAATTCTCAATCACGTTAACAATCTCATCACATCGTACATGGCGAGCATATTCAATTGCAGTCCCGAAATCCCCTTGGGCATGTGGATCTGCCCCATGCTCCAATAACCACCTTACCCGCTCAACTGCTCCCGCCATCACCGCATGCACAATTGGATATTGGGCCACCATATGCTGAGTGACTTCTTTTCGATTGACATCTGCACCTCGACTCACGAGCAACGCCATTATGGGGATCCTACCAATGTCAAATTTGCGAGTCGGTATCACTCGGGTGACATGGGGATTGGCGCCAGGGAGACAGGCACCGGCGGCCAAATGTAAAGGCACGCCATACTCCATCCTCGCGCCGGCGTCTAGGAGCATACCGACAGCCTCCAATTCGCCGTGAGCCGCAGCTGCCTCAAGAGCAGCGCATGACCTAGTGCTTGATCCACCCCGGCGGTCATTGCCAATTTGTGCCAGCCCAGCATTGGGATCGGCTCCATGGTCTAGAAACCATCGAAGAAGAGGAATGTTGTTGACAGTTCTGGGGAGAAGAACAGCGCCATAGAAGGTTGGGGTGTTAGGAGTCCAGCCGAAATGACTGAGAAGGTCAAAGAGAGGGATATGCCACTCGAAAGGCGCGAAGAAGATATTGCTGGGAGTTTCGCGAACGATCGGGGCACCACTTGTGAGGAGATATCGAGCAACTTCAACATGACCAGACGCCAGGGAGCAAGTCAAACCATGGTGCAGGAAAGCTGGCGTTGGATTCTCACTGGCAATGATTGACTGGACGATAGATAGTAGGCCTTGTTGGCACGCGAATTCGAAAGGCTTGAAATAGGTGGGAACTTCTGAGCCTGGAGTTGCGCTGAAGAAGCTGATATCCTCGGCGGTCATGATAGGGAGATCTTCATACTTGGAGCCCATGGTGTGCATTTGGATTTGCATACTGTTCCCGGTATTTTGTTGCTGCTGTGCAGCTGCCATTTGCGCTCGCTGTTTTTGGAGTTGACCCAACATCGCCCGCTGCTGTTGCTGGCCCCGCTGCTGCTGCGAGGACATGATTTACACAGTGCTTTCTGTATGCTTGGTACTGCTGGATCTTGCTCGAGTGGACAATCTGACAAGGGCGACTGTTGCTCAGAGCAAGTAATGTGCCGTGATGACCGTCATGTGACACCAAAGTAAAGACACCTGGGCAGCCACTTCCACCTGAGCAAGGTTGCATATAGGTATGAAACAATTTCAAAACTATTTGAGAATTATAAACACTAGCTGAACACAGTAAGAGGTCAGGATGGGGCTTGTTTGATCTTGGATGATTGCTGTCTGTTTAGACTTGCTTCCAATAGTATTGCATAGGTACCATGTAGACTCCTAGAGGGTGACCAGTTATAGACCCGTAGATGTAGATTACCGAGACTTGAGAATTTTGTTCGCCTTTATCCAAATGAAAGTCTCATAAACCTTGGAATATAATGAAGGGCGTGGAAATGTCCGTATGTGTCTGGGCAATAGTGTCCCTCTACAGAGAGGTTCAAACAGTGCAAACGATGACATCATATCCGAAACTGATAGAATCAGGTACCACCTTGTAGCTGGATGCAAAATGTTTTATTAATCATGCGCGTTTCCTTTGCATGGTACTCACTCTAATTCGACTAGAGCTAAAAGGCATACTTAAGTAAAAAGTCTAGTCGCTTCAGCATATTGGCCGCATTCATTAGCAACCCGAACTTCCTAAACGGGAGGCCGCTCGTTAGCCCCAAATATCACGGGGCACAGCCCACAGAAAGCAGTTTTTTACTCAGTCTGTAACGAAGACTGTGGCTGAGCGACAAAAATGTGACTCAATTTTTTTCTTCTTTTTTTCGATCTAACACTGGAGAGATCAAGATATAAATAAGAAGAGCTGCGTATGCGGCACTGCGAAGATCAAGAAATATTCCCTGCATTATCTTAAGGCGGTGAGAGCCAATTTACCAGCGTCATTGGAGGGGCACTACGATCTTCATATAGCGCATTCTTTACACAACCCATTATGGTGGATACGACTCGAATGGAGGAACTCTTGAAGAGGCCTCTTTATGGTTGGCTTCGAGAATCCCGTGCGAACAGACCCCAGACTGATCTTTGGTAGTGTACGATTTGCCGCAAGAACTTCTTGACAGCTTGAAGGCCAAAACCAAAGGACAACCTGTCGCAGAAGAGCCCGTTGGCCCTTCCTCGGAGGAGCTTGAACAGGCAGCTCAAGATTCTGCGATCGCAACATCAAACCTATGCTCTCTCTGCAATGTCTCTTACAGCAGCGTGCAAGACCAGCGCAGCCACGTCCGCTCGGATCATCACCGATATAACGTCAAATCTCAACTGCGCGGCAATGCACCTCTTGGAGAGCTTGAATTCTCCAAAGCGGTTGGCGAGCTAGATGAGTCTATCTCTGGATCCGAGTCGTCAGAAACAGAGGAGGAGGATGGAGACGGAGCCACTGGAAACACGCTATCAGCTTTGCTGAAAAAGCAGGCGAAGCTCAATCACCCCGATGAGGAGAGTGTCGCCAACGTGGCTGGAGTCCCGAAAAGCCCACTCCTGTGGTTTTCTAGCTCGGGCCTGCCATCAAACAAATCTCTCGGTATTTACAGGGCCATGTTCTCAGCCGCCGAGCAGGAGGATCCCAAAAACTTGGTTGATACCATTCGCCGGAAGCAGTTGGCCCCCAAAGGCCGCGCCAACAACGCCAGCAAAACGCAAGATCCAGCCGCCTCGGGTCCTCATATCTTTATGTGCATGATTGGTGGTGGCCACTTCGCGGCTATGCTGGTATCTTTGGCACCGGAAATTCATCGAAAGCAGGGAGGCATTGAGGACCGACAAGCGAGGGTTATTGCGCACAAGTCTATTCATCGATACACTACCCGCCGAAAGCAGGGTGGATCCCAGTCTGCCAGCGATGCATCTCGCGGGGCCGCTCATTCTGCAGGTTCAAGCCTGCGTCGCTACAACGAAGCTATGCTTGAAAAGGAGATCAGAGATACCTTAACCGAATGGCGCGACATGATCGACAGCGCAGAGCTGTTATTCGTTCGGGCTACAGGGAAGACAAACAGGAAAATCCTTTTCGACAATTACGATGGACAGGTCCTGAAAAGCAAAGACCCTAGAATCCGAGGATTCCCCATAAACACCCGCCGCGCAACCCAGGGAGAGCTGCTGCGATGCTTCAAGGAGCTGACCCGTGTCAAGGTCAGCGAGGTAGATGAGGCCGCACTGGCTGCGGCTGAAATCAAGCGCAAGGAAGAAGAGGCTAAAGCCTCAACTCCCGCACCAAAACCCCAACCACAGAAGCCAAAGTTGTCAAAGGAGGATGAGGCTGCCTTGCTACACACAAGCCAAATCCAGGCTCTCATCCGCCGCTCCAAGGTTCCCGCCTTGATGTCTTACATCTCCAACAACACTATCCCACCCTCGTTTGTCTTTACGCCCACCGACTCCCCTCAAAACTTCCGCTGCCCGACACCTCTACACCTCGCCGCAAACCTCAACGCCCCAGCTGTGGTCACAGCACTTCTCACGAAAACCGAGTCCGACCCCGCATCTCTCAACAGCGAAGGCAAGACCCCCTTCGAGCTGAGCGGCGACCGAGCTACTCGCGACGCCTTCCGCATTGCACGCCACACTCTTGGCGAGTCAAAATGGGATTGGGAGACCGCCAAAGTCCCAGCAGCGGTCTCCAAAGCCGATGCTGACAGTCGTGCCGAGAAGGAGCGTCAGGCCGCTAATGAGGAGGAGGCGAGTCGTCGCCAGGCCGATCTGGACCGTCTGAAGCGCGAGGAAGCGGAGAAGTCGGCGTTTGCGAGGACCACAAAGTCTGGTGGAAGGACAGTGGGTGCTGTTGAGAAGTCCGCTGCCGAGAAGCGCGAAGAGGAGACTCGTGGGATGACGCCTGAGATGAGGATGCGACTGGAAAGAGAACGGAGAGCGAGGGCTGCCGAGGAGAGGTTTAAGAAGATGCAAGGAAAGTGAGGCTTTGTTATATACCCTTTGTTTGTCTGAGCAGTATTTCATATGCCCACCTGTAAATATTGCCAGGAGAGTCTTGTAAAAAGTCGCATTTGCATAAAACGCAATCAATTTTCAAAAGCTCCAAAGTCTGATTCCCTGCTATACGGTAGTCTTCATTTGGATGGTTGAATGATGAGGGTACAGGTTTGAGATCTCCTTGCCTGTCGGGTTGAGGCTTAAGGTAGATCAGAAGAAAAAGAAAACGGAGACTCAAGTCAGGAAGCTGTCTGATTCTTTGCACAAGCGTATCTAGTATCCCGACCAGGAATATCCGCCCAGATGGGCGCCCGAGCACAATCAGCTTCTCAATCAATTAGTTGTTCATCCATGAATGGATCCAACCGTGGGCCCTTGCAGGGCTTCCGAGGCCACTTCACAGGAGAGTAGGACTGAATTGCCACTGTAGGCCCCTCGACAGAGGCAAGCGAGTGAGCCAATAGTTTTGCTGATCGAAGACTAAAGGCAAAAGGGCTTGATAGTCAAGCTTTGGCCGTGTTGGTACTTCGTATATTGGAGAGAGGTGCCTAGACTGTTTATTGGGTGATCGAAAAGCCCACTGTCTCATTGGATATCGAGCAGATGACCTGAGCCACCCCTGGGCTTGGGCTGAGGTAGCACTCATGACTTTCGTTCCTTGTTGTGCAACCGTGGCCAAGGGAGTTAGTGAGTTAAGCCACTCAAAGAGGGGGTCAGAAACAAAGAGGGGTGATCGCTGAGCGCTGATCTTTTGGATTGGAGACATGGTTTCACTTTCCAAACCGTTCCAAGGACGTGGAGACAGGGCTGAACCATCTCATGTCGATACCAGCTGTGACAAGAGGCGCTGCGTGTACGGAACTGTGCGTCTTCAGATTGGAGGATCATGCCTGCTAGCTGTATTCAGACTGGTTACTGTGCTCCCACTCGTCATAGTACACTTGTACACAATTAGACGGTTGAATCCGCAAGCTGCGCATCATCCCAGGAACAAGGCACCACAATCGAGTACAGGGTTACACAGAACCACACCCGGAATCGATGGGTCAAAACAAGGGAATTGCGAGGGTAAGACACCCAAAGCCCAGGGTTGCACGATGTCTGAGTGCCTGAAGACACGAAGTTCAAGATCTGAGACCTGAAGGAGATCGAGGCCCTAGCGGGGCGCGGTTGGAGGGGCAACATTCCAACGCCACGGACAAGAACGAGTTGTGGAGATGATCTGCGCTAGTGCCCGCTGTGGACAGGGATATGTCTTGCATTGGCGGTGCAGGAGAACCTTGGGGATTGGGAGGATCCTTGATACCCGCAACGTTGGTGTTTCCAAGTAGGCTTTACTACAGCCCAGTCGTTCTATTTCCATCAAACTTGACAGAGTACCCCGTACAGCACGTACACTTTGTCATGTCGCGAGCAAAAGTACGCATTGAAGATGAAAATAGCTCGAAGTCGCGACTCGTGAGCCCCTTGCATCAGATCGGATTTCTTCCTGTGGCTGGGGACCGTGGGCCTGAGGGCTTAGCACTTGAGGGAGCTTCCTAGTAGGTATCGAGTTACAGTATGACGGAGACAGGAATACGCTTTTTTTTTTTTGGCAGCCCTCGAGGAGTACAAGTGACTTAGGTTCAAGGAGAACGCAGTCCTTGTTTTCTCCAGTGGTGACTCTTTGTATGTGAAAATGGCTAGATGAATCTGAGTTTTCCATGGCAAGATCAGCTTCAAGGTCACCAGCTGCACCAAATACCTAAAGTGATTGAAACCCGAGACAGTTCGCTGCAGTAGAATCTGCACCCCGCAAGATGCTGCAAGATAATGCCATATTGCACGAGACTACCTAGGCAAGGAGCAAGGGATTGCAGTACCGAGTGCAAAAACCTCCGATGTGAAGAGCAGCCAAAGCACATGGCACTCTGAGCATTGACCTTCCTGAGATTATACTGTATTGGGTATGGTCTGTACATGATACAATGTAATTGGTGTTCAAGACAATGGACTCTGTATGAGTCTGGAGTATGCTCATTGTACTGAAGTCTACTGTACTGCGTAGGGCTTGGCGTGTCACGCGTAAAAACGCGTCGCGTCTACGCGTGAAAATTTCAACGCGCAAAAATACAGTGACACACGGCAATACACCTGGGAACCTGGACATCTAGGAAGTCCTGGATCATACCCAGGTAGTAAAGGGAAGAGATCCTTCTGTATAACTCCTACCACAGGGTAAGAAAGCCTCCTCTCAAAGAGATTATTAAAACGCCACTCGCCCCGGAGATCTGAGTCTATGACATCGTGTCTGTCATGCAGGGCCCAATGCATGTTCAATGCATGTTCAATGCACGCTCATTGACAGTACAGGCTGGGGTTTCATCACAGACCAATGCAATACGGCGGGCGCTGCAGAATCAAAGAAACTGTACCCAAACTGTACCCAGGCTGTCGATCCCTTGCCCAAATAGGAAATGTAATTGACAAAGTGTTGAGCCTGATCAATTGATGTCTCAGGGGTGGCCTCGTGCCTGTGCTCTTTGTGCCTTGCATGAAATCCCTCCAGGGCTCTCATCCTGGACTCCTGAGAATTCTCCTGTAGTCTCTGTTTCACTGGGCTCGAGAGTGTAGTAGAGTAGATAGTATCTAGGTATAATAGGAGAGGACTCCAGGGTCTGAGTATCATCAAGTCACTCGCTCTTCAGCATTCCTCAGGAACATTCCTCAGAGATCCAGCATTCTTTTGGTATTCTTTGAATCTTCCAGGAAATATAATTAGCCCATTCTTTGTGACGAAAATAACCTGCAACATTCGCTTGACCGTTTGCGGCCCGATTTTCTTTTATCTGAGGATTTGCCCCCCGCCAAATCTTCTCCCTGACAACACACTCGCTCTCAACACGAAAACAAAATCTTCGTCGCATCCTCCGGAACTCCTGCAAATCGAATCGCATTCCCGTCCAAACCTGGTCTCTTCCTTTTTGAAACCCCAACTCCGTCGTTGCGCAGCACAACTGCCTCCGGCGCAATCGCACAGCGCGCCTCAACTTTATCTTTTTCCAGCCTCCAAGTCGCTCACATCGCGCATTACTCTCACCATGCTTCTTCCATCCGCTCTTCCATGCGATGTACGCCGGTCGTCTCGCTTCACCCCCAGTCGCTTATTTGCGACTCCCCCTCCATCCGACGCTGGTTACGCCGCAGGCAACGGCCTGCTCGGCACCTGTCGCGCCCTCCAATCACTACTCAATGGATCTCCCTCACCCACATCGCGTCAATCCAATGCCAAGCGCCTCCAAAGCCCACTACCAATCAACACACCTCGTCGCTCACCGCGATCGCACAAGGCCGCGCGCCCCGTCTCACCAAGACAAACACCACCACCCAGAACCGCCGCTCTCACACCTCCTCCTCCCCCATCAGCACCAGCCCGCGGCGCAAACAAGCGCCGCCGCGACGTGGATGACGACAGCGACATGGAAATAAGTCGCGATCACTTCGCGACTCCCAAACGTCGCCGCCACGTCCCTTACGAGCTGCCTCTCGGACTTGCGCCGACCGATTTCTACTCTCTACACTCGCCCCCAGTCACACAGTCTCCTCCCTCTCCTGCTCGCCGTATGGCGTTCCAATTTGGCCCTGCCATTGACCCAGACGCCCCTCTACCTTCTATCGAAGTGACGGAGGAGCCTACCCCCGCCCAGGATTCCTGGTCATCCGAAGAAGACCAGCACCTCATCAAGTTGGTTCTCGAAAAGGCCAACCTCTCCCAGACCCAATGGGACGAGTGCGCGCGCCAAATGGGCCGCACTCACGTCGGCTCCAGATGGCAATCCCTCGTTAGCGAGGGCCGTGTCGGTCTGCGCCGGCAGTGAATTGCTTTGCAATTCCCGTGTTTTATTAATGTATTATATGACCTGTACCACCTTGCGACTGTTCCTATTGGCTTGGCTTGTCTTTTCTTTGCTCAAAAACACCCCTGTATTATCATTTTCTTTTCGGTTCTACGTTGACCAGCACAAATCGTCTGTTTCTGCTCTGAGTCCCGGTCACACGGGCTATGTGAATACGCTTTGCTTTTTGATCCCTGGGGATTTGCTCATACCCTGTCTCTTGTGATTTACATTTGCACATCTGCAACGTCCTATGTTGATTTTGACTTGCGCTTGTTTGGGATTGTACTACTATCTACTACCAACTTGAATTGTACTTATATCTGCCACAACTTGTCTCTCTGTAAATCTAAAGGCCTTATATGGTAACTTTATGCGTCTTCGAACCATCTACCACCCGGGCAATGGATTTTATTGCAAAAAATAGTACAAGGAATGAAATTGGATACTTAAGAAAAATCCAGTATGTATGTGTGGCCCACCAAACGCCAGACACCAATTGTGCTGCGCAACGTAAAACAAATAAGATGAAAGCCAGGCCAAAATCCATTGATACAAACATGCCAGTCAAGCCTCCAGGCAAGCCCAAGGTCATATCAGAAACCACCATGCCAGAATGATCAGAATCTAGGACAATGTCAGCAAAATACCCCCAGATGCCCAGGGGAAACACATACCGAATCTCATAACTGCCCGCACGAGTCATATAGCGCACCCACTTAACAGAGCTGTAGTTACTCTTCTCAAAGACCTTGAGATAGCGCACCAGCAGCCCAGAAGAGGTAAACATAAGCAAACTAAAGGACAAGCTAAGCGGGGGCCGACTCCAAGCCTTCTGATGGGTCATTGAAGTAAGTGTCGCCTCGGCATTAAGCACAAACTCAGACTGGCCCGAGAACCTCGCAATCTTCCAAACAATATTGTTCTGTTCGGGCTCATACTTCGCACGGCCCTGACTAGTCCGCTCAGTAGTCTTGGCAGTATTCAACGGCGTAGGAATGCGAATGACAACATTTGTCGCAAACAGCTTCGAGCTGTAATTGGCTTTAATCGCAACACTGTACTCGACCTTCGTTGTACCGATCTCCCTTACGATAGGGTGAACCTTGAATGGCAGATTGACGTTCTCGGTCGCGCGGTAGCGCATCAGTTCGAATTCTCCGTCCGGGGGAACGAAAGAAATGATTCTGTCTGCGTCGAACCGGCCAAGTTTCACACACTGGTGGAATTGGCAGTCTTCGAGCGTGACGGAGCCGGCGGCTGCGCGCGTCGCTTTCGATGTACCCAGTCCGCTGCCATTGCCGCGGCTACTGGAGGACGATTCGCCTGGGTCGAGGAGGAGACGGTCATTGAGGCCGAATTTGCATTCTGGTGTGCCGGAGAGGTAGGCGCGCATGACGATTTGGCCGTTGACGTCTGCGCGGAGGACGGTGCCTGTTGCGGACATGAGGAGGTTGACGTCTTCGATCACGTCGACGAAGGCTTCATTCTTGCGGTATTTTATATCGGCGCGGCGCCAGGACTGAGCGCCTGTGGCTTGCTGTGTGATCCGGGAGGAGTCGGTTGGGTTATTGGTGATGGCGGATTTGACGCCCTCGGTCGTGATGTACATTTTCAGAGTGTCTGGGTCGGTGTTCTGGGGGTATCCGAAGTCGAGAATTTCTGGAAGAAGCTAGGTTAGATGTTAATCGAGAGATCTGGGGCTCGTTGCATACCGTCGAGCAGCTCGTAGATCAATACGAAATTGTTCTTGACGGCTTCTTCGTCGAATTTCCCGAAATAGCTCTTTCCCAGCATAATTAACCGGTACAGGAACTCGAAAACCAGGGCGGCATTGGCATTGCTTTTGGTTACAGCTACCAGGTAGATGTTCTCGTGTTTGACATGGCTGAACGTCGTCGAGCCCAGGGTCAGGATCGGCGAGCGCACTTGAGGGTTGGAGATGACTTGGATTCGGAAGATGTCGGCAAGGCGCGGGCGGCAGTCGCTGCGAAAGGCGCGAAATATGAGGTTCTCGCCCTTCTGATTGAACACAAGGATCCCTGACAACATGGTGCTTGTTGAGTCGTGGAGTTGGAGAGAGCTGCGGAAACAGGGGTGGGGTGGATCGACACCGCCCGAGTATAAAAAGGAGGTCCTGGATTTACTCTGCTTGTTTGACATAGTTCTAATTTCTATCAGACGTACAGTATCTGGGAGCGATTGAGCAGTTGAATAAAAAACGGATGAGTTTCCATTCTATGAAGACATTACACAAAGGTAGCATTGTATTAGACAGCCCGACATGGGGGTCAAGTTTCAACTGTGGACATAGCCAGGTCAGATGAGTATTAGAGATACCTGAAAAGGCTCGTGAAAGATGTATGTGAGTATGTAAGTGAGTTCGACAGGAGAAAGAAAAGAAGTTGAAAAAAAGGACAGTCAGTGGTATCAAATCACGAGAATAGGAGATTCGCTCCAGGGCTCGCGCGACGAGGTATAAACATAGGGGGAAAAATCTGCGGTATGGATATCATGCAGAGGCCCGGAAGATGCAACAAAGAAGAGACATATACAAGGAAAAACAGGAACAGCCCTCACGCCCCTGCTCCAATACCCGTACTTGGCCTGGTATTGGAAACAGAAGGAGCCTCACTGGGTACGAGGCCGACCTTGGGATCAGGAATCTGGATATCAAGCGACATGTATGCCGTCCGCCTCAGGCTCCAGATGTGAACCCCGTCCTTGGAGCCAACTTCTCGATTCCACTTCTCCAGCCAGGCCTCAACTTGCTGGAGTTGGCTTTTTACGCCAGGGCCGTTGATATCATCCCATACCCAACCAGTCAACAGTCCCAAAGCACCATCAAGCCAATTCCGGAAGCTGAATGGGTCGAAAGCTTTGATCACTCCATCATTGACTGTCGAAATCACCTTCCGGAACTCCTGCTCTGACAATAACGGATCCAAAATCTCAGGATACAGATTTGAAAACGTTGGTGCCAGGTCGCCTTGAATCATCCAATCTCGACGGATGCGAATTACACGCGTTGACAAATGCTCGTGCGACCCAATAGGCACATGCGGGTTGAAGTGAGGAAAACACGGATGAGCAGGACCCCAGGCCAATTCCTCCGCGACATCAGTCGGCGGCTGACCAGTGTGAGAAGGCACGGAGGCAATCTGGGACTGGGACCGCAGAGAAGTCTGCGACGGCGCATGACGGGGCCGGTCACTCTGTCGAGTCCCAGCTTGCGTGAGATGGACGGCCTCGGGAGGCCGCAGGTTCTCCGTGTCCCGCGCGGCGCTGCCCGCAAACGCAGCAGCCATGTCAGCGGGTGAATATTGTTCACTGCGCCGGTGTCGGGGAGGGAGGGCGATGCTGGTGCGGCCGCTTTCCGTTTCCCCCTGACTGCGCTCGACGAGTAGGCTGCTTGGGGAGGGGGTGAGTCGACTGCGTCGTCGCTCGGGGACGCTGAGGAGTGGGCGGGCGTCTCGTGAGTGCCCGTATCCTAATGGGAGACTTTCGTCTGAATGCTGTGGGGGGAAAGAAATTGGGGTGATGCGGGGGACGTGGTTGACCGGGTTGGCCAGGCGGACTGCTGGAGGGCGGAGAATGGCTAGCGACGGTGGGCCAGGAACGCACTGTCGCCGCTGGGCGCGAACGAAGGGTGGAGTGGGCTCCACGGAGGCGCTTGCAATTGTTAGGGAATGGGGTTTCGATAGAGAGTTGTTGGTCTCGAATGACGCCGTTTTGAAGGAGAGGAGCGGAGATAGAGATCGGCGAGAAAAGTCACCGCAGAGACTTGAGGGGACATGCAGTACAACGAGAGAAAAGGTGTGAACGAGAGAACGACTGAATAAGATCTGATCTTAGATCAGATCCGTGAGATTTGTTTCGCTCAATTTTGCGACACTGGCAGTTTCGGCATAGAAACTCGCTTGGCTCCACTGGGTATTTGATATCAGGTCTCGGGTACGAAAAGGACTCTGGCTTTGGATACAATTAGACCGAATTCACGTTCAATGCGAAGAGAGTGATTTGCAACAACTCGTTTGACTCCGGTTTCACTGTGATTAACCCACCGCGATCCCTTGTTTCATCCTTTATTGGCTAGCATGCAGACTACGGGATACTACAAACACTATGAGCTACTATGTGCATGAACGGCAACCTGAGATCAACTTGACTCCCGCGCGTCTTGTTTCAATCTAGTCCAGGCTTCGGCAGACTTCGAAAAAAGTGAACTTGGGGGTGAATCTTGTACGGAACACTTGGGGATGCACCGCGCATAGAGTCCCGAGGTCTTGGTTTTAGGCTTTCCTTTTCTGAACGTCGCCTCGGGCATCATTGCGCATATTGGGGGTCCCTGCATCAAGGAGAGGGCTACATGCTCCAAGGTTTACCTAGTACATAAGTACATATATGTACCCATCGAGCCCCAGGAATGGCGAATCTTTAACATAGCCCTAGCCATGTGGTGAGGGGTTGAACAGGCATAACCCAAGTGATACTCAACCAGTAGCAATTCTTTGAGTTATTGGTATAGCTCATTCACTCTCATGCTTGGACAGGTAACTAGATGTTTGTTGACCTGACAAAATTGACCCATTATACTCCAATGGCTAGGAGTCATGGCTGCAAGGGTGAGAAAACAACCACATAAGGATACAGATCCGCGGTCGATCTCAATCGCAGTCACCAGATAGAAACTGTTACATGTTAGGGGAAAGGGATGAATATAAATTGTGACTGCCATCGACAGCATAGTTGTACGAAGTAGATCTGTGGTGATTTGATAGGCATTGACATTTCAAGGTTGGTGACAAGAATACAACTACCGTCGAGCCCAATCAACCCGAGCAACCTTGGAAGGTGATGCCTAGGTCGCGGATCGTTATTGATGTCTCTAAATGGGTTCCTGTGAACGAAGGTAGGATAGGTATCTGGCACTATCCATGAGTGAAGGGTACAAGTATGGCAAACGAGACAGTGAATTATCTCAGTGGTCTTGCAAGTTGGTAGCCCTGAAGCACTACCTAGGTACTAGGTATGGAGTGGATTCATCTGGTGGCAGAGAAAGTGAAATCTCTTAAGAGATTTAATAACAAGAAATGGTCAAGAGAAAATGCCGAACGAATTCGAGCATGTGAGTGTATTAATTAGGTAGTAGCCGAAGTGAATATACATTATCGAAGATGATAAACATCGCAATAATTACTTCATAAAGTCGTGTAAAAAGCAAAAGGGTATAAAGATCAAGAATGAGCAATCACAGCTTGCGATTCGCCGAAGCTTGCATGCGTCGCATCGCCTGGCGATGAAGGTCAGTCATACTGCCACGCTGCATGCCTTCGGCAATTGCATTTCCAAGCTGGGTAGAAGAAGCCTCCCGCATCTGTTGCACAGAGCCCCACGTATTGCGTTTATCGACGGGACTAACGGGGCTGATGGGTGGCGATTGCAGGATGTCGCGCTTGTGGGTGATTTCCTCACGAACGGACTGTCGCCACGCTGCCATCCTCGAAGCAGACCTGTTTAGGTCGCCGGAGGGCGAAGGCGGGGACTGGATCGGGGATGCGGCTTCCAGGCTGTGAAGGCTTGCTGAGGAAGACCGCATGGGTTGCCGTTGGAGTAGGGCACGGCGCTTGGAGAGAGGGATGTTGTCTTCGTCATGAGGCGTATAGTCTTCGTCTCTTTCTTGTGGGGCGGAGAGTGGAGAAATTGGAGAAATGGGGGAGATGGGAGAGATGGGGGACGCAACATTAGGGATTTCATGTAAAGATTGGCGAGATTGGTTGCGAGAGGACCAGGGATCGAAGCGGTTGGATGTCGAGGACATGCGGTTTCGCACCATGTCCTCGCGCACAGCGAGGAGGGGAGGTGGACCACTCCAACGGGGCGATGGTTCCGTTTCTTTGGGCTCGTTGGGCGTGGTGATTGTCAGCAATGGAGTGGATGCATTACGCATGGCTTTTAATCCTTGCTCTTGTACTGGCGAGGTTGGACCGGAGGACGATCGCATCATCGGCACTGCAGCTGCAGGTTCGTTGCGAGTGACAAGAGGTGGCATTGCTTTGGTGGTAAGACCGTGAGCACCGGTGCGGGTCTTTGACCGAGGAATCTCTGGACCCGGTGTCGACGAGACATATTCATACGGTTGTTGTTCCAGCTCTGGGGGTTCGGGCCTGTTCACTATGGGGGCTGGCTGGGCTGTGAGCGGTGTTTGGAGAAGGCCGTCGACATCAACGACGGCTGGAGCCTCATGGGCTTCGTCGGATTCTTGTGTCTCTGGATCGGGGTCGAACTCAATAGGCTCCCATTCGGGGATATCAGCATCTGCAAGATGCTTGGCCCACTCGTTGGTGCGGTAGGAATGAATGACTCGCGATGTTTGTTGGGGAAGTGCCTTAATTGTGTTCGCATCTAGTCGTTTGATCACTTCGACCTTTGGCTCGACCTTTGGTGGCTCGATCTTTGGCTCAGGAACTGGCTCGGGAATGGGTTCAGGAACTGGTTCCTGGACAGGCTCCGGTGTAGGCTCCGGCTTGGTTGTAGCAGCAGTCCGAGGTTGACTTTCGCTCACGTCCTTCGCGGTTTCAACATTTCCGTCGCCCGGAGGAGAAGATTGCAACGCGCGCTCAGCTTTGACTTCTTGGGTCTTAATAGCTGCAGCTACAGCCTCGGGTTGGGCATCCGTAGGCTGTGAAGTCTGTTCGGGCGCAGCGGTCGAGATAGGCTGCTCAGTTGCTTTGGTTTTGCTCGGATCTTCACCAGAGCCTTCGGTAGCAACAGTGGACTTGACAGGCTCCTGCTCCGCAACATTTTTGTTGGCGCTTGCTTCTTCAGAAACAACCTCTTTGGCAGCGTTCCCATCGACAGCCTTTCCTTCTATGGCTTCTGTGTCATCCCGAGCAGCTTGTGAGCCAACATTGGACTTGGCATCGACGTTAGCAGCAGGGATATCCTTCTCGGATGTCTCCGAAGCATTGATCTCGCGCTCAGTCACCTGGACAGGATCTTGAACGTCGGATGCGACACTCGGGCAGCCCACACTTGATCCGTGGAGGTCGTCTGCGACGCCCTGGACTGATGAATTGGCATCATCGTGGATAACCATGGCCTCCTGGGAAAGCATCGATGCTCGGTTGGCCATGTCTCTGCCCGAGAAACGCTTTGAGCGTGGTGTGCCAACCTCCGAACCAACGATTGCACCATTCTCGGAAGCATCGTCGCGAGCCACGCCGAGGGCATGGGTCACAGGAGTTGTAGGTCGGTGGCCCTTTGGCTCGTTCTCTGGCCCATGTTCTGGGCCATGCTCTTGATCCTGAGATGACTCTTCCGGCACAGCCTCCAATTCCCGGGTCCCATTTTCACCAGTGCTGTTCTTCTCACTGCCCGAAGCACTGCCAGATGAGTCCGGACTATGCACTTCCTTAAGTTCAATATCGGCGCCCTTTTCATTATCAGAAGAAGTATATCCATCGGAGCCCCGGCGTGAATCGCCGACTGCGGTCTCGGAAATGGAAGCTGTTTTCACATCGGCTCCTTTGCCGTTGCCATAGATAAGCTCCCATTCAGCGCGCTCTTGGATGTTCTTTTCCTCCAGACGTCGACCAGCTTCAGCATCCTCCTCTTCGATCTTCCTGTTGTGCTCTTTGCGGATATCCTCCTCCTTGGCTCTGCGTTCCTTGATCACGTTCCACAATCTGACCTGAGAGATCACGCCTAGAATACCGACGATGATAGTTGCCGCAAGCTCAACGCGAATACCACGCGTCACAGGATAGGTATCCGTCCTGAGAGGGAATACATTGTTGTTCAAGCCTAGAAATATTAGTATGCAGAAGAGTATGAGAGCAATCTCAAAACATACCCCAGATATAAAGCCAGAATTCTTTCAAGCCAGCTCTGCTGTAGCAGTCGATTCCGAGGACTAATGCCGTTGCACCTGAGAATGAAGTGCATCCAATCAACCCATAAGGCCGGGTGTAATGACTGAAGCATAAGGAATAGAATCCAACTGCGAATGCGATGATCATTCCAGCCTTAGGACCGCTTTCAGTAAGCAGACCACCGGGTCTGAGGGTCAAAAACCACATGCTCAGACAGAAGCCACCCAAAAGGCATCCGAGACCTTCACATATTTCTCTGAAAACGAGGGAGAGGCCACCGAAGACAGCTCCGGTGAAGAAAATGGCGACCAAATAGCCACCCTGCACGGCATTGCTGACCGGTGGGCTCATCACATAAATAATCAGGACCTATTGGAGATATTAGTCGAGTGCTCTGCGGGTGGTCAGTATACAACTCACAGTGACTCCCAATGCAGTGCAGAACCCAGTGGAGAGGAAAATTTGAACCCTATTGAGCATCCAGATGTCAGCAAATGCAATAAGCCGCTCAGACCATGCTGCATACCATTGTTTGCGAACACCAATGAAGGCCAAGACGGCTCCAAGTGCCATCAGTATGAATCCCCCTACTCCAAACGCCGGCGTGATCTTGGGTGTGATAGGGAGACCACTGGTGTAGGTTGGCCTTGACGAATCTGACCCATCTGACTCAGATGAACTCGTTGTTCCATCGAGTGAAGGTACAGTGGAAGTGGCGGAAGGTGTCGATGTCGTTGCCGTAGCATTCAATGAGCCAGTCGTTAGGGCATGCGTACCCGTAGCCGTGGGCTGTGCCGTTGTCGAAGCGTCCGTGGCTGTGACTGATACATCTGTCTGTGTTGCCGTCACCGAAGTCTCGCTGCCACTGCTCTCTGCGGTTGTCGGACCAGCATCCTGCTCTCCATCTCCATTGGCGATCTCATCCCGCCGGACCGGGCCCGAGACGGGTGCTGCCAGTGTCCCTAGTAGCAGACATGAGATGATCAAGGTGATGAGGGTAGACCACCGCATTTTTGGGCTCGGATTCGCACAGGGAATCAGAGGTGAAGGGCGGAAAAGAGACACCGGATATCGTACTCCGTAGTTATGGGAAGATCAGCGCTCTTTGACATACTCTTAGCGCGCGATGTCAGAGGATGGGACGCGAAATCAATAGAATCCACGCGCCAGGCACTATTAGTTCGAGGATCCCGTCTAAAGTATACGGTGTAGAGGAATCCCAAAAGAAAAAAAGTAGCTCGTGAATAGCGTCAGGAGAAAAAGCAAACGGATAGCCCTAGGCCTCCCTACATATAAAACCCACTAAACAGAACAATACAGCGGGGCCTCACGGAACAGGAAAAAAACTCTTCCTATGCAATATTTGAGTTTCATTGGCGACAGGGACGTGTTTACCAATTTGTAAAATGGACTAATTTGACCACGCGAGACTAGTGGGCTACGAGCTATCTAACACGACCCACCGATCGCGCAAATTGCCGATCTAGCAAGGATCAACTGTGACTAGCTTCACTTGCAGGGGGCAATTTAGGAGTTAGTGCGAAGATTTTCCCTCGGTGCTTAACGCTTGACTTTCCACGGCGAATCATTCTAAACCCTTGTCAGTACTACTGTAGTCCGGAGTGTGTACTGTAATGGGTTCTTGCTTTCCCTTAGGATTTTCTGCCCTTGGAGATCAGTCCTACAGTACGGAGTATGTATACTAGTACCTAGTACTTACTAGAACTAGTACTGTACATCTCACGCATGACATTAGACCTGTCACTACCCTCCGTATTCACCGTCATTTAGTGCATCAATAAACCCGAAGCGTGCGCCATAGGTACGAGTAAGACCGCCTATTCTTTCGCCTTTGGGCGGGTGGCGCCGTCCTCGGTGTAGAGGCTATCGCAGCCGATATATCAGATATCCCCCGACGCCAGACGCATTGTCCTGCAGGCCCAGAACCTGTTAGTTTTCCCATTGTTGGCCAACAAACGCCCTTTCTGCAGAATTGACGTGGTCGGGCCGCTAATTGACTATAGCTGCAAGCCCACGTAAGGAGTCAGCAATGCATCTGAGACAGACAGCTATCTTAATTTCATCGTAGTTTTTGGCTCGCTCAATCAGCAGTGGCCACTGCGGCACCCGCTTCCTCTATCCTGGTTTCGGTATAGCATCGTCTTTTGGTCCTTCTCGATCTGCCTCGGGGTTGCCATTTCCAGTATAGTAGCCGGATTGGCTTCGTCCTGTAAGTACGGAGTACACTTGGACGGGACAGCCGGATGTGATTGTGACGCGATTGGGCTGATCTTCGTACCTTGATGTGATTCCTCTGTTCCTGGCCTGAGTTGGCTTGTGCCTAGACAATTCTCCGTCAGGTTAGTCTGCACCCATTGCTTTTGGTCTATCTTTGCTTCTTCGGGCGCCAGCTCGATGACTTAATGACTCGGAACTTGCGCCGTTGAATTTGGAACCTGGACATGATAGCTGCTGGTTTCCCCAGCTTGTACGATGATCTCGGCCGTGGACTAGCTCCTTTGAGGCCCTGGGCTCGCCAGACGACCCTAGTCCAACTTCCAAATATTCAATCCCAAAGACTACCAAGAGAATCATTTCCAATCCAACTATCCCAATAAATGCGAACGGTATCACATCTGTAGGCGGAAGTGCTCTGGTGGATAGGGGTAGATCACATGACCCGTCACCACCTTCGCGTGAACCTCAACTCCAGTCGTGTCCACTCGCAATCAACAATTCCATACCCAACCATGTCTTTCCTCTCTTCTCTGCGCCCTGGCATGCGCCTGGCCAATGCTTCCCAGACCGCTCGCGCCTTCAGCACCTCCCCCGCTCACTCTGTCGCCCGCCTTACCCTCACCGGTCGTCTCGGCGCCGAACCCGAGCTCCAGACTACTCCCAACGGCACAGAGGTCGTCAAGTACTCCGTCGGAACTAACTACGGTCCCCGTGACAACCGCCAGACCAGCTGGTTCCGTATCTCGAATTTCGTGCCAGAGGGCGCCCAGCGTGACTACATTCTTGGCTTGCAGAAGGGGTGAGTTGAAGCTATTGTTTTTTGTTTTTTCCTTCCTTTTTCCTACGATTTTCCGAAACGGGGTCGCGCGGCTATACTCGTACAGTGGGCCTTGACAATTGAGCCGCTGCATTCATTTCTTGTCGCGACAGTGCAGCGCGATGTTACACCAGGATAGCTGGAGCTAGGGCGCGGAGCTCGAATAACATCAATGCCTCCTGTCGGACACGATTGAAACACACCTACCCCACGAGATGGTCCCACAAAACCAGTGCTGCGTTCTCGCCCACGTTCTTTGCTGGGTGACTGCCTAGCTTCGTGCATCTGCGATGCCCGACAATTGCAAGATTATAGAGAGAGAGGCTAACTAGCGTCATAGAACCCTTGTGTATGTCGAGGGTGATGCCAGAATGAGCAACTGGGAGGATGCAGAGGGCAAGAGCCGCTCTACTCTGAACGTTGTGCAGCGTAAGTTACCCATGATATGAAGTAAGACTGAACACTAGCTGACCTGACCAGGCACCATGGAGGTTCTCAAGCGCGGCGAGAGCCGCGAGGGCGAGAACTAAGCAGCTTTCTAAGAGCCCTGCCTTCAATCAATTTTTTTGCTATCATATTTTGAGTATTGATCATACGTGATCTTGCGTCTTGTGCCATAATTGGCTTGGCGGTGCTTGAGGTGTTCACAGTCTACAGCTTCAGACCCTGGGATCTTTGAATTCTCCAATTTCTTGTATTGTTACTACATTATGAATACACTCCGTTCTCGGGCCCGGACAGCTTCCAATGCACCTAAAGCTCTTAGATTGGCGTAAGCTGGGCAGCTGCAAGTAGCTCTAGGGGTGAGCTTTGCTCGTATGAACGTGTCCCTGCTTCTAAGTATAGATCTGCTGTTATACGGTGTGCAATGGAAAACCTTATTCACCCCATGCGTTCGCCTAATGCTTTACATATCACATCCTAGAACCTTGGAAGACCATGGGTGATTCTGTAGATCTTGCCCACTACTCCGATGCGTTTAGAACAATCACAAATGCACGATGAATACCACGCTGTCGATCATTCGATGCGGTCAACGGTGGCAGTGTCCCAATGGCATCGAATCCCAGTACGGAGTACATGTGCATGTACATACTCAACTTCCAACCACTCCCCTTCTTGCGCTAAAATTCACCATCCAATGCAACCAGCTTGTACCCCGTATCTACGGAGTAATAGGCAGAGCTTTTCCTCCAGAAAATTCCGCCCAGGTGTCATTCGAAACCTGGCGAACTACCGAATCACACGGCGCATGATCGCCTCTGCAGGTCCTCTGGTTTGATCTGCAATAAGACCAATAGGCGCATTAAGTTGGTACCAGTGATTGGTTTGTAGGGAGGCTCTGGATCGAGGCTTTCAAAGCTGCATGAAGATCTAGATTGAAACAGCTACCACGTAACCCAAGAGCTGGGCGATGCAGTCAAATCATCCATGGATGATGCCATCTCTTACACCGGGTGGTTACTAGATTCCCCGCAACTTTGGAAATGTGATCAGCATTGGAAATCATGGCAGCGCTCACATCTTGCCTGGAATGATCTTTAATGTACATATGTACACGTAGGTCGATGCAATAACTTGTGGTCGACCTTACCGGTCTACTTTCTGTTCCAGACTCAGATGTACACTTTCCTGTGTCGGGGAATGAATGTGGAACTTCAATTGTAATTTTTATTCCTGAGTGATACCGAGTCGAACATTAATATTATTGATAGAAGTCAAGTCCATTTCATGTATGAGGACAGCATGGAAGGCCATTGCTCAAAGTGCAATCCCCAATCCCCGGGGCACCAGCTCAAGACGACAACCCCTGACCTATCCATGAACCTCACTCTGTTGGCTAATGACATGCTGCACATGAATATTGTCCTTGTTGGAGTCCGATGAAGTAGGACTCGGAAAGGAGTCCTTACTGCGGGGGCTGGCCCAAGCATTGGTGAGAACGGAGTTCGATGTACCAGAAACATCCTGCAATGGGAATCCTTCTTCAGTCACAGAGCGACGAGAACGACGTCCAAAGAGAGATGACAGCCAAGTCCAGCGGCGCACAGGCAAGCTGCCACGGGGAGAAGAACCCTTTTCGATATCATTGTAGGTACCGTGAGTCAAGAACGTGGAAGTAGAATCCTTGCGGCTGAAGATCGACTTTGCATGATAACTGATAGTCCCCACGAGAGTTGTGCCTGACTCCGCTCCTGGACTGCTTGCATGGGTGGGTGAGGTCATGGGACGCTCGATGCTCGAGAAACAGTAGCCCAGTCCGAGGTACCAGAAGATAGTGCGGTACATTCGAGTGGCGTCACGACCGAAGCCGAAGAAGATGAAGACCATGAAGCCTGATCCGACAGGTGTCCAGCGATCGAAGAAGACGCTGTTGCCCTGTGGGACTTTGATGATCTTGAACCAGTCTTGATCGTGGGCTCGACTCCATGAGTATGGGTGCCAGGGGAGTGCGAGAGTGATGTCGGAGTACAGCACAAAGCCTTGAAGGGGTAGAATGCAAACCAGCATCGAGAGGGCGAGGAAGAAAAGACGCAGGAAGCGAGACTTGCTGAGATTGCTGCTTGATGCACGCAAAATGTTGGCAAAGTCGTTGCGATATCTGCGGACACGGATGAGGACCAGACCTAGCCATATTAGTTGGAGTGCTCATGAGGTGGTGAGATGGTTCTCACAGCAATAGTATGCTGCAATGACGCAGATGATGGGTGGCCAGATATAGGCTAGCACGAGGCTGACCCAGCTCTCGTCGTAGTTGTTCACGCATCCAGAGATGGAGAAGAGATAGTAGCGACTCTTCTGGTAAACGATGTGGGTGACCATTGCAATGAGAGGGGCGACGACACAGAAGATAGAATCTATAAATCGGTTGCGCCATCTTTGGCCTCGGCTCGGGACAAGGGTTGCACGGTCTGTATCCAGAACAATGGCTAGGCTGCGGAAGATACAAAGAAGAGCTCCTGGGACACCGATATACCCAGCCACCATGAGCTTGACCTCGATATCACACAGGCCAGAGCCGTCCCACCACGAATCCACATCATCCGTGGGCCAGCAGAGGGCATTGATGAAGTTGAACAAATTGAGAATGATTGACCAGGCAATCAGACTGGATGCCGGGTAGTTTCGATTCTTGGCCAGTAGAATCAACGGTGGGATTCCCACTGCGATGGACAAGAAGGACAGGGTTGGCAGAACCACGGCCAATGGATACCGATGGTGCACATCCATACTGGCAGTAGGTGTATACTGAGTTGGAGAGCGGACGTTTCTTGCGCGTAGGAGCATGAATTTGCAACAAGTTCAGAGATGCAGCAAGGACGAAGGGGAGAAGGATAGAATGTTCTGAACTCATCAACCGGTATATATCCAGACCTGCAATTGAGCAGTTTCGTCTTATTCGAATCGTAATCCGAATCAGGAGTATCAACGTTCAAGACATGACTTGAATAAGGTGAGGAAATGTATAGGTTGCAAAGGCAAAAGTCCTATACTCATACTGTTGAGCATGTTGAGGATTGAGTCATTGAATCATTGGCTCGTTGCGACATGGCTCCCGTCAAGCTTGAATAGGATCAAAGAGGATGAACAAAGAAGCGAGTCGATATAATTGTGAAGCGCGAATGAAAAAGCGCAGTTGTGAATAGCAGTTGGCGGATCCTGTCCGCATTTGGGGCTCAATAGATCCCGCAGGCTGGGCATCCTTATTCATTTCGCTGGTGGCGGCGCCATCCGTGATCTTCCCTGCAGCAGATGACCAGTGCAGTTAAGACCGTGCGGGCTGGATTCGAAATAGTCTGTATATTTGGTCTGGTCGTCAAGTCGGCTTCGTGGTTGGTGACTTGGTTGTTGGCCCCTTGGGCAGCAGAACACGAGAGTACAACTCACAGAAATTCTTGGAAGCAGTCGAATTGTCGTATCAATTCTGCACTCCGTAGAACTCTGCACTCCGTAGAGTACTTGATGGACTAATGTCAAGGGTGCTAATATACTCCGACCTCAAGTCTCCGATCTGCAAAGTTCAGCTCCACGTAAATTGCAACCTCGGGCCAAAGAAAAAAGCAATTATACATCTCCCATTCCACACCTGGGCTTGGAAGTCGGATTCACTGCATTTGCATCCATCATGACAGAAAGCCCCAATAGCTTCGATCGTCGGAACTCCACCCTGTCCGATTCAATATCAGAAGCCCGTAACTCCATCCGATCGTCGACAGACGACTTGTTTCTGCCCCGCGTATCCAAAGGTGACGATGTGCCAGAAGAATCGCATTGGCACTCAACACCCCTCGGCCTGGCCCTGCTGCCTGCGATCGCGGGCGTGTTCTTCCAGAATGGCAGTTCCATCGTGACCGACGTCACCTTATTAGTCTTGGCTGCCATCTTCCTCAACTGGTCCGTCCGATTGCCTTGGTAAATGCCCACACATCCCCTAGACTGGAATAACCACTAATTCCCCTCCAGGGACTGGTACCGATCGGCCCAAGCGACCCGAAGTGGACTCGACGATCAGACCCCCTTCGAGGAAGATTCATCCTCAGAGGCCGCCGCAGCGCGCAAAGAGCTCCAGACTCACGAGCTCGCCGCCCTAACGGCATGCTTTGTCTTCCCGGTCATTGGGACCTGGCTCTTACACGCCATCCGAGGCAGTCTCTCCCGTCCCTCCGAAGGCCTAGTGTCAAACTACAACCTGACCATCTTCCTCCTAGCCTCGGAAGTGCGTCCTATCGCCCATTTGCTCAGACTAATCCAGAAACGCACCTTGTATCTTCAACGCATTGTAACATCCTCGCCACCCAGTGAGCCAACCACTCTGGCAGACCTGACCAAGCGACTCGAAGAGCTAGAGGCCCATGTCGCAGAGACAGCGACCCGAGAGAAGAAAGTCGCAGGCCCCGAGACTGATTCGTCGCTTGTATCGCAGGCGGTCGCTGAGATCCGCAAGTCCATCCAGCCGGATATCGAGGCTCTCAATCGCGCTGTGCGGAGGTATGAGAAGCGCTCGTCGCTCTTTGCGCTGCAGACCGATCAGCGGTTTGTGAGGCTGGAGGCGCAGGCTGGGGACGCGATTGCGTTGGCGGCGGCGGCGCAGAGGAGCCAGGCGGCTAGGTCGGGGTATGCCCTTGTTTTGTTGGAGTGGGTGTGTGCTTTTGTGGTGGTTCCGGTGCAGATTGGGGTGTCGGCTGTGGGTTTACCGGGGAGGTTAGTCGCCGGGAGTCTGGATGCCGTCAAGGGTATGCTCGGGTTCAAAGGGAAGTCTAAGGCCAGGCCCAAGGGGGAAACGGTGGCTGGGTCGTCTTCGGCACGACAAGGAGGATCAGCGCAGAGAAGGCCCATGAAAAGTGGTTAGGCTTGTGAGTATAGGTTATGATTTCATGGATTACGGAGGATTTAGGAGTTGGTGTTTGATAACTATTGATACGAGGTTAAGGGCAACTATAAGAGACGTTGTCTGAAGGATATATCATTTATACATGATTATACATCGGTATACAACTGCATGAAAGTCTAAGTCAAAGGGACATGCTCTAGAGTCTCTAAAAAAGATCAAATTCAAGATCGGCCTCCTGACGGACCCCGATCATCCACTCCAATCATCTTCAGGAACGGCTCAATGATCGACCTTCTCCGCTCGTCGGTTGCACGACGTTCCTTTTCCTTGGCCGGCATGGTGGCTGAGGCAGAGATAAGAACACGTGCGAATATGGATGCTAAAGCAGCCTCTACTGCTTGTCGACGTGCTATTGAAGGGTTTGGGGGAGGGGCCTCCGGGCTGTTGGTAGATGTACTTGAGGACCGATTCTTGCGACGGAAAGCACCAGTTGAGATGAAAGAAGCTGCAGCTGCGGTTGGAGTAGGTGGTTGTGTTTGTTCAACATTTGTAGGCTCAGACTTCCCTGTTGATCCAGGATCGCCTTGTCTGGACGCATGTTGCGATGTGGTGGACGACACCGGGGCAACTTCGTTGGCAATGCGGGCAAGCATGAAGGTGACGAAGGTGAATGAGACGCTGTGGGCGGGCGAATAAGCGAGGCTTTCGAGTACCCATGCTTGGGTCTCTTCCCAAGTTCGAGCTGGAGCTTTGGCCTTCTCGCGGGCAATCATCTGCTGTTCCATGTCTTGCCACACCGATGCGGTCACGATTCCGTCTTTGAGGGAGTTGAGGAAAGTGAGAAGCGTCTCGGAGAGAATCTCTAAGCGCTGGATAGATGGAATCTCGGGAGGGAACACTGCAACAAGTCCTTGGTTCGTGTCTAGTGCTTCATGAACGCAATTCTGCAGCGAGGAACGCTCCTCTGGGTCTTTCAGGGTCCATGTATCTGGTTGAAAAGGCCATGCGCCTCCTGAGAGGTCTGTTGCCCATGGTGCCTTGTGCTCCTCGGATTCACCGTTCGTCATGCTCCATTCGGCCACGGCGCGCTCTGTCAGTTCGGAAATTGCCTCGGTTAGTCGGAAGAGCTCCCGGGGTGCCGACAGGCGGTTCGTAGAAGACCCGTCGGTGCTGGATGGATGCGGGGCGTCGGATTGGGCAAGGCTACGAGCACCCTCTTCTGGCATGCGCGTCAATTCATCAACAGTGCATCCGAAACTCGTTGGCAACCAATGCCCATGCACGGAGATAAAATGGTCACGGCCACCGTCCACATGAAGGACTAGAATATCTTCTAGTTTGACCTTTTGTATGTTGAGTAGGCGGACATGCTCAATATTGCGGATGTGAGCAATGACCTCAACATTTGCTACTTCCCCAGGATGCAGAGTGTGGCTGCCAGACGAAGAAGCAGTCGATTGGTTGTTCTCGTCATTCTCTGATGAGCGAGAAACATGAAGCTCAAGCCATTGAGGAATTGTTTCGTCCTTGTCATTGTGCCGCTCGGCAAAGGAGAAATTGGCTGCACTGCCGCTTGTGTTGGCAATTGTCAACGACCGATGGACTGGCACACCGAAGGCGACATCGCCGAAGTCGACAGCGTTGGGGTCTTTTTCTGATTGCTTCTGATCGCCATATTTGTCAACCACGACTGTTAGGTCTGGCCGGGCCTCATTCTCTGCCTTGTCCAGTTCACGAGCTACCTCCTGGTGAATCTTTGTCTTGAGTTGAGGGTTGACGGCATCAAAGCTCAAGGTAAAAATGGCATCCAAGGGCTTGTGGTCCGACGATAGGATTCCTTGGTGAGACAGATAATGATCCAAATGAATCGGGTCCTGTGAGGAGTCATGCGATGCAACTGTGGGCGCATCGTCGTCCGCCTGGTCTTCATCCGACGCATACTCCTCGCTTTGAGCCCCATCGGTGTCAGGGTCATATTCGAACAGAACATTATCATCCGCAACAGCCTTATCCAACCCACGAGCTTTCATTTCTTCGTCCCTTTGCCGAGCAACCTCGGCTTCCTGGTCGAGTTGCTCGTGTTTCAGCTTATCCCGTTTGGTGCGGAACAGGATTCGATCGCACCAGCTTGGACCCCGATGCTTTTCACTCGAGTCAAATGTGGCAACACTACCAATATCGTACTTGTACGTCGGTAAGAATGTTATTTGACCCTCCCGCCATCCTTTATGGAATGCCGTTCCCTTTTTCTGCTGAAGTCGTAGCTGATCATGGGGTAAAAGCGATGAGATTGTAGTTTGTAGAGATGCCGGGTCATTATGAGGGTCAATCTCTTCATCGGTGACTGGATTGGTCTCATCCTCGCCGAGGGGAGACGGTGGTGGCGATTCCTCAGAATCAGGAATTGAGTCTTGAGGTTCACCTGAGGACTGGCGTTTTTGGCGCTTCTTGTCGTAGGCGTTTTCAGTATGACGTGCGAGAACTTGACGCACGTCATCCCCAGGGATGTCCTCGAGACGGTAATTGAGGTCTCCAAACCAGAATGTGAAGTCCTCGTCTCCGATGGCTTCGCCGGACTCATCTGGTTGGCCTTCATCATCCGAGACCGGATCAAACCTTGCACGCTGGACAATCTGAGAAGAATCCCAGTTGCGCCGCTCCAGGCTGCTCTTGTCTGACCCAGCAGCTAGATGAGAGTTGATGAATACTAGACGGGCCGTTTCACCAAGAACGAGACGGACTGCCACGGCACCCTTGTTTCCCATATAGCCCATCAAACCGGTCCCAACTGAAGTGGTGCTGACAGACGAGATGCTATTTCCAATGGCAGGCGAGGCATAGACCAAGAGCAACAGTCCAATCAACTGAATTTCAGAAACAAGCTGATAGCCGGAAGGCAGCGACTGGTGCACTGCCTCTTTCCATCGCTTTGATGGTGCCGGGTCAACGTATGGTCGTAAGGCTTCTGCGGGAGAAGAAACATCGACCACCTCCTGTAGTCCCAAAACATAGAGGTCTATCTCTTCAGGACTGCAGTGGAAGGGTGCGGTCTTGTCTCCACCGGAGCTCGCCTGCTCATTCTTGCTGGTTTGAGCATCGGGCTCCTGGCCCTGTGTACATTTGGACCCGGAGAACTTCTCGCAGACTCCTTCTCCCTGCACAAACCACTTTCCAACGTCTTTCTCGGTACCGGAAATGGCGGCAACGTTCCACGAGCCGACCTTGACTCGAATGTTTCGTCTATGGGTGTACTCAGCTTTTCTCTCTTTAACCGCTCGAGATAGGGACAGAACATCGAGCCCGGGGTTTTCGATCTCCTCCGCATACTCGGACCCGTGGTCCCTATGCTCCGATGCGGGCCCTGATGACGATTGCGAATTTGCGCTCATGATGTATGTTGAGCTCCGACTGGCTCAGAACAGGGTACGGCGTATTGCTTCTTGGTATCGCCGATGGGGCAACCCGCTTTCGATCGTTCCGTATATATGCGACGCAGTGTATATGTAGATCGGCGCTTGTGCGGCTCGATTTCCCGGTTATATTTGATGCGCAAGTATCGTTGCAAGAATAGCGCGAGGGCGGATGGGCTATCTGCAAATATTTAGAGAGCAATGAGAGGGTGGTATCTTGCGACAGTCGGCTATTCCATTGTATTCATCCCACCATAGCTCAGAAGGGTAGCTTCCTCGGAAGGTGACAGAAGGCAAAGCCCAGAAGCATAAATGACAATGAGTGTTCGAGACTCGTGGGATCAATTGAGGGAGAGGTGAGAAGAGGCGCGAGTGGGACGGAGAGGGCGGACAATGACGCACCACTTAGACGCATCGGCCATAATCTATAAGACCTTCTGCCTTTCCAACGGGTTCACTAGTTTCTATTGATACTATCTTATATTTTCAAACTTGTTCCAAGTTGAATAGGAAATTGAAGTTTTGACGTGATGTGGACCTGTTTCTGCATTTCATGTGCCCGCCTTGGAGCTCCAGGACTCCCGCACACGGCCCGCCTTGAGCTTCCTCCGTAAATCATCTCGGTCTTCGCGGTCTTCGCTATCACGTCCTACCTCCCAAGGCTCCCTTCTCTCCTGCTCTCTAGATCCTGTCAAGATCTACGTGCTCCTACCCTCTGCCGCCACACGAGATTATGACTACCCGCAAAGGTCGTCGACAAAACAACCAGAATCCCGTCAATCTCACCGACTATGAATCAGACGTAGCATATCACTCCGACATGCCCCAACAACCCGCGCCAGCTCTGCGCTCGAACGAGGAGCTCAACCTCTCTGTCATCCGCCGCCACAAGCCCTCCGTGACCAACATCCTCTCCCTCGCACACTACGCCGTCATCTACATCTTCAGTCCAACCTCGAACCAGTGGGAAAAGAGCGGGGTGGAAGGAAGTCTTTTTGTTTGCCAGGAATCGCTGGGAGATCTTGGCGAACATCGCTACACTGCCTTTGTGCTCAACCGTCGCGGACTGAACAACTTCGACCTTCCGCTAACCGACGGCGAGAATGTCGAGGTAACGGACGACTATGTCATCATCAAGGCGGATGAATCCGCCGAAGGTGCAAGCGACACACCTGCCGTCCCCGGAAACCAAGCCATCCCGCGCATCTACGGCATCTGGATCTACTGCGAACCCCCACCCAACTCTAGTGCCGACAACCGCACCGTCAACGCGAAGATGATTGAGGATTGCGCCGCCCACGCCGGGTATAGTATGCAAGTGGCGCGCGAACACCTTGAGGCTGTGCAGCAGAACAGTCTCCATGCCGCGGCTGCGGCAGCCACTACCCAAGCAGCACCATTGGAGGAGGTTCAGGCTAGTGAGCCCATGGGCCGTCAGGTATCTTTGAAAGATTTGTTTGGCCAGCAGCGCGCCCAGGATGATGGCTGGACTGTGCGTGCGCACCATCTACCCGCGCAACATCCTCCACAGCCGCAGCACACCTATGGGGGCATGATGCCCCAGCATATCCCCGTGCACCCGCCCCCACCACAACCGCAGGGCGATGTGCTAGGAGACTTGTTCCGCAGAGCAGGGTTAGCTTACCAAGGTCCAGCGGGATACTAGGGGCTGTTTGGGGCTGTGCGCCCCCGCGAATCATTTTTATGGCGTCCGACATTAGATATCCCAATTGCATTTTGGTTCCGGTCTATCTTGGTGCTGCTCCCTGGATTACGTGGGTAAGCTCACATCTATGGATCCCGCATGCATCCCTGTGATATCATGGATGTACGCGACCTCTCCACTGGTCTCTGGTATCCGTATGTCCATTCTGCCATAGCCTGGTCCACGCCCAATGACTGAATTGTGTGCCTCATACGCCCACAATACTCCCGATCATACCAGCAACCTTCCTCGCCATGGTATCACTGTGTTCTATCAGAGTCAGCCAAACGCACCTGAAAATCCTTGAAGGCAGCCCAAAAACTCACTCAGACAAAACGCATGTGGCAATCCTTCTTCGCAGACAACCATTGTAGGACCACCTTCCTTGCCTCGAAGCGCAACAATATCATCCCTCGTCTGCTCCGCTACCCAATGGTCGTTCCTACCAAAGTAGAAGAACAACTTGGCAACAGGTTCGCGCGCAGCACCCCAGACATCATCCCCCCATTTGTCCGAGGTAATAGTGCGCATTTCATCGGCGGCCATATGTCTACGCAGAATTAGCACAGTCTTACTCTAGAAAGGACAAATCATACAAGGCCTGTCTCACGCCACCCCGGCTCTTCAGGAACAGACACGTAGTATCCAGCGCGTGGGTTGGCGGGCCATTCATCACGACTCGAACAACGCTTCGAAGAACCGATAACGGAAGCAAGAATGTCAGTAGCCGCGCAAAGAGACTGACTACTAATGCCAGACGCGGGATTATCGACAATAGAGTCTGAATATGTCAGTCCCTATCTCCAGTTCTCATAGGCAAGCTGCAAGGACGAACCGTGAGTTTTTGACCCGAGGGTGACGCCGCAATATCCTTAACTGTCGGGAACAACATGACACCACCGATGATATCGAATGGTTGATCGCGGTGTCGATTCAAGATCTCCATGGCCATATATGCACCGACAGAGTGGCCAATCAGTATGACCTTCTCTCTGCTGGGATTTCCATGACTGTCCCTGGAATTGGCATTGTTCTTTTCAGCCATTAATGTATTGAGATTTTTCTGTACGAAACAAATCTGGTCTTCAAGATCAAGGTCCTTTGGGGACTCTTTTCCGATCTCGAATCCGCCCAGGGAGCTTCCGTAGATCCGGAATGAGGTCTCTTTCGTGACATACTGGGCGAGAAGGGAGAGGAAAGGGTGATAATAGCCGATTAGTCCGGGATTCCCGGATATGAAGAATATTGTCGTTTTGGGCGCAGGGCCTGTGGTTGTGGAGAAGGTGTTTGGGGTTATTTCGGAGGCCATTGGATCTGTGGATGGGACTATGCCAGTTCGATCTATATGCAAAATTGGAATTCCTGTGAGCGCGGCGTGTTATCAGTGCCGAGGTATATGTGGCAACGGCCTCGAGTATCTTTGCCAGGAACTGGAGTCGTAAATAGGAGGTGACGTTGGATTCGATGGTGGATCCCATATTGCCTTCTGGCGAATAGAGGGTGACTGCGCTCTATAGACCAACCTTGAACCTTCCACTGCTCAAGGGTTCAATTGAATCACAATACTGCTCTACACGAAACCTTGGATGTCAGTCCTAGATGAAAGAGGCAGAATTGGGAGATTGTTCAACACGACTGCTCACCTGCCCAGGTGGGCATATCGGAGCTTACACCAGACAAAGAACGCCATAGCCTTAGAAATCGTACAGGAAATCGTACAGTACACTCAACGTTTATATACCGCCGCAAGTAGAACTTGGGAGCCATGAAAGAGTAGACACGAAAGATAATCAGGATATATTTGCTCCATTCCCGGATCCAATGCATTTCCCGACTCCATGTACAGCCCAGACGCCAGAAACAGACCAGAAAGCCAAAAAGGCAATCGGACAATCATCCATGCATGACCTGCATCTGGCACTTAGGCCAAAGGGATAAGCATACAAAAACGCCTGGCTGATGATGTTTATCCTTCTTTGTCGTCCTTTTCATCGCGGTTTTCCTTCTCGCTATTTTCCACGACTGCAGAATCCGGTTTTGACTTCGTTGCGCCGATATTGATAGCAATCCTCTTGGGCGCTGCACTTGCCACGCCGATAGCGGTGTTCTTGTCCGTCGAGGAGCCTGAAAGGCTTCTTTTCCGCAATACGCTGCCAGCGCCAGAATTGCTGCTCGTTGAACTTCGTCTCTTCGGGCCTGCTGCAAGTTTGACCAGCTCGTCTTCGTCCTCCTCCTCGCGGCGGCGCTTTTCAGCAAGTCGTTCGAACGGCGGTGTCTGGGTTGGTGAAGGGGCTTCTGGGTCGGCCGTTGAGTCTGGCTGTGCGCCTTCGGGGTTGGTGTCCATGGGATCTTCCTCATCGTCGTCGTCGTCGGGGTAATCAACCAAGGATTTTGTCGCAGGGCTGGATCCGTTAGGGGGTTCAACCGCAACAGCTTCGCGGTCTTGGGACCACTTGATCTTGTATTGTTAGTTGCATCTTTGGCACTGTCGACCCAGGTACTTACTTCATCCTCGTCATCGGAGGTATTAAAGTACTCCTCTTCGGTGGCATCCATTTCTCTGGCGCCCTGCCAACGCTCACCATTGACAGGGATTCTGCGCATTGCATTGCCTTCTTCTTGGCCGAACAATGTGGAGTCAGCCTCAGCCCCGTAACCTTGCATTTGGTCATATCGCATGGTCAGAATCTGGAAGGTATCAACATAGGTGATTTTCTCGATTTTCTCGCGATATTTCTCGACGATGTGAAGGATGAAAGGTTTGATGTTTTCCCGCCTAATGAACTCGAAAAGTTCTAGACAGGCCGAGTTCAACAGGTTGTCGCGAGGCATTGTATCATAGACAATGTCTATGATCAACCCAAATGTGTTGTTGTGTGTCATAAGCGCTTGATAGAAGGTATCTTGGAGGCTCATCAAGGTGCGGAAAAATTTGAGAGCGACTTCGAACGTAAGCCATTGCATTGTTGTCTGGGTCATGCACACTTACCTAGTTTCAGGTGTTTCTGAGGGACCTGTAAGAGTTGGGCGACACGAGGCGCAAGAGATTCGCTCTGAATGGAAATACGAGTGCGGAATAGGTGCTGGCGGACAAAGAAAGTGAGGATATCAACAAGGTGGGAGTAGAGGGTGACCTCTTGGAATGTCAGATCATTAACTGGGGTAGTGTTAGCAAATCGAATTCGCTAGTCCTATCCAACATCACTTACGGGCTTCGCGGTTCGCGAGCTGTTTGAGGGGTTGGAAAAGCCGTTTCGAGGACTCATCGAAATGTTGCTGGACAAATGCATCGGAGAGAAGGTTGTTGGAGCGAACTTTGAAGTAATCGGGTCCAGCCCGACCAAGCGGGTCCTGCAGAGGAATCTGAGGATCGAGAAGAATCTTAATGGCATCAGCGAGTTGGTTTTTAACGCCGAGGTCGGTCTCCACGTGAAGAAGGTCAATCAAGGTGTCTGTAAGAGGTGTCTTTTTCTCATTGACGGCCTTGAGCATATATCCTCGCATCATGATGGGGTCGTGGTCTAATAAAGCCATCAAGATATCAATACCGGTTGTGCGCATTGATGGATTGAGGTGCTTGACGGCGAAGGCGATCACTTGGAACAAGCCGTGGCCGATAAAGTTCGCGAATAGTTGCGCCCGCGATGGAGCCTGCAAGTTCTTCGCGATGCCAGCACACTGGTGGAGGAACTGCACAGCATCATCCTTGCGTCTTTGATCAGGATTCCTTGGGTCGAAGACACTGAACAACTCCCGCAGAAACTGCACATTCCCTTGAATATGGTTCACAATCTCCATTTGGTTGAAGAAAATCAACGAATTGAGCACCGAAAATGTCGGATCGTCCAGGATCCGAGCCAGTACCACATCCTTCAAATATTGCAGCCTCCATGTGCTCCGGATCTTGCGGCGGATGAGCGGGTCCTTGATGGGCACGACCTCTTTGTATCGGGATTTGTCTGCAAGGTACTGTCGATGGTTCGCTTTATGCGTGGGGAACTCCGGATCATCTATGTCAGGGTTAACGCATGAGCCTCAATGGGGAATTACCATTGATCGTACATTCTAGAGCCCCAACCACGCCCAATATAACATGATCCGAGACCACAGTCTCAATTATGGTGTTGTCGTTCAACAAGATGAGAGACTTCATGATGTTGCACAGGCGATGCAAGTCCACCAAGCTCTCCAGATCTTCTGCCACGGACAGCAGCGGTACCAATTTGACGATGTATTCGTCGCGGATGATGAACTTCGATAGCGCATCTCGCCCGCCTTGCGTCATGCTCGCGGCTCGTGTGATCTGCTCGATTTCTGTGAGGTGGCCGAGGTCGGGGGACGGTAATACGATTGACTGGTAACTGTCGAGGTCGTCGGACAAGGCGTCATCTTGAAAATGGTTAGGACTGCGGGTACCCGAACGAGCGACAAGCTTACCCGCCATAGTCAGACTCAGGAGATGCGTTTGGACGGCATGCATGAAGTCCCTGAGATGGGGTTAGCCGATGCGCGCACCATGGGGAACCGTGGGATCATCAATCACCATATAACAGCACATCCTTCTGCCTCCTGGAAACTGAGCGCCATGTCCGTCCCATTTGACTCGGTCCATACGATCAACGTGTCTGGTTGCGCGATCTCGTTAGTCATAATGACCGGTGTGCGGTGTCGGATCAGGTACCTTGCTGTTTCTGGTAGCTATCATCCTTGTTGATCTTTGTTTCGAGTAATACGCGATTGGGTTGGTCTTCCGATTCGACAAATATACGGGACTCCTCCTAGAGCGATGCGATCAGTGTTGTGTCGATGGTGGGTTGTGGCGCGCGATGGAACCATGACCGCCATCGCGCACCGGGACGCGCGACTCACTCCCAATATCTGACCGGTACAGAAGCCGGTTCCTCGGTCAAACCAATCATTGTCCCTCAGTTCATAGACCTTGACACGTCTGCGACCGTCGGGCGGCTGAACTTCCAGCGCCATGGTCGGGCGGGAAAGGAGGCGTCTCGTCACTCCAGGCGGAGCCGGCGCGAGAGAGCCGAATGAGAAAAAAAGGCAGAAAGGGGAAAAAGAAGAAGAGAATAACCAGTTGGGAGGTGTTAGGTGGAGATCTCGAAATGATGAAAGAGTCTGCGGAGGGGACGATCGGGGAGGTCCACCTGACGGCCTCGGCAGGTTCTGTGTTTAAAGGTTTTAAGATTTTCCCCTTGAGCTCAAAAGTTAACCAACACGCGACCGGGAATAAAGTGGGCACTTCCGGGTCTTCCATGGCATGACTCAAATATTTATAGATGTCTACGCTGGTCGTGTCTACTACTACCTAGGTAGTATACTATAGTACTGTACTCTGATATTCCAAGGTTGCCCAGGTGTGCACTTCAAACTACCGTTATCTGTGAAGATACCAATTCCTTCAGGGGGTATGGCGTCACTGTCGCTGGTATCTTTTCCGGAGTCTACAGTAGTGAGGCCGAAGTACTGGAACTTCCAACCTGCATATATGTACAAATTACCCGGGACAAACCAGTGGAATGGAGATCCAATCTACACAAGTTAAATCTATTAATATTCGCTGCATATCCGAATCAACGGATCTCCCGCATAAGTGTAGTACCCGCGCGAGACTTCCCGGGCAGAGAGCTAGACCCTCTGCCCGGAGGTACCGCCAAGGTACCTCGCACCGCCAATGGCCCAGCTGACATAAGGAAGCTCTCTCCGTTCCAAGGTTCGACGGGTTCCGCACGGACACTGACCGCCCCCCACCAGCTCACCGCTGATTGGCAGGGATTCATCCGCATGGCAGATTCTTATCGCGAGATAACCCGATTAGGAAAGGTTCCAGGCCGTGGCGCGCTTTTTCCCTCCAATGTTTAGAGATTTCTGTCTCTTCATCATTCACAGTGTGTCGACGAGCGACTTCGGGAGTTTTGCGCTCGTGATTGTGATTTTAAAGCTCCCTGTTTCTGTTCTCTACCTGCAACTGGTTTGCTCGGGGATCGTCTCTGAAAATCTTCAACCCCGCTTTCGAGACTCGCGGTTATGGCCGAGTCAAAGGACCAGGTTACCGTCCAGGCGTCGGGCGTGGAGGTCGATGCTGGTCGAGCGAGCTCTTCTTCTGCTCTTTCCTTGCCCAAGGATGCTGCTGTGGCGGTCGCGCAGACCCCTTCCCAGGAAGAGGCCTCGGCACAGCCCGCAGACCAGGTGGATGAGCAGAAGAAGGGTTTCTTCGCTTACTTCAAGACCAAGGAGTTCTATATAACTGTCATTCTTGGGTGAGTACCATGGGTCAGCTCACCTGGTTCATGCTAACTCCTGTAGACAAATCCTCGCCATCGCCAACACCTCGACCGGAACGTTCACCACCCTGCTCGGTAATGAACAATGGGCAATTCCTGCCTTCCAGACTTTCCTCAACTACGTGCTCCTGAACGCCATCTTTACACCTTACACGATGTACCGTTACGGTTTCAAAGGCTGGCTCCGATTGGTATACCGTGACGGCTGGAAATGTGAGTTTAACTTCTCTCGAATACTTACACTCTGACTAACGATAACAGACATCATCCTCGCTTTCTGTGACGTAGAGGGCAACTATTTCATCGTGCTGGCATATCAATATACTACCATGCTGAGCGCACAGCTAATCAACTTCTGGGCTATCGTCGTGGTCGTGGTGATCTCGTTTATCTTCTTGCGCGTGCGCTACCACATCACCCAGGTTGCCGGTATCATGATCTGCATTGGTGGAATGGGTGTTCTCATCGCCTCAGACCATATTACCGGCACGAACGGTGGTGATATCTCCAAGGGCAACCAACTGAAGGGCGACCTGTTCGCTTTGCTCGGCGCATCCTTCTACGGTCTCACGAACACTGGTGAAGAATACTTCGTCAGCAAGAGACCCGTCTATGAGGTTCTCGGCCAGATGTCATTCTTCGCTATGATCATCAACGGTGTGCAGGCAGGCATCTTCGACCGCACCTCTTTCCACAATGCGCACTGGGATGGCAAGGTTGGCGGATACCTGACTGGCTACACGCTTTGTCTGAGTCTGTTCTACTGCCTCGCCCCGCTGTTGTTCCGTCTCTCGTCCGCTGCCTTCTTCAACGTTTCTATGCTTACCATGAACTTCTGGGGTGTCATCATCGGTGTCGAGGTCTTCCACTACCACATTCACTGGATGTACCCGATTGCTTTCGTTCTGATCATTCTCGGTCAGCTCATCTACTTCCTCGGACAGAGAGTTCTCAGCGAGGCACGCAAACCATGGCTCGGGTCAAACCAAGAGCGTGGTGTTGTCGGACTCTTCACTGCCAAGAGGAAGATTGAGCACGCCGTGCCAACTGTTGAATCGACTGGGCAGACAGGGCAGACTACAGTCAATACCAGCGCCGTCTAATTGTCGCTTAAATTCTTCCTGCCTTGCGATTCTCCGGCACGCAGCCGGGTTATACATCTAACCGCATCGACAATTTGACCGTTTGGGGTCTGCTTGCGAACAATCAAGTGCACAACAGCTCTGTGTTACATGACCCCTGCCGATGCTACGTCTGAAGACTCGTCTGGGCTGGTGAATTGGTCAGGCCAAGACCCGAGGGGATAGCCCTGATTGTGTGCGCCTTGACGCATGCCATAATGCTTAATTTACTGAATGATTGACGTATCTCGACCATTCTCATGGTCTCTTTCGACATATTCGAAACAAAAGTTTACTGTTGCTTGATCTATCCGTGCATTCGCTCTATATTCTACTTCATGCAGGTTTAATCTTGACGATCCAAAGTCACACCCAAAATCCATTGAAATTATAAATGACAGACACCAGTAACCCTTTTTACATCGCCTGAACCCATAGTCAAATACCAGACCAAAGAGAAAAGATAATTAAAGACCATCCAAATCAAAATATCCGTTTTGAGCCTCGGTTCGCCTCTCCAATGGAGAATAGTAAAACAGGCAGACCAATGTCCAAAAGATTCAATGCGCAGTCCCATAAACCACCCCCAGAAAAGAAAAAAAGACAAAAAAAAAGTATGAGAAAAGAAGAACCATGGCAACCCGACAAGCAGACAAAACACCGAGAAATGATAGCCCCAGAAAAGCGCCATATTTCCGACCAGAGCGCAGGACCAAAAAGAGTAAATGGCAATCCAAGATCAAAACAAACACCTCATAACTCGGACATCCGATAAGATCCGGCAATATTTCCAAATAATGTCAAAACCCCCAATAGAACATTTGAAGCCCAGAGCAATAGATATCAGCGTCTCGCGCGGATGACACTCGAAGCCGATTTTCTTTCAACGCCAAGAAAATGAAGTCCATGCACGCCTTGGATAGAGAATCCTTAACCCCAAACAGAAGCCTGAACGCCGAGTCCGCTCTTCGAGCCCCACACGCCACTGCCGTTACTCCAGCCTAGTCCAACGCCAGCCGGGTCCTTGGGACCAGGCGCAGGAACAGCGGGAGCAGGGCCAGCAGACGAGGTGCGCTCGGGAGCAGGGTCAGCGGGCGTGAACCCCAGACCCAATGGGGAGGGAAGGGGTGTGATGGAGCGCTTGTTGAGCGCGGGGTTGGGGGGCGTTTGCTGGACGCGGGAACCGATTGGGCCGACGGAGCCGGAGGGCTGGCGGGAGGAGTCGGTGGCCGGGGAGGGGGAGGTGACGGGCTGCTCGAAGCCGGCGTTGATGGCGGAGCTGGGGGAGGAAGTGCTGTTTGCCCGGGACGGGGTTTGGGCTTCTGTGCTCCCGGCTAGACCGAAGGGGTCGACGCCTCGTGGGGAGGAACCGCGGACTCCGGGGGTGCTGGCGGCTTGGCTGGCTGGGCGGGAGGGCTCGTCCAGGGCGCCTGGGGGGAAGAAGGCGGGGCTTTCGTTGCCGTACAGAGCGCGGTGTTGGCGGGCGAGGAGGTCGCGGCGGCTGTCCTCGCTCACAGCCGCTGGGCTGGTGGAGCGATCGGACTTGGAAGCGGACATTTCGGCGAGGAGGCCTTAAGAAACGATATTAAAACCCGGTCAAAGAAAAGCCAAGAAGCCAAACCATATATATTACACAAGGATACATAGATGCAAGGAATGGAAAGAGAGAGAGAGAGAGAGAGCCAACAGGGGAATATAGCGAGGCCGAGGAAGAAAGTGTGAAAGGGAAGGGAAAGAAAAAAAAAGACAAGGAGGCTACCACGTACTTCGGTTGTACTGTTGCTCCTGGTGATAGTTGCGGAGTTCCCTCTCACGCTGTGCTGCCATCCGACGCTTCGCCTGCATCATTTGTTCCACCTCGTTGGGACGACCCTGGTACCGTTGGGAGGCATAGAAACCCTGAGCGTTGCCCGACGGGGGCATTCGGTTGCCATCGAACTCGCTGATCGAATGGTGTCGCTGAGGGCCACCACCCATACGAGGGTCTGTCAAGAGACAAGTCAGAAACGCGTTCTGGGTGCCATCCGTGCCCGCAACATACCGTAGTCGGGGTAGGGCCGGCCCATCATCATGGGCATCGAATCCCGCCGAGGAGCATTCCAAAGCTTCCCGCTCTTGACGAGATTGTCGATCGCACGATCGACCTCTATCGAGAAAATTAGCCTCCGGTCCAAAAGGGGTCCCCAATCGTCCTCGTCCCACTGCGATCCGAGAGCAATTGGGCATTCGTCGAGTGTGTCCATACCGTCAAACTGGGAAGAAAAGGCCGGGATGTCCTCGCGCTGGGAGACCGAACTCGAGCCTGCGATCGAGTTAGAGTTGGGCCGCAGAATGGGCTGTTGACTTCGTACCTGATCGGGAGGGTGGTGCGGGTTGTTCCCAGGAGACCTGGCGCGCAGCGGGTGCTTGCCATCCCTGAGGTTCGTAGTAAGACATTGTCGAGATCAAGAGGACCTTCGCCGAAAGTGCGATGGTTCAGGGGAAGACGGCGAAGTAGATGATCCGGTCTGAGGCGATCTGTCGAGAGAAAAAAATGTGAGTCCCGGTCCACCCGCACACACAGTTGAAAATCTCCAGGTTTTCCAACAATCCCAGTCACAAAGAGTATGGGAGAGGAGATCGGGTATAGTGAATTTTTTTTTTTTTTTCTTTGGTTGAAACTCGGGTAGAAGTTGATTTCCAACCAGAGATTTCCAAATACGCAATGTAAACGAAAGACTTACATTAGGCCTCCTGGGGATACCACGAAAGATGGAAAAGGAGAGGGTCCAACTTGTATTACCTGGAGGGGAGGAGGGGGGGTTTTCTAGTTTCTACTGTTCTAATGTATGTAAAAAAAATTAAAAAATTAAAAATTAAAAATTAAAGGGTAAAGGGTAAATAACGGAGTCCGGAGTACAGGAATAGGAGATTCTCTCTGCCATACAGTATAAATATCCACATAAATACTATCTACGGAGTATCAAGTCTCTTCTACAGAACAGTAGACAATATCTACTCTACTCTCGAATTCACAGAAACAGCTTTCAAATACATCTCAAGTACGCGGCAATTCCCGGCAACCCAAGACTTCTTATTCGTCACTGATGGGGCCGGTCACCGGAGATTGGAGCGCCCAAGCGTCCTCGTGTCGGCTCTGATTCTTGTTCTTGTTATTCTTATTCTCACGATTGTCTCATTTCTGTACATGGTCATTGTGCTTATCTATTTCATGGTTGGGTAATACCTAGGTATTCCTGGTTATTTATTATTGATTATCCATCTATAAAAGTGATACCCCCACGGTCATTTCAACATTGGAATATATACCCCGAACAGCTCGTACCCATAACAAGGGTTTCCTGGGGATGGCCAACGTATGATGCTAAACTGCAATTGCATTCACATGCAGTCAGCGTGCCAAGGACCTCGCTGAACGGAGGCTGCAAGCCGTGGAGAGAGCCTAGACGGATTTGGAATGCGGTCTGCATCCCCATGTACAGTGATGTACATTAGGCCAAACGAACGCATGCAACAAGTATATATAGCGGGCTGCAGCCCGGGAACCGGCCAAGGCAAGAGCCTCTCGACCGTCAATTCCAAGGTGGACGTGCGGCTTCTAGGTAGAAGCGTCGACACAACCTTCCAAGGTTGGAAGGCCTTACAACGGACGATTCCCCAGGGGCCTACAGCAGACTGGAGTAATCTGCCAGAATACACTTCGAACGGTGCTAGGACCAACGTCGGTCAATTCAGGAGAGGTGGGGCAGGTCGGCCATCATTTTCCAAGGTTATATTCTTCCGCAAGGTCCGCGCCCCTCTGCACTGGATTGGCTACTGCATCGTTCATGTACATAACCTTGGAACCGGACCAGTGAGCAGAAGGTCCCCCGCATGTGCAGGCTTTCTCCAACGAGGTCGTGGTCGGAGTGTATCGACGCAGAGCGCAAGGTCCCCTCGCGGGGGGTTGATCTAGAGTCCAGGGCCTCCAAACCGATGGGAGTCACGAACAGGGACACCGTCAATGTCTCCAAACACTCCGTATAGTATCAACGAACACCCGCACCGATGATACCCCCGCGTTACCTCAAAGGGTCTCGAGCGTGATGTCTCCCCACTCGTCATACATAGGACGGTGCTCGGCCCAATACGGCGCTAGTCGTGGGAGGCCTCTGAGGTCATCACACCGAGAGCTTGAAACCCTCTGGTTTCAAAGAAACGCAGTGATCAAGACTCGAAGTCTGATGTGTCCAGATCAACAAAGGCCACCACGCCCGTGCAGAGGATCCAGAGCCAATGGCGGTGATTTACCTCATGTTCGGGTCCGGGGAGCAGGCCACCAATTATGGACCTGGCTCTTGAACAAAGGGGTGTATTCTGATTGCCTGTTGTCGCGCCACAGTGTCAACTTGACCTTGAATCCGTAGACTTGATGCCCGTCTGGCTTCGGGAAGCAGTCTGGATTAGGTTATAGTGAACAACACGTGCAAGGACCACACACGCGGTGATCCTTGAAGAACGGGCGATCAGGAGAAAAGGGAGATCCCTCTTCACGATTAGCATGCTATTTCTTGGCTCTATGAGTCTATGTTCTTTTTCTATACTAGACTGCCGTCTCTCCCGTACTAGTAGTCCCAGAACTATCGGTGATCGATATCAGATTGGTACCTGCATAAATGCAATGCTTTGAGCACCACCCGTATATCCTTTAGCAATCTCAGGCAAAGAGTGAAAGATAAGCGAGAGAGACACAAAGAATATAGAGCATAGACTGTCAGCCCCTGACTATGCCCAGTCGAGAAATGAGGCCGGCAAAGGGAACGGGCAGTTGAGTATCCGCATATCTCGAGTACATGACTTGGAGCTTTGCTGCATAGAGGGAAGTGATTCAAGACGAGAAAGAGGCCTGTCGTGGTATCCTCTGATATACCCTGACATACCCCCCGCGCACGATACGGAGTATACACCCCAATATTGGACAGGAGGGGACGGTCGGCAGTGTGTCTTTACCGCCGACAGGGGCTGACCTTCATCTTCACTTCACACTCCCTCCCCTCGACCCTTCACTCTCTCGACTTTAAGAACCCAGGCTGGTTCCTACGGATTTACAGGAACTGCACTCAATTCTTCGCCTGCCTTCTCTTGGCTGGCGCTTTCTTTGATCTCAATCCTCGATTCTCCGTGACCTTTCTTCTTTTTTTTATTCGACAAAAAAAACTACTCTTCTTGTTTCTTATTCTCATCTCCTGGCCGAGGCATTGTGTTATCATACTTTTTGTGCTATATTTTTTTTTTTCCATCCTGATCGCAGGGTGAAAAAAAAAGTCGGACCTCGCGACTTTGTGGTTCGAGGCGATTGCGAGCCCTCCCACCCCGAAACGATCTTCCCTAGCGTCCCACGCCCACGAACCACCACACACCAACCTCGCCAAATCACCCAAACGCGAAACTTTCGCCCTTTCTGCAAGCGCTGAGCATTTACTTTGTGTCTTGTGGACTCTCATCGCTTGTGCCCGAGAAAGGAGCCACAACTGTGGGAGGTGGGAAATTGCTATATGGTCGCAAACATCGATGGGAATGCAAAGTGTTCCCACGGTGACGTACCGATAGCGTCGGGGTCCTCCACGATGGCATGGATTCCGCCATCCGAAGAGCCTGAGAGGCCACCGTTGACCTCGCACCAGTCGAATTCCCTTCCTTCCACCCCATACCAGCATGCGCGCAACCTCTCCTTCCACTCGCGGTCACCGTCACCCGCCCGCGGAAGCACTTCGCCTCGTTCTACGCATTCGGAAGCGACGCATATGCCGCGAAAACCCCTCGGGGGCTGCAAATATGAGACTGCCATGGCCTACTTTCGGAGGCGCATACCCTATAGCCTGGGAGCGGACGTGCTGCCAGAGGAGAAGGAGGGGTTAAAGGAGCAACTTGATCCCGAGGACGAGGAAAGACTGTCGGCTGACATCATGGACTTGTACGATCGATTATTACCGTCCGCCGAGAGCGACGACCGACGAAGACAACTGGTCCAGAAGTTGGAGAAGCTGTTCAACGATCAATGGCCTGGTCACGACATCAAAGCGAATATCTTTGGTTCCTCGGGAAACAAGCTCTGCTCCAGCGATTCGGACGGTACGTAGAGCACGGACACGGGCATGTCGACAAATACTGACGGGAGCAGTGGACATCTGTATTACCACCAATTACAAAGCGCTGGAGAACGTGTGTTGCTTGGCGGAGGTGTTGGCAAAACGTAAGATTGTTGGATCTGATCTGATGGGACGTTGACTGACTTGAACAGATGGGATGCAAAGGGTGGTCTGTGTATCACATGCAAAGGTTCCTATTGTGAAGATCTGGGACCCGGAACTTCGATTGGCCTGTGATATGAACGTCAACAACACATTGGCATTGGAAAATACGCGCATGATCCGGACTTATGTCGAGGTGGATGAGCGCGTGAGGCCATTGGCGATGACCGTGAAACATTGGACAAAACGGCGCATTCTGAACGATGCGGCACTTGGCGGCACTTTAAGCTCCTATACGTGGATCTGTCTCATCATTAGTTTCCTTCAGACACGGAGCCCACCCATTCTCCCCAGCTTACAAGCAAGACCCCACGCCAAGAAGGTCACCGAGGATGGATTGGTTTGCTCATTTGACGACGACATCAAGACTCTGTCGCAATTTGGCCGTCACAACAAGCAATCAGTCGGCGAGCTGCTCTTTCAATTTTTCCGATATTATGGTCACGAACTCGATTACGAAACAAACGTCATCTCTGTCCGCGAAGGCAAGTTGACAAACAAAGTCGCCAAGGGCTGGCACCTGCTCATGAACAACCGGCTTTGCGTGGAGGAGCCTTTCAACACGATACGGAACCTGGGAAACACGGCGGATGACACCTCATTCCGAGGCTTGCATTTGGAGCTGCGCCGGGCGTTCAAATCTGTGGCAAAGGGTGACCTGGAAGAGGCCTGTGAACAGTTCGAGTTCCCGGTAGAAGAGGAGCGAACCTGGGAACGACCCAGACCCCAACCACGACCAACCCTTACCCCGTCCCTTCCAACGCGTGGTGGGCGCGGGGGGAACCGCGGAGGCCGGTACAACAACCAGCTCCCGCGCGGCGGGTTGGCTGGCGGGAGGCGGCAGTCGAATACCGGCACTAATGGGAGCAAAGTGACCCTGCGGCAGCCGAATAATGGAAATGCGACGGATATGTCCCTGCAAGCACAGCAACAGGCGCAGTATCTTTTGCATGATCAACTGTACCAACAAATCCAGCTCCTACAGGCGCAGGAGCAGGAGTTGCGCATGCAATTGCACAACCAGGCGGTGATCACTGGGCGACCGCCCCCTGTCTTCATCCGTCAACCTTTTATCCATTTCCCAGTTCCGCAGCAGCAGGAGTTCTCAGATGAGACCACACGGTCCAGATCAGGAACTGCCAGCCATGCAACCCTCAGTCCAACACAGCGACAGCCAACAATTTACAACCCCAGCTACGCCTCTGTGGGATCCGGCACTCAAGCAACCACCACCATCAACCCTCCCTCTCCTTCTGCTGCCAGCACCATGCCTGATACTCGTCGTGACTCCCGACGATTGTCGGCTGCCAACGGCTCTCCGAAATCCCTTCGAGCTCACTCGCAACCCGCAAGACCACTGAACTCGCCCTCTCTCCCAAATTACATTCCTCTATACACCATGCCGCAAACCGTGGAGAATTGGTCTTCATCGAGACCTGCACCCGAGTCGTCCGAAGGTGGTGAAGGGAGTGGAGATGAGAACGCAATTCGATCAAACAGCCTTGCCAGCAATGGATCTCGTTCGGACTCTGTGGATGAGAATCGACCACAGGAGGTTTTCAATTATTATTTGACTCCTCAGCAGGTGCAGGCCTTTGAGCAAGCCAACCCACAATACTTTGTGGGATATCCCACTGGATATCAACAAGTGAACGGAAAGTATCGACAGGAGTCGTTCTCGTCGGAAACCAATGGAACTGCGCATACTGCCTCGCAACCCCCATCGCAACCTCGACAGACTGCGCGTCCAGCCATGTCCGGTCCTCTGGTCATCGATGGCTCAGTTCGTCCGAGCGAGCCGCGCACGACGGAATACACACCTGGTCTTGACCCCTTCTGTGCTGTGAGTCAGTGGGCCTCCCGGTCTCCTGATGACCACATCAATACCCCTGCCAGCTTCTCCGATACCTTGTCCCAAGATTATCAGGATTCCGGGTCATTCGAGCTGGAGCATCCGGCTGTAACCCCACGGTCATCAACAGAAAGCCACAAGGTCAACGGCACAAATGGTACCCATGTGGAAATGCAATCGGACACAGATGGCCAGCCAGAGCTTCTAGCCAGCCGACTGCAGAACTATCACTTGTCGAACTCCGAAAAGCTAGCTCAGCCCGCAAAGCCGGCATCAGAGCGGCCAAGGACCATAGCCCAGACAGCCAAGGATACCCAGCCTAAGAACTCCCAAGCCGACAAGCCAGCGAATGAGAATCGACATCAACCGAGCAATCCTAAGCGTCGTGCAAACGGCGAGTCCGAGAAATCAAATGGCGCGAGCGGCAAGGCTAAACCCAAGGGCCAGGGCCGTGACACATCCCACAATCCCACCAAGGGCGATCAATCCCGGAAACAGGCCAGTGATCACGGATGGCAGACTACTAAGAAAAAGAACCGCAAAAACACCAAGTCTGAACCTCGCGGCAATCCTGAGCCTATTCCCGTCGACGATTCCTTGCGCAAAGGCGGTTGAAGACCGCACTGTTCTGATTCTATATGTCCTCAATTCTTCAATGCCCATGTCGAACGACTTCACGTTCACTGAATACGTTTTTCCTATTTTTTATCTTTTGTTAAAACATCCCAATAGGGATTCATTGCATGCATTTGCCTCGGGAAAGTTGGCTGGTTCACTTCCAAACGCCTCACGAGACTTTTCATGGAGTTTGTATTGATGTATTGAATGGTTAGACCTGTTTGCTTTGTGCCATCTTCTTTTTTTTTTTCTTTTTTTTTTTTCGGTCCTGGTCTGTACAAAAGAGAAAGAGATTAGTTGACAATGAGAAACAAACCAAAAACTTCGAAATGTTCCTTGGACTTAGGGCTTTGAGCTTTCTTTGATGTCTGCATACTTCATGTTCCATGTCTCTTTAACGATGGATCTTTAAATACCCTGTCTACAAACAAAGAAGAAAACATACAAGTACCAGCCCTCTTCTCTTCAACGTTGTATTCCACACAGGTCCAATCATGCCAGGCAGATTCAACTTCCCGCCAACGCCAACGGCGAAGAGCAATTACTCCTCAACCAAGCCATCTACTGAATCTACTTATAATTTCCCTCGAGCTTCGGCTGCTGCCTCGGCTGCTGCTGCTCCGGTCCCTCATTATGCCCCTCCTGTCAAGCATTCTTACTCAGTGCCTCCTATGTTCTACCTATATTATTGCTTTTTCATCCTCTACGGATTGATTGTGGGAACCCAGGACTGTATCACATTCCTCAAGCATGGCCCCATGCACTTGGTTGTTGCGCTCGGTTCCGTGTTCCGCGCATTCCTCTCGCTATTCCGATCAGTTCGCGGGGGAGTGAACTCGGAGACGACCAATCTTGTATCATATTTCGGCCATTCGTTCTGTTTTGGAGCCCTCTTCTGCTATTTCTTCCTAGGTATAGCGCTTTGAGGCTGGAGAAAGACCCGAGAAAGGTCATAAGGTGGATTGGGCGTGGGTAACAATGGAGGAAATGAACGTTGAGAATAAATTTGGCATTGCATCATCGATCATTAAGATGATGTGGAGGTATATGGTACATGGATCTGAGAGGCAAAATGCAAGATTAAATCGAATAGAGACATGTCAAGACAAAGAATCTGTATCGGCAAATATGTTCAAAAAGAGAAGGTTAAACTGGGGTTGGGGACGTAGGAAAGGTCGATTAGTACCAGACCTCGGTCCAGATGTAGGGCATGATAACTATACAGGCCGTGTAGAGAATCATGATGGCATGCCAGGGGAACATGATCAGCTCTAGCAGGGGAGTCTCGCGGAAGAGAATCCAGATCGAGAGGAAGGCAACAGAGAAGAAGTGGCTGACAAGGACGAGAGGTTGCTGAATCAGACCAGCCAGCAGACCTACGGGACCACTGACGGGGCCGACGAGGAAGTAACGGAAACAGCCACGTTGAAGCGATTGCATGCTTCGATCTAGGACGAGTTAGCTAGTTGAAGTGGAGAGAGAAATATGGGAAACTTACCCTCTGCAGCGAAGATAGAGTAGAGAGCCTGCGCAAGAATGTTGATGACAGAGGAAGAGTTCTTTCGCTTCCAGTGGAAGATTGAAAGCTGCTTCAGCACGAGTTCCGTGTCGGAGAAGCTAGGCACGCACTCCGGACTGAGCAACTCGCGGATGACACAGACATCATTGAGAGCCACGGTCATACCACCACCAGTCAAGGGGTGACGCATGTTCAGCGCATCACCCAGAATCATGAACCCGGGTGTCTTATTGGTTGAGGCAGGAAGAAATGAGTTCGGCATTGACCGAAGCTGACCGTTCTCCAAAGCATCCAAAAATGAAGCCTGACAGCCCTCCGGAAGCTTGGGCAAGATGTTCTTCCGGAAATAGCCCTTGACTCCGCCGTTCTTCACAGAAGCCGCAGGAAGATTGTCCGGAACATCGACTAGGATTCGGGTTTCATGGGTTCCGATCTGGTACATGAGGATTGGAGGGTTATCGCTAAGGAGGACGTGGCCCGTATTAGGACAGGGAAGATCGGCATCGATGAGCTCCAGCCCGTAGAACTTTGACCGACGCTTAGGTGTGTATTGGTGGTGTTTTTTGCGGAAATCAGAGGCATAGCCATCGGCGGCGACGGTAAGCTGAGCGAAGTAGCAGTCCTTCAGGTCCTTGGTGACGGACTCGACTCCTAGAACTTCATTGGTGTGTGATGAGGTGACCAAGCCGGTCACCTTGGTCTCGACAACGGTGACGTTGGGACAGGACAAAGCGGCTTGCCGAAGTTTGTTCACGAATCGGCCGTGGTGGAAAGCGCGGCCCAGGGGGGTTGGCGACGAGGGACTCGACTTGGGGTACTCGAGGAGAACGGGTTGTCCGAAATAAGATATCCAGTATCCCTTCACGTCTATCCCATCAATCCCCTCCAGACAATCCGCCAGTCCTAGCTTCTCAAGCGCCTGCAAGCCTCCCGGCTGGAGAAGTTCACCAACAATGCGATTGGGCTCCTCCAGTGACTTTTCCAACAATATCACGCTGCGTCCTTGTCTTCCTAGCGCGACGGCAAGTGCGCAGCCAAGAATTCCTGCGCCTACAATCACGACGTCGGCCTCGTGGTGGTCGATGCGGCGCTGGGCGGCCGGGGAGAGGACGCCATTAGTCGAAGGCATTGTGTAATAATCAGATATGTTGTCATAAACCCGAAAGAACCATTATCGAGGGATGTGATTGATTTAAAGGAATGACAATTGGCTGAGGTTCAATGGCCTGATGCTTCCCAAGGTTTTTTTGTTGATAAGGGGGTGGCGTGACATGTGAAAGTCTCCCTCTCCGCCTACTGAATTCTACGCCGCACGAGACATCACGGGCCATCTAGTAGATTCATATTGACACTGTTGATGATTCGATACTATACAGTATATGGTTACATTATTATACATATGGTCGCCAGTAATATCTCACAATGCTTGGTTTTTACTCCCCAGACTCCGAGGGGGTAAACTCAAGATGGTAGCGGGAGTGGTCCTGCTCAGGCACATAGTACTGATCCCAGGTCTCAGCCGCGTACTCCGGATAGATGGGATCCTCGGGACTTGCTGAGTGCACCTTGGAGAGATTGGACTCATCCCACCACTTTGTATGGCCATCTGCATCGAACTGCTTCCGCTGTAGCAAGTGATCCAGCTCCCGCTCCTCGTCAAACGACGAGATCAGATCCTCTAAACAGGTATCGGGAATCAAGTTTTGATTATCGGTGTGCTGCGACTGATTTGATCGTCCGGCCTTCTTCAACTCCAGGTTGACACTGATATTTGACCAGTGTGGGTCGCCTGTAGACTTGGCTTCCAGCACTTGAACGGTCTTCTGAAGTATGCGGACTTGCTCCGCAATTTCACCAGATGCAGTGGGAAGCATGTTTTTCTCCAATGTGCTCAACAAGGACTTGGCTTCCACGACAAAGTCTTGCTTGATACTTTCTTGGCGTGATAGGATTGTGAGAATGCACCACCACATGCCTTTCAGATTGCCAAGCCCGGCATAGGCCCGCATCAACATTTTCAAAAGGACTTGATCAAAGCCATGAGAGATGCGCCATCGAGATTGGTAGATTGTGGTGAGAAGGTCAACAGCAAGTTCTGGTGTTCCTCCTGTGATAAGTTGACGACTACTGGAAGCCGCCGAGAAGTGCTTCACCGCGAGACCGTCGGTCGTGGCACAGATGTTATAGTATTCAAACATGGCCATCTTGATCAGACCGCCAGGGCCTATAGCCTTCGGATCCACCTTCATCACCCGCTGGAAGAACATTGGACTCCATGAGGTGAAACGTTTGGAATAGCGCAGGGAAGGAATCGCCTTCCAGTAGTCCCACTCGGAAGTGATCAGGCGTCGAGCATTCGCCAGGCCTAGCTTGCTGCACCCGAGAATCGCCGCGATGATGGCCAACGTTAAATGAATTGGTCTCACGACAAATCCACCATGGGTCGCATCATCGTACATTGCCAGGGCATCAGAATGGTTGCCCATGTTGATACAGTGTTCCATCCGTTTATGAAGCGGCACGAAGAGATCGGCGTTCTTGGTGGCCATCATGTCCAATGTTTTTGAGTAGCTCTCCTCAGCGGGACGGTGGATTGGAGCAATCTTCTCCCCGCGCACTGTCCAACTCTCAGAACTAGTCCCGAAGATGCGCCGGGTGGAAGTCGAGTGCTTCGATCCACTTTTGGCTGTTTGCAACATCCTCCAAATTCCAACTGGGCTGTCGGTCATTGCGAGTCGTCGAGTCTTGACCAGGTCCTTGATTTCTTTTCGGTTGAAACCAGTGTCCCACTTGCGCTCATTGGCCATATCCATAAGCATGGTGATCATCTCCTCGGTGCCCTTTTCAATCAGGGCTTCGAGTATATGTCTGTGGAGAACCTTGTCTGGATGGAGATTGAAGTCATTGATGCAAGAGATGAGGAAATCGAAGATTTGGTTGCCGGTGTGAGTTGGGTAGTACTCCAAGAATACGCGGTCAAACGCAATGGCGAAGTCCTTCGTGTTAGAGGTATAACCGTGCTCATGCATCGCATACATTCCATCCATGACTCTATCCCATTCACAGCTGAGTGCACGGCTGTAAATAATCAAACCAAAGGTGCGACAGCCAGGTTTAGCGCCATATTTTGGTATCATTTCTTTGACCAAGGTTTCAGCTTCTTCTGCTCTCCCTGTTTCTACCATGGCTTTGACCACTGGGTTAAAAAGCTTCTCGGTTGGTTTGCGATCAAGTGATTCGAGGCGATCGATGATCTGTTGGAGCTGAGAAGAGACCAGTTCCATACTTCTGGTCTTCCTCCATAGGCCGTCCAAATAGGCGCCGCATAAACCACAGTCGCGATCATCCTTGAAACGTTGGAAGAAGAGGAACTTTGCGGAGTCCAATCGTTTGGACTCAATGAGACATCTGAGAATGACCTCCAAGAGATGTGCAGGGACAACGAAGCTTGTCCTGAATCTGTCATATATGACACCGACAGAATCGATGTGGCCCTCCTTTGCAAGCAGGTGCATGATCGTAGCCCACATTTCATTCGACACGATACTGACCTGGTCCAAGCGGTTGAACAAAGTTCGAGCAACAAAAAGATTCCCCTTCATGCAATTTGCCGTAAAGATATAGCAGCCGATCTCCCTCCGCTCCCAGGATATATTCTTTGCGCTGGCGGTAGCTGCAAGGAATAGATTTGCGGCAGTGATTTCCCGATCTTCGTTGATCAACTTGCGTATTTCAGCCTCAAATGGAAGTTTCCCATTTTCTCGAGCATCCTCTGCTTGTTTGTTTTCCCGGGCCAGTATCCTCTGGTTCCGGGCCAATAATCCCACGTGGAAAGGGTTTTTGTCGTCAAATCGTTGTTTTGGACGGGGTCCAAAGAGCGAATGCTTCGAGCGGGCATGATGCTTAGCCAAGGAGATCATTGGCTTTGGTTTGGGATTATTCGCTGGACTCCCTTCGAGGTCTGTCCCTGGCTCAAGTGGCCCCTCAGGTAGGTTCCGATTCCTCAGCTTGAGAGACTCAATGCCCATGAACTCGCCAGCTTCTGCTGCCTCCACCATCACCTTCAATCTTTTGGCTGCAGAGGTTGCATCATAATTTGGTGCAGTGTTGTGTAATGTTCGTTTGTTATCGACTATTTTTTCGGCGACGCGGACCCGACGATGGGCTTCGTACGTAAGGACAGCAACGGTGCAGAATCCACCAACTGTTGAGCCGGCCAGTGCCAATTGGCGAAGTACTCGGAGGGCATTTCGCGAGGGTACGATTGAGGGGGTTTTGGCGGCGTGGGCAAGCATGTTGTGAATGCTGAGCGCCAGTTGCGCGCACGATTTCACCAGTCGTGCATGGGTGGCCTTGCAGATTGTGTACTCTGAATGCGTGTGTGGAACACACAAAATAGACACAAGTAGCTCGTAGCCTGATCAAAGCTAGGTGGATGGCCGGACAATTGAATTGGGATTAAAGGGTAAACTCGGAGCAACTTCTTTTTTCCGCAACAAAAACTTGCATGATAGGTTGGTACCGCCCACCGTATTCCAACTGACCCGCCGATCGTACGATCTATACTCCGAACCCCGTATGGAGTCCCTACCTCGGTACGCATAACTAGCAATTTCCACCTGGGCTAAGTTGCGTGCATTCTTTGTGGCCATTGAATCTAGTATTCTGTATATAGTTCAAAACTGCTGTCTATGTATTGCGCAGAAGGGAATCATGCTCATTGTTACCATGCTCGTTTGCTTCAGCTCTGACATCAGCAGCGGGCTCGCCTTCGAGAGTAACTATTGCAAAGGTTAGTGTTCGTTCCGCATGGTTAAAAAGGAAAGCTCCATACCATGTGGTTTGATGAGAAGGCTCATGAAGAACGCCACTGCAAAGACAGCTGCAAGAGCTACGAAGACTGTTTGTGGCAGTGTTGCTACAGTCAGACTGTAAATTAGGTTGAAGATTGTTGGGGCAACAATACGAGCAAGAGCATGCAAGAGACCAGTAGCACCAAGCATTTGGCCGATTCTTTCGTGGGGCACATGCTTGGTGATAGAGGATTGCAAGATTGCGGATCCCATGCCGCCTAGGGAGGCAATGGCACCAGAAACCATCATCTGCAATGGGTGACTTGACATGGCATAACCAACGTAGCCCAAAATATCGAAGATGATGGAAGTGCGAATGAGCACAACATCCAACATGTCAGAGCCGCGGACTGCACCATCTTCTTTGGAAGGCGTACGGAAGAGCCACGAAATGATGGGGAGCACAACGAAAAGGTTGACGACACGCACCACGTTGATGACTGCGACGAAGAGACTCGACTCCACGCTTCCCCAGCTAAACATGTACTCGGCGTAGATGATAATGATTTGGACCGTGCCCATTGCGACGCCGAACACGGCGGTATCGATGCCTGCCAGCAGGACGATATTCCGCCGGAGAGCTGGGCTTGCACCGCGTCGGTTGGGAAACAAGATACTGGGCCTTCCAACAGCAGGTAGCAAAATCGCCAGAGGAGTAATGAGGTTCATTGGGTTCCAGATCTGCCAGGAATACCACTTGGGGGAGTCGGCACCCGAAGCCTTTGAACGATGCCTCTCGCGGGCAGCGAGTTGTCGGTCTTTGGATAGGGATTCCGGCACGATAAACCACACCGAGAGGCAGAAAGTGACATGGAATGCGAGTGCGATGTAGAAAACAAGCAGGGTGCCTCCATTCTTAATCAAAAACGCGGCGGCACCAGGCCCAACTGCGATTCCAAAGAATAAAGCGCCATGGAAGAGACCAAACGCCACGCTTCGCTTCTCTATCGGCGTGCAGTCCGAGGCATAGGAGTGGATGAGAGCCTGTGCGGTTGTAAATGATCCTCCTAATCCATCCAGAACTGCACCAACAAGAAGAAAGTTGACGGAGAATTGGTCCGGCCATGTAGCCACAGCCACGGTGATGATCTCATTGAAGACGGCGCCCATAGCGCCCAGCGCGATCATCTTAGTTCTCCCATATCGGTCAGATAGATGACCCAGTCGGGGGCTCACCAATGCAGACAAGATGCCGGCTGCCAAGTTGAGGTAAAGCTGGAACTGGGCGACAAGCGACTGAACTTGTGGGATCTGACATTGAGGATTATGGTCGCCGAAAATGACAGGAAGATAGGTGAAAGTAGGATCCTGCGTTCCCTTTTCGGCGAGATAGTCGCGGCAAATGAGCGACATTATCAGATTGATCTTGGGGACGGCAAGTCCACCAAACCCCAACATGAAAAGGATACCGAATGGGAGCAGCCACCATATCTATTGAACTAATTAGGCCGCTGATTCCTGAAGCTATATTGCAAATAGCTCATTACTCACACTCGGCCTTCTCCAGGACGGCTGATCAAGCGATGGCTCATCAGGCTGGCACAACAGGCGTGAGTTTTCGGTGACTTCAGTGCGCTCCCGGGCGCGCATCTGTGCATCGACCTCGGGCTCGCCTGCAAAGAGCTCCTCATTCTCCATAATGTCTGGTGTTCAGGGTGAAAGGAGAGGGAATCCCTTGCGTTCAGGGCGGGTTCCAAGTTGATGTTGATTTGTAATATCACTGACGCAACCCTCTCACAATGAGCCGTCGATTTCGGCCGTTCTAATGTTGGGGTGAATTTATTATCGGGCGGCTCTCCGCCAATGATTAAAATGCAGTAGATTGAGATAGTATTCCAAGATTATAATGTACAGTTATCCGAAATTCGTCAACGCCCCAACACCCTTTTCTGCAATGCTGCGTATACAAACATCCGAGGCTGGAGCTGCTCAGCCAAAACGTAAACCGCTGAGCTCACTTACACCACCAAGGAAGAGTACTCCTGGCCTGCAAAGAACTTCTTCTGTCCTAGGCAGCGCTCACTAGTGCAGCCCTGGCAACGCAGGGTCATCTGGCGGGAGCAGGGCTCACCCTTTTGCAAATGGTCGCGGGCAATTTCAGCAAGTCCCTGAATGAAGACTGGGTTGCCGTTCAAGCTCTCTGCGCGCTTGACACCGGGGCTGTTGGCTTCTTCCATGACCTCCAAATCCAGTTCATACAGTGTCTCGATGTGATCGCTTGTGAACGCAATCGGAACTAGAATCAGATCAGTCTGGCCTCGCTTCACGTACTCCTGTACGGTATCGCTAGTCTGAGCTCCAAGCCATGCCTTAGGCCCCACCTGCGATTGCCAGCACAGGCGGTAAGGGTTGCTGAACCCGAGCCTTTGCATCACAGCGTGGACGGTGGCGGCCACTTCAGCAGGGTAAGGGTCACCTAGAATCAATTGTTAGGACATGTTTGGTACCAACCATAGCGGCGATCTACATACCTCGGTTGACGACGCTCATAGGCAAGCTGTGAGCCGAGAATAGCAATACCACCTTGTCTCGCTTCTCTTCCGGGTACGTCTTGAGCTGGGCCTCAATGTTCTGTGCAAAAGCCTCAACAATGCCAGAGTGTGTGGGCCATCTGTCAATGACACTCCACTCAATTGCACCAGCTGGCTCGGCCTCTCCACTCGCGCGCTTTCCCTCCAGGCGATTGCGCCACTTCCAGAGCTCATTCAAGGAGCTTCCGGTCGTTGAGCAGGAGTATTGAGGATATTGTGTGAACGCTACAGCGCGTCCTCCTTTCCCTTGTCCAAAGCCATCATCGAACAATTGTTGGTACATAGTCTCGGTCAACGGTGCAGCGTAACGGAAGGCAACGTATGGCTTATGCGGCGCAGTCTCTGGAGAAATTTGATCCAAAATCTTGCACATCTCTTCGCACTGGTACTCGGACCATTTCCGGATTGGAGATCCTCCACCGATTTCTGCGTATTGCTTCTGGATCTTGGGGGTTCTTCGTTTGGCGATGAGGGGTCCAATGTATGATTGTAGGCGTCCTAGAGGGATGAGATCACCGTCCGCCTGTATTGATAGGGTCAGGTTAGCTCAGAGAAGTGAATTGCGGGAGTTGTTCCTCTCATACAAATAATCTGCTCAAGAAGTCCTGAACCTCATCGGTGGTTGACGGTCCACCCATATTCATAAAAACCATTGCCGTCGGGCCTTTGGAACCAACTGAGTTCTGGGTCACTGGCGGCACCGCTGTAGCGAGACCCCTTCGGCTCATGCAACTCATTCGAGCGCTGGTGATTGATCGCGCTCCAAGAGAGGTGCCATTGATCAGCTGTCGGGGGATTGCGAAAGGACTGCGGAAAGACATGATGACGGATGGAGTGTGAGAAACCCCGAGAAGAAATCACACACAATAGGTGGCAAGACCAAGAGGGACCCGCAAGCTGTACACTTCGGAGCTTCGAAGTTCCCGGTTTCCAAGGTTTCCGCGCTAGTCCGGTAACCAATCACCGTGTGGGGAACGTCAGCGGCTTCAGGCATCAGCGTCACCTGACTTTCGTGTCGCCCCGCGTCACAGCGGCGCGTCGATTGATGAAATTGAGAGTTCCATAGTTGATCACTTCGACGTTGTCTCGAACATCTATCGCCTGATCAGAATCATGGCCGAGGAAAATTACACGCGTGGAGAGGATGAATTTGAGGATGAGGAGATCGATGAGACTGTGAGTATAGAGCCTCCCGGGTTATCGTTATCAAGTGTTGACTGTTGCCTTCAGAGCTTCAAATCAGTGAGGGATGCTGTGCTATTTGCCATAGATATCAGCAGCTCTATGCTGAAACCTCGTCCGGCACCAGATCCAAGGAAACACAGTGATGAGTCGCCTGCATCGGCTGCATTGAAGTGTGCATACCATCTGGTGCAACAGCGCATCATCTCAAACCCTCATGACATGATTGGTGTCATGCTCTATGGAACAGAATCATCCAAGTTCTACGATGAAGACGAGAGTGGAGATCTTTCATATCCTCACTGTTACCTGTACACGGATCTTGATGTCCCGTCTGCCCAGGAGGTCAAGCGCCTGCGGTGCCTGGCGGACCCAGTGGCAGATGACGAGGATGCAAGGCACATATTGAAGCCATCTCAAGAGCCAGTATCCATGGCCAATGTGCTGTTCTGTGCAAATCAGATCTTTACCTCCAAAGCCCCAAACTTCCTATCCCGTCGACTGTTCATTGTAACTGACAACGACGATCCTCACTCAGAAAACAAGGCCCTGCGTTCTGCAGCGACAGTCCGGGCAAGAGACCTGTACGACCTTGGTGTAAACATTGAATTGTTCCCGATCTCAGAGCCAGATCGTGAATTTGATGCTGCTAAATTCTACGAGGTAAGTCACCAAGCCTGGCCTGCAGCAATGTCCTCACAAATAACAGGATATTATCTACAAAACCTCACCCGGTGATGGAGATGCACCGGTCTATCTGCAGCCAGACACCAACACCGCGACGGCTAAAGGCGATGGCCTATCCTTGCTCAACTCCCTGCTGTCTAGCATAAACTCAAGATCAGTGCCCCGTCGTTCCCTCTTCTCGAACGTGCCCCTCGAGATAGGGCCTGGTCTGAAAATCTCCGTCAACGGGTATCTGCTTTTGAAAAAGCAAGAGCCCGCTCGCAGCTGCTATGTCTGGCAAGGCGGCGAGGTCCCTCAGATCGCCAAAGGTGTCACGACACAAATGGCCGATGACACTGCACAAGAAGTGGAAAAAGATGACATCCGAAAGGCTTACAAATTCGGCGGGGAGCAGATTACCTTCACGACCGAAGAAACACAGGCTTTGCGAAACTTCGGCGATCCAGTGATTCGAATCATTGGCTTTAAACCACTTTCGGCCCTTCCTATCTGGGCTAACGTCAAACATCCCTCCTTCATATATCCTTCTGAGGAAGACTATGTCGGTTCAACACGTGTCTTCTCTGCTCTACATTCGAAACTCCTCGACTCTAAAAAAATTGGTTTGGTTTGGTTCATCCCTCGCAAAAATTCCACCCCAGTCTTGGGGGCAATGATCGCCGGAGAAGAAAAGGTTGATGAGAATGGCGTGCAAAAAGTTCCACCTGGGATGTGGATTGTTCCAATCCCATTTGCGGACGATGTACGCGAGAATCCCAAAACTTCATACAACCCAGCACCGGAGGAATTGATAACCGCAATGCGAGAAGTGATACAGCAACTTGGGCTGCCGAAAGGTGTTTATGATCCATCCAAATATCCAAATCCTGGTGAGTTTGTATTTCCCGATCTATTGAATGCGATGCTGACTCAAGAACAGCGTTGCAGTGGCATTATCGGATTCTGCAAGCCATCGCTTTGCAGGAAGAGCTCCCCGACGCACCAGAGGATAAAACGAAGCCGAAATACCGACAAATTCACAAGGTTAGTTCTACCAGAAAGCGAGACTACAGGCTGTTACTGACTCGATCTGTTGCAGCGTGCTGGCGATTATGTCCATGAATGGGCTGAGAAAGTCAACGCCCACATCCCAAATATGCCTCAACAAGCGACCAAGTCCACCTTGGTGAAGCGAGGTGCGAAGTCCGAGGGGGCTGATGACCCACCTTCGAAGCGACCAAAGATCGAACCTGGTGCCGGGGTGGAGGAAGAAGTGAAGCGTAGCTTCGCGAAGGGCGCCCTGTCCAAGGTAGGAATGAAATCCAACTTCTAGTGATACAGGGGGGAAACTAACAGTCACTTGCAGCTCACTGTGGCCGTGCTCAAGGAGTTTCTGCATTCTCATGGCTGGGCCAATGCGGGAAAGAAAGCCGATCTCGTGGAACGAGTCGAGCAATACTTTGAGGAAAAGCGGTAGTGAGGTCCTTTTAATACTCTCATTGTATGGAAGCTATCTTTGAACATGCTTCGGCGGCAGCTCATACAACTCTAAGTTCCCTGATTCGATCGAAAAGCCACCACTGAGCGTAGATACTTGGTGAGACACATTCTGGCAGATATAAAAACCAGTCATCTTCCCCGTAGGGGCTAAGACAGTTTGTGCACCGCACAGATTCATAATATTCAGGATAGAAACCGCTATATTCCCAGTCAATGATTCCAGAAATCATGTACTTGTTGTTGTCGGCCAATTGAACCATGATATTGTCTGGCCTGATATCTCCATGTGTGAAAACGATGCGCCCGAATGGGCCATAGACGGTGATAATCGACGGAGGAACTCGACGAACACGTTGCCGCCTGGATGCGAACTCGAGAACAAGAATGTCTCAAAATCTTCGAGGCTAGTGATAGGTGTCTTGCTTACTCGGACATGTCTCCTTAAATCTCTGCAGCCTTCACCTGCAACTCCTCCTAGAAGACTCCCTTCTGTAAAGGGAAGAGTTCGCAAATCTTCAAGTATGATGTTAAGTTGGTTGCTAAGGAAGGTTTTTTGACCAGAATCGAGTGTGTGCCAGACATTCCCTAGCGGCGTAGATCCCATGTAGCTCATGAATATCAGAGATATCCCACTCATACGCACCAAGCCAAGAGGCTTTGGTACTGGGATACTCGACTTATGATGGTCGAGATATTGTAAAGCGGTATATTCAGTATAGTGCTCCATATTGTGAATTGCTTTTACAACGACTTCTGCGGAGCATTTGAACACTCCTTTTTGTCGAGCGAAGGGAGCTTTCCAAATAGTTTCACTGCTCCATAGAACTTCAAAAAGCCTTTGAGAGAGTGCCGCCGGTAAGCCCGCGGGCTGTGATGTCGGCCCGATTAATTTTGCAACCGTATCCGAAAGAGGAAAGACTATTTCCACTGGGTCTGAGGGGCAAAGGGAATGTCGGATGTCTTCATCGGCTGGATTATGCCTGACATCCTCTGACAGATAATGATGTTAACTATACGAATGACGAGACCAAATTGCGGTACTGTGTTGCTTACTCGGAAGGCTTTCATTTGATTTTCTCATTTCCATGAGACGTTCTTGGTATTCCATAGGGAATTGCTCGAGCAAGTCTATCTCCGGATCTTTCGTGATTGCGGCTTGTAGCTTTTTCAATGTTCGGGCATTAAACCTCGCGGCTTTGGACTCGCTGGTATGTTGAGCGCCCTCTAATTCGGGTGCCCTATCTTCCACCATATTCCAAGGCGGTAATTTGAAACCTCGCGATCGAAAGGTATCAGTCAAAACGAATGATAATCGAGGATGTCTGGATAGAAGGGAGGATATGGGTGGGAAAGGAAGGTGTGAGGAATGGACCCTGCGGTGTGTTTTCCGAGGCTGAGAACTGTCGCTGTGCCCAGGTGCTCAGGTGAGACTCATGCAGGTGATCATGATGCCTGGTAAAGCAAACAAATGTACTCCGTAAAGACCAAGGGTACAGTACTTTATCTTTCGAGAAATGGACCTTCCAAGTAACTTCCGCAGTTTTGATGGGGTATCCATCCATGGATGGCCAAGAGCGGCTTTCAATGGCGGCGATTGGCTCCCAAGGTGGCCTCGGGGCCATCCGCACCAATCGTTGATCTTGATTCCCTGTATTACCCCACCAGGATGAGTTCAGGTTCAGCAAAAAAATGCTCGGGGCAGGGATCGAACCTGCGATCTTTCGCGATCTTCTTGTAAAGCGAACGCGTTAACCACTGCGCTACTCGAGCCTGAATACTGCATATGGCACTTTGCGTGTTTCAGTAATCGGGCAATCATGAGACAAAAAAAAAGGATATAGGGAAATTGTAGAAATGCCGTATATTGAAGTTCTATGAAGTTACTAGAAGAGAAAGGTGAAGAGACAGCTATTAAAAAAACCATAGTAGGCAATCATCTATCATATCCATATGGTGACGTGGAAAACGATCCATGGATGATATTAAATGGGATACTGGAAGGTAACACCTGCCCATCTGGGCAGGCATGAGTCCTGGGGTCATCATACCTTAGGTAGGTATGGGTTTGCAGAGGTCCCCAAGTGTTCCTATCATGGACTTGAGGACAAATGGACCTCGGGAGCCTTTTCATACCTCTCTCCGCGACTTCGGGAATCAACCTTCTCAACCCTGGAGCTTGGATTGGAACCCACATGGATCTTCAATGTTGTCTAGGCGCAGGAAGAATAGGCACTGCCCATCCGCCACATCTTGATCCTCCCTATCAAGCACCGTGTTCTTGGTCAAAGTTATGTTTGGTGGCAAGGTTGCCCCGGGGCCGGGGACTGACATCTTGAATAGAACGACATGAAGCCAGGATTTGCTGTGAGTGAGAGGTCAGGAACAGGGGCAAGATGGCGTCTTTGACCGTCCACCCGGCCCCATACTTTGTCCCTTGCTCACCTGGGCAGGTGGGGCTGTGAGTCTAGCCATTCCCTCAAAGATAGTCTTGATCTCCTGCGATGTTCGTCTTCGTAGAAAAGGGGTGTAATCTAAGGTAGGTGGGTGGGAATTCCAAGGTTATCCTAAGGGATTCACTTCAGGGCTGTTAACCAGAGAGGGATTCCTTCCTTCCATGTTCAAGATTGGGTAGGTCTACTAGGTAGAAACAAGTGACGCTTATCGAGCCTTGAAAGCTGATGATTATTCTACCTATTAAATAGGCATTGTCTCGATCATGGACGAATCAAGTGTCTTGTGGAGGTGTGCTGGGTTCTCTAGTCCATGTGGGATCAAGCCTAAGTTGAACGGAGCCTCTCAAAATCACCTAGGTAGCTGAGGCATTTCATTCCAAGGTCAGTTGAAAGGGGCGTAGACCTTGGAACCATCCTTGAAAGGGGATTGGCAATGAACTTGGAAGAAAGCTCCATGAAAAAATCCATGTATTCACACATTGGGAAATGGTAAAATATATAAGGAGCACTGTGTACTCCACGCTCAAACGCAAAGAGATCTATAAGAAGAGGACACCAAAGAGAAAACTCCGCAGTATACACCATGACCTAGGGCCATACCTAGCACTGCCCATAAACCTGACAGTAGCAAATCTGTTCATCAGGACAACTGTTGCAAAGTCAGCGAAAATCCAAAGCTAAGAATCAGACCCAAACTCACTAAACACCATCCATGCCAAAAATGATATGCCACATAAACTCCATTACCCTTCCAGAAGATGCATCACTCAACTCCGTGTCCATAACCCACTGTCTGAATTTGACATAATCCTCCCGCGGTCTCAAATGCACCTGCTCCCTCGACACAGCAAACTGCGCACAGCAGGCCGCCCCGATTTCTGTCGGTTTCGCATATCGAGTTCCGGGGTATTCGACTTCCGTTGGCGACGACATGTTCAAAGGTGGGGTACTGGTGCCTTCGAAGACATCCCACCAGATCTGCTCTGTGACATGCTTATTGAAGCGATGTTTGCCCTTGCATCCTGGATTCCAATTGCAGCGCAGGTTGGCATATCCGTTGCGCTGGACGAAGTCAAGTTGAAGATTGCGCATGGCAAGGACGTTATCGTGTAGCGGGGCATCGACGTGCCAGGCCATGAGGAAGCCTGCACGGTGGGCGTGCAGGAATGCGATTGTCGAGGGTAGGGAGTCGTAATTGTCGATGATGTATGTAAAGTATGCCATTGATTCGTGGCCTTTATTGAAAGGCGTAGTGAGTGTGTTTGGGTCGAGGCGGTGGGATGGATTGACTGTATAGATGGCGCGTTGCCAGCTGAACGGGTTAGATTTGCCTTCTACTCAGTAGATTGGGGACATACTCTGGGAGCTCCTGAGCCACCCATTCTGTGTGTTCTTCTTCCAGCTTGGCCATGACTATGACTTTGTCGCCGGGTGTTGAGTATGTGGGTGTAGTAGAAGCGGCATTGTGGTCTAGCCATGCAACCATGTATGCGCCGGCGCGGTATTGATTGCATAGGTCTTGAAGATGGGCTTCGAGGAGATAGAGGGAGAATAGAAGAAGAGATGAGACGCATATTAATGCGAGGCGGACGTTACCTCGCATGGTATCTGATTGTGTGAAGAATAATGTTAAGTCATGTCTCCGATGGGCGTAAGAGTTCGAGTCGAGAAGGAGCGAGAGACGGAAAAGGGATGTACAATACGAGTAGGAAGATTAAATCAAATAAAGTATAACAGAATGTCATTATCATCTCATTGGCCACAGGAGGCGGTTTCAGGGGATCCTTAGGTTTAGCAGCCGGGTTAGTTCACTTTTAATCCACTTTTAGTTGCTTTAGACTCCTGTTGAGGCCCGGGGGACAGTTAGGGGCCGCTATGGCCCTTGGCACCGAAAGCTTGGCTTTCCGCATTTCGCAGAGTTTGCGCTTAACTGAGGTCCAACGCCCGTCTGAGAGATCCAGTGGACAGTGTTCGTCCAATAAGCATATGGTTTGGCATGTGGCAACACGCGTTCGACACTGTTCCACGGAATGCACGTGGCGCTGGAGTCGACGTTGAAAGGCTTTTTAACTACTTCCAGTCCGCGCTAAGCCAATTAGTCCGGCGGCTTGGCTCTGGCTCATTTGGTGCCGATGTGGGGAATCAATTCCGTTTACACAGCCTCCTTACCCCCCTGGGGGATCGGATTTTGATTTGCTCTGCGCCGGTTTACACCCAGGGTCTGGTGGATTCTCAACCTTTGCCGTCTATGACAGAGTTACTCCGTGATCAGCATGATGTAGTTGGGGTTGTGTACAGTAGTTTAGCCGTTCATCCATACAGAAGACGAACATTGACAATAGGCATCCATGGAAGTGGCGTTCGGTGAATTGATTCTGCCTAAACGGATTTCCGACACTGTCCCTGTCAATTGGAAGAGTGGGGGAGATTTGAGACATGCGACAGCAATGGCAGATATGCGGACTTGGTCGCTTTGGTCGCTTTGTTTCAGCGGAAATGGCGCACACACATTGTCCTCGAGTCCACATGCGCAATCAAGCCGCGCGGACTGTAGGTTTACTTGGCTGTTGATCGCGATGATGTCAATCCTTGGCGATTTAACGCGCATCTCAGTGTTTGGAGACAAGCTTTGGATCTGAGATTTGGGATGTGTACTGCACTTGTTGCCTCATGATGAAATATCCTTTCTTCCCCTTGAGGTTTCACCAGATCAAATCCCCATATTTCACAATGATACGACCTCATGAAACACCATTCATATACTATGGTACACCAGTCCAGCTGTTATATTCATTATACATATCTAATCTTCTTCCTCGTCACTGACTTCCTCCCCATTCGCAATCGCCTCTTCGCGAATCTTACGGGCTCGCTCTCGCTTCTTGTCCAACAACGTGCTCAGTTTCTTGGCGACGTTGAAAACACCGCCAGTCCCCTCGCCACAGATGGCACAGGTAGGGGTCTTGCGATAGCGCTGCAGCGCACAGGATTCGCAGAAGTAATGCCCGCATTTGGTGACGATAGGCTCTCGGTAAGGGTTTTTGCAAATGACGCAAGCGAAAGGAATGCTTTCCAGTAGCTCATCATCCTCATCGTCCTCCTCTTCTGTGGCCTTGCCCGCGCCTTTGCGCTGAGAGACCACCCGTCCATTTAATGTTTTGCCCTTCGTGTTGATTTCCCAATCGCGATCCAACTCCCAGCCTTGTTTGTAGCTTTCACGACTGTGCAAGAATTTACAGGAATCTAGAGCGGTTAGCGAGAAGAACAGATGACGGGAATATGTTACTTACCACCAAAGCCACAATATCCGGTTTGCTTCCAATCCTTACATACATCGGGGGCAAAGTCGGTGACCGTGACCGTGCGAACGTTTGTGGGTGCTTTTATAGGGCCGAATCTGGACGGCGCATCGGGATTCTTCTGGATGAACGACTGGTAGTTGGCCGCACCCTTGTATTTTCCATCTGCGTCTGCCACAGCAGGCTGGGCCCGTGTAGTGCCGAGAAGGTCTTTTTCGTTGAGGTTTTCGTCGTACCACTGGGCAGATTTGGTCGCATCGTTGCTGGTGGTCAATGGGGCGGGTGCTGCAGCTTTCACTTCTTCGGGGCGCCTGATCACATTTGACGCTGACGACGCTGTGACGGCGACATTGTTGCGCCGCCGTTTAATTCGCCGGCCCTCCTCGTCGTCGTCGGAAGTGAAGTCGGAGCCGGAGTCTGATGCCGGTGGTGGCGTGGCGGGTTTTTTGCGGAGGTTGGCCTTTCCCTTGCGCTTCTTGAAGGCAAACTGGGGCACATCTGCTGCTGGAGCGTCATCCGCCATAATGCCGATGGTAGGGAGCAGAAAGCCGGGGAATGAGTGAGGAACTATCGATCGGATCTCCAGATCTCACATGTCGAGCAGACATGACTAAGCCGCGACAAACAGAACAAACCTCCTCACTTCACGCGTTGGAAGTCAAAATTATTGCTGCGACTAAGTTTGGAACCGTCGAGTCCAGACTCTGTGTATCGTAGAGGACCTCGGGAGACGTAGAAATCCTCAAGTATGGCTTTATGGGCAATCGTACATAGTGAAACGGGCGACCGGTGCCAACTGGCAATAATGCGACACATTTCTACTCCGTAATGTTCTCAAGGACCATTTCTCCCCCGCCCGAGTCAACCTGACCTGTCCAATCACTCCCTACACTCCCTTTTTCTTTTTTTGATCTATTTGGCTGTTATTTATCAATCCTCTCCTTTTTTGTCTTTCCTTTTAAACTTTCTAACCACCTCGCGAGACGCAGCTCCGATCACTTTGTTGTGGTTGGCTGAACCTGCGCGTCCAGTCATCTTTCGCCAGGCCGAAACCTCACTCTGGGCACTGATTCGCCCAAAGGTACCCGGTGTTTGTTGTTGTCAACCATTCGGGCTTCCCCTCCTCACGACGGTGTGCCCATATCGCATCATCAGCGACAACTTGTGGTCGCTGGTTCGACAGTTCAGCTCAATTTGCGACAGATCTGGGTTATTTGGATAATGCCCGCGATCTAGACTCGGAACGCTGATCAACGCGCGAGTCTCCGATATCTCTACGGTCACTGCGTCCTCGCCACGGAGAGGATTCAGATACCGTTTGTGGACTTTGGATATTAGATTATGACCGCTTCCAACGACGAGGCCGCCGGGGTTGCGTCCATGGAAGACCCCTTCGTCTCGAACGGCGGGAAGCCCACCGCCCCCCGCGAAGCCCACCGATACTCGTCTTTCGACACTCAGCTGTTTAGCCTCAATGCGTCGTCCCCAGCACAAGCCAAAAGGGCCCTCGAGGCTCATCTGGCAGAGACCGAACGCCGATTGGAAGAGGCCTCGAAGCTTGGAACCGCTCTAATCGACCAACAGCAGCAGCTGGCGGAACAATTGAAGGAAGTCGAGCTGCAGCAGGATGACGGTGAGATGGGTCCGGCATTGCGCCGCAAGCTCGCCGATCTGGAACGGGAGTACAATGAGATTGGCCGAGAGTCGGCGCGGGCGTTTTTGGCACCCAAGCGGCTTGCTGGAGGTACCGAGGAGGCCCAGCTCGGGACCCCCTCGTTTGACCAAAAGGTGTGTCTCTTTTTGAGGCTGACCAGTATGACCGATCCCAAGCTAACATCAATTGCAATAGTCTCCCTTGAATTCCGCTTTGTTTGCCAGTCAAGCCACCAATTCTCCGAGCAAAGTCAGCGTTCCTTCACGAAAGCAGCGCAACCAACCGTCAAACCGTGTCCACGACATTGAATTTGCGACCGAGATCTCCACCTCCCTCTTGGCTCAAGTCCGCCAACTACAGGCCCTGCTCGCCGAACGAGAAGAGACTATCAAGTCTGTCAATTTGGAAAAGTCGCGACTTGAGTTGGAAGCCGAGGGCTATGGACAGCGTATTCGGGCACTGGATGATAGTGAACAGCGCTACAAGGATGAGAATTGGGCACTGGAAACTCAAGCACATGAGCTCATGGCAGCCGCGCGAGAGGCAGCGGAACGTGAACAGCGACTGAATAGCTCTTTGACTGCGTCAACTGCGGAAAAGAATGACGTGGAGCGAGAACTGGAAGAGCTAAGGCAAGCAAATTCGAGGCTGCTTGAGGACCAGAGTCTCACGCAGAAAGCGAATGATGCGGAGATCAACTTGCTGCGCCGAAATCTGAATTCCGGCGATGCGGAGAAATCCGCCCTCCAGAAGAAGCTCATGGAAATGACCTCTCAAAACCAGGAGCTTGCCAAGGCGGTCGCTATGAGACTTCGTGATCATGAAAACCAAGGCTCTCGGGCGGTTTCGTATGAGATTGAGGGCGAGGAGCCTGAGCAAATCACCCCGGAAAGCTCTCCTCCGCCATCCCCCAATAAGTTCACCCCGCGACACGGTCACTTGGAGTCGGAAACCTTGAAGAGCTCTCTTGGACATGCCCACCGTATGATCCAGAATCTCAAGAGTACCATCCACCGCGAGAAGACCGAGAAGATCGAGTTGAAGCGTATGCTGCAAGATGCCCGTGACGAAGTCGAGACTCGCCGCCGGGATAGCACTGTGCCAAATGGGTCGAGCAAACGCCAGAAGACCAAGACCGATTCATCCCGGAAGCCTCCCCGTCCAGATCTTCTGGGCGCAGGACGCAAGGAGAAGTCATTCGTTGAACTCCAGGATACCGACTGGGAAGACAATGCCGGCCAGGTCAGCCCAACTCAAGTCCATGTTACCTCAAGACCCACTACAGCTCGCTCTGGAACTGAATCTCCAGATGGGCCTAGTGATGTCTACCAGACCGCTACTGAGGCAGAGGATGGCTTTGAGACCGCCAACGAACGTGCAACTGCAACCGAGAGTGAAGCGTTCCAGACTGGGGTTGAGAGCATGGCCGATGACAGCAGCGACTCCGCGGCGGATCTTACCGAAACTGAGCAGAATGTCCAGACAACTCCCCGTGCGAAGGGCTCCTCCATCCGCATGACCAAGACTCGCAACCGTGACGCATACCACAGCACCGCCTCCAACTCATCCGATGAAGAGGAGTTCGACCGCAGCTTTGGCTCTCCGACACAGACGCACATCTCACGGCCCCGTGTGAAGTCGAAGCGCAGCATCTCAAGACGCATTCGCCCATCTGGAGAGGCCACATTTGCATCCACAAGTCGCCCCTCGAGTGCCCGCGACTCGACCGCAAGTAGCTTCGAGCAAGCCTCCGCATCCCAAGAGGGCCAAAGCCTCTTTGCGGAGCTTGCAGATCTCGAAAGCACTGAGGATGATGGGGATGCTACCTCCGTGGCTTCGACGCCGCGTATGGAGCCTACCATGGGCTCGCGCAGACCTTCAGATGTGATGTTGGACGCACCACCCAAACCTGCCATGGTGGATTCGGGCGTGATGACTGAACCCTGGGAGCCCTCTTCGACCGGTGGCGGCCTCGCCGCAGGTGCTGGCCTCGTCGCTGGAGCTGCTGCCGGTGCTTTGGCTACTCACGTGGCTGAATCCGGAGACCGCGAGGTCGCGGACGAAGCGAATGAACATGGCCAATCTGTGAGGTCGGGAGCTCAGTGGACTCCAAAGAAGCCCCTGCCCGCTGATGGGGAATATATGGGTGAAGTGTCTACACCACCGAAGATGGCCTGGGATGAACAAACCCAGAATTTCAATACACGCGATCTTCCGGAAATGGGCATGGCAGAACTCTCCTCTCAAGAGACCACCCCTCGCACACCCAAGCGACCCGAACTCAGTGTTTCTTATATCAATGGCGGTATCACAGAACCGGTGAAGCATGAGCTGCCCGCACCGGAAGTGCCGGAAATGACGATATCCTCCATCTCAACCCAGACTACCAGCCCTGTTGAACCCAAGGTTATGGTACCTGAACCAATAATTAAGCATGTTGATGTCATCAAATACGTCGAGCGCGAGCCAGAGGTGCCCGAATTGACCTTCTCCACCATCACGACTCAATCCACTGCGCCAATCAAAGCATCCCTCGCTGTACCAGAGCCTGTCATTCAGTACGTTGATGTGATTAAGGAGGTGGAGCGCGAGCGCGAGCTTCTCGAATTGAGTCTCTCGCCTGTTGCAGCCCAGTCCACGACACCTGTTCAGGCAGTCCAGGCTACTATTCCCCAGCCGGAGCCTATCATTAAGTACGTCGATGTGATCAAGCACGTTGAGGTTGAACGTGAGCCCGAGCACCCTACTTTGAGCATTGCTTCCATCGCTGGTCACTCTACCGCGCCTGTGCAGGCCACCAAGGCTGCCCCTGTCATTGAATACGTCGATGTGATCAAGAACGTTGAGGTTGAACGTGAGCGTGAGTACCCTGCTTTGAGCATTGCTTCCATTGCTGGCCACTCCACTGCACCTGTGCAGGCCACGAAGGCCGCCCCTGTCATTGAATACGTCGACGTTGTCAAACACGTTGAGGTGGAGCGTGAGCGCGAGTACCCTGCTCTGAGCATCGCTTCTATTGACGGCCACTCCACTGCACCTGTGCAGGCCACCAAGGCACCACCCGTCATTGAATACGTCGATGTGATTAAGAACGTTGAGGTGGAGCGTGAGCGCGAGTACCCTACTCTGAGCATCGCTTCCATTGCTGGCCACTCCACTGCACCTGTGCAGGCTACCAAGGCTGCTCCTGTTGTCGAATACGTCGACGTCATTAAGCACGTCGAGGTTGAGCGTGAGCGTGAGATCCCTGAGCTGAGCCTGTCCTCGATCACTTCTCAAATCACTGCCCCTGTCAAGGCGTCTGTTCCTGCACCTCAGCCTCCTGTCATCCAATACGTTGACGTTATCAAGCACGTTGAGCGCGAACGCGACGTTCCTAATTTGGGAATCTCTTTACTGGGCCCTACATATACAGAGCCTGCCGCTTCGAAGCCTCGCATTGTCCCCACGCCGGAGTTGTCATTCTCCCCCGTCCGCTCGGTCGAGACTCATCCAGTCAAGTCTGCGCTTCCTGTCTTCGCTGGCGTTGCGAATTTCTCCGACAAACCCGAGTCGAACTCAAAGTCAACCGAGGTTGCTGTGCACGAAGACAAGTCTGTTGATGCCAACGACAGCCCCGAAATTACTGGCGCTGGTCTCGCCTTGAACGATATCTCTGGAAACAGCCTTAGCCGTTCTGCGAAACGGCTCAGCAGCTCAGTCAACATGGATCAAGGCTCCCAGACAATTTTGTCTGCCAAGCAGATCGATCAAATTTTGATTGAGCGTTCTGCGCGCCCGCTGTCCTCGGATAGCAGGGTAACAGACACTTCCAAGGAAATTGCTGCTGTCAGTACTACCGCGACATCTCCCTACACACCCAAGGCCACCCTCCGGCCTCGTCTCTCCCAAATTCAACAGGCGAAGCCTACGCCGAATCACCGCCGACCTCCCAGTGCCACCAGCCAATTCTCCAATGCCAGCGCCCACCCCCCACTGCCCGTCGATCATCGGGAAGCCATCATGGCTGCCGAGAAGAAGTCTATCGATGTGGCACCACCATCCCCTACCTCTGTCATGGGTCCTCCATTGGCACCTGCATCTGCGTACCGAATGAACTCTCATCGTCCACTGACGCCTAGCGAACAAGCCGTACGAGCCGGCTCTGCGAGAACTGGTTCCTCTCAGGCGAAAATGCGACGCGGCAGTCAGAGCCAAATGTCTCGACGATCCTCGGTTTCGTCTTTCGCATCCGAGGTCGAGGAGCGATTTAACCCTCACGCGGGCCCCATGCCTCAAGGTTACGGACCTGGCACTGATCCTCGCATGATCCAGGCCATCACGCAGACCATGATTGGCGAGTTCCTTTGGAAGTATACACGCAAGACTGGTTCATCGGAAATGTCCTCCACCCGTCACCGACGATACTTCTGGGTCCATCCTTATACGCGTACCTTGTATTGGAGCACTTCGGACCCGCAAACCGCCGGAAAGAGCGAACTTCGCACCAAGAGTGTACCCATTGAGGCCGTCAGAGTGGTCGCCGATGACAACCCCTACCCACCAGGTCTTCACTGCAGAAGTCTGGAGGTTGTCAGTCCTGGCCGACGGGTTCGGTTCACGGCTACGACGAGCCAGAGGCACGAAACGTGGTTCAACGCCTTGTCCTATCTTCTTTTGCGAGAAACTGAGGAAAATGGCGAGGACAGCAACAGTGTGACTCTGGACGATATCGACGAATTCAATCCCCCTAGCTTCCGCCAGAACACGCGCATGTCGTTCTCCTCTCACAACAGTCGCACTGTTCGCAATCCCCACAAACAGCAGCGTGCGGCTTCCGCGATGTCAATGCGATCTGCCGGCACTCCCGGTGGCCGTGCATCACCCTCGCTCAGCTCCACCGTTCCCAACTCGTCATTGCAGGTCCCAGATGGCCAACGCTCTTCCTCGCGACTTAGCACCATCTCCAGCTCGATCCGTGGCTCCATTGCTAGCATGAAAGGCCGTCACGGTCAATCTCCTAGCATGCACAACGAAAGTCTTCACGGCCAAGAAAGCGCCGATGATCTTAGACAAGTGATGGAGAACCAAGAACAAGACCGACTTGAGAACGTCCGCGCCTGCTGTGATGGCAAGCATGATGTCGGCTCCCTTTCTCGTACTAGCCGGTACAGCCCGCGAGTTGATCGCATCCACTCCCCTCACCCTCACTGAGAACTGAATCTGCGGGTCTGTGGGCAGGTCCTCAACCCAGACGACTTGAGTCTAAACGAGTCTCTTTTTCTTCCTCAAGAACACCTTTCTAATACTCTTTCCCACTCGCATCGGCCAAAAGCCGCTGGGGTCATGGACTGTCTTCTACAGCCAAACGCCTTCGCTTCACTCTTTTCTCCTTTCCGCAGACCCCAACTTTCTATCTCCGTCTATCCTTCAATCCCAGTTGGCGTCCCTCTGGATTCACAATCAAATCTTTCCTATATTCTCCTTATGTTGATAATCCCTATCTCCTTGATCGGCTCCACTCTTTGGCCTTCTGGCCCATGATACTAGATTTAGTATTCAATTTCGTTGGATTATGTCTAATTACTCAAGTTGGATCTGTAGCGTTGACAAATCAAGTTCTTCGTTTCCCTCAAAATCCGGGGTCAATACTCCGTGTAGTTCAAACGCCGAGGCACAAAACCCTCCGCGTCACGTGAACCACGATATAATAACCTTCGGATCGTTGGAACTAGATCCTACTCCAATTCTCCTTGGCATACTGCTTTATCGCCCTCGCAATGTCTTCCAATAGACCTCCGCCCTTCTTGCAGCAGCTGGTCGGGCTGACCGAACCAGCACAGCTCATGGCTTGGGCTCTGTCCCGTAAGTTCAGACGCCGAGATATATAGATCCGAGTTTCGTTTGATGAAATCGCGGTGATTGATACTCACACCCAATTTTGCTTTGGGATCATCCTTTATAATTCCCTTGATATGACACCGTCTACATACAAATAGCCTTCCAAGGTTGAAGACATTACATCGCCCTCAACTGATCATCTCATCCCCATTCACATCAACCCATCTCATTCAACTCGGTGAAATATTTACCTCAGAGCATCCACTAATCCACTTCCTAGATCACATCCGAGTCTTTGCAGGCGCAATTTTGAAAGGCCAAATCTTAGCCCCAATCACTCAGACCCAAAAACTGCGCGATGAAGCATTTGGCCGCTTCTGGATCGACTTCAGCTGTAAGTCACCATGTCATCCAAACCCCAAATGGAAAAAGATCGTCTCGCAAGAACAAGATATTAACATACACAGCCCTCCGAGAAGCACCTGCTGGCGCAAGTCCCTCTGAAATCCCCGCCCCAGTCGGCTCCTCCGCTCTAATCCCCCCACTCCTCCGCACAGCCAGCGGAAGAGTCCTAGACATAGGCCCAGGAACAGGAACCCAAATGCACCTTCTAACATCACCATCCATAACAGCTCTTTACGGCGCAGAGCCCTGCACAAGCCTGCACGGCGCCATCCGCACAAAAGCAGAGCAGCAGGGCATTTCGTCCAAATATCACATCCTCCCCACCGGCGTCGCAGCAACAGATCTGATTCCTGCTCTGCGGGACTCGGGGGTGGATGTTGGTTCGGATGGCGTTTTTGATACGATTCTATGTGTGCGGGTTCTTTGCTCTGTGCCGAATGTGGATAGGACTGTTCGCGAGCTGTATGGAATGTTGAGGCCTGGGGGGAGGATTTTGGTTACGGAGCATGTTGTCAATCCTTGGCGGAGGCCGAAGGGGTCTGTTCTTGCTCGAGTTGCGCAGTTTGTGTATCAGATGATGGGGTGGAGCTGGCTTGTTGGTGACTGTGCTTTGGATTGTGATACTGAGACTGCCTTGAGAGGGGCTGCTGGGGAGGAGGGATGGGAGAGTGTTGAGCTGGAGAGGAATTTCGAGTGGTCTGCTATGCCTTATATCTCGGGGGTCTTGGTCAAGAGGGGATAAAAGGAATGATGCATTAGATACTGTTTTCATGAATCGTGTTCAATTCTGTGGCTAAAATCCATGGATAGATTTGTTGCTTATCAATGCGACTGGGTATCATTTCTATACATGTTGGTTTGCATCAATAAATGTGACAATGGAGGATCATGGCGAATCATCAAGGGTGTCTTCGTTCCCTTCATTCGGCTTTGGTCGTCCAGGGGGCCAAAAATCGAATAAGTCTAAGGTCTCGACTGTCCATGGACCTTGTTCCTTGCGTTCTTCAATGATGGGAATCGTGTTTACTGAAGTCGCGGTTCGGTTTCGGCCACCAGGCAAAGTGCTAGGGTCTGACAGCGACTTGCGCAGCGGGGCATCAGTAGATCTTCTTCCGTTCAAAGCCCTATTTGAAGGTCTGGGCCCTGAAACATCAAGTATCTCGTCAAAGATGGATTGTGTCGAGCTCGAGGGCATGAACTCATCATTGGGTGTGGAGTTGGCTGAATCTACTGAGTCAGTGGCTTTTCTATAAAACAAAAAGTTAGGTTCAGGACACAAATTAAGCAGCAGGTAAATACCGACTCTGGTTTCTTGGGTTCTGGGGCAGGTCTTTGTTTCCCGCTAGCCGGCAGCGAGTTGGATGCTGTTGGCGAGGGCGTCCGCGAAGCATCAGGCAATAAAGCACTATACATGAGCTTTTTGCGAGGCTTCCCAGAGCCCATTCGAAGGATTCTCGGGGGATTTTCGGATGATTTCCCCGGCAATGGACGCGACGGAGGTGCCATGTTTCTCGGCGCCGGTACATCTGCAACCTTTGTAGGTTGTTCGCTGTTGGAAGCTGCCGAGGGTAACTCCCCAGAAAGAGGCCGTGTAGGAGCATTCGAGGTGAGAGGCGAAATCTTCGGAGCTGGAGGGCGCTTTGGGCGTTGCGTTGGCGGCCGTGTGCCTTGCGCCTCACCCCTTTGGCCTACAGTTGGCTGATTCGAGGTTGGAATCTGTACAGCCCGGGGTCCTTCAGACGGCACCGCCTTCTCTGCGGTGGATTGAGTGACGGAGACATTTGGAGTGACCGGGATAGAGCCCCTCGCAAGCGGAGGTATAGACCTCTGTGGCCTAGTCGGATTAGGCGGTGGATCCTTTGGCCGATTTCCACGACTCTGTGGTTGCGCATCTACCCGCGTAGCCTCCTGAGGCACCGTGACCTCTTTGTCTACCGTGATTGCGGAGATAGGACTTGGCAATACTCCGGGCGGTCTTCGTGTGTGAATAGGTGCAGCGGGGGTAGAAGCGCTGCTGAGGGGACTTGAGGACAGAAGTGGCCTGGTTGAAGGCCGGGTCAAATTTTGTGGTGATGGCAGACTGGAGTTCACCTCAGAAGAAGCGGATATAGAACGCCCAAGGGGTCTTGGGGGGTCGGATCTGTTCAGAGGTGCTGGTTTGGACGGGGCTGGCCGTTGCTGGTGGCTTGCCAAAGTTGGAATAGCCGGAGCTTCAGCAGTTCTCGCGGCTCGCTTCGTCACAGGATTGATCCCCGTGGTCGAGTTCTTTCTCAAAGCAGACTCGGTCAAATCAATGACCGAGCTCTGGGTCCTTGAGTTTTCATCCGTTGGCTGATCTACCTTTTGTCTTTTGGGCGCTCGTTGCTCTACAGCTTGCGGAGTAGGTTGCGGAGCAGGTTGCGTGGGATTTCTTTGTTCATATGGTGAGGCGAAAGGTTGCGCGGGGTTCTTTTTGATGCCGAGCAAATCGTTGAGTGAGCGTGATGACTGAGATGAACCGGCATAACGAGGCGTTGACGTAGCAGTGGAGGAGCGGGGAGCTTGGGATCCCAGGTGACTGTTCTGCGGAGAGCCCTGACTGGACCTCTTCTTGTCGTACAGGGCCGTGATGTCCGTCTCTGTCGTCCCCATATTCTCACACACTTCAATGAGCACACCTTTGTTCTCCAATTCCAGTTCGTCGCCATCTTGAACCTCGTCGGAAGACCGCCAGTGGTGGTCCCCAATGAAATTCCCCCGATCATCATATACCATCACCCGTTTGTTGTGTTTGTGATATCGAAGGTGGCCATCGTGCCATCGTTTCGACTTGCGGCGGAGGTCATGCGTGTAGAGGCAGCGGAAGGAAATCTTCGCGCTAATGATGGGTGTAGACATCGCGGTGGCACACGGTGATGTCCCATTGACACATGATATCGCACTGCTCAGGTGTGGAAGTTCCGTTGATCCACGCGTGTCGTGCGCGTCGATAACCACGGTTCGCTGATAGTGTTGGGCCTGAGTTCCAAGGCACCAACCTTACCCGGATGGCGCACTTGTATAGGCCAAAAGTCTGTCCCCACTCCATTTCGAGACATGCAAATAGTGTCAAATATTTAACAGAGTTTGATTCTTCATTTCTTCAGGCAGCGTAGTCAATTCATTGTTGATGGCAATCCTCTAGTACATTTGTCTATTGCTCATTTCAATTGGCAGCAAGCAAAGGAAAAGAGCCGAGACCCATATGCCACCAGCTCCAAGCCAAAGCACACCAGCTGATTCTCCCTCAATGTATCTTTGGCCAGCAAATGGTGCCACAATCCCGGCAATCCGACCCAGGCAAGATAGCATTCCACTAGCACTCGTGCGGTATGTGGTGTTGAACATCTCCGGCGCAGATGCGTATAGTACTGCGTTGAAGTACTGCGAAGTGTTAGTATTCTTGTAGTCACACTGGCTTCACTGGTGTCCGAGCTGGCCTTACTGTCTGCATTATGTACTCAAGAGCATTGAGGCCGACGTATCCTGCTGTATTCTTGACCTGTGTGTAAAGTGCCATGGACACCCCCTGTAGCACCGCAGCGATAACCAGCGACCATTTTCTGCCGATTAGTGGTAACTGAATGGAGAAGAGTGCAATGATTGCACCTAGGACTCCAGGCAGATAAATGTAAATGTATTGGCGGTATGTCTCTGAAACATTGCCGCCACTTTCTACGTTGTTGCGTAGTAGTATGATAGGGAGGAAAGACCCGGCTAAGGTGAAAGACCAATAGTCACCCTGCTTTGGTCAGTACCTAGGTAGTCCTGGAAGACATAATCATAAATTGGCACCAGAGCTTACCATATATGCAACGGCGAGTAGGGCAAAGCTGAAACACTCAACCCTGCGGCAAAAGAGGCCCCGGAGGTATTTGAAGCGCCCGAAGAAGCCGATAACAACATTTTTGGCGGACTTGGATCTGATAGAGCCTGATTCAGAGCCTGCATCAGAGTCAATTTGGCGAAAATCTTCTATTGTGATGGTCGGAGGTGGAGCTTTGTTAAAATTCGCGATCTTGTGAAGCACGTCGATGGCATCTTGTTCACGACCCTTGCTGATCAAGAACTTAGGCGACTCATGGAACCGGAAGATCAGACACCGGACGAAGAAAACGACAAAAGTGATCAGCCCGATCACAATGACTTCGTAGCGCCAACCCATGTTGCTGGATATCGAGCAACAGTCATCACCAGGCCTGATACCGGCAGCATTACATGCCGGTAGTTTCACGTCACACCTGTACTTTGCAGCTGTGCCATAAGATATGGCCGACGCAACGACAACACCAATTGGCTGCCATATGCCTAGCAATGCAACAAGGAAGCGGCGGTTCTGTGGGAGAAATTCAAGTGCGATTGCCGCATCGATTGGTATGTTTCCACCAAGTCCAACAGACGAGAGAAAGTATATGCCGCAGATCGCAGCATAGTTGTACTTGGCCGCAGCCTGGAAGAGTCAGTCCAACTCTCCAATCTCGAAGCCAAATGCATACCAGAAGCATGCCAAAGACCGAAGTGATTAGACATGTCAAGTTGAAGGCCCACTTGCGACCAATGATATCCGTAATAATGCCGAAAGAAAAGGCCCCAATTCTACTCTATTAGCTTGGAAACAATTGACCCCCAGGCAGTAGGGTTGTCTCAAGGCAACTTACGCAAGACCCGCATTCGAGCAAGAAAAGATCAAGCCTTGTCTATTTGGCGGCACATTCATTTCTTGACTTTTGCCACGTCATCAGCTCATGTATCTTCAGAGTGACTCTTTTACTTACAAAACAGCAGTTGCCATTAGTCCTACACCTTGAGTCCAAGCCAGATCGAGGAAATATCCAAACCCGCAAAGCACCCAGATGCATTGTTGATATTTACCGAAGCCAAATTTATCGATCTCCCTGTGCTTGTGAGCATGGAAATCTACAATCTTTGGATCCCTGATCACTTACGCGTTCACAAGTGCAGCTTTGCGCTCGAAAGGCGTAGCTTGGTGCGTGGCTGTGCCCTCGATAATGTCCCCCAAGGAGACATGGCCCTCACTGGAACTTACCTCCGTCTCGACGGGACTCCCACTCCCATTCTCCTCTGCAAGGGAAATCTTGGCCTTTCCATTCTTTGCAACAGACATTGTACCTGGAATGCGTGCCAGGCGCGGACAGAGTCAAATGATGTTTCAGGGTTTGGTTCTACAGAAACGCTAATCTACTTAACATGCATGAAAGCCAGCTGTTAGGCCTGTCCGTTTCTGGACAGGCTGACCGATGGATAGTCAGGGCTCTCTAGCCCAAGATAAACCGGTTCTCAGGCAGTTTGCCTTGGAAATGCCAGATTGTTGCTCTTTTTATGCGGAGTAAGCGCTGCAAACGGGACGTGCAGGGTCTGAGCGGGGCCTAGATTTGCCAAGTGCCAAAATGACACCTGGGGGCGCTTTAAAGTCATTCGATCGGAAGGAACATGACGGAGTCAGATATTCTCGATCTGGAAGTCTGCAGTTGGCCGTTGCTCCTCCGCTTTCGATGGTGGAGACTGCCGCACGGATCAGATTGGCGGATCACGATACCGGGACCTCTGATTGGTTGATTTCGAAGTAGATGGCCTTGGGACCCGTGGACGAGCTGGACGGCGTGACGTGAATATGAAACTATGATCCTCGCGATTAATTGCGGAATTTTCTAGATCGTAGCGCTCTGAGGCATTCCAAGCTTAGTATATACAATGTAGAGCGTGATATAGTACCTGGGCCCAAAGCGGGGAATCGGATATCATATTAGGAGACATACAAAAGAAATACTGTAGGTAGCTGCAAAGGCAAGGGGGAAACCTGTTTGAACTAATTCTGCACAATGCATACTCCATAAATTTGATTTGCTGAAAAGGGCACCTCAACATTCGAACATTTTCGTTGTGCTCACATTGACCCGAGTCCACTTCTGGCCTCTGACAACACTGTCGCAGAATCGAATGGGCCAGTAAACGTGATACAACACAAAGAATGGCCAGGGGTCCGAAATACCGAAGGTACTTTCCCGCCAGTACACCAAATGGTGCCAGAATGTCTGGACACTTTTCTTTGCATCCTCAACATCGCCTGTGCCGCAAAGTAATGCAAGGAGAGGAACAAGCAGGAGGGTAACCAAATCATGCCCAACCCAATAGTAGCCACATACAGGCTTTTTGGGTGTGATAGGGTCCTCAGAACTAGGTGAGTCGAAGCAAGATAGATATGCATCGGCCATTTGGGCTGTGTCTTGGAATAACACCACTGCCGTATGCGCGCGCGGATTGCATTCAATGGGTAGGAGCCTGGTATCCTCGCCTTCACCTTCAGCAATGAAATCAAAACTGAGATGACCGCTGAAGTTCTCTCCTTCGTTCTGAGCAACCCGTTCGGTGAACTCCAGCATCTTTCTGTGCAGAACTGAGTCTTCGGGGAGCGCCTCGTAGTGCATAAGCATATCAGATGACGGGCATGAGACGAAGGCTTTCAATTTGCCGTGGATAACCAAAGAGTGTGTACAGTACTCTGGGCCACTGATGAACTGCTGCAGAATGAAGGAATTGGATGGAGAAATCCCTAACGAAGAGACGTAACTCGCGGTTTCGGATTCTTGGTCGCGAGGGAAAGGCAGAAGTGTCATCATCTGCGCCCTCGCTCTGTCGTCCACCCCGATCGGCTTCAAAATGAACCTCTTTGGGGTCTCCGAGCCCTTGTTCTTTGTTGAGGCAGCGTGCAATATAGCTTCGACTTGCGAAACAGACGTGCATCGATGTGACTCTGGCACCTGTAATCCAAGGCTGTGGATGTATTCTGTGAGCGAATCCTTTTCATGTAGCTTGGACACAGCTTCTTCATCGAATTGGACGGCCTTGAAATCATCTCCCAAGATCTTTTGAGCTGTCTTCATTGCTTGTCCATCTTCAACTGCGCCAACAACACTGCTGCAACTGATCCAGAGATCCACTCTCTCTGATTTGAGAACATGAAGCAATGACTTGATGTAGGGGTCTGGATTCCCATTTTTCGGTGTCTCAAGACGATGGAACTTGGCAGCAGAGCGGGAGTAGCGACCCGGCGAGGTGAAGCATATGAGCTCTGTGTCAGCGGCTATTATACGATGAGAGGTGTTTTTGGCAAGCAGTCGAGAAATAGTCAGACCCTTGGTCATGGAAACTCCTGTGACCAAGATGGTCTTGCGAGGAAGACCATTTTTGTCTCTTGTGTCGGGTGATTGGTATTTTGTTTCGTTTCCAAAAATACAAGACAGAAGAACCAAGACCGCAGTGGCTGGGAGAAAGAGCAAACTGAGCAGGAGTAGAAGTATATTCTTGGGGAAATGGCTGAGGATCAGAGGTTTCGAAGATCTCATGGCGCAATACAAGTCCAGACACAGTCTGGCTCCTCCGCACCGGACGGATCTCCTTCTAAATGCAAACGGAATGCGACTCGACAACTTGGAATTGTCCCTAATTTACGTCATCTTGACGGTCAAAAAATTATTCGACTACTCGAGCATGCGATCGATCGATCGCAAAGTGAATTGAAGAAATCAAGGAACATAAGTAAATTGTTGGTCTAGTCAACTGGTGGCTACTCGAGTTCCCCCGTGCACCGGGTAATTTCAACACCATCCTATGCATGAGTTAGAACTTTGCGTTTCAGATTGTGGAATAATCTTACCGGTACGCCAGTCGGCTCAAAGCTGTTAATCAACTTGCTCTCGTACACGAGATTTGGGTTGCCACGGCTCTGGTTGAATTGCATCTCTCCATACCTCTTCTTGTATTGATCAACAGTTCTTCCAGGTATTCCTTTGCTCTTGACCTGCTCTCCTAGGTTCTCTCTTTTCTCCTCGACCGTTCTTCTCACATACTCAAGATAAGGAGGATTTCCAGGCTTGATGACATTATCAGCAGCCAGAACAGACCCTGGGGTGATCAACTTGAGCTCCTCGCAGAGTTTCAAATCAGTCGTATAGGCTGGTTTATAATGGTCGAGGAACATAAGATCAATGTGATTGAGTCGACCCTCGGAGACCAGGCGCACGATAGAAGCGTCGCTTGCGCCAACTATGACGTTGACGATATCTCCGAGGCCAGCGAGGTCAACCAAAGACATGATGACAGCCGCAAACTCCGGGTTCATTTCAAGGCTGAAATAAGACTGACCACCCGATCGGCGAACTGCATCGCCGAAGAGTATGCACGAGTAGCCGACATACCCTCCGAGTTCAACCTGAAGGGTTGTGATTAGTTGATATGTTCCACGCTTGGGCAGAATTGTGGACAAACCATCACTTTTGGCTTCACTTCCTTGATGAGATTAGATACAATGCGGCCTTTATCTTCTCCCACATTCATTAAGTACTTCTTCGTTCGTCCAAATTCATCAATGGCCTCGAGAACTTTTTCCGGGGATCCACGGATTTCTTCTAAGCGGGGATGCGAGTAAACGAAATGCAAGAGCTCGATTTCACGGCCATCGTCGAAGAAATCTGTCCCAACTTCTTGAGCGGCATATGCCTTGTCCTGATTAAAGTTGGTCATGTCTCAAAATATACCCAGTTTGATCCAGTGGAAAGAGACAGAAGGAATGACAAGGAGTAGAAGAAGGTTGGAAGGGGAAAGCAAAGGGAGGGAGAGAGCGAGCTATGTTGCTCCTGAAAATAACCCGAAAAAGGCCTTCCAATTGTGACGATGATATGAAGGGGAGGTTTAGTCCAAGCAAAGATCGTTGATCGGGACGCCGATTTCGGATTTAGCTTTGCCTCAAAGCATGAAACGGAGAACACGTATGATACTACGTGTCAATGAGCGGAAAAGTAGCTGGAGCAGGTTTCCAAGATTTCAACTGCAATCGCGCGAAGCTCGTCCGATCGAATTGTTAGCGTGGGGATTGTGCAGAGCTCCGCGGGTCGATCCTCTTACGGGACCCGGTTTTCAACGGATACTTTTTTTCTGTCGTGCAGGTCCAATTGCACGATCGATTCCGATCAGATAGTGGAGAACAGCTTCTTGTGTGGAGATCGGTATAGAGATCGGATCATTGGGGTAAGAGATGACCTCATTGCGTGAGATCTGAAAAGCCATCCGAGAAAGGCCTAGACGTCCATTTTCGTTCGTTTTCGTATGCACAGCTTCATAGCTCCAGCATCAATTTACTTGAGTTGCACTGTGCTATTCGATCACCATGTTGTGCTGACCCGCTAAACCAATGTCAAAGGATCCATGGACTTGCAGCACGACTGCATGCTTTCGTCTGATCCTGTGAATCACACATTTTGATGCCTTGATTTTGCAAAGTGACCCAGTTCTTCCAACGGACAATGAGCATACTTGGCGTCTACGATGCAGTATTTGCTGGCCTTTCGATCTCTCGACCTCTGGACTACGGCATGGTGATTTCGAGTGACGTATCCATACGATCAGTACCAACCACTAGATATCGATCATATAAATTATCATATATTGTGCTACAGTTTCCAAGTATCAATTGAGCTTTATCCTCTCACCTTTACACATTCTCCGCTCCTACTAGACCTGCCCAGCATGTCCGACCTCAAGGCTACAGTAGCTGAAACGGCTAACGGCTTCCACGTCGAAGGATATGAAAAGATCGAGTATGACTTTACGTTCCTTGACGGTGTTTTTGAACTTCCAAATTTGCAACTAGCAAAGCTGTATGAGAAATGGGGTCGTTGCCTGGCCATCATGGATAGAAATATCTTTGAGCTATATGGTCAATCGATGCAGAAGTACTTTGATCACCACGGTCTTGAATTGAAGATTCACCAGACAATGATCGGAGAGAAGGCCAAGTCCTTGGATACGTTTACCAACATTGTGGACTCAATGACTGATTTTGGAATCATTCGGAAAGAGCCTGTTTTGGTTGTGGTATGTTGTGTGAACGATGATAGCCAAACTTGTACTGACGCAAAATAGGGCGGAGGACTAGTCACCGACGTTGCAGGGTAAGCTTCTTCGATGGGCTCACATCTCTCTGCTGAATCTAACGCTTCTGTTAGATTTGCCTGCGCCGCCTATCGCCGCAACACCAACTACATCCGTATCCCCACAACCGTTATTGGCCTGATCGACGCCAGTGTCAGTATCAAAGTCGCTGTCAACTACGGCAACTACAAGAACCGACTCGGTGCCTACCATGCACCCGCGCACACCCTTCTTGATTTTGGTTTCTTGAGAACCTTGCCCGAGGCTCAAGTTCGCAACGGGTTTGCCGAGCTCATCAAGATTTCGAGCTGTGCTCACTTGCCGACATTTGACTTGTTAGATGAGTTCTGTGAGCGGCTCATCAAGACCAAATTCGGGCGTGTCTCCGACCACGATGGAGAGATCAAGAAAGCTGCCGACGAGATCAACCGGAACGGAATCTTTGAGATGCTGAAGCTAGAAACGCCGAATCTGCATGAGATTGGCCTGGACCGAGTGATTGCGTATGGCCACACTTGGTCGCCCCTTCACGAGGTCAGTACACACCAGTCATGATAACAGAAACAGAATTGTTTTAACATACTCCCAGCTCGCGCCCCCAGTTCCACTTCGCCACGGCCATGCCATTTCAATAGATATGGCTTATTCTGCCACTTTGGCGAATGACCGTGGCCTTCTCAGTGATGAAGAGCACCGGAGATTGTTGGCTCTCTTTTCTCGTGCAGGCCTCTCCATGGATCACGAACTTTTCAACGAAGAAATTCTGGATAAAGCCACACAAGCCATTTTGAAGACCCGAGACGGGCTCTTGCGTGCTGCTGTGCCAAGTCCACTGGGCAGCTGCAAGTTCTTGAACGACGTGGCCATGAAAGAGATGGCCCAGGCGCTCCGCCGCCACAAAGAGCTCATGAAAGAGTACCCGCGCCACGGCGCTGGAATTGAAGCATATGTCGATTCCAGTGATACTGGGTACACTATCAATCAAAAGCATGATCCTGCTCCGATGCATGCGCAGGCCTCTAGCGCGGAGGCATCGAAGAAGCATGGTCTCAACAACGGAGTCCTCCATGGACTGAAAGAGTTGGCTATCAATGGCCACGGCCCTGGTCTGCCTACACTAGAGCAAAGATGAGCATATATTCTTCAGGGACATATGGAAGAGCTCAAGCTATCACGTACGAAACTTCAATATACATATGTTCTGTGACTGAGCATGCCCCGTAGCATTAAGACAACCTAATAACAACACATACTGAAAGTCCTAGAGAATATTCCATGTCTTGAAATCCTCGAAGCATAAAAAAAACGACCCACGGTGTTGAAGATGTCTAGGCTGCAAGTGACATCATTTCCTGCAGAAATTCGCGAGTTGATCGACTGGACTTGAAACTCCTCTCCTTCTCTGCGCACATTTCCTTGACTTCAACCGCACCAAAATGCCTGCACACCCTGACGCTGACCTCTATCCAGAAGCCAGTGGCCTGGCTAAGACACTGGTTGATCAACACCAATCCGAACAGCCTCTGAAACTATATGCGGGATGGTTTTGTCCGTACGCAACCCCGCCCCGCAACACATCCAAGCAAAGCTAACGTCTACAGATTTGGTATGTGCTTGAATAAAGCCATAGTTTCTCCCATGCTAACAGCTCAGTGCAACGAGTCTGGCTAGCCCTTGAAGAGAAGGGGATTCCTTACCAATACATCGAGGTCAATCCATACAACAAACCAGAGTCGCTTCTGGCTTTGAATCCTCGCGGTCTTGTTCCGACTCTCTCAATTCCGAATCCATCACGGCCTCTGTACGAGTCTACCGTCATTCTAGAATATCTGGAAGAGGCATACCAAGATCACAAGCCAAGATTCCTGCCAGAGGATCCGTACGAACGCGCCCGAGCCCGAATTTGGATCGACTATGTGACATCTCGAATCATTCCATCCTTTCACCGTTTCTTGCAATACCAGTCTGCGAATGGAAGCGACGCAGAGACGGGCTTGGATCGAGCTCGACAGGAATTCTTGAATCATCTCAAGGTTTGGACCCAGGAGATGCACCCTGATGGACCCTTCTTCCTTGGAAAAAGTATCAGTCTACCTGATCTGGTGCTGGCACCTTGGGCAGTCCGGCTATGGGTGTTCGATGAATTCAAGGGTGGGTTGGGAATTCCTGATGGGCCTGATAGGTCGATTTGGGAGAGATGGAGAACCTGGCTAGGTGCTATCGAGGGTAGGAAGAGCATTAAAGCCACAACCAGCGACACTGGGCATTATCTTCCGATCTACAGGAGATATGCAGACAACACTGCTCAGAGTGAACTGGCAAAGGCAACGCGATCTGGTCGCGGGGTCCCATGAACCATACACTCCTTCAAGCTTGTTCTTATCCACAGATATGATTGGCTCAAATACATTTGAAGTTCAAAATCGCTCATTTTTTACATGAAAAGGGAAAGAAATGTAGTGCAGTCTCCAGGTTAGAAACGTACTTCGGATCGGGACAACATCTCTCCGGAATGACCTCGCACGTGATGCTATCAATTCAACCACTTTACTGCTCACTTTGACTTCACGGCATCGGGGCACATCGCTTGATTTTACAATCAGGTGCATCGAAAACTCATCCCGACATAACAATGTCATTCAATATGGAGGGCGAATCACCCCGAGGCGGTGCAGTGCGCGAACAGGGCCCCCCAGCCATCCACCCGTCCTTTATACAGGTGGCCAATCCATACATATTTGAGCAAACAGTCGAAAATTGCATCGAATCGATGGGAATCAAGCCCACTCGTGAAACTTTATCGCGCCTCCAGGGTGTGGCATGGCTTGACGAGGTTCGAAGAGCACTGAACTTGTACGTTGAAATCAAGCAAGGCACGAGCAAGGTGGAATCGAAATTGCAACAGAGCTCTAACTGACCAAAAAGACCTATCCGTACATTTGATACAGCCGTGGGTTATTACCATAGGTTCCGGTTGGTGCATCCGGACAACGAGTACAACTTCACAGTCAGCCTACTCCGTCTCTCAAGCAAAGTCTCCCCGTGCTAAATCGATCCCAGGATGCTGCGGCTGCTGCTCTATTCACAGCGTGCAAAATTGAAGATACGCTCAAGAAGTCGCGTGACATTGTGTGCGCCGCATATAACCTGAAAGTGTCACCCTCAGAGCAATTATCAGCAGATGACCCTGTAAGTTTGGTCGACAGAAACTCCTCCCCCGAATCGGAGGCTAATGTGGTCTCCAGATGTTTGAAGCAAACGCACGGGGAATCATTGGGCTTGAAAGACTCATGCTAGAAGCCTCTGGTTTTGACTTCCGCACTCGACACCCTCAAAAGACACTCATGAAGCTGAGCCGACATTACGGTCTAGCTCGTGAGTCGGAAGTGGCTAACCTTGCCTACCGACTATCGACGGATCTCTATCGCACATTCGCCCCCATCAAACAGGGCTCGTCAGCAATGGCTTTCGGCTGTCTCGAGCTTGCAGGGCGACTACTAGACCAGCGAGCGCCTCAAATCGAGTCCGGACAGGACTATTCCCAATGGAACACAAACCGCGCAGAAGTGATGGGTTAGTATATGCAGTTTTACCAAAGACGGACATGCTAACACACACAGAAACCCTGTTTGACCTACTAGAGCTCTACACACACCATCGCTCACATACAACCGTCGGATCCGAGTTCCCTGCAGACAGATTCCTGACTGTCCGCATCCCCCTGAATCAAGAAGCCAGTGAACAGCGTATCCCGCGATACGATGTTTGGGTTGATCAGCCACAAAAGCCATCTAACGGCTCCTCAGGAGCACCCAAGGACTTCCCTCGAGTTGCACACCCATTGACGCCAATTGCGGCGAATGGGGAGAGTCAGAAGACTAGTGAAAGGGGTCGTGATGCAGCAGTGCGGTTCATGCTTGATCCCGCTTGTGCGGACGAAGAAAAACGAGAAGTTGCGCGCTACTTCAACGTCGAAATGGAAGAATACGAAGTGGAGCAGTGATTATACTTACCAGATCTACTCCTGATGTCGAGTGCGAAGCTCTGGAGGGCTCTCGGCATGATCCAGCTTCCAGATCAAGGATAGCAAGGCATGGATGAATCTGGGCAGTACCCCCTAGCCTCTGGGACCGAAAATGCACTGGCAATACTGGCTCTAATTGTCCTGCCTTTGCTCATGACTGCCAATTGGGGTTGGACAAATCCGACCTCACAATAGGCTTTCCCGGCGGCTTGCTGTGAATTCCCCGGGCGGCCGGGCACTTCTCTTTGAGCTGTGTCCTCTGGTCCCGATGGTTCAGTTGCAGTGGCTCAATCTGGAGAATTGCTTGTTGAAACCCAAATATTACCCGATACCCCCAATTTTTTATGGTTCGAGACAAAGCATCGATACTTAGATTCAAATGACACCCCTTTGATGGACAGAAACACCACTGAATATGCCCGGGCTTTAATTACTGATACGTAGTGTAAATAGCTCACGGCAAGCAAATCAGCCTCAATGTTTGAATTGAAACCTATGTACAAATCCCCAACCTGCCTTGCTACAAGGTTGAAGGCGAAGCTAGAATTAAACCGACAGGCGAAGGCAACTAGGAAACAATCGCCCTATTCGCCCAAGGGCATTCTCTGTCCCAGGACAGAAATAAAAAGGCTCCAGGTCAATTCGACCGAGCACGCAAGTTATCGAAGATAGGTAGATTATTCCAGGGTCCGGCATAATCAGCAAGAGAGAAAAAAAAAAAGGTACTAGACAAAAAGGTACAGAAACAGCCGTAGATAAGACGAAGGCATAGGTCGTCCCCGTGCCTCTCGGGCGTGGAGGTTTGGGGGACACCGGATCATGGTGCTTGCCGGATTTTTGGATGCCGTGTTGAAAGGCGGAAAGGGGATTGTGCATGGTGCATGCAGATTGCATGCATAATAGGCAGGTGTAAGAAGATCGGAGACGGAGGATCGACACGGCAGGTCCATGAGAGGAGAGTTAGGGAAACACGGGATTGAAAGGCCATCGTCCTTGAGCGCGAATAGAAGAAGAGTGTCATAAAATGGGTAGGGATTTTGTCAAGTCGGTGTTGACTCAAGTTCATCGGCGCTTGAGCTCAGTGACAAGACATTCCAGAATCTAGAATACATCAGTAACGTGCTCTGATCAAGAGACCCGGGATATACATACCGACTCTGAGACAGCACCTTGGTTGTACAAGTACTTGCCCAAACCACGGACAACTTCCAGCTGTTCGTCAACAGTAAGACCATTGATTGCAGTCTCAATGATGTCTCCCACGCTGGCCTTGTAGACAGCAATGAAGCTGTGGTAGTACATGAAGGAGAAGAAGCCCATGATGAACTGGCAGTCCATGCGATCGGTGATACCACCGTGGCCGGGAATAGACTCGCCGAAGTCCTTAATCTTGAAGGTGCGCTTAAGGCCGGATGCGAAGAAACCACCAAACGGAGCGATCAGAGAAGCAAAAGTGGCAAAAGCCAAAATGTGGAACTGAATGGGCTCCATCCAGAAAGTGTGGTCCAGTCCAAAGAACTCAAGAGAGTAGGGTTGGGAGGTGAAGACTGCGTTCGGCACACATTCCAAGCCGGTCAAGGCATTTGCGCCCAAGTCGTTAACGGGGCAGATGAAGTACTTGTAGCGCATGAGGAACTTGGTCATGAAGTATCCGAAGCCAACAGTGCACACCCACGCGCCAACGAAACCCTCAACGGTCTTCTTCGGGGAAAGCTGGATAAGTTGTGTGCGCCCAAAGGTAATTCCGCAGACATAGGCGAAAATATCGTTCGTGATGACAAGCGCAGCCGGAAGGAAGAACCAGATCATGCCCTCGAAGATGTTGTTCATCACGAAGTGAGCTTGCACCACAATCAGGTACAGAGCCATGTGGGTCCAGGCGAACTGCGTGAACTGGAATCGGTAGTGGCCCTTTTGCAGGGATCCGACAAAGAAGACGAAGCCTACGTATCAACGTTAGTAGAGTTCAATGGGAAGAGGTCAGGGTACTGACCCATGACGTAAAGGGTGAAACTGATGAATCGGTGGTGGTTCGCAAGTGGCAGCAACACCTTGTCAACCAACAGAATGTGCTTGAAGTAGTAGATGACGCTCTCTCCGTACAAGAAGTACATTGTCGTCGCCAAAAAGTACCAATTCAACGACTTGGTGAAGCGCAAGTTCTTTTCCTTGTTAGGGATGTTGGCGATGGCGATAACTTCCTTGAAGGAGATGATCTGAATTCCGGTGATGAGAGCGATAATATAGATGTGTCCGGAGAACAGCGCGACGAAGAAACCGGCGATCATCACGAAGGTCCATATCGTCCGGGTAATGAATGTCTGCTTCTTCTTCTCGTAGTCGGACTGGGGCGGCTTCTAAAGGTCAAAATCGCGTTAGATGTATATTCCGAGTGCATACAGAGCTATCACCAACCTCTTCGACGATCGTTGCGGGTTTGGAGCCGTTGCCATTTTTGCTGGGGCTCGCGGGCTCTGAAGGGGCGTCGCTGACGTCGGAGGAAACGCTCAGACGGCGCTCACCATTGTTCCGGCGAGTAAACCTGACGTTACGGCGAGTTTTCGACATGGTAAGGTTAGGGGGGTGCCAGAAATCAAATTCTGGAAAAGGGAGAGTGGGAGAGGAGAAGATCGTCGAAGGTTGGTGAGTTCATGCGAAGCGCGAAAGCGGTGTGTATGTTTTTTGGACTCAATCTCGATAGTTCAAGTGATCTGTAGAATAGCTAATTATGGCAGTGTTCAGGAGAGCCTTGGGCTGAATTGTTGGGCTTTTGGTTGCATAGAAATCGAAATTACATGTGTTGTGTTTGGTTGGAACCTCCCCCCTGCTCCAGACCTCTGACCTCGGATGATCAACCACCACTACCACTTCATGGCGGGGGCATGGACGACGACGACGACGATTACGGGTCCGACGAGTTCGACTCCCTCCCAGCAGGTACGCTGTATGAGCTCGAACAAAATGCTTTTCAAGCAACACAGGCCTCAGCACGCCCGGTGACCCCCGTTCTGCCAACCCAGCCTGACCGGCCATCCTTCAATGGAGCCCTGAAACCGCCCCGCTTGCACACCGGATTGACCAACGACTACAATACGCTTGAGGTCGGGGAACTGGAGGCCGAAGTCTACGACAATGTCGAAGGGCAACACATGGTTTCGCATGCCCATGGGCTCGAGCCGGATCAAACATGGGCTGCTCCAGACCAGCCAGGCGATGCAATGGAGGTGGACGAATACTCCGCTCTCGCGAATGCGGCAGATATCAATGCGCGATTAGCTCAGGTGAGCTCTCGAATCAGGGAGTATGCGCTTGATCAGCACTAACCGCATCTACAGATGGAACAAGAGAGAGAGCAAATGATGCGCGAGCTGGCCGAGGCGAGGATGCAAGTGGAGACCAAAACCGGGGAAATATCGATCATTCGCAGGAAACAAGCGACAATGACTCAAGATTACGACCGGCAGCTGGCCACTCTGCGGAAATCCATGGCCGATGAGATGGCGAAGCACAAACAAGACGTCGAGGCAGCGATGTCTGAGGGCAAGGTCCTGGCGACGGAGAACGTCTTCCTCCAGCATGAGCTTGCCGATGAAGCTTATCAACATCGAAGCTACAAGTCAAAGCAGCGGGCTGAGAGGCCAGCTCCGGAGACCCCTCGAAAATCCCGAGTGCTTCCCTTCCGGGATGGGTTCGACGACGACGAGATTGCTATGGTATCGCCCAGTAAGTCTGCGGCACGTTCCAAGCGTGCCACGCCGACGGTTCCTGGTAAACGGAAACGCCAATTAAGTCAAGACGGTGCCGTGCCTTTGCAACTAAGTCCCGCTGGTGGGGAGCTTGTCATGACAGATGCCCCTGCAGACGTGTCCGAGGTTGAGGTTGCGGAGGTGAAGCGCAAGGCTGCGGAGGCGAGCCGTCACCAGCGGTTCATGATGCAACTGCTGAGCCATCGCGCCATTGTAGGCGAAGAAACTGATTTTGAGGCTATGGTCAAGCTTGCATTTCCCTCAGAACCGCAAATCCCCATGTCAAGCATCATCATGGATGCCATGGCTCATGTGGACCCGAGCAGCTACATATTAGAATATACTCTAACGATTGCCTCTATGTGGCAACGTGCTATCAACGAAAAGTTCTACGAACCTATCCCCAGATTCGAGGCTATCATACGATATAGCTTGATGTCAGATGACACTCCACTACCAGAACTCATCACGCCTCTAGTAGGTGTGCTGCAAGATGCCGTGGAAATCAATGCGGTTCCTCGCTTCAAATATGCCCCAGCATCCCGAGACAAACGAGCCAGTCGTCAAACCCCACAATCAGATCTACAACCTCTGGTCAACTCAACCGGGGCCATGCGTCTACTTTACCAGATCGCCTGCGGGGTGTTGCATGTCCAGAGTGCAATGGAAACATACTGGCAAAACATCCGCATATCTTTCATACTTGTGATGCTACACCCGTCCCATCCACTCAGTGACATAGTTCTTCTCATGAACCTCCTATCAACAAGCATCCGGTCCAACTCCTTTGGCCCAATTCGGTCATCCGACCAGGACCAGCTTGACGTTCAGAAATGGATCGTGGATCGTTTGACCCACATGCTCAGCGAGCCAGCCATCCCCGATGAAGGTGTCGATCCATACACTCCATATGACATATGTGCAATGCGGCTCGAAGTTCTTTTACTGCTAGAGTCTCTGGCATTCAACCCCATGGCTCCATCCCAGGGCCAAGGACACGCAAGTACCATCCTGGCATTACACCCCAATGCCTTGGCGCGTTTGTTCAGATCTTTGCACGATGAGCTAGACGCATTGTACTCTTCTCCGCCTGAAGCAGACTTGCGCGTTGCTTTGGTCAATGGGTTGATGCGGCTGATTTTCGGTGTCATGCGCCAACATGGATCGTCCATCAACATGCAAGAGAAACTGGCATGTGTTCCCGGTAGTAAACAGAAGCACCTCGTGGTTTTGACTCGGTTGGCGTTCTGCGATGGAACGGTACTCGAGGCTGGCATTGATGACGACACGGTTGATATGGCGCACGAACTACTTGAGGAGTGGACGAATCCACAAGAAGCGGATTCGTTAGCAGAGGTATTCTCGAGCTCAAGGCGGGAGTGAAGTTTTCACGCTGTATGAGTATTGCATATTCAACGGGCGTAATGTTCTATCTAGATTACAATTAATTGGGGCGCTCGGGGCATGGAATGGAGTACATAATTGCCTAGAATATGACAGGTTGTGCTGTTTTCACTTCACATTTCCGTCCATAGACATTCTTAGGTCCGCTGGTAGATACTGAGATGGCCAGTGACCACCTGGGCACCGGGACAGAATGAGATCTCAAGAGTTCAAGGGATCATCCAGGACATATCTGCAATAAGCACCAACTATGGAAAACAATCCCTTTGATTGTGGTAATTTGTCTAATTAGATGCAGTTAAAGGGGCCCGGTGTCTCGATTGTGAACATGGAGAACGGGGAATACGGAATATGGAATGAAGCACAGAGTTCGCATCTTCGTGACAGTCCGAGAGGGAAATGAGGATTGTTTGAAGGTTGTCACGATCAGCCGATGGGAAACGCGACAGCTAGAGATAGTAAAACACAAGTAGGGTACGGCGCACGAATGGGGGGGTTCTGCGAAGGACTAGGAAGCTTGCTGGAGTATAGGTAGTCGAGTGAACTGAGGATGCTTCCGCCGAGACAACACGGGATCTGGGTGCTGAGAAGGGATACGTAGACATCGAAGACATGGTGGCGCGGATGCTCTTGAAGGGAGACAGACTTGGTTACATGATTATAATTTACTTCTCTTCTCCAAGCTCCGGCCACTGGCCAAAGGATTGATGAAAAGATGATCCACGAATGGAGGGTGCCAAAGAATACGCCTGTCAATGACCCGAAAGCCATTGAACAAACCGCTCCGCCGCGCTGTGCAATGCAGGGACCAATTTGTGGTGAACCGCCTTGTTGATCGCGGACACCCAAACAAGGTAAGTATGAAGAAGAAAAAAAAAGAAGAGGAAGGGCGGGCGAGGCAGCCTGTATTTATGGCCCCAGGAACGGCGCTAGTGCTAAGCGAGATACTCGATCTGGCCAATCAGAACTCAGGGTCTTGGCCTTGGCCTTGAGGCCTTGGAATAAACAGAGCAAAGTTGGCAAACAGGGCAAACACTCTCGAGGTCTCTTCTTCGCCTGATAATCAAGGCACCATGTTCACGAACCTCAGTCACGTGCTCTGAAGTTTTGACATTGCCGCTTGAGCAAGCTAACCCATATCGCCAGGCAGTGTTGTACCTATCCAGCCGTCACAATGAGAAACAGGGCCACTACCACCTTGTCCAAAGGCGTATGTTCCTAGCCTTGTGCCCAATCACTTACAGCACCTTGAAACTAACATCTGCCGCTTCCAGAAAATCCGCCAGTCATGGAGCAAATACAATCTGTATAACTTGAACCAGTTCCGCAGTCCGCCCACCACCAATCGCACATTCTTCCAGCAAAAATGGTCTGCAAAGGCTATCTCTCGTGCTTACCATGGTGAACAAGTTGGCGAGGGCCAATGGAAGCGTATGTTCAACCATCGCATCCGCAGTGTCATCCCCATGAATACCTCCGATCTGGCCGCCGATGATGGCTCCCTCTTCTCATCCGGTCGTGGTTCTGGACTCGAAAAGGAGGGAAAGCCTGCTTTCCAGACCCGCCCAACACCTTATACATCGATGGCCTTTGCGCCCCTGGAACGCCGATTGGATGTTGCCATCTTCCGCGCCTTGTTCGCCAGCAGTGCCAGACAAGCCAGACAGTTCGTCATCCACGGAGCGGTCACCGTGAACGGACAGAAGGTAACGTCTAGCTCTCGATGTATCCATCTTAAACGGGAACTGACCTTTATCTTAATAGATGCGACACCCGAGCTACCTCCTTAACCCCGGTGACCTCTTCCAGGTTGAGCCGGATCGCGTTCTGTTCGCCACCGGTACACCAAAGACTAAGCTTGAGCGTCGTGAGGGTCGTCTGGCTCAGCGAAAGGAACCCGAGGCTGAAGAGGAGGCTGCTAAGGCTGAGGAAGTTGAGGAAGAGCCGACAGAAACCCCCAAGGAAAGCCCCAAGGAAACCCTCAAGGCTCTTCTATCCCAGGCCAAGACCATCATGTCCACCGACAAGGGCACCCTGCCCGCGAAGCGCAAGCAAGAACTCCGCGGCTTCCAGAAGGCCGTCCGCCGCGTTCTGTCCCGATCTGCATCCTCCACCGTTCTCACAGACAATCTGGAAGCACAATTTTCGCAATTGACGCTTCTCCTTAACGCCAAGCGCAGCGAAAAGAAGGAACCCGAGGATAACAAGAATGACAAACAACCCAGCGAGGAAGATGCTCCCCCAACGGACGCGGCCGCAGAGGCTGCCGCCAGCGACAAGCTTTCCGAGGCCTTCGAGCAAGCCACGCTCGGAGAAGAAGTGGACGCTTCCGAGCTCAGCGACGAAGAGTTCGACACTCTCAAACGTGCTCTGACTCAAATGCGCGACAACCCCATCGATAACACCAAGCCCTACGCTACTCCCTGGCGGCCACGTGATTACATGTCTGCTTTCGCCTTCATCCCCCGCTACCTCGAAGTCAACCAGAACATCTGTGCGGCCGTTTATCTGCGTCATCCTGTGGCACGCCCAGGCTCTGCCGAGGTGCCCACTCCCTTCGGCGAGTCGATTGCGACCCCAGCTTACGGCTGGTACCTGAGGAGACGGTGGTAGAGAGCTATGTGGCCCATAGGCCATGTGTTCTTCTCTACTTACGCTCTCTTTACTTTGTCTCATGTACTACCCTAAACTATTTCTCTAACTTCCCACCTCTGTATTAGTGGGCTCTTGGATTCGCCTGCATATTTCTGGATCATGTTGACCATGGTGTTGGTTCTCGTTTTGCTTGCCTTGAGACTTTTTGTGTCTCCTCTGTACCACCATAGCCATTACGTGTTTAAAAATGGATATATTCGATGTCGATTGCTTCAATCTACTTAAAGTATTTGGTACTACCTAGTAGAATGTCTCAGGGCTCATCTGAGCGCTGTGGGGCTTGCTTGATATGTACAATCTCGATACTTCATAGATATATATTTTTAAGATAGTCCTAAGATTGTATGGAGCATGTTTTACAACCTCAAAAACCCGAAGCGCCACAGGTCAAAAGCGGGATGGAAAATGACCTCTACCTAGTAGCAAAACCAAGGCAAACAAGTAGCAACAGACACCCGGGCGAGAGGTCAAGCAAACGAGCCCTTCCAAGTTAGGCCGATGGGTCAGCCTTCCACTGGAGTATCAAAGCAGCACGGACCACCCCAAAACCTCCCATGTCAACTCGACCACAGCCCTGGAGCCCTTCTATCTCCACAGATCGACCTTTTCCGTGCTTATTTTTGATGATGTCCATGATGCACTGAAAACTACACTCAGCTACCTAGGTATCGTTCAGCATTGGTAGCTTGCGACTACTGTTCAGCTGCCCTGATGCCGCACAACCACCACGAATACAGCCATACATACCGCCCGAATTCACACACCTTCTCAGCAGCACCGCCAGGTCTCCGCTCTGGATATACCTCAGCACCCCAGTCGGTACCAGTGGTGGTCCGGAATCCATCAGCGAGTGGAACCACGGCAGACAGCGGCGAAGAGACATACGGACGTACTTTACCGGGCGGTTCACAAGCGGGCCTTCTGACAGACAATCTGTACTATGCGCCGATGCCGGTGGGAGGCCAAAACCCAGGCAATGGGCGTGTGCTGATGCCGAAACCCACACGAGGCACAAAGCGCGCACACGAAACCGCCGAAGACGATTCCTCACGGCAACACCGACGCCTCACAACCAAAGAAGAAGTGGCCCTGTTTGAGATCTGTAACCAACACGCAGACACATTCGGCAACCGCAGCAACTTATGTAAATGGTGGCAATCTATCGCTACAGAGTTCCAACGTACCCATCCGGGCCGGTCCTACTCATGGCATTCAGTGCGGCGCAAGGTCGAACGAGTCACTAGCCAACGAATCAAGTTCATCGAGGACCAGCGGAACTCGGCGGCAAACACATCAAGCTCAGCAGCGGAGGAACTGATGAATCCCCAATGGCTCGCAGCCGTCGATGCCTGGATCCCCACCTGGCAGCGATGGGAGGAAGCCGAGAACAGACGGATCGCAAAACGCGACGAGATCAAGAAGCGCAAACAACAACAGCCATGGCGCGAACTGAAAAACGAAGACTGGCGAAATATGTCCACACCGTCCGCTCCCAGTCCTGATGTTTCAATGCTAAGCATTTTACCTCCTGCAAACGACGTCCCGGCTAGCCCATCACCCCCGGCCACAATCCCACCAGTGTCGTTCCTCGATTCACCTTCGACCTCTGCAACGGCTTCTACATCGTTGAAACTACCACCCGGGTTCGAGACTATGTTTTCAAACCCTGTTCAGCAACCGCCTTCGACTCCACCGGTCCCACCCAACGACGGCCGCATGGTGTCGGCCGTTCTTGAGACACTGGGAAAATTGAATAAGCACCTTGATGCCGCGTCCGGGGGAAGCGAGCCTAGTCCTGCCACGCCTGTCCTCTCGGCTTTGGTTCATGCTGCCTCCGAGACGCCGATGCAGGGTAGGAGGTCTCCTCGATCGGCGCAGCCGGACCTGCAACCACACCCTACGTATGGGGATATGGAGCGGATGAAAGAGGAGTTGAGACAAGAGATGCAGGCTCAGTTCCGACGAGAATTGGAGAGGAGTCGAGCGGTTATGGAGGAGAAGCTGGACTCTGTACAGCAGACCCAGGAGATGATTCTTGAGATGTTGAGACAGGAGCCTGGAAGATAAAAGTGGGCTTGTTGATTTACTGTTTGTACTTATGTTTTCTTTTCGAGATACCCATCATTGAAGCGAAGGCGCACCCTGCCTGATACTGTTACGGAGTACATTGGAATACTTTTTAGACTTGAAAACTAGTGAACAGACCCGGATATGGTAGTTGTTCTCTATTCTAGAACAGAAAACCAAGTAAACAAACATAGGAGAAAATAGTCATCGGGCTAAATTACAGATAAATGGGAGATAGGGGATTTCTCCAGCCTATCGCACAAGGATTAAAAGCTCTTTCGAGGACTTCCAACTTCATCACTTCGGGAAACCGTCTAGTAGTAGAAGGTCTCGTCGACGGTGCGACCACGCATCCACTTGGGCTCGGAGCCACGGACGTAGATGTCCTCGAAGAGGATGCGAGAGTTGTTCTCGGGGGCAGCCATGGCCTCGGCCTCGGCGACCTCGGCGTCGACCTTGGAGCGAGCGGTCTTGTCGAGGGCCTTGAGCTCCTCCTCGGAGGTAACGCCCCACTCGAGCATCTTCTGCTTGAGACCGGCGATGGGGTCGTTGGTGCTGCGCATGCGCTGGATCTCCTCACGGCTACGGTAGGTGGTACCGGGGTCGGACATGGAGTGACCACCGTAACGGTAGGTGACGTACTCGAGGACGAGGGGACCGTTGCCGTTGATGGCGTAGTTCTTGGAGTACTGGACGGCGGCCTTGGTGGCGAGGACGTCCATACCGTTGACCTTCAGACCGGGGATGTATTGACCACGCTTGTAGTACTCGGTGAGGGCGGAGGAGCGGGAGGCGGAGGTACCCATACCGTACTTGTTGTCTAAAATAGAAACGTTAGTGGATCGGCGCGGAATCAAGAAACACGGGGAAAACCATACTCTCACAGCCGAAGAGAACGGGGAGGTTCCACAGCTTGGCCATGTTGAAGGCCTCGAAGACCTGACCCTGGTTGGAGGCACCGTCACCGTAGAGAACGATGGAGGTGTTGGGCTGCTCGTTGTATTGCTGGGCGAAAGCAAGACCGGCGCCGACGGGCACCTGGGCACCGACGATACCGTTACCACCGTAGAAGTTCTCGGCGAACATGTGCATGGAACCACCCTTGCCGTACGCGATACCCTCGCGGCGGCCGAGAAGCTCACCAATGATGGACTTGACGGTACCACCGCGCATCATAGCGAAACCGTGGCAACGGTAGGCAGTGATGACCTTGTCCATGCGGGTAATGGCGTGCTCAATTCCGACAGCGACGGCCTCCTGACCGGTCGACAGATGGCAGAAACCCCGGATCTTCTTCTCCTTGTACAGACGATCGGCGGCCATTTCCATGCGTCTAGACGAAACAGTCAGCGTCCAATTCTTCCTGCTCGGCCTCAGATCATTCAATTCTCCATCGCGTACCTCATGGCGACCATGTCGTAGTACATCTGCTTCATCTCCTTCTTGGAGGTCTCGAGAGTGTATGAGGGAGGGTCGAGCTCGTAGGTCTCGAAGCTCTCATCGGAGAGACGAACGGTGAAGGGCTTCTCATCTTCCTATAGCGGCGCAAACACAGCCATTAGCATTGGATGTCCCAAGCTGCCGATGAAGTTTTCCTGTTTTCCGGATAGGGCTCAACAAACCTGCGGGACGGGGGTCTCGACATTGGCGGACGCGGCGTCGGTGGTGACAGTGCGACGGGTGAGAGGAGTGAAGGCGTGACGCCGGAGAGGCGCAGCCTGGCGAGCCGCAGTACGGAAGAGCATGTTGTGAGGATTGATGGTGGTTGAAGGTGATAAGCACCTTTTTCCCAACAACTCTCTTCAATTTTCCCGGCTTAGTCAGCGGCCACCCCTTCCACATCGGGGCCGCCCGGTGAAGCGCTGCCCGGCGGAAAGCGCAGCCCGGTTTCTTTTCTATACTTCGCTCTATACTTGGCTGCTATGCGCGATGGCTTCTGTGGGCTATTGTCTCTATATGCCGACGGTCATAGAACTGCTTGACTTGTATGGATGGGTCAGGCTGTGCCTTGACCGATAAGGGACGGATATGTTGAGAACATGCATTCTCAGGTCTTGAACTCCATACGAGGCCGAATGACCTTCATGAAGGATAAGCTGAGTTACGGAATTAAAAACAGGATGCAATGAATATATATTACTCACCGAGGCATATGTCTCAACCTATATTAAGGGAGTAAAGAACCTTGCCCAGGTGAAAGGCACCTGTCGGATAACGATAGTTCGGATGAAGGTCATGAGATTATTCAGATCAACGCAGCAAGCAATCTGGAAGACTCTTGCAACATTTTGGACGTGACTTAATCTCTCTTCTCTATCATTCCGCATCTCCTTCATCAACTTCATCATCCCCATCTCCATTCTCATCATCGCCATTAAATCAACCGCTCCCAGAGCCCATACACAGTACATGTTGTGTGATGATGGATCACAACAATGATCCTGCGCCCAGAAGTGATGACTGACACATTGAGGATAGATGCCTCCTCGACCAAGTCCCACTTCACACCCCAACGCAACCTCGGCCACAATGCTTCACCCTCTCCTCTGGTGTCTCATGTGTATGTCATACTCGCTGGAAGCTTGGTATGGCAGCGTGAGGAGAATGGCTTTGTCACACCATTCCGTGTATCTTGTGCACGATCACGCAGAGATACCCACTGCCAGGCTTGCCGAGGTGAAGGATGTGTCTGCTCGTTGGTACGTGTCTTTGTTTGTGATTGATTCAGGTGGCTGACGTGTTATACGTGTAGCTTCCTCAAGTGCTCTTGACCTGGAGCGGCACCGTTTTGAACTGCTGGCCTTGTTGAAAGGGGTAGAACCCATCTTTATCCGGGTTGTGCTGCCTGGTCAGTGGGATAGCCTGAGGCCCCAAGATCAAGTATCGATGTTGTGATCCATCATCACACAACAACACGAAACGCGCCGAAGGACGCTGGAGGCAAAGTAGCTACTTTGTGGGCGTTCTCCCTTCCACAAAATGCGCTCTACCTACCACTCCCTCACGCGCATGATCTGTGTATGGGCTCTGGGAGCGGCTGATTTGATGGTGATGATGAGAATGGAGATGGAGATGATGGAGTTGATGAAGGAGGAGATGCGGAGTGATGGAGAAGAGAGAGATCAAGTCGCATCCAAAACGTTGCTGCAGTCTTCCAGATTGCTTGCTGCGTTGATCTGAATAACCTCACGACTGTTGTCGGAATCATGATCTACATTCGAACTATGATCATGGGCAAGGTTGGCATGTATCATCGAGTTAACCTTGGAAGTATACACTTGGCATAATTGCAGGTGAGAATGAAGGATGGAAGGATGGAGCTATTGAGCGAGCATTGAGATCAACGGAACCTTAGAGGACCGTCGTTTCCCACGACGCCGGTTTCTCGCCTTCACTCCATCATCTTGCCTTCTCTGCTCCCCTCGCAATATCAACCTATCACCTTCCGAGGCCCCCGAAGCCACTTCCGCCGTCATTGTTGTATCCAACCAAACCGAGATCAAGTCTGGACAGTGTCAAAAGAGTCGAGGCTCTTGCCTTCTGCCACCCAAATTCCAACCTTGAACCAAGGGCACCTTCTGCGTCATTTTACATACCTGATCGTATCTAACCTGATCACATTCATATCCTGAGGTCCTCCTCACCTCTAGTTCCATCGCTCTTACATATGACCAGCTACTCCGTCAACCATTCACGCTATGGCCCAGCTAGTCCTCTCAGGCTGTCCCACCTCTCCAGCAGACCCCTTTGTGGTTTTCGTTACTCGCTCGAGCAGATCCCAGAACAGCACAAATGCCCATGAACAGGAATTATAAATTCGCGGGAAGATGACGGATGTACATGGAGGACGCCTTCGATGCAAGATACGGCGCTCTGGGCAAACGACCCTATGGCATCTAAGCATGAGACGATCTGATACCCGACAAGCTTAATCCATGGATGCGCAGAGCACACACGGCTGAGTGTGGCGTTATCTTTGTGTTCAGGAGCTGCATTGGGCTCAACACAGACGACTCAACCTGTCCTGGGAAGTTGACCCCCATATTCTCTCTGCTATCTCGGAAGGTAAACTCGGTCCCAGGACTGGCATCGCAATGGACGACTCAGAATGGTTCATCATGAAACTCCGATCGTGTTACGACGCCAGTGTCAACATGGCGAAGGAAGGAATGCAGCCTTGGGTGATATTGACCAGCTCTTCACTTGAGAACTTGATCAAAGCTGCCTGCTGAATTAGAGGAGATGTTCAGCGGAAGCGAAGACGAGTAGGAGAAGGACTATTCGAAGCAAAGAAAATGCAACTGATATTACCCAAAATGATAGGGTTCTCCCCCTCTCAAGGAAGACGATAGCTAGCCTCGCCAGGCGGCCTGGAGCAGAGACTGGCGCTAGCTTCCTCTGGGGGTGTGAGCTATCTGCATTGAAGTCTACCAGCGATCAGATGCTAAGAATCTTATCGAGCGATCTTGTCATGTTGCTCACCTGTTCCACATGCAGATCTACACGGAGATCACATTCAGTCACAAGGCAGTAAGTACTATTCTGAATGCAACCTTTGAATGAGCCTCCATTAAGTCCCTCGTTTCGCGTAGACTCCAACGAGGACAGCTGTAGCAACCCGAGCAAGTTCAGACAGTGCATGCATTCCAAGGTTGTTGAAGATAAGGACATCATACCTGGAAGCGCAGTGATCAGCAGCAGCCTCGTTGCGTGCGCAATAGAGACTGTTAGACTGACACTGGTACTATATTTGGCGCCGGCATTGGGTCTGATTTGACCGCGGTAAGTACTAATCTCTCGTCTGGTAGCACATGTCTATCCAGCATGATTGACTAAATGAGCCAAAATCTCGAGTCACTGTGATAACGACGTCGTGTGTTTGGGAACACTCCTATCACAGCCAACAGTCTCCGCCGTGTAAATCACGGCCTCCGATATTTTCTCGCCAATTTCATACTCGAGGTACTCAGGGTATTCCGCTCCTAGGTGGCTACTGCCAGTGTCCCAACACTGCTGTAATTGAGCCAAATTGTAAGCATAGGAAGAGTAGGGGCACAACGCCAAGCACAAGAGCCGAGAAATTGGCAATGCTTTGGTGACCTTTGGTTAGTCCCCTGGGCATTACTCCGTAGATATCATCATTTCACATTGCTTTTATGCTCATGGGTTTATTTCTTTCCCCCTTTTTCGAACATATGAGCTCATCGCAATTGAATACTCGTACTCGGTATCACCTAACGGGCCATTCCCTAAGGTATGAATCCTTCAAAGTCTGTACCTAGGTACGGAGCAGCCATTGATAAATGCGACCCCTTGGAATTTGAGCTCACATGGAATCTATATGAAGGTCAAACACACAGTACCATGGGACTATGGGCAGCTCAACATTTCTTTCTTGGATATATTGGTTAATCTTCATGTAAGCAGACACTGCTAAGGGAACGATTGAAGAGTTTGTGAGAAGATCGAAGGCTTGGAATGAACCTTGGAAGCGAGCAACTTCGGAAGCACTCCGAATGGCGCTCTGCGTTCATAGTTTCTTTTCTCCTTTCATTTTTCGAGGCAGTGGAAATGAGCTCATATCATTCAATAAAAGCATTCAAGAGAAAGGTTCTACGAGTATGAGATATGATGCAATATTAGAGAGTGAGCTGTACGGTCGATCAAATGATATCACAAGATAAGATCGATCTGGTAGCGGTGGGACCCTATGTGTACGGAGTACCACTATATACAACATTGGAAGGTTGTGTTTAATATTCCAGGCTCAGCGTAGAAGAATGGTTATACTAGTAGATACGAGTGATTGAGGCTGCCAGAGATTCAGTCGAGAATTCTGAGACATTTTCCCAAAAAAATTGGGTCTGGACTCGATGCCACGAACTTGTTAGCTCCCTCAGCTCCACTCAGATCGTGAAGGTTTGAAGTGTTTTTAATTGCCTTCCATATTTAGTTACCTTAAGCCAATTGCGGATCTTATATCGATTTCCCTTTTAGCCTTGTAATATATTGCATTGTATATTAACACGTCCGGAAATCTCAACATCGCGGATTTCTCTGCACCAATCGGGCAACAGCCAGCATTGGGCGTTGGCCTTAGGGCATTTTCGTGCTAATCATCAAGTAAAAACTCAAACTAGAACGCATACAGTACCTAGGATTCCAAGATTTTTCAAGCTAGTGGTGCGCCCACCCCAACACCACAAAGTACGAGTATGTACAAAATGGATGTATCACACCGCCGTTGAGCGCATGCAAAGCATCCCAACCTTGTCAGCCTGCAGATTGACATATCCATCTATGTAACTCTAAGCTCAAAAAGCAAACCCCGCATTAACATGTCACAAACATCAATGGAGTGTATTGATCAGAAACCGGAATCAGAGATACCAATTGAGACTGATCCAAAACTGACGGACGAGAAGGCCCGTGATTGATCTCAGGCCTTGGCCCAGCACGAGCACCCAAACATACCCAGTACACTCAGACTCCGTTCTACGCGGACCGTGGGATTTCACCAGGATCACAAAGTGCCCATGCCGCCGTCGATCGGTGCGCGCACCGACGAATCATCCAAACTATCCGCCTAAAATGACCAGCAATGGCCGACAGCGGACCCGAAACAATGACGAGTCGACGGATTTAGATGACTTCGATCGGGTATCAGAGCCTGCTAATGGTCCGCGCTGAGACGACCCAGGATCTCGGGATTTCCGTCTTGACTGAAGTCTCTGCTTTGTCTTTGGTAGGGGCAGTTTCAGGGGCAGTTTCAGATCAGATTCTGACGTATTCACGTATCTCAAACGTATAGCAACGGGAGAAAAAGCAAAAACTAATTGTATACATTTGTGATGGGGCGAAGGATTCACAGTAAAAGCAATCCACCGGGGCACCTGCAGGCGGGTCTACAGCACTACAAGCAGTATAGTTAGTCAGTACGGAGTACCTAGTCAATGGATACATACGTAGAATCCTTTCGCACATCAGCTGTTATATCATGAGAGCCATCGCATACCAAGCAAGGCACCAAGGACGGATTGGCTCGTGACAAGAGGCAGTCTCGGGCCAGGCAGCCCGAAAGGATCTAGATCCGCTGTGCCATGCAGCCGTAGCGGCGTCTGACTAGGTCTAATGCATCCACTGAACTTTATACATCACGATATGCAACTAAGTAGTCTCTTGAGGGAAGCAAGTGTAGTCCTATGCAGCTAGGGGGGACCAGGTCCTGGGAACAGTCTGTCCAATGAGGCCTGCAGAGTATTCCCTGCACATACAGGAGCGTTTCACTTCCAAAGTTTTCAACCAAAGTTAATCACGGAGTACTCCGTACAATGTTATGACAAAATTCTTGCTATTCGCAAAATGAAATGATGGTGTGATGCGGTCCGCGCTATTGAATCGAGACTCGAATCGGGATTTCCCACGAAAATGCCCAGGCAATTTCCATACGAGTACTGCGAGCATAATACATTCTGCATAAACAACTCCACACCGGAAACTTTCAACGGCGTTGATCATTATTGCCAAACCCTATGCCATGAACACCAAAATTGAGAGAAACCCAAAGCCCCGTGACGAGTGCAACAAATCCGTACCCGCGAATCCGTAAATCCGATTTGGGATAATGGCCGACTGAGCTGTCAATTGCACCACACGTGGTCCCCATGACAGCTCGACCCCTTGTGATGGACCAGATTGCCGGGAGTCATTATGAGCGATCCGATTCGCGCCGTGCCTAACGCATAGCACAGAGTCGCACGGGCAACGGGTACGATAGATCCAATATCAAACCCACCGGGGCAAATGTGTCAGTGCCGGGACCTATTCGCGACCCCCCAACCTTGGAAGGCCAGATGGTACCGCCGACATGACAGCGGTGCGATAGAGATCGCCGCGGCAAATCAGAAATTTGAGACAAGTTGACCGGCTAGGGTTTAGCACCGGCGGCCAGCAGCGCCCAAAAAGCAGGAGCTTGTCGATCCCATTGGAAACGACATTTGTACTTGGCCTCGGGACCCATAGCCGCGGAGACTGATGTGCAAAATAAATCTCCTCCTATTCTGAATGCTCGGCTTACGAGGGCTAGCGCTAACGAGTGGGCACGACCCGCCGGTAGGCCAGGAGATCAGGAGTCCGTTCTGGTACTCCATGTACGATGCCGGGCGTATGGTAGTACGGAGTGTGTCGACTATTGTATTGTAGGGCCCATCTGCCTGGTTTTGCTGAAGATATGTAACAATGGGATTAATTCTCCGTTGGAGAAGCGATCGTCAATTGCGGAGATGGCTATTCTTGACGCCACAGGAGATTCGAGGCCACGGATCACCGACTCATGGATATGTCGATCCCGCACCTTGCCGAGGAGGCAATGAGGCTCTCCAACCGTACGGAGATACGGAGTCGATGGGTTGCCTTTGCCTTGGACAAGCAACGTCAGTGCCGGGGGTTTCATCTGGTCGACGAGTGTTTCCAGTGTTTCTAGAATGCTTCGGTGCCAAACAACGGGCTGAAGGATCGGCAAAAAGTTGCCACTGCGTGGTAATACTAACCATTGCAGGGTGGGTGTAGAGGAGGTGGATCTTGCAAGTTCCACTGGCTGGTCCTGACTCGCGTAGACAGCCCTGGAGCTCCCGGAAGAGGCATAATCCGATCCGAAGTATACGCCCACACATAATTTATTACCACCACTGCTCTCGATCCAGAGTTCCAAGGTTCTCCAGAGATTGAGTATCTGCCGAGGATTGCAGGCTGTGAAGATATCCGTGGATAACGCTGGTTTGGTTGAGATATAAGCATTCTTGGATCACCCGTTGACCCTCGACACGAGTTGGAGTTTCTCAATATTAGGATCGCGGGAACCTTGGATATGCCTCCCAGCCTTGCAGAGTTCCGTTCAGTATCAGATAGATGTTCCTCAACCCGAAAGCATTGAACCATGGAGCTTCAATGCCTTAATTTGATCACAAGCATTTAAATGTGACACCGATTCAGTTCCAGTCAGTACTACCGTAGTACTATACTCCGTACAAGAGACTCCGAGGTGAATGGGTTAAAGCACCACGTTCAGGGAAATTCTCCTAGTGTAAGACTCTAAATGGCCCCAGACCCAAATGACCTCAAGTCTCCTTTTTCCTTTTTCCCAGGCTCAGGGGCTCTCTCCACTTACATTCCATGGCTCCAGAGTGGAAACGAGAGATCTGACCTTTTTTTTTCTTTTTTTCTTTTTTTCCATTTTTACCAATTCCATTTTTTGTTCGTTTTTACGCATGGGGAGTAGCTAGTGGCATCTCCAGGGTTAGTGCGTATCGTTCTAAACGGAGTTTTTTCCCCTAGTGGCATTTTTGCCCCAGTTTGCCTACAACCGTCAAACCCCCTGTTCATCACTGTATACTAGTTCTTGTTTTGCCCTTCTACTTTAATGTAATTTAATTTTGGGTTTGGTATTTTTCTGAATGCTCTCTCTTTTGACTTCCCCACCTCTTTGTTTCCCTTTGAGTCGATGTGGAAACGCTCACCCAAGGAGTCTGAGAAAGACTCAACTCAACATCTCTCTGACCTGGGCCTCCTGGGTAGATCGAAAAAGTCTAAGAGTGAGTCCCCCGTTCTATCTGAGACACTTGTCATTCTAGATGAACCTTGCTCCCCTGACTCTCGCTTTCCTTAATCCTACCTCTGGGTCCGCGAGGCTGCCCTGTACATCCTTGTCGCATTCAACATTCCCCGCTAATTCGGAGGTGACGTGCAGAATTTCAATCACAGCCAGATTCCTCTCGTTCTCCCCTACGCTCCTTTCGCTCATTCACCCGAAGCGTGGTAGACCGACCTGGGAGCAGTCTTTCCAATCAGACCGACAGCACCCGGCCAAGAGCACCCTCGGCCTTCACTGATCCCGGCCTGTCTGGCCCTTTACATTCAAGTCACTCACGAGCCTCCTTCCACTCAAGATCGGCACAGACCACCGGCCAGATGGAGGTGGATCGCACACGCACACGGAGGGAGAGGACCTTCGTTGGTACCAATTGCGCCGTTTGCGACGAGCCCTTGGAGCACACTTTGCGCGGCGAGCGTGTCCTGCAGCTGTCGTGCGCCCATGTCTCCCACGAGGCCTGTTTCTACGAATACGTCCGCGAGTTTGACGGACAAGACTGTCCAGAATGCAATGCGCCTTTGTCCTTGGACACAAGTCGCGGAGGAAACGTGTTGGACATTGGTATGGCCCCCCCCCCCCCGTGCGGACTGCCGCGGGGAATCTCAGATGACTAACATATCCCTTGCAGACAAGATCAGCAAGATCGTGCGCTCCGTTACATCAAATGATACCGCCACAGTGCGCAGTGGATTGACCACTCCCACTCCGTGGGAGCAATCCTCCACTCGACGGACCCCCAGTGATGCGGGCAGCCGCTACACCGCAGCAACCCGCGAGCAATCCTATCAGCCGTCTACCAGAGAGCCATCATACAGCGCCTCAGGGCGAGAGCCTTATTTACCAAGGGAACAGTACAACCCGTCAGCAAGAGACCCATCTTATCACCGGCGTGACAGCCGGGATACAAGCAGTCAGCGTGACCGTGTAGAACGATTGACTGTTGGCTCCCACAATCGCCAACCGCACTCTCGGAATGGCAGCGCCGCAGGCTCCTCTGGAGAATACACCGAAGGCCAGCACACAAGCACTGGACGTCGCCACGATTACGATGTGCATGCTATGGAATCAGAGCTGAGTCCTCGCCCGGGAGTCGCCAAGAACCCCATACCCGCACCCATTGTCACCGTTCGCAGCGAGTTCCCAACTATGAATCGATCCCGTCAGCAGCAGACTCTCACGTGTTTGATTACTGTTGAGGTCCCCGAAGCCAATTGGAGGCCAGACGCAGAGGACCTTCGACACACGCCCAGCGGCCAGTCCCAGCCGGAGGAGCCTTACGCAGTGCGATCTGCGAGTGGGCAAGATGCCCGTTCTATTCAGTACGAACCGACGGAGAACATGGATGAAATTGCCGAGGAACTGCGCAACCGGGTCGACAATTGGCATGGTCTTGAGTTCAACCGGTTCGGCAAGCTGCGCCTTCATGGACAGATGCGCGTTGGAAAGGATCGTGATTCATGGCAGGAACTGGAATGTTATCTTTTCGGGGAAATGCTCATCTGCGTGAAGGAGAAAAAGTCGTCCGATCCGAATCAGTTTGATGAGAGTGGGAGGCGCAAGCCTGTACGCTACACCCTCAAGGGTTCGATCTTGATTAAGAAGCATCTCAAGTCCCTTGACGCCTCGGCCGATGAACCGATTCTTGCACTCAATCTCTCCGTCAGCGAATTGCCTTGCTTCTTCCTTCGTTTCCCGAACCGCAACCAGCTCGAGACGTGGCGCCGGTCTCTGATTGATCTGCACCCTGTCGAGAATATTTCGCGCCCCAATGATTACGACTATGATAATTCTGGCGAGGAGGATGATTTCCGTGGCAGTCGCATTCAAAGACAGGCTTCTCTCAACTCTTCATACGGTGCCGGCAAGTCTGTCAACACGGCTATCACCGATTACACCAACCCGGACACGGACGTACCTTCCATCAACACTATTCATATTCCTCTCGATCTTGTCGTGGTCATTCCCGTGTCCTCATCAATGCAGGGCTTGAAGATCACTCTCTTGCGTGATGCGCTCAGGTTCCTTGTGCAAAACCTGGGCCCTCGGGACCGTATGGGGCTGGTCACTTTCGGCTCCAGCGGTGGCGGTGTGCCTCTGGTAGGCATGACCACCAAGTCTTGGGCTGGATGGCCAAAGATTCTTGAATCAATCCGCCCCGTGGGACAGAAGAGTCTCCGTGCGGATGTTGTCGAGGGCGCTAACGTGGCCATGGACTTACTGATGCAACGGAAGGTCAACAACCCAGTTTCAACCATTCTTCTCATCAGTGACTCGTCCATCTCCGACCCTGAAAGTGTCGATTTCGTGGTTTCTCGCGCCGAGGCCGCCAAGGTCAGCATTCACTCATTTGGTCTCGGACTGACCCACAAACCCGACACCATGATCGAGCTGTCCACTCGCACCAAGGGCTGCTACTCATACGTCAAGGATTGGATGATGCTCCGCGAGTGTGTCGCTGGATGCCTAGGCGCATTGCAGACCACTTCTCACCAGAACGTCAAGTTGAAGCTTCGTCTTCCGGAGGGATCACCAGCCAAGTTCGTTAAGATCAGCGGTGCTCTCCACACCACCAAACGAGCTACTGGCAAAGATGCCGAGGCAGCTCTCGGCGACCTCCGCTTTGGAGACAAGCGCGACGTCCTGGTCCAACTCGTCATTCAGCCCGATAATGCCACCCAAGACAACATGCCTCAAGATCCCTGGGAGAGCCTGGTCTCCGGGCTGGAAGCACTTGGCGGTGGCCCAGACGGTGACGAATCACGCGTGGTCAGCGTCGAAGAAGTACCCCTGATCCAAGCCGACTTGACCTATGGCGATCTTCTTCGTGACGGCCACCTCACTCACTCCCCTCGCCCATCACTCTTGGCAATCACAATGCTCCCTCCCAACCCACGTGCCAAGGGCCAACGTCCTTCAACTCCTCCCATCCCCCCACACCCCTCCATCGTCCAACGACGAATGGAGCTGCTCACCTCCGACATGCTCACCCGTGCCCTCACCCTGGTCTCTCGAGGCCAGCACGACCGCGCCATGCACCTTCTTAATGAAACCCGAAGTATACTCAAGGGTCTGGGCAAAGGAGGTCTTCCACCCCTGCCCCCAGCTGCCCGCTCAGGCAGCGAACCCGACAGCCGTGGCGGCACACCCGTTTCCGCCTCATCACCCAAGTCTTCGACCTTTGGCGAAACCCACTCTTCCGCCTCGGAGACCAACACCATCACACCTTCCTCCTCAGTTGATGCACAAACCATGATTGCTCTCAACGCAGACCTCGAGTCCTCTCTGGAGTGGATCAACCACCCCGCCGTCTTCAGCCGTGATTCCCGCAAAGCCGTTCTCCAAAGTATCGGTGTCATCTCTTCTCAGCGCGCTTACACTTTCCGCACAGCGTCCGAGGCACACTGGGCCCAGCGCGTCTCTGGAATTCGGCGGTTGACGGAACGATCTCGTGACTGGCGTGAGACTGGCGATGATGCTTTGACCGAGGAGTGATTGGATGCCACGCAATTTCTTCTTTTTTTTTTTGACATGCCTATCTGCGATGAATCTGTTTCCCCCTTTTTTCTTTCTTGATTTAGTTCTTTCCCTATGATACCATTTTTTGTTCCCATGCATAATAGGGTTCACGTTGCTGGGGTTTTGTATCTGTTTTGATGGTGGAAATGGGCTCTGAACATATGATGATAACCTCGATTAACATAAGCCTGCATGATTAATTATCTTTCTATATGATCTTTCAATATATCGGAGTATCGGGGTGTTTATTCCAAGATTGATCTTGTAATCTGGTGCAAGGCCATCAGAGATCTGCTAGTTCTTAGGATGCGAGTAGAATGGGAAGATCATGCTGCAAACGTTGCATATTTGCTGCTCATAAAAAGCTCTTGAGTTCGATCCTTGCTTGCCCTAAGGTGGCCAACTGCGTGTGTTATTACAGTGCCCAGGAACAACACCCGTCTTCTATCCGATGAAGTCGCTATAGCCAAAAAAGCCTTGAATTGACCCTTGGTATACAAGGTCAAAGTTGGCTGCTCTACGTAAGTACCGTAGTGTAGGCTTAGCGGAAACGATATGGACAGACATGGACAGACAGAGAGAAACCCATGAGTGAAACGACGAAGGCAATATCACCTCATATCCCAACCTTGGAAGCACAATATCCAATGGATACGTCAACGAACCAATACAGTTGCCATACCAGCCATGGAGGCCATATCGTCGCTATCACCCAAATTCGAGAACGGACAGCCTCAATTTGAGATTTATAGGAAACAAAGTAGATCAAGAGTCATAGAAACTGAGATCCCGAAGGATATTCTCGATATGACCTCGCTGAGACAGTCAAATAACAGAAGAAATCATCTCGGACTTAAGGGCCCTCCAGGGCTGTGGTTCGGCGATAAGCGATAAGCGATACGCGATAAGCCCGACCACCTGCCGGCACTCCAGGGCTGCTCGTCCTTTCACTGTATGGTCACTCTTCATCTCTCGTACACTCTGTTCCAAGATTCACACAGCAGCACACTGGATTTCATCCACGATGATCCCAAATATAGGCGCAGTCCGTGCACTAGGGGGATATAGTGCCTCTCTGATGCACAGATTGCGCCCAATGTACGGGCCTCAACTGTCGCAAATGATCCAAACCGCCAGGCCAAAGCCTCAGTTCAATCAGTCCAAGTCCCTCTTCCGGAGCGATGCTCAAACAAGACCATTCAACTCAACTGGCCCAAAGGATCGCCAATATTACCGCTTTAAGGGTAGCCGACCGTCAAAGTTCTCCCGAATCGTTGAAGCGCTCAAGCCACGACACTTCGTATTCATCGGCCTCGGTGCCTCGGGAGTGTATCTCTACAATGTCGAGGAAGTGGAGATGACCGGTCGCCGACGCTTCAACTGTATCTCGAATGCACGGGAATTGGATATGGGCACTGGAACATACCGTGAAATCCTAGCCTCCGAGCGCGGGAAGATCCTCTCTGTTAATCACCCACTTACCAAGCTGGTTGATGAAGTCATGCAGGATTTAATCGCCGATATTGAGATTGAGGGGGCAGACTGGAGGGTCTACGTTATTCAAGACGACGAGAACCAGAATGCCTTTGTGCTTCCTGGGTAGGTTCCCTCGGGGTTTGTGGCTACAGATGCTAACTTTGCGCAGTGGTAGGGTTTTTGTCTACACTGGGATCCTTCCTATCTGCAAGGATACCAACGGACTGGCTGCTGTGCTGGCACACGAGATTGCACACGTTGTGGCCCACCATCCTGCTGAGCGAATGAGCAATGGTCTCTTCAAGTTTGGCATTGTTATGGCCCTCAGTCTACTTTTTGATATCTCTGGACAGTTTTCTTCCCTCCTGGTGAATCTCATGTACAGCTTGCCAAACTCGCGGGTACAAGAGGTAATGTGGCCCACTTTCTGGTGTTGGGATTATAGCTCATCTTTACCTACAGGCCGAAGCGGACAAAATGGGACTCAGTATGGAATTACAAAACCTGTCATTGAGATATACTAACGTTGCCAGTGATTATGTCCAAAGCTTGTTTCAACCCCCAGGCGGCGGTTCAACTGTGAGTTCTAATCGACCAGTGTGTGCACCAAGCTGATTATGGTAGATGGGCCCGTATGGATGAACAGGACAAACAATCCCCACCGCAATTTATGTCGACTCACCCATCTGTAAGGCTGATGAATGACCATATGTATCAAGATTGCTTACTTGAAATAGAACTACAACCGAATGGAGGCGATTAAGGGATGGTATGTCAGACTCACGTTTTTCACTTGCTCGGCGCTAATCATTACAGGCTTGACGAGGCTGATGGGATTTACGGACAAAATGGCTGTCACGAAATGACCAAATATGGTCAGATATTCCTCGTCCTCGAGCCGACCTTTTCATGTGGCTGACCTTTCCAGTGATCGCTTTCCGGACTTTCAATAACAAGTTTATCACTTGAATGAACACAAACTACACGCCGAAGTTTTAAGCTCGGCTTGGAGCCCCCGAAAACACTCAACCCGACTCCAATCTAAGGCCTCTGTCCACCAACCGCTCACTTGCACACCAGAACTTCATCCAATGTTCTCCCTACTTGACAGACCCTTGAGCCGGTGGTAGCTCAGGTATAGCCCAAGAGGCAAATCCATTCCATCTACTGCTATATGTCCACCGAGAACGCTGTACAATGCACATCATGGACTTTATTCAGCGAAGAGAGTCCCCGGGGACCACGGTCCTCCCCCGTTGAATATCTTCGACCGGGCGGATGCAAATTTCACATTTTTAGGTTAGGACTTCAGAGTTTGTTGCTCTTTAGCCAATCAAGCTGTGTCCATGAAATAGTCCACGGGTGTTCGCTGGTTCCACCTATTTCCATGTAGAACGCTGAGGCTGTATGGTGATGGGCTCAATTGGTACCGATAGCCTGCGAGAAGATGCTCCCGACACGTCATTCCAAGGCTAAAATAATGGACCAAAAGATTTCTCTCGAGTAAAGCTGGTCAATAGTCGTTAAATCTATCAGAAGCTCGATATGAAGAGGAATGCTCACCAAAGGGCGATCTATACTTGACCGCCAAGCACCCCTCGTGCAAACGGAGCAAACCCACCACCGCAGCTCCAAAAATTGCCCGGCACAACAGCTCCATCCACTCACTACATCAACTTTGATACCCAGTCGCATTTTATTTGAACGCGGCAACAGATCATGTCGCTTTCAATTCCAGGTCCCTCCCAAGCGGGACTTTTCAAGCCCGGCTACCAGAGGTGAGTCGAACCGTCTAGAAATTCCGCCGCAATAGGGACCTCCTTATCTGGAAAACGTGCAATTCGATTGACTGTTGTTCTACCATCCAGCCACGATGCCGAAGATGGAGCCGTCATCCGTAACATCGAAGCCTGCCAGGCTATCTCGGGCACCGTCCAGACCTCCCTGGGCCCTTACGGCCGCAACAAGATCGTCATCAACCACTTGCAGAAGATGATCCTGACCTCCGACGCCGCCGTCATCCTTCGTGAACTTGATGTTGTTCACCCCGCTGCTAAGCTGCTCGTGATGGCCAGTCAACAGCAGGATGCCGAGATGGGCGATGGCACCAACTTGGTTATCGTGCTGGCCGGTGAGCTGTTGAAGAAGGCCGAGGAGTTGGTTCGCATGGGTCTGAAGACCAGTGATATTGTTTCCGGATACGAGAAGGCTCAGAACTTTGCTATGTCTACTCTAGAGGGTATGTTCACCTGGCGGGGGTTGGTTTCCGATCAAGTGGAGCCAGTGGCTAATATCGTGCAGAGCTCGAGGTCGACAGACTCCAGGATTTGCGATCGGCAACGGAATTGAGCAAGGCGCTCCGCACAGTGGTTGCTTCCAAGCAGTCTGGCACCGAAGATACTCTGGCTGCGCTGGTCGCCGAGGCGGTCTTGGCTGTGCTTCCTAAGAACCCTGCCAACTTCAACGTCGACAATGTCCGAGTCGTTAAGATTATGGGTGGTAGCTTGGAGCAGTCCAAGGTTGTGAAGGGTATGGTTTTCGGTCGCGAGCCCGATGGAACTGTTAAGAAGGCCAGCAAGGCCAAGGTCGGAGTGTTCAGCTGCCCCATCGATATCAGTCAGACCGAGACCAAGGGCACAGTTCTCCTGAAGAACGCCCAGGAGATGATGGACTTCACAAAGGGTGAGGAAGAGCGTCTTGAGACTGCCATCAAGGAGCTCTACGACTCCGGTCTCCGCGTCCTTGTTGCTGGCTCCAGTGTCGGCGATCTGGCCATGCACTACTTGAACCGTTTCAACATCCTCGTCGTCAAGGTTCTGTCCAAGTTCGAGCTCCGCCGCCTGTGCCGTGTCGTCGGCGCCACACCCTTGGCCCGTCTGGGTGCCCCCATGCCCGACGAGATGGGTCAGATCGACGTCGTCGAGACTGCCGAGATTGGTGGTGACCGTGTCACCGTCTTCCGCCAGGAAGACACCAACGCCGTTACCCGCACAGCCACCATTGTCCTGCGTGGTGCTACCCAAAACCACCTGGAGGATGTTGAGCGCGCTATCGATGACGGTGTGAATGCCGTCAAGGCCATCACCAAGGACCCCCGCATGGTCCCCGGTGCCGGTGCCACGGAGATCCAGCTTGTTGAGCGTCTGACCAACTTCGCCGACCGAACTCCCGGCCTTCCCCAACACGCGATCCGCAAGTATGCCGAGGCCTTCGAGGTCGTTCCCCGTACACTCGCCGAGTCTGCCGGTCTCGATGCTACCGAGGTCCTCTCGCGTCTCTACACCGCACACCACCGCACCGCCGGTGCCGAGTCATCTTCCGAGGAGGAGGGTAGCTCGTCTGAAGAAGAGGAGCCTTACTGGACTACGGGTGTCGATCTTGAGATCGGCGAGTCAGACGGTACCCTTGATACCGTCGAGGAGGGTATCTTGGACCTCATGGCCTCCAAGATGTCTGCGATCCGTCTGGCCAGTGAGTCTGCCCGCACAGTTCTGAGCGTTGACCAGATCATTGTCTCCCGACAGGCTGGAGGCCCTAAGCCTCCGCAGGGTGGAGGTGACTGGGACCAGGACTAAATAAAACAAAAAAGGAGAAATAAGGGTCTGGGCGCTGTTTGATATTTGAGGCCTGATAGATCTTCGTATGATGATACGCTTATTGAGAACCATTGTAAATTGGACTTCCTTTCTCTTCCAGTGAATTTTTCCCCATATCTTACAGAACAACATAAGTCTAATTCAATCATGAAATTTCAAGAAGTAGACAACAACCAATCCAAGCTGTGATGACCATGTTTGCCTGATAGATAAACATGGACACCTGAGGCAGAAGTGGTCACGTGGTACTCCCAGATTTTCCCTCGAATGTTTCCTTTCGGTCTTGATATCAACGAGCGCGATTCCGTATCCCACCACTTTTGCCACAAGCCGCTTTTTCCCGAGCTTCCTCACTTAATTCTACCTCCGCCATGTCCTTCTCTACCCAGGTCGCAGCCCGCTGCGCCAGACAGTTCTCCGGCTCCGTCCGCCCATCCTCCCTGCGCATCGCGACCTCCGCTTCATACCTCACAGCTCGTCGCACACCCAGCACTCAACGATGGGAATCCACCGAGGCTGCCCCTGCTGCCCCCACAAACCCTAAGATCGCCCAGATTGTCGACCAGATCAGCACATTGACCCTGCTTGAGACCGCCGACCTGGTCTCCAGCTTGAAGGTGGGTTCATCAATCTATCAATTGAGAGGCATTTACGAATCGAGATCATGTGGCATACACATCTTGACCCTTGTCAATGCCTGAATCTCTTCAATTGGCTCGGACACTCCTGATCAATCGCTAATCGTATCCTTCCACAGACCCGCCTGAACATCCCCGATCTCCCCGTTGGCGGTTTCGCCATGGCCGCTGGCCCCGGTGGTGCCGCCGCTGCTCCTGCTGAGGAAGAGGAGGCTGCCCCTGCCGCCGCCGAGAAGACCCTGTTCAACCTGAAGCTCGAGTCCTTCGAGGCCACCTCCAAGCCCAAGGTCATCAAGGAGATCAAGACCATGCTCGGCCTGTCACTGGTTGACAGCAAGAAGTTCGTCGAGGCCGCACCCAAGATCCTGAAGGAGTCTGTGCCCAAGGAGGAGGCGGAGAAGATTATCGAGACGCTCAAGGCCCTCGGCGCCAAGGCGATCATGGAGTAAAAACTGTTTTATTATAGGAATCGGGGAAGAGATAGAGTTCGACTGTTTCTGTCTTGAAAGATCTTGAGCATCGTGTTCGCCTGGCTTATCAAGGCAAAATGTACATTATACGCATTGTGTTCTGGGTCCGTCTGGTATAAGAGGGCTTGTTTGGTTAATTGATGCATTTAGCATACGTTATCTTAAATCGTAGACTGTAAATAACGAGAAAGAAGTGTTGCTGGAGAGAATTTGCCTGAAATCAACTGGTGTATTCCGGGCTCCGTACTGCGCAGCTGGCGGACCTAAGGTTCCCCGATCTCCAACTCCAACCCAAAAAATTCCCATCTCAACCTCCGCAGCCACCTCTCGCAGCCTCCAATGGCCAAACCACCGCACTCGCCAATTGTGCGGCGAATCACACAATCCCTATATCCTCCTCGCCCCGCCCGCATCGCACCGGTACAGCCCTCCGCTTTATGCCATGGCGGCGCATCTTCACGACCCTTCCACACCACCCCGATCCGATCAGGAGTTCGTCGATCACCGGGCCTCCGAAGAGCCGAGTCGAAAAATGTCCCGGGTGGTCTCGTCCTACCGCACACAACCGGACGTGGGCAGCGCGTCGACCGAGACGGTTTCTGGTGGGCCAGGCTCCGATTCGATTTGGGCCTCTGTCTCAGACAATTCGACGAGTCTGCAAATACTCTTTATGAGCATACCACGAAAATCAAATTGATGCCGCCAGGAGTGAGCTTCAAGACTTTCAAGTCTGTTGCTGAGCAGCTGATCCGGCTGTCGCACGCCGAATATGCTAGTCATGGCAGTATAAAGACTATTTCAACAGGTTCGTCTCGCGCAATTGATGAGGTTGCACAATTGAATGTGCACCAAATGATCAAGACTGACTTTATTAGACGCCGACGCGGTATATCGAATCGCATGCTGTCTTCTTCCTCTATCCATTGGCCCTAATCTCAGGGAATGGGCAATGAGTGCATGCGCAAAGGCGAAGTCCCGTCGAGCTCTTGTGGATTTAGTCAACAAATATATTGAGATCGACACCGTCGACATCCACCGCAACACTGAGTGGATTGCTATGGTCAAGGACTTGGCTTTAATAGACGAGTTTCCGCCGGCGATTATGCTCTATGCAAAGATCCTGACCTGGCGCGGCGAGAATGAAGCAGCTGCGCAGCTCTTGGAAGAGAAGATCTTGCCATACATCCGGCCTTCGCCAAGACGCCCGGACAACTTCTTCTACGATCTAACAGTAGGAAACACCATTGACTCGCCGTTGCGGCTATATGGGCTTGCCATTGCCGCAACAAAGGGCATCGAAGATGTATCAAAAGTGATGGAACGCGCAGCACTGGAGTTCTACGAGCCCATCGCATTGACAGAGTTGGCCATTACCAAACTGGAGCGTGACGATCATGATCGGTACGAGGAGTTGATGACCATGGGGGCAGCATCCGGGTACGGCAGGGCAGCCTTCTATCTTGCCAATTACTATTTCCGCATTTCACAGGGCGAATTCCTCACTCGACAGGAGCGAGAAGAGGCGGTCAAGGTGGAGCCAACTGGGTTGGCGAAAATACTTGAGCCTTTCACATCATGGCTTGATTCAATTGTCAACAAGCCTTGGTCTCGCATGACATACAGAGAACTAGCTAAGGATTGGTACGCCGTTGCTGCGACTACGGGAAACCCAACTGCCGAACTCATTTATGCTTTGATGATGCGTGAAGAATCACGGATGGAACATTCTCGTGAGCTCTTTGACCTGATCAAGAAAGAAAGACTTCTGGCCGAGTTGCCCCCTAAAGCTATTAAGGCGCTGGAGCAGGGTTGGAACAATCCGGAGTTTGAGCCTGAATACCCGATCAAGTTCATGCCTCTTGGCTGAATTGTATATCATTTGCACCTCTCATGTATCATAGCATTCTCAAAAATTCGTTCATATATCCCCCATCCAGCATGCATTGATTTGCTTCTGAGGAGACTGGCAAAGAAATCCAACCAGCGTAACATCGACGCTCATTATCTCAACTGCCACGATATCGTCAGACTGCCGGAGATTGCAACTGGCATAGATGATCAGAATCACCGCCTCTTCTTTCCCTTGCCCTTGTTGTGCCCTCTTGTCTTCAGCTCCACAAATCCTAATTCCTTCAACCCTTCTGCCAGAATGGACGAATTTTGCATTCCGGGGAAGTCCTTCGCGGGATACACTCGGAAAGGTTCTGACCAAGCCTCGGCCAAAATAGGCATTGACTGGCCGGTATCCTCAACAGAGCCCCAATTCATCAAGCGGAATTGAAGACGGTAGAGACCAGCAGTGCGAATAGAGAGATCAGCAAAAATGAAGAAGGTAGCTGGTTGGTGGAGGCGCGAGGCCGCGTTGTGGGCGGGAGTGCTAGAGAGACGATCATCGGCAGATGGATGAACAGGTGCAGAGTTCGGATCTGGGTCTGCATCCACGTAGAAGGGGGACATGAATGCTTTGCCGGAGAGGAGAGGGGTGGAAAGATCATCGTCGGTACGGGCAACGCCGTCTGTATCTTCCCTGTCCCGATCTCTGTCCCGATCACGCCGTGGGTCGGTATCCGAATTGGGCCAGGAGGACGAGACGGGGAAAAGGAGACAGCCCACTGTGAAGCGGGGATCTTGGAGGAGATCTCTGTCTTCCTGTGAATTTGGATCGAAGTCTGCTAGGAGGATCTGGACGATTGGTGGAGGGTCGACGGGGCGACGGTCTCGATCCCCTGCGCCGCAAGCTCGTGCCGCAATGGGCTGTTGTCGGACATGAAGATGGTACCTGGATTGTGTGGATGGTCGTCGGGGTACAGGTGGTATTTCTGGCTCTGGGGAGTGATGGAGCAGCTTGTCGAAGCCGTGTGGCATTCTATAAGTCGTATGTCGTGATTGGGATTTCGGCTCTTGGGTGGGTGGTATGGGATTCAGGACGTGTAGACCTGCACTTTTATCTGACCAGACGGGACTAGGCATGGCTGTGGAACTGCTGCTGTACCTGTATGGATATCGTGTTAGACTGATTCTTGTACAAATGCAGTGTTCCGCTCTGTGCAACCTGTCACAGATGCGACCTGAGAGGCACCGTGTTCAGGATCTTGAGCCAAAGAGACATCGTATCAAGATAGACTGACAGATAGAGGTGATTGGATCGACAGAAACGGAAAGAGGTACTTTACTGGGAGTCCACGTCGTACGTCCGGCTCCGTTGACTCTCATAGTCTTGAGCATGGCCTGAACTTGGGCCTGGTCCCTCCTCGGGCGCTGCATGGTATCCCCGAGGGTCAAAGATCCCTGGTTGCGTTCGGAGGGGGAGGACCTGAGGTAAAGGTTGCCGGGCCATGTAGGCATTGTCGACCGGGGGCATGTATCGTGGATCTGCGCTTCGTTCTGGGTATCCCCAGCCAGGTATCTGAGGGGCGAAAGGGGTGACCGCAGCGCGCTCGTAGCCCGTACTTTGCGGCAATCGAGGCTCATTTTGCGGATATGAATAGGGCAGTATTGAGGCGTTAGGTCGGACCAAGTCGATGTAAGGACGATCCGTGGGATGCCCACGTTGTGGCGGCGACATCTATTCGCGCACGAGCCGACAAGCGGTCCTTGTGTTATCGTCTATGTTTGGTCTTATTTTGACGACAGCGCAGCGAAGGCATTGAATGTCCACCCAATACCCCTTCGGAGAGAGTATATATGCTGGGGTCGAGTGAAGTAAACGAGTGAAATAAAAGACTTCGAAAATCAGCATCTGCCATAGATGCATATCTTGGATGTGCCTGCGGTCAAGGCATTAGAAAAACTGCATGTGAATGCAGCTCAACAGTAAGGCTCCATACCCTTGTGGGAATCGGGATCTATACTTGCGAGGGGGTGAGAGGTTCAACTAATATTTTTCGTAAGATTTGTCCCGGTTTCTCCTGTCCAATGACCCGAATGTGACAGGGAAGACGATGTCGAAGGAGTACTCTAATTTTTGCTGGATTTTTGGTTTTTTTTTTTTTTTTTTCCTTTTCTTGTTTTTTGTTTTTTTCCCAACTTAGCGCACATGTACTATGTACAAGTGGCACTTGTATCCACCGAATATTGAGAAAAGGGAAGAGCCGGGGGAACGGGCCGAGCGGGCATTTGCCAGAGCGCTTGTGTATTTGTGGAGACTCGGCTGTGTCTGCATGGAGATGGTGCGTAGCTGAATGGCCATGTTCCTGACAGAAACTGGCGCCCGATGGTGAAAGACGGTCAGCGTCCACGAGTGGGAGAGCGGGATGTATTTCATAGCGAATGGCAGTCGGTTGATCTGTCTCGCCTGATATCCCTTTAATCAAAAAGACCAGTAAGAAAGGCTCTTTGCTTTTTGTGGACCGAAAATGAAGATTTGTCCTACTGTACACTCCGCAGGCCTTACGGTGTAGACTCGGGACAAACCTAGATCTCCGCTTTATAGGGTCAGGGACGTTCAGCTGAGTGGTACGGTGTCCGAACTCCTGGCCAGGAACAGCTTGCGATCTGCAATGCTGATCGACGAGAAGAGGCAATGGCCAGATTTCCGACTTGGAGCCGCGGTGATTGGGCGTAGGATCGTTGCTTGGCGCGATAGATCCGTCTCCACAACGGGGGATCTGAAGGCTGCCGCCTCACTTACATCAGTGGCATTCGACTCATCGAGCAAGTGGTCAACCCTCCGAGGAGAAAGCAAGGCGCTGGCTCCATGAAGGATTTCCGGGAATTGAAAGTCAATTAGCGTTTCAAGAATACGCTCTGACCATTCCTCGCGGGTCCGAGTGGGTTCTGACACTTCCAATGGACCAAGGGATTGTCCGATCGATCAGTAAGGCAGCTAGGGTGGCTTGAACGAACGAACTATGGGTGTAGATAAACGAGCTCGAATGGGTCCATGCACCCACTGACTCCACAGTCTGTTGTCGCTAAGCAGCTGGGTTCGGCAGTGGAAAATCACTACGAAAGGAGCCTTGGAGAGTGGGGGTCTTGACGAGCGAGTGATTGCCGATGGGGTACCTTGCACTGGAGATTCGTGTCCTTGCCAACCTTGGAACGGCAAGGAAGAGCATACATACATAGCGCTCTCGAGGTGACCGGTAAAGCAAATCCGAACGACAGATGCGGTAAAGGAATTCAACAGATTCCATGATCATGCAAGCTTGGTAGCGCACACCAATCAGGACCGCTTGAAAAGCTGCAAACTGAAATTACCGGTCCTCGCTGGAATTGCCGGCCCCAGAGATGTGCTAGAAAGCCCCACCGAGTCAGACTTTGGCGACATGCAGCTGGTGTGGCTGCGCTGGCTTTTCAGCAGCTCAAAGCTGGCGGAGCCACCGCTCTGCATGCCACTGCAGACGGTGAAGCCCCATGTGCCGTCGCACAAGAAAACCGAACAGGAAGAGATATTCGATCAAACGGCCCTTGTTTGAGTCCAATGCACCCAGCGCACGAGTGCTGTAAGGCTTTAATCCGAGGCTGTTTATCGATCTTGGCACGCTGTGTGACCTTGTGGAAACTAAGCGCGAAGTGCGTGTCGCTGAACCTGTAACCAAATCGGGATGTGTCGAGACGATCGGCGAACGTTGTCGATTGGCAGGGAATATCCCCGTTTGGAGAGGGCTTAACCGCCTGGGCAGGTTGCTTCTAGGCAACTCGCTAGTTCCCACTGGATGATATGCGGTATCCATCACATGGCGCACTTATGCTTGACTCGTGAGTTATAAGTCCAGGTGGGTTAGATTGACGCGTTTCCGTATAGCCTGCGCGTCTTTGATCGGGCCTCTCAATTTCCATTTTTTCGATTCGGTGTCTTACTTTACATTCTGCCTCCAATGCGAGCACCTTCAGAGGTGGGGAGTATGAAGGACGGATCACAAGATAGCAGGACTTGATTGTTACTGTTCACATATCTTGCTCCCTAGATCCACGGGTAGAAAGATGATAAGTCGAAAAGCCTGAAAGCCCAACGGGAGATTCAATAGAGCCTTATGAGGTACTCCGTACATATGACGACGCTATCTCGCCCTGCCGGGAAAATCCCACGCCAGATCTGGACCTGGGTCGATATCCAAGTGGTAAGGTCCCCGGCAGTTGCGAAGCGTCGTGCTACTCGATGCTCCTCTTCCGAGATTCGACTCGGGCCCGATGTGCATCAAAGCACCAAATGGGCCGACTGACGCTGGCCCAGAGTCAATAATTCCCGAGGTCTGCCCGACATAAAGCCCAAGCAGTTCACCGAAATGGCGGTCCCACACCATGATATACCCAGATGACTGCCAAGGCCCATCTGGACCATACCGCACATATATGTCACCCAGTTGCAGCAAATGTAAAGAATTCACGCCCGACTGAGGTACTCCACCGATTATCAAACGGGCCCGAATGAGCCCAAGATCCAATGAAGTACAAGGCCGGGTGGAATCATGCCGAAGAGAAATGCGAGAGTCAGAGAATTCAACCGGTGAGTGCTCAGGTGACCACCGAAGTTCAACTGGTCCTAATTTGGAGCCAATTTCTCCCAGCCGCTCCTTGCCGACACAAACAGGCGTCGGTATCTCGAGGAATTGCCCATCGTAATCATGCAGCAGATCGACGATCCTGTGCAATGCAACTGGTGACTTAGAGCAGCCGTGGGCGTGAAGTTCCGCATGTAATTGGCTCTCGTAAGGGGACTCGGTAGATCCAAGACCAAAATTGGGCATATGTTGATCCCCAAACGCCTCCCAGATTGATTCCGAGGGCTCTAGAGCTGCATTGGAATGTTCTTGGCACTCTGAGCTCCACTGAAGTCCCATTCGTTGCTCCATGTTCTCCAGCTGAACTTTGAGTACTTCGATATAGTCTTCCCCCCGCACTAAATCAGGCAGTGCCTCGCCTACAACGGGATCATCAATCAACACCTGAAGGTTCGGGAACCTGGCAATAAACGGCAGATTGTCACCGCAATGCTGTGAGACTTGCTCCAGATACTTCACTGCAATGTCGGGGTTTGTACTTTGGATCAAGGTCAGCACTATTTGATAGGCAGCAAAGCAGCTGTGGTGGTTATTGGGTTGGACATTTTTCAGAAAGCTGGTCCAGCAAGAATGGAGAACCTCATCACTTCCGAGCTTGACCAGAAGACAAATGTAGTCTTGAGCACTAAGCTGGGACGTATATCGTATGCCGTCCTCTTTACTGGGCTGTGCCCAGTATAAACTGTCATGCAGTCTGAGATTGCCGCGAGGAACCAAGTCTCCCTCTCCAGTAATTTGAGCAAGCATGGCACTTCGATCATATTCTAGGTCCTCAAAAGCCCTGTGATCAAGTGCCTCAGAGCAATTTTTGATTATGCGCATACTTTCCCTCAGACCTATAGCCGGCATACCCCCAAGACGATGAGCTTTTAAAAATTGATATAGAGCAGCAGCTGAGAGATCGAGCATCGCAAAGGACATTCCTGTAGTATAGGTACCGGGCTGGACTGAAAATCGAAGGCGATTGAGTCTTGCGACAATATCGCTCATGACCGAAAGGATATCAGATAAGGTGTTGTGTCGTTGACAACGGTGCAAAGCCAGTCGCAGAAACGTGCTATTCTGAGCCTGCAAGAGCACAGCTCCATGCTCATCATTTGTGAATCTTTCCACCAGATTCTTCAGGGAGGATATATCGGTGGTTTGGGTTTCAAGTCCTCGAGACAGCTCTTCGTCGTGCGGGGCTAGCCCTTTGAGAGCAGTCCACAACGGGGCAGGGGGAGAATTGGACTTCCATGTGAGGGCAAAAAGCTCGCGAAGGTGGGACGATGATGCGATGTCAGAATCTAAGCTCTGAGCTGGCTTGCTTGAACCTGTTAAAGCGAACCGTAGCAGCTCTGATGGCGATGGATCATGTGTTTGTTTCGAAGCAGGCACTGAAGTATGGAGATTGCGCACTGAGATCCTTGATTTTGGGTAACAAGGTTGAATTTGTGCTGTGCGCAGCAAAACTCGACTGTGTGGGCCTCCCATCGTCATAGAAATACATAGAGTAATGGGCATGGATGGAATGGCTGATCGGAAGATGTGGAGACGATAAACACGGCGATAAGGGGCGATTCCGGGGTTTGTTCGGCAGAACTAAAGCGGCGTCGGAGGCGGTACCGTCGGCAGCAGTCACGCTTTTACATCATTTTCTAAAGGAGTCTCACTTCTTGACCTGACAGCTACCACGGACTGACCGATTTTCTTCGGCTTCAAAGTTAAATTTGGCACCCCGAGACAAAAATGGCACGAACACGAAACGCGGATAAGTCTGCCCAGGACGAGGGCAAGGAAGAGCAGGTTATCGAACAGCCGACCGCAAACGAGAACACTCACGATTCACCCACCGAAAGCCCCGAAAAGAAGGCGGACACTCCTTCAGAAGGGCAAAAAGATGCCGCTGCTCCTCCAGCGAATGATAGAATGGCCAGGTTCAAAGCCTTGCAAGCTCGAGCTGTATGTGATTCGCAACTGAAACTGGCCGATAGACCCGGCAACCATGAATGCCCAACTGACAATACATAGAAATCCGCGACTGAACGCAATCTCAAGGAGACAGCAGCTGAATCCCAGCGCCTGACTACCGACCCAGCATTGATGAACAACTTATCGCGCAAGCACGCATTCGCATCCCACAACCTCCTCAAAGCAGACACCGAAGCAGCTGGCGAAGACTTTGAACGGAAGCGCGCATGGGATTGGACCGTTGACGAATCCGAGAAGTGGGACAAGCGCATGGAGAAGAAGTCGCGCCATCGGAAGGATGTGGCCTTCCAGGATTATTCCCAGGATGCCCGGAAGGTCTACAAAAGACAACTACGAGACCTACCTCCGAACATCGAAGCATACGAGAAAGACAAACTTGCCGCGATTGAAAGGGCTGCAGCCAATGGCGACCTCGAGATTGTGGAGACCGAGGATGGTGAAATGATCGCAGTCGACAAGAATGGAAGCTTCTACTCAACCGCGGACTCAACAGGCTTCACAGACAGAAAGCCGGACCGTGCTGCCGTTGACAGACTGGTCGGCGATATCCAGAAGGCAGAGGAAGTGCGCCTGAAGAAGCGCAAGGAGCGTCGCGGTGGCGACGATGACTCGGATGTGACATACATCAACGAGAAGAACAAGCAGTTCAACCAAAAGTTGGCTCGCTTCTACAATAAGGTCAGCTTGCACCTGAATTCCCAACAGTGGCTCTGTACTAACATTCTTTCAGTACACAACGGAGATCCGAGACAGCTTTGAACGTGGTACTATGATTTAATCCGGATGTGAAATTGATTGCGACTTTTTACTTCAGGGTGGAAAATTTGGGACCTGCTTCGAGGCACTCGGTGTCAATTCACTAGCAAAGATTCCAACCATTTTCTCGAATCCTCGCTCAATATCTTACATACAACAAGGCTGCCACAGACCTACAGCATCGTCTTCCGCCAGGCTTTGGTCGCAAGTGCCTCAATCTGCTTTGTGCCAACTGCACCCTTGGTGGACTCATCCTCTAGCGCCTCCACCACTGCTTCGCTCACAACATCGACCTTGAGGGGCTTTTCGGCCATAGCTCCGAGGAAACCAAGCTTGTTTCCGAGGAAGGTGTTGAACTCAGATGCAACAAACCCACCCATTGCGATTGGCAGCGTGAACTTTCGGCTGGAGTCGTACATGAAGCCTGGGCGTATGAAGATGCTCCGTAGGTCTGGCAGGGAGGATGTGATAGCTGCCTCTGCGTCTCTCTTGGTGCTGATATACCTGGCTGGCAGAAGTGGTGCCCCGGCTGCAGCAGAGATGTAGACAAACGCCGGAACATGTTCATTAGAGGTCTCCTGGGCCAGCGCAATAGCTAAGGCAATGGCACATTAGCTTTCCAAAAAAATCAACAAATTCAAGACATGGATTGCTTGTACATACCTGAGTCCCTGTTCATCAATTCGTAGGTCAATTGGCCGTCTCTCTCCTTGGGCTGCAACGCCTCGCCTTCCTGTCTGACCAGGGGATTTTGGCTACCAAGCTTGGAAGTGCTGAAGGCACGCTGAAGCCCACTGATGATCGGCTCCTTCCCTTGAACGACGCCCTTGTAGTCGGCTTCCAGCAAAATGCCCATTGTATGCACGACGGCTGAGGCACCGTTCAGATGAGATTTGTAGCTCTCGGGCTTCAATATATCAGCTTTGGCCCATTCCACAGAGCCTGCCCAGCTGGGCCTTTCCTTAGAACCAGTGACCGTCTCCCACCGAGGCTCCCCAGATCGGCTAGACATATGTCAGTATCTCAATGTCCAGGATACTCCAAAGGGGAAGCTACCTTAGTGAAGTGACGGTCCATCCTCTTGCCGCTGCAGATTTACAGATTCTTGATCCTGACAAGGCTTTGTTAGAATGATTGTTTCATCAATTGAAGTGTATGAGCTTCACGAACCCAAAAAACCGCTTCCTCCGGCAACAACTAATCTTTTGGCCGCCATGATATAGCTGATTTCGTGATGATGTCACCAAAAAGGAGAGATGAAGAAGTATTTTTGTCTGTGAAGCTGAAGAATCCAATTTGAAGGAACGAATTGGCCTCGATCCTCAAGTAAAACAAGGAAATCAAACCAGAGCGAAGTAGATTCTGGTTTCGTGAATGGCTAGCGTCATTCGGTATCCTACGCCTTGTATCGAGCCACTCCCGGATTATCTTTCGTCCGTCGCGACTTTCATGCCCTTGATCTGAGCAACTGCTACCTTTCTCCATTCACAGGGCTGAAACTACAAAATGCCATCAGCAACAGGAAACAAGCGTGTCAGAGTAAGTGATACAAATCACGGTGCTGGATTCAAACTAATGTGAACCACAGGGCATCTCAGTCTTTCGGCCATTTGGTATGTCACGAGGCGCATCGCGTTGTATCTAGCCTTGGCTAACAGATACAGTATTTGGCAGTGTCGCGCACCCTTTCGATCCTCAGAACAAACCCGAAGACTGTCCCCCAGACCACACCCACCGATGGCAGATCTTTGTTCGGGGAATCAACGGCGAAGATATCTCCTACTGGCTAAAGAAGGTCCAGTTCAAATTGCACGAAACCTACGCCCAAAACGTGCGCACCATCGAGCAACCACCCTTCGAAGTCTCCGAAACAGGATGGGGTGAATTCGAGATCCAGATCAAGCTCTATTTCGTCCCCGAGTCGAACGAAAAACCACAGACTCTCTGGCACAGTCTGAAGCTTCACCCGTATGGACCCGATGCGGAGGGAATGAAAGAGCGTCGGGAAACTGTTGTCAGTCAAAACTACGAGGAGATCATATTCAACGAACCGATTGAGCCGTTCTACGAGGTGTTGACTGGTGGCCCCTCCGGCGCACAAGGCAAAAGCAAGGGAAAGAACACCAAACAGCTTGGTCAGGGTCGAACGGCAAACATTCCCAACAGCGATACTCCTGGAAATCCTTATAGCCGGGTCACGGAGAACAAGGAACTTGATCGCATGGCAGAGGCCACACAGACAGTCGAGCAAATGATCAAAGAGGAGAAGGACCGCTTGGTCGAGAGAGAAAAATTGCTGGCCGAGCTTCGAGAAAGTGAAGGAGTTCCTGCCAACACGAAACGACGATGATTTTCCTGCACTTTGTCCGGCCGACCAACCCAGAGTTGGTTCATTTGCGCATATAAAACACGCCTGGCCGATAACTCCCATGAAGCCGTGAGAACTCTCCAAAATGAGATTTCGTGTGCAGTCTGTGCTGAACCTGCCTCTTTGCGCGTCTGGTCAGCCTGCCTGGTGGCCCAAACCACCTTTCACGATCCCAAGACCTTGATACCCAGACTTGAACCCAATAATCACGACAATCCTCTACCCTGCGATATCCGAAGCAGACCTCCCGACAGAGAAAACGCTCATATCGGGGTCAAACCATCACAATCAGGCCCAAGGGATGCTTTCTACCATCCACCAAGTGTAGCTGGGCTTGGCTACGACATGAAAACGCCCAGCTCTCCTCCTGTTTTAACAAAATTCTGTACGGACTCCAAGCGGCTGTGATCACGTATGCACCCCAAATCAGAAGAAACAGCCGAACCAGTTCGCATCGATCATTCTCTGGTCCCGGTACCTACAGCAAGCTTATAGGTGCCGTTGGAGCATAATAGTTTCAATAAACAATGACATCAAATTATATCATTATAAACAAATTTATTTCACAATGTCTAGAGGTGAGAGTTCGTCAAATCATTATGCGAGGTCTCGATCGAGCCTCTAGCACTTCGCATCCCTCACCGTGTCCCTGGTCTGCTTCAAGAATGGCATCAAGTCTGTACCACCAGTACCAGAAAGTGAATGCTGCTGCCCAGACTGGGATTCCTGCGTGCTGGCCGTGGCCAGGTTGACCTTGCCACTTTCCTGTGCGGGGATGGTCTTCCTTGATGTCATTACAATATACCGAGTGACCATCTGGATATGAGTGTCACGGAAATTCTTCAGCTCAGTGACTGCTGCATTATATGCCTCCCTCTCGCTAGACTGCTCCCCGGAGGAGAGAATGAAGTCGCGAACGGTCGATCCGGCGGTGAGGTTCTCCAGGAAACGTCTGTGAGGGCCGGGCATGTAGTTGCGCATCTCCTGTGTCATTGTCAGCACTATTCCATTGAGACCTCAAAGGCAGAAGCCATGGGGTAGAGTGGTATCTCTTACATGAATGAAAGCGGGCCCGGATGCTTTCTTCCCATCCGTGGCCGAGTGTGTGATTCCAAGGAAGATATCGAGAGTTTGAATCAACGAGCTTTGGGCATTGCTGCCGCCACTCAACTGCATCCAGCTCCCAGGACGTTCAACATCATCACCGGTATCGTAATAAACACCACGAGGCAACCCGGCATGTGCCATGTTCTTGCTACCGGCGAGGAAAGGCCGGAGTTGGTGGTAGAAGACAGCAGGATCATTGTGGGTGTACATTTTCCGCAGGACGATAGCGAGGTTGTTCAAGCCATCGGCGAACGAGTACAGCAGGGCTGTGAGAAGCTCTGTGTCGTTGGCAGCAACAGCTTTCATGGCGTCTCGCATCAATGAAATCAATTTGCTTCCCTGAGCCTCAACCGCCACCGAGATCACCATGAACCATTCTTCGTCCCTCGTGCCAGTGAACGATGTTTGGACCTGGAGATTTTCGGGGTCGGTAATGTCTGCTTCTGGGTGCGTGAGTTTGTAATTCCAGAGAGTGAGGCCGGCATAGGTAGCGCAGGCAGGTAGCTCGAGATGGGCGGCTATCTCCAGGTATGGCTTTGCAATCGAGGGAGGAAGATGCTGAAGAGAGAGTGTTAGTTTGTTCAAAGCTTTGCGATGAACACCTGGGCATACTTACATCTTGCGGTTTGTCACCACCCCATACGTAGCCGTGGGTGAAGTAGCCCATGATCACATATGCTCGACGCCATTCTGCTTCTGTCGCAAGATGCTCTGTTGAACACACCGGAAGCTCATCGATCTTCTGTCTGATTTGCCTTGTTTGAATGAGAGTTGGAAGTTCGCTGGCTATGCTCTCCCAGGCTTCGTAGTACGGATTTGGCAGTCTCGTCAACGGGGGACCATCAGGAAGGAAGCCATGCTCAGCATAGTCCTTGAAAAGATCGCTAATAAATGAGTCTGCGGTTTGAAGCATTTTGAAGGCTGTGGAATTCCAAGTAATCAACGGAACTCGACGGTTTGCTCTTATAACCGACAGAGATTGGTCGATCTATACAATCCGGAAAGAGCCCGGATGTACATCCGGGTTCCGTCCCTGGCGAACATTGGCTGATCTGAGACGCCATCGACCGTATCTGCGGTTGCTATTGGAACAAAGGACAGCTCATCCCTCGATAGTATGTAACAAACGTATCACGGCAGCCCTACACCAGAAGTAGCATTGAAAATCACCAATTGGAAGGATTTCGTGTACACACTCCAGAGTCATTCAATGCGTACCAATGTACGTTGTGCATAATATTGGTTTTTAGGGGCTTGTATGCATGCAACGTACTAGTTTCAGGATCAGCTATGACGAAAGATTATTCATGGATGACATGGAGTAATGCATTATCTCTAGGATCGGCAGAACTCGTGATAAATTGTTTGGTGAGAAGTGACAACGATCGCCGGATAGACTCGTCCAGGCGGAAGGCGAGGGCGGAAGCGGATATCCATCCGGGCCGCGCTGGGGGTGTCAGTCCCATGATTCCGATTCGACCTCGTTCTCTTATAAAAGATTAGTACGTGCTCGAGCTGCAAAAGGTCCTTTCTTTCTGTTAGCTCCCCAAGCCCGAACGCCAACCCATTTTCGCCCTCGTTACTGCTGTCCTACTTGGGTAATACCACACTATGGCCGTTATAAAGACACCCAAGCCTACATTCCCTGCAGAGGCAGCGAAGCAAGAATATGCCGCCTCTCTAGACGCAGAAGATGCTTTGCGCGAATTCCGCAACCAGTTCATTATTCCCTCCACGGCCAACCTTGCCACTAAGAAATTGGCCAAGCCAGGTGAGATAACCTGGAAGCATCCTCCATGTTTCTACTGACATTCGCCCAGGTCTTTCCGATGATTCTAGTATATACTTCGCTGGAAACTCATTAGGCCTTCAGCCGAAAGCTGTGGCAAAGTATATGGAAGCTCAGCTGGATACCTGGTCCTCGGTTGGCGTTGGCGGACACTTCACTGACCTCGAAGATTCGCCTATGCCGCAATGGCAGTTAATGTCGGAGAAGGCGGCAACTTCAATGTCCAGGCTTGTTGGTGCGCAGCCCGAAGAAGTTGCTGCGATGGGCACCTTGACGATGAACTTGCATTTGTTGCTTGCTAGCTTTTACAAGCCCACCGAGACCAGGAGCAAGATCCTGATGGATTGGAAGGCGTTCCCCAGCGATCACGTAAGTGATATATCATTGACTTCATTGGAGCAAATGAATCAATCAGAGCTAACATACCAATAGTATGCAATTGAATCGCAGATCGCCTGGCATGATCTCGACGCCAAAAAGAACATGGTGCTGATCGGTCCGGATGAGGGACAGCACGAGATCTCAACTGAGAAGATCCTCTCGATCATTGACCAGCATGCCGAAGATGCGGCATTGATTCTTCTGCCTGGTATCCAGTACTACACTGGACAGCTCTTTGATATCCCCACCATCACCAAGTATGCCCACTCCAAGGGTCTGATCGTTGGATGGGATCTGGCTCACGCATTCGCCAATGCCGAGTTGAAGCTGCATGACTGGGACGTCGACTTTGCAGTCTGGTGCACTTATAAATATGGAAATGCCGGACCCGGGTCCATGGGCGCACTGTTCGTGCATGAGAAACACGGCCAGGTTGACTACAGCGATGGACCTGATGCCCCCAAGTTCCGTCACCGTCTGACTGGATGGTATGGAGGAGACCGGTCGGTGCGCTTTAAGATGGACAACAGTGAGTTCATCCGATTTCGAAAGAAACGGAACTATTCTAACCCTAAGCAGAATATAAGCCTATTCCCGGAGCTGGAGGATTCCAGATTTCCACCTCTTCGGTCATGGATCTCACCTCGCTATGTGCAGCTATGTCTGTCTTTGATCAGACCTCCATCCAAGCCCTGCGCCAAAAGTCCATCAAGCTGACTGCGTATCTCGAGTTCCTGCTTCTAAAGGATACCGACGAGGAAACTCGTTTATATGACATTATCACGCCTTCGGACCCCGACGCACGCGGTGCCCAATTGAGTGTTTTGCTTAAGCCTGGCCTGTTGCACAAGGTCGCGGAGCGTCTGCAAAATGCTAGTATCATTTGCGATAAGCGAGAGCCTGGCGTTGTTCGCGTTGCGCCTGTACCTTTGTACAACACCTACTCTGATGTGTTCAAGTTTGTCAAGGAGTTCAAGGGTGCATTGGCCTCGTCATGACGGATGTTCAGATTTCCAAGTTTATACCTTGGTGATAAGTGGAATACTTTTTAGGGTCTAAAAAAAAAGAATATAGTATTTACAAATGGTGTATTATTACCCCGAAATGCCATGAAGCCTTTACAAAGGACACCAGTGAATCGCTAACATTGGATTGAAAGGATGCACAACCGCAAGCTCAGAAAGAGTCCAATTTTAGCAACCTAGAAGTTTCCAACATCATCCCAGTTGTCACCACTGCGAAGAAATTCTTGTCCTTGCGAGAAGAAATTCGTAGCAAGTATGGAGAACTCGTCGTTTGACAGAGTGAGATTTTGAGGCGAGACCAAAGAGTTGTTTGCATAATCCTGACCATGGAATGTAGCATTGGCACCGAAAGATTGGGACCGAAAATTGGGTGTACCCTCTTCCTGTGCTGACAATCGGAAAGGCGCAGGCAAAGGAGACGTTTGAGATACCTCTGCGCCGGTAGAAGAAGACCCAGAATATAAGGATGCCCCGAACAGTCGGCGAGCAGACTGCATATCACTGTTAGAAGAGTATTCCAGTATTTCCCAGAAGCGCGAGAGATCAATGAGAAGGCTTTGATTTTGCGCGCCTGGGTCTGATTGATATGTTGCGGAGACGGCGTCTTCCAGGCGTTGGAGTTTGTGTGCCTGCGTAAAAAATTAGTCTGTCTCCAGGCTCCAAATTTGATCAACAAGGAGCTCGTACCAATCGAGCCATGTGAGGCCATCTTATCCCCAGATTTTGAACAAATTGCACACATTTGGTGAATCGTTCCCGCTTTTGCTCCCTGATCGCCAAGTCATCTGTGAAACTGAGCTGCAGCTCAATGGTAGCAACCACGGCAGCACCGTATCCCAGCAAAGGGTCCGACACCACAAATCCCTTTTCTTCAAAATAGTTAATGAAATGAATAATCCAGGTTGTGTGCGATGAGATCAAGTCCGAGGTATGCTGTAGAAAGATTTCTGGTATGGTATTTCGGAAGTTTCGAAGGCTCAGTGAAAGCAAGAGTGGGTGATTTAAAAGGCACAGACTGGTGTGGTACATGAATTGATTCAAAAACCACGGTCCCCAGTATTCGCGATGGGTCTGCAATTCATCAAGTGATCGCTCGCCAAGGTTTGCAGGTTTGAAACGATGTATGTAAGGCATTCGAGTCTCAAGGTCCATTTGCAGAGCAAGAATTTTGGAATACTCCGAGTGAGGAGACCATGGTGGAACATTGCTGGGTCGGCCATGAAGTCGGGCATATCGGGCTGATCTTGCAAACACTTCGCTGAGGGTTACTACATAAGCAATGATTCCTTCATCTTCCATATCACTCCGCCGCGTTTCAGCAGTTGGAAGACCAGGAGAGAGATATGATGTAGGACGAGCTGGACTCTGGGGAAATGGAGGGCATCCTGCTTCAGGTATATCCAAAATAGAAAAGTCGCCGCCATGTAATCGTTTGAGAAGACATATGCTCCAGAAGCAACGCCTGCGTTCTTCTCGGGCAAGATTGCTCATTGACGAACGAGGCTCTTGGCCAAGATTGGCAGACTTTGCGAGATTCATTGCGAGGCTGCTGTGAACGCTGGAGCGATGTGTGTGGCCATCTAGGAAAACTTGTTAACATTCTGTCTGTCCAGTAAGAGGCTGAATGCATACTTGTGAAGTCTACTAAGCTCAGCAGACAAAGGCATTGAAGTGTAGAAAGCTCCACTGGCCCCTCGGACACTCTTTTCATGACAAGACCGCGAGCCAATTCAGCATAACCATCCACGAGGCCGTCCGGGTCGCTGCTGCTGTGATGGGCATACGAGAACCGAGAGGCTAGTGCAAGAATAGCAAATATGACTTCCGATTCACGTGTCCAAAGACTGGCGACAAAACTTCCTCGATGAAACAGAGGAAGTGGCTGGGAATCGCAGTACAGCAGATATAATTCTGCAATGGGTTCTATCTCTTCCCGCGGTGGCAGTGGCATAGATGAGCTTGGCATTGATAGAGTCACTGATGGCACAGGAGGCTCTGCCGGTGCCTGAGATTCATCTTTCGAGCTGTATATCAGCTGTCAATAATAGAACATTCTGTCCACAATATTATGAGGTCTTACCCGAGAATAGCGAGGACCTGTCCTAGTTTTTCTTCAAGACTCCTCAATCTCTCTTCCTGCAACTGGGTCAGCGAACATCAAATGTGCTCAAGCCGGCTAGGAGAGATGTACCATCACTTGGGATGTTCGATTCTCTGTGTCAATTGGTCTGGAGGCTTCCTCAGGGGGAGGGCGACGTCGCTCCTCTGCATATAGACATTGCTGCCGCAACCTTGCGCATAAAGAGCAGATCGGTTGTTCTCCAGGGCACTTGGCCTTCTTCCGCCTTGGACAAAAGTCAGCACCATCTAACACAATTTCAACATACACAATTTACCTGCAGGGCTCACAAGCTTGTCGAACCCGCTTGGCAGGGCGCTCTGAACAAGCAAAGTCGTCTTCCATGTTGTGCGCCAAAATGCGGATGTCAGCACTTGTTGATAGTGCTTACGGTCATGCTGCAGTTGTCAATCCCCTTCCGATGTGTTGTGTGTTCCTATTGTATCATTCTCGTTTTCGTCTTTGCTTCTCTGGGTATAGTGTCAGAGTGGCTGTCAGACAACCTTCGAGATGGGCCAATCTTACATCTGCTTCACACCGCCTTCACTACACAGGATGCTGCCACTCATCACTGATTCCACTACTCTAAGTGAGATATTTACCTTGAACATTAAAATTGACCAAGCTGGCAGTGTATGTCAAGAGCTGTGCTGATTGACGCGTACTGTTGATTAGTTACGAGTAGTGAGGGATCATGATAACACTCCCTGACCACATTCCAGACTGAATTTTGCGAGTCGTAGTTCATCACCATTCTGAACGTCCGGTTTTTTACTTCATGGCAAGTGAGAAGGACAAGCCGATTAAGCGAAGATCGTAGATCATGAAGGATGACGGGTCATACCCAGCCACGGCACATGCAGGGACTCCCGAGGTCCAGTACCTCAGAGGGGATCAGGCCATTAATGGTAAACAACCATAGACTGAAACGTAGAGAAAAGCAACGGCTCTGGGATTGGCGCTTGAATTTATCATATGTACAGCTCCATATCCGCGCAGCTGCCAAACCATCTAGCCCCTTCTTGGGGTAGGTATTCACCGTAAAAACACGACAGACGCAGCAGTTCAACAAATACAGGACCATAGGGCAGTTTTGCCCATCCTGATCCAATTAGGTCTCATGACCGATTGTTTAGTACCAAGTCTTCTTGCCCTGTTCGGAGGTTAGCATATAGAGCAATGTGCGTGTAGGGAGCCTTTCGCCTGGACATGAGACGATTGGCGGAAAAAACTGACCAGGACCATGCGGCACATGCCGTACATAGAGGCTATTTCGGTTAGTATTTGCGTGTTGACTCCTCCAGATTGGACGGGTCTGCTTACCAGCACCGAGACCGTAGGTGGTGATCAGGTAGGGCCACATGATGTAGCCGGAACGGGAGGTCTGTAGAGTGATTGATCCGTCAGATATTTGTCGTATGGAATTGAGGGCGTAGGACCCCATTGGGGCTATGGACTGACCTTCCACCACTGGCGCTTGCCATCGTGGTTCTGGAAGAGACGCTGGTAGTAGGGCACACGGTTCTCACGGAACACGAAGCTATAAGAGACATCAGTCAGAATGTGTTGCAGAGTCCGACGGAAGCTATTCGGTCACGCATCCCCCTCCATCGCAATTGGACCCCGAAGATCCCGAAAGGAAATTCGGTGGTCGCACTCTGACGATCGGGTTTGTGCGCGGGGAGCCTGTGTAGGAAATCGAGGGAGAGAAGCATACCCAGCCATGCGGGAGCCAGTAGCGCGGAACATTTTGGCGGTTGGGGAAAAGGAGCGGGGATTGGAGGTTCAAGGGCGTGAGGTGCCGACGAAGTTGGCCCGGAATGAGCTGGGACGGTGCTCACGTGCTGTCACCTGATCGAATCAGATGTTGTCTCTGGTCATCACCCCCAAACGGGTATAGTGGCAGAAAAGTACGACGCGTATCAACAAATTGATAGCACTAGCACTTTCGCATTGACGTCGGGAGCTAGGATGTTTGACGTCGAGATCTTGATTACCCGACCCTCCTTTGTTCACCACTCATGCGCCCGGCGCTTCTGCGACTGTTGAAGAGGCCGTCCGCCGTCTCGATTCTTGACAACCTCACAGCTACACCGATCGGAATAGAGCAATTGGACTCGAAGTACAGGTGTTTACGGTGCACTTCTCGAAGCTCGAAGCACGAAAAACTGAGTGAAAATACACATCGCCCGACGCCAAGCACAGTCGAAGATCCATGCCGAGGGAAACGGCCATTCAGCTTTCCGATATATGAAATCGAGGAATCCAGCGAACACCCGATTCTTGAACACACCGATGTCGCGGACGGCCAAGAACACCGGGGAACTACGCAATATCCGATTGAACAGCTGGCGCTTCGGCCGGACAAGCTTGAATTTGAATCAGACGTCGGACACCTGAACGACATTGGAACGCGGCTAGTGGATGGGACGGACAATCGGTTCAATTTGGATCTGTGGGAGGAGCTTCTCCGGTACCGACAGCGGCATTATGGTGATACTGGCACAATTGATATATGGGAGGGACTGACCGTCCGCGTGGACGGAGTTCGACTTCCAGTCGAAGGCAAACAAGCGGAGTTTTTCTGGCGGAGCTTTGTGGATTTGGGGTTGAGGCGAGAGATATTCCTCACGGATGTCGTTCAATACGCCGTCAAACTCATGGAAAACCACAATAGTCACTGGCCAAAGCTCTATGGCCGCATTGTGGGCGGCTTTCTCGAACAGGGCTCGCCGAACCGGGCGGTCGAATGGCACAAGCGGCTTCAGAGTGCTCGACTTGCCACTCCCAATGACACATTGCAAATTTTGCCGTCGGCGCTCAGCTCGTCGTCTCTTCCGGCCGGTACGGAATGGGCACTGTCGAACGAACTCGAAATGTCACCTTTGTCACCCAGGTTGAAGGCATTCCAGGATATGTGCTCCACGATTCCCGGGCACCAGTTCTACGGACCAGTGATTGCAACACTCACGCGGCATGGCCATGGAGAATCGGCAATCTCTATGCATTCTTTCCTCACGCGCCGTGAGGATCACCCACAAACCCCAACCGACATCCAGCCGCTGCTGGATTTCGTCGAGAAATTCGGGCTTCGAAAGGAGTTCAACAAGCTTCGCAGATACTATAAAAGGCGGTTTGACCCTGAAGCTTCCGTTGATCAACCTGGTCCAATCCACCTGGCCCAGCATGCCCAGCACGCCCAGCACGCCGAGAAAAACTCGCAAGACGAGAAGCCTTTCAAGGACGATTTAGGCGCTAAGCTGTTTGCCACCCGGGCCCTCAACTTTGATATGATAGTCGGTGGTTTGAAGATGATTGGGGTGACAGATATTGGTCCCCGGACCTTGCGCGAGATGGCGACCAGAGCCCACGGTAACCAGGATCTCCTGGACAAGCTCAAAATTCTCAGACAATCAGGGATATCCATCGGAAACACCGTATTCTCGCGCTTGGTCCAGAAGCTTGCAGCCCAGAACCGCGACATACTCCTCTCAGACATTCTGCGCAGCGATCAGCACCCCGATGTCTTCGAAGACAAACGCACCCAGGAGTCGATGCTAGTTTCGTACTACATGGCTCGGGATTGGCGACTATACAATATGACTTTAGCGGTCCTGACAGAACTATACCCAGCTACACCCGATCTCTCCGATATCCATTTTAGGAAGCATCTCGCGGCCTGGGAACTGGCTGCTGCCTGCAAGGTGGCAGATGAGCTTGCTCTAAGGAACCAGACTTTGAGCGAGGATAGCGTGGATTACATGGCTGAGCAGGTTCTCACCCCTCGCAGGATGCACCATCGCCCACCACCAGGCCAACGTCTCTCTACTTCTCAAGAAGTGGTCTTCATCTTCAAGATTCTCAAACGAGTGGTCCCTACGGGAGGGTATGTCAGTGCAGCATTTTGGGTCGAGATCCTCAAACGCCTGGGGATGGCCGATGCTTGGAAAGATTGGGCCGAGCTTCGACACCTCTGCCACTGGCTTGTTCGCCAATACACCAGCAGCGCCGAGGCACTTTCCCAGACAGACACGCAGCTGCATGAAAGTCCCGTGCAGACCAGGAGTCAGGATCGACGAATTCTCGACTTGGTCTTCACTCCACAGATGCAAGCCGCCATCATCTCCTGGGGCTTCATGTTTCGCGTACTTGACACAACCGCCTCCAAATTCACCATACCTCACCCCTCCAAGCCAGACGAAAAACTCGTGCCCTGGGTTCGGGGTCTCATCCTACTCCGAGAGCTGGAAAAACTCGGTCTTCGTCTCGACAAGAGATTGATCTCTCAGGCAGTCCGTCACCGGCTTGCCATGCTTTACAGCGAGCATGTTCTTTCTGCTCGCCGTGTGAATCGTATGCTGCGGCGTCGTAACCCATACACTGCGCAGCAAGTGGTTCATGATGTATTCCAGGCGTGGGGTGACGCATCGCTCTTCAATGGACTGGAGAGGAACCTAGAACACTTGGTAAATCCGCCACGGTCTACCAGGTCGAAGCGGCGTGCTCCTGGTGTACGCCTCTCGCGGAAAGGGCTATGAACCACCCGTGTACATTAGCATTGTAATTGTAAATAGTAATACCCAATTCATCCGGTCAATTCAGAATGTTTCATTTTCATCGCCACGGCCTAGGATTGCCACGAAGAACCACGAATGCTTTATACAAAGTGAGACACCACTCGTCCCAACCGAGGATTCCAGCGCCTTAATGGACCAAGCTGCGTAAGCGTCAGAAATAAAGAGACGTGGAGACGTGGAGGCGTGGAGTATGCCCAGGCCGGCAGTGCACCGCAGATCCTCTAAGAATAGTTGAGACGGCAACGCGGCCTTTCTGTTGGTAAACACTTCTTGTTCCTCTCTTATATCCTATTCATTCGTTAACATTTTTGGTATTTTATAAATCTGTCATACTTGAAATGCGCGTGTTCAACTTTCTGCCCTTGCTGCCTGCAGTCCTGGCAAATCCGCTGGCCAAGCGCAGTACAGCCTGCAACAACTCCCCCGACCTCTGTTCCAAGTCCTACGGCGAAATCACACACCTCGGCGCTCACGACAGTCCGTTCCTGCGCGATGCCAGCACCAGTAACTCGGTGGCCGGCAACCAGTACTTCGACACCCCAACACAACTATCGGCCGGTGTCCGCCTCGTAACCGCCCAAGTCCACAAGAGCAACTCACAATGGCGCCTCTGCCACTCCTCCTGCTCCTTGCTTGATGCAGGACTCCTCAGTGACTGGTTGAAGAAAATCAAGTCATGGCTCGATGACAACCCCAATGAAGGTAAGTCGCACATCCAAAAGGCTAAAGGACCAACCTAACCAACCCAGTCGTCACCATCCTCCTTGTCAACTCCGATGACGCATCGGCGTCCGAACTCAACACCGAGTTCACAACCGCCAACATCACGGACTATGCCTACAAGCCAGACTCCCAAAGCAGCGCGCCCACCAGCTGGCCGACCCTTCAGACCATGATCGACGACGACAAACGCCTAGTCGTCTTCGTTGCGTCCCTTACCACAAGCGACAGCTACCCCTACCTCATGGACGAATTCACATTCCTCTGGGAGAACCCCTACGACACGAGCTCTGCGTCCAACTTCTCCTGCCAAGTCGACCGACCGTCCGCGTACTCTGGCAACGCGGCGTCCGCCAACGCCGCCAACCTCCTCCCCCTCATGAACCACTTCCTGTACTCGTCCGACCTTGCGAAATTCGACATCGAATATCCCAACGCCAGCTACATCGGCACAACGAACGCCGCGTCTGGCGGGACCGGTAACCTGGGTGATTCGGCCTCGGATTGCAAGAAGGAGTGGAGTGGGCGTCAGCCGGCGTTTATCCTGGTCGATTTCTTCAACCGGGGTCCAGCGATCGATACGGTGGATAGCCTGAACAATGTGACGGATCCTGTTGGTCGGAAGTCCGTGTCGGAGGCTTCGACCAACAGTGCGTCTTCGGGCAGCAGTGTCTTCAAGGGACTGGTTGAGTTGGCGGACTCGGCGAAAGCGGGGACGAGTGTCTCCATGGGCAACTGGATCTGGGCTGGTGGAAACTGGGGTAATCTCCTCGGCGGGGGAATATCGTTCTAATGTTTTGGATTCATTTTGTTTCGGTTTAGCGGTTCTCGGTCATGTGCGATTCATAGAGAACATAGCGGGGATACAGGCGTTCTGGATTACAGCGTCATATATATTCTATACTTTAACGAATGCACTCATGAAAGCAAGAGTTGGAACGTATCTTTGCGTGATCTAGTCCTTTGCCAGCAACTCTCGCACTTTACTCACCTTGTCCTCAAAGGACTGCACCTTATCGGTTCTACAGCGGGTCAGCTACTGAATGATTCACGGATGGGGTAGCGCTCACCTTGAGCCAACACGGATATCGGTCTGAATCCGAACGATCCCCTGGCGATGAAGGATGGTATGCGCCTGGCCGATGACCTGATGAACACGGTCCCAAGGGCCTTCTATAAACAGCATTAGCAGTGACCCCCGCGTTCTCTCGGACATATTTCAATTCAGTCCGATAAGAACATGTTTCACACCGTAGCTGGAGCAGAGATACGCACCGATGGTTGTGCCCGCGGAATGCATGACATACTTCAAGCCGCAGGTTTCAATCAGTCGCTGGACGTCAGCGATCTGGTCCGAGACTGAAGGCGACGAGGTGCCGATCTGTGCTGTTAGCGGGAGCCTGCCTATGCAAGGGGGTCTACACACGGGGATCAGGCAGAAGTCAGCGACACAGTGAGCGGGGGTGGGGATGTCCATGATGAACCCAATATACGAAGTCGGAGGGTAGTATGTCAGAAAGTGGGTGGTGGGTGTGTGGGTGCTGGGTGAAGTTGCCCGGGCAGAGGCTAAACAGGCCAGGGTTCGACAAACACGCAAGGCTGAAACCTTTGATTCTGCAACCTCCAAGTACAAAATACTCCGGACGCCTTCGGTCTCCCGAGCATCAAAATCATATCAGAGATCATCAGGCCCTCGAGCCTCCTCACATTTCATGCACTTCCCCCCAAGCTGCTGAGGTGTCCGATCTCCGCTGACCGCCCATTTCATAGATAAATGGGCGTGTGTGGGTGCCCTGAAAGACACTGGGGACTTTCGAGTTTCTGATCTCTGAATTCTCCGAGTCTTCTCGAAGGTCTAGGCGAAATCTGTCAGATGAACTGGTGATCGGCTCTACGCCACTGGATGAGTGAGGCCCACCCGGCCTAAACCCTGCACGCATTTCCGGGGGTTCGATTTCTGATCCTGATTCCCGATTCTTGTTGTCTCCCCTATCTTGTCTTTTTTTGTTGGGTTCTTCGAGACTCTGTGTCTTCTGTCTGTCTTCCTCAGGACATCCAAGTCCATCTTCCAGTCTCCCCCGATTTGCGCGGGATCGGTGTGATTCGCCGCAAGCCAAACCCGGTTTAGCCCTGGATTTAAGCTCACTGCATGCACGACGAATCCCAGGAGCTTATCCCGCGCCCAATTGAACATCGTATTAGGGGCTGTCTAGAAGTAGCAGCCACGTCATGACAAAGATCGACCACGTATCCATCTCCATCCCAACGGATGACCAAGCCCAGTCTCCTTGAACTCCCCACGGGAGTTCAACTCATCTACCTCGCCGAGGGCGGGGCAAACGTGATCTACCGCTTCGTAAACCCCATCGACAATCTATCACCCCAGCTGGAAGGCAAACTCCTCCGTCTCCGCAAACAAACTGCCGCAGACATCACATACAAGGAGATAGCCCGCAACTTTGACACCATCATTCGTCCGCTCTTCAAGCCGGACGAACTAGTCGACCAGACCCTCATCCGCCTTCCAGACACTCTCCTTTCAAAATGCAATGAGCAGCTTCGCGCCGCAGAGCGGGATGGTCAGCGTCCACGAAAGCGTCACGGCACCTACCTCTGTCTGAGTGAGCCGTTCGGTCTCCTTATCACTGACATGACGGCCGATGATGACTCCACCCTCGCGGAGCTCAAGCCAAAATGGCTGAATCAGTCACCCTCCGCGCCAGAAACGGCACACAGATGTCGCACGTGTGCACTTCGGGAGATGAAAAACCACACATCTTTCCTAGAAGCCAAGGAACAGCGTTCTTTCTGTCCTCTTGACCTGGTTTCCGAACAGTACGAGAATGTCCTGCGGGCCACCGGCCTCATCAAGGGGTGCACGGACCGGTCGCGACTGGCTCATATCTTGTTTCGGAACCCGACACTATTGAGATTACAATCGTTGCAGAAGACCGAGAGAGAAGTGGGATTGTTAGGGCCACTGGCTCAGAGTCGAGATATGTCACTTGCGATGACGCTACGGGATTGCACCATGTTTGTCAAGGTGAGTACTACTTTCTGGGTAATTCGGGATCATACTGACACTGATCAGATCCCGCATGACGAAAGATCTGCCGTGGAGATTCGTCTCGGTGACCTCGACCTGAAGACCGGGGCTGGTGGGAAGGCTGGGTACTGGAGAGATCTTGAGACCCGTCTTATTGAACAAGACTGGTATCGAGGATCAGAATGTGGTCACATTCCAAGTGAGTGCGCTTTACATTTGCAACGAGCTCCCCCGCGCCCAGTCTGATATCTCGCGGGGGTTGGTCTCTTTCGCCCTTGTCCACTTCAGACAATGGGTCGTCTTGAGATGCTTGCGCTTTTCGTTTCTGTATAGTATTTGGATATAATCTCGGGCGGAATTCTGTTTGTCTTGCGTTCTCTTTTCTTATCTCGCTTTGGGTGGTCTTTGTCTTCTGTCTTCTGCTTTTTTACAGCTACTGTGTTGGTGACTCGGCATTAATTCAAGACGGTAGATTCGTTTACACAATAATCGCACCGTTTACAATTACTTGACCGAGCTGAAGCATGGCGACGATTTGATGCGAGGACATAAAGCAGGCACGACTTAATATACAGCAACTTTGGAAGACCTTGCCGACAACCACGCCACATCATCTAGGCTTGGTACCTAGTTCACATCATATCTTCCATTTAGAAGAGTGCACCCAAAGCACCCCCCGATGGCAATTTATTCACCATTCCCCCTGAGCTAGCGGCAGTGGCAGATGAACTTGGAGTTTCAGCTTGCATTTTGCGCAATGTGGGTACAGGCGTGGTCGGGCCACGGGTCGATGGAGGAGTAATCGCATTTTGAGTGATTTGCGAGGGATTCGAACTGCTTGAAGGTGCCTGGGCAATGACTGTGGAGCCCAGAGCGATCATGGAGACGAGGAGGAGTTGCATGCTTTGATTTCTTTGAATATTTTGGAGTATAGTGGCGAGTGCGAGATAGATATTGAAGAATTGCTCTTTCAGATGGCTAGAACGTTAGAAACTATGGAGGTGGGCTCGGAATATAAATCTTGGAATATGCTCAATAGTCAATCGTAAGAATTCTAGATCACATCTGAAACGGGGCGTGGAGATCTTCCCCTTGATGATCTTTTTCAGGGACCTGATGTCAGCTCTGCGTCAGTTTGCAGATAGCTGCTATATCGAGTTCTGTAACAGCCTGTCAAGGCGCTAAATGATCGTGATCATCCCAAAAATATCCCGTGTTCGCCCCTGTGTGGCATAGCTCTTCCAATAAACCCCATGCATCATGCACTCAAGCTTCCATCGGCGGCCTTGATATTATGCAGAAGATACTCCACACTTCCCATTGGCTCTTAGGTTATAATATTAGCGCCTGGTTTTAGCGCGAGCAGATCAGCGCCTTGCTGAAAGGTGGCTCCCGGGGTCTGAAGATCCCTGTGGGTTGACCAAACAGTTGATCCCCTGATTTTGCTTGTACGCGTACCTATTTCCAAGGTTCTTTCAAAGGATCCAAGGTTAAACCCGTGGACCAAATGAGCTGTAGAATACAAAGAAAGTTGAGTACTTACTAGTAAGTGAATGCAGCAGAAAAACATTGATCCCAAACCTTGGAATACAAGAAGCAGCCCGAAAGATATGGCATTTGAGCCCTGGAGTCTAAACAAAGACTGTCGAATCAAAAGACATTGATTTGTGATTCCAAAGAATATCTAGCTATCATCTTAAGTGGAACTTTAGAAGTTCCAAGCGATTTAATGCATTCAAAGCTGGGAACGGTACACTTTGCAGGAATATATTGATCTCGAACGCATGTCGCTATCGTGAATAGAACGGACAAATCATCCATGGATTTTAATTCTGAAAGAACTTATATTTTACTGGATAATGTCATTGGTTAATTTCCCAGGCAGGTTCCATGTGTAGGCATTATATATTCCCCCATCGCAAGGCAGACTCACAAACGCCAAGGCAGTCCGCAGCACAACACAGCATGACAGCGGCTATGTCAAGGCAACAAATCAATGTAAAACCATCACAAAGAAATCTATAGAAGCGTAACACAACTGTATATGTGCCCGAGCACTGCCACGCGAAGAGTCATACCTGGCGGAGATAAAAATCGACATCCCCCACCTTCCCGCAACCCTCCCATCAACAACTTCCAAATGGATCCCAGAGTCGGAATCGCTGTATTTGCCCTCAACTCCGAGGGCAAATTTATCGTCGGAAAGCGAAAGGGAAGCCATGGCGCTGGTAAGTCATCGGCCTATGACGTATGGCATGTCTAACGAGCTGCAGGTACTTGGGCTCTGCCCGGCGGACACCTTGAGTTCGGCGAAGCGTTTGAGACCTGTGCGGCGCGCGAGACACTCGAAGAGACTGATTTGAAGATTCGGGATGTGCGCTATTTGACTGCCACGAACTCGGTCTTCGAGGTTGAAAATAAGCATTATATCACTATCTTCATGGGGGCTGTTTGTGAAGAAGGCGCGGAGCCGAAGGTGGGTTTGAACTTCTGGTGTTGGATTCGTTGATATGCCTTGCGTGGCTTTCCTTGCGAACTAGGTTCTTCATAGGCATGGCTAACAGCTGGGCAGATTCTGGAACCTGAGAAGTGCGAGGCATGGGAGTGGGTTTCGTGGGATGAGTTGCAGCGGTTTGGGCAAGCTGGCAGTGAATTTGAGGGACGGGAACTGTTCTTGCCTATCACAAGTCTGTTTGAACAGCGACCTGATTTCCGAGTGTAAGTGTTGGGATGGAAAGATATCGGGATGCAAAACTAGCAGAGTATTCAATTAGCCGCGAAGACGCTTGTTAGATCGTGTCTTCCAACTCCCACAAAAGAGGCAGAGAACGAAAAACAAGCAAGCAAATCAGCGGGAGTGGTGAAGGCGAGCAGCTATCACTTGAAGTACACAGAAGGCGAAAAAGACGAGGCCTACTTGATCTCCAGAAGCGAGTCAGCCATAGATACGGCGAAATGAATGAAATCAGGTTGATTTTTCCCTTCCATAGCCACAAGACAGCCTATACCAAGACATATAAGATCGTTTCGTCATTCAAAAGTCATTCAGACACTACCAGACCCCGGCTCATCAGCCTTTGCCTTATTCCCCCAGTCCCCCATGCGAACAGCAACCACCTTATCCCTCTGAACCTTCCTCTGGTATCTTGTCCACAGGACAAACAGCGCAACAGCAGCAAGCGCCGCACCAGCAACGCATCCAACCACGATACCCGCGATTTGCCCTCCCGACAGCCCAGATGAAGAGCCCGAAGAGGCCTTGGAGCTCGGGGTTGCGGAGCTGTCACTCGACTCCGAGCTTGTGGACTCCGAGACATTAAAGCAGAGGACATTGGTAGTGAACGAAGCAAGAGGGATGTAAGTGATATCCGAGCACGCATAGAAAGTCTCATTCTTTTCTGTGTCGAAGGTAGACAAGTACGAGAGCTGGAGGGTTGCGTTCGCGCCGGACGTGATGTTAGATGGAGGATTCGGCACAGCGTAACATTCGTGGCCGGGATCTAGATCGGGGAAGTTCGACGAAGAGACCAGGGTTGTGAAGTCACGGTTTGAAGTCGGATCTGTCAGGGCTCTTAGTGCTGTGCTCAGCATGTGTGGAAATTACTGACCGTTTTCGTAGGAGATGGCCAAGTTGACGTTGTACGACTCATCCTGGAGGACCAGAGAGACCTTGCCGTTGGCTGAGGTTGTAAGCATCAGTGACCCAAAAGGCAGAGGGTATCATACTGAGTGGGAAGTCTGTGCGATTTGTTACTCCGGCAGAGGAGCCACAGGGCGCTGTGTTATCTTGTTCTGCCCCCCATGCTCGATCGGGTGGCCAGAGGAAGGCAGCAGGTCCCATATCTGTGGCAGCATTTGCTTTGCATGCCAACAGACAGATGAGACCGAGCAAAGCTGTGAATGACTGCACCATGGTTGATTTTTTGAAAGACGTTACACCAGGAAATTTGAAGGGCTGGGAGATTGTAGATATTTGACCACTGACGGGGCAACCGAGGCCAGTAAGTGGTTCATATATACCACGGTCTGATGTGACATTCGACCTTGAGAACTATCCGGTCGTGACAGGCCATCTCGGCATCGTTTACCGGAATCCATTCAATCAGCATGAGTGGGGTCAAAGCGGACCCTGGTATAACGGCAGTCCTCGCTTGCGCGAAAGTGGCGCCAAGGCATTAAATACCCAAGACCGTTTGGCAAAGTGCATGTGAAGTGTGTCGGCAGGTTTGTGCAAGGGTACGAGGTCACAGCGTAAATGAGCCAGCAAATGAGGTGATATCGGTAGAAATGCATCTCGTTTATCTGACTGGACTCGGCAATGCTGCACTGCAACCATGCAGCTTCACGAGAGTAGCTAGCACTAGGGCTAGTGAATAGTAGAACCGGAAGCAACTCCGCCGGAGTGAGGAGATTAGATTGATAAGATCGAGCGGCGGTGATGATTGGCTGTTTTGCCATCCTGGGGGGTTCCCGAGGGTCTTGACCCTCTCATCCCCGAGCTCGGACTTGAGTTCCTGTTTGGCTCGCATTTTGACACCGTTGATCTTTGCTGATCTTTGTTGATCGTGGTTCGATCATGCATGCTCCCCGTCAACTCACAGATTCGAGGGCATCACCTGTCCACAGCAGCCTGATCAGGGTTCGCAGAAGTACCGCAGGTCTTCGGCTTTGCAGTGTCGGCCAATTAAGTGGGGCCTTCCATGTACAGAGAGACTTGGCAACATGGGATCAATCTAAAGAAGCTAGCAGTGTGGCTGACCGGCTCCGAGTGGCAAGATGTCGGAAGGTAGTAGCCATGAATGCCACCTTGGCCAAGCCCGGGATCATAAAGAAGATCCGTTCCTCTGGAAATCATCTCACTCGAATATCCGGTCCAGCATACTGCTACATTGCCTCCCTCTTTATCCTTCATCATGCGCTCCTCGCTTGCAGTCCAAGCAGCCATTGCTGTTCTCATTTCATCAGCTGCAGCCCTACAGCTGCCCAGCCTATCTTCGTTGCTAAAGCGCGCAGATATAGCCCCGGGAACTCCACTCTACAACTGCCACGAGGCATGCGGTGAGTCCAAGACTTCAATCGTCCTCCGAGAATCTTCTCTGTGGGATATGATATTAACCTATTCCAATAACTTAGGCGAGGTGATCTTGATCTCCGAAGCAGGCAACTATTGCTCAAACTCAACGTACACTACCGATCTCAACTCGTGTCTGAAATGTGCCTTGACATATAACATTTGGCAATACTATGGCGATAGCGTCAAGTCCGCAGCAGAATCTTGCAGCGACAACGCTACCCCGAGTTCTTCTTCCGCTGTATCTGGAGCCACGGCGACCGCTGTCACCACTACGACCAGCACTACTTCCGCAGCAACTGGCGCGGCATCAACTGGTGCGGCATCAACTACGAGTCCCACCGCTACCCCGTCGGTATGTTACTGTGATACTTTAGCCTGTCAAATCTAATGGTGTACAGGGATCCGCATCAGGGAGTGCGACCTCCGCTTCGGCAACTCCAGACGCTGCCTCGAGTATTCAACAGAGCGGAGTCCTTCCTGTGCTAATAGGTGCTGCTGCATGGGCTTTGGTGTGATGATATCGCGATATGGCGCTATCAATGATTGCAGGCATTAAGATGTCTTGTGTGGTATCTACCATCATGCATAATTTGACACTCTGTGAAGAGAATCAGTCAGGTTAATACACAGCAAAATGAAGATGATACTCACTCAATAAGATTTCCATCAGGGTCTCTGACATAAACACTTCGGATCTTTCCAACCGCCCCGGTTCTCTCCACTACCTGAGCACCTTCCAGGACCTGGGATAATCAGTGCCTAATCCTTCCAAGCACGATGAGTACACACCTCGACTCTCGCTTCTTGGAATGCCTGTAGAACTTTTTCCACGTTCTCGTCCGTCAAGAAGCACAAATCAGCACTTCCTGGTTGAACATCTTGAGCTTTAGGCTCGAATTCTTTCCCCGACTGATGTAGGTTGATTTTTTGAGATCCGAAGATCAAAGCATGTCTACTATCATTAGTCTCTTGAGACCACGATCCCAGACTCAACGACAGTGGGGTCACCTTTGCACAGCCTGGTTGACGGGAGAGGTAAACACCTCGTGGCGCATGCCGAGGTAAGTCGTATACCAAGCCACGGTCTTTGGGATACTCCGGACCGTGAGCACCAGATGGTCCAAAGACTTGACGGTGAATTTTCCTGCCATTTTGATGCGACAGAGAGATGAACCTCCAAAAGGAAATCACTGCAACGTGCAATGTATGCTGAAAGTCCCGCAATTCTGAGTCATCATCCGATATAGGCGACTTGGGAGGAGTATACTCCGTGAAGTAGCCGGAGACAATATATTAGGCAATATTTGCGTGAAATTCCCTTGTTTCTTTTCAGCCTTGATGATGGACATGTCTGACTCGAGCGACCACTCACAATGCCCCGAAACCCCGAAAAATAGCGTATCCACGCCTCGCCGGGCGCGACGGGCCCTCAAAGCATTCCCTTCTACGGATCAGCGCTGCGCCATCTAGGATTTTCCTTGGCAATGGCTCAGTTCCAAATGATATCATGCGGTAGGGGGCCAAACAAATACCGCACGGGCAATAGCGCGCCCATATAAGAGGCAGAGGTTCACAAGACTTGGCCCCAATCACCCGGGACCATGTCGTACACTTCTTACTCCGATGCTCGCATGTCCTCTGCGTCATCGTCCAAACCCCGCAAAACGCTCCGTGCTCCAGATCGTGAGATCGCATTCCGGAATCAGTATATCGCGCGCAACAAAACCACCCTCGTTCTTCGCCCATACGGCAGCCCCCAATCGGCTGTAGCGTATAAGATTACCGAAGAGGACGGTGCCCCGCAGTTCACCATCACCGGTCGCAAATACAGTGACCGATCATGTCGTGAATTCCGGGACTCATCGGGCTTGCCGCTATTTGAACTGCATCGGAAATGGTACCGTTCAAACAGTTGGTCTGTCACTCTACCCGGGTGTGATAATGCGACGATCGCGACAGGATCTCCACGGTGGACGTTGGGGAAAACGTCGTTCGACGACTTCAGCCTTTCATTCGAGAATGCGGCTGCTTTGGACGGGAAGCGAGATGAGGATAAAATGCTCACGTTGAATGTGGAGAGGCATGGGAATGCGCTGGCGCTGTTCGATATCGTGGATTCGGACCGGAAGGTTGCAGAGGTTAAAGAGAGCATTCATCATAATGAGAAGTTGAATCTTCTGGGTACTAAGACAGGGTATCGGCCTGCACTGGAGCTCATTATCATGCCTGGTGTGGACATTTCACTGGTAAGTAAGGCTATAGAGCTCTTCAAGCTTCCCTTAAGGTTGCGTGCTTGTAGACTGACTCTTTTAGGTTGCCACGATTGCAGTCATTGTGTCCGACTGGGTCTTCGGATCAAGTTGATTTGTGTTAAGCGTATACAAGCATCTTAAGCAATTGCCAAGCGAAGTTGGTTCCTGGCTTGGCAAGTGGACTGTTGAGATCATCTTCTGCCACTTTTGTTTCTCATGGCAGGCCTCGTCTGTTACAAGGCTCTCAGATAACAAAGAGTTGATGAATTCAGCCTGGGAATATGCGCGGTGTCAGCAGTATATACAGGTCCCGAGGTCCTTCATTTGATACATCTGATGTAGACGTACACCTGGGCAGCGAAGTTTGATGACGAATCTCACGATGTTTCCAAGGTTATTTTCACAGGAGTAGATCAAAGCCCCGGAGCCCTAAGTTCTTGCCCTCAGCCAACGTTACGTGTGATCCCCGTCGGGGAAAGAGCACACCTGGGCAGCCACCACCTTAGGGCTGACTTCACATCTCCCCTTCATTTGACTCCTCACCTTTTCTTTCGTTTCTCTTTCTCTTTGATTCCCTTTCAATTTCTAAATAAATTATCCCAATGTGTCCCGATGCCGGCACGTCTCCGCCATTTCCTCCTCTGCCTTCTCCGTCAGCCGCTAACGTGAAAGACCGTTTATCAAAACGGCAGCGAAGGCGAGTGAAGGAGAAGCGACGCATCAAACGACAAGTAAGTGTCAATCTGACCATCGCATTTGCTTGCTTGCCAGTCAATATTGTCTTGTGGATTTACACTCATGATTTGGTCCAATGTCTCATGGTTGGCCACACATCCGGCTCAACTTCTGATCCTATCTGTATTGATGAGCCCTCATCAGGGGATTGTCTTGTCCTGTTGGCCTTTTTGGTTCCACATCACTCGGGCAGCCATCGCATCAATCCGCCGCAACCGAGTCATCAAGAGCAAAGTTGAGCAGTTCTAACATTGATGATAGCAACAACGCGAAGAAGCAGCAGCCGCCGCGGCCGCCGCAGTGGTCAAGGCCAAAACAGTACCTGAAGTACGAGACACCCCTGTGCTTTATGCCTCAATGCTCCCCAGTCCTCTCACTCGTTGAGACCATCTGCCAAAAGCTAATCAGGCCCTGAAAAGCCTACTCCTGCTCTAGTTTCGCCCGCTGCCTCTGCTCCAGCTTTGCTTACTCTACCCAACCCACTTGCTGACGACAACGACGGTGGTCTCGTTCGTTTCGGAGATGGCTCAAAAGACAGTGCTCAGGGAGCCGCTGGCATTGAAGAGGGTGAAGTAGAGGCTTCAATCTCGATCATTGAAGAGCTGTCTCCCACTTCGAGCAGCTACTCGAGTCATTCGCCAGTCTCCAAACTCGTACTCACAATCATGGGCGGATATCCAGTATGGTTACCCTGGTCACACCGTAGGTTGCAGTTCTGCGATGGCTTATTTGGCATTCGCGGCATCAGAAATATTTCAGTATCAAACAGGTGACAACGCTGACAAGCTTTCTCTGATAGGAGCCGCCAACCCGTGAAGTTTTGCAACGGCGTTTTGCTACTCTTCCTTGATTTGAATTGGAAATTCATTCAAGCGGAAGACATTTTTCGATGGAGAGATCTTGCGATATTCATGGATGCAAAAGCGGGAAATCTGGAACCCTTCTTGAGCGAGTCATATATCTACCCTTTCACGCGAGTGGTTGTGGGAGACGCGGGATGATCTTGAAGAGCCTTTCCAATGTACAGGCAACTGCAAGGAGACAGACGTTGGCATATTCCTGTCCCAGAGCTACCACTTTCATGCTATCAAGCTGTGTACTTGGGTTGCGATCTACCAAAGAGCAGAGTCAATATTCCTGTCACAATTTTCAGTTAGGAATTGATCATTCTCTCTCTCCTATACATACCAGTAAACACTTCAACGATATGGTGAAAAGGGGTGCAGTCACCATCAAAGGCCTGCATGTAGTGACGTCACCAACTGAAAACAGTGAAAACAGGATGCGTAGGGCCGCTGCCCTATCGCCTAAGGGATACCCATATAAATGGGAATTATCAAGGTGCTCTGTCAATCATCTTCTATCTATGCAAAAACCAGGCTTTGACAAGGATGCTCGACTCTTGTGATCAGTCCCTTCGACAACATGAAATGAACTGCGACCGCTCCAGGGCTTGATTGCTTACGCTTAAGAAATGGTCAAAAACAATTCATTCTCACTAATAAACAAAAGGTATTCACCTGGGCAGGTTTTATATTGCTTTTGATATCAAAATGGATCTCCAAAATTGACGCCATTCAGGGTCTCAGGGATATTTCTTCCGTCCCCACTGGGGCCTGGGCTCATCCCGACTGGTTCAGGTACGTTCGCCCTTAACCTCATCCCCTCCCGGCATACGGTGATGCTGCCTATCCGTACCTTACCATTCATGGTGAAATTGATACCTTAATATGTTTCAAGACGGGTCTCTGAGTCTGCCAAAAAATATTGTTCACTTATATTACTTTGTGTTTTGTCTCAACGGAGTGCTAACGCGTCTCCAGAAATCTAGTGACACCTCGGTCGGCTTTGGCTCCCATGCCTTACTAGGTAGTTTTGAACTGTTGACAAGGAGTATGTGCGTGTTCACCGCATTTATTCTCCATGCCTTGTGGTTTGGGTTCTGCGGAAAGGAGTACCTAGTAGTTAAATCCACATGTGCACCCTTTCTGCGATGCCAAACTGTCATCGCGCCCTTGCCCATTATATTAGATAGCTAATATCGGAATGACATCCCAGTGTAAACACTTGAAATTAAGATAGATGTCCAGACACCAAGCCATGAGCTTGTCAGGTGGAAGGGAAAAGATGAAGTCTCACAGCGTGGGTGTCAGCGTCAACTGGTAACTCAATCGCAAATTATGTACCACCTACTTGACCATGTGGTCAATAGGCAAATTACCCTCCGAAATGATTTCAGAATTATATTGGCAGTTGGTTTCAAACTCGTCAGCTTGTCTGACCTACTCTAGGGCTTCAGTAACATTTCGGTGCAAAAGACTAATACCTTCATTTCCCCACAGATGTAACTCTGCTTCAAAGTACAGTATGAACTTGACTGATAAAAACCGGGCAATGACCCATTTGCTCTGGTGGAATTTTCTAACACGCCCTTTCCACTATATCACTATTGAGATGGCTGGGAATGGTCCTCTGGATTACGAGACACTCTTGCTTGAGAGAGAGGAGTTGATAAGGAGAGCCGAGGAATCCCAGAAACGGGCCGAGGAATCTCAAAGATGGGCTGAGGTCTCCCAGAGACAGGCTGAAGTATCCCAGAGACAGACCGAAGAATCTCGAAGATTGGCTGAAGAAGCGCAGAGACAAACCGAAGAATCTAGAAGATTGGCTGAAGCATCCCAGAGAAAAGTCGAGGAACAGCTGCAAAAGACAACATTCGGCGAATTCCTCCGATATTGTCACGCCTTATTTTCGGTGCCTTTGAGAGTTGGAAGTCTTGCTGAGTCGACAAGGGGACAGATAACACAACCGAAGGGCAAATACTGCCCTGTACGCTTTCAACCCTGGGCTGACTGTGCAAACAAACAGAGAGAGATTTTCAAGTCTGTTTGCGACTATCTGGAGCCACCAGAGGGACCGGCAGAGCGGGTATTCATTTCGCGACCCTCGCTGCAGGATATCGGTCATCTACTCACCCGCCAGTCTATACGCAGCGAAGCGGGTCTAGCAGCCTATGAACTCCATGGCGTGGAAAGTCATGTGGCTCATATCATCACAGAACTTTGCAAAATTCCTGCAGCTCAAAAGGAGTTTTGCCTTGGAGATGGGATTCTGTTCGACGACCACGGCAACGCCCTTGATTCTGTTGATGGGTGTTCATTTAACGAATCACGAGCGTCAACTGGAACTTGCTCTAAGCCAGACAAGTATTGTATACATCGTGTCAATGGTGATACCAAAACTTTGCTTACAGCAGTCGAGTACAAACCACCTCACAAGTTATCCGTCGCCAATCTTCGTGTGGGACTAAGACAAATGGAGTTCTATAAGGAAATAATCCAGCCCAATTATACACCCACCGAAGAGGCCCAGAAGCTGCGATATAACGCCGCCCGTTTGGCAGGCTCAGCTGTGGTTCAACAATTCCATGTGATGATACAAGAGGGACTTGAATACTCCTATCTGACCGTCGGAGTGGCCTTGGTTTTGCTACGAGTTCGATCCGAAGATCCAACAACCTTGTATTACTATCTCTGTGAGCCAAACGAGGATATTAAACCCAATGATGAGGACAGCTTCAAGGAGCCCAGAACAGCTATCGCGAGAATTCTATGTCTCTGCCTCATGAGCTTTGGCTCGCAGCTTCGGGACCAGAGATGGCGACAAAATGCGCGGTCTCAGCTCCCCAAATGGATCACGAGTTTCTCTCACGAGCATTCCGAGATTCCTGACGCAGAGTTACGGAAAAGCCCACCTGGATCCGAGTACAACTCGTCTGTTAGCGCGGGCACTGCTTCGGAGTGGGTGCCATCAGCGCCTGCATCCCCTACTGAGGCTCCGACCGAAGGATATCGGATAGGGACTCGCTCCAAACCCAGCTGTGCACCAGCCAACCCTCCACGCCTGGATTCCCCAGGGTCTGATCCAGATGAGGCCTCGGGGACCAGGCACCCAGCCTCTGATCAAATAGCACCGTCTTCAGAAACTCGATCAACGCGGAATACAAGATCTCAGACAAATGGGCAATACACTCAAAGCAACCAAACAAAGAGCAAAAATGCACCATTCTGCACTCAGCGGTGTCTACTTGGCTTGCAAAAGGGTGGCTTGCTAGATGAGTGTTGCCCAAACGTAGACCTACACCGACAGGGAGGCAAAAGCAGCCACCATCTCATCAACGCCGAAGAGCTCGTGCAGCAGGTCCGACAGCAACTAGATGATGACCCCGACGACTGCACACCAATGGGCGAGTGTGGATCATACGGAGCTCCATTCAAGATCACCAGCAATGCACACGGATATACCATAGTCGGCAAAGGAACAACAGCCCTACTCTGGGGTGAAGTATCGCGTGAAGCAGATATCTATCGTCTGCTTTCTCGGGTGCAGGGGGCTGCCGTTCCTGTCTTCCTTGGCCCAATCGACTTGGCTGATATATACTTCTTGCATGGGGCTGGAGAAATCAGCCACATGCTTCTCATGGGCTGGGCTGGTGAGCCGATCACTGAAATCGGAGCACTCAGGCGTGAATACTCGCGGTCTGTCAATGATATTCGCTCGCTGGGGGTTTTACATCAAGACCTTCGACCGGCTAATCTCCTGTGGAATGCTGAGCTAGGTCGGGTCCTTGTGATTGATTTCCATCGTTGTCAGTTGGATTCCCGGCCGGATAAACATCGAGGAAGACGCAGAAGGCGCTCGCACGGAGCGGCGGTTGAGCGAAAGCAGCCGCGAGTCATTTGATGACAGTGTCACGATAATGTGAAGTAGAACATCAGGCCGATCTTATAAATCTGGAAATAAGCAATATTCTGATTTCTCATCCTTCGGATTATGTTGTAAATGTTCAAAGCGCTTACAGAGCTCGTGTAAACAAGTGAGCAATCTCCGTAAACCCGTAAACCCGCTCGGCTCGACTTGCCAAGCAACACCCTCCAGATCCATATTCCTCCCTGGGCATAGCGCAGATCCAGGAAGTAGTCTGTACATAAAACAGAAGTCCCCTGCCAGTCAAGCAATACAAAATGGCTACCCGTCTCTTCACCCGTGCAAGCACTCTTTGCAGGCCTCTCTCTCGCGTCTCCCTTCAATTCCAGCCTCAACTCCCCAAGCTGCGAACCTACGCAACCAAGCCAATGGCCGAATCTCTGATCTCTCTTGCCCAGGGCAGGCGTACAATTTACCAGCTCGGCAAAAGCAGTTCGGTGTCAGATGCCAAGATTGAAGAGCTAGTCAATGAAGCTATCCTGCACGTTCCCAGTGCTTTTAATACGCAATCCACACGGCTTGTTTTGCTGCTGCATGATCAGCATGATCGTCTGTGGGATATTGCTATCGAGGCATTTGAGGGTCTTGTTGCTTCGGGTAAGATTCCTAAGGAGATTTGGGAAAAGCAGACACTCCCTAAGTTGAATGGGTTCAAGGGTGCTTATGGGACAGTAAGTGGACACATACGCTCGATTGCAAGGATCATCTACTGATAGGAATAGGTCCTTTTCTTCGAAGACCCTGCGCACATCCAACCAATGCAGGAGAAGTTCAAGACGTACAAAGACCAGTTCGTCCCCTGGGCTGAGCACTCAAATGCTATGCACCAGTACTTCCGTAAGTTGTGTTCCGCTATAGTTGTGATTTTGCTAACGAGTGTAGTCTGGACTGGCCTTGAGGCTCTCGGATTCGGAGCCAATCTGCAGCACTACAACCCTCTCATCGATGCTGGTGTTGCCAAGCAGTGGGACCTCCCCAGTGATTGGCGCCTCATCGCCCAATTGGTCTTCGGTGCTCCGGAGGCTGAGGCTGGCGAGAAGGTCCAGAAGCCTGCCGAGGAGAGAGTGAAGGTGTTTGGAAGACTTTGAACATTAGAAATTCATGTACAGCGAACGTCAATTCAATAGATATATCCAGAAACACAACCTATACGCCATTTTCAAAGAAACTTGTCCAGTAACTCGACAGACTACTCGGTCCGGTACCACTGATAGTGACCGAGACACTCACCAACCGTAACGGCTGCAAAGAAGCATCAGCATGATCCACCTGAGAAATCAAGAGAAACGTACCACTCAAACCTCGCGTCTCAATCTCCGCAAGCATATTCTCCACCAGAATCTCAGCAGTATTCTGATGCGAATCATGCGCCAACACAACCGTACCACCAGCATCCAACCCCTCAAGAAACCTCTCAAAGCTCCGCCAATTCGTATCAGGATCATCAAATGCATAATCCTTCGTATCAACACTCGCCCCAATAACATGATACCCAAGCTCATCCATCACATCCATCACGGCATCACTGGTTGCCAAAAACGGGGCTCGCATGTAAGTCGGGTAGAAGCCGAGGATGCGAGAAAAGGCCGATTCAAGAGCTGTCATCTGGCGTCTCATCTGGTCTTTGGTTAGGGTTGGGAGGGAGGGGTGGGCCCATCTGCGGTCTTTGTGTGAGGATGCGGAAAAGAGCTGGGGAGAAGAAGACTCACGTGTGAGAGCCTAGTTGGTGGCCTTCTTCGTGGGCTCGAATCACTAGGTCTGGGAACTCGTCTATGTGGCCGCGGTTGCGGCCATTGATGAAGAAGGTTGCTCGGACGCCGTGGTGGGCGAGCACGTCGAGGATTCGGGATGTGTGGATGTAGGGACCGTCGTCGAAGGTGAGGGCTATTGTGCCTGGGATAGAGCAGTGGTTGAGGACGGTGCCGTGTGGGAGGGAGGCATTGTATGGGATCTTTGGGACCGGTATGAATGGCGGTAGAGTGATGTTTCTGGACTGTGCTAGGGAGAGGGTTGCAAGCAGAATTAGGAGTAATGAAAGCATAGTGAATCTCTTAATGATATGATTGAGTGATGGAGAGGAAACGGTGTGAGGCAGGAGTAAGACTTGGGACACGCAGTTTCCGAATCGATAAAAAGGTGTGAACAACATTTGCATTGAATATAAAGAAGATTTGTAGACATCCCCCGTTCTCGTGACAGATTCATATGAATACATCATGTTATTAAGGTACCAAAATGGCAGGTTAAGACATTCGGCGCGCACTCGGGAAAAGAGCGAGACGATAGAATAGAATCTCTCGAAACAACCCACTTAGCCCTTGCGGGTGCTGCGCTTCATGGAACGACGCTGATCCTTCTGGGCCTCGCGGTCAAGGAACTTGCGCTGCTCGTCGGCACTCATGCCACGCAGCAGACGCTCGCGTTCCTCCTTCTTGATCTTCTCGGCGGCGATACGGCGCTCCTCAGCCTTCTCCTCCTCCTCGACACGGCGCAGCTTCTTGATCTCTTCTTCGCGGACATTGCGAACCTTGCGCATCACCTCGGCGCGGAAGTGCGCGGAGGCAACAAGCTTGTCGGACAAGCGCAGGAATTGGTTGAACAAGGGGAGAGTGGAGTTGTAACCAGTGGCGGAAGAGGCGAGGTTGGCGGCAAGCTCAATGCGCTTCTTGGGGGTAGTTTCCTCGATTCTGCTCCTGTTAATGTGTTGTCTCATGATGTATTGGGATTAGACTTACTTGGTGGGGCGGTCAACGGGCTGGTCAGTAACAATCAGGTACTCGAAGTCGTTGCCAGCCTGCTCAATAGCCTGAATCAATTCCGGGGTGAGAAGGGTGTCGCTAATCTCGGCGCTCTCGGTCATCACAGTAACCCATGAGGGCAGCTTGGGGTTGTCCTTGGAGAAAGTGATAGAGGCGTCGTAGCGGTCATTGCGGAACTTGCGCATGTGGCTCTTGTGCACAACGGCCCAGATGAAACCATCATAGGTAGAGCTGGGCACCTTGACAGGGGTGGCATCCTTGGAAAGCACAGGGACCAGGTCCTTCTCCTTGCCATCGAAAGCATACAGCAGAGCCTCGTATTTCTCAACGGGAGGCTCCCAGCTCTCGAAGAAGAAGCTCAAACCATACTCCATGACGTAGGTGATGGGGTTGTAGCGCTTAGGCATCTTGAGGGAGACATCGAGGAAAGCAGTGTTCTGACGGCCAGTCGCATACGCGGCGAACTCGGAAGCCGACTTCTCCTTCAGAACGGACTCGGGGTTGGCCAACTCGACAGACACGCCCTCGGCGGCCTGTCGGGAGATGCCATCAAATCCAACGACGGAGAACTCTTTTTGAAGGGAAGGGGTGTGGGCCTGCGCCCAGGCCTTCGCCCTCTGGCGGTTCTTGCGCGTGCCCCAGAGGTGGAAGAGGACGATCACGAGGATGACCGGCATGATCATGGCCTCCTGCTTGAAGTCGCTGAGCGATGTCCTCTCCCACACTCGGTACCATGCCGTGTAGGGCACGGCATTGGGGGCGAGCGTGTTGGCGGCCGGGACGGTCGTGGAGTCGGCGAGGAGGGATGCAGGTGACGGGTTGGGAGCTTCCACGAAGTCGGCGAAGTCTAGGCGGGTTAGCTTAGCAATTGGGTTATGGGGTCAGAACATACCATCGTCAGGTTTGGCCTGGGAGCCAAACACGTTCTTGAACATGCCCGCCATGATGGATGTGAAAGATGCAGGAGGAAGGAATTGGAAGCCACAGATACGAGTAGTCGGAGCTAAGTTCCTCCCGGGCTTAGCGCGGGTGTCTCCAGCTTTTTTACCCGTCGACTCGCCATTTGCCGGGGAGCTTTTGACATCCATGTATATTGGCTCTCTGGTGCGCTGAATCCATTTGTACATTTGATTTTCCTCTTGGAGGACCGTCGAACGCTCTAAGTCGGTCTACGAGGGGATATTTATGCGCGAACAGACATTATTCAATTCAATACCAATCCAATCCTTCCCAAAACCAATACCAGAGAATTATGTTCAAGTGAAGGCCCAAAGAGTGGTATCCTGTAACAATCAACGCCCAAAAATTCCAAACCCAGCTTTTTGATACAATCCCGCTGTAAACTGACTGCGCATGGACAAATGAGAAAACAAAGGAAAATCGTGACGATCATTCCTGCCTAAGATTAAGCAGGCATTCAATGGCCATAGGCCGGGGGAGGAGCATCTTCATGCTGACGAGTCCAAAAGCCACTGCAGGCATTGGTCATCATTTTATCCTCGCGCATTCGACGGGCGATTTCACCAGCTAGTTTTTCAACTAGCACAGAATCAACACCGTCATTGGACTTCTCCTCGGTGAACGGGAGAGCAACCGAGGGCAGTGAACGGGAAGGTCCCGCCTCGGATTTCTCATGGGCGACACCACGCACGGTGGCCCGGGGCGTGGCGTCCACGTCCTCCGCCTTTGGTGCGCGACCTGGGCGGATGGTCTCATGGGAGTAAGAGAGGTCGCGGTTTGGGCGAGATAGGCTCGCCCGGTGCCTCTCAGGGATCGGGGGTAGATGGAAGTCATTCTCAGGCGACAAAGGAGGGGTAACAGGGTCGTCGGACTGTTCGCAGACGATGGGCAGAGGCGCGGAAGCGATGGATGGGGGCCGGGAGGACTCGGTCACGACGCTCTCATCGCTGACGCTCATTGCATCATCGGTAGTCTTTGGGCGGCGCAGGTCCACCACGCGCTTCTTGCGCTTGCGCGAGTGGGCCTTAGAGTGGCGTCCGGCACCCAGGCTCAAGCCATAAGTGCTGGTGTTGAAAGTCTGGCCGGGAGTGGAGGACGAGCGGCTCATAGACACAGCGCTGGCGGTTTCGTGAAGAGAAGATATGCTGCCGATTTGGGAATGTGTTCGTGATAACGTCGGGCTGAGAGGGGAGATAACACTCGATGGGAATTCGCTAGTGTCGGTGGGAGCGGTCCATGCCCGATACACAACTTCGTTGATCGATGGAGTGAACAGTGAAAGAGTGCGCTGCGAATCGGTCAAAGCGGCTAGGCGAAGAAGGTTCTTTTGGGAGAACAAAGAATGTGTTTCGACCGAAGAATCTAAGGAGAGCGATGCGATTTCGGATTCATTGAGCGCGTTTCCGAGCGAGTCGACGGGGTCTTGAGGCGGGCTCGCGAGGGGATCCTGGCCGGGGCCTTCAGTCGTTGTAGCCGTGTTCTCCGTTTCGTCGTTCATTTCCTCGCCTGTGCGGTATTCTGGAACCCATAACCGTAGCGATAATCGGTGGATGATAGCGGGGAGTTCGTCCATGAATAGGATGCGAAGTTGGGCCTCGATTTCTCGCTGTAAGAAGTCGCGCACGAATGGGATGGAATCGAATGTCGATGAAACCTTGAGCGACTCGAGCGGGTCGTTGCGGAAGACCACGGTGATGCCTTTCTGTTTTGAGAATACGAGTATCACGAATCCAGAGAGTTTGAAGTCGGATAGGGTGATTTGCAGCGGTATCGTCAGCGGGGTACTAGTCGCGACAGTGTCAGCATATACATCCTCCCAGTGCGATCTCATGAACAGAAAGTCACTTACGCTGCAGCCAATGGCACCGGTGACGCGAAAGTCGGTCGTGTGAGTAGGAAGGTATTGAGTGGATTTGCTTGGACTCGGGTCTTCAGCGTGAGAAAGGCGTCGCCGGTATAGGACATCTTGAAAATGCCGCGAAACCGATCCTCCGCCAAGTCGCCGATTTCCAAGATTTCCAGCTCGGGTGGGATAGAGCCCAGGTTGAGTTCGGTGACGTGAATATCATCGACAATGATGGGCGGTTTGGGCGACTTATTGAGGGCGGCCGTAAGCAGATCTTGGGCCCGGGTGTAAAAACCCGCGTCCGCCATCAAAGGCGACCAGTTGAAGTTGAACGCCATGCCCCAAGCGATGATAGGGGAATCATAGGGTGAACATGGAGAATATGGGAGAATATGGGGGAGAATATGGAGGCGAAAGGAGGAAAATCCAAGAAAAAGGAAAAAGTGGCTCCCGAGGTATCGCGTGCCCACACGGAATCTTTTTCTTTCGTATTTTCCTTGTTCTCCCTTCTTTGCCTTGCTTGATCGTTGGATACTCTTCAAAGGTTGAATTTGTGAATAGTAAATATTTTATTTTCATTTGCATCTCAATTCACTATCCTTTCTTATTCTTTTCGAAAGGATTCTGGAATAGTACGTCACATCGGGTTCTTGCAGGTGCCTCCACCACTTCCGGTCAGCCCCGGCCTGGAAGTCCACTGTGGGTAGTGGCTGTTCGAGAGCCACTCAGTGTCCAGGGATCGGAGTGCATGTATCTAGGCTCGGGTCTATATGCACTATGTCTGACTGGACAACGATCAAACGTAAGATGTCGCGGATTGAAACGGAGGACTATACGGAGTAAAGCACTAGTACATTCCTTTAATACTAGTAGATCTCGATGCAAAGCCACGTTCAAACGCTGCCGCAAAGCAAGGGAGAGGATCGAGCTGTCTTAATTGCATTAAGACAAGGTGTCAGACTTGAATATCCATGTGAATCGCATGTGATGGTAACAACCACCCATATGTGACAGTTTAATCCCCATGGAGTACACTCAGTACTTCGAACTCCGTGTATGCCGCTGAGTGCGATGATCACCCCTGACTATCGAACTGAAAGCGCATTCTCTGACACCGACGCCCCAAAGTTCTGGAACTTCTACGGACTCCACCAAAGACGGGAAGAGCAAGAGCAAGATGATTAAGGGCTGATGTAGGCAGATCAGTACTGTAGTTGTCGGTGTTCTGCCCTGGAGGTGTATACTTCTGCCAATGCTTTCCACGGTTCCGTTTCACGGCAACCCTACGCTAAGCCTAATCTGGCTAAACGTCAACACTTTCTCCCCGTTTTCACCTTAACTCCGTATCGTCACCCTACCCCACGTCACGGTCGCCATCTCCAACGCACCAATGCAGACCAAATCTGTCCCACAACGAAGAGTATACGGCAAACGACGCGCTAATGCCCCCAGGGCAGTCCTCGAAGCGAGTCCGGCGCGAGAGCCTACCAGCAAGTTCCGACAAGTCGACCCTGTGGAAAATATTGGAACAAAACTAGCCAATGTGAAGATCGAGGATGAACCGACCCTTGAAAATTCAGAGCCCGGGAGTGAAGATGAGGATGAGCAACAAGATCTGACGGATCTTCCCTCCGAGGAGTCAAGCCAGTCCTCGATCGCGGAAGTCCCAGATACCCAGAATGAACAGGCATCGCCCATTTGCGAAGCAGAGGATAAGCAACAAGATTTGAAGGATCTGCCCTCCGAGGGGTCAAGCCAGTCCTCGATCGCAGAAGTCCCAGATACCCAGAATGAACAGACATCGCCCATTTGCGAAGCAGAGAAGCCAAAAACGCGACCAGTGGTGGAGGTCGTCATATACAATAAAGCGCCAAAGTCCCCCGAAGTCCCGGAACAGACCAGCGAGCTCAGTGCAACTTCTTCAACGACATCGGAGCCTACAACGATCCCATCGGAGCCGGAAGCAACCACAACGGATGCCCCATCAGTATCAGATTCTACGGCCGACCAAGAAAAATCGAACGCCGCGGAAAGAAAGCGAGCCGCGCGAAAGAAGGTTCCAACGGCTAGGCGGTCGTCTGGAGTAGTCCATGACAGCAAAGCAAGCGAATACGTTCTCGCAATTCTCAACGAAGCACTTTCCCCGATTGCCGCGCAGAGTATCCAAAAATTCGATTCCTGGGCTTCACGCTCAGCAAACATGTTCGATGTTGTCAAGCTCGCTGAAGGGTCATACGGTGAAGTCTATAAGCTCCACATGCGCGAAGAGGCCTGCAGACCAGTAGTTTCTAAATCCAAATTTGCGAAACTGAAATCCTATGGCGACGGAGTCTTCAAGGTCGTACCACTGCGGGCGAAGAGTGGTCCAGGATCGAAAAAGTTCACCAGCATCGATGAAATCGTCGCCGAGGTCAAGATGCTGAAGTACCTAGATCCAATTCCTGGATTCGCCCGATTCCGAGAGATCCACGTTGTCCAGGGCCGGTTCCCTGAGTCCTTCCAGAATGCCTGGGACCATTATAAGAAGACGAAAGATGACTGCATGAACCCCAACCCATCCAATAAAAGATCATACCCCGACACACAGCTATGGGCAATCATTGAGATGGACGATGCAGGCTGCGAGCTGGAAAAGTTTGCTTGGTCATCGATATTTCAAATCTATGATATATTCTGGGGCGTTGCTATGGCGCTAGCCCGGGCAGAAGAGTACGCCATGTTCGAGCACCGAGATCTGCATTTGGGAAACGTCTGTATTCGCTCTACTCGCGAAGATGGCCGTATGGACCCGCCCACGGAGAACGACATCGCACGCCATTCATCGGCCAGTGGGTTTGGGTTCAGCACGCTTGAGACCACCATCATTGACTATTCGCTCTCTCGCGCCGATCTCCTGCTAAGCGATGATCCAAATGGCCTGACTGAGATCGCATCATCCGACCTGGATAAGAAACAATTGTTCGATGCTATTGGCCAAGACGAAGATGAGATCATGCAGAGAAATACCTACCGATAGTATGTTCAACGACATTGACTGTTTTCTTTTACTGACAGCAACTAGCATGCGCGCAACGCTCTACTCCGACAATCCGGCAGAAACAGAGAAACCCCCCGATATTCCGGGAATTTGGGCCGAATACGCGCCTCGCACAAATTTGGTGTGGCTGCTGTTCTTGCTTCAAAGTCTCTTCAAAAACAGGAAGCCCGAGCCTCAGTCCCAATCTCAGCGGAAGGCTCTCGCACCTTGCTCGCCCAACATGAAGGCTCTGAAACCACAGCCTGACGATTCAAAAACACAAAAGCCCAAGGATCTACAGGCCGGTATGTCCCGTTTGAGGGACACCCTTGAGGAGAGACTTAACGCTGTCCTTGGACTTTTGGATCTGGAAAACGGACATGAAGACATGTGCTGTGCGGCAGATTTGGTGGCTTACGCTATGGATTCACAATGGCTGGGCGAAGAGGACTTCTTTTGATATATTCCATTGGTGATACCTGGTGTTGGTCAATATTTGGTTACATTTGCATTTTCTTTGCGTTCCAAGGTTCGGACAGGACGGTCATGGTGCATCATTTTGTATATACCACATATTTTCAATGGCGCTCGGGTTCTGATTTATAGACCTTCAAGGTTGGAACTTTGAGACCTCTAAGGTCGATGTGCTTTATTTTCTTCAAGGTTCTGATCTAGGTATATCCAACCTTGGAACTGAGGGGGGCTAACTAGTATCTTGGAACGGGCCGATTGAACCTCCAGGGCTTCAAGGTCAGAGCCACTTCCAAGATTTCAACCTGACCAGATCCATGATGGAAGGCTGGGTCCTGACCTCGGGAGGTCCCAGTAGGTACCTAGTACCTACCTAGGTAGGTACGACTTTGACAGCCTGGACATGAAAGATCTCTATCATTTTTTCTATGTTACTCCTGAATTTCCCAACCTGCCAACGCCAAAACTTGGAAGCAAACAACATCCCTTTCCGAGACAGGACCTGAGTTGCTAGTATGCAAACGCGGCCTGTCCATCCTTCTGGCGATTAGTATCCGTCTATTTTGTTTTCATCAATTTCCATCTCTTTGGCCCGTTTGCCATAGGTATCCATCGCCATGCCGCAAAAGGATGTTGTACATGGGCAAAGATGTTGTGAGACCCAGAAGAAACCTCAACAGACTCTACCTGCTCGCAAAAGGTTCACCATAAGAGCTGGGCGTTTCCAGAGCGAGAAGGACTTTTGATTGATCCATGGCAGAGATTCAACAGGCAGCTCGATATCAAAGTTCCAGAGAAGCTTGGCAAGAATGAGTCGCATCTCAGCGTTGGCGAGACTGTCAAGTATTAGCTTAGGCCAAGCAATGATTGTATGGAGCATGGGCCGGATAATTGTGATCAGAGCTCAACGATGTAGCAACTCTGAAATAGATCATGATGTAGGAGAGAACACATCACCAAGCAAAAAAATGGATCGACTTACTGTTGACCGAGGCAGTTTTGAGGGCCCCAAGAGTAAGGCTGGAAAGCAGACCGCTTGTCATCCTTGAACTCATCTGTTTCGGGCAGCCAGCGTTCTGGAATGAAAGTGTCTGGATATTTGAAATGACCAGCGGCGTGGAAAGTCGAGTACGGAGACATCGAGACAGAGGTCTGATTGAAAAGCCGCCTGGTCAGTATATTGAGAAAGAAGGGTATGAGGCTAGGGTAAGCGGCTAACTCGACTCAATGAAGCAAGGTGAAGACGCAAGATGATTGAGTCAACAAGATGACAGATTGTCATCCATGCCAAATATACATCATGCGTTTCAAGCCCTGCGCACTCCATCGATACAGTGCAAAGGCCAGACTCACCGAGGCAGGGACGTATCGATCGTTTATCATCGCTCCACCTTCAGGGACGATTCGAGGTAGCATGGAGGGAATGGGCGGATAGACACGCATGCTTTCGAGCAGAACTGCATTGAGATACGGAAGCTCAAAAAGGGCAGCAAGCTTGATATCGGCATGTTCCTTGAATGTACCGCGTATCTCCCTGACGAGTCGTTCATACTTTTCTCGATTGCGAGTAAGGAGATAGACTGCGCCGGATAAGAGAGCAGCAGTAGTCTCACTACCGGCTAGCACAAACACTGCCGAGTTGGCATCCATTTCTTCAGGCGACATAGACAGACCTTCCTTCGTATGCTTTAGAATATAGGAAGTGAAGTCTGGACGACTTGTGTCACGGGCGAGACGACGACGAACCTTCTCAACGCTGAGTTGGAAGCTTTTCTCGCGTTTCTCGATCAGATCCCGAGGTACCAAGAGTTTGACGAACGGTAGGAGGAAAGGGTAAAACCAAAAGACCTTGAGATATGCGCTGGCCTTGACCGCATCGAGGATTATGAGTACCCACCAGTGGTACTTGCTGTTAGAAAGACATCCAAAAGGCTCGCCAAAAGCGAGATCGCCGATTAGGTCGAAGGTGGTGAAGTTGAACCAGCTAGCAATATCGATGCGCTGTGATGATGTGTTTCCCATAATTCCTTGAAGCTTTTCAATCAGCATATCGGCGTAGGTCTGGAGGATCTCCTCCTGCGCCATGAGTGCTTTGTTTGAGAAAGCGTGGGTCAGCAAACGACGCATCCGTTGGTGGACGTCCTCCTGTGCTGTGATGATGGCATTTACTCCGTTGGGAGTCGGAGCATAGAGTGCAGGATCTTTGATGAAGAGCTTATGGCCTCTTTTCCGGTGGCCATATATTTCTTTCCACCCAGAGGCAGCTCGGTAGGCAAGGGCATTCGGTGCAATACGAACGACATCACCGTACTTGTCATGGAGGCTGGTAATGACTGAGTGCTGCTTGCCTTGAATATCCCAGAGGAGATGCACCAGAGGTGTGATGGCAGCCAATCTGGGTCCCGGATAACCGCTCAACGGGTGCAAAAAGAGTGTCCATATTATCCACCCGGCGGAGTACGTGAACAGCTAGATATACGAGTTGACATAAGAACATGATTCCCTTGATTTTCTCGGTCAGTACTCACCACGATGAGAAATCCATAAAAGAGAGTGCAGGAGGACATCAAGCTGAGACCTCGAGAGAAGCAGCCGCCATCTAACGTGCTGAGAGCCATGGTGCGATGATGGAAGAAAGTTCTGAGTTCCCAGATGAGGAATCCCACTGGTTTCTCTCAAATCTCGATGCACCAAACGGATGGAGCGGTGTAAGAAATTACCAGGTACGCCGGGAAGAGAGAGGATGAGGATGGAGATGTTTAGGAGCCGCAGTTTGTTTGAGGTGGCGTGTTTGGAGAGATAGTCTTCCCGGCGTTTGGAATACTTGATCTGAAGTCTACATCTGAAGCACTTTATGTATATACCGAAGGGATCAAATGAGCTCGAAAATGTGGGGGAGAAAGCCGTCAAGCTTCAATATCAAGACCCCGTTAGGGCTTGATATCTCCGTGCAAACGACAAACATCAAAACATCGACCCAATGAAACTCCACAAAGAGAATTACGGGAGAAAACATCTCGTTTCTAAGAACATAGTTAGATAGTTGTAGATGATCATTATTCATTATATCAGGGTCTCTTCTTCCAAATTTGTACAAAATCTAAATTATCCCACAACGGAAAAGCTCAACAAGCTACCCGCTGCCAGACCCCCGACGAGAACCATACTCATAAATCCACCAGCAGCTGGCCGCTCATCAGCAACAACCCAGTGCCCAGCCCCCATCATACAGCTTGTTCCGAGGTACCCGTTGGTAGCACCGAAAAGGAACTGCACAACGAAGTAGAAGAAATCACTCTTGACGACGGCACCTTGCCCGTTGATGTTGCAGAGCTGGTAGATCGGGATGAACATGACACGCACAACGGCAAGGATAGCCGCCATCTGAGGATACTGTCCCACCGACATTCCCGGGATAGCAACACCCATTCGCCCGACCAAGTCGCCCAAGTTCCATATCAAAAACGCCAATGGAATAAAGACGCTAGGGTCGTAAAGCCGCGACTTGGCGGGATCATTAACGGATTTGATTTCCGCAGTGTAAACGGGGAACACCATGGAGATGAGGAAGCAGACAAAGACGGCGAATGCCAGGAACCGCAGTTTGGTAAACAAAGTCCACAGACTCACTGTTTTGGAATGCGAGCGTTCCTCAACAGACTCATCATCGTCTCTTAACTTCTGTCTCGAAGAAGGTTGTTGTCGAAGGAGATAGAGGAAAGCCAACAACGCAATGATGGAGACTCCCGTCGAGGTGATGAAGTAAATGAACGCCGACCTTGACAGGGTCGTTTGCGGCATTTTCGGTTCACCTTCCTCGTGACCGGTTTGATCTTTTGGTGGCCAAACGAGCACAGAGAAGATCTGTACAATGCAGGGTAGCACACCTGCGAGTCCCTGGCCACCCATAATGGCCTGCGTATATTCCTCCCTTCCAAAGCCGGAGACATACGCGAAAACGCCATTTTGGTTGATTCCTGTTGCCAGACTCGCGCCGAAGACCATCACCATCAAAAATGCGAAATATGATTTCGGCGACGAGTCCGTCATCACAACAGCAGAGAAGGCCAGAATGGTAAATACTACGCAGTTCATTAAAAGCGAGAGCGTAATTCTCCACGGATAGTTTGCGTTCCTCTGCAGCTTTGCTAATATATAGGCCGTGCCGAGGTTTGTAACGGTCGAGACGGACTGGATCGAAGGCTGGTAGTGGAGTCTAGTCCAGTCGTCAGACTGAAATCGGGTGAAGAAATAAGGCGCTGCGGCGAGGAACATGTTCCTGGTGAAGCTTGGTTAGCTGCATTGTCCTTATGTGCTTGGAGCTTGAAATGTTCGCTTGGGGACTGCCGCGAGCGACTTACCATGCCCAAAGCATGGATACTCCTAACAGGAAGAATATTCCATACTTGAATCTCGAGAAGGGTGTCTGTTGGTGTTGCGACGCATGTGTCGTCTCTTCGGCATCCTCCGCATTGGAATCATCGAGTCGCTCATATGCCACTGGACGGGCTATGAGACAGCGGATGCGGTCCATTATGGTGAGGTTAGCTCTTTGCCCTGATTTCAGTGATATGGGCTTGGAAGAACTGGGGAGACAAGTCCATTGAAGCTGCAATGCACATGAGGTCGCCATGCTGGCCAGGTGACTCATTACTAATCACCTGCGGGCCCCGGGCATCGCTGCAGGTGTGCACATGCCAGGCACCCGCTGATGCCCCCGCCCTTACCTTTAGGCACGCCAACTAGGTACTCGGGCCCGGGTTACAGAGTACTCGAGACCAGTGTGATATTACGGGGTATGATCTCCTTTCTCGGCTGGGAAACAGTTGAACAGAATCTATCAATGTATTTGATTTCAAAGTTTGTACACGAACGCTGCAAAACGGATATCTATCACAGAATGTACGTGAGAGGGGAGTAGAAGAAAACATTCAGGGGGAGATGTGGTGAGAAATGTAAGAAATGTAAACTCATAATTTTACCGACAACCAAGCTCTCCGGGAAGAAGAACTGGTTAGGATAGAGATAGACGAGCGCAGCCATTAGTTTTTGCGCGAGGTTTGCATATCTGCCTGTTCCTCTTGCTCAGTCTCTGGCTCTGACTCCATGTCCTTCTCAATTTGCCAATATTCATCTCTCTCGATGGGTTGGGCTGATGCGGGAGGTGTGTCACCGCCACTCATTTGCCATTCCATGAGTTTGGTAAAGGCACCATCTGGGCGAGCGCTAAGTTCTTCGTAGGAGCCCTGCTCAGCAACCTTGCCGTCATTGCCGAGAACGATGATAGTGTCAGAGCGCTTGATAGTCGAAAGACGGTGGGCAATGCTGATCGTCGTGTTGTTGCCACGGAGCAAAGAGGCCAATGCGCTGTTGACAAGGGTTTCGGACTCGGCATCCAAGGCAGAGGTGGCCTCATCAAGAATCAGAATGTCGGGGTTCTTGATGAGCGCTCGAGCAATAGCAATACGTTGCTTCTGGCCGCCTGAGAGTTGAGCTCCACGAGCTCCAACATGAGTATCGAGTCCACTGGGCTGTTATACATGTCAGCAAGCGTAATAGTATAGTTTGTGGCGTGGCACTTACGAAATCACTGATGAATTGACAATTGGCTTTGCGGGCGGCGGCGATGATCTCTGAGCGGGTGGCGCGAGGCAAGCCGTAGGAAATGTTCTCGGCGATCGTTCCCGAGAAAAGCACAGGCTCTTGTGAAACAACACCAATCTTTCTCCGAAGGGATTTGGCATTCATTCCATTGATATCCTTCCCATTGATCAACACTCGGCCCTCTGTGGGACTGTAGAATCGAAGCAACAGCGAGGCAATGGTGGACTTGCCACCTCCCGAAGGCCCAACGACAGCGACGTTGGTTCCTTGTGGGATCTCGAAGTTCAGTTCGTTGAAAATCTTCACAGCAGGGCGGGTAGGATAGCTGAAAGTGACGTTCTCAAATCGGATCGGGCCACGTGCGGTCTCAACCTTGAGACCCTTGGTCGGGTGAATGGTAGGAGGTCGGTCTTGCAGCTCGAAAAGTCGACTCGCCGCACCGACACCCTTCATGAGCTCGGAATAGAAGCTTGAGAGACCAAACATGCTAGATCCGGCGTAGGCGGTATACATCAGGAATGATGACAGCTCTCCGATAGAGATGGCACCTGATTGCACCATTCCTCCGCCAACATACAAAAGAGTCATAATGGTCAAATTTCCAGCAAGACCCGTGGAGCTGAAAAAGGCCGCACTAATCGAGGACTCTTTCTTGCCAAGGTCAAAGATCTTTCGAACTTGCGTGTTGTATCGATTGACCTCAAGAACTTCACCAGCGAACGACTGGCTAGTCTTAACGTTGCCCAGACGCTCTTCCGCGATTTTGGTCAACGAACCCAGGTTCTTTTGGATTTGACGACTGAGGTTCCTGATAGCTCGTCCATAGAAGAAAGCGCTAAGGCCGACTGGGGGAAGTAACACAAGCAAGATGGCAGACAACTTTGCGCTGGTGTAAGCCATCATCGAGAATCCAGCTGCGCCACTAACAGCAGCTCGCAACCCATCAGACAGATTCTGCGTGATGCTTTTACCAACGATGACAGTGTCAGAGCTGAGACGAGAAATCAGGTCACCAACCCGGTTGGCATCAAAGAACTCGGCATCTTGGATAAAAGTTTGACGGAAAAGCTTGGAACGAAGTCGGGAGACAATTCTTTCGCCAACAATGCGAAGGATGATGACGCGACCGTAGTTGGCACCAGCACCCACAAGTAGGATAGCACCCAAAGCAGTGTAGAACATGGGCATACTCAGGCCAAACAGTTCACCAGCACCCTCGGAGATGTTCTTGGTTGCGGCGTCAATGATCTTACCAATAGAAAGAGGAATTGACATGGTGATTGCGGAGGAAATCAGGAGGAAGAAGAAGGCGAATCCGAGGGCCTTGGATTCAGGACGTGCGATTTTCAGCAGTCGCACAATCTCTGCGAAACCGGACTTTTTCCCGCCATCTTTGTTCAATCTGGCGCTCATGTTCACTTGCGCTGCTTGCGCTGCTCGCTCGGATAGTTCGAAGCCCTTCTCCTCTTCCGATTCCGGAGTTGGCCGAGAAGCTGCATTCTCGGTTTCCGCGGGAGTTGGTGGTTTCGCTTGGAATGATTTCGGCGTGGATGACAAAAGACGTGCTGAAGCGATAATGCAAGACGTAGACGGGGTATATTTGGCGCTGCTGTTTCGAAGTAAGAGAGGGTTGGGTCCGTTCCGTAGTACACCCGAGGCAGTCGAATGGAGGCGGATCGAGCCATTATTGTCGGAAACACCGGTTCGCAGTGCCGGCTTAGTGAGTATGTCGCGCGCGAAGGATCTGTATGGCCGCAAGGCCTGGCGCGAAGTGACGCCCAGGGCCAGAGACACTGGCAACTGAGCGCGCATTTCGGAAGTATGTCGGATGGTCGAAGTTGGGGGGATTTTATAATTATGTCACCGAAGAAGACCACGGCATGCCATATCTAATCGAATATGTTCAAAGTCACCATATCACATGGCAGGGTGGCTCCTTGAGATTGGTAGAGGTGAAGTCTAGAGCTTCGTCCGCGGCATCGGCGAAGCGGTTTTCGGGGCCGATTCTGCTGAAGTTCGCCGCCATTGGTTTTGCCATGGAATCGGGTCGAGAGCTTTGGATACTCTTCGTTTTGTTTTGGACCTCAGTGTTGACCGCGTGCTGGAATTTTTCGAGCTTCTCTCACTTTCATATCCCTCTGCAAACGCTTTGTACAGTGTTGAACTATCAAACCTAGGTGCCAAACCTTTGGTTTTCTGCCGACAGCCACCCCACCTTATACTCCTTTACCTTCACTCTCACGATGGTGCTCGACTACAGCAAATGGGACGCCTTGGAGCTCTCCGATGACTCTGATGTTGAGGTTCACCCCAATGTTGACAAGCGTTCCTTCATCCGCGCCAAGCAGGCTCAGATTCACCAGCAACGAGAGCAGCGCCGTCATGAGATCAAGACCTTGAAGTATGAGCGCATCATTAATGATGGCCTATTGTCGCGCATCGACACGCTCATTGCTTCCTTGAAGAAGCATGAAGACTCGTCAGCCTCCCCCGATGAGTTCATTTTCTCTACCATCATGGAGTTCGCCAGCAACCCCGCCGAAGACCAGGCTCCCACCCCGCCAGAGGGAGTATACACACATGAGCCCGAGCAGCCCAAATTCTCCCAAATGATGAGCTCCCTGGTGGATCAGGTCAAGAAGGAGATCGGAGATTCCAAGCCCGACAACCTGTTCAAGGCATACATCAAGGGTGTCAATGGACACTTGGAGAAGATCCAAGGACTTCAAAAGGAATTGCACACCAAGCTTGCGCAACTTGAAAAGGAAGAGGGCTCTAAGATCACCAGTGATCAGCTGCACGAAGGATTCAACCAATCACATGTCGCTAAGATGGCCGAGAAAGAGAAGGCTGAGGCTGCTGCCAAGAAGAAGGAGAGCTCTGTTGAGCTTTTGAACCCCGGCGCAGGAAGCGCCTCCAAAGCTGAAGATGAAGGCAATGACGAAGACCCCGCTGATGTCGAGATCAGCCCCCTGGCAAAGAAGTTTGCCAGCTTGAAGACAGGCGACTACAAGGCCTACTTGCAGTTTATCTCAGCGAATCCCGACATTGTTGCCGAGAAGGAAACTGACGGTCTGCTCGTTGAGGCGTTCAACAGCCAGCTCAAGGGCGATGAGGACTATGCCCGGCAATGCGTCCACCAGGGTCTGCTTTTACAGTACTGCCGCTCGCTCGGTCGTGATGGTATCCAGCTCTTCTTCACTCGGTATGTCAATTTCTAAAGCTCGGCGCGCAAAAGCTAACAAGATGCAGCATTACCACCAAGGACCACCGTGCCTCCACTCTCTTCCACAACGACGTCAACGAGACCTATGGCCGTATCAAGTCCCGCACTGCTGAGCTCAGCAAGGAAGGATCGGGTAACGATCCTGCTGGCGTAGAGCAAATCCAGCTGCATGCCGTTGACCCCAACACCAAAATTACCATCAACCTCCCTGCGGCCAACAGTGAAGACCCGACCGAAATCGAAGTCCGCAAGATCTTCGAGGCGTTCCCCCAGGACCTGCAAAAGGCCCTCGAGACTGAGTCCTTGGACGAGGTCAACAAGGTTTTGGGCAAGATGTCTGTTGAGGAAGCGGAGGTTGTCGTCGAAGCATTGGGCAACGGGGGCATGCTCAGTTTGGAGGAAGGCATCGTTGATGCCACAACAGCCGAGGGCCAGAAGAAGCTCAAGGAGCTGGAAGAGGAGGGCAAGGATGTTGGTGAACCTGGAGGCGATGTTACCGAGCTTGATTAAGAGGAAAATGTCAAAAGCGATGATGATGTGATGAATGTATGCATCTCTTTCACATAGTCCAAGGACTTGTTTTTAGCTGAAATGCCAATGTATTTACTATGATCTACCAGGATGTTTGACCTTTAAGCGATCACATCCGCAATTTTTTAGAATTCATCTTTGGAGTATTCATACTTGTTAGGTAGTTTATCGCCTACACAGTCGAGAGGTGCGCTGGAGGCTAATGACCGTATTGAACCCGTGGTATTAACGATGCTATCAATTTCAGAAACTAAATTACAGGCCCCTTAGTCTTCGCTGCGTGGATTGGAAATAAAAAAAGGAAAGGGACAAGATTCAGCAGCCAGCTAAAGAAAAAAAGCCGCCGAATGGGATGAAGATGAAGAAGTCGTATCATATGAATTCAAGATCGGCGGACACCGTATGCTTTGAACCCGCAACTCCAATCTTTTAATCCGTGTTGAAGCAACTGATTTAGATGCCAGTGGAGCCAGGAGCCTCCTGATCCTTTCGAAGGTCGAGCAGCAGCTCACGGAAGCGCTCCTTACCAGAGCCGCTGGCACCGCCCGCGGAGCCCTTGCCCGAAACGTCAACCAGCTTAGCAATGCGCTCCCAGCTAGTTCCACCTGCGGACGTATCCTCACGGTTCTCGAGGAATTGTTCGGCTTCGGTACGAGCGTGCGAGCGGTTCTTGTCCGCCTTGTTGTTGTATGAAACGTAGAAGTCATCGATATCCTCCCGGGCCTTGTTGACGGTTGCCTCCTTCTTCTCAGCAGAAACCTGTGCGCGGCGAGTGATTTCAGCATCGCGCTTCTCGCGCCATTCACTGTAAGGACAGAAGATGTTAGCCTGACAATTCGGTTTGGCGCCCAACTGTGCAGAACCCCATGCGCCACAAGGCCCAGAGTCTGGATTGAAACATACCGAACAGCGTCGCCTTCATCTTCAGGCTCTTGGGGGTTTGAGTATCCGGTACGGGGGAAAGGTGATCCGGTACCAGTGATTGTGCCGCCGGGAGCCACGCGCTGAACCGATAGGAACCCCTGGTCAGCATTGTATCCGCTATGTCTGTGACAACCAATTCATACCTCGTTCTGGTTCTGGGTCTCAACGGAAGGGAAAGATGATTCGAATTGGCCAATCTCCTCAACGGGCTCGCCTCCTCCGAGCAGGTCGTCGCCGCCTACATCCTCGCCCACGTGGTCTTGGGCAGTAGCGAATTGGTCGGCGTCCTCTCCGAGGGCGGCGCGTTCACGGGCAAGGAAGTCGTCATCGGTGGCAGTGGGGGCTTCGGCCACTTCGGTCTGGCCTGCGGGCATGTTAGCTCCGCTGTAAGGAGAGTAGTGGGTTAACCTACCTTCAGAGAAGTCCTCCAGGGAAGGGAAACGGTCGGCCATGCTGTTGGCTGATTGCAACTGACTGTTGTACGAGTGAATCGAAAGGTCGGAGTCAAGCAGATGATTATCGAATGAAGAGATCAAAGTATCAAGCAGGGATTGGGTATAGGCAGAGGTGTTGACAGATGTGGCAGCGGGCTCGGAGGACCGTTCTGCCTTGCCGGGGGCGGTAAGATTGCCTAGATTGCCCATTGTTTCAAGCTGGGTAGCACTTGTGCCTCGAATGGTGATTGGGAAAGGTTGCAAGAAGGACGTTCCTGACCTTTTTTCATTTTGTCTGTTTCTTGGGGAGTTCCTTCCTCAGCTCTGCGTTCCTTCCTCTTCTGGGGTTGACAGTTGGGGAGCTCCCTTTGTGCTTGGGACTTCCTATCATCTCTACTCCGGACACGTCTGAGACTCAACTTCCACTTTCTTTCGCTTCACACTCAATTCGGTTTCTCAATATGGCTTTTACAGATGATGCCGTCAAGGCGAAGCTATCGGCGCTCAATGAGACGCAGGAGAGCATCGTTACTGTCGCTCAGTGGGTCATGTTCCACAGGTAAACACTTCCCTGCGATTTTTAGCCTCCAGCATGCTAATTATCTGTAATTATAGGCGCCATGCCGAACGGACTGCTCAGATCTGGCTCAGCAAGATTCGCGACTCCCCGCCTCAAAGGCGCCTGAATTTGATCTACCTTGCCAATGGTGCGCACGCCCTCCGAGACACCACTGAATTGCTTGCTAACTAGTCCCAAGAGGTCGCCCAGCAATCCAAAGCTCGCGGAAAAGACGACTTCCTCATCGCATTTTCTCCCGTCCGTTTCCCTTCGAAATCCGTTGCGACTCAACTAACGTGACCCTAGATCATCGTGGAGGCTACGTCAGCGGCTTACAAGGGCTCGTCGGCCGATTACCAACAGCGAATTCGTCGAGTCATTGAAGTGTGGAGACAGCGCAGTGTCTTCGAGGGTCCCATTCTCGATGCTGTGGAATCTCGCGTAGATGGTAAGTCGGCGCATCGGCGGAAGGCCCTGTGAACAATAGAATTGACCAGTCACAGAAATTGATAAAGGTCGCTCTACCGCGAAGAAACAGACATTGGGCGGCTCATTCTTCAAAGACCCTTCCTCCGGCTCAACTCCATCCGAATTGCAACCTCTTGTTCCACTGCAAGTTGCTCTCAGCAAAGCCGCCGTCAGCGCTGGTTCTTCCAATACAACCGCGACTGCGGAGTTCGATAAGCTACACGACCCCAATGACGCCCAGCCGACTTTGCCTGTCCACGCAGCACGATTGAGTCAACTTTTGAAATCGCTCGCCAATGCAGAGAACTCGGTCTCCGAGGTCATCAAGTCACGACGTGCCTTGATCGATGGACTGGAGAAGATGCTCCAGACAAACCGCGCCGAATTGTCTAAGGAGGAAAACATTGCTGCAGACCTCACAAAGAAGAAGGCTTCGGCCGATGCTAAGAAACATGAAGTTGAAGACGCGATCATGCGCGGACTGGCCAATGAAGATACCTCTACCAGTCCCGATAACGGGGCAAACGATGGATCTGCTCGTCCAGAGGTTGAGGCCCTAACGCCTCCCCCGGTCGAGGCTATAACGCCAGTTGGCTCCCCTCAGCCCGAAAAACAAGGGATCCGTCGTGGTCCCTTTACCGAAGAGGCCGACGATGACGCTCCAGGATGGGCTAACATGGGCTCAATGCCCGACATGGGCGAAACTGCCACCGATGGACCATCTTTACCCGTTGGAAATGGAAATGGTAATGACTTCGATGTGGCCAATGGACCAAAGAGGCGCAAGATCTCTCACGGTGAAGAAGATTATGCGGCTTTCGCCGGCGGCGATCTGGATCCTGACTTGGCTGCTTTGCTCAATCAGGCCAAGCAGTAGGCCTGCGATCCCATCAGCCATGGCCCTTTCTGCTCAGACTCATTTTTTTACTTCTCTCATTTCCCACAATGTGCCCGCACCATTTCCCCTGGAATCTCTTTTCATTTGCTGCCATGTCTTCCAAGGTTGTTTCTTGCCTGTATGTTACGTTAATACATCGGTGCAATTGTATATCACACCTCGCCAAGCCGTTGGGTTTAATCTGGCGTTTTCAATTGGATCATCTTTCATCCTTCGTCCTTGGAACGAGGCTCCCAGGGTCTACATGAGTAATATCTGAATTCCTAGATTTCCACGGGGTCGAGACAGTGGAACATATTTCTGGATGCACTACAGGTATGGAACGAAGGCGTTTGTGGTGGTCTAAGGAGCCACCATTGGGCTCTTGGAATGCTATTTAATACAAGGTATCATCGAAATATATCTGGATCCATCCAACGATCTCGGGCGAACCGATTCGATAATTGATGCCTGCGTCCACGATAAGCCAACACAGAGCGAATGTTGTTCGATGATTCGTCTTCAGGAGGCGGCGGCGGTGGCGAGCTGTTCCCCTTCGGTTTGACAACTAGGACAATAATCATACCTACTACAACCAAAAGGAGGAGGAGCATGATCTTGCGTTTAATAGTCCGCCGTTGGTAACCCGTGGCCTAACAGCAATTAGCACAGCCCGGTAGAAGAATGAAGGTATTGGAAAAACATACCACTTTAAGTTCCTTATCCGCAGCCTTGACCTCAGTGCCCATTCGCTCAACATTGTAATCAATCCGATCAAGCATCGTTCCCTGATCAATAATCATGCCCTGTAGTTCACGGAAGATATCCGAGAGCTCGATAATACCCTTGGCAATATCATTAATTTCGCGCTCACGCTGCGCAATAGCGGCGTCGTTCGAGCCCGCCTGCCTTTGAGAAGTCTGCTGTAACATAGTCTGCGAGAACGACTTATCCGCATCAGACTCCATCAGCGACGGGTCGGAGTACGGGTTCTGTGGGGAAGGCATTCTATCGAATGGCGTGGCTATGCCCTCCAAGTCTCTCAGTTCTAGCATTGGTTAGCATAAGCGAAAATCCCCAATCCAATGAAATGAACATACTGCGCAAATAAGTGCTCTGCTTCTTCCTAAAACGCGCACTGGCCTCCTGCACGCGCGCCGCGAGCGAAATCTGTATATTCTTCGCCATTGTTTCCTCGCCACTCGTCACAGTGCCTTGCTCTTTGGATTCCGAGACCATGGACTCGATGCGCTGAATGGAGCGCTGGCATTCGTGAAACGAGCGCGTGATGTCCTGCGTCAGACGCTCGATCACGCCCTCGTCTTGCTTGCGCAGATCTTCGTCGCCGAAGCCTGGAAGAAGGTGTTTCTGGTGAAGCTTGTCGAGCTCGGAGGAGTTCTGGGCGATTTCGGCGAGGAGCTCGGAGACTTCTTCTTGTACGTCTATCCAGCGGGGTGGGAGGAGGTCCATTTCGATGACCATGTCGCCATCTTCGTCGTTGATGAGCCGCCGGCTCTCTTCGGGCTGGGAGGATTCGGAGAGGCCATTTGAGAACTGTGGCTTTTTGGCTGGGTGGTGGATTAGGGATTGGCGGTAGGAGAGGTAGCTGGTTGAGGGTCAGTGAGGGTTGCGGTTGCCCACGACGGGGGGTGCGTACAGGTTGGTGCGATCCCGCCACATCTTGGCGGAGAATCGGAGTCGGTTCTTTGCTTATTGTGAGTTCGTTGGGGTCATGGTCGGGTGGACAGGTCGAGATCAATGGAATGTCGGAGTCTCGAAGACGGAGATGCTGAGCTCCACATGCGGAAGAGGTCACGTATGCCCGGTATTCACGGGGTAATTATCCGGTTTCCCCCCATGTTTTTGTGTATTATTGGTACGGGGCTGCAGTAAGAAATACTTGGCATCAACTCGGGCATCATTGTCACTTTGCAGGTTTCAAATGTTGTCGATTATTTCCTCAGTATGCTCGGCTTATTGATGAGGATCCCGTTCTTTCAGTACTCTGGATCTCGTATGGAGGCCTAGATCCACACCAGCCTAGGTCCGGAGAGTACGGAGTACAGGGCAGATCGTCCACTGCCCATATTCCCGGGTTGTCCAGCTGTCCGGAGTACTCCGTCTACGGAGTACGGAGTAGTGGCGACGAGTGAGTAGGCGCATCTGAGCTACAAATAGCATTTACATTGCATATGCCCCATATTCTGGCCACTAGTATAGTGGCCCGGTTTTTCTTAAAATAGTTCTGTTGCTCTGCCCCTGGAAACCGTACGATGAGACCTGCATTGAGTGTCCACTGTCGAGTCTCAAGGCTATCGGCTAGATCTCAGCATCTTTGGACTCGAAAGAAATGAAAGAATGAAAATCAAGATTTAAATCTCGAAATCGCCTGAAGCATGAGCCCCGCAGTGTACATCAGCCCTAGAGATAAAGAAAAAGCCAAGAGCCTGCTAATGCATTTACGCCGTCTGTTATTTTGTATGGTACCTATGTTGCGCCTGCAGATTGACAAGCCTCCGGGCGTTTTGCACCGCAGAAAAAAGATCAAGAGTATCTGAAGTAGAAGAAATAGACTACTATCACAGTTGAATATCAGAAGAATATGCACAAAGGTCCAACGTTGGAAGTAAAGAGAAGTACAGCTGTCAGCTGAGGCTTCAGCCCTGGGACCCCCACCGCCCTCAGGTGAAACAACTCTGACTGGGCACCTCAGGCACGCTATTTTGGTAAGGCCCCCTTAACATCTTCCATTTGACCCCTCCTTTCTCAATTACTCCCTCCCCAACATTCATCATGGTATCGTCCCTTTCCAGTATCTCGTATGCTCAACCTGCGTACACTCTCTCTGACCCACCTCTAGGCTGACTCCCTGACCGAAGAGCAAGTGTCCGAATACAAGGAAGCCTTCTCCCTGTTTGTGAGTAACCCCACGTGCTGACGGGGAGATTGGAATGCTGACCGACGATGTTTCGTGAAATAGGACAAGGATGGCGATGGTGAGTGATCGCCGAGCTCGAGTCCCAAGCGCAACAAGTTCCTAATATTTATTTTCCAGGACAAATCACCACCAAGGAGCTTGGCACCGTCATGCGCTCGCTGGGTCAGAACCCCTCCGAGTCCGAGCTGCAGGATATGATCAACGAGGTTGATGCCGACAACAACGGCACCATCGACTTCCCCGGTACTTGCCTTCTCCCTACGAGACACCCTATACGGCTATTGACCAGCGCTTAGAATTCCTGACCATGATGGCCCGCAAGATGAAGGATACCGACTCCGAGGAGGAGATCCGTGAGGCATTCAAGGTGTTCGATCGCGATAACAACGGCTTTATCTCCGCTGCCGAGCTCCGTCACGTCATGACTTCCATTGGTGAGAAGCTGACTGACGATGAGGTTGATGAGATGATCCGCGAGGCGGACCAGGATGGTGATGGCCGGATCGACTGTATGAATTTCCCCACTCCGCGCATACCTCGAAATTTTTCGCCTTTTTGCTAACTTCCTCGCGCAGATAACGAGTTCGTCCAGCTCATGATGCAAAAATAAACGTCGCATGCCACATGCCTTTTTTTCCATGTTAGCTGACGTCGCCTCAACGAGAATGCCTTTCCATCTTCGATTTTTTTCCACTTTTTCCTGTAGTCTACGTTAGGCTATATTCGGATTGACGATCAAGCGAGTGCGCTTTGGATGCCGACAGGCTGAATTGGGCGGTACTTTGAGCCAAGTGTTCATCCAATCCAGAAACGACCATATACCCCTATAGTCTACACTGCCAGTTGCCCCCTTGTAGAAGAATTACCGATTAAACCTCAGAACCTCCATAAACTGTCTGGCAACGTCCGTCCCAGCGGAATCCTCACCATTCCCCTTCAGCCTATCCTTGACCTCTTTCCCAACGCCAGGGACAAGGATTGCCTCTCGGCCCTGGATCCCCAACCTCCCCCAAAGTTCCCTGATCAACTCCGCCGTCGCGGCATACTCGGCATCAACATCTTCCTCCTGGATCCCTGCAAAGCCACCCTCCACAACCGAGGGCCCCCTCCACTCAATTTCAACCACGGTACCACGCACCCGCGCAGTAGGGAATGTCTGCCGAACATCTCCCAGACGCACCCGGAAGTCACCCACATCGTAAACCACCCCGTTGGGAACAGCCAGGGTCAACCGGTGAGTCCAGAATGGCTGGCACGCGTACGTGAAATGCTGGAAGAGCGTGGCATATGCCGGGGGCGGAATGACCGTCATCACCATTGGTAAAGGCTGGCCTGTTGGAGGTTCCTTCTCTGGCTCGGAAGTGTAGACAAAGCCATGAGTGGGGTAATGCGTCAATGAAAGAAATTGCATGTACCGTGGGATAGGCGGCTTGGTATTCTGAGGGGGGATGAGACCCGGTGTATCACGTAGCAGCTTTTGTTCTAAGCCCCAGCGCCCGATTGGGGTTAATTCTTCGTCTGGGAAGGCTGTCCGTAGACGCTCTGTTATTTGGGGGAGGGCTGTTGAGGCATTAGGGTTGGAGGGGATGAAGTACACCCTGGCTGGTTAGTCTCTCTCTTGGGTCTGGATATTCAAGCGGGCTTTACCCTGTGATTGGCATTTTGGTGCCGTGGTGCGTGGGAACGCTGCTTGGTGGTGGCGGGTTTTATCGATGAGGCACTTCCACAGTCGAATATGATCAAGGTTTCAATTCAGTGCCTCGCTCAGAGCTTTGGAACATGCAGATGTCTGCAATGTTGGTGGAACAGATGTATCCCCAGCAGATGATACAGGGCGATGCTCTTTTCGATCCTGTTGCGATCGAAGTCAGGACTTGTCCCAAGGGTAGTCTATATTTCCGTTAGTATTGGGTCTAAAGTTGAGAATAGCAGCATACCGTTATCAAATCGTCAATGTATGAGCAGTGTGATATTGCATCTGAGGTAAAAGCCATGGCAGTCGATGCAAACAGTGCAAACACTCAAGTCCCCCAAGTTTCAGTGACAATGTTTCTCGGAGACACTTCCTTCAGTCTCATAGTAGTACGGAGTACTACGGAGTACTCTGTAGCTCATAGCTCATTTTTTTCTTTTCTCTCTTCTGTCTGTTCTCTCTAGTATCTTAATATCAATTCTTTATGTAAAGGGAGCCTAGAAACAGTATTTGCCAGCATTGAGTACTTACGCCATAACAACATCAACTTTGGACCCTTCGGATGATTCTCCCGTTGCGCCTGCTATGAACTTAATAATTGCTTATTCTGGAGATACAATTGGAATGAACAAGCTCCAATACTATTCAGGGGCCGCGGTGGAGACAAGACCCTCAGGGTTCAACATGGAACACTTTAAAGTCTAGAAGCACAGTCCACGACTAATAATAATCATGCATGTGAGGTAACATTCCTGTGTCGATCAAAGGGTGAAACTCTTTCTACATGACGTCCTGACTTCCTCCTGTCGCTCTGGCTCATCCTTTCCACTCAACATGTTGCCCCGACGCAAAAGTCGCCCGCTCCCTACGGCGATATTCCTCATTGTTGCCACCTACGTTCTTTTCTTCTGGCTTCCCAAAACACAATCATTCCGACGTCTCCCAAAGCCCATTTCCCGCCAAGACACAACAATTCGCTCAGACGCTATTCGTCTAAACAAAGTCGCTGAAAAATATCCGGTCAAGGAATACATCCAATTACCCACCGGCTCAGCAACCATCCCGCGCATCCAGTATGAGTTTCCCGAGGAAACCAGCAGCGAGCGCCGCCAGCGCCTGAAACGGCGCGATGCAGTCAAGAGTACCTTTATGCACGCCTGGAATGGCTACAAAGAACGCGCCTGGCTGCGCGATGAGGTCAAGCCCACCTCGGGCTACCACACCGATTCCTTCAACGGGTGGGGTGCCACCCTGGTCGATTCCATGGATGCACTAGTTATTATGGGTCTCGACGACGAGCTGGAGCTCGCGCTTGAAGCTCTGAAGGAAATCGACTTCACAACGACCAAGAGCAAACAGGTCCCTGTTTTTGAAATCATTATCCGCTACATGGGCGGCTTTATGGCCGCCCATGATCTGACCCACGGAAAGCATCCGATTCTATTGGAGAAGGCGACCGAACTGGGTGAAATGATCTACCATGCATTCGATACGCATAATCGGATGCCCTCGGTGCGCTGGGACTGGACAAAGTAGGTGATCAAGGATGCGGATTCATACCCGAGTGTAATATTGACGGTCGTTCAGATCCGCCAAAGGCGAAGAAATCAGACCGTCCCCTCGAACCAGTCTAGCGGAAGTTGCTTCCCTGACCCTCGAGCTTACGCGGTTGACGCAGGTAACTGGCGACCCCAAGTACTACGACGCGGTACAGCGCGTCATGAATGAGCTTGAGATCGGGCAAGACAAGACCCGCATTCCAGGCTTGTGGCCTACCTGGCTTGACATGGATCGGATGGATTTCGAGGACTCTGAATTCACGATCGGTGGATGTGCCGATTCCGCATACGAGTATCTTCCGAAATCCCATATCCTGCTTGGCGCTCAGACGGACAAGTACCGCAAGATGTACGAGAAAGCGATCAAAGCTTTCAACGATAAGCTGCTCTTCAGGGCTATGACCCCGGATGAAGACCAGCATGTCCTCTTCGCTGCAGATGCTATTGGCTTGAGAGGCAATTCCCAGACTCTGAAATACTCGGCTGATCACTTGAAGTGCTTCATGGGTGGTTCTGTGGCGATTGCATCCAAGATCTTCAATCGACCACAAGATATGTATGTTGCGCGTGGTCTGACAGATGGATGCGTCTGGGCCTACGACATCATGCCGACAGGAATCATGCCTGAAATCTTCAAGGTGAGCCATTGCCAGGAACTTGATCATTGTCCGTGGGACGAAGAAAAATGGATGTCGGATGTCCTTTCGCGGTCCATTGATTCCGAGGAGACGAGAGAGGCGGCAGAGGATCAGATCGAGGCAGAGAAGTTGCCACCCGGTGTCACAGAGATCAAGGACCCGAACTATAAGCTGAGGTATGGAAATTCTGAAGGATCTTGTAAGACATGCTGACTTTCATAGACCCGAGGCACTCGAGTCCGTCTTCATCATGTATCGGATCACTGGAGACAAGAAGCTTCAAGATACAGCCTGGCGCATGTTCCAGCATATCGACAAAGCAACACGCACCAAGTTCGGACATTCCACGATCAAAGACATCCGTCATTCCAAGCCAAGGTTCGAGGATAAGATGGAGAGTTTCTGGCTTGCGGAGACTTTGAAATACCTATACCTGATCTTCTCTGAGCCAGATCATATTAGTCTGGATGACTATGTGCTGTGAGTCGCCCATCGCCTCGGCATGGAGTTTTGGTTCACGAGCTAATCATTTCATAGGAGCACCGAAGCTCACCCCTTCAAGCGACCGGATGCAATCAAACATTCGAAACCTTCTCAATGAGCTAGTATTGACATTTGTGCGGCGTTAGATGCATCAAGGTGAAGTTTCTAAAATTTATGCAGTATCTCTAAATAAAACCAGCTATACATAAACAGAAATATCTTGAGCTACCTCATCCTTCCTAGTCCGTTTCTCGTCCTCGTATTGGACCGAATAGCGAACTTCTTTCCGAATAACCATCCTATCCCCGCCAGCAGTTTCTCCACCGGAAGCACGCGAGTTTTGAGCTTGCGGCCTGGGCACAAGTTCGATCAAATCCGATTCTGTAGAAACAGAGCTCTGCGCCCCATGCTTCCCTTTCGCCAGCTTAGGATGGTTCTTCCTCGTTCCGATCGGGAACATCGAGCGACACGCTGGCAAACGCTCCTCTGATTTAGAACACATTCCTTCGCTCCGCTGATTCAGAGCACCGTGTGCGTTCACGTCGTGTTTCAAGCTCAATGGCAAGGCATGAGTCTTCGCTTTCCCGGAGCCAGAGAGGTCCATGGCAAAAGGCCTAGTAGCAGTTCCGGCTCTTTTGCGTTGCACGCGCGACTGGGATCTTGATCTAGTCGTGCGTGAGGCAGACCTTGAGGTATGATCTGCATTCGAGCTAGATCCAGATCCGGACTTAGAGCCCTCCTTCGTATTGGATCTCGATGCACTGCTTTCCAGGGTTGAGTCACCTGCTGTTCCGTAATTTGTACTAACAGCTGCCATGAAAGGGCGGATACAGAAAACACTGCATGCCACAAGGGCGTAGTGAAGCTCAACTTGCATCCAAACTGTTGGCTCGACGGAAGCGAGAGTGGAATCGTCACTTTCAAGCGCAGTGCGAAGTGATGAGATGTGTATGATGGATAGTATGATCAGTCTGGTGGGCTGTTAGAATTGAAGAAGCATCGTATTGTGCCACATGTGGTAGATACTCACGGAAAGCGGAAGATGAATGCGAAACCAATGGCAATTTTGCGGCGAAGGGGCATGAAAAGGCCCTTGAGGAGAATGACTGCTAGGATGAAGAGGAGAACCTCTGTTATTACATCGACGGCTGCGATGAACTGCCATCTTTTATGCTATGGAGACAGGTTAGAGTGATAACCTGGACAATTCATGAATGACATACCAAGTCTGGACATTGACCACCACCGGCTCGCCATGGTGTGTTCAGCTCGCAATTGACCAGCACAATGAAAATAGCTGGAATAACCCAAATAGTGCACAAGGCCAGAACGGCCCAAGAGGCCCGATTGTGCCGTTTCTGGGGTGTCAATCGCAAATATATTGCCACCACACAGCATTTGGAAAGATATATAATGATCAACGCGATGATATCACTCGTCGCGATCAACTAAGAGTTTAGTATTTCGTACAGAGTACAGTCAATCCTTGGAAGCCAAAACACACTTACTGCCTGTATGTGATCAAGTCTTCCATTTTCCAATAGCGAGATTGAAGTCCCAAAGCCTCGCGAACAAGCGTAAAACACAAGAGTTGCTTGTAAGACAGCGACAGCCTTCCTGCCTGTCTTAGCTACCCATCTCGAATCGAAAATTGTTGACAACTCACAGTAGCTCCCAACAATACCCAATCATCTCTTGCAAAAGGCGGGATCAAGAAAAGTCGCACATAGAGCCGGATCAGAAAGCTAACAAGCGAGAACACTAGCCCCAGCGCGGCGGTAATGATCAACCATGCGCCATGGTGCAACTCGTCCACGACTTCAAAAGGCGGCGACTGGCCCGGCGGCACATACATAGCACCGAATAGGACCTAGAATGAGACTGTGGCGCTCATAAGACCAAGTATAATCTAGCAGTTTGCGAATGGAAGATCTGGAGACCCTTCAAATCGAGCCATGTGTGCTGGGAATAAACGAAACAGGCTGGTGAGAATATACAGCGTGGTTCGCGTGGCATGCAAACAAGGCCGTAGTTTGCGTACTTTGTATATCATATGCCGACAGCCGATAAAGGCACGGGCTATCGAGTCCAGGCATTGAAATCGTAACTTGGGGCATGGGAGCAAAGATGTGGGAACCATCCCTTCCGTCGCGTGTTGTGGAAGTTGAGCCCTGAGCCTGGGGGTTTCCCTAGGGTGGCTGTTTGCCTTCTGTCCCTCACGTCGAAATCATTCGCACTATCAAGCCATGCATTGTTGGGTAAAGCATAGGGCATGACGGGCCGCTGTACGAAGTACACTAGGGTCGATCAACGTGCCCTTGGATGAGCCGTGGGTCTCTGGCTGTCATCCGATAGGGCTATGTGGATTTCCGCTCGAGCAAACGACGCGAGTAATGTGCATCCACCCGCCGTTGAGTGGGGATGTGGCTGAATCGTCTGGGGGATAAGCGTCAAGGGAGAGACTTGTATCCAGGACGAGTCTAGCGCAGATGATACATCAGAAATGCCGGACATCACCGCACTTGTGTATCACAGCATGTTGATGTACGAGGTAGATGCCCAACTACGAGCCGTCAAATTTGTCGAATTGTGAGAGAGCCGTTCATGGATTTCTTTCAGTTGAAGCTGCAAATCGGAAAGCAATGAACAAGGCTAAGTGAGCCAGACCTCATCCCTGCACATATCCGATCCCATCCCCGATCCAGTCGGAACTGAAATTATGACCGCCTCGACCCAACATCCCTTCGGAATGCAAGGTCCCACTAGTGCCATTCTCACCAACAAGGGATACAGATGGCCATCAAAGCACCAAGTGCGATCAGACGTCAAACAACGATGCGTCAATCAAGATCTCGACTTCCACATGGCCGAGAAGTTTCCCCCAGCCATGCCTTGCGCCCACGTCTTTTCCACGCTCCGACTGCAGCTGCCATGGTTTTCTCCTGATACCTTCTACTTTGAGTTACGCCCTCGAAGCGCTTTATAGGATCCTTGATCCGTCGGGCATCGCAAGTGCCATATCTTCATTCTCCTTGACTTTGCTTGTTGAGGTTCTATTTCTGCTTCCAACATGACAGTCTTTGATAAGTCCAGACCGGACTCGCAGCAGACGATGAGCTTCGAGGATGAAGAGTATGCAAGGAAGGGTCTTGTTGAGCCTCGGTACATGGGGACAGTTGCCGATCAGCGTGACATGAATGCCCTCGGTCGAGTTCAAGTCCTCCGAGTATGCTCTGCTCCATCGCTTCAGAAGAATTAGCTCGCTGACTTCCTTCTAGAGAAATTTTCGTTTCATCTCAATTGTGGGCTTCGGCTGCACCCTGATCTGCACCTGGGAGGTTATATTGACGTACGTTGCGTCTCACATGACTCGCCCACTATGTACATTGGTGCATGTAGCTGACCATGAACAGGTTGCTATCTGCGGGCCTCACAGATGGCGGAACAGCAGGCTTGATATGGGGTTTCATCGGCGTTACGCTGGGATTTACCCTTGTTTATGCAAGTATAGCTGAGATGGCTTCGATGTACGTTCTCGGTCGTGTACTTTTGACGGCGCTAATAGAGACAGGGCTCCAACTGCAGGTGGTCAATACCACTGGGTGTCTGAGTTTGCACCTCGACGGGGGCAGAAGTTTCTTAGTTATATCACCGGTAAGGAGGGTGCATGTAGTTGATGCTCAAGTATCGTCGACTAATAGTTCAAAGGGTGGCTTTCTGCTATGGGATGGCAGTGTGCCATTGTGTCTATTGCTTACCTGGCCGGCACCATTATCCAAGGATTGATCGTACTGAATCAACCCGAATACGATTTCCAAAGATGGCACGGCACAATGCTGGTGATTGCCATCTCAACATTTTCAATTCTCTTCAACACGTTCTTAGCGAAGAATCTCCCCTTTGTGGAGGGATTGATCCTGATCATCCATATCGTTGGCCTGTTTGCCATCATCATCCCGCTGTGGGTGCTCGCACCACGCAATAACGCCCATGCAGTGTTCACCACTTTTAACAACGGCGGCGGGTGGAACAATTCCGGAACAGCTACCCTCGTCGGTCTGTCGACCACCATCACCTCTATGCTCGGTTATGACTGTTCGGTTCATATGTGTAAGACTCCCTAATTCATTCCAAGCTTCCGCAAACACTACTGACGGACATAGCGGAGGAAATTAAAGATGCATCGGAGACACTGCCCAAAGCTATGATGTCCTCCGTTGCCGTCAATGGGGTACTAGGGTTTATAATGTTAATCACGCTATGTTTCACCCTGGGCGAAGTCGACAAAGTCCTGGATACGCCGACTGGATTCCCATTCATTGCAATTTTCTATAATACCACTGGCAGCTTGGCAGCTACAAATGCCATGACTGCAGTATTAGTCGTGACATTGACAGCTAGCACCATCACTGAAGTGGCAACGGCGTCCCGACAACTCTGGTCGTTTGCCCGAGACGAGGGATTGCCCTTTTCATCATTCTTCGCATATGTATGTTTCGATCCCTGCCCCAAGGACTAGCCCGACGTTATTTACAAGGATTGCTCACATATGTCAGGTCACGCCGGGCTGGAACATCCCGCTCAACTCTGTGATGGTCTCGTTGGTCGTCACAATTCTCCTCTCGCTGATCAACATCGGATCGGAGGTTGCGCTCAATGCTGTCATCTCGCTCACGATAACGTCACTGCTGTCTGCGTACATCCTGTCTATAGGCTGTGTGTTTCTGAAACGACTGCGTGGCGAGGCACTCCCGCACCATCGGTGGTCACTAGGGAGATTTGGAATGGCGGTGAATTTTGGCGCGTTGGCCTTTCTCTTCCCGTTGTTTCTGTTTGCATTCTTTCCGCTGACAACTGATGTGACGGTTGAAACAATGAATTGGTCAGTGGCGATGTACGTCGGGGTGGTTGGATCGGCGTCGCTTTATTACTGGGCAAGGGGCCGGCATCATTTCATTCCGCCCGTGGCCTTGGTGAACAGGGACGGGAAATAACCTTGGCACCACTACTTGCAGTTGTGCGTTCTGGCTGGACATAATTGGTCTTGCATTGTACTTTGATGACTTGATGATGTGATGTATGTATACTCAAGAGTGATTGCTTTCAACGGTTTGGTACTATAGAGGTGAATGACTAGGTCTTGATCTGTTTCAGAATTGACCGAGGTAATCTATCCGAGGTCAGACTGTCTATACTTCGGAGAAAGTGATCTCACTCCGAAGCTTATGACTTAGGAACTGCGAGTAGAAAGTGCCGCAAGGAAGGTAACTAGTCTCTGAGACTCGCAATCTTGATTCCGAGAATTCCGTCAGCTGCATTATGACGCCACATCTGGGCAACACCTAGCACGACAGCTTCTATAGCCACAGAGAAACTTCCCTAGCTTGGTGCCCGAGAACCCGAAACCCCAAGAGCAAGGGTGTACCGGAAGACCAATTATCAGATGTGACGACTGCGCCAAAACCTTTAAGAACGATGTAGCAGGCACCCGTCCTTTACAGGGTAACTACTCATACATACAGCAATACGAAGTAAACAAAGCCCTTCCCCTGAGCAAAGTGGACCAAGAGTGGATATATCGAAATCATTTAAGTTATCAGATGGAAACATCAGCCCCCTTGTTCCCAACGCGGTAAGGTATGTACGCATGAAAGCATCCGGTGCCGGAAGATGAGTATTGTTCCGGGCCCAATACCGCGTCACCGCGTCAGCGATCGCGTCAGGATACCGTTCAGTCGTGACACACCGAAGGTTCTCAGCCAAGCAGACTGGACGAGGTCTCAGACTAGAGATTGGCAGGGAGACCGGTCACTTTGCGTCAGCCGTCTTGATGAGTCTGGGCAGTTTCGATCCTTTCCAGTTTTCCAGAACGAACTAGCAGCTCAGCTGACCCACTGATTGATATCGAACGGCCTGGTGCCCCCACTCTCAACCGAGTGGTTGGGAAATTGATCGTACTTCGTAGGCCCCAATACTCTCCCGTGCGGGCAGGGGAAGGGGCATGTCAGCCAACGGGATAGACCGGACTTGTTCCGGCTCGGAAAGTGGGGTTTGACTGGAGTTTTGGGGCGTCAATCGAAATTGGATACGGGTATGCAGGAATGGCATCGTTGGAATGTGTCGAGCAGCCCGAAGGAGTCTACCAGTACAGTACGGAGTAGGGAACCTTCAACCTTGGAAGGTTGGAAGACGTTCACATGATCGGTGAGTGACCGGTACTGTACGGTACCGAGTGCCAGGTTCCCTGGTTATCAGATGAAATGACAGGTTCGTATCTGATTGATCTGATAACCGAGGTAATACGGTCGGTATTTTTCGATCTGATAACGCGACTGTACTCAGGAAACCTGCATTGGACACTTTCGCCCAGGAATTTGGCAGTTGTCAAACACCCGTGGACATTTTTGACGCGCTTTCCACCTACCCTTCCACAAACGAAGAATGGACGGGCTCGAGACCCGGCACCTCGGATGTCGCTTCGGGTGTTGAAAACCGATACAATACAGTCATGCACGGTAGATCTGGAGAGATGGATACAATAGCCCCAAATGGGAGTGCCATATCCAGTAGGTGAACCCTGAATGCTGCTGACCTTGTAACAAGATTTCTAATATTTCCTGCCCAGGTATTGAAGATATCACGAAAACAATCCCATCCCGGACTCTCGTCCGGATCCGCCCAACGTACCCGAGGAATGTGGCGAATCTGATAAATCTGTCGCCCACACTCATTTTCTTTTTTCGTTACCGTTCATTTCCCGTACGGAACTATTCTCCCGGATTCTTCGGGCCCACGTCCCCCATCCTCATCCCACTCCTCGGATTCAAGAAAAAAAGGGGGTTTTTGACAGCTCCTTGTTCCTTGACTCTTAAACCCCGGTCCCCCCTCGCGCCGGTTTCGTCGCCACCTTCGACCACCATGGGTATGTGTGGACCGAGGATCCCTATAAGTGAAATGATCGAGCCGCTCATTCTGTCCAGTTCACGCAGTGCAATCAGTCATGCCGTCGGCGACTTACGCTTCCACGGGCGACCGTCCCCGCAGAAGCACGTATCAGGAGATTCCAGTCTCCTCGACCTCCCACCCCGATAACCCAATTCCCGAAGAACCTCGAGGTGTACGTTCGCTCTCAGTGACGGACACCAACTTCAATGTCATCTCTGGGTCCTCGTCTCAAGGGTCTGGATCGACTGGCACCCATACCCCCACCACCCCTCTGACACCTCCCAACGAGAATCAATCGGATGAAGAGCTTGGGGAGGAAAAGACCGATGGCCGCCAACGACGACGAGCATCCACCATCCTCATTTCGCAGAATGCGGAGGACATGAGAAGAGTGCTGGAGAATGTTGGCACGGCAGGTACGCAGAAGCTTCAGTCGCTCTGCTGTGGCGGGGGTTGCTGTCGAGGCCAGGCATTGCGTCCTGTAGATGGACCGATCTCAGGCTTCAATTCGATTGTCGGACCCGCCAACAACAAGGCTTTCGACAGTCTGAAACTGAACCTTGATCTCCTTACCATGGACAGCGAGCTTTCTGGCATTGCTCCGCTCCCAGAGAAGACCGTCTCCTTCAAGCCAATCCCCGCATCGGCAATCAACATGTCGCTGGGTCCCGCAGACCATCCACCCGACTTTGTGCAGCCGCACCCACCATACAACGTCTACCGGGCGCCTCTCTTCCACACCCGCGAACTCACAGGCCCCGGCGCCGAAAAGCGCACTTACCACTTTGACATCGACGTCACCGATTACCCCGCCGAGAGCGGCATGGTCGACTTTGTCGTGGGCGGAGCAATTGGTGTCTGTCCTAAGAACAAGGACTCGGAGGTGGAAGACGTTCTCAACCTTCTCGGCGTTCCGAGATCCATGCGCGATAAGAAGGTCCTGATGCGAACCACCAAGGGTCGCTGGCCCACCATCTGGGGCGACGACAAGCCCCGCGAACTCATCACCACCCGCCGTGAAGTCCTCAGCTGGTGCGCCGACATCCAATCGTACGCACCCACCAAGCCTCTCTTCCGCCTCCTCGCCGAACACGCCAGCGAGCCGAACGAGAAGAAGATCCTCTCCTACCTCTCCTCCGCACAAGGCCAAGGTGCCTTCTGCGATCTCCGAACAAGCTCCTACGTGTCTCTCTCCCAACTCCTCACTGCCTTCCCATCTTCTCAACCTCCCCTCGACGCCCTCCTCTCCGTCCTCAACACCCTCATGCCTCGCTTCTACTCTCTCTCCCAAGACCCCCAAATCTCCTGCCAATACAAGGGCTCCGAATGTCGACGCCTAGTCGAAGTCGCCGTAACAGTCGCCGAATCCGACGATTGGCGCGGAGGATCCCGCACCGGAGTCGGCTCCGGATACCTCGAGTCACTCGCCCGGCGCGCCATCGAAGCCGAAGCTAAGGGCGAGAAACTAGACCTCCACATCCCCATGTTCAGGGGACTCATGGCCAACCCGCTCGCGACCCGCTTCGCATCCGACGGGCCCATGCTCCTTATCGGCGCGGGTGTTGGTATCGCGCCCTTCCGTGGCTTCGTCCAGCGTCGTCTTCAGTCCGCCAATTGCGCCAACAAGGTCTGGGTCTTGCAGGGTGTGCGTGACTCGCTTTTGGATGAGCTCTACTCGGGTGAGTGGGGTGTTCACGAGGATAAGGTTCGGACTGTTGTGCAGAGTCGCAAGGGTGAGAGTCGCTATGTGCAGGAGGAAGTCCGTCACCAGGCGGATCTGGTTTGGTTCGTGATCAATTCGCTGGACGGACGGGTCTTCGTCTGCGGTTCTGGAAAGGGTATGGGTGAAGGCGTGGAGGCTGCGCTTGTTGAGGTCGCCATGGCCAAGGGAAATCTCAATTCCCAGGAGGCTGATATGTTCTGGCAGCGCAAGAAGGAGGCTGGGCAGTACATTGCTGTAAGTTTGGAAATATTTGTCTTTGATTTGGGCATTGCTAACCTTTTTCAGGAAACTTGGTGAATTGATACACCGTTAGTCTTCTTGTGCTTTCCTGTCTGACGCTTCCGATTCTTCTTCATTTTTTGTAAATACGTTGCATCTGTGCATTGCGCAGGCTTTGCCTCTTTTCTCTCGAGCCGGGCTCGGATCCATTTTTCGTCTCATTCTTATGAGAATTTTCGATTGTTATGTTTTCAGCGAGGTGGTTTCTGGTCTTATCTTTTTTCGTGGAAGGAACACATGCGAGCTCGCGTGTACAAAAGAGCCCTCGCTCATCTCTTTTCGCACCTTTCATATTTATCCCTTCCAGTTAGTTATCAACTTACCAGTCCCATCTGTACCGGGACTCGGGCTTCTCTTTCGGATTCACCTGAATACTATGATTCCCAATATTAGTTGCAGCTTCCTTCAACGTTGACACAATATATTAGACTCACTCTCCACCGAAGCGCTCTTCACCCTTTAATCATCTTCGCCACCAGCGTGCTTGTCTCGTGAGGTCTAAGCACAAGTTGGGCTATCACCCTCGGCAGACGACAGTTCATGTCTCATGAGCGATACTGACTTTTGGCTGGTCTTGGCTTTCTTATGCTGGACTTGTTCGCCATTCGACTACCGCCCCCCATTGTCTCGATGTCCCGATCTCTCCAGGTCTTCTAGCGCTTCGCCAGCCTCACGTTCATTCTTCTATCTCGGTTCCCTCTCGCGGTCTTCCAATTCACAGAGTGCGCCTGATCATACTGTACCTAGGTATGGCAAGGCCTGACTTGTCCTCCCTCATGTGATATCGAAAGTGTCACAGACCATTGAGGAAACCCCAGGAAACACAGACAGATAGAAGGCGCCTATATCTCCGCAGGGGATACGGTTTCCTAGAGCGCAGCTTGTCATCAGCAACACCAAGATCTCATGAGCGTCTACCATGCTTTGCATTCTACTTCGTCCGCATCTCGATGAAAAGCAGCGATTCGAACCTCTTGGGAGATGATAGCTGGTTTCATGATAGAATGGAAGGACCAGATCCCAATATCACTGTTGGAACCGCGTGTGTTCCAACTTGCCAATCTCGGCTCTTTGGGGTAGACCCTATGGAAATATCGTGCGTCGACAAGCATCCTACACCGATGGATTTCGAAATCAGGCTCTTCATTGCTAGAGTCCGGTATCTATTCTATTCTCTTCCACATTGAACATCCTCTAACCTTTCCTTTTCAATCTTTGCCTCCCGCTTTCTCCTTCTTGCTCTCCTTTTATCGCTTCATCCAGAGACAAGATTCGAGTTGAACGTGTGGTTTATCCACAATGACAGACGGTACAGCTACAAGCACTCAGAAGAGAATCCTTTGAATACCTCGCTAGCCTTTGATTATAGGGCCTCTAGCACACCTAGTGAAACCCCTGAGTCAGGTGTTTGAATCGCAACAAAAGTAACAGTGTTTTTATCCATCTCGTTGGTCGGAAGATCCAGATGCAAGGAAGATCCCCGTGGCCAATCTATACCAAACTGGCATAATGGTCAGTAAATGCTCGCCCAAATCGTCATTCGGTAGCCAACACCGACTTGAGCAAGGGTGCATTGCCATGTGGCTCAAGGCGGAGGACCACGGGTACTTTATGTTTGTGCAGGCTACTTTACTGTTATTCCAAGATTTAGATTCAGACCAACTTAGAAAGACCTCGGGACGGACAGCTAGAGAAAATGAAGCGGTCGCTAGCAGTAGTTTACTTGCTGAATCTGTACCTTGAGCATTATGAAGTGAACAGCGTGGTCTTGTCAGCACGTACTACATGTCGGTGTTATTCGTCATAGCACGGGCTAGACCATTACCCCCTTCCATCAAGCTCTGGTTCGTTGATCGAGTGCATTCTATGAGCGGTCTCATGTCCCAGGAGAAAGGGCGATAAATCAGGCACAAGTGCATGTACTGCGATCCCAGTTGGCGTCGCCTAATAGGGAAGACCAGTTCTCAGAACAGACCGCACTACACCCGGACGGGGACAACCGATCCCCATTAAGACCATGTCTAACCACTTCAAGCAAGAATCCGCCCACAGACGTCAGTGAAAAAAGGCGAAAAAAGCAGCCAAACGCATGTCCTGGGCCAATAGTAAAAAAAGTGCCCCTAAGGTCACATCGCATGTCAGCGAGGGATTGGTGCACTTGTCACGAACCATGCTCTTGGCGCCCATGCATGGACTGTGACAGGCGGTGGCGAAAGCAAACAGATCGGCTGGGAAGATGCTTGTACATATGCACCTATGGTACCAGGAATTGAGGGATCGAGGATCGAAATTCCCTGGGATGCACTGGACGATTTTCGGGTGCCTTACTTGCTGCAGTGCTACGGTGGCTATACCGCTAGATGGTCCCTCACTTGGGAATTTGTAAACGCCAGTGAGGTGTTCCCGGTGTTCTAGAAGTTTGAATTAGATTAATAGATTAATAGTAGAAGTGTAAATGCTTAAGGTTAGAAACTCCCAAATCCCGGCCCAAGGACCGGGAAACATGACAAATTCCTGCATCTCCCGCAGATCTGGGGCTTTTCCTAGGGCACGAGAGGGGGAACTCCCATTCCCCGGGCTTTGAGAAGAGACCAGTCATTTTTCACAGCCGATCCCAGTTCTCCCACTGCGAGATCCGATGATCTGCATTCCCTCTTCATGCACGATCTCGGGACCTTGGGCTCGGTATGACGATCGCTTGAAAGTCCAATTCCCCTGTGAGCCACGGGCTCGAAAATCCCGTTTAATTTATTTTCCCATCTGAGATTCTAGAATTGTTGCTACTAGCTTGGAAATAATCCGGTGAAAAGACCAAAATCGAAATAATTCCCGAATGGCTCAGCTGCCAGATCGATGGACGAATGATACGGAGTAGAGGACGCCTCCACGAGGCTGAAATCCAGACTCCTCTGGGTAAAAGGGTAACTCGAGACTAAAAGTACCTGGCCGGGGGGACTGCCGCGTTGAGCGAGCGAGACAAAATTCGTGACAGACCATTAAACCTTGAGTGTAAATTGGGGCGGATTCTGTCCGAAACGTCACGGCATTGAGGGTCGGGAGATGTCAGGGCTGTATGCAGGTGATTTCATACTACCAGTAGTACGATCCTTGACATCTCTTTGACCTGTGAATATACTGATACTGTAGATTCGGGATGAGTACTGTACAATGCCAACGCCACTCCCACTAGTAAAGAACACTAACTCGCGCAGGGCTTTAATATCTCACTCCATTGTTCCGAGGCTAGTCAACACTTTGATTGGCACTGATCTCACTGCTTTGCATTCGGTCCACTTAGAAGGATCTCCGACAATCTTAGCGCATTTGCGCCATTATTGAATTGTCAGAACTAGTTTCCAGAGCGGGTCGGGTCTAGTCACTTAGTGCCGTACCTGTCGTGTCAAGCTGAATGCGATACGTGAGCACGATCGCAGGTCCTGTCACACTCAGGCTAAGATGAAATATCATATGCACCTCCATGCAGCACGTCGCGTGAGAACAGGGAAAATGACCAATTTAAATCTTCGAATCCCCATGCATTTCTCTTTTACTCCGTACTACGTACTCACATTTGAAAATGCTCCAAATTCCAGCCTCGAAAGAATGAAAAAAAATGATAAATAATCAAAAACAAAACGCCACAAGTCATCTCGAAGGAAGTGGAGTTGGAAATTGAAGAACCCCTAGGCGATCTATCCCTGGCCCCCCCTCCCTTTCTCAGTGGTCGATCGATCTCCGTGTCCACCCATGAGAGGCTCCGGGCAATCTACGATCCAGCCGAGGCGTCATGTCTGCGCGTCCTCATTCGCTTGTCGTATACCTTTCCCTTGGAAACACAAGCTCTTGCGATCTTGTTTGACACTCCCCGGCGATCTTTTCCTTCGACTCGGACTCGGGCGAGACCCACCCTGACTTTTTCTTTTTTAGATACGCCCGACGTGCACCGGTTGTCTTTTCCTCGTCCATGGGAATGGCTCGTTGCCCTACTTTTACCTACTCCGTATCGAGTACTCGTACCAAACAAATTCCCACTAAAAAAGCAATGAGCTGGTGATTTGATTTTCCTTGACTCAGGTACTTACCACTGTCCCTTGCTGTACGGATGTCGCTGCCGGATCTCACCTCTTCCCCATCCTGTGGTTCTTGATCTGGGGTCTACTGGCTGATCGTGATACTCGCATGGACCATCCGTGAATCTTTACCCTTTTTCCAGCCCTTCCATCCTGACCGTCTGGTGTTGTTTTATCTCGGTTTCACCTGGACTCTTTTTTAGGATCCGAGCTAGCAGGCCTGTTCTCTAACATGCGATCCTCGAGTTTGACGTAGACTAGTGAACCACGCTTCAGTCTTTCCTTTTTCAAGGCTAATTATAACTCTATATGATTTCACTTTTTTCGGATCTGCCTTCTGGGAATGGTCCGAAGTCAACGAGCAGCCGTGGCGTAATTCTGAATTCTGAGAGAAAGCGTGGAGTCGGGAGGAGTTCGTGAGAGACGCTAACCGAACTATTTTAATGACAGGAACCCTAAAGGACCAAAGGAAGATTGGCGCTGTCAACAACCTTAGACCATATTGATTTACGCCCCCTTCTCCGCTCTGCATGCCTTGGAGCACTTGTGGCTCTTCGTACCCACCACGATCGTCATTTTTCGGTGGCCCCCCCTGTTCTTGCTTTTCCATGGACATGTAACAGCTGGATGTCTCTTTTTCTTTTTTGGGGCCTTTTTATTTTCCAAAAACGAATTAAAAATAATTAATATTAATCTTTTCTTTTCTTTTATGAGATGGGGCTATTTTTTGGTTAAAATGTACGGGTCCTGCATGATTTGGACTTCTATCTTTGCCCTCATTCCCCAACCTTGCATATAATCTTGGCCTTTCTTTTTTAACATGTCGACGTAAAACCAGCCTGGTTTCCTCGGTAAGTTTTTGACATCCTGTCCCTTTCTCATCTTGGCTTTCTTGGTCTTTGCTGGCTTCTATACTTCACATCCGTTTCTAACTGGCCGCAGTTCTTGTGATACATTGTGAACTCTTCATTATTATCCTTGCAGGACATCTCTAGCTTTGTCCACCCCCGCAAATACCTTGTCTATGTCCCAGTCCCGCCAGTTGGACGAAGATACCGATATGGCTATTTCGTATACACAGCCGTCCGTCGGACACCAGACACTCCCCTCATTCCGCGAGGTAAGCTCTTAAGACTGGACACTTGAAGGGCAGAATACTTATATTCACTCAGCTCCTCCCCGCTCACCTCCACGATGAAATCGAATCAACCTCACCATACTACACCTCACCACGCTCACAAGACCGCCCGGGCTCCGGCCACGACATGGCCGACCCCCGCTCTATCCCATACGGCACCCCAACTAAAATGCCCTACGATGCACACCGTGAATACACAGTCTCCCGCGGTGAACGCATGGACCCGGGCCACGCGATGCGGTTCTCCGAAGGCGCATCCCGCGGCCCGAGTCCAATCCTCCCACCCATCCGAGACCTGGACTCCATGTCCCGGTCAGTAAATCATAAGGGCTACGAGCGCGCCCCCAGATCAGACCCCTTTGTCACTCAGGAATATCGCCAGCCCGGGCCGGCCCCCGTGGCGATGCCCGATCGCCGCAGCGAGCAATACGCCCCGATAGCGCATCCCCAGTCACCATATGGCCATCCCGCGATGGGGTACGATGAGCAGGTCTCACCCCCGATGATTGCGCATGGCCAACAGGCCAATTTTGGAATTATGGGTGATCCTATTGATCCTAAGACGAAGCGCAGACGGGGGAATCTGCCTAAGCCTGTTACGGATATCTTGCGTGCTTGGTTCCATGAACATCTTGATCACCCTTACCCCAGTGAGGAGGACAAGCAGATGTTCATGACGCGGACTGGGCTTTCAATCAGTCAGGTATGTTATTTGCGCTTTTCCAACGATTCCTGTACTAACAATTGTACAGATTAGCAATTGGTTTATCAATGCCCGTCGGCGACAACTGCCTGCTCTGCGCAATCAGATGCGTGGCGGTACAGATGCGGATTCTCAGCGACAATCTCCATTCAGTGACATGGATGGTGACTTGACTTCTCCTCACCATTGATGTGGTTATGATACCGGACCCGGTCCGGACCTCACGGCCTTTACTTTAATTAACAACACTACGCGGCAGGCATTCGCGCCGGCAGCGTCTCTTATACTTTTACGACTGGAGGCATCTTTTTTCTCCCTATCATTTACGAGTTACGGGATTAAGGACACGGCAAGTTGGGATAGACTGGCTTCTTCTTTTCTTTCCTTGTTTTTTTTTTTTTTTTTTTTTTTTCTTCTCCAACATGTTTTCCTTATTTCTTTTCTTGCTTTTCCCTCTATCTTGGGTCACGGTCACACACTTGTCTCGTTGCCGTCCGGTACGGGGACCTTAGGCAGACATCATACATTGATACCCCTTCACATCGATTGCGTTTACCCGGTGGGAAGTTTTGTTGCTGAGAAGAAACGGGCAAAGGGGTGTGATATTAGAGCATTCGGAAATTCAAGTCTATGTGTTTAGTATACAGTTGGTCTTGATTTGCATTCACGGCGCATGTGCGCATTGGAGCAGACACAAAATTGCATACCCAGACCTTCAGTGGAACCTGGGCTTTCAAATTGTCCAAAATTGGCATGACACATGGAATCCTTCATCAGCTACGACTAGCGGTTGACTAGAATATTGGCCCATCCCTCTCCCGTCCATGACTTTGGGCCAATGCGAGAGCGAGTATCCGGTTTGTGAAGAATTCAGCAGATCTCAGCTGCCCACCGCACAGCCCGTCTCCACCGGGTGTCTCCTCGGCATTGATTCTCCGTTCACAGGCACGTCTTCGGCGGAACCGTGGATCTTTCCTTATCAAGGTATCGTAAGGACCGCTTTTTCATTCGCCGATCTTGGGAGATCTTCACGGCTCATGCTTGTGCAGTTAAACTTCGGGAGTTGACAGGTTTTGTATGACGTTTTCTTTCTCCAATGGTCCGGGACTTTCGAGACCAGGGGTAGTGTAGCACTACCGAACCAGAACCACACCGGAACTTATTCGTATGCCGGGATATTAATCGCAAACGAGACATGAGGTTAAAACTCGGCCCCGGGGAAGTGCATGAACCATGGATCGGGCTGTCACTAATGCCAAATCGAATTAATGTTGCCCCAATTCCCAAGACCCGTAAACTAGTTGCTTCTGAGTTGAGGATGTCGTCCACTTTTTGCTTTGTCTTTTATCGAGATGACGTCGCTCTACCAAACATGAACCTTCGTTACCACGGTCGCTGTCCATTTAGACCGTGGATGACATTTAACCTTGAAACACTATTTCAAATCCCGATCTCAACATTTGCCCACTTGCTGAATGCATGAAGATTCAATGCCCAGTCATTTATCATTGCATTTCTGACGTGAACTGACAGCCCTCTAGGGTTGGAACTAGACTGGGCCAAATTTTCCATCGCATCCGAGTCCCACTCGGCAACCATGGTACTGCCAAGCTAGTTGCCACGTGAATCCTCCGGATTCAATCGACTTTTTAATATGATCGCCCTGCAGATGGGGTATCTTCGGATTTTCTTCTCCTTCTGACAGCTGTGTGTGGGCTGATACTAGACACTCACGCTGATGGGGCCTGATACGCTGAACCAAATTGCTGAAATTTGATTAACTTTGATTTTCATTAACTTGTCCGAAACACACCGGATGTTCCGGCTAAACATATTTTCATATTTTCATATTAGAGCGAAATCAATTTGTCAGGACAGTGTTATGCATTCTGTCCGGTACAATACGGAGGACTTCTAGAGTGGTACCGACAGTATAGTGTGGTTTCAGATCATGACTCTTGTCATTTTCTCGAACCTCCCCCTGAAACCCCAATGATGGGGTTTGACATGACTCGGTTGACAGGACTCAAAAAAGCGTCCAAAGATCGCCGTCGGCCGTCTTGCCGAATAACATTGTGTCCGAGCCCTCGGGGCCTCGAGGGCTGGGCTGACCCCTTTCACCCCAAATTGGGGGGTCACTTAGGCATGAACCTCGGACCACTTAGGCACCATTCCGTACTCCGTACTCCGTCCGACACTCACTGTTCCACCTTCAACTGACACCAAAATTGAGACTTCTCAACAGTCCACTAAATGCACAGGATTACGTAGACTACGGTACTAGGTGGTGCCATCTCATTTTACACATCCTTGTAAAGAGAAAAAAATACCCACGGTCCCACCTATCACTTCAAAGGAACCTAATGGGAAAAGTGACAACACATAACCCATGGCTCATCTTCATCTCAAAACAAAAAAAAGCAAAACCAAACTCAAGCAAGTACCCGTCACTCCCAAAGACAGGATATGTGAGAGCAGGGAACCCTAGCTCATCCCCACAGGAGCAGCGGTTATGCAAGCCACAGCCCCAGCCCCCAGCATCCAGGAACTTCCGCCACCCACGACTGGTTCGGCGATCAGGCCTATGCAACTTCGTACATGAGCCCTCGAAGACGTGCAGGACATATGCGCCAGCTGTCGAATCACAAGGAATAGAAATAATTCCAACCCCTGCCTCCCATCCCTTACCACATGCATCTGTCACTTCAAGGCCTGATCAAATCCCGATCTCACCTCTCAAAATGGTCTTCCCGATCCCGCTCTGCTCTTTTAGATCGCGTTGCTCCTTCTCAATCTGTACAGGACAATGTCAAGATGCGGCTGCCTGCATCCGACGCATCACATAGCGGTGAATTCGAAACACGTTATCGAACACGTTCGTGCTACGGAGTACTCCAGACACATATTTTATGTGGGTGCCTCATTCTGCGCTGGCATATGACGTCTGGTGCATCGGTCACTCGCGAAATGTGAATTTCTAATATTGTATCCGTACCTAGTACGGAGTACTTCGCACTCTATAATGTACTTCTGTATGTACGGAATACGAAGTACCGAGTATAGTAGTGGTTCGCGAATTGTGGCGTAGGGTTCTCTGTACTTCGGAGCTGTCAACTGGCATATGTGAGGTATCTCATGTCAGGATTTGGGTTAGGAGATGATCGTGTAGATCGATGCACAGTTCGTCCGACCGCACTTTCACCGGTCCACGGCCACAGCGTCAATCAGTCATGCCTCACCAGCGCCCTGTACGGACTACTCCGTACATTATACATAGGTTTCATTCTCAAGGTTCCAACTTGCGTAGAATTCAACTATTGGCTCGGAGTACGCGGACATAGGTTATGTGATATAATATGCCAACATCGCGATCCTCGCGTTGAAATATTGAAATTTGCCTCTCCCTTGATTTGTCTTCATGTATTTGATTCTGGGATTTGAGATTCGGCATGTCCTGCAGTTGGGGTTACAGTGACATGTTCTGGCTGACGGGGTACCCTGCACGCTATTGAATTTTGTCAGGTCAATCTCACTTTGGATCGACGGTCCCACTCCAGGGCTGCTGGGCACTTATTTAGTGAAATCAATAGTGTCGCTTAGTGTGCTTAAGTGTCATGGTAGCATGTTCGACAGATTTCTGATGGTTCTGGAACTTCGCCCGGAGGTTTATTGTAGTCTATGTGGGCTAGCGCTGTTACTGCAGGAAAGATAGCCGATGTCGTCCCTTTTGGTCAGAATATAGTTAATGTGTAGACCGTCTTATGGAAGAAACGCAAAATTTGCTACCACCAATGTGAGCTTGTCTTCCATCTCATTCCTATATGTACTGTAGGTATGATATGATATGTCCTACCTCGTGCCGGTCGGTCCTACACCTATGTAGGCCGGGGCAATACATTGATTTAGTCAAACACAACTGTCAGTCATTGGATATGTATTCCTTGGGGGCTGAAATTTACACACCGATGAGAGGCCCCCCTCTCTTGATTGATGGGTGTAGACACCGATTGTGTTCATTGCATTGTGACTTGCGATGATCAACCCAGATCAAGCGCCAGGGGCGCTTGAGTTGGCGATGTTCATGAAAGGTGGCCTCTTACTTCTTACACCGATACCATGGAACCACGTCTACTTCTCTCACGTAGAACGTATTTCTGCAAGGGAATAGCGACACGACGCATATTCCTGAAATTTCGAGACTTCCAAGGTTTGAGTGGTTCATTCCTAAAATAATGAATGTGATATCAGACAACAAAATTGCTATACAAGAATTTTCCCAAGGTCTGACCATTCCGAATTTCGAGATCATTTAATCTTTGGGGAAATCGATATCATAAATTTAATCTCTGCTCGGGTGCATGACGATGCATAGTTGACATGAGTAGTATCACATTTGCTTTATGGGCATCGATGGATAGTTTGAACCTTGGAATATGAAACCCAAACGTATACTTCCTTGGGAAAATCCAGCATCGTGTGCTTTGAAAGTTTATTCCCAATGTCGTCATGCGTATAATGCATACCCAATTTTATCGACGTATTCCAACGTTTTGCCGTTGAAAATCTATGCCAGAAAGGAAGTTATCCAGATAATTCGGAAGCCATATTCCTCGCAATTTTGTCGACAATATCATACCCTGCTTTCTAGTAACTCGATTAGCTAGCTGTTTGTCTACACCTGGACACGAGGTGACCTTGACCCTAATGTACCACTTGCCATACGGAGTAAAGGGTCCAGATATAGTCCTGCTGGGTACTGGTCTGTTCCACTTTCCATTGCATATACACTACACTTTGAAAAAGAACTCTAGTCATTTCACTGCCTATTAACTCAATGATAATGGCTATGAAATGCAAATTGACTTCCATGGTGAGTATCCCATAGTGTTCATTTTGTTCGATTCTTCGTCAATGCTTTCTAGTATTCGTGCGGCTACTAGACAAGAGGCACCCGTTGGATTGCCCGACATGAAGGGAGATATTCAAAAGGGTAATCAGATCTTTTCAGTGCTCATTGGCGTTCTTTGGTCCTCAGCTGTTGAGATGGTCATATGCCATCCCACGTGTAGCATAGATCTCTCTCAGTTCTCGGGTTTTTCTCTCTTCTGAGAATCAACAACTCTCTGCTCTCCTTTCCTGTGCCAGCCAGAAGCTGTCACAACATCACCACGTCTCCTCGGAACATGATAT